GCTTCCATCGGCCTTGACGAGCGCCGAGAAAAGCAAGACCACGACGGATGATGCTGTGGTGGTATCAACATCATCTTCTTCTTCGTCCTCCTCGTTCTCATCAGCATCAAATAGTAGCCCAGAGAGCTCAACTGGTGCTGAGCAGACCAAGGATCAACTACACAAGGGAAGCACTGTTGTTAGAATTCTCGAAAATAATCGCCCTGGGACACCCACGCCGAGTAATTGCTCTATCGTTGTTCTTCCGCAGATGGGTTCAGGTTGTGACGTTGTGAAGGACGATGAAATAACCCCAAGCTGTAATATTGGAAACCGATTCCGAGCCCCCGAGCAGGTGGACAAGACCCTGCATAATTCGCATTCCCGAGTCCACTCGACCGCGGATAGCGTTAGCATCCTTTCAGTGCGGAGCCGTAGGCCAGATGGGTTTGAAGATCCGGATAGACGGTTGACAAGGACAAGCTGCAACACCCTCAGTGGGACGACCAATGACAGGATGAAGTCCTGAGCAACAGCGCAGAGCAATGTGAGATCCAGCTGGAGGACTCATCCTTTTCACAAGAAGTGGATGAAAACAACACACTTCTCCGGGCAAAGAAGCTACTAACACCAAGGACGACCCGCGGCTGCACAACCTTGTTCACAAAAAGACTCGCTTTGTACAGCGTGCGGGCCGCTTATCTCCTCTGCTTTTTTTCGGCACTGTCGATGCTATTTTGCTGTTACCTCGCAATACGGAAGGGACAGGGCCGGAGTCGTAGACAGTCAGCAAATGACGCCGCTCGGCACGATTCGCCGCCAGGAGTGGCGGACCATGTGGATGCAGACCGAACCAGCTCCATGTTTTTTCATTCCATTTTCAACGGACGCCTGCTGTTGCAGCAGCTGATCCCGATATTAGTCAACCAAGTCGCACAGGACCTGCTTCCATTCCCACTCGGGGGCCACTATCGCACAACCGACCTGGAGCAAGTCACGTATCTCACAGCCGTTTGTGTAGCCGTCATGTTCGTGTTGCACCTATCGATACATTCGACGATTACAACTAGCACAGCCACTTCTGCGGCGCAGCATCGGAGCCAGCACTTTCTCAAGCGCATCATCAGCAAAGCGAGTACGAACTTCACAGCTGACGCTGACCACAGCTGCGATCTCTACTCGTCGAACCAATCAAGAATCTCGCATACACTTCCGCAGGATCAAAGTAGCATCAATTTTTCCTCCGACCAGCTATCCGAAATCCATTCTGACCGAGATTATACAACCAGGGGACAGCAGGAGGAAGATCCCAATTCTAGCTGTGTGCTGACCCCGTCTTCGAATGGAGAGGAAACAGCTCCTGTGAAAATTTTGACACAGAAGACAGGAAACAATGTAAAGGTAAATGGTACCCGCCCATCAACAACTTCCGGTACTCACGGTGGATTCGCGTCAAATAGAAACAACACAAACCTGCAAAACCAAGTTGCCGCTGCCGAAAACAAATCGCTCCCGTCGCCCGCCAAGAAGCCGAGTGCCATCGAAGACCATGCAAACCGATGGCAGTGGCACCTTCATAAATCCTCCCCATCGAGGAAAACGCTTGCCCCGCCGCCGCCGGCCCTCGTGGTTCCTCGGGAACTTTCCGCAACGCGGCGGCAAAGTCAGACCGGACAGGGTACCAGCGTTTTGGTCTCGCCGCGGGTTTTGTGCAAGAACAAATGACGAAAATAGGGGGAAAGAAGGAAATAGTAAATGATGAAGGAATTCCGAACATGTACATCAAGCAACTGACGCCGGACATCATCAGAAGACTGACGATGGAACGGATACAAGAAGATGACATGACCAAGTGCAACACCGTCTCCGAGTACATGATGCAAAGAAGACTACAACTAGGACCATTCCGCCCGCCGACCGGGGTCCTACAAAATCGGGAGAGCGAAACTCTGATGTTCTATCTCTGGCTTGGTGTAGCTCCATCAGGACAAATAGGATGGGGAGAAATTAGATATGGGGAAGATAAAGTTTTTAAGCAAGAGTGCGCGTTTTGCAAGCGGTATTTCGACTGTGCAGTCGATCATGTGTTGCTTGAGTGCCCCAGCCTTGACACACAGCGCCGTAGGACTTTAAGCCCAAATAATCTAACTAGAACACTAGGCCGCGACTACTTGCAAAACCCGCAGAAAATTCTCACTTTCATCACAGAAGAAGATGCAAATCTTACAACTAAATTCCATCGCGACCGAATACAACCAGTACTAGGGAAGACCGGCACGACGATGGAAAAAAAGCAAAAAACGAAACTACGGGCATCGAACGTCTTCGAAAAGTATGCCGAGAGCAGCAATATGGTGCAGGAGACATTCAAACGGAAAGTAGAAAAAAGGCAGTAGACCTCTCTCCAGCTGAAAGGCAGTAGACAGGGCACCAGCGTTTTGGTCTCGCCGCGGGTTTTGTGCAAGAAATGACGCCGATCATACATGGAAGTAGAAGCAGGACGGTGAGGATCAGTACCTGGACACCGGAGAGAATAGCACCAAGTTTCAGATGAAACAGAATGCGTCAGAACTCCGACGTAAAAGCGCACCTGGTAGATTTGAGTTTGAGATCGAGATAGACACTGACATAAAAATTTTTTGAGAATATAACTTCGACCATTTTCATGATGATTCTCGTTTTCCATTGCAGCACAAAAGCGCTGGCGGCCGCGCGCTGGGAATGTTTTGGTTTTGGAGTTGTCCATGACCACACCGAGGGTCACCTGTTTTGAGGTTCGGGAACGCGGATACAACTACAGTTGGACCGAAGACGTCGTTCGTGCGTCGAGCTGCAATCACAAGACATGGAAAGCGAGAGTGCCATCCATACAGAGTGAGAATTCGCAAAGTTCTACTTCCGGTGTGTGTGTGAAAGTGAATGAAGAGTTGTCGACGTGAGCATGGGCTTGGCATAATTTGCAATTTATTTGTTAATAACACCCTTTCGTTGGGCTTGGGCTCGGGATGTTGTGTCGTTTCAAAATCGCGATGTTGTGTGTGGTTCTTCTCTTGATCGTTTTGTGTGATGTGTTTGCCCTTGCAGCAGCGGCTTCTCGTTATCCTATTGAGCGCCAGGTCGTTGCTGCAGCAGGCGATAGAAAAAGAACTTTTTCATTGTTCATGTTGTTTGAACAGGAAAAGAGAATACAGTAAAACTTGTAAATGATTGCTATAGCCTTACACCAAAATGGGTTTCCTTTTCGCGACCAAAGTCACGGAGAAGGATTTTCTGGAGCACACCGCGCAAATCAAGGAGGAGCAAGCCAAACGCGACCAGAGTAACGAGCAGAAATTTCAGGCCTTGCGGGATCAGATCGCGGCGTTGGAAAAAAAATGCGAAAAGCGCGACGACGAAATATCCTCGTTTGTGAGGGGGGAATTCAAGAACGGCATCGACAAGAAAATCGACACGGCCCAGCAGCATTTGGAGCAAGCCATCCACTTGCTGCAGGAGAAAACCGAGAATGCAACCGCGGAACTGGAGAGGGTGCTGCGAGAGGTAGAGTTTTGGAATTATGTATGATCAGAAGAAGAATCAGAAGTTTTAGTTTTTATTGTTGTGTCACGACGATCATTCATTGTCATTCGCATTCGAAATATAGTACTTCACATCCTTCATTTGTTCAGGCCATCTCGACCCTGCAGAAGTCCACAACGAAGCGGCTGGACACGCATGCCGCTGATTTGAAGAAGATGCGCAACGCACTGTCCGGGAAGTTGTTCGACTTAGCCAGTTACAAGGTGGAGCGGGAGCGCGACCGCGTGAACATCGTCCTGGAGGACGATTCCACGCTGAATAACGACGTGGAGGGGGAATCACAGCCCGTCCTTATCGAAGGTACGTTATTGGGTGGAACAAACCTGGTTGCTGGGGCGGACGCTGATGGTGCACAGCAGGAGTATAATTCCTCGAAGGACACGGCGATACTGGACGACCCCGCTAGTGTTTCAGGAGCGGCTGAGGGACGTGACGGAGCGGGAGCCGGCGCGCAAGGTACTTCTAGCAACGCTGCTGGCGGCGCCGAGGTGGACGACGGCGCACAGCCAGGTGGACGGGAAATAGGAGCAGCTGTTGAACAAGCAGATGCACCACACGAGGGTAGTACAACTCAGGAAAAATCAGCATCCCTCGAAATGGCAGCAATAAACCCCCCTCTCCTCTCCCCGTCCAATTCGAAGTCCACCGCCTCCCGGACCGTGACCCTCCCCCCAATGCCGTCCTCACCGTCCACGTCGATGCGGAAGCTGGAGTCCTACCGGCCGCGGACCAAAAACACGGCGAAACGGGTCAAGAGGGTGGAGTGGATCGTGCAGGACGTGCAGTACAAACTGCAAGTGTACGAGACCGGACAGCCGCTGTATTCCCCGGAGTTCACGGTGAACCTGGACCCCTCGAAGAACAAAGTGCTGCACCGCGCCAAACTGATCTTCTACCCGCGAGGGAGCAGCATCGTCGCGAAGCCCGGCTTTTGCTCCGTGTTTTTGCAGTTTCCCCTGGACGACCTCATGGACGAAGTGGTCGCCGTCGATTCCAAGGGGAACGCGCAAACGATCTTCCCCTCCGCCTTCAACCCACCATCGGTGCACGAACACTTTTTGAACAACACCAACGAGCCGGCGGAACTCGCAGCGCGAATACAGAAAAACGCCAGCCAGCAGCAGCACTTTGCGAAGCGGACGCGCCCGCCCTACTTTGCGGAGCAGTTTCTGGCGTCCGGACCGAAGGGCGCGCGAGGGGCCAGCCCCTTGGACGCGCTTCTGTGGAAAAACGCGACGAGAGGTGGATCGGTGAGTGGCTCCTCCCCGGAGAAAAACCACAGTACTACCGGCGGGCTTTTGCAGCAAGGCTTCATTCCCGGTCCGGATATGGCGCAGCAGGTGGGCAGGTTTGAATTACACGGAAGGCGAAACAGCTTCTGGTTTCGGTATAGGCTGAAGGTGGGCAATTTCGAATCGTACGAGGTACTGGACACGATCTACAAGGGCGTGGATAACTTCTGCGAGGTATTAAATCATTTTTGACGGTTCTTCCGCTTACCAACCAAGTACTTTCTGTTTCTTTACGTTGTTTTGTTACGAGGAGCACTGGCCTCATCTTAAGTTTAAGAAGTTGGAGTTGCTTGTATATCACAGATTCCGATGCACCACTTTCCACTTCGTGCTCGTCACAGGTAGCTTCCTTTTTCCAAAACAACAGGTCGCGCCCGAGATCGACAGAGAAACGGATTCCCTTACTATCAGTGTCGAGTTTGTCCCCGAGCCCGAAGTGTTGGACGAGATCCGGACTGAGGCCGGGAAATATGTCCACAGCGGCCAGGAGTTACTACATCACGCCGAAAAGGCGTTCTCCTTTCCGGACTCCAAGGAAGCCGTGCCGCCGTGGGAAAGGAGGCTTGGTAGAGTTCTTCGATTTGTGGAATTATAGCGTCGTGCTCGTGCATGTGCATCTACATGTTTGTTCCCGCTCTCGGGGGGCACACTCATTTACCAACGCCCAACTTCTATTCAACGTCAATATCAATTTGTATTGTCAAAAAACACAGGCGCCGCTTCCGGAGTGGACTCCGAGCGCTCGCCGTCAAAAGTCCGCGTCCTCCTGCCGCCGGACGAGGATGACGATAAGGTTCCGAACCAGTTTTCCCCCAGCGTGAAGCAGTACTACCCCAATGGAAGAAACGGCCCAACGTTTGCGGACAATGTGAACGACCAGGCAAACATCATTCGGGACCGCGACTACGCGAATCAGATGCTCAGCAGCACCACGGAATTTGTGGACAAGAAGGCGAACGTGTTTTTTCCGTTCGAGCAGTTAGAGGAGAAGTTGAAGAGTGTTGGGACGCAGGATGTTGACGGTGGTGCTGATGAAGAGAAGCTGCAACTCGACGAACCACCAGGTGTAATCGATCCTGGCGCGGCCGAAGAGGCTGCGGCAGCATGATGACACCGAATCCGAATGGCGAGTCTCCGTCTGCAACTACTGCTGTAGAGAACTAAGAACTCAGCGACGATCGTCGTCGAAAAGTGCTCTAAGAATGTGCCCTTCTTTCATCGAAGGTAGCTGCTACATGATCTGCAGAACTATTGTTGAACCTGAAACGCAGCTTCGCTGCCAACACGAGGTCCACCGCCCTGAGTCTGATGAGCAAAAAAAAAGTGAAGAGCTTCTGAAGTGAGATCGATCTTCGTACCATCTTTGGTTCTCACTCTCAGCGGAACTCAGAAAACGAAACTAGATCAGCAAAGCAAAAACATCCTTTTCTTCGAACGTAATCCGGTTCCAGAACCTGATCCTTCAACAAGCTCTCGAATCGGATCTGGATCAGAAATTCTGGCAAGCATATGGAATTATGCTCGTACTACCGTAACAAGACGATGACGATCATCGACCCCTCTGCTCCTCCATGCTTCACCTTACAGCGACATCATTTTACCAAAGCCTGTGAGGAGGTGTCTAACTATTTCGATTGCGATTCGGACGGCACAGCGGGCCATACGGTTTCCTATAATTTACCCTGATCTTTTATTCACGAGTCTCACATATTTATTTCCAAACCGAAAATGCCCGAAGAGGTGGATGGCTCAATGCAGTGGTTGGTTTCAAAAACCAGGTTTCGAAACTCAACCTTCCACTGTGTGCATTTCGACGTGTACCAGAGCTGCGATGAGAATGCCGCGAACAAAGGCAACTGCAACACCAGCGTCTCCGCATCATCAACAAGTAGTCCCCTACGTCGACACCAACCCCTGATTGAGCAAGTGCAAAAATCGCAGATTCTGGACGTGAAGAGATTCGCGCATTCTGTCTGCCTCGACCGGCTGAACTACCTCGCACCGTGGCTGGTGTTGAAGGAGTGTGTTTTGTCTTTGGTGCTGTTGATCCAGGAGCAGAATGCACTGCAAGACGAACTGGAGAACGATGGGATTGTACTAGAGCAATCGCGCAAAGCCGCTGATACCCCAATTACTGGGGCGGAAAAACATGCGGTGAAAAAGACGAAAGCGAAGAAGGCTTTGGAGTTGAAGAAACTCAACGAAAAAATCGATGCGATCGCGGCGATTGTGAAAGCGTCGGGGCGGTTTCAGTACTACACCGACAAAGCAATGGAAATCAGCAAGCACTTGTCCCTTGACGCATTGGAAACCGTACGGGACTACTGTTGCGTAGAGCTGAAAGGGCGCGACGAGGACGATTTTCATAATGCAAGTAAAGGTGGTCAGAATTCTCATTCTAGAAAACCCGCCGACAACGACCGTCAAACAAAAGCAGCAATAAAGCGGAAACAGGAGTTTGCGAAAGCTTTTGGCGCCTGGCTTTGGAACTCCGAATTTGTTTACGACAATGCGAAGCCAAAACCCAGTGCGAACCACAATCACCTGACGATCGAAAATGCCGGGTCATTGATGAAGCGATTGTTTGCGCCGGAGGACGAGCGAAGGAGCTGCGGCCACGGCTACATCTTCGAGGATCCGCAGGCTGTGGACGTGGGGAAAAAGGTGGTAAGCACGATTCGTGAAGACGAGGATGATGGTGAATGCCGACCTGAAATGGTGGAAAGTGATTCTGAGGACGAGTGGGACCTGTTTCAAGAGTTCGACCAGCGAACGCTAAAGCAGCTGGCAAATTATAACGACAGCGCGGCGGCCAGGTCAGGCGATAATCCACCAGAAGTAGAGCAAATAAAGCAGAAAACAAGCAAAAGTAGCGGTCAGAAAGTCAAAGCGCGGGCGAAGCTGGTAGAAAAAATCAAGCAAAAGAAAGGCGCGACGGGAACCACAGAAGAAGTAGAACGGCTAAATAAAGCAGACGTGGACAGCACGATCACGACGAAGGAAGCTGCAAATAAATCTCAGGAGTCGCTACCACCAGCCACGACTTCAGGTGCGGCGGGTTTGCGCGTCTCACAAGCGTCACTTCTGGAAGAACTCTTCCCGCTGCTGTTCGAATGCGAGCTGCAGGAGCAGCAGCAGTGCGAACACGAAGTAGACGATGACGCAAAGACGGAGAGCACCGCGACACCGTCTGCGACACCTACGAAAATAACGACAACGGCTGGCGTTGACAGCTCCTCTTTAGTGGTCCCGTCTCAGTCTACTCACCAAGTTCTACATCAAGTAGAAGAAAAGTCTCGAATTTTCGCAACCAAACCTAGTCACGACCTGCTCCCAAACCTCCACCATTCCCTCACGAAAGCAGAAGACGAAATCGGCGCGGTGCTTTGGCGCGACGGGTGCGACCGCATGTTGAGCTTCCTGTCAACAGTCACGCCGAGTTGGAAGGACATTTCCGTCATCGAACTCGGCGCCGGCTGTGGCTATGTGGGTCTCGCGTTGGCAAGTGAAGGGGCGGAGGTTTGTCTCACCGACCTGCCGGAAATGGTGCCGCAGATGAAAATTGGCCAGTATTTGAGTCTCAAATCCTGTCCGAATATGTGGGCGGAATGTTTGGTAGCAGCTTCTCATGGTGGCAGAGGCGTAGGCTCCTCCAATACAGCTCCGTCTTTCGGCTCGGAGATCGAAGCTGCGATCCGGGAAGGCAGCAGGAACAAAGGAGCTGTCGCTGCCACGACAAAAATGCCTGAGCCAACAACTGCACCACCATCTACCTCGTCCCGCGGCCAGCCGATCATAGAATACCGGCCCAAAGTGCGTGTCGAGGCGTGCGACTGGCGGGAGGAGAAGATTCCGACGAACCCGAACGGAAATCAACAAGATGGCTTCCAGTACGTCATCTGCTGCGAGGTGCTCTACGGAGGAACCGAGGGCCGGAAAGCGTGGCCGGGACTGAAATCGATTCTCGTGCAACTGGGGCAGAAGAAGGATTTCCGAGCGGTGTTTCTGACCGTGAATTTGCGGGTGGAGAGAGAGGATATCGACTGCTTTTTGGGAATGATCAAAGAGGAATTCAAAGTGATCAAAAAACTCGATAATTCTTCTGCGGATAATGTTGCCGCAAGAAGTGGTAAAGATAAAGAATGTAGAAGTACTTCTGACGGTAGGTCCCGCTCCGCTGAGGTAGAGGTTCTTGGCGCAGCTTCTTTGACCGACTTCGGTATCGAAACATACGCTTTTGCACACGACGAAAAGAAAATTTTCTGCTGCTCGACTTAAAGGACGTTGTTGCGAACGACATCTCGATGCACTCAAACCTTCTAATAGCATCAAACATCACGGGTTTCGATACCTGCTTCCGATCTACTTGGAAGGCTTTTGCCAATCCCGCAGCGGCAGCTGTAACAACATCGCCGCTTTTTTGTAAAGATGTTCAGAGCTGCAATTACGGCAACCCTACGCCTATTCCTTCATGGACTGCATAGGCGGGTCTCTGCATTTTGCTGCCCGCGGACTTCTGATTTACTTCCTCTCGTTTGAGGTGATGTTGATGAAACTGAATCCCAAGAATCGGAGACGAAAAGATAATCCTGAGAACCGTCTGAATGTATCCCCTTCGCCATGACAATGTCGAGATCCAGTTTTATCGGTGGTTTGGTCGGCACGCGTTTTGCGTTTTCTGATTCTGTGCGTTGTCTGGTAGAATGGCCCTGGTTGGGATCCGTAGGTTTGTTCTTGAAATGCATTGAAATTGCGCAACATCGGGCTTATTACGTACGGATTTAAAGGTCACTCTCGGAAGGACGAGAGCCATGCCGCCCTCTCCGAGCGGTCCGACGCCCATCATCCGGGTGGAGGACGACTTGCTGGAAAAACCGGTGTCCAGTTCTCTCTGTTGCCAACTCAAACGACGCACCGCGGAAATCGTGGTGCTTCTGATCGTGTGGTGGGTCATTGCGGGGGTGATCGTCGTCGAGTACAAGTACATTGACCAGGGAGACGTGGCGTTTTTCCTGACCGGCGTGACTTATGCATTGCGAAAATATCGCACTGTGTAGCAATCGCATTACAAAGTTAATGTTAAGTAGCTCAGCATGAGAAATGGAACTTGTAATGCGTATTTACCTCAAGAAGGAGACTTGTCATGCATGATTGCGATTACTAAGAATACGATAATTTTTGCAATGCATATGACCAACATGTTCGCCGGATGTTTCCTAATATTGGCCTTCCTCTGGAACAAGATGTTCGCGCCGCAGTTCGGGTCCATGCTGTCGCTGGCGATCGGCGGCACGAACAGGAACAGAGGTTCTTCAGCACTACAATCTGGACTGGTAGAGGTACCGCCAGACGAAGCGGAAACATCACGCACCAGACAGCAAACCAGACCGCTGGCTCGTGCCGGCGAAGATGTTGCAGTCAATATGGACGAGAATTTTAACAACGATTTTGATGCTGGTGGGATCAACGGCTCCTCAAAGCCGGCATCTACTTCGCGAGGAACGGGAAAAAATAGTAAAGTGGAGCCGGATCTGGAAGTGGGGCACGTTCGCGGCGGAGTCGTTGACAGTTCTTCCTCAACATCGAGAACTACGAGCAGAAGACGAGGAGAACAAGCATACAACCAGCAGATGAATACCTCCGCCGCCCCTGAGGTCGAGATCCCCGTTGCCGACGAGACCCTCGCCACGTCAAGAACGCAAGATCTCGACATCACGAATGAAGAAAACAACGACTACTCGCTCGACCACCGCACGGTATCCGCGTTGAGCCGCAAGCCCAACACATTCTACCTTCCCATCACCCACGGCGAGTCCCTGCTTCTCGTCCTCCTCGGAATCCTGAACGGCATCGAGTACGGAATTCTCAACAAGGCACTCATGATCCTCCCCCTCGCCACACGGCAGATGCTCGGCTCGAGCTCCACGCTGTTCCAAATGGTCTTCGCGTTCATCTGGCGACTACCCCCGGCGATCACCCCGAAACTGTTGCTGTGTGGTGGCGTGCTCATGTGCGGAGGGGTGTTGCAGGGACTGCAAACGTTTCAACACGATTCGCCGGAAATCGCTTCGACAAGTAGTCGGGTCGTACCGGAGGCGAAAGCGTCTTCGCAGGGGGAGGCCGAAGTCCCGGCGATCTTCGGGGATGAAGATGGTGAACAACTTGGGACACCGACCGTAGCGTCGGCCGCAGCAGCCGGGACAAGTGGTGGTTTCTCGACGAAGAAGAAGCCAACGAAATCGTCGCCAACGGCAAACGCGGTCCGGGACGATGCGACGAAGAGCAGCGGCGGCATTGTGCCGCTAGCGGGAATGATGGTACAACAGCGACATCCTGCGAGTAGCAAGGGTGCAAGCAAGAAGAAAAAGCGCGACGCAGCAAGTTCATCGTCTACAACTTCAAGCGGTGCAGCTAGAATGGTTGACAGTCTTCATGCTGCTAGCACATCATCGTCAGCGACCGCCGCGCAGAGCGCCGCCGCGCAGCATGTTCGCTCGGAGCGACGAATGGCACCGCAAGTTGCGGATAGTAAATCGTCGAGCTTCATTAGTGGTGGGCATCAGAGTAGTTCCTGGTGGTGGTCGTCGAAGCCGACTGTTGCACCCCGCCCAAGGCTGTTATTAGCGGACGATTCGAAAACCACTGCAGACGTTTCTGGCACCGCTTCGGATGAAGATGTTGATGTCGACAACTCCTCTGACGAAGACGATTCTGCTACCGACTCGGGAGGTGGTACTATTTCCGGGATGAGCGGCTTCCTGTTGCAGATCACCGCGATGCTGCTCAGCAGTAACAAGGGATGCTTGATGCAGCATTCGTTGCAGCGAGCGCCGGGTATCCAAGAAAAAATAACCATCACCATCCACTTTGTCATGCAAAACATGCATAAACTAAAAGTCAAACTTCACTACTTGTCATGCAAAAAATGGATGGCGATGCCGATGGTTGTTTTTTTGTGGATACCGGGCATAGCGGTGCTAGACAAGATCAGTGTCGGGAGCAGAACCATGACCTACAGCGGAATTACCTGTTTGTTGCTGTCCTTCTGCACCGAAGCAAGAGAGCAGAACTTGTACCAGGTATTGGATAGCTGATGAAAATAAACTACGTGGGTAATTATAGACGCGAAGCCAAAAAATTCGGCGGCCTAGTGTAGTCTAGTAGGTCTATATCATTCAAAATGTAGTTCTGATATCGACAGGTGTACTTGATTTTTTGCACTGTGTAAGTGTACAAAATAAATCCTCAGGTTGTCGACCGTGTTCTCATTTTCAAACTGGCTTCCATCGCTGCCATTTTGTGCGTCATGGTGTGCGCAGAACTCCGGTTGCTCCAGATCACAAGTACCGTCACCTTCGGCGTGTTCGGCTTGTTGCACAGCATTCCGATCGTCTTGTCCGGCGTGATTCTTTTTGGCGACCAAGTCGGCCTGTACGACGGTCTCGGTTTTCTCGTGTGCCTCCTTGGCAGTTACTGGTACATGGTCATTGTGAACCAGCAGAAAACGACGTACACCGACGAACAGGATGTTGGTTCCTTTGCTGGTGACGAGTTGAAACACACTGGAGACATCGAAAGTTTGGACGATGAAGACAGGTCGCCGTTTGCAGCTTCGGGCGGAACAAGGACTGCAAATAAAGGGAGGACGCGACATCAAGGGCATCAGCCGAGCCATACTGCAAAAGATCTGGAGGAAGTGATCGAGATTATACCAGACGATGAGGTCAACATGGCAAATTTGGAGGTTGATGACCACAGTGGGGAGATAAAGAACAAGATGAACTCTGCAAAAGGAGGAGCCACGTATAGCAAACTGTCCAAGGCGGAGCAGAAAGTGGTCCAAGGCAGAACTACATCAAGCCCCGGAAAAAACATCAAAGTATTTTGAATAAATACTTGATGTGATCTAATCACTTCTCATGCGAACTACTGCACTTCTTCATCATCATCTTCTCGTAGTCAACATCTTCTCTCGTTCCTCTTGCTCTTCGATTGATGTTGCGTGCCATTGCTGCAATTATGCTCCGGTCGTGCAGGGCGATCGAAATCTTCGAATTATGGTCGATCACTACCTTGCATTGCCATCAATTGCTTCATCACAAGGCTGCAACTGCTCCGCTCGAACAGGAGATCGGGCATAGCTTGCGAGTATGCATTGCAAAAGCAACGTAGTAGTAGTAATTACATTACAAATTACCTCAGCATGACAAATTGCTGTTTTACCTTGGGATGGAGATTTGTAAATGCATGTTTGGAATTACTACGAGTACGATACTTTTGCACAGGATAGCGAGGATTGGTGCATGGAGGACCTCCTGGAAGATACTACCAGACTGCTCCGGAGTAGTTGTGACAGTGTGGCTTTATTTTCGCGTGTCGGTTCTTATTTCCGCCGCTCGAACAATGACAGCACATTGCGAGGATATCGTCCTGTTGATGGAATATCGGAATGCTAATGTACTAGCTGCTTCGACGCACAGGCAGAAGTTGCGTTCGATTCACAGCATCTTTTTCGTCGCTTCCAATAGGAGGCACCCCCACGAAAGATTGATACGTTGTTCTAGCGGAGCTTTGTTTCGGATATCACAGGAACTCACTTGCGTTGGTCCTGTGATAAACGACGTGACGTCTTGAGAAGATAACTGCTCGTGCTTCACCTGCTTTGTTTTTCGATAGTCGGGATCACAGATGCTGAAAAAGTTTTTGCAACGTCCTGATTGCTTTATTTGTCCGAGTTTTCACATCGGTAAAGGTGATTCTTTTCTTGACCGAAGCTAATTTAAGCAACGTGATAAGATGAAGTTCCCACAAGGTGGACCGTAGACGTCAGATGCTAGAAGTGTGGTCGTCGTGACTGAAAGCGTCCGAGATCATCCTCCTCTTGCAGACAAGCAACCAAGGCTGTCGCAGGCTCGCAAACGGCTACTTCTTCACCACGTTTCCCGCACACCATCGGCAAGTCAGTTTGGGGCACGGTTTTTCCGCTCGCGTTGCTGCAATAAGAAACCATAACCAATTTAATTCACCAGCATTTTTACGTCGACCGCGGCTGCGGTCATCTCACCACTTGAGGAGGTATCACAGCAGAAATTACATTTTTTTTTTCATGAGTTCCCTTCTTCTTGCGTGTAGTGAGCATGACCATGTTTCAAATGTCTCTTGCACTGCTGTTTTTTCCCCCGCACCCGAGGGCCGAGACAAAGCAAAAATAAAAATTGTCTAAACAGGTAGTTTTTCTCCGTGGATGTCTTGATCTTAAACCAGCTTAACATCGGTATGCCGGGTCCAGGAGCTAAACGCTTCATCTCTCCTCAGCCGGGAGGGCTGTGTTTCCGACTGTGTAAGTTCTTGCAACAGATATTTCTTCTACTCCAACTCCACCCGGGCTGCTGTTTCTGCCACCTCTCGCGGTTATTCAAGTTTTCCGCAGTGTTGCAGCCGACCATCCTTGGCGTCGTGCATGAGCCGAAAGGAGCCGCCACCAGCGCTGCAAAAACCACCCATGATGCCGACGAGGCGAAGCACAGGGAGGGGGACACTGAAGGAGTAGATGTGGGAGCTACTACAACGACTGCCGGGCAACTACATCAAGAGGAAATCCTGCAGCAAAATAGTAGAGACGTTGCCGCCTCTCCCCCATCATCTAGCACAAGCACCTCCACTTCCTCGACGGCGCTGGTTTTGTACGAGCCTGCTCGTTCGTCTCAAACCCGACGAGGGCGACGCATGGTGGGGCGCGTGGGCGGCGCCGCGAGGCCCGTCGAGCGGCCCCCCATTGCGCACGCCCTTCAGGCAGTCGCTGACCTCGTTTACTCAGCTGCGGCCACGTTCCTGCAGTGGCCAGCCTCCTCGACGAAATCGCAAGAGGGCGCGGGTGCTGGTGATGCGGCAGCGGCCAGGGCGGAAATGGTTCCTGTGGGAGAGGTTTCGTCTTTGCCCCCGCAGCCGGAGGACGGTAAAAAACTGCAGGCCGCGACGAGCCGAAGGGTTAGGGATGACGCCAGCGATCAGGATTTCGCTGCTGCTGCTCCTTCTGCTGCTAGCATACACACTGCCACTGTGCCTGGAACCGCGGCTACTACAGTAATGACATCACGACAGGACGATCTACGTGCCCCTACAAGTGATGAAGTTGGCCGAGGCTCTGGGTCGCCGCCTCTACAACCACTACCACCCCCACAGCAGCCGAAAGGCCCGGACAAATTAGAAGATCAAGAGGACAGCGCGGTAACCTCCGAGCCCCGGGAGACGAAATTGAACGCAGCAGAAGCATCAAGCCAAAGCTCCCGCGGGAAGAATAAAGCTACCGCAAGTCGTGATCGTAGTGAAGTTGATTCTGCTCCAGCAAATTTCCCAGATGGTCGTCATGGCGGTAGGGGAACTGACAGCGCCACGTCCCGCCCTTCCTCTTCGAGTCAGAAAGCGGCCTCCATCAACAAGGCTTCGGTCGCTACAGCCGTGAAGGACGTCGAAGCTCACTCTCTCACTCGTCCATCCTCTGTTTCTACAACTGGCGCAAGTAGTACCAACGAAGGACCCTCAGTACTACATCAAGCTGCAACATCAATGCTAGAGACAGGCGAAAACGACGCCTCATACAACCCAGAATGGGAAAAGGAATGGCTGTTTCAACTCATCGAACAGCGAGCAAAAATCGAAAGCAGACAAACTGAAAGTGCAGCAACAAGCCAGCAAAAAACAGATGACGCGAAGCGGAAGCGTGAAGACGCTCAGAAAACTGTGGATTTGGAAAATGCTGCCAAGGCGTTTGACGAGGCGGAGAAAGCGTTCTTCAAGATTCGAAAACAAGGTGAGGATGCGTGGGACGAAATGAAAAAGAAAATCAGCGAGCGGATCAAAGATGAAGGAGAACAAAAAAAGGCCCTCGCCGACTTTCTGAATAGGTGCTGCCGTCCGAAGCTAACCACCAGTGAAGGGTTGAGCGTGTCTTCCGCGCCTGGACCCGTCGACGTAACAGGTCGAGGAGAACAGGGTCATGAACCCGGTACGGCGTCCTCCGCCTCCCCGTGTGCGAGTCATTCAATGGAGATCTGCGTTTCTTTTGCGGCGGGCGAAGACGCGTTAATAGGCAGAGTAATCGAAATAGAAAAGATGAACTCCTCTGCGCCAAAAGATGAGAATCCGTATGCGGAGAAAATCAAAACGCATGAAACTAATGCGGATCAACAGAACAATGACAAGAAAAAGAACGAGGACTACGATTCATCACTGTTGCACGTCGCGGTGCGCGCTGCCGGTATCGACGAAACCTACTACCGAATATTTGAGCACCAATACGTGCGTTTCATTTCATTCGTCCGCATGCGTCGGCGCCCGGCCGTGACTGTCGGAGAAGGCGGTCTCAACGCCCGTTGGGAAGATGTTGATGAAGAGAAGCAACTACAACCTGTAGCGCTATATGCCGTCTACCCCGGAACAAGTACTAAAGGTGGAGAACCAGCGTGCTGCGAAATGGCGATGCTCGGCCACCACTTGGATTCGCCAGCCGAAGATGATGCTGCTTCGGATGCCTCTTCGGAATATGAGTTGTATTCTGAATCTGAGCGCAGTAGTGCTGAACAAGAGCAGTCTTCTCCCTCGAACACGCTGGAGTTGGAGAATAAACCCTTGCCGCTAATTTCAGTACCCTACTCGTCCTTGTTCCTGCAGAAGGATGCGGCGCAGGTTTTTTGGACCTGTAAGGAACTGTGCCCAAAAAATCGGAAAATGCTTCCCGTGTTTGATCTCGAGGGGGACGTATTGCTGAAGAAAATCGTGCAAAACAGTTTTTCTTATTACAGCAGTTTCTACAGTGTGGTCGAGATGATTGTACCCGACGGGATGTGGAGAGACGTGGGCGATGTTCTGAAAACGGTGAAAGACAGCCCTTTTCGACCTTCACCTTACTATAGGTATATCTCCGCCCCAGAACACAAACCCTGGTGGTCCACGTCCGTGAAAAAACTGGCGCGCAACTGCCAGTCGTTTGCGTGTTATGTTTCCAACTTTTTTCCAGTCGCTCGAGTATGCGACATCTTGGCACCCCGCGGCGCTTTTCCGTATCGCGGCCCGTTCTCCCTCTTACCGGTGCCGACGCTTCAACCGGCCCGGCGTTTGCGCGCGCAAACGTTGGGCGGCCACCCGGTAGATCTTGTCGACACGCGCCAAAACTACATGAAAGCCTACCCGGAAGTTTTCTGGGCGGGGCCGCCATGGGTCGCCCGGCGCTTTGAGACACATGGGGCCAAAGGATTTTTGAATAGTGCCGCTGGAGTGATTATACAAAAAACACAACCCGTGTGCGGTGTGGCCAACTTGGATCGATTGGACAAAGACGAGCGTGATGCTCTCGAGGAAGCGGTAAAACGAAAGTCGGGGGTGGAAGAAGATCAAGGTGATAGTAACTCGGATAGCTCAGCCAGTCTAGCATCATTCACTAGTCGCAGCAGCAGCTCGTTCGGAACCGCCACAGCTACTCCTACTGCTGCGTCTGTCGTATCATCAGCAGCTTCGTCCACGGTGCATCTTCAGCAGGCGGGCCTTGAAGTTGTGGCGACAGGGAGCGTTCCCGCAGCTTCACCTCCAGGAGCAGTCGAAGCGGCAACCTCTGGCACCACTACTGCAGCTGGTGAACAAGACAGCGGCGCCCAGGACCACAAGCGTCAACAACATCTTCCTGCTGCCGCCTCTAATGAAAAGAAGAATCTGAACGACAATGAGAACGACCCTGGCCGCGGTAGAGAAGATGTAGAGTTTGACAAAGCCCAAGCCCTCGGTAGGACCACGAGCATATGAGTTGCAAAAGTATCGCACTCGAACTTTTGCAATACAAATTCAATACTATAGCTTAGCTTTAGCATGACTTGACGTATGGAATTTGTAATGCGTATTTACCACGATTTAACGTAGCCTAACCTTAAGAAAGGGATTGCACAAATGCAATTACTACGAACGGGCGCGATCCTTTTGCACAGGATGGAGCAGCTCATCTTCCGCTAACTCTGACGTCGTGGTGGCTGCGCCGACGAAACTTCCGCCCCAGGAGGATAACAAAAAGAAAGAGACGAACAACATCAACGACATGGTCGTCGAAACGCCATTTCTCGCAGCAGGAGACGTCGACGCAGTACAGCATCAGGAAGACGTACCTGCTCAGAAAGCCATCAAACAAAAACGACTCCAAGGAGACGAAGGGTTCAGTGAGGGCGCGCCCGCCGCTGGTCCTGCTCTAGAAGTAGGACGACAAGACGGCAAGTTAATGCCGAAATCACACGAACAAGATCAAGATGAGGACGATCCTTCCTCCACATCAAGAACTACTTCTACTCCTGTGCACGACATTATTTCCGAGGGAAAAACCCTGAGTGTGCAAGAAGAAGGTGGCGACGTAGTACAACACGCTTCTGCGACTGCGAGCAGCACAGCAGATGCAGAACCGGTTTCGCAGCTCGCTGTTGTGCCGCAAGAAGACGACGTGGCTAGCATGCCCAGTTCAGCAACAGGACCAGGCACAACTGCTCGGGACACTGCTCCGGCGGCAGCGACTAGTACTATTGCCGGTGATGGTACAACGCGAACAACCGAAGGTGATAGAAACGATATTGGCCGCACGGCCCCCACTGAGCCGCTCATCCCAAGCAGCGCAGTGATGAGCAGGACTACTTCCGACGGGGCAGCAGGACCTTCCACGCTCCAGAGCAGCATCGCGGGCGTGGAGGCGGAGGAGGAGCGCCAAGCGTTTGCAAATCTCAACGGGATCCCGGCTGACGGGAAAACCGACGAAGCTACTAGTGGCGGGGGTAATAACAAGAAGGGAGAAAAAAATCAAAAGTCAGCCAGCGGGGACTTCGCATCGCTGCGTCAGCAACAGGATGATCCAGAACTAGAACATAAGATAGGGCATCTTCATCAGCGTAGACATGAAAGCGGGCAGACAGCTATTGCGAGCACAGCTTATTTGGTTGAGCCGGGCGAGAAGAAGAGTACAGCAACTACACCAGGTGGAACCACCACCACCGTCAAAGAATCGCACATAAAAAATGCAGAAGGCGACGAGCAACAGCTACAGCAGGAGCTGCAAAACGAAAGTGAACGGCAAAGCGCAGGCCAACCCGCTAGCGTAAAAATTTTTTCAGTAGAGAAATCTATAAATTGAGTTTGAGTATGAGTTAGCACTTTGACTTCAGAAAAGCGACTTAGAAAAAGACGCGGCCTTCCTGTGTGCTCTAAGAGCTGTTTCCTCTTCAACACAGAGTAGAGGAGATTCAAGCGGAATCTGAAAAGTTAGATTTGCCAGCGGTGCCAATTGCACGTGCAGCACAACCCCCAGGCATTTTTAGTGGATCGCTGCAATAAACAATCCTCAGGTTGCAGGACAACAACCACGAGGGGCACAGGAGGGCTCCCGACCGCTGCAGGTGCCCGAGGACAGTGGACCACTGGGGGAAAACCACCCAGCGCCGGAAAAATGAGGCCGACTTTGCGCTCGGTTCGGGTTCGGTTTGTACTGTTTGGTGAGCATGGAAAGGACAGCCCTACATCGAGATAGTCGCAATGTCGCTGCTTCAGAACAAGTAGCAGATGCAGACGAACTAGTACAGCGAGTACATGGACAGTTTCGTAGTCGCTTCCTTAAGACAAAAAAGTGGGCTTTTCCTGCATGATAGTGGCGTGCTTGGTTTCGTCGCTGGGAACTGCATCTGTTCTTGCTTCGCTGATCTGTACGCGCTTCCAAATCGCAGAAACCGCCAACAATAAAAGTTGTATGTTCCGGCGAAGCCCGGCTCAGTAGGACTTGGCGCTGCAACTGTTCGTGGTTTTGCTTTGTATGATGAAGGCTGCGTCGCCGTCGGCAGCGACGAAGTGTGACGAACATGATTCTATTTCGTTTTCGTATAGAAATTTGTTGGTCGGAACGTTCTTTCCGGTTTTGCACATTTTCATCTCCATCGGTGCCTTGCCTCCTTCGTAATTGCTAAATGTCATCTAAAGCAAGATGAGCAGAAGTTCCAACAATCATAGATGTCAGATGCTAGCGTGGAGGAGGTCTTCGCGATTGAAAGAGCCAGAGATCATCCTCTTCTTGCAGATCATGAAATAACAAGGACGTCGCCGCTACAAGCTTGTTCTACTTTTGGACAAGATCAACTGGTGACGCCGCAAAGATCATTTTTCTCTCCACGAAGGATCCAAGCGAGAAGCGCAAGCTGCGCGGCTGAAGATCACTTTCATCGGCCACCTAAGATACAAGTACAAACAAAAGATGACATCACCCGAAATGGAACTAGAGCGCGCACCCGGCATCATCACAGAGCCCCAGCATGCTGGCCGACGAGGCTGCAGTCGGCCTCGAGCTGTCGACGAGGAGGACGAAACGTCCGAGGCCCCCAAGACAAGCACAGGAACTTCTACGCCCGACCCTTTGGCGAGCAGCGGGGGATCTTCACGCGCCGGCGACCCTTTGGAAGAAGATGCTGCGGCCAAGGAAAACAGGGTCGGGTTCGACATGGTAAAAACTGCGGTCATGACAATGAAGATACCCGACGAAGAAGCACGGCAACCGCAACAAGAAAGGCGCGAACAAGAAGAGCAGATCCAGAGAGAGTGCCTGGAGGGCGAAGTAGATCTTGCGGCAGATATACATCAAACTCCGACTCATCCATGTTGACCTTGAAACACATAATGCCGCTTTCTCAGCGGCCAAGAAATCCTCGGGACGAGCGCGTCCTGCGTACTCTCCTCGTACGACTAGCACGGGTTGGAACTGGTCTCTTCGGTGCGTTTTTCTACTCTTCAACATCGCACACAATGATTTCCTCTGGACCACCACATTTTGTAAAAGCAGAGCCGACGACGACCGCTGCATCACAAATGAAATCCTCCTCCGCAGCAGCAGCTGCCCCAACCAAAGCCACCTCCTTCGAACTCCCGACTTTTTTTACCTGCGACCACATCCCGGAGTGGCGAAATTTCCGGAAGCTGTGGCTCCATTTCCGTTATCCTGTGCAAAAGCATCGTACTCGTAGTAATCGCAGTCATGCATGACAAATCTGGTTCCTTAGCTTATTCAGCATTACAAATTCCATTTTTCCTTCTGGGAAAACTTGTAAAAATGCTATTTCTACTAGTACGATACTTTTGCAATGCATATCCGTTTCAACACGAAGATGGGGCGGGACTTCGTGGAGAACGGGATTTTCACCGAGCAGATGCGGGACTCCGCGGAATTCTACGACGTGTTCACATCCGCGAACGATCTCGGCCGCCGCTGGGAACAGCAGTTCACAACTGCCGTCAATAGTTGGGACTGGTTTTCCATCTGCGAAGCCTTCGTTGAGTATGAAACGGTGGGGCGGCCGCAGAAGATTTTGAAGCTGGACCCGGAAGTCGCGAACTTTTGCCACTACGGGTTCATGACGACGCAGTACATCGGTATGAAGGTCGGGAACACGCTTTTGGACACGATCGCCGGGATCAGTAACTGGGGAAGAGTAGCCAGGCAGGGGCTGGTAACTTCCTTGACGTACAATTCCTTGAATTTCGCGGAAGACAGCGGGTGGGGCTTGTCGCTGTGGGACTACATAAAAGCCGCGTACAACCTGCAGAAGCAGAGTGGGGGGTTCGTGTCGCTTGCTAAAAATGCGGGTACTACAGCATCATCTCAAAGCACTGACGAGACCTCCTCCTCCGAGGATCTACGCATACACATTGAAAAATCCTTAGAAGACGAAATCGCAAAGTGGAGGAAGAAGCAGAATCAGCGGACCCCTGTTCACAAGCTGGCTCCGCTCCCGGCGAAGAAAATCTGGAGCACAACATCAACATCCGAGGATGGGGATTCACTTCTTGACGGTTCTTGGCGGGGCATCATTGATCTGTTGCTGCAAAGCGAGGTCGTGGTTAGCGGGTTGTCAACTACATCTGCGGGAGCAGGTCTTACAGCCGCGAGGAGGTCCGCTGATCCGCTGACTGCCATTTTCGGCGTTTCTGCACAGGACTTGGCGCCGTCACCCTATTTTCACCCGCCGGGAGACCAAACTTCTCGTCCAGAAGTTGCTGCAACATCTTTACTTGAGCAAGAACATCTCGTCCCTACACGACCCTCCCTGAAAGTTCTCGCCGTCGGCTACCACGTTTCCCTTGCTCGCGAGCCGCTCGAGACGTTTGCGCACCTGCTCGATTTGGACAAGTATTTGAAGCGCGCGATTCACGTTCTGGACGCGGGGGCGACTTCGGTAGAAGACTTGAAGAAAAAATCCCACTGCCGGTTCAACTCTCCCGAGTGGTGCACGAAGAATGAGGAATTCATCGTCGCCATGAATGCGGAGTTGCAGGTCCGAAGGTACGGCTTCGCGAGTAAACTGCCCATTTTGCAGAGTTTGGAGAACTGGCAGGAGGTGTTTGAACAGTTCAAATGGGATCTGGTCGAACCGTTTGACTTGGATGTAGTTCCGAGGACGAAAGGTCAGACAACCACGACTCCACCAGCAGGAGATAGAAACACAGCCACAGGTAAGACTGAATCATTGTCTTCACGACGGCGTTCAGCCCTCTACCCAGACGTGTTGCTTTGCGGTGAGCCTTTGGTTTTGTGCCGTGTGATGCACCTCGCGTTTCCGAGAGCGTCGCTTGTTTCCTACTCCTATGCACTGCAAGAATGTCTGGGTCTGGGAGGATGAAACTTGTCATGCTGTCTTTGGATTTTAGAAAAATATGTATTGCGTAAGCCGCAAGAGGAGTCCAGTTTTTGTTACGCGGAGGGGGCATTTGTCATGCGGTATAGGCATCAGGAAGCCTTCATAAAATCTGTGACGCTAGCGCATACAAGACAGACATCATGGATCATGCAAAATGTGCATGACAAGTCCTCCAATCTTCCAGACCCAGACATTTTTGCAATTCATAACTCCGCACAGCAGATCACCATGTACGTGGACGAGCCGATATTGTGAGGAAAAATCCCCCCTCCCCATATCGAAAAGGCATGCTTTTCAAAATTTGTGAAGATGCTTGTGGTTACAAATCGAGTCTGTCTTGCAAGAGAGCAAGGCCAGGGCTTCCGCTGCATTTCGCAGGCGATTTGTAACGCTGCTACGCTACTAGGGCAGACGTCTGCCATGCTAAGTGCCTACCCCAAGCCACCCCTTTTCGGGCTTCGTATCTGTCTGCAGCCCTCCACCGCAAGACAAAGCCGATTTGTGTACACAACTCCTGCGTCACAGATTTCCATTTCGATATGGGGCGGGGGGATTTTTCATTTTGATAGCCGAAATTGGCGCAACAGGTTCTGCGGGAATATTTGCAACTCGCACAACTTCCCCACTCTCTCTTCGTCACGAGTGGGAGAATTGTGAGCGAATGGTACAGGTTTCAGGCCGGAATCCCGGCGATTCCGATAACGCCCAACGCGGTGTACTTGAATGGTGCGTTTTACCACGGGATGAAGTCTCGGAGAATTTTGCTACTCCGCCAAGTGAGCTTGTTCTGGGACCCGGAGTGCATTCTGAACTATTTCCTGCGCCAGGTTGATTGGTGGCAGGCCGAGGAACCCGATAAAAAATTTGGCGCCGACGAAGCGATCGGCATGGTTCTCGGGCGGGACGCGAGCGGGGAGCAGGTGGCGGACGAGGAAGTGTTATATCGACTCGGGTCACTGTTGATCCGAAAAGAGCAAGACATCAACGACGGTGGGAGAATCGTGCTGGACCTACCCGCGATGGGGGTTGCGGATCCGAGCAGTGTCCTTTTAGGCACAAGTGTAAGTAGTCAAGAAGCTTCTGAACGACAAGATCCTGGCGCGGCGGACCGGTATTTCGCGGAAAAAGTTTTCGAGCGAAAGCCCTACAGCGACAGTGAGGATTTCCTGCAAGAGATGTCGGACATGGCCATGCGGTACTGGCGCGTCGTGGACAAAAACGGGCGCCTGATTGGAGAGCCGGATCATGATCGTGGCCGCGATGAGGCAGAAACACAAGAAAAACACCTGCCACAGGATGGCGAATTTGACGAAGAGGGCGCAAGAACGCGGGAGCGAGAGGCACGAACAGATCTTCCAGAAACTGCAACACAAACCACGTTTGATCTTCTCAAACTCTCCCACGACGAGTCCAATTCGAACCTCTCTCCCTTCCCCCACGGCCGCAACTACACGCTGGAAATATTGACGGAGCAGGCCATTCGCATGCTCTCTATTGAAGGACAGATTCCGGACCATGTCGCGGCCTTGGGAAAGGGGTACGATGACATGAGCCGGGGGCTGGGAGAAAACGACGAGTCGTTTTCGCGAGTCATGTTCCACGGCCGCAAATTGTACGAAAAGTCCGGGTTTCGGGATTTCGTTTATGGTGATGAAGCGAAAGTTGGCGAACGAAACCAGCGAGGAGCAGCAAGCAAGGTATTAAGCATGACAGAAGGGAATAGTGATGAATGCGACAAAGCATCAGCCGGTGCAAAAAGAACGGGACCAGCAACAGCATCATGTTCGTGGCGGTCCGGCAGCTCTAGAAGTGTCGCTCCCACTCCTACCAGCAGCGCCCTCTTCTCCCCCTCCTCCTACCGGAACCCGCCGACTTTTGAGTTCGTGGAATCAACTTCGTTGTCGAAATCCAATTCCGCGGACTACCAGAGTTTCGGCGCTTTCAAGGCGGTCGTGATGTTTCCCTACGCCTACACGCAGTTTTGGTTTTTCGAACTGTACTATCAAAAGGAAAAATCCCCCCTCCCCATATCGAAATGGAAATCTGTGATGCGGGATTTGGGTACACAAATCGGCTCTGCCTTGCAGTGAAAGACTGCAACCAGATACAAAGCCGGAGTAGGGGCGCTTTGGTCTAGGCGCGTGGCAAGACAGGCGTATCCTCCGTAGGCCATCCAGCATTACAAATTGCTTTCAGAACGCGGAGGAGCCTTTGGATTTGCCTTCTTGCAACACAGAGACGATTTGTGGTCTCAAATCGGCATCATAGGGGGGAACTAAGGCTCATCGGATATCATGGGGAACTAAGGCTCAAATCGGCAACATCACAAATTTTAAGAAGTGTCCCTGTTTAATATGGGGAGGGGAGATTTTTCCTTGCAATATGTACCACATCGGCGTCCCGATTTTTCTGCCGGAGAAACGAACCTTGCCACTCTACGTGGGCCAGGACTTCATCCGCTTCCAATTTTACGTGATTTCGGATCAAGTTCCTTGTCGAGGAGCAGCAGATCAGGAAAATAACGACGACGTCCCGCCAGCACCAGCAGCCGCGTCCCACGAGTACCACCCGTTTTTAGAACACGCCAACCTCCGCGCCTTCCTCTACTGGGTGCAGTTCTGCGAATGGGTCTCTTGGCCGTTCATCACGGAATTTGACAGTTTGCGAGGCTTGGTGGAGCACTTCAACCCGAACAGTGACTCCGCGGGGAAGCTAGCGCAAATTTCCCGCAAAATGCGGCAGTTTTCGCAGAAAGTCACCATGGACAACGCGGCGAAGTGGCGGACGGGACTGGCCGCGGTGCTATCGGTCCCGGTCGCAGAGCGGAAACCGATAACTCTTGCAAGAAAACCTAGTACAACCGAGATTTCAACGTCTGGTCCTGTCGCTGAAGGTTCCTACTTTTTCGGCGACCTTTCGACGCACCAGCCCTGCGGGGGCAGCCCGGGACGGGACGACAGTCCCACACAGAAAGCGAACGACGGGAAAATTCTGCAAGACCACCCGAATGAATACCACATATGCATTACAAATTTCAACCTACCGCGCAGCTACACCGACAAAACGCATCGCAAACTTTGTAAAAATACAAATATCCACTTCAGAGCATTATATCAATCTACAACTTGGCAATCGCAATCTACTGAGTAATAGGGTAGTTCATGATGCAACTAGAGAAAAAAATCTCACTCTCAGATGAAACTGCGTTTGTTTGTGTGCGTTGTGTCCGAGAAATTTTTTACTGTGCATACGCCACGAACGAAAACTACATGCAGCCCGGCGAGGACGCGTTTTGGTGGGTGCAGTTGCGCGAGCACCGGAAAGTGGTCAATGTCACGATTTGGGCACGGGATTGCTGCTCCGAGCAGATGATGCAAGCAGCAGAGGAACTACGTGTTGAGACCTCCACACCAGAAGTGCCAGAAAAAGCGCAGCATCCAACCCTCGATCTGTACCTGTCCGTCGACAGCAACAGTTTAGAGGATGCAATTTTCTGTGGCCAAGTGAAAAACATCGAAGACGGGTCGATTCGGAGCGGGTTATGCGACGTGAGGGAAGTCGTCACGAGCGAAACCGAAACCGAAAGTCAAAGTGACCACGATCACGAAAGGAAGCACACTGGAGGTCGTGTTCCAGATTCCTATGATGACTACAAGAAGCAGTTGCTCGACGAGGTCGGGGGCAACGTGTTGTTCGTGGTGAACCGAGCGAAGAAACGGGACGGAATAGTTCCACCTCCGGAGCCCGCAAGTTTGATGCTTCCCGAGGTGTTGGTGTCGGATGTTGGATGGGTGCCGGACCGATACCAGATGGAGGCAGGGGAATTGGTGGTTCCCTGAAAGGAAGTCTATGCATATTGATTTTATTTCGCAGTGCCAGTACTCATACTCAATGCCGAGGAAGACCAGTAGTTAAGTACATGATAGATTTAGATAGTAGAATAGAATGAAGGTCATACAAGAAGCAGAAGAAAAGACTACGAACCGAAAGAATAAGAAAACCGCATTAATACTCACATTACCACGGGAACTACAAAAATGGAAACCACCCTTTTTTGAGATTAGATAATTCGAAAACTTTCGAGTTTTCATCGTGCTTGGCAACCTGCTGTTGTCGTTGAAGATGCTGTCGGACATAGTACCTAAAAAAACAAAATATATCTTCCGTCAAGTCGTCACATAAGGGTCGTAAGTGTGGGGTATAATTAGGAGTCGTCATCGTCGCAGGGGGAGGAGTCGTCATCGTCGCAGTGGTCATCATTTGAATTTTTCACGCGTATGTCTACGATTCCGTCTACGTTCGGTTTTGGTGTCGTCCTTTACATACGTATTTGTTTTGCATTTATGGGCGTGGGCGTGCACCAGGGAAATGTATATGACAACCGCTAAAAAAATAGCTCGTTGCAGAATGCCACACTTGTAAGCAGGAAGCGGAAGATGAACAGCTCCTACACTTGTACGTCGTGGATCTTTCAAGAAGTAGAGCGCGATCTTCTCGGAGTACTAGATGAACCAGCGACTGCAGCGAACTCAGGATCTCTTTTTTTTCTGCCACTCGGCCACTTCTACGTCTCAGTCGTGCCCACTCGGGCACTAGGTTCGTGGCAGCTGCATTCAAGTATTGTGCAAAACAGGGACCACGTTGCCCTTGAACGAAATGTTTTCGAAACGTCAACTCTGCCCAGCGCGACTGGATGTGCTGGCTCCTACCCCTACAGCGCGATCAAGGAAGATCTTCCTGACCATAATTCTCGCATGGGTCTACATTCTGAGCCAGCATCAGGTCTCCATTGTTGACGCGCTAGATCCGCAGAAGATACAACAAGGTGACCAAGATGAAAAGCAAGCACAAAGTCCAAGACGAGAACCTGGTGGTCGTTCATCCGCACCAGAGAACAACGAGGTAGAAGGAGCTCAGTACCACGTGCCTTCGACCGAGCGCCAGTCGTCCACCGCGAGTACATCAACCACGGCGAGTGGAGGGGCAGTTTTGAAGAAGCAAGAGAAAAAAGAGGAAAAACAAGGCACACATGATCGACTCAACAGTCCGCTGGACCACCACCAGCTTCAGGGCAAAGCCAAAGACCGCGGTGAGGAAGAGCATAAGGGAGATCACCAAACTTCTTCTGCCGGTGAAGATCGTCATCAAGCCGACAGCACGACAGCGGCAGATGGTGATCGTGCTCTGAAGCAGAAGCTGCGCCATGGTAAGAACAACAAAATGCGGGAAGGTCCTCGCGGAAATGAAAAGACAAGGAGAAACAATAAGACGGGAGACATTTCATCCCGTGCTGAACGCGCTTCCTCATCTCGGCAAGAGCAAGATGTTGACCACGAAGCTCATCGTGCATACGTTCAGCAGGGTCACGTGTTTCTGTGCGGTGGGTTCGGGGTTCTTCTGTTTCTCCTCTCGCTTGTGCTCTTGTATTTTTGCGCTTGTCATGTACAAGAGAATCAGGTGCACGGCTCGTGGGTGGCGATGTTCAGCAGGTACAGCACTAGCGGCCCCTACACGGAACAAGTTGTTCAAGTTTCTGAGCATGACCATTATCCGACAGCACAACCAGAAGATTCAACATCGCACCACGACCACGAACGACGAACAAAGAACAAAAGGCCGCGGCACAAGTGACCGGCGACGTGTTCTGAAAGAAGAACGACGGCCACGAGGAAAAAGCGTGCTAGGCGCAGCTCCGGAGTACACGGCAAGCGTTGGGCTCGACCCGAAGTCTTGGTGTTGTAGATGAAACGTTGGCTGGTTCTTTCTATTGAAAGTTGCGATCAAATTTCGCATGGTCGAACAAGAGCAAAAGAAAACTAAATGTTTTTCTCTGTCGTAGTTCACAAGCACGAGCGACGTCGTGGATAGAAATTGTCGACAGTCCTATCTATGGAGGCGGGTCGTTCTCTACGACAAAAAAAACAATAGAGCGCAGCAGCAGCTTGCTTGCGCCCCTGGCCAATTGCTGTTGGCTTCTTTGACATTGCGTGGCGGGGCTTTAGTATTCAGATTTTTTCGCGCCCATTCCTTTTGTGGCGCGCTTGCGGATCGCAGTTTTTCACTTATGACTCCGCTCTCTTTCGGTGGTGCTTGATGTATTTCCTCCTGATGTGGTTTCTAAAAAGTCATCTTGGTGCTAACCACACCAAGAAAAGCTTCTGCTCCACTAAGAAGAGAAAAATACGATGGCACTACAACGCGGAAGGGGGGATCCAGCGAGTTAGTATCAGTCGAAAATCGACTTACACGCGAATTTCGACCTTCCTGGTGTCAGTGACACGCGACTGAACCTAAAAGAAAATCCATCTGCCGAGTTCAGTTTCACGTCGAAAACCGACGGCGCGCTGGATCGCCGAAAACTCCCTTCCGCAACACAAATTTTCGAACCTTTCTGGGAGCTAAAACAAATTCCCTCTGCTACGGCCCTGTTTCTTCAGGGTGTCATGGAAAAATTTTCACGCGCTGCGCGCACGGAAATGCCCTCAGCGCCGTGCGCCCCCACGCGTCAAAAGAAAAAACTCGCTCGCGCGCCGCGCGCGAACCACTTCAAACCATACCAGACTTCGCCGTGCAAGAATTACGTCTGTCACGGTCAAAAAAGTAAGAGACTAAGAAGCCGCGCTTAAAATCAAATTTGGCCAGTCGAAGCATTTTGGATTTTTGAAATCCGATTTTGGATCGGAGTAAATCGCTGAGGTTTTGCGACGACCGGATGACCGACCGCACCTACCCCCCCCTTCTCGATACCGAGAAGGGGGTCGATTAATCGTACGGGCTCCTAAAAGTTTTTCTCTGTCGTAGTTCACAAGCACAAGCGACGTCGTGGATAGAAATTGTCCACAGTCTTGCCCTGCGGTTTCGTGTTGTAAAATATTTCCTCGCCGAAGCGAAGAAGTTTGGCCGTGTCGAAGTCCTCACCGTAGGCTTCCCGGTGGGAGTTGCTGCCATTCAGGCACTTTCGCGGCATTATCGACAAACAGAAAACGTAGTGCTTTATCGCATAGCACCACAATTTTTTCGGCAGTCCGGAGTCAGCGATGAGTGTTCTTGTGCCCGCGAGGGCCAGCTTGTTCAACACCTCCGCGCCGCCATTCATCGGCGAGGAGTAGTAGGAGGTGAAGACTTGGACTATTCTGTTAGCCCGGCACTCGGCCCGGAACCGCTCCGAAATAAATTCGCCACCATTGTCCGACTTCAGCCGGCGCGGGGCGGTGTGCTTCGCGATCCAGAGTCGCAGGCCATTGACGCTGTCAGCCTTGCGGCGCAACGGCGCCACCTCCGGCAGCCGCGTCTTCTTGTCCGCTATGGTCATCGCAAATTTGTGTCCGTGTATGGACTCCGGTAGAATTGGGCCGCAGAGGTCCGTGCTGATTTCGTCATTGAATGTCAGTCGGCCCTCGTACTGGTCATCCCGCGGCCCCGCCCGGTGTGGAGCCTTTGCTGCTCTGGAGATCGTGCAACTCTGGCAGAACCCGCGGTATGGCAGTATGTGTGCGCTGCGGCAGTGGTCTTCGTAGCTGTAAGTTAGACACGTGTGCTCCTCCTTGGAGGTATTTTTGTGGAAAACTACATAAAACAAACCATTTTGGAATCTATGAATGCTAACGCTCTTCTTCTCCTGGCCGGGGAGGAAGAGCTTTGTCAGGTCCGTGCTAAAGCGAAATCCTTTCTGCAGCAAAATGCTGACAGAAAGAATGTTGAAAGGGATACTTTCGTTGAAAATCGCCCTGCTGATTACGATCAGCAGGTTGTTGTTAGCCAGCGGCTTGGGTTTGCATATTGGTGCCTTGACTGGCTCACCGAATATGCCCGAGTTCACAAGCACGAGCGACGTCGTGGATAGAAATTGTCGACAGTAGGCCATCCTCCGTAGGCCATCCAGCATTACAAATTGCCTTCAGAACAACGCGGAGGAGTTTTCGGATTTGCCTTCTTGCAACACAGAGACGATGTGTGGTGTCAAATCGGCATCACAAATTTTAAGAAGTGTCCCTGTTTAATATGGGGAGGGGAGATTTTTCCTTGCAATATGTACCACATCGGCGTCCCGATTTTTTTGCCGGAGAAACGAACCTTGCCACTCTACGTGGGCCAGGATTTCATCCGCTTCCGGGAGGTTGGTCTCCAGCGGGCCGCTACCCCCCCTTTCGCCATGGCGAAAGGGGGTCCAATTGTTGCACAGCCTCCTAAAAGTTTTTCTCTGTCGTAGTTCACAAGCACGAGCGACGTCGTGGATAGAAATTGTCGACAGTCTGCCAGCACGTCTATGCTTCCATCTTTGGCAGATGCTGCGGACTGTTGTTTCACTCAGATGCACCCTACTTCGTTTCCGCATGGTGCTGAGGATCATGGAGTCTTGTATTTGAAAAAAAGCGATCATGCAGCATGGTACCTGCACTAGGACACAACATCATGCTGGAGGAACGCCATTTATTCATGTTCTTCGTCAGAATATTTTGAATGGCGGCTGTTCACGACCTCCGGGAATAGCAACTTCTTTCATTTCTGATGTTGGATTTGGATCTACTGCATAGGCGCAACTACACCGTAAAGATCAGACTCACTAACTACGCGTTCAGCTGCAGCAGAACCCATAGAAAACCGTAGAGGGAGGTGGTTGAAACTTTCATTTTTACTTGACAAGTTTTGATGGTCTCGAGGAGTGCCTGCACAGTAAAAAATACAAACGCAACCTTCTTTCCATTGATCCTGTTCTTGTTCCAAAATGAGAACGTAACCACAATCCAGCTGCGCCACCGGCTTTCCTTTGTTTTGTACTTCGGCCTAATTTCATTTTTGAGCACTACTGCACTTTCTTGGGCTTCTAGTACTGGTTCACCACTTTGACGAACGTACTTTTTCCAAGAAAAAAAAAGCAGAAATAGAGAACCGATCATGCTGCGCAAAAAGATGTTGGCAAACACCACGACGGCGCTCGTCGCTGTTGCGGCGGGCCACGGGGAGTTTCGTTCCGTTTTCGGAAAAATGCGACTCCACAAGGCCCAGCCCATGGGTCCAATACCTCCGAGCGGCGATAGCTTCCACCTCGAGAAGATGAACGACGAAGAAGATGGCTTCAATGCGATCGATTTTGCCGACCTCGCCCGCGATGAGCCCGCGGGCAGGACGCCGGCCGCTCCGTCCATGCAGATGTGGGAGCAGCTGCCTCCGAGTGACGCTTTTCAAAGCGCAAAGGAGCGCCTGGACGGGGCGATTCGCGAGGATGAAGAGGAGGAGAATTCTTCACTCGTCGGGGGAGATGAAGAAGACCACGAGCAAATGGATGTCGATGAGGAGGTGGAACAAAATACGGTTGATGATAAACTGTCGCCGAGAACCACGGGTACTAGTAGCACGCCATCAACATCAGCGCCGACTCCAACACCTGCCACAGTTCATCTTCCTGCGGGCTTCGTGTTGTCAAAATCTTCCGGAGGAGGTGTTGGCGCACCAAGAGCTGCTGCGACTGGTGGCGCAGGTTCCTCTCCTACTGCGTCTTCCTCCACAACTTCTGTAGTTTCCTCGGGAGGTCCGCGCGTGCTCGGCACGCTTTCGATGGAAGACGCCCTGCTGGCGGGCACCGAGAAGCTCCGCGCGGCGCGGTTGCGGTACTACTCGCGCGAACGTAAGATGGAGGGCGCGCGGCAGCGGGAAACTAGCACGGCGCGCCTGGAGCGGCAGCACGGCGGCGCGGGGACCGCGGAAGAATTTGTGCGGAACGTCAAGAGGGAGCCGGAGTTCTCGGCCGGAGTGACCCGCGAAATGCAGTTTGTGCTGCGGAACCGGTTGGAGCACGCCGGAGTGGTGGTGCCACAGTCTACTTCCTCTGGTATGAACTGCAAAAGTATCGTATTAGTAGCTTCTAGTAGTAATTGCAATACAAATTAGCCCAGCATGACAAATGGAATTTGTCATCTTGTTTTGCCTTGGGATGGAGATTTGTAATGCATGACTGCGATTACAACTACGAGTGCGATACTTTTGCACAGGATATCTGGAACGGCGCGGAAACGGGCCGCGAATCTGAGTGTCGGGGTAGCGCAGCTGCGAGGAGCTTATGTTGGAAGGGGTCAACAACATGATCATCCGCGCATGGCTTCAACGTGTTCCTCGGAGAAAGAGGAGGAAGACGAGCTGTGTGGCCTGTTTGGGACAAAGTGCGCAGTAAATAAAATAGTACACACTGATAATGAAACGAGGAAACCATTAACATTATCCGCTGATGATGTGACCACGGGAACCGATGGTAATGAACCGATGGGGGAACACGAACAAGACCAGGCGGTCTTTCGTGTTGAACAAAGTGTTGACCAAGGAGAAGGACCACTTTTTCAAAATACACAAGAAATCCGAGGTGGACAACGATCACGGGAGAACAGCAACATTAAAGCCGACCTGCGCCGCGCGTCTTCCGCAACACGGCGAAGCAAAAACAAGGGCCTGCTTGTTGATGTTCAAGGAGGAAAGAGTCCCAAGCTGCCAAGTACGGTTGGGGAACAAGAACGGGAAAACAATAAGTCCGCAGCCTCTACTAATCCCACTTCTCCTGCTCCGGGTTCCCACGGCAGCACATCAAGTAGTACCACAGAGCTCTTCGCACGACTGCAGGCACAGCGGGAGCGGATCGCAAGCCAGGAAGCTGCGGGAGGGGTCGTCGGTGTAGAACAAACCGGTATCACAGCAAGGACTGGTGGTCATCGAGGTGGCTATCTGGCAGCAGATGAAGAAAACGCAGGCGTCAGCGGCCGCGAGTGCGCCGAGCTGTCCACGATGCTGTCCGCCCGGCGAAGAACGATGCAGGCCGGAGATCTTCATGGAGGTGAACAGCCTGGTGTGGACTATGGTGCTGACGAACCAGCATTCAGTGCCGACGTGGAGGAGCTGGCGCGATCGCGTATGAATCGCATCGGTTGCAGCAAAAAAACGGCTCGGAGGGCAGGTGCTCCGGAGCATGATGTGAGGAGCCGCACTGCAACGTCCCAGGGCCCGGCCAGTCGCGAGCTCGCGATGAAGCTCGAGCATCGGTTGGCAATCGAGCGAAACTGGAATCCGCTGGTTACTGTGGTACGTGTTGTAGTAGTACTTTACGCCCAGATACTTAAATGATAATAAAGAGTGCTTCAACAGTAAAAGAGAGAGACCACAACATTTCAGATTTTCAATTTGATTTTGTTCCCGTTTGTGGTAGTTGTGATCAACAATAAAACCCCCGCTGGCCTTTTCTGCAGTTATTTGAAGAAGATCTACTTCCCCGCGGCCAACGATTTTCTTCAAATGACCCAGAACAACATCGATCTTCAACTTCCATCACACCACAGGGCTTTCGCAAACAGCAAGAGGCCGACCCGGACATTGTGAAGTTTGTGAAGCTATCAAATGCAAAAATGTCTGGGTCTGGAAGAATGCAGACTTGTCATGCATATTTTCCATGCCCCATGACTATGACATCTGGAATGCAGGACCTAGCATGACAGATTCTGCGAAGTCTCTATCATGCCTCTCCTGAATGAGAAACTCCCGCTCATGTTGGTCAAAAAAGGACAACTTTCGGTAATCACGCAACACAGACTTTTGTGTGACCCACAGGACGCATCACAAGTTCCATCCTTCCAGACCCAGACACTTTTGCATTTGATAGAAGCAGTTGACTGAGGAGCTCGACCCGGCCACGCGGCGCGAACGCTTCGACGAGCGCATAAAGCTGGAGCGAGGGAAGATGGAACGTGACCTGCAACAGGTGAACAAGTTTCTGGAAAAGAAATTGGTGAAATCGCGCGAGACGTTGGACAAACTGCTCGCGGACCGGAAGTATCATCTGCAAAAGTATCGTACTCGTACTAAAACTAATCGCAGCACAGCATGACAGATCTGGCTTTCTACCTAATTCCCCATGACAGGTTTCGTTCTTCCTTCGTTCTGAAAAAATTTGTGATGCAGCTTATTCCACTAGTACGATATTTTTGCAATGCATAAGAAGCAGTTGGGCACCCTGCGGATCAAGTACCTACAGGACGCTCTTGACAAACTCCCGGGTGGAAAAGGCGGGTTTTACGAGAAGCTCCGTCCCTGGTTTTTGGCCTCCACCAACACGGACAAGGCGGATGCCCTGATCGCCCAGCAGAGTGCGCCCCTGCTCTCGGCCAGTCAGAAGAGAGCCAAAGAAGCAGAGCTGGCGAGGAGCAGTGGTTCTTCGGCTTCCACCTCCACCTCGGGCTCCGCTTCTGATCCGAGCGTCGGGCAAGGACAAGAGCCAAGAAAAGTGCTCGCGGAAAAGACGAAGGATGTAGCTGCTCCGGGAGCCAAACCTTTGCCGTAGGAGGCACGAAACGCCTCCGAAAATTTCTGGTGGCGGCGTGGTGTGAACAGAACATCATCAGCGGGAGGTGGATGAACGATGGTGCTGCTAAAAAACAACAGCGAGCGGTGGGTGCTGAACCTGCGGAGTTGCTCACTTCTCTTCTTTTTGAGAGAATCTTTTTGTCAACGACAATTGAAAAAATAATGAAGCAAACAACATGTACGTCTTTGTCTTTCAAGTAGATCAAACGTCACTACGGTTATGGGTAAGTAGCCATCGATTGGCGAATCGGGCAACTCTGTGATACGAAACGCCACAGGTGGCGCCCCTGCTTCTATTCTCCGAAATTGCGCTAGTACAATATGTAAACCAACGACATTTTGCTTTCTTCTTGAGCGCCAGTACGCTCGTAGTAATACATGAACAAAATTTTGCTACTAAGGTGAAAATAATGCGAGACATCGTGAAAAATATGTTGCAAGAATGTATCAGCCAGAACCGTTCTGATTTTTCACTGACACGCCAATCCTTTGCGAGTTGCCTGCGGGTGCAGAAGCGTCGGAGTTAAAAAAACGAAAATCTTGCTGTAGCGGCAGGTTGTATAAGGAAAAACTAGTACTAGCACACTTGTAGGTCATGTTGAGAATATTCTGACGTGATGAAGCTATACCAACACTTTTTTGCAAACTGCTATCCAACTGTAATGTAACCATACACTCAAATGAATATTCGCATTAGAAGTCGTGGGCTGGGAAAGAAATATAAATCAGACAGTAGCAGGCCACCCTTGTAGCGTCTTTGCGGTGCTGCTGCCTCACCACGAGCACGGTTCTCAGCGATCCTCGCGCAGCTGCAAAATGCCACTTCAATAATGCCCTTTTGTGCGATATCGAAACACACGACAGATGAATTTCGGGACATGTGGTTGTCTTTCGTTCCTTTGCTCGTTTTGTTGGATGATAAACATAAAGCCGCTGGAGCAAGAAATAACGCCCTGCTGCTCGTCGGGCGACCAGAACCAGAAGATGTGTGAGGGAACCGCGTTTGATAATTTTTTAGGCGATATTGTTCTTTTTCACAGCAACGGGTCCTTAACGGCTAGACAGGGCTTTGCTTTCGAAAAGTCGCAACAACTGTTGCGACATCGGTCCCGAGTGTGAAGATTTTCAGCTTGTCGGTAGTTGTCTCGTTTCGTCGTGCGACGTAAACGTATATCGCGGTCGGTTTTGTCGTGGTTCGATTGTAAGAGGAGCTAAGTCTTCGGTTTTGTGTCGTCCGCCCTGAATGCAAATACAGCTGATCGTGTATATTTTGGTCGCGTATGAAATCCAACCTGATGCGCCGCTTATGAATTTCGTTTAATTGCGAAGCATCCTTTTATCTCTCGGTACAACTACAGTAACCGCGCTACGAAAATCGGCGCCCGACGTCGTGCTACAGCAAGTGCAGTCGTTGTTAAGTATGATGTTTAGGTGTACTTCAATGAGGTGGCTTCTTTTTTTTCACTGCTATCGGTCGACGTGCAAGCAAAAGCGTAAAGTATTTATCAAGCGAATGCAAAATTTCGGTATTTTTTGCCTGTTCGCGGCGATGTAGCAAGTGTGGTCGTGGTCGTGCTTCTTGTCCTGCAACGAACCTGCTACTCGGTAACTACATACCGTATGTTGCATGGTTTGTAAACATGTAAAAGTAAATCTCCGACGCAAACGTAATATTAACGTTTCTCCTGATTGTTCTTTCACCCACACAGAACCTCTCCTGATGTGTCGTGAGTGAGGTTGTTACGTAATGGGTACAATATTATCAATCTTCATATAACAGAAAGAATGCATTCGTTTTCTCATCTTGTTGACGTAGAGGAGTAGAATCATTTTCATCATGCGTTTCTAGTTTGTCTCTGTCTCATTAACCCGGTTTATTTTTTCTCGAAGGACATCAGCGAAAAATCGCGTAGTTCTCGTGGACTCTGCTTCCGCTACTTAACTCACTCCACGCTTCTCTTCACCAGGCAAAATGACACTACCGAGAAACGGACGAGCCGTCGTGGGAGCGCTGACCGCATTTTTTTCTTCAAGTTCTTCCCTTGACGGTATCGGAAGGAAAAGTCTGAGTGATGTTTTGCGGACGAAACTACTGCTAGGTATATAGAAAAAAATACACCAATGGTCGTGGGTTTCCGTAGAGGACGACGCTCACGTGATTTATAATGGTGCGATGCTCATGCAATCGCAAACAGCAACAGGACGCCACAAAAGATAGAAGCGGGTCAGTCCAGATTCAGATAGAAAGAGAATAGAGGTGATTGCCTAAGCCTATGTATACTGTCTCTAAACATGGTTATGGCGAGGTGGGCAGCTGCATCCATAACCATATTCATTCGAAATTTTTGTTCTGATGTTACATAGGCCTGCAACCACAAGCAGCGCCAGTCCTCAAGAGGTCACTCAGTTCCCTTCCATAGAACGGAAAGGCCCTGGATCTTCTGCAAGCGGCGCGCACCATTTCCAGCTTTTCGTTGTGGCCGTAGAAGAAACGAAGATGAAGACCACGAAGACCAAGTGCAGCGACGACAAAGATGAGAAAAACAAAAAATCCAAGAAGAAAAGCAAAAAAGACGAAAAGGATGACGAGGACGAAAAAAACAAAAAACACGACAAAAGCCTCGGATGCATCGACTGTGAGAACGAAGACGACGAGGAGGGAAGTGGATCGAGCCCATGGAGGTATTGCAATAATTTCGGTCCTATGCATTTTTGCAAAAGTATCTATCGTACTAGTAGTGATTGCATCTTCACAAATTCTGGCAAGAAGAACACGTAAGATTTGTAAATGTAATGCTGATGTATAGATAGGAGATCTTTCTTGCATGAGTGACTGCAAGATTAACAATAAGTACGAATCCGACACTTTTGCAAAGCATATGCCCTCCCGGCTGGTCCGAAAACGAGTGGCGCGGCGATGGCACTCAAGACGCCAAGAACGAATGGTGCGCACAGGAGCTATGTCTAGTGCAAACATGTGGTTTGGGTCCGGAACGTTTTTGCGGACGTTTAGACTTATAATCTATGCAGCTTAAGCGTTTGCATGAGCATGACTCAGGAGGCTTGCAAGGCCGCCTCAGCATCTTCACCAGGAAGAAGTTTTCAGGACACGACTCGTCCATGCCTACTATCCTGCATGCGAAATCGGCCATTGTAGTTCCGGCGACCAGCAAAACTGGGTACAACTAGCTTTTGGTGCTCTTGCACCACAGAAGATTTCTCTGTCCTAGAGATCAGCTAGCATCCGATTCCGAGATTCGCACTCTACTACTTTCAGACCCAGACACTGTATTTGCAATGGATATGAGGTGAATGGAAGCAAAGACGCTAATGTGAGATGGCGGAAAAATTCACCCACGAAACTGAAAGTCGAGGAGACGCTTCTCGACTCGAAAGTCAAAAACGCTTGCTGTCAAGAGGGTGGGCGCTGGAGCTCGAAGAATAAAAATAACAATAGCATTGATCCGCAAAGATCTTCGACTTCGACGAAGGTGCTGGCAATCGAAGATCGGAAAACCTCGGAAGCCTTCCTGTATGTTACAGAAAAGTACTTACACCCATATCGGAAAAAATTGAGTCTGTTGTGCGGATTTTTGTTTCACACACATGGTCTTTGTCTTTCTGGCTGTTCAACATGACAAACTTTTTCTAAACTGCATAATCCAAGCTTTTTCTGAACTGCATGACAATCTCTTTCTGTAAGTAATTACTGAACTGCATAAAAGAAACTTCATCCAGCTGCAGCTGCATGAGAGAAATAGTAGACTTCCATGTTTCTCGTGGTCTCCCCATGACAGAGTTTTCCGTTTCTATGGGTGTACTTTTCTGTAGAGTATCCTCGAAAAAGCAAAAGCCAGTGAAGATGACTCGGCCTTTCTGGAAGTGAAAGGAGGACGCTGGGCAGTATCTCTCCCGTGAAGAAACTGAAGATGATTTTTGATTCTTTTCATGAATTTGATTTTGCCTATTGTCTCAAATTCTCTTTTTTATATTTGCAACGCATTTCTATTTCTGTTGTATTCTTGTCTTCTTCACGCTTGTCTTCACTTCAATTTTCAGTTTGCACACACTGAGGACGAGGAAAGTCATCAAATTGAAATTCGTCCTGTGCAGAAAAGAAGAATCGCAAAGAAGAAATTCTCCAACATCATCAGTGAGTGAAGGGCCGATTCACCGCGTCACTATGAAATTTTTTATCTGAGTTAATTCATCTCCGTAGCTTCACGATACCTCCACAACTTCAGTATTGCATTTATTTTGCATTTCCGTTTTGATTTTTCATTTTCGTAGAGTATTGATTTGATTTCAACGTAATAAAATGACTCTGCTTGTTATTGTTGTAACCTTACCACGCATGCCAATTATATCATTTCATTTGACAAAGGTCGCTTTATTGCATTCTGATTCTTTCACCTTCACACAGAGGTAGCACAAGAGATGCCGCGTGCTACATGATGAACCATCATCCTTACGACCGACCCCTGATTCGTCTGTAGTATAAAATAGGTCTAACTCTAAATACCTCGGTAGTAAAATAAGCTACGCATCGTTGACCTCGCTGAGCAGGCGGTTTGTTAACGCGTGTCGATAGTACCCGGCGGAAGATTGAGATGCATTCGGTAGATTCTTTCTGCGCATCGGTTTTCGGTTTATTTTGCCGCGTGCAATGTAAATGCTCCTCGGTCCATCGTTTTACAGCTCTGTCTCCTCTTCAACTGGAAGTAGGAGAGGTAGAACTGTCGATAATTAATTTTGAAGTTGTCGGTTCAGATTGGTTCGGCATAACCCGTCCAGCGCCGTCTAATCGGTTATTTTGCAAATAATTGTCGTCGGTAAATTGTCGTCGGTGGTCGTGGTCGATAGACAAAATATTCTGATAATTTCTTCCTCGACTTCTAATAATAATCCATCGGTTCTTCGTTGGGTTGCATTCGGTTTAATTTCCAGTCGTTTTTCCTCCTTGACCTTTATCATTTTCTGTTCGTCTTCGCATCATCTATCAAAGTCTGTACTTCATCCGCATCAAGATCCGTTTCCCTTCCCTTGCAGGACCCATCATCTCGCACTACATCACAAAATTACACAAGGACCCGTCGTGATGTTGGCTCCACAACTTCCATCTCAAACTCAATCACTTATTATTTCCTCGTTTTGTTCATTTTTTTTGCATCATATTGCACCCGATGACTTACTTTTTCAAGTTGTTAGAGTATGCCTAAGCATGTCTTAAATTTCATCAAAATATGCCTGCGCAAGAACCTGTTCTAAATTACATCTCATCCCTTCGTTCAAGTCGGAGTAGTGGCAGGGTCGTGGTTCATCTCCTCCAGAGAGTCCAACCCCTCTTCCCCGTGAGAACTGAGAAGAGAGAAGAAATAGAGTAGTCGTATTAAGAGCATCAGCATCTTCAAAACCAGGTCCAGGCACCGAGGAAGTACGGACGCGCCGGCCGGACAACAGCGCAATCAGCAGCAGGTAGAACAATACCCCACTGCAGTACAACAGATGGTTCTGACAACGCGGCACTGTAGAGGACTCTCCACTTGTACTTTCGACATGAGCGGCGCCCATGATGGAGGGATATCAAGAATCGCCGGCGCAAGAAATAAGATGCTGATGCTTCTGGTTGTGAGGTTGTTCCTGCAGTGTACAACAATTTTGCTCCTGCTCGAGCATGGTACCGTATTGGCGCTGAAACACACGGAGAAAAACATGCACGAAAGGACCGGCTTAGCCACTGCGACTGCTACTACGAAAACATCCGAATCGGAAGCCACCTCCACCGCGGAATCAGAATCCCACTCCGAATCTGCCAAAACCACAGAGGCTGAGGCTGAATCGGAATCCCACTCCGAATCTGCCAAAACCACGGAGGCTGAGGCTGAGGCGGCCAAGAAGGTGGGTTTATCCCAGAACCAAGCTACACACCAGACGGGTGCCCACACCGGCGTCTCTGACTCGGTCCTCTCCTGCGGGGCTTGCTTGGGGCGTAAGGCCTCGTGCGCCGAAATTTCCGAGCAAGGCGGGAGCGATTTGTCGGAGGAGCACCGGAACCTGCTCTGTAGCAAAAATTACGGCGACAATGCCGTCTGGAATGACAAAAAGACGGTCGAGTTGACCGAACTGGACGACTTGATCGGGACAATATCCGAGTGCACAAGAACTGCTCTCCCCCTCGTCCCCCTCATTTTTTGCAATGCAAAATAGATACCAATGCGTCCAAATCTGGTCGTGCCTCTAAGCGCAGTCTGCATGGCGACAAATTTTGGAGCCTCTGCCCCTTCAAACAGTTCTACAGAATTCGCGTGTAGTAGATAAGATTTGTCATACGAGAGCCACCTAGTTTCTGGTGTCGCTGGTTGTGTTGCTACTCATCGGCCATTCAAATGAGGGGGAGCAGGCGGGGGCGGACTTGTGCACTGTCATAGAGAGTGAAAAAGAAAGACTATCGAGCACTCGCGAAGGCTTGCTGCTCGGCCACGGCGGCGGCCTCTTCTTCATCCTCGTCGTTTATGCATTGTAGAAAAGGATTAGGATTGTCACGCACAGTCACAGGGTCGAAATTGTACTTGTACCGTAGGGAAAAACTAGAGGTTGTTGACCAACAGACCTCCGAAAAATGCAGAAGCAGTCAAGAAGTAGTACTCAATGTTCTCTACTTTCACCGGCCAGGGAGTATGATATGAAAGCACCCACGTGGACGGGTTGGGAGATAATCACGATGAAACTTCTATAAATCTAGCATGTAAAAGTTGATGTCTTCTACTTCCTTATCCTTGTAGTTGCGAGGTTGATATGGCTACCTGAATTGATTTTTTTCTCTCGTGACAGCGACCCTGGTGATATGATGACAATGCGTTGATTTTCGTGGTGCATAGATTCCTCCAGCAGTTCGTCGTTTCTCGAGAACCAGCAGGCGGTCACGAAGCAGGAGGTGAACAGGAAGCTATGAGAATGAAAAGCGTGTCCCATCTACGTCCCATACAGCGAAATGAAATTGTTTGTGATGCAAATGAGTCTCCACGACGTTTTGAAGATGCATGAAGACTTTGCTCTCGTCGCCTTACATAGAAGGAAAAATGCGTCGAGGACGCGTTTTTTCTATTTTCTCGTGGTCGTGAAGATGCCGTTGCCGTTCGGGCGTACTTAGGCATACTAGGTTCTACCAGCTCATCCCACATCAATGACAAATGTTCTTGCCTTTACAAGTGTGAAGCGGGAGCCCACCAACGAACAACACGGTAAATTCTTCCTCTACATTTGAAAAAAGGGATTTGCATTTGTGCTGAGCATTTTGAATTTCGATTCCGGGGAAGGTGGGGCGCTTTTGTTCCTTTCGATACTATATCAGATGCAAAAATGTCTGGGTCTGGAAGAGTGCGCCACTTGTCATGCAGCTTTTCCATGACCCATGAGGCTTGGAATGCAGGACCCAGCATGACAGATTCTGTGCGATCTCTCTCATGCCTGTCCTGCATGAGAAACTCCCTCCCGACTTGGTCAAAACTGGACGACTCTTGGTAATCATGCAACACAGATTTTTGCATGCTTCAGATTTTGCATGACAAGTTGCATTCTTCCAGACCCAGACACTTTTACATTTGATATACTACCAGCAGGAGAGTTACAACCACGAGAAGCCGGCGGAGTTTCTGCATTGCTGCTAGGACTATACAAGTGCACAACTCCCCCTCCCCCTCGAAATATTAGTATTTGAATATTTATTTGGTTACCAAATAGCGCGCTTCTATGTCACCAAATAATGCGCTTGTATGTCATCAAATCGCGCACATTTCGACCCCAAATGCGGAGCGTTTGCGTTGCTTTTTGTGCGACCAAAAGCGTCGCAAAAGTTTGCACTCTCTCGCTATGCTGTGAAAGCTAATCGCGATGGTTTAGGCTCGCTCTCCCTCACCAAAGCTGTCCACTTCCCCTCATGAGGGGGAGTGGGCCCATAGCATCGCGATTAGCGATCAAAGAGTAATATTTTTTGAGCTCATTTCCGAGGTCCCTAAAAAGTCCCTGATTTGACGACGCAAAGCCTCATGATTTGGCGAGCATTTGCCAGATGAAGTTTGGCAACTTATCAAGTTACACGCAGAAGAACGCCCGGCCTTCTCTTTTGGTTGCTGCCGTTTCCTTGTTCATTCCTGACGCAGTCATCTGGCCCCGATTTCTGCGCCAGATGTGCGGAGATCACAGGCCTCGTCCTCGACTCGACCGGTCAAAGGCGTGAAGGCGCTCCGGAAGCGCGGGCTTTTGCTTCGCGTTTGCTGCCACCAAACGCAACATAATCGCTGCGAGCTTGGAGGCGAAATGTGCGCGATTTGATGACACAAAAGCGCATCACTTGGCAACATACAAACGCATTATTTGGTAACCAAAAAAAATTTGATATATTATGAAATAGTAATATTTTGAGGGGGAGGGGGAGTTGTGCACTGTTATACTACCAGACGGAGAGTTACAACCACGAGAAGCCGGCGGAGTTTCTGCATTGCTGCTAGTACGACGACGGTGTCCGAAGAATGTGGAGTCTGGGGGGTGAGCACGAAAATAAGAAGACCAATATCGAAGCTGCGCGATACTACCACCAGCACCACTTCCACAGATTATTTGTACCTGTCTTGAGACGTCGGCCTCATCCACATTATTTACTTTTTTGTTTTCTTTTTACCTTTAATTTTGTTTTCATAGCATGTTTACATAACCACCTTAACCAGTCCTTTAACTTGAATATTTTGCACCATTTCAACATTCACATTTCAAACTAGAAGTACCGCAATTCTTAAACGTTTTGGCATCAAAGAAAAGAAATACTGAGAACTGTAGTAGAATGCCGATAAAATTAAAATACACCGACCACGTAAGTAAAGAACAACCAGAACAGAAGCACTAGTAAAGAGTTTCGTGAACAAGTTGTGCAGACGAGGGGTAACAATTTCTTTCTGCACGCAGGAGCGCGACAACAAGAAGTACTACACTATTTTATTCGCCCAGAGAAGAACGAGAGGGCTTCTTTTCTGCAAAAGGAAATGCGTGCCCGTGCGAGCCTCTTGCGGGTGCGGCGTCGCGCGGTGGTGCTCGTGTCGGTTGCATTTGATACTGTAACTTTCGGAAGTGCAGCACCTGTTCCACCACACCCTCTGAAAGTAAGACGTTTTCCGAAAAACGACCTCAGATCGCGGCGGGCGAACGAGAAGATGAAAAGATTACATCGTTGGCACATGATAGAATTGCAAAATAAAACGTTTGATGTGCTGTCGTCCATTCGGTTTCGCTGTATGAGCATATTCTTACCACCTGGTAGGGTTTTTCGGTTTGCTTTTTTTTGTTTTTTGTTTTTCGGTTGTCAGTATTTCGTTCAAGAAGTGCACCTGGATTCGGTTACGCCTCATAAGTCGTGATAGAGATGAATAAATCGGGACCGGCCTGCGATCGTCTAGACGACGTGGAAGACGACCACGTAAAAATACGGAGCCGCCGCGTTTGTGTAGCTCTATCAAAACACTAAAACACACATCAACAAAGCATCACATGAATACACACATCAAAACACACAAAAGGACCCTTCTCGCCCGATTGCTTTTTGATGAAGCTTTAACTTGTAATATTATCTTTCAAAGAACAAGCCATGCATTTTTTACGCCTAATATAGATGGGAAGACCCAAGAAATTGAAAAAAGAACCTGCATCTTCTCAAAGTAATTGCAAGAACCTACAGATGAACAAGAAGTGTCTGGATAGTCTACAACTATAATTAACGGTAATTATCTGGTCGTGCTCCTTATTCTCGTCGTCATTGCATCTCCGAAGAAAAGACTAAAATTTTCCTGATAACACGTCCCTTCACTGTACTGCCTGGCTCAGCCAGCACGAAGAAGGCAAAGCTTTTGCCGAAAACGCCGCAAGTATCAGCCCCATGCTGCGACGAAAGGCAGGAGCTGCGCAGTGGTTGTTGCTGGGATCATGGTCCGGTTCTGTTTTCGGGGTGGGTGGCATCGGTATGAAAAGTAGAGTGCACAACTTCATCCCCACGTCGTGCCCTCAGTTGCATATTACTAATGGCTCTTTTCACAGCAAAAACAAAAGTGCCAGTAATGGTAAAGATGCAGGAGCTCCAGATGTGGTCGTGCGACAAAAAATTGCGACAAGAAGTACTTATTCTGTTATTTCGGAATTATTTTCCGGATCGCCCCCCTGCTCCTGTCAAGCGAGCAGAGCCAAGAGCAGCGAGAAGAAAAAGTGTGACAATTTGATATTTATGTGCATGACGAAGGTTGAGGGGAAGTACAAGTAGAGGGAATTTTTGTGCACTCCGATAGAAGAAGCGGTGGACCACAGCACCAACTCGAACAAGGCACCTCGTCTCGTTCTTTATGATCCAAATAGGAAGGGTCGTGATTCTATGGGTGGCGATTCCTGTCCTGTAAGGCGCTCTCAAACTCGTTAAGTACTACACTCGTCTCAACTGTTGTTACACGAATTTGCGATGCAAAACGAGCAAAAGTCGTGCAGCGAGGGAGCCTGATGCGTCGTCGTGTCCCGCATTTTCAAAAAAAATTCGGCACAGCTTATTTCCATGGCATGCCGTTTAGCGCTTCAAGAATATGTCATGCCAAGTTGGCCCGCCGTGGAAGGTCGGCAACGGCCGCTGTTCCGCCGTGGCTGGTCTGCCACATCTGTTGGTCTGCCGCTGCTGGTCCGCCGGGCGTGGCAGGTTGTCCGCAGCTGTTGATCCGCCGTGGCTGGTCTGCCATACATTGCTGGCCCCCCGTGCCCGTTGCAGGTCTGGTCGATGCCACCGTTGGCCCGCCATGGCACTTTTGCCGCAGCTGCTGTTCCGCCGTGGCTGGTCCGCCCTGGAAGGTCTTCAATCCCGCGCGCTTTTCTTTGGGAGTTGGCCCCGAGCCCTTTCCGAGCTGGGTCGCTTCCGTTGTGTTTGCCTTGGGAAATGCGCGGAAGCCTTCCCCCGATTTTCGCAAAGCCCTTCGCCACATGCACATGGAGGCTGGGCTGCCGCGGCTGGTCTGCCACTGCTGGGTGGCCCGCCGTGGCAAGTCTGCCGCTGCTGGTCCACCGGGCGTGGCAAGTTGCCCACCGCTGCTGATCCGCCGTGGCTGGTCTGCTATTGCTGGCCCGCCGTGTTTGTGGCAGATCTGGCGCCACCGCTGGTCCGCCATGGCACTTCTGCTGCAGCTGCTGGTCCGCCCTGGAAGGTTTGCCAAGGCTGCTGTGGCAGATGCCACCCACAGATGGTCTGTTGTGGCCAGAGCTGCTCCGCCATGGTACATGGTAGGTCGGCCACAGGAGTCGCTGAGCCGCAAAATGGAAGGTCTGCCAGGACTGGTCTGCCATGGGTTGCCTGCCGTGGCTGGTTTGCCACGCACTGCTGGTCGGACCAGCCATGCATGGCAGGCCTGGGGGCCCGCCATGGTAGGTGTGCCGCAGCTGGTCCGCAATGGCAGGTCTGCCGCAGCTGCTGGTCCGCGCGCCATGGCTGGGCTGCCATGGCTGGTGGGTCTTCCATGGCTGGTCTGCCGTGGCAGGTCTTCTCCTTACTGCTGGTTCGCCATGCATGGCAGGCTGGTTTGCCATGGCAGGTCTGCCACAGCTGCTGGCCGGCCTTGGCCGGTCTGCTACAATTGCTTGGCCCGCCATGGCTGGTCTACCACAGCTGCTCCGCCATGGCAGGTCTGCCGCAGGAGCTGCCTGTCCGCAAAATTACAGGTCTGCCACATCTGCTGGCCCGCCATGGCTGGTCTGCCATGGCTTGTCTGCCGTTGCTGGTCTGCCAGGCACTGCGGGTCCGCCATGCGTGGCAGGTCTGCCAGTGCCATAGCTGGCCCGAAGTTGGAAAAATGTTTGTCGGAGTTGGAGAAGTTTTTTGATTTTTTTTTTTTCCTTAGTTAACATTTCTATGGCATGCCGTTTAGCGCTTCAAGAATTTGTCATGCCAAGTGGAGTCTTGATTGTGCGGAGGCTGATAGGTTTTTTGCACCACGACAAATCCCGATGTATTAACAGTTGTTGAGAGCAGTGTAGTAACGTTTGAGACCACTGTCATATCCTGGTTGCTGGAATTGTAAGTAGGATTCTGGATGCGGACCGGAAACGACGTGCAAGGAACTCTCTCTGCACATGAAGGAATCGGGATTGGCGGACACGCGGATGACCCATGACCTGTGGGCAGAAGTACTGTGTGAAAGGGCGGGCGGAGGCTTAGAATATTTGCACGACTCCGACACGAAGGTTCTCATTAACGAGGACGACCCGCGTTGGGCGTCTAATGACAAGACCCTTGCGGAAAAATGCTGCGCGAAGCCCGCTATGGTGCTTATGCATTGCAAAAGCTATGTATCCAATACAACGATTAGTGATCGCATCTTCTTCATCACAAATTTCCCCAGAAGGGGAAATGAAAGTTATCATGCATGAACTATGCAAAAGGGATTTGTCGTGCATAATTGCGATGAGTACGAATACGATATTGCTTTTGCAGTGGATAGTACCCGGACCACCCGCCGCCCGATCCACCTCGTCGTCCAGTGCCTCCTTTTTGCAAGCATAAATGAGTATATGCATTGCAAAGAATAAAAGTGAAAGTATGTCTGGGCGGTCTGGAACGCGATGAATGCGACTTGTGATGATGAGTCTGGAGGAGTAAACAAAAATACGTCGTGCATACGTATTTAATTCGCAGTAAAAGCAAGCGCGCGCTTTGTGCTTGTGTTTCTCGAAATATTTTCAGCTTGCACAGTTTATTTACCGTTCTATTTTTGAAAAGCTACGTAAAAATCAATGTCGATTTGATGCTCCGTTGTATCGAAATTAAATATCAGAGCAGCTTTAGCAGACCATGACACCGACACTCTTTACCTTGTGAAACTTTGTTTTGATGCAGAATAAGGAAATTAATTTCATCACGAAAATACATTTAAGTAACGAAGTACCTACCGTATTAGCTGTCGCTTGTTGCAGATGAAGTCTTTCGATTTTTGTCGCGTTGGTCCTCTCAATGTGGTTGTCTGTTTTCTACGCCGCATCATCATCTTAATGGGACTGGGGGCTTCAAAAATGTTGAAGCATGTGAATCTACTCTAGGACTACACGTGACGAGGGAGGTCAGCCGTCATCGACAACAAACAAGGCAGCTGATTGCTATAATCTTTGCTATGTGCTCCTGCTGCTCACGAGTTTTTACTATAATGTAGAGCCTTTTTCTTTTGGGTTGTGTTAAAATTGGAACAAGCACAACTACTTTTCGAGCCGAAGTGCAAGCACTCAGTCATCGGAGAAAGTAAGCTACAAATGAAGATCTGCGAATGGTAATTGTACTTTTTTCAGGCACAGGCACAACAAAGATTAGAATACATGATTTTTTTCGGGCGCCGAACTGTTTAAACTTTTGCATCCGAAATTTTTCAAATCGGTTTACTCCAGGAAGTGGGCTGCTGGCGTCAAGCACCGTGCATGAGCATGACGCCAGCCCACTTCCTGGGCCGCTTTTTATGGTAAAAATGGCTCGGTTGAATGCAATGCGTGACTAAGTAACTACAGTTTTTCATCGGTTGACGAAGTGAGTTTCTTTGTAGTTCGGTGACTCGCCGCGTCGTCCTTTCTCTCAGCCTTTCGTTCACCTTTCGTTCGTCCTTCGCGGTACTGACGGTGCGCTCGTCTCTGCTGCTTTCAAAGACCAACAAGAAAAACTACTACGATGCAACAATGTTGTAGAGAACGCAACTAAAAAATCAGGACCCGAAGACTCTTTGGTTTCTACTAATATCCTCTAATTGCTCATCAATTTGCTCAAAGTCACAAACAAGAAGAATTAACGAAGAAGATATAAATCTTCAACTTGCGCTAGTATTTCAAGAATTTCAGCACATTACTATACTACTTTGTTCGATTGCTGGCTTTTGAAGACAGCATCTCATCTCTTTTTTAGAAGCAAACGAATACCATTGTACAAGAAGAACAACTTACGTCAGCCTCAGAGTTCTTGTACAGCCTGCTACAACAACATCCAGGGTAGAAGAAGTACTGAAGGAACACAACCACTCTCCTGTCGACATCAAGAGCGAAGGTCTTGGGAACAAGTAAGCCACCGACGTCATCATGATGCTGCGAACCAAAACGGCCGCGCAGTTACTGCTGTTGGGATCATCGGCCGGTGGTCCCAATTTCAGCTTGGTGGGAGCGGTGGACACGGCGAAGGAGCAGTATGAATTGCAAAAATGTCTGGGTCTGGAAGATTGGAGCTTGTCATGCTAAAACCAAATCATGCAAAAATCAAAATCTGTGTTGCATGACTGCCAAAAGCTGTCCTCTTTCGACCAAGTTGGGAGGGAGTTTCTCATGCAGGATAGGCATGACATAGTCATAGATCTCACAGACTCTGTCATGCTAGGTCCTGCATTCCAAACCTCATGGGGCATGGAAAATATGCATGAGAAGTTTGCATTCTTCCAGACCCAGACATATTTGCATTTGATAAGCAGAACCGCGAATCCATGTTGAACAAGCAGAAGGAAGGCTGCACCCCCGAAGCGAAGAACGAAGCAAAAACTGCCCCTGCTGCTGCTGCTGGTCCCTACGCTGATTTGACGTGCGAGGAATATGACAAGCTTCCGGTGCTGGCCAAAGTGAGCGTGCAGTGCGACAGCGGGGCTGCGTTTTATCGAGACGCATCGAAAATTGCGAAGCTTATCCTGCCGAAATGAAGTCTTGACGCTAAATAACAAGCCTTGACGTGGTGGTCGACCAGGGTGGTCGCAGCTACGCTGTGCGGTGCATGATTATAAAACAAAAAACATAAAACTACAGCAGCAGCAAATAAGCGCAAGAACTGGTACCCCATTTTTACAGCATGATGACTATTTCATGTGAACAAGATAGAATAGTACATAGACAACATGCAAATCATGTATGTAGTCTGTCTCTTTCTGTTTGTTTGTAGTGCTCGCATCAGAAGACCAACATCATCGTCCGGAGCAGAATGGGCGCTCAAGGCTTAGCAGCGTTATTTCTTTATTTTCGGATAAGGTCGGGTCGAGTCGAAGAGGTCAAGAAGGCATGCTGCAAGATCGCCGAAGGTCCAGGCGGGGGTGCCTCCTTTCTCCAGCTATTCGAAGAAAAAGTTCCCCAACCCCTCAGGATTAGATAATCTGCGACGCTGGAATTATGTTGGTGTTGCACGCAAAAGAACTTGTCGTTGTTTCACGACCACGGCGGTGAAGTATTGGGATTTGCGTACTACACAAATTAGCTTTGTCTTGCAGCATTAAAGGACTGCAAGTAGATCATCTCAAGGTCAAGCCTGGGCACGGATGTTCTATGTATCCGGTGTAGGTTCTTAGCATGAAGACAGTTTGAGCCTATGCTGTGCAAACCGCGTGCATGATTATGCGGCGGACTCTCTACTGTCTCTGAAAAATGTCGCGCTGCCCTCTTGGAAGACAGGCGCGGCCACAAATCAGCATCGAAAATCCTCAGAAGCATACGCACCTTTCCAAAATGGGGATGTCGGGGGATTTTTCCCCACGATAGGACACGGCGAAGAAGGGCCCAGAAGATGACAACAAGAAGGACGGCGGGGACGGCAAGGGCTGCTGTGGTGGGGGAAAGGATGACGACAAGAAGACTGGCGCGGCCTCGTTTCTTTTGACGGCGAAGAAGGGCCCAGAAGATGACAACAAGAAGGACGGCGGGGACGGCAAGGGCTGCTGTGGTGGGGGAAAGGATGACGACAAGAAGACTGGCGCGGCCTCGTTTCTCCTGACGGCGAAGAAGGGTTCAGGAGAAGACGAGGAGAACAAGAAGGGCGAGGACGGCAAGGGCTGCTGTGGTGCTGCTGCTGGGGATGAAAAGAAAAACGGTGGCAAGACTGGTGCGGCCTCGTTTCTCCTGACGGCGAAGAAGGGTTCAGGAGAAGACGAGGAGAACAAGAAGGACGGCGGTTGCTGTGGGGAGAAAGCGGACGGTGGGAAGACGGGGGCCCCCAAGGCTCGGGCCTCGTCCAGCAGCACTTCCTTTGTACAAGTCTGAACTGGGAAGAACCTGATGAACCGTGCTTACAAACGCGGCAAGCTTCTTTTCGAAGTGCTTCGAACGTTCTGTTTTCCCGGCGAGGTGAACGGGACTCTCTGGGAGGAGGAGGTCTTCCTGACGCATGATCCTGACTGGCAGGATTGTACGGTAGAGGAGTTTACAACTTTTCAAGTGTAAGAAAATTGTTATGTTGATTGCAGCGAAAATGAAAATCAAAATTTTACGTAAGTGAAGAGTACCAGTAGCGTATTTGTGGTTCTTTCTATGAAATGTGAGAGTGTTCGAGCCAACAAGAACATTTTTACCTGCGTATAAATATTTATTCGTTTTCTTCTTTCAAAAAGTGCTGATCTTGTGAAACTTTGTTTTCCACACATAAAATTAATCGATCTTTTGCTTTTCTTTTTGGATTTTGCACCTAATTAAGTAACTCAGTACATTCCTCCTCTGTTATGTTTGCCGTACAATACGAATAACATTAACAATTCTATGTTACATGAACTGAAAATGATTTACACATTTGCTGTTGCATGGGAATTTTTAGATTCTCATGGTATAATTTTGCGTCTGTTTCGAGGAGCAAACAGAAACAGACGAGGTAGTGCCCTAAATAAAAACCCATCGACGACAAGATCAAGAAACAGTGAAGTGCTAGCACTTCGTAGAAGTACCAAAAAATGGTACAAAGGCAACCACGATGAGCACCACATGTTATCTTCTTCGCAAACAAAAAAAATCCTCTATCTTCATCTTTCTGCGGCAGGAGCGATTTCGAATTCCCGTTATGATGAGGCTCTCGTCGATGTGTTCACCCGAATGAAAATAAACTTGACATTGATCAGCGTGATAGTTTCTTGTTAATGTTGGTAGCTCGCAGGAGCAGCCAGGGACGAGATGAAAGCTATGGCGCTGTAGTTTTCTTGGGTCGAGAAGTTAGAGTTATGTCATCCAGCACTGTGTGTTGTTCGAAATGAATATATGGAAGATTTCTGACAAGGACGCTCGAGCAGTGCTAGATCAGCAAAATGCAAATCATAGTACCAAAAAATGATCTTCATCAAAAATGCGTCAGGACTTACTTCCTACTTCAACTGCGAAATCGGAATCTTTTGAAATTCCGGATCGATTAAATGCACTACTAGTTATTTTGGGCTCCTCCTCCTTGGTTCACCGGTCGTGGGAAGCAAAATATCAGTTCGTGCCCTTACCTTATCATCTACATAAACACCTTCGCAACTCATGGAAGAACAAAAACAACTTCTTGTTTGCTGTGGCAAGCAGAAGCACCGCATGGAAAAAATGCACTTCTCCCATGGGAGGACCACATTGAACACCAGGGTAACAGCTATTGGACCACTACTTCCTGCGAAACTTAGTAGAGGCTTTCGTGTCGGAAGATGAAGATCATCTGGGACAACTACTACAGACTTCGTCTTGTATTTCAATTTATTCAACTCTACTACTTCAAAATACGGCCAGTTCGTATTTTCTTACAACAACAACGACTTTTTTATCGCAAAAACTTACAAGGGTATCGCTATCGACTTTGTCGTTTGCTTTTACTTTTTCGCTACTTTTTATCTTCGTCTTCGACTTGTTCGTCGTCGTTGGAAATAATCACGCAAGCCATTTCCTTTTACAACTTGACCAACTATTCACTTCCAGGAGGCGGGAGTGTATATCGTCGTCCGTCTTCACCGACTAACTCATCGCCAACATCATCCGGTGTAATTCTACTAGTGTGAGACTTAGCATAAGCAACAGCATTCGCGGGGACGAGGGTGGTGCTAAAGTATCAACGTAAACTATCAACATTGGAACTCTACAACTTCGTGGTCGAAAGAACTTTACTTCGTTATCGTTCTTTCCGAAAAACTTCTAAAACTTCTATAGGCCTGTAAGCAAAATCAAAATGGAGACCACGCAGAACCTGTTGAAGCCGTGCGGTAGTTCTCGAGAACTAGAAGGAGACAACATCGAGAACATGTTGGGATCTTCGAAATTTGATGTTCCCGGCGACGTTTATTGGGGCGCTGCTCGTGGTCACCTCCGGGGCGCGGCATTTTTTACCCTGCTCGGACTGCAAGTACTAGCTTTATCTCTCGGCCAGTCCGCTCAACTTGCCGCGGCAATGGAGTCGCGGAACCAGCAGAAGCCTCCGCCGAGCACAAGTAGACGCCGACGCGGACGCCCCACGACAACTGCAACTTCGGGGCGGGATGATGATGCCGTGCCTCTACTGCCCGGACCTGTGGTCAGAGGGTCCGCTTACTGTCCGGATCTTCAGATGCGTACTAGAAGCTGCGCGACTTCTAGTGAGGTCCATGTTGGGACGAGCCCTATGAGTGCTAGTGCAGCTGCGGCTGCTCCAGCTCCCGAGGGAGGCGGTGGACATCCACAAGAACAACCAGCGCCGTACTACGTTCCGTACGGAGGAGATTGTTCTCCTTCTAGCCAGACCGACGGCCCGCTGATGCCCCCATTTTCCGGGAGTGGTCCTTTTGCGCAGCTATGCCTTGCAAATATCCCTGGATATTGTCTGGAAGAATGCGCCTTTTCATGCGAAGTCTCGAACCCAAAAAGATCTGTGTTGCATGAACCCCAAGAGCAGCTGCCCTTTTCTTCCTAGGTAAAAGGTGGATCATTTTTCATGCGGAGTACTTAGTTAGACATGATCAAGAGGGTCCTTGGGTCGCGCAAAATCTGTGATGCTTCTGTGCATTGCAAATCTTGCATTCCTCCAGGCCCAGATGAAGACATATTTGCAATGCATAGCAGCAGCAGCAGTACACCTACTGTGGAGGTTCCGGCTTCGCTTGCGGTTCATCCCCTTCTTCGACCTCGGGAGCCGCGTCGCCGACTCCCATCACGGTTTATTGTCCCATGATAGCCGTCCCCGTCCCCGTCTACGTCCCGAACCCGATGGGCCAGCAGGGGCAGACCCAGCAGCAGCATCAACATCATGTTCCAGTAGGCTCCTACGCTTCTGCTTCACCTTTATCTTGGTCGTCTTACGGTCCGGCAGCCGGCGCAGGAGGAGGAGTCGTGCTGTCACCGAATAGTGGTGCGATGTCTCTTCCTGCTGTGGACGAGGTTCAAGAACTACCGCAGGGAAACAATAGTACAACCCATCAGTACGATCAAAACCTGTTTACAAGAACTCCTTATGCATTGCAAAAGTAACGTAAACGTACCAGTATAAATAGCATCACAAAAAATTTCCGCAAGAACAGAAATGGAATTTGTAATTCTGTTGTAGGATTAGGTTTAGAAAGAGATTTGTCGCGCATGACTGCAATTTGATAGACGAATGCGGTGCTTTTGCAATGCATACACCTGGGGGAGGAGAAAGAACGCAGGGGCATCAAGTACCAGCAGGCACGGCCGGCGGCCAGTCGTACGTTTGGCGCCCAACCGGACGAACACGCCCGAACCCCTGGCTCTGCGAGCAGGAACAACAACCAGATATCTGCTCTGCTGCACAAAACGTGGGCTGCGCTTCGGGTGGAGGTCTACTTGGAGCTGCTCATTGTGATTCGAAATTTTATAGGCACCCTTGGAGCGCTTTGCGGCGTGCCTCGCAACAAGGACGAACGATCTTCCCTGGCACAGCAGCTCGTGGAGGTCCACCAGGAGGTCGTGGGGACACGACAACTCCTCAAACTGAACCTCCTTCGGGTTCGGGCGGCAAAAACCACGACAGGGAGCACGACCAGAAGTCCGGGTTTCATCAAGAAAGCGGGGGGCCGAGTTCGTCTCTATGTCTTCAACGGTCGTTAGCGTACAGAAGTGTGAATTTGCAGTGAATTTGTATTGCATGACTTGCATTTACTTAAAAGAGAAGAGCGCTACGTATTAGACACACGAGCCCAAGCATACCACATAGCCTGAAGGGCTGCTCGTCGCGTGGTGGCGCTTGCAGCACCAAAAGAGGTGGTCTTGCGGGGGCTCGCCGGGCTGTGTAGTGCGTATCTAGCGACCAGAGAAGGTGGGTCGGGGGGCTCTTAGTCTTCTGCGCGTCTGCCTCAGAAGTTCCTCTCCGAAATGGTCGAAAGGGAGGGCGACGCCTGAACACAGGGGCACTAGTTCAACATGTATGCTCTCACGAGTTGTGGTTGGCTCGGCTTGGACTTGGATATCTGGGAGCAGCCTCGGGTGGAAGGGGAGGCACGATTCGGCCGCGGGCGCTAGCTTGCTTCGCCTGCTGTGCTCTGCTCACAACGGCCGGAGAGTTCACGCGCCTGCCGGATAGACGCGTCAAAGCTCTCGGCCGGGTCCTTTCGCCCTTGCCTTCGCGCCTTCTTGCCTAATTGCATTTGCTTCGCAGCGCTTTCTTTTTGGCGTCTCTGCCCCGGCTGCTGGCAGCAGCTGCAGTGCTCTTATGCGAGCACAGGGAGACGAATAGACATGGCCAAAGAACGGCACCCAGGCCATGTCTAGAAGCTGCCCGCCGCATAAGCCTTGAATTCTGCGGTGTGCAGATCGCACTTCCCAGAAGGGCAAGAGGGACAATGTACCGGCGGACCCACCTGCAATTTGTCATGCAAAATTCACTACAAATGCGCAACTTCTCACGCTAACGGATGTTAAAGCTCTAGACCAGAAGTCCGGGTTTCGTCAAGAAAGCGGGGGGCCGAGTTCGTCTTCTTGTTCTTGGAACCAGGGCGGTCGTCCTGGTCGTCGAAGCAGAGGGGATGCGAAGAAGTTCTGTGCGCAGATTCTGCGGGACGAGGTGGACGAACTCGTCGACAGTGCTTACAGCCTGGCAACATGTGCGGGCAGACACGAGGACGAGGACCAAAGCGGGAACATGATTACGACCCCGGGCAACCTGGACAGCGACCGACTCGGGGTTGTGGTGGCACAGATATTGTTCCGTCTGGATCGTGGCGTCCGGCGGGTTGATGAGGAAGCTGCAAGAACGTCGGCAAGTGCGAGTGAACGGAGGGGCAATATTAAACGCGGCCCCACATACGTGGGGAAACCAGTGGGGGACGTCCAGATTGGTCGCCTGCAATCACGGCAGACCTTGGCCAGGCTTGCGCTCGTACTCGCAACCATGCAGCGGGTCAATCCGCAGGCGGAGGCTCGGTATTTGCCAATCCTGGAAGACATTGCAAGGTGGGCTCCCTCGGACAACAAGTTCCCCCCAAAAGACCAAGCCGCAAACTGGACTCCGGACAATCTGACGCTTTTCGCTCGCGCCTTCGGGATAGCGGTAGCGCGTCCCCCTAGTCGGTTCACGCCGCTCCTGCTGCAGCTTGAGCGCGTTGCGCGCTACTCTGACTGGGCCGGGTTTGAGCCCAGGCACTTCTCCGAGCTCATAGCGGCGCTCCGGGCGCTGGCTCCTTCTGAATTCTATCCATCGCAAAAATGTAATTATCGGCCGCAGTAGTATCTATAAATCGCATACGCATAGGCAATTTCAATTTGTTTTGCAGACGAACTAGAGTGAAACTTGTCATGCAGATTCAAGCAAGAGAGCAGATCTACTATCATGCTGAATTGCGATCAGTGCGACGAGTTGTGCGTCGATATAATTTTGGCACTCGATACCCGTGGAGCGACCAAACGCGCCTTAGCAACAATCGCCGCGGCGGCTCGAGATAGAACCCAGACGGGACGACGCGGCCGGGCAGGTGGTGACTCTCGCGCCACGGGACAAGAACGGGAAAAACGCGCGGCCTACGCGACCGCGTCACCGCCCACCCCGCAGGAGGAAGACGTTGGTGCTGCTGGTGCCCTATCAAATGCAAATTATGTGTCTGGGTCTGGAAGAGCCCCAGCCCGCTTGTTTCTCATGCATCTTTCGGACCATCCAAGTGGTGTTTGATGCACGCAAAAGCATCAATACAGGTTTTGCGGACCACGCCGGTTGATGCCTGTCCCGCATAAGAACCTGCCGACTTGCGTAGCAAAAAAATGGGCAGCTTCAGCTTCTGGCGCTCATGCAAAACAAATTTTTTGTGTGTTGTTCCAGAGTTATTTGCACCATCACAAGTTTTGCAAGTCTTCCAGATCCAGACCCAGATATATTTGCAATGCATATAATACCCGTAGGGTATGTGGAACTCGTGAGCAGGAGCGGCGTCGCTGTCGAGCGCCGTCCCAGGAGCGGCGTCGCCTTTCTGTCGATTCGGCAGCGACACCGCCAGCTGGTGGTGTCGCGGTGTCCTCGTTTCCCCCGGGCCGGCCCTCTAGTTTTGCAGCCTCTACTAGTGCAGACGACCGCGGCGACCACTTCTGGTTCTGGGCGTTGATGGAAGATGGTGGCCTGTTGGACCGCACGATGGCAGCGCTGCGCGAGGAGGACTCGAGGAAGAACGAGTGCAGCGAGGAGGACGCCGACAAGGTTCTGCGTCAGAGTGTGCTGGTACAGGTGAGAAAGTCTGTGGCCCTTGTAACGGGACGCGTCGTTCCTGATCCTGGTTCCGAGACGTGGCCTGAAGCCGTGGTCGCGGCGATGATCGGCTTAATATCCAGTGCAAAAAGGTCTCGGTCTGGCAGAAAATATACAAATCTGCATTGCGCATTTCGAACGAAGCCATAATCTCTGATGCGTGGTGAGACGTATGAGTCGCGCCGGCGCCAGTAGTCCGTCATACAAAAGCTGGATTTCTCATGCTAGTTGCGCACGCTGCACGACCCTTCATGTCATGCTAGACTAGGAGGTACGGAAGTTCCTAATCGTGTCGCATGGAGCGATCAGCATTGCAAATTGCCAAACCCAGACTTGTTTGCATTTCATACGGGCCCAAGCTGAGTCTGAGCGCGTTCGCGTTTGCAGTCGCGGTACTTACCAAAGTCTGGCCCTGGATCAAGCCGAAGGGTGTGCCCTTTCTCGATGAGCTCGCGAAGCAAGGGCTCGCGCAGCTGGCGACGGATCGCGATCCCAAGCGGAGCAGTCCCTGGCTCCCCCGTGACCTGGTGTTGTTTGCGCGCGCATTTTGTCGGGCTGCGCACAAAGACTGCTATGCCATCTTGGAAAGCGTTTTTGCGGTGGCGCAGGCACGGCATTGGCTAGGCTTCGAGGCGAAACACAATAGCTACTTTTACGAGACCTTTCGAAGTTTTGCTCCCGATCATGGGTTGCGGTTGCAGATCCCCGACATCGAGGCGCGCGGATGGAAGACCAAGAAGAGCAACAGTGGAAAGGGAAACTGGTGCGATATTACAGCGGCTGAGCAGCAAATAGAAAAAGACGAAAAAGTTGGAAAACATTGCGAGTACCCAGTTAGCGCACCCCCGACGGACGAGGAGCCGGAAAAGGGCCAGGAAGGAAGTAACAAAAGTTGCAGGAGCAGGCGCGATGACGATGAGCCCGAACCGGAAAGCGAGGCGACTTCCGTACTGGTATCCTGTGCTAAAACGAGCTCACGACCACACTCGGGCAATTCCTCTGATGTAGAAGCAGAGGAGCCTGTCTCTGTTGTGTCTTCAGGAACCGGAGGTGGCAGCGCAGCTCCGCCTTCCGAGGAAAATCGTGTCGACCCGTTGCAGCAAGAAGCCACGGCTATCAAACAGTATATATGTTTGCGTCTGGAAAGAACTTGTCATGCTGAACTGTGCTTATAAAATCTAATCATTCAGACACGAGCATGACTTTTCTGGAGAAGTGCGCCTCGGCTTGCCGAGTCTGGTTTTTATGTTGGACGTTGTCTACAACACATGCGTAGCGCGCATCACAAATTGCGCTCTTGTTGCATAAGAAAGAGCAACGTCCTGCCGGCTTAATATGATCTGTCTGTCATGCAAGATGGAGGACTCACACGTAGCGTTGCTCTACAGGAGTTGTAAATGCGTGACACGCAACAAGCTCCACCTGTTTGTCTTTTTTTGCAGGCCCAGACATATTTGAATTTGATAGCCACCTCTTCGCGTCAATTCGGGCAGCAATTGCCGGACCCCATTTTATTTCTTCGGGAAGAAGACCTGCACCCGACTCCACAAGTGGCAGTGCGCCGAGCCGTCACAGCACTGGCGCGAAAGGGGGCCGCCCAAGAAGCTGCGGAGGAGCAAACGTGGGGACCCGTCACGGAAGTAAGCACTCGGGGCGAACAGTATTTGAGGAGGCTTGATGATGGACGACAGAACGAAGCCTCTGCAGCAGCTTCCCTGCGCGATTTGCCGCAGACCTGGGTCGACGCAATGCTGGGTACAACCCGCGAACGTAATCGGCCAGCACTAACGAGATTTCAGTGAAAGAGCGAAGCTCTACTGCTTACCCGTCGACTTCTAGATGAAACTACTACTACACGCCGCCGAGATAAAGACTAGACAGACTTGTTCGCAGCTCAGCACCTCCTGGGATCAGAAAACAACAGCGCCGCCATTGCGCAACGGGCAGGGCACGTGAAGTAGTGCTGGCTTTTTTGCATTTTGCTGTGCTCATTTCTACTTCAAATTATATCTACTCAGTGCCAGTTGTATCTACTTACACAGGTTGCACGTAGTAGCTTCGGCGGACCGTAATTACACATAGACATTTATCGGCCTGTCGTACTTGTTATTGCGCTGCATAGCCGTGCAGATTTTCTTGAAATTCGATTTCGATGGTGGAGTTCTAGCGTGCCTAAAAAAGAAGCACTGGAACTGGCAATCTTTATTAGCGATTGACTATCCGGCACATGGAATAATGAATCATCTATCTTGCCAATGGAGGATGATGAAGCAGCTAGCTGGCCTCTAGAAAAGAGCTCAAGCCGCTGCAGAACGTCGCACAGTGAAGCGATTTTTCCTCTTGGTTGTCTATTTATTACTACTTTTTTTTAAACATTATGATTATCTCGTCCAAGCTTCATACGATTCTGATTCAAAGAGCCCTGCCCTTGGCGTAGGGATAGGGTCTCGTCCGCAGGTCAGCTTTGTCGTGATGAAGAAACAAATGATCTTGGTGGCCCTAACTTTTTCTATTTGCTTTAGCCCGGATTTCGGTTACATGTCCGTGGTTACTGCTCTCGTCAACGCTCCTGATGCAAGGCAGCTGCTATAGCTGCTTTGTTTTTGTTAATACTACTAGGTCCCTACAAGAAGAAGAACGAAAATTGACACAACGAGAACTCTACTATTGACGGGCACTAACTTTTATCGTGGTCTATGAAATTAATTGTAGTGCCACCCACGCTCTGCCAAAGTGTGTGGCACTCTCTTGTAAGATTTTTAGACAGTAGTAGAAGATGTAGTAGTCCGCATTCAAGAGAGCCTTGCCTTTGGCGTAGGGATAAGGTCTCTCCGTGGGAAAAAGAATCTTCCTGCGTAACTGTTTTTACTTCCAGTGGCTGCCATTTACGGGAATGAGAAAGTGAAGCTAAAAGCAGGAGCCGTAGATACACAAGTTGTAGCGCTGTTTGTAACGAAGAACGACCACGATAGAAGATGTTGTAATTTCAGAGCCTCTATCATCATGCTGCGCAACGTTGGAAAGACGCTGCCTACAGGAGCTGCATTGGTGAGCAGCAAACTGTAGCACTGGTCGTCGGAGTAGGCTTTAGTACTATATATTTCTTCTTGAACAAGATACAACGCGTTGTTATAAACACGCTGTCTACTTCAGTTCTAGTTTCTAACATGCACAGATGAAACTAGTTCTGCGTCAGCAGCACGATGGGGAGGCCTTTTCGGATCCACATGCTGACGACCTCGAACTCGATTCATCATATCGCTTTCATCCTGCTGCTGTTTTTACGGATACAGTCTTCATCTCTACTAGATATAATGCGGAGCTTATTCTCCGTATTCACTTCACCGTCCTGCTTGTGGATGTTGGTAGGTCATCTGGTGTATTGTTTAGTAACCGGAAAGCCGGTCATGAAGGAATCGAAACGATCTGAGTGGTTTCGTAACTTTTTCTATTTGCTGTACCACGGATTTTGGTCATTACATGTCCGCGGTTACTGCTCTCGCGCTGGTTAACGCTCCTGACGCAAGGCAGCTATTGTAGCTGTTTTGCTTTTGTTAGTTCCCTACAACGAAGATTGATTGAGACAAAAAGAACTCTATCGAGGAAGGGCACTATTTTTATTTGATAGTGTCTATGAAGAAATGAATTGTTGTAATGCCACCCACGCTCTGTGCACTCTCGTGTAAGATTTTTAGACAGTAGTGGAAGACGTAGTAGTCCGCATGAAGTAGATTCTCATCCTTCGATGTAAAAGTGCTGATGCGCGTTCTGTTTTTACATCGTCGGAGATTATACGAAGGCGCACTACATCATCCTGACAAGATAGACATGAAAAACACACAGACGCTTCACTGTTGAAAGAGACGAGACGCGAAGCCTGAGCGGAATGCGAAGGAATAGCGGGGACAGTGCTGCAAGTACCACTTACACTTAGAACATTAAACAGTGACGATGGAGGAAGCTTTTGTTCTGGTACTCGAAGTCAAGAACTATTTTTCAAGCCACCTCCGAGTCAATAGCCTTCAACTTTATCATCATCTTGTCAATACATTTTTATCGCATAAAGAAGCAACAAACTACACTTGAAAAATGGTACTATGGTACTCCTACAAAGACAGCCACGAAGATGAGCACCACGATCTGTCTTCTTCGCAGAAAAAAAAAAGTTTACTTGTCTTCATCTTTTAACTGCTGGTGCTGCAGGAGCAAAAGCACCTGGGCAAGCCGAATTCGAATTCCCGCTATTAATGTGAGGCTTTCGTCGATGATGTGTTCTTACCCCGAATGAAAATAGACGCGACACACATGATTTCAGTCTTAGTCAGTGTAATTCTAATTTAAAAATACCCAGATAAACACCCAGGTGGCTGATCAAGATCATCAGCTCAGATAGGCCAGTCGTGGCTGCCCAGATCATTATAATCGACAAGTAACGGTTTCGAGGAAGGAGGCGATGAAGATCATTCACCATCAGGGGGAGAAAGATCACAAAGCAGATCGTAAAAAATGCCAAGATAGCTCCAGACTATTGCGACGAGCTGGTCTTGAGTAGTAGTAAAGTAGAAAAAGTAGAATCACTTGTTTTGCGGCTGCACTTTTCATTTGAGAATGCGGACGAAAGGAAACGACAAAGGTGAACCAACATGTCAAGAAGGACGATTTATTCCAGCAAGGACCTCACTCGTCTCGTTTCTTCATCTTCGCCATATTTGCGTATTTCTTCGTGTCCGTCGTGGTACTATCGGTATGAGAACAAACCTTCTACCTGCCACCTGCTCCACAACCGAAAGAGCCGCGGCCTGGCGTTCCTAGATGTTCTAGCTGTCTCGTCGTCCACGACGTGCTTGCTCTCCACCCTACAGAAGCCGGCGCACGCGGTACAGAACCGGCAGAGCAGCAGGAGAAGCAGCAGTAGTAACTAAAAGAAGGATACTTTTTTAGAGGCAAGCGCACTAAATTGGCGAGAAGATTTTCTTTTGGCTTTTCGCAGTTCAAGCCTGCGAAAGATTGGCGCTCCGCAGTCGAAGACACAGGCACCAAAGTTGTACGATGAAGATCAAGATGCCAGAGTCAAGACCCCGTCTCGCCCATAGTTGTGCTTGCAGCACCGGTAGGAGATGAAGAAGATGGATTTTCGTTTTTGGGTCGCAGTTCAAGATGAGAAGATGAGACGATGAAGAAGTTCCAGTCAGGGGGCGTGTAGTCGTCTGTGCGACTTTGCTGGTGACTGCAACTTCTTCCTCCGATGGTGTTCCCTTCCCGATTCAATATTTTTCCGATGTAGTGCCCTTCGCGGATTCGCTTTGCAGTAGCAGTACTTGACCTATCGGGATTCAAGATTGATGATTAGCTTCACTATTTGAAATTAGTGTTCGTAGTGACAGCTCCGGGCGGCCGCTGGGGGATTTCGGTGTGACTAGCTGCTGGCGACTAGTCTCCATTTATGTTCGGGGAAGAAGCACGACTACAAGATGTTGCTGATGACTTCATATCGGGTTTCGAGATTTTAGGCACTAGTAGACTTTGGCGAAAAGCAGCCAAGCTAACGTAGAACACACGTGCAGAGGTGCGGAAACGCCGGGAGAACAAAAAGAAAAACCCCGGACAGCAGAAAGCACAACAGCAGTCAGGACGAACGAAACAAGGAACAGTACGCAGCGGAAGAGACCACCGACACGAACGCGAGACATCACGAAGCAAGAACATGGAGCAGTATGGGGGCGTAGAACGATTTCGATTTCGACAACAAGCTGCAGCACGGAGCACTGACTACGATTTTTAGACGCAGGAACGAAAAGGGAAAATGGAATACAGTTATAGTAGCGCGAACAGCAGCAGCAGTGATGACAACAGGCGCTGCGGTCTTTCGGATGCAAGATTTTGGAACACAGCAATGGGGGCGCGGAACGACCTTGACTTCAGCTTTCAAATGCAGGGACCAGGAGACGCGGAAATTTGAACGCAGGACCAGCAGCAGCAGTGACGATAGAAAGACGCGCAGTTTTTTGGATGCAGGGTTTTCAGAATTCGCAGTGCAGCATGCGAGCAGCTTTTGTTTTCGGATAGACGGTGGAGAACTTCGTATGGCGTTAGGGGGCAGTGCCGCCTGCCGATGCTGGAGAGATTTGTTTTCGATCGACCTCAACCTGATTCCCGTTTTCCATCCGACACGCCGATGCTACCAACAGCCGGTCGATAAGCTTTTGCACAACTTCGCCATTCTTCCAGTGGGAATGAAATTGCTTCTGTACCACGACCGCCTTGGAAGAGTTGTTGATGACCCCGCGGGATTTCGAATCGAAGACAACATGACGACCACAGGCGATGCCAGTACTGTTTGCGGAGCAAGTATCCCTCGCGACGACTTTGTGTACACTGATCGGCGTGAGCTTGCTTTTCAGGCTTGAAAACGAACCGACTCCGGATTCGAGATTTGTCATGCAGGTTTACGCGGGGGGCGAAGGATTTGTCTCTGTTGTGAACCGACGAAAGATTACGCCCGCGACCACCGCACGCAGACTTTCCGATGCCGATCTCGATCAAGACGCCGATGCTGATTATTTTCTGACGCAAGATATCCGAGCAAGGACTCGCTTCTCGAGAACGCGACGGAGAGTTATCCTGTCGACGAGAGGAGATCGGAATTTGTGATGCTGGATTTCGATAATTGTTGGGCGACGAGATGAAGAGCCTGATCCTGTGCGAAGGCGACGATCCGAATTTGTGTTGCTGATTACGGACGCTAGGCGTTTGAATACGACGAGATGTTTCGACTTGGGACGCGGCGATGGATTGGAAGTGGGATCCTTCAGTTGGTGCTTGCGATATCGAACGGGATTTGCGGATGGAGATTACGATAACGAATCAATTGGATCGCCGATGGGAACCTGCGACGACAAGAGACCGATGCTGCGATGAGAAGAAACCGATGCTGTGATGGGAGAAGATGATGTGATGAGAATTGGAAGACGAAGCTCGTGGAAGCAGTTTATGGATTTATGCTAAACAGATTTCGATTACGACTTAGAATTTCATGTAGGATGTAGAGTCTGAGTTTCTATTGCTAGTAGTTTCCGTTTCAAGCTTCTGTGAGATTTATGCATGGTTTTAGATTTTGATTATGAGAAAAAGCGTTGGGGGCGGTTTGTGTAAATGAAAACTAGTTTTGAACGCTGTTTCTCATAGATCAAAACTCAGAAAATGAACAGGATGATAAGGGAAAGCCAAGAAATCGATCGAGCAAGAAAACAGAACGAAAATGAAGGAAAAGCAAAGGAAATCTTGCCACGATCGAAAGGAAAAGGAAAAGAGACGAAGAGAAAAGGAAAAGCAAGGAAATTAGGTCTGATTTCTTGTGAATCCGCATCACAAACTGGATTTTCTTACTACTTTCAAGCGGAGCCACGGCTACGGGCGTTTTAGGAATACGAATTTAGCATAAGACAATGGAAAAACTAGACTTGGGATAGAGAATCTGTAATGCGTATCTGTGGAATTCGATGTAGTTTTAGATGGTGTTCGATTATGATTTCGGTGCGTACGCGTCTGAAAAATTAACCTCTCCATTTCGAAACTAGATCCTACAAGCCGCGGCCTGGCGTTCCTAGATGTTCTAGCTGTCTCGTCGTCCACGACGTGCTTTCGTGCAGCTCGCCTGCCCAGTATTGTGTGGCAGAACCACGAGAACCTCCGGCAGCAGAAACGGTTTCTGTACGATGAGACGCTTGCTTCGAAGCTTCACGGCCGCAAACTGCGCGCGCTCGTGCTGTACTACATGCAAAAGCATCGTACTAGTATCAATCTTCGCATGACAAATCTCCTCAGCTTGAGAAATAGAATTTGTAATGCGGATTCAACTTAAGTAAGAAAGAAACTTGTAATGCATGAATGCGATTAATAGTATGTTTACGATACTTTTGCACAGGATATGCTGCATCCGATCATTGCGCCGGAGCTCAAGCTATGAACTGCAAAAGTATCGTACTCGTATAAATGCATTACAAAGTTCCCCAGCATGATAAGTGAAATTCAAATTTGTAACGCAGATTTGCCTTAAAAAGACTAGACAAAGATTTGTAATGCAACTTTTGCATTTAGATTTATACTTACGAATACAATACGATACTTTTGCGCAGGATACAAGCCCGTCACCGCCGAACTGGGCACGGAGGAGCATTTGAGCCAGGAACTCGCGCAGGAGAAAATTTTTAAAGTGTACTGCAACGACGTGCACACTTTAGCAGACGCAGAGGAGGCGATTGGGCTTGCCCGCGCGTGCAAATGGGATATCCTGCCGGGGCCAAGGGTACCGCTCAGTGGGTGGAACGAAAAGGCGCTTGCTGGTATTAGAGAAATGATCGCGAAGATTTTTGCAATTTCCTTTGATCATCATGATTGAACAATTATGGATGCAACTTTTGAGCACTGCAGTAGGACAGAAGCAGAACAAACCGTGTCTGATAAAATATCTCACTCCGAACAACACACATAAAAACCCCCCTCCACATCTGATCGAAGAGGCTACTGCCGTTCAAGAGCAGCGGCGAAACCGTGGCAAGAGCCTGCCCGAGGGCTGGCACCTGGATGACGGCAAGGTCGATGAGGAGAGCAGCGAGTACGATTGCGACGAGGTCTATGCTGAAAAAAGGACCCATTCCCATCCAATTTGTGATGCAAAACATGCATAAATTGCTGTGTTTGTCATGCAAAACATGGATGGGGATGGTGTTTAAGTTTTTTCTGTGGATAAGGTCGCCTGGACGGAGTACCCGGAGATCCGAACCCAGTGGGCGGAAAGTTGCTTCACCTTCATCCCCGGCTTTAAGCCCGTTCCCGCGACGTTTTTCCCCGCAACTCTGTTTCACGAAGAGCTCCTCGAGCACGTGAAGAAGACCATGCCGGACGTGGTCTTTATTAACGCCGCCCTGTCCGTTTCCCAGCAGCTGTACATCGAGGAAGCCTGTTATGACAGTGCACAACTCCACCTTCCCCTCATTTGTATAGCATGGCCGGCAATACAAGCATCAGCAAGACTGCCGGTTTTGCATGACAAATTTGCACAGGACTGTAGTACTATTTGGTCTACCAGAACTTGTCATACAAACAGTGCCAAGAGGCAAAGGGTGGATTTGGTATTTTGCATTACAAATGAGGGGGAGGGGGAGTTGTGCACTCTCATACCTGTCACCAAGCGTTGCGGCAGCACGGCGAGGACTTGTGGAAGCAGGAACAGGAGAACTTCACCCCCATGGAGGACCGGCTCAGCCAGCACTGCCCGTCCTACATCGAGGTTTGCGACCGGAACCGCCTCGTGCTGGAGATCTTTGCGGCCCGCGCGCAGTCCCGCCTCGCGAAGCTGCAGGTGGCGATCGCGAAGCTGCGGTTCGTGAAAACGCGACTTTCCCGCGGGTCGAAGATGCGTTTACGGGCGGTTTTGGAGCTCACGGACCGGAAGCGGCAGCAGGGCAAGGTCGGCATGGGCCAGGACGAAATGACCCGGAACCGCAATTGCCAGGGCGCTTTAGAAAGCGAGCCCACGGAAACGGAGGAGACGCTGCTGACGAACTACGAGCGGAAAACGCGGAAGCAGTTGGCGGTGTTGGAGAACATGCGGAACAACCAAAGGGAAACGCGCAAAAAGTCCGGCGTCTGGACGATCGGCATGGTGGGGTATACGAACGTGGGCAAGACGGAACTGATGAACAAACTTCTATGCATGGCAAAAGCATCGCACTAGTCCGAATCTTCGCATGGCAAATTTTCTCAACAAGAAAGTTGCCATTTGTCATGCGGGTTCAGGTAGAAAACCAGACTTGTCATGCATAACTGGGATTAGTACGAACGAGTACGATAGTACTTTTGCCACGCATAACTCCGAATAAAAAACAACGTCAGCAACGAGAAGCAGTTCAACGATCAGGAGAGGCTGCGTATGACACCCTCAGAATGGAAATCCTCAAAGTGGAAATAATTTGTGATGCATGAAATGCGACACCAAAAAGACTGTATTGCAGAGAACGCAATGGAGGCCTACTATTGTGCTTCTACGGGTTCAGAATTGGGCTGCTGATTAGCACGAGAGAACGGCACCCCTTTGCCTAACTAGCATGGCAGACACATTCTGAGTGCCCGGGAAATTTGTCATGCGCCGACTACAAAAGGTGCTCCAACTGGAGTCGTTTTTTTGCATTACAAATCATTTTCACTTTGAGGATTTCCAACCTGAGGCTTTCATACTGCGCGCGCGGGATTTGCTGTTCCAAACTTTGGACACGACACTGCGGAAAATCACGTTACCCAAATCCAAGCGAATCGCGATTATGGCGGACAGTGTCGGGTTTGTGCAGAACTTGCCGCACTTCCTCTTCGAGGCGTTTCAAACGACGATACACGAATTATTGGAGTGCGACATCGTTCTCCACGTCCGCGACATCTCCCACGTGAACAGCACTTCCCAGAGGGACACGGTGCTGCAGACTTTGGCCCTCGCCGGGTTTGATTTCGAGTCCACGCCGGTGGTTGAAGTGTGGAACAAGATCGATTTGATTGGGGGAATATGCAAGAGGACAAAAGTATCGTTCCAGTAGAAATTGCTTCTCAGAAGAAACGAAAAATCGGAATTCCTGATGCAGACTCAGACAGAAAATGAGTAGATTTCGATTTGTCCTTCAAGTAGAACGCGTCAATTCATCATACGAATGCGACGATACTTTTGTACTCCAGTATACGGAAACGATAAAAACCGGTGGGCAGAAATGCAAGAGGAGATGGCGGCGTTCGAAAGTGGACAGGGAAGGTATAATGGAGGACCGGCAGCGGCTTCTGCGTCAAAAATGAGTATAGCTCCAGAAACAAGTGGTCGATCAGCGAATGCAATCTCCACGACGGCCTCGGACATGAACAAGGCCGCGACATTGGATCATTCCACTCTAAGTCAAAAGCAATCTTCGTCTGCGACTACCGCCGTGCCCGTCCCACGTTCCTGCGGGGCCAGGCGGCACGAGAAGCAGCTGAAGAGGCAGGTCGAGAGCGAAGTCCGCTGGTGCGCAACAGAAGATCTTGATCTCAGTCTCACAAGCTCCGCCTCGGAAAACGAAGATGTTGAGTCAACAACGAACGTAGAAGGCCACGCGAACACCACTGCCGCCAACCGCTACTTAGAAGATCATGGCACGAAAAACCCGACCACCACGAATCCCTTTCCGGCGGAGCCGAAATTTGTGGATGCGGAGACGGCGGGGAAAAAGTACCCACCAAAAGCCATCGTCCCGATATCGGCGTTGCAAGGCGAGGGGATTGATGTGTTGTTGGAAACCATTGAGGCAGAGTTGCAGAAGCGAAACAAGTGCAATTTCAACGTGTTCCAGTACGACTTGCGCTTTTCCTCCCGGGTGTCCGCGTTTTTGCACGAGGAGGGATTATTCTTGCAGGACGAGGACCAAGAAGTGTCCGACTGCGGCCGGCTCTTGACCATCAGACTAACGATGGATCCGTGTCAGGCCGACCGGCTGGGGAGGTTCCTGGAAGCGCTGGAAAGGGACAGTGGTCATGGCGGAAATAAGAGTAGGGGGAAAGAGGTCGCGCAACATGATCGTGGAGGCGCTTGTTTAAATGCAACACAGGCAACATCTAGTAATGCAAGAAATGCTTCTCGATTTCAGCACAGAACAACGCACAAGAAGAACTCAACGAGCCGAAACAGGATTTAAATGCGAATGCAATGCAATATACGAAAGAAAGGCACGTATTGACGAGGATAACTATAGTGATGTTGATGTCGCGGTAGAATGCGTCTTGACTGATGATGATAGCGACCGTTTGTGTTCTCGCAATGCGTAATCGTGTAAACGACAACGACTATCCTCGCAATGCGTACCAGGGTGCGAAGTTTGAACCTCGCTCGCCCACCACGCCCGAGGAAGTTTATGGGCGAGCGTGGTAGGCAGCGAAATTTTGAATGGGAGACGTGTTTTTGAATAATGGGCGGAAAAGTGAAAACTAGCCGACACGGGTAGGCATTTGGAAGCCTGCCGCCATTTGTTGCCAAGGTGGAGGGGTTCCACTCGACGCGCTCGCCAGGCCATAGGAACAAAACGCTGGCGCCCTTCATGCGTCAGCGGTTCAAGGAGATGGCGCCAGGCAGGGCGCCAGACACGCGCAAGGCCGTGCGGTCCTTGTGCCGTGGGCGCTGCTTTTGCCATTTGGCCCGCGCCGAAGCGCGGGCCTATCTCCAACAAGACACGCAGCGGGCCCAGTTTTGGCGCCGGCAAAGATGCCGGGGCCGCGCTGGACCTCGTGGCGGGTCGCTTCGCCGCTCCCGCCCTGCGCGCGCCCGACCTGAAGCGCAGCGCGAATGTGTTGCGCACCTTCTCGGGGCCCGCAGCGGCGCCCCGGGCCTACGCAAGGGGCAAGGTAGGCCGGCGGGGCGCTTGGTTCGTTGCTATGGGGGCGCCTGTGTTTTTCGGCCGGTGGCGCCGGAAACAACCCCGCCGGGCGGGCGGGCGTCTGGTGCCACAGATGAAAAGGGAGAGGCGCAAAAAAAACCGTCGTCGCGCAAACGCCGACGGATTTTCGCCCCAGGGGGTCTCCCACCGGTGGCCCCGGACGGCTGCAGAGGGCTGACTGGCTGACCGCGATGCGCTGCTCGAACTCAAGAGCTCTTTGCTCCCGATCCTCGCTGTCTTCTGCGGCTGCACGTCCGTGATGAACGACTGCAAATCGCTGACTGACTCCAAGCCGTCCCGCGGTTGGCTAGGAACAGCGCCGCTGGCGCACAGCCCGGCTGTGGTGGAGCGGGCAGCCCCGGCAAGCGCGCCAGGTATTGGCAAGCCCTATATGCCCCCTTGAACTACTATCGTGCGCACAGCTTCAAGTGGCAGCTGATCGGGGCGCAGTTGGTGGGCAACGCAGGCAAGACGAAGCGGAGCGACGGAGCGCAGCGCGCTGCCCCAGGGGGCGGGCCGCCCCTGGTCGCTCGCCTCACCCTGCGCCGCGCCTTGCGGAGGCGGCCCTATTTAAAGCCTAAAAAATTTATGGCCTTCGCCCTTTCCGGCACAGGCTTTCGCTTCTGGCTTCGCCCCCTTTTGCTCTTCGCGGGTCTCTGCTGCATTGCGGCCGCCCACCTGAGGCACTTCCGGAATTGGGAGAAAGCTGGCGGGGTGTCATCCTTGTGCGCGAGACCTTTGCTGCGCTCTAATTAAGGGCCGCGCCCAAGCTCTTAGTTTTTTGGCCCGTTTTTGCGTCTTACTTTTTGGTCTTACTTTTTGGTCTTACTTTTCGGTCTTACTTTTTGGTCTTATTTTTTGGTCTTACTTTTTGGTCTTACTTTTTGGTCTTACTTTTCGGTCTTACTTTTTGATCTTATTTCTTGGTCTTACTTTTTGGTCTTACTTTTGTTTCTTATTTTTAAGTCTTTTTTTTTTCTTTTATTTTTTTCGCCTAAAATAGCGCTTATTTTTTCTCTTATTCCCCCACCTATTGCGCGCCCGGCCACGGGCCGGGGGGTCTTATTTTTTTTTTTATTTTTTCTTTTATTTTTTTGCACACTGAAATCGCACACGAAATCGCAAAAAAGGCGCCCGCCAACTTTCGGGCCGTGAAAATAAGCCCGCCGATAGTGGGACGAATAGGCGGCCTCAAGGGCCCGCGGCCCGGCTCCTTGGCGCCTTCTTATTTTTCCCCGACTCTTAATTTCGCGAGGCCCGGGTGAAGGATGGCGCGTTCGCGTGGACCACGCCCCGGAACACCGCCCTGACCCTTGGCGGGGTGTGTTGCCTTTTCCCCCTTCAAGGCGGCCGTGGATTTCGCTAATTGTGTCCGGTGCCGCGCCCACCTCTTTGTCCGACCGGGGCGGGCGTGCCTGCCCGCTTGGCCTTTGCCGGATAGCGGCCGTCGTTCTGCTTCGATGCCGACCCCCGGGCGGGTAGGCGCGCCCTGAGGCCAACTTTGTGGCCGCTCTCGCCATGTGGTGATCCGGCTGCCTGGGTCCCGGCTTTTGGCGCGACCCGTAAAATTTTTAACCGTTTTTTAGCAAAAGCCCCGCATGGCGCGGCTCCGGGTGACTCGCCCGCCGCGCGCGCCCGCGCGGCTTTTGGCAGCGCGCAGCCCAGCCCGTGAGGGTGGCAACGAACGCGATGCGCCTGCGCCCGGTCTCTCACTCAGGTTGGCCAGTTGGGCAGTCCGATGAACGTGGACGAGGCGAGCGCGAGCGCTTTCTCCCGGGCGCGCGGCCAGCGGGCGCGGGTTCGGTCAGCGGGCGCGGGAGATGTTGACGCCGCCCATGAAAACCGGCCAGCGGGCGCGGCCCCCGATGTTGTGTGGCTCCTGATGGGCAGCCGCCCGCGGAAGGCGAGCAGCGAGCCGGCCCCCGATAGTCTGCGCGCTGCCCCTGCTAGCGCGCAAACCCTGAGAGGGCGCTGCCCGTTGTGTTGGTGGAAGGCCCTCGACGGCGGACAGCCTCTGCAAGCATGCAAGCAGCTAGCCCCCAAGGGCGCGGGCAGCCTCTGCAGGCGAGCCGGCAAAGCTGGCAGCTTCGCGCAGCCCCTGGGTGGCGCCGAGCACACTACCGCGCGGGCGGGCGCGCCCGTCGCTCCGGGCCACTGTGCTCTCCGTCGCACGCTTCTCGTTTCGCTCCGTGGCCATGTTCTCGGTTGGTCCCTCCGCCTGCGTTCGGTGAGCCCTATCCCTTTCCTGTGCCTTGGATTCACATCTCCCCGTCCCCTGGACCCCCTCTACCGTACAGCCCCGACCCCGGTGGTTTTCGCCAGGGTTTGGTTTGTTCCAGGGTAGCAAATCGAGCAAACGATAGTGACTGTTCTCGCAATCATGCGTGCGATGCGTATGACTATCAACGAACTGGAAGTAAGTCTAATCTAAGCTGCAGCAACGACCTCTATATATTTATATTGAGAACACAAACGCTACGCGTTAAGCCGAGACACAAGCGCGCATGGAGAGACGCGAAGGTGCGCGAGAGAGTGCGCCGCAAAAAAAGGGGCTGTCTTTAAAGTCTGAGCGAAAGTGCAGGGACGAGGGGTGCAGTTGATTTTCGTATTTTTTGACGCACATGCACGACGTCTGCAAGAAAACGTTCATAGGGTCGAACACAAATGACACCCCAGGATAAGAACAAGAGCCGTGTCTTACAAACTACGTCTACGGGCGTCGGCGTGCAGAAGAAGCTGAAAAGCTTTCACTTGAGGAGCAGAGATATTGCCTCGTCGTCCAAAATCAAAAGCGACCTGCAATACCCGCTTTTCAAATAGGAGCCCGAAGGCTACGCCGACGAGGATGTGGATCCTGCGGTTGAGCCAAGAATTCGACTTCGATGTCGCGGGAGAGAACATCACCTACGATGACTACAGCCGCACAGGAACTTCAAGTAGCTCAACAAGCGGGAATAGACATTCATCAGGCTCGTCTTCTTCTTCCTCCTCTTACGGAGACAACAGCACAACGACAGACGGATCGTCCTCGACGAACAAGCTTCTCCCCAGCCCAGACGAACGATGGCTGCGAAGGAACTCCTCGGAGACATCAAGCGCCAGCAAGTCGCTCCAAGCGGCCAGCGTCCCACTCATGACGACGAAGCGCACACACGAGGTGCAGGTCCCGGAACATTGGCTGGGGAACTTGATAGGAGGAAATCAAAACAACTCTGGTTGCGCCGGACGAGCGACTGCAGTATCAGACCACGCGGCTCCGAGACTAGGACCAGAACAACATCCCACGGGCGAAATTCTTGATGCACCACCCATCCCCACCACAACGCGGAAGCGCACCATCGCCGCGTCGGTGTTTTACGGCACGGATTCGCAGAAACATGGAAACAAACCCGTGGTGGAAAGAGGGGTAGAGCCTGTGTGCTACTATGTGACGGTCTACAACCAGGAAAGGGTTTGCGAAATCAACTTTCCGCAGAACTCGCCGAGCAAGAATGTTATCAATTGCGACACGTGCTTGCGGTTTCTCCAGTTTCTCGCGTTGACAGACAGTGCAGTGGTGAGTGTGACCGGGGACGATGATCGAGCTACATCTTCCTCGTCTAGCAAGAAGTTGTTTTATCACAATGAGGTGGAGGAGGACCACCAACATCTCCATGATGACCCCGCCTCGGCCCCGACAACGGCGTCGGACGCTGATTCTCCGTTGAATCAGGAAGAAGATCTCCTGGCCGGTGACACACTAGCAGCTGCTCAAAATCAGATGCAAATTAATCCAGCGCTGCTTTCCCCAACCTCCTTCGCCCTCGGGTCAGCGAGAACGTGTAGTACCTCCGCGAGCACGGTGGAAAAGGCGTATATGTGCTCTTCTTCGGACAGACGTGCGGAACAAAGCGGTAGCTGCGCTGGTGGGCCGGACACTTCGCCAGAATTGTTGTCGCGCACATCAAGCAAGAGCCGGGTCCTCGTGCCCCACAGCGCACGAAGTTTTCGTGCAGCAGATGCATTAGCGCAAGTTTTTCACGACGAAGTAGGTGGTGCATCTTCAACACCAGAGAACGACGGATATAATTTTTCGCAAACCTCCACACTAACCGACTCGCAGCGGCGGTTGCGGCAGTTCGACAAAAGTCTTCTGCACGGCAAATCCGACGACCTGATGAACTGGCACTGCTTGAAATGCGACAGCCGCCAGTTTTTCACCTCGAAATTCAACGAAAAGGACAGCCGCCGCCGCAATCCGGGCGGTGCGACCGCGGGAATCACGGGGTCGAGCGCGGCCTTCGCTTGTTCCGGCGGCGCGGTGGTGTTACGGGACGAGGCCTTGGTGCAGTTGATTCTCGGCGCCGAGATTTTTGGCTATGCGGAAATTCTGACCGACTTCGTCGACCGATTGGCGTCGGAGTTAGAAACGCAGACCATTCTGACGGTCGCGCAGACGGTGTTTCTCGGGTGTTACCTGAAAAAAGCCGCACTTCGGCAGGAGTCGTACTGGCTGTTGCGACACTACATCACGCACGGTGCGCCAGGCCTGTACATCGGAACCCAAACCCCGAGCAGCACTGCGACGTCCTCATCGGCTGCACCAAGTAGTACAGCCACCTCGACGGCGGGGACTTTGGCGGGAAAGCTGCTGTCCACGTTTGGCGCGGATACTACAGCAGCTACAGGCAGTGTGGTGTCCAACAATGAGTTCGATTACAACGCACCGAATCACCACCACCACCAACAAGACCCCTCGATCCTGGCTTTGTCGAAGACGAGAAAAACCTACAATGCGAACAACGGAGTTTGCAATGTGTTTTACGACGGTGGATTTTTGAAGTTCTCGGAAATCAACATCGAGATTTCGAAAATTTGGAACGACTTCGAAAAGTTAGAGAAGAAGGAAAAATTGCAGCACGCGCAACCAGCGCCCGGGTTTTCGCTTTGCAAGATCCGGGTTTTGCGGGACGGAAAAGACATCTACCCACAGGTTTACCAGCTATTACGTGACCACGACGACGAGCTGTTGTTGCAGGCAATCAAGGAGTATCAACTGCAAATATGCCTGCTGGGTGTGGAAGATTGTATTGCAGGTTTTGCATGGTCATGGACCAGAAGGTCTGGCATGCAGGGAGTAGCATCACAGGTTCTGCAAGGGCTTTGTGATGCCTCTTCTGCATGAGAAATCTGCTTGCAGCGTGGCCAAAAATGGACAGTTTTTGCTACCGGTGCATGACAGATTTTTGTCCGACTGGCAGAGAGCATCACAAGTTTGCACCTTTCCAGAGGACCCAGGAGACATTTTTGCAATGCATAAAGAGTCCGACAACGGCGCGATCCGCATCTACAGCTGCAGTAAGAAGTGGACGAGCAGCAAAACTACATCAAGTGCGACGAGACCGTCGTCCTCCAGCGCTGCGACAGCCCAGCCGGCAATGCCAAGCAAGAGTGGTGGCCAGAACTTTGGCACCAGGAGTCTCGACGAGGATGAGGATGACCTCTCGTCCTGGGCGGCAGATTTGTCGAGTTCATCGTCGACCGCCGCCCCTGCGGCTGCAAACCTAGAAAGGTGTAGCGCTGGTGGTGGTGACGAAGCAGCCGCAGCTACTGCTACAATTTCCGGTACAAACAGGACGAGTGTTGACCACGAGGAAAGCTGCGGGATGCGAACGGAGATGGAGGGCTGGAGCGTCCGGGACTTTGCAAGGCATTTCGTCGGGGAAGTGCGGGTGAACTTCTGGGGAACGAAATTCGAGGTACGGATAATATTTTTTTGTGTTGCTAGTGCTACAACAACTTGATCACGATTTGTAGAAGAAACTGAAACCTGTATACGTTTTCTTGTTTGATGGCACCGAACACAAAAAGCAATCAAGCGATCTCATAAACACGAAATCAACAGCTGATCGACTACACCTACGCCAGCCCGGCCGGCAGCGCTCCCGCCCCCAACGGCATGCCCCCGAGCGGGAGACGGTTCGATCTGGGTTTTGAAGTCAACTTGCAGGGCTGCGTACCGTATGAATTGTAAAAATGTCTGGGTCTGGAAGTAGAGTGCCAGGCTTGTCATGCGGGTTTTCCATGACCCATGAGGTCTGCTATGTAGGACATAGCATGACAGATTTTGTGAGAGTTCTATCATGCCTATCCTGCATGAGAAACTCCCTCCAAACTTGGTCGAAAGTGGACTGTTTTTGGCACTCATGCAACACAGATTTCTGCATGATTCAGATTTAGCATGACAAGTTGCAATCTTCCAGACCCAGACATTTTTGCAATCCATATACCGCGGAAGATCACCTGTAAGTTTCATCACGCGCCGGTGAAAGAGGTGGAAGAGGGCGAGGAGTCAGGTATGTTGAATGCGGTTTCTGCATGACGAATCATAAACTTTTTGCTGAAACCTCTTCAGCATCATAAGTTGGTGAAATTTGTGATGCTTTTTGTACATGATATGCGGGAAATTTGTACTGCACATTCATAAACAGCCTCCGCCTCCAGCAGCGGGTTTTTCTTCAGCTCGAACCCAGCGCCACGCCCATCGGCGCCAAGAACCACTTCTAACCCACAAGAGAGCACCTCCAGAAGCACGGAAACTTACACCAACATCGAACCGCGCTGGAACGAGAAGCAGGGGAGCTACGTACTCCCCTTCTATGGCCGTGTGAAGAAGTCTTCCGCGAAAAACTTCCAGCTGGTGGAGGGTTCGAATGAGAAAGAAATCCTGTTGCTGTTCGGCAAGATCAAACGGGAATGGTTCGCGTTGGACTTCCGGCACCCGCTGAGCCCGCTAGACGCGTTCGGGATCGCAATCGCGTCCTTGGCGAAAAAACGGGCGGTGAATTAGGGGAGCATGTCTACAACTTTAATATGAGATCGCCCACGTATAGTTGTTTGTGTTTCAAAAAATGTTTCCGTTTCGTTCGAACGTTCGAAGAACAACAAATTATGCTTTTTTCCCGCAGTTTTACAATGAAAGACAAAGAATTCAACATCGCGGGTCTAGAAGGACTTCACTGAGTGCAGCTACCAGCTACGTGCGCCAGAAAGGTCGTTTTCTGGCATACTGTGTCTGTTCTTGCTCGTCGTCATTCTCATGTTCGGTGTTCACAACTCACTTGTCGTCAATAAAAATCGTGCTTTAGTTTAATACATATTCGGAAAGAGCGACAGACCAGTCTCATCAACCTACTAGACCTGTTGAAAATGGCAGGCCGTCACCTCCTGGCTTCCGTCTTGAAGACGGCGGCTTTCCCGTGCCTCCTCTCCTGGCCTCTCGCCACGTTTTTCCAAGTGCTTCCGGTTTCCGGAAATTTGCGAGGAAAATCTGAGATACCGGAGATCCCCCCCCCCGACGACGACCACGAATCTGCATTCTCCGCCTACGGTTTCTCACCCGGACGCCGCTAACACGGCCGCCCTGTACGACCTTCTTATGAAAGAAAAGGACCACGACTCGAAGCAGCAGAAGGAGGCTTTGCTCGATGCTGGGTACCCGGAGACGCAGGTGATGAAATTGATCTTGTTGAGGCGCTTTGTTTTAAGTAACTGCTCTGCTGCTTCCTCGACGTGAGGCATTTTTTTTGATAACCACAAAAAGGATGTGTTGGTGTTGCTGCAGTGTGGTTATTCATTTCCATTCGGATTTTTTGTACACGTTTACGTCTCAGGTGGAGCTGATGATGACCATGTTAACGGATCCGGCAAGTGACGCTACGTATGAAGAACGGGCGAAGAACGTCGCGGCAGCCTACCAGCGCGGTGTTTTTGCGGATTTTGTCGCGCTGGACCAGGACAAAAACGGGAAGTTGACCGTGAAGGAGTGTCCAGCTTTAGCCTCCTGCGCCGGGCGGGGAAGAGAACAGGGGGCCAACATCACAGCGATCGCTACCGCTTGGGCGACATCGCATCGAGAAGACGCAACTTCTCTGCAGATCTCCGCAACCGGCCGGACCGCCGTCGACGTGCGGGAGGCGGAGCTGGTCTGCAACCAGATGGGCCAGGCTTCCTTTCGGGAGATGGAACAGTCCACCGCTACGAAAATGCAGCAGGCTTGGGCGAAAAGACCCAGTTGTGTTTCCGACGGAATTTGGAGCTGTTGTTCTTCAGCGCCGCAGCAGCTGGAGAATAAACTCGCCGAAGCAGAAGAATACATGGAGGAGTTGACAGACTTGGTCGAGCTCTATGTTCGGGAAAAATACATCAACAAGGTCGCCGACGCAGCCGCAGTTAAGAACATGGCCAAAGCCGCTTCCCACCTCATGCTCGCCCGGGACCTCCTCAAAGGAATGCTGTAGATAATCGGCAGGCGGTTCTCGCGTCGACGCGCGGAAGCAAACAGCACGCGGGCTCAGCCGCGATGGTTAGAAAAGGACGAAAGGGCGAAAAACTTCTCGCGGCCGCGGACGAAGCAGGGGACCGAGATCCTCCCGGACGTTGGATTCTGCTTCGCGGGATCCAGTACCAATCCGGTGAGCTTCTTGTGAGCCTACTGGTCTTCTGCGTCGTCAGAATGGCGAGGCGCCTTCAACAACTTTTTATTTCGACGACGACCTACAAGATGGCAACGAAAGAGGTATAGAGAGACGACGAGGATAATTTTGGTACAGGTAACTTTGGTAAAATAGGTGTGAGGGAGTGATCTTGGTGTAAGTACCTATTCCGACAACAAGGGGCGGAGAGTTCTCCTGTCTCGCTTTCAATATACCGCCATCGCGTAGTTTACTTATAGTTTTTTTATTTATGTTGCTCGTCTCTGCAGTTAGATGATGACGATGATGATGATGGTGGTGTTTTCGCCATGAAATGTTTTTGAGTGCCATTTCAAATGCCCACGCCTCCCTGCAGGTTCGCAGTCTCGCCCAGCATCCCTGTACCCTACTACAAAATGAACAAGCACGTGCCTGGCAAGTGTGTGGAGCGTACGGAGAACAGCAGAACAGCAGCAGTACCTCATTAAGCGCAGTGCCAGTCCGCCATAATTATTCTCTACATGCTCACGGTCACGCCGAACGGGAGCCCACTCCAAGGCGCTGGACTCTCATTCGCGGGATCAAGTGCCAATCTGGTGCGCTTCTTGGACCAAGCTGGTCTCCTGCGTCGGTCAGCACGTCGCGACGCCTTCTACAGCGAACGTCTTTCGCTAACGATCTACAATGTCGCGAAAAGAATGAAAGGTATATAGAGAGATGGAGTGGAAGATAGCTTTGTTTTTTTTTTAACTTCATCTCCAGCATCAATCTACATCCTCGAGGACAGTTTTTAGCTGCAATGAACGATGGCAATGCTAACGTAAAAATTTGTATATGGTAGAAGCGCTATGGTACGACCTGCAATGACGATGTACATGAAGTGTGACCGCGATGCTACAGACGATGCAAATGCAGAAGCTGAAGTTTTGTTTCGACGATTCGGGCCGGGAACCACGGTGGAAAAGAAGACATGTCTGCGCTCAGCGGACCGATACCACAACCCCCCAGACTCTCCACCCGGTTTACCAGAAAGTGCAAACTGTGCTCCGGTTTGCCGCTACAGCATTACAGATTCACGCCGCCATCTTCTACACCATCACCACCGCCCTCATGTTCTTCTTCCACCCACCCGTAATCCGAAAAATGGGATTTGTTCGTTCAAAAAGTTTGAACGTGAAGCTGAATGTACGAAACCGACTGCCAAAGTGCAGAGGCGAATTTGAAAGCAAGCGCGACGAGCTGGACGATGAGGATACGATGATGGTGGAGAAGTTCAAGATAGAAAAATTTGTAGTCTGAAAAGCGAAAAGTAACTGCTATAAAAAGATGTTTTTGTTCAACCATTGTCGCGTGCAAAGCTCGAGAAAAAGTTTATGTGTTTGATCTTTTCATTCTCCTGTTTGTGTTTGGTTTTTTCAAAAAGATGCAGCACTTCGTTTGTGCGTCTCGTCTTCAGGTGTCGTTCTGTCAATCGTGCATGACAGACTTGCAGCAGAAGAGCTTGGCTGAATGAAAAAACAAACCTTCCCGTTTTGTAGTAGGTTGGAGTTGTCGTGCTCAAAGAAGCTCGCGGTAGGCGACAGAAAAAAGCGAACCGCTCCGAATGCTGTCGCTTACTCTAACAATTACATGATGGCGAAAAAGAAGAAAAAACGGAAAAAAGTCATGATGTATTAACACGGCGGGAATTTCTTGTTCGTTTTCGTCACAGCATGCGTGTTCGGTGGTAGTCAAGATCAGGCTTTTTAAAAACTTGTGATGCGATTCGTACGTTCCGTAGATACGTTTTTTCAAACAAGAAATTATGCAAAAGTGTGAAGATCTAGATCTTCATCTTGCATCGGCGATTCTCCTGACAGCAATTACGGGCGGAAAAGTCTGTCTCGCTTTCGATAAACGCTATCGGATTTATTTATATTCTTACCATGAACAAAGTGAGCCTGAGCTTGCTTACCACGGTAAACGCTATCGGATTTATTCATATTTTTGTTGTTGCGAGTGAACCTGAGCATGAGCTGTCGGTGTCGAAATTCCTGTTTCTGTTCTCATGCAAAAAAGCCGGTTGCATGCTTCAAAAAATTCAAACTTATTCGGAAAGAGCAGTCCGTCGTCGAGATGAGAGGAGTCGTGTTCTGGAAGATGTTTCGATGACGTCGTGTGTCCTGATTGAAAACGTCGCTCGGAGTCACGCCATGCATGTTCGACTAAGAAAGTATCTTCTGATGTTATGAAGCTATGCGAAAACGAATTCTGTTTCTGCCGAGTAGTTCGTGCAAAAAGAATTGGCCAGAAGTAGCACAAAAGCTTCATCAAAAAAAAAAAAAACAATGTCCGGCGTCGAAACCATGCTGGCGGGTGGCCTCGGGCTGAAAGCCGTGGCCATGATGAAGCAGGCCTCCCTAACAATGAAGCGTGCCGCACGGCAGGCCTTTGCGATGGCGGCGGACGCAAATTTAGCGGCGATCAACGCACGGACGGCGGAAACAGAGCTGCAGCGGTACGTCCAGGGAGCGCCGGTGGTGATGTCGCCGGCCTCCACCATGGATGGGCACATCGACAAGATTTCATCTTTTGGGTCGGAGATTCCGCTGGTTTTGGCCGGGACGGTAGGTTTGCACCAGTTGGTCGGGACGAGTGGTCGGGAAGGCGAAAGGATCAGCGGAGGAGATGACAGGACGGACAGACGACGAGACCGATCAAAGAGGATCAACTACGGCTCTGAGAAGAAGCGAAGGAGACCAGATGAGTCCGATGTTGAAAACAAGAATTTTGCACGAAGACCGAAGGGTAGATGTGATGTCAAATCGTTTCTTTGATAAGAATAACTACAGAAGACCCTCTGAGCTTTTTTTGCAATGAATTGCAAGTCTAGTCACGTAGCGCCAATGATCTCACAGAAAGAAATTCAGATGATGTAGTACACTGCGTTTATTCCGTAGCAGAACTTTGAATATTCAGCAACCGCTGAGAGGACGCTGCGGCCTCCTCGCCGTGGTTCGCCTCGCGTCTTTTGACGAATAGCATGATAGAAGAAGTGAAGACGAAGCTGATGTTCAACACCACCCAGTCAGCAATGGGATCTTGAGGTCAACAACAGCCGTCGAGATCTGGTTTGCGCAAGGGCATTACTGACGAGATGCTCAGCGTTACCGTTAGTACAGTGGCGACGAGAAATAGACACTCACGCAACAAGCAACAAGAAACCAACTTTCAACAGCCTGCTGCTTCATCTTCAAGGATTATATGCTGGATCGCTATTTCTCTGAGTATGGACGTCGAGGTCGGCATGGTTCTTTCGCGAAACCAAATAAAGTGTTTCAAAATTTTGAATTCATTTGAAAACATAGTTGGGAGCATCAAAGCACACAACACGAAAACTAAACAGGGACAAGATTAAAGCAGTCTGGCACGCACATATGAAATTTTCCGAAATTTTCGTCGTTTGATCCATCTTCACGCATAGAAAATACCCTCACCATAGACCACGTAGCCACTTACCTTGCATACCACTCAGACTGTATGCTTTTCTAGTGCACTAGCGCTATAGCAACTATACACGACAAGATCCAGCACACAACAAAGACAAAGACAAACAAAACCAACTATGGCCGGCCGCGCCCCCGGAATAACCGGTCCGACGATGGCCGAGAAATTGGAGGAGAGAAAACGATCGGCCCCGACGATGGAAGAATTTCAGGCCCGGATGTACAAGAAGCACACGCAGGGAGACGCGGCGATGGCGGAGTGGGAAAATGCCGACTACAACGAGAATCTACGCAAGGCACGGGAGGCGCGCATGGAACAGGACAAGCAGAAGGTGGACAAGGAGAAGAAGGACACTGAGAAAAAAAAGAAGAAAAAACACAAAAAAGAGAAGAAAAAGAAGTCAAGAAGCCGGCACCGGTCGAAAGAGAAAAAGAAGAAGGGGAAGAAAAGCAGAAAACATAAAAAATCATCGTCAAGTTCATCCTCATCCTCCCACGCATCCTCCCCCTCCAGCACGGACAGCATGAGCGACGAGGAGGTCAAGAGCCGGCAAAGATCGAAATCAAAATCGAAGTCGCAGGTTGAGAACAGCAAGGGGAACAAGAACAAGTTGACTAACGGCGAGATGACCACGAAGAGCAACAAGGATAATGAAGCTACAGGCAAGCACGACAAAAAAAAGTCAAAAGAGCCGACGAAAGAGAAGTCTTCGAAGAAGGAGAAAAAGGAGAAGCACCTCGCTCCACCCGACAAAGATGGAGAGAAGTCAAAAAAGCGAAAAAGAAAAGAGAAAAAGAAGAAGCACAAGAAGAGAAGTACCAGTAGCAGCTCGGATTCATCGTCTTCCAGAAGCTCTTCCAGTAGTTCCTCTGCAGCATCAGGTGACAAATCGTCAAAAAACAAAAAGCGGAAAGTGCAAGACGGTTGGAAAATCAGCGAGTACCTGAATTCACCTGATTCTGAGTCGTCGAATTAAGTGAACGACCGCTGGGGGCCACGGGCAGATAATGTTTTGTATCGCGACCACGACTGATAAGTACTGCTCTGTCTTCAATTTCATGCAATTATCGCATTCAAATTTTTCAAAAAAAAATCCGTCAACGACTACGACGCAAAAACCATTATTTTTCGAAAACGATAAAAAGGCTGATCGCCAAGTTTCGCAATTGAATCGACATCTTGATACATAGCATACGTGCGGGCATCAGGGCAAGTTGTAGAGTCTTGGCGCCGAGCAGATTTTGTTCTGCTGTCGTTGGTGCGGTTTTTCCGTGATTTTCTCGTCCTGGAGCGAGCTCGTTGTGTCCTCGTTGAGAACAGAGCATGTCAATCGTGTTTAAGTGTCGCTGCACCGCTGTTGTTCGTGAGTAATGTCTTAGCAATTGTAGTACATCCAGAATGTGGATTTTTTTCGTAAGTGATATGCACAAGAACGTTTCGATTTCTATTCTGCAATCATTTCACAGTGAACAAGGTGCACGATCTACTTCAAAGAAAACAACATGGCCGTCGCCATTTCCCTGCGAAACACCGCCCGTGCGGCCGACGACCTGGTCCAAAGTCTACACAACGTCGCCGACAGTACCATGCAGGCGGCTAGCAAGAACGGCCAATACTCGATGGACGAGCTCGGGGAAAAGTTGGTAAAAAACCTGGATCTCTACTCCTACGGACCGCCGAAATTGTATTACAAGCCCGCAACTAGCCCGGAGGTAATCTCCAGGGTCGCATCCATGGAGGAGGGAGCGTTGCAGCTGCTGGTGATTGGCCAAGAAACTGTTTTGAAGAGGAACCAGCAGGAGCGGTTTTTTGAATCTTCACGAATAAGGAATTTTTACTCGAGACACAGGTGCGCAAGAGAGAACAGTAAGGCTTCTCCTGCCAAAAAAAAGGATGCAGAAACAGACACTGCTAGTACGAGTACCGGAACATCACTCTTAGAGCTGCGTAATTTTCTCTGACTACGCATCAAACAAACGAGAAAGACAAACTGCACGGACGATGAAATGCAATATTTCAACATGTAGGTTGATCATTCGGCCATGTTGATCATGTCGTGCCCTGTCCTTGTTCGTGTGAAAACTCGATGCACTTCTCAAAAATGTCAACGTCGGTAGAACTCAACAACATCTCGTCTTGCTTTCGTGCGGAAATAAAAGGAGATCAGTACAACTACCTGCTGCGATTATACTACTTACATATACAAGGCGGTGACCATCGGTCCATGACTTAGTGAAGAGGATAAGTTTCTTGCTCCAAACTGTCGTTGCTTCTGGGTCGTGGTTAATACGCAGAAAACGCACACTAAGCTCATGGGGTCGTATAATTGACGTCTCAGTTATTTTCGGGTTGTCGTGTGATGGGTCTACGCATGGGATCTTGATCTTCGTCTGTTGCTTGTGCTCTGTCTACTAGTACTCTAAGGGGGCAGAAGATGCAGTTATTGAAACACTCTCATTCGGTGTCGATGTCGGTCGTCTCGGTTTGTTTCTGTAAATCTAGACATGGAGAATACCAAGAAGACCTGGACCAATACTGCCATGCGTTTTCGCGACATTTTTTCCCCCTCAAAAGTGGTCTTGCCAATGCAACGTTTCAAAAGAAACGATCCATAGGCGCCCACCAGTATAGAAGAGGTTTAGATCAGCACACGACCTCCCAAACTTCTTTACTACAAAATGGGCCGCGACCGGCCGCGGACGGCCAATACGAACATCGTGTGCACTTTGCCGCACCGAAGTCGGCACGATGTGTATACAGGGACCAGACCGAAGTCCTCGGGTCCGACGAGGAATCCAACGAGGCAAATTCGGGAGAACAGCCTGGATATGGCCTATACCGAGGAGGACAGGGAGGAAGTGGTACAGAAAATATGAATAACAATAAGTAAAAGTATCAGGATCCAACAATTTATTGCGACCGGATTAGTTTGCATGTCGAAGGCAGCACATCAATGATTAACGGTTTCGATTTATTGTCATGCCAGTACTGTACTAGAGCTACCTAAAAGCAGAAATTCACATTGAAAATGAAACACGAACACAGCGTATCTACATCGAAGTCGCAAAGCGGTGCCTGGAAAACAGCGACATCCTAGACCAGGCAAACCGAAGTCCTAGGTTCCAAGAAGCTCTGAAAAGACAAGGAATCGAGTGGCCAGAAATCCAGACAGAGGCAGATGCAACGTAATTGGCTTAGTTTTGGTGTTGCTTGATGAATTTTGATTCTGCCATCGAGAGCGAAAGGACATATTAAGTAGACATGCGGCGAAATCATGAAATTACTTCCATCCTTTACCTTTTGCACCAGGTACAAAGTGAAAATGCTGACCGATGTCTTCCTCGAACGAAAGCGAATCACTGCGGAGCACGAGAATGCGAGCGACGCAAAGAAGCGATTCAACGCGTACATTGACAAATTGAATGAGGAGGAGCAAAATTTTATCCGGCACGAAACGCGAAGGCAGAACGCCGCGGAGCGGTGCAGAAACGCGTTTAGGATGAGAAAGAAGAAAATTGCCGTATACATGCGTTGATGTTCTTTCGTGTTTCAGGGTACTGATTCTGATGTTGTGCCACTATCATTTGTCATGCTCAACATGGCACGGCAGTTGAAGATCTACGCTTTCACGATCATCTCCCGTGTAACTGGTTGTGGAGCTGCATGATCATGGCAAACCAACATCTAAAAATAACCTCAGGAACACGAGCACGAGTCGTTTCTGAAAAGCCAGCGCCGCATGGAGCGCGACAACTCCAACGCGGACAAGCTTCGCGACCAAGCGGAAAAGCGCGCTCAGAAGGTCGCGGATTGCTTCGCGCAAGCCGCGCAGCGGGAGCAGGACAAGGTGAACGAGATTTTGGACCGCAGGGCGAAATCCGAGAAGCGCCTGGCGGAGAGGGCGGAGATAGAAGCGATAGAAAGGGCGAAAAAGGCCCAGGCGTTACTGGATGCGGAGGAAGAACGGAAACAGCGCTACGACAAGATTGCGTCGTTGAAGTTTGGCAAAGCGGAAGAATTTCAGTCAAAGTACTTAAACTTAATATTCTTGTGGGAATGTCTTTCTTGTTCTTCTTCTTGTGAAAAAGATTTTGTGTTTGATTTGTCATTTGTGCTGGTGATAGATACGCAATGTGCAAGAAGAGAATCTTTGTGGTCACGCTTAGTGAGTACTGAAAAAAAAAAATCCACCTCAGACTGTCCGAGAAAATGAAGCGGTCGGCCGACCATCGGGCGCACATGGAGGCAGAGCTTAAGATGCTAAACGAACAGAAAAACCTGGCCATGAAGCACCGACAGCATCACGCGTTACGATTGGAGAGGCAGAGACAGTATTTACTACTCAGCATTTTTTGTTGTCGTGAACACAAAGATGATCATGCGCCAGCACAAACACAATACTGTCTATGTATGAAAACACAAATTGTTGCGATTTTCAATTTGTTTTTTTTACGCGCATGATCGATCTGTCGATGAGAATGTTCGAGGACGAGACCTCCAAAGAATATAAAAATCTTTCCACCCACCCCCACGACCAGATACTACAACGAGCGTCGTGCGGACGACGTGACTATCCAGCAGGTCGGCCACGTGCTCCAAGGCGAGCTTCGGGCTGCTGTGAAGCGGCAACGGCAGGAGTGGGAGAAGCGGAAAGCGTACCAAATGCAAATATGTCTGGATCTGGATGACTACAGGAGTTTGTCATGTTTGGCCAGCATGGCTCTTGTCAAGTCTACTGTGATGCTCTTTAACCAAACGCAAACGAACCAATTTTCTGTTTCTCTTTTGAAGAAATGCAATTTGCCATGCAGAAGAGGCACCAGCACCTAGCAAATCTAAAAAGTCAAAAACTTGTCATGCTTGGCAGCCAAGTGAGGCGTCCTCCTGATTGTCAAACCCGCATTACAAGTTTCCAGTCCTCCCAGGCATATTTGGAATGCATAAAGCGGTGTTTGAGGCGGCGCAGCGGGAGTCCGACCGGGATCTGAAGAACGTGGACGTCCCGGGACTATCAACTGTAAAAATGTCTGGGTCTGGAAGGTTGGAGCTTGTGATGCTTACTTTGGACTCTAAACAAATCTGTATTGCATGACCAGCAAGAGGAGTCTAGTTTGTTTGTGCTACGCGGGGAGGGCATTTCTCGTGCGGAGTAGGCATCAGGAAGCCCTCCAGAAATCTGTGATGGTAGGTCGTGCATTACAGACATCCTGGGTCATGCAAAATATGCATGACAAACCCGGCAATATTCCAGACCCAGACATTTTTGCATTTGATAGGGACCGGGCCGCTACGACCCCGAGCCGCACAAACCCTACTGCGGCTGGACCATGCCCAAGTTCGTGAACCAGGAAGCCCGGAAACTGGGCCCCGGACCGGACACGTACGAGATTAAGCGGGATTTGAAAACGGGGAGCGTCAAGTGGTACAAGCCTAAGGAGCTCTTGGTCGCAGAATTAAAGAAGCAGACAAAGACGGAGGAGGAACTTTACGGAAGCATAGTAAAACTTAATATCATGCTTAGAAGTAGAAGTACGTAGACGTACTGTCTGAGTTCCATTTCTTTTTTTTTCTGTTCAACAGAAACACAACAGTTGGATCATGATGTGTGCATGTGCTTCCCGGTAAGAGGACGCCACATCTCGATAGTTAGAGGTGGGAACGCACCAGCAAGAACTTTCACTTTCACCTCCGACAAATATTTTTATCACAGAAACGCAACAAGAAAGTGAAAACGGACTCCGCTTTGGCGGTGTCTCCCAGACCCAAGTTCATCGGGCCCGGCCCGGCGAACTACCACACGCCGCCACCACGGAAATACCGAGGGATCGACGACGTCATGCAGGACTTTGACCAATTGTGCACCACCTACTCGACCCGGCTGAACCCGAGCCCGAGAAGGCACGAGAATAGAACGAAGCCCGATAATTTGATCACCATGCCCATCGAGGGAGCGAGAAGGCCGCAGCTTAGTACTAGAGATAGTGTTTGTATCATTTTCGATTTCTTTGCTCTTCTTTCCCATGCTTGTAGTCGAACTACATGAACAAGATCCTGCCCTTTTATTTTGTGTCCCGTGCGGCTGCAGCGAGCCCCTGCCCGCTCACCGTATGTGCGGACACAAGGGCGGTATCTAAATCTACTATAACCGTCGAAAATAAAGTTAAAGTGACGAACATATTTTCGATTTTGATCAGGCGTCCAGCACTCGAAAAAATCCAGCAACGGCCCCGAGGGTTCCCCATTAGACGACATCTTAGCGAAGGAAGTTCCCCAAGCTGCTCTTCTCGGCGGGAGCCAACAAGCAGGTAGTTCCTCTCTGCCCGATATTCAAGTGAAGAAAGCCAAGCCAGTCACCGGCGGGAGTGAGTCCGGCGGTAGCAGGCCGGGGAGCAAGCAGAGCGGTCGAGGGGCCGCGAATAAGTCTAGTACTGCGTCTGGTCTGAAAGATTCATCGACGAATCTGTTGCCAAAGGTTGAAAGAAAACCAACTGCCGGCTCCAGTACGTCGAAAGAAGCTGCAGGAGCAGCTGCACCAGCGACCGCGAGTAGGACCTCCAGTAAAGGCAAGAAGCCGGCGTCGAGTGTTACTTCCTCCGTCGTGGTGGAGGAGGATCGAATATTAGGAGCGACTTCTTCCTCCAAACCAACAGAATCCTCCGTGGATCCGGTGCCACCCACGACTTCAGTGGAGATGGAAGCCGCCTCTGCAGGAGGACAAGACCCGGTCGTGCAGAGCACAGAGAGTGTCGGAGGTGTCGGATTGCTGATGGAGGAGAGCATATCGCAGGAAAAAACTGTTTCACTGTGATGATTTAGATTTTGCAAGATCTGCAACACAAGTTTGGTACACATGGCACAGAAAATTTGCCATGCGCAGTTCCCAAGGGAAAACACCCTTAAAAATGAAAATCCAATGGATTGCATGTGTAGCAAGACAAATAGCTGTGTGTTCCATTGTTCCCTGCACCACAAGTTCACAGTGAAACAATTTTTTTGTGGGATAGAGCAAGTTAGCGATGGACTCGAATACGGACGGAGGCACGGATGCGAACCCGGTCGAGCCCATAGTGCAGGAAGAGGAGTTGGCCGGGTTGATCAAAGCGGAGCCATCGGGAGAACAAGGAACTTCTGCGGTTTTGTCGGCCGGTGAGAGCAAAGAGGACGCGGCGGCGGGAGCAGATGGTAGCTTAGCGGTAGGTGAGTCGGAACCAGCTGCACGAGCAGAAGCGGCGGAGGCAGCTGCGACAGAGGAAACTTCCAAGCCGGCAGAAGAAGAACCAACACCTGCGGCTGGTGCACCACAAGAATTTGTCCAAGCTACGCCAGCAGTAGAAGCGACGGAAGATAGTACGGTGCCTGCGGCAGTAGAAAAGGAAGACTCAGCAGAAAAACCTGCTGTGGAAGAGCCAGTCGCTGCACCGGCAGAAGACGCAGCACCTGCAGCTGCAGAACCGACGGAAGAAACGCCGGCTGCAACGGAGGAACAGGCACCACCAGCCGCCTCTGAGGAGGTAGCCGCAGAAGAAAATCCCGTCGAGACTCAGGAACCATCAGCGGCAAAACTAGAGGAACCAGCAGCTGTCGCAACTACCGAAGACGCCGCTGCCGCGCTGGCCGAAGCTGCAGTCGTAGACGAATCCGCGCAACCAGAAGCTGCAGCTGCTACCGAGGAACTACCAGCTGCTGCGGAGGAAACGACCCAAGCTCCGGTCGAAGAAGTGGCTGCAGAACAAGGCACTGCGGAACCAGCAGCGGCTCCTGACGAAGCTGCGGCACCAACGGAGGAAGCCGCACCGGCAACAGAAGAAGCCACAGCAGAGGAACAAGAAGCTGCTCCTATTGCGGAACACGAGGTGAGCAAGGTGTTGGACTTGGAAGAGGCGGAAGACGACACACAGCAGGTCGCGGCTGACTCCGTGCAGGAAATCGCTGTGGAGGAGATTGCGTGAGGAGGGACGAACGCGTACTAGGGTGCAGTGAAAATAACAGTATTAGCAGAAGACAGTCTATCTCTATGACTATCAAAACATTCTCAAAAGTCAATCAATAAACGCAGGAGTTGTACGATATTAAAATCAAATTATCATGTGCTTAATTTTTCGAATTCACCGAGATCCATTTCCAAATTTGTCTAAACTTGAGCTAAGAAAATTGTCAGGAGAAGGTATAATAGGCAACTTGTAGCAGGTGGTCGTTGTGTTAGCATAAGCAGCGTAGAGACACATCAAATCATGCTGCCAATTTTTCAGAATGTAAACTCAACATCCGATTCAATTTTTTTCAGTTACAATGAATTATATCCGAAAAGATGAACCGTACAAATGCAAAGGAACAAAATGTCGAAGAAGTTTATCAACTTCATGCACAAGAAGCGCATATTACGCATTCTCGTCAGCCGCACCGGTTTACGACGCCTTTCTTTTTCTTTTTTATTTACAACGTGATCGAATCAATGGACACAATTTTTGGTAGTAGCAATGCAATAGTCAACTCAAGTCAGCGCTGAAAAACACCGGGGCCGTTCGGTATCGGGCGCGCCCGTTTGTTTGCTGCCGGCGACGGGCGCGCGAAGCCACTCTAGACCCCCAAGCAAAACTTGACTTGGCAGGCGTTGAACATGAGCCCGGCAGAACGCCGCCGCCCGGCCCCATTCACAAGGCCCCGCGCCTGGTTGTTTTGCAGCCTTGCCGGCCGCCGCGCCACCTGCCGCCCCCGCCGGCGTGCGCCCGCCGCGCGATGGGCGGGGCCCCGCGTGCTGGCGCCGCCCGGCGATCGGGCGGCCGTCCGGCCGAGCTCCGCCAACTCAGGGCGGTCGCGCTGCCTGGGGCCCGCATAGATACTCGGCACCAAGTCAAGGCTTCCAGGGCGGCGGATAGCGTGAGCGAGTGGGGGCACCGCTTGTTTTGCCGCTGCCCCTCTGCGTCGGTCTTCTTGAAGACGTTCCGCTCTAGTGGCGACAGGCACCCGCCTGGCGCACATGTGACAAGCGCCGCCCCGCGCGCGGCCGCCGAGCGTGTGTGTCAGCCTCTGGCTTGTCTGCGATCGATGTTCAGCAGCGACTATTTCTAGGACCCGAGTCCGCGGGCCCGTTCGTCAGTGCGAGGGCAAGGAGAAGAGCCTCGCAAGACGGTGTAGAAAGTGAGTGCTCCTTCGCCTGCGAAGGCGGCGGCGACCTCGTCCCATCGGAGGCGATGACGATCGACAGGCCCCGAAGGTTCTCTATCAATCAGTTCTGGGGATGCTTTTTTCAGTTCCGATCGACAGGCCCCGAAGGTTGATCAGTTCTGAGGATGCTTTTTCAGAAGATGAAGAAGTTGCGGAGTTCAAAGTGAAATAAGTGCACATGGTGAGAGTGTTGTCGTGAAGATTTGTCAGTGCAGATCTCTCCTTCATGTCTACGCCAAGATCTGTTGCTTCCACTTGTGCTCAAAAAAGATCAAGGTCGAGCGATGGCTGCACCGAAAGAAAAGCGCCACTCACTTACACTTGGAACCAAATGAACAGGACCAGGACCACAGGACCCCAAATTGATGCGTCGCAGAAACGAAAAAGACGCACGAGCTGCGGAAACTACGCTTTCTAACGCTAAAGTGGACACCAGTGAGAATCCGTGACTAGTTCTTTGGTTCGTGCTATACGCGGAACGACTTCTAGTTCTAAAGTGCTATCAGTGTGTGAAATTCAAATTTGTAGAGTTTGTTTAACTTTATGTCAATGCCCTCTGAAAATGAAAATGTTGGCGATTCCCTCGAGATCGCGCACTAGAGTCTAATTCTCCGGAGAAGAGAAGATCTTCATCCTGGCGTGGAAGCCTTTCCCTGAGATGACAAACACAAACCAACAGAACAGTGGCACGGGGTCTATCATGATGTACATCACGAAAAATTTACCCCATACCCATGCAAGAAATTTTCGGAGGTTCTGACCAAATCAAAGCTCCAGGAGGTGTCTAGGTAGATACATAGGCTCTTTTTATTTTTCTCGGGATATTATTAACGATAACCATAACGCTAAGGCTAACGCTAACGATCATCGTGGTACAAGATAGATCGCTCTGCGTCGTCTTTTCAAGGCTCCGGAAGGCTACTTACACTGCACTTACACTGCACTTACACAGCGTCGGACTTAACAGCTAGGCAAGCTCTAATCCATGGACACAATTTTTGGTAGTAGCAATGCAATAGTCAACTCGTGTATGAGAGCGTCAGGTCGTTATTTTGCTTTCAAAATTTTTTTTTGGTGCAGGAGGTCGCTCCAGGTGTAGTTACAAGCGGCCCGATAACTCGACACTTAGTGGAGCTACCACAGGAATATCCGACAAACGAGCCTAATAGCGTTCTCGGGACAAAAGTGCCACCCTCGATCACCGGATCACCGCGACCGGCATTGCATTGAAAGCCCCTGACCCGAGTTTGAACGGCGCCTGGCGTGGGGCGTCGTCCCGGGCCATGTTCCTCTGTGTGTGACATGCGTGTTGCAACGCAGCCGCGCCGGATAAGGCCAGTCAGACCCATGAGCCAATGCCCAAAAATTTGCACTGCTTTCGGGGGAAAACCCGGGTTGCCAGAAGGACATACTCGGCTGCGAAGCCCGCGCGAAATAAGTGGCGCGCTGTGCGAATAAAGTCACGTGGTGGCCGTTGCAAAGCCACAGTGTGCAGGAAGGCCACAGTACCGCCCCCGCGCCTGACTAGGGGCGCCTTCGCATGCCAAGCGCGGAGCTGGCCACCCTCGCCCTTCGGGTGGTGTTTGATGCGCTTGCGGCGCAGTCTCCCGGCCGTTGCCCACTTGCGAACGCATCGGCCCCTTCTGCATTTCTGCATGGGCGCGCCTCGGGCGTAATGGTGCCCTGGAAGCGGCGCTGCAAGATGGCTGGCCGAGAAAAGGCAAGCCTGCTGGACAGGTGCACGACTTCGGCCGGCCGCTGTGTTTGGCGCCCGAAGTCCGCCCCATGTCCTGAGTGCAACAATTCGAACTCTCATTCATGAGGCGCCTTCGAGACGAGTACCTTTCAACCCCCTCCGGCACCCCTCTCGGCTGCCTCTAAGTAGTTGAGAATGAAATGACCATAGCATGCGGGCTAGAGTCATTTGGGGGGTCGTTCGGCACCCCCTAGTCCTCAACTACTTAGCGGGTGCCCGAAGAGGGTCCAGAAGGGGTCGCCCTTCTTGGGAAAATGAAATATCTGGCCAGAGTATCCCCTCTCGTCAACTCATTAGGCAAGAGTGCCTGCTGCCTCTGCCGCCCTAATCAGCAACCCCCACTGTGCCTGCCGACGGCACGAAGGTTGGGGAGGCTGGGCCCCTACATCACGCGCGGGCGCCACTGCGTTGCGTTTTGCCCTCCTTACCTGCAATTGTTATAGTGGTCCATTTGGGCAGCTACGCGATGGGCCGAGTCGACTTGACGGCAAATTCCAGGAAACAAGTCAGCCCAACTCCCCGAGATTATTCGCGCCCCCATGCGAGAGCGATGGTAGGCAATTTATTCTACCGAGACCCTTGGCCCGGTGTGATGCCATCTCTTCTCTGTCTGACCTTGGTAGCGCGATGTCGCCACGCCGTGCCAAGAAGACCCATGCGCAGCCGCGCGGAGTTTTCCCCCTGTCTGGTGAGTTTGATGCAGGCGCGTCAGTTATTTCGATATATTTGCGAGCGCGCGGGCGGCTGCCCATCAGCGCGGGGGCAACTCCTTTCCGTATGTTGACTTTCCGCTTGCCCCTACCTGGAAGCCCCGCAAACACGGCACCCGGGGAAAGGGCTGTCTTGCGCTCCCAGATTGTCCGCGCCAGCAGGACAATTTTTGGTAGTAGCAATGCAATTTTTGGTAGTAGCAATGCAATAGTCAACTCGTGGCACTTATGAACTGCAAAAGTATCGTACTCGTATAAATGCATTACAAATTTCCTCAGCATGAGAAGTATAAATTTGTAATGCAGATTTGCCTTGGGAACAAGATTTGCAATGCAAGATCTGCATTCATACGAGTACGATACTTTTGCACTGGATAGCACTATTTCGTTGATGTCGATGACACGGTTCAAAAACTACACTTTAGTCAGCCAGCACCAGCGGTGAAAGAAACTTGTTTGTACAATATTTTTGACGTCGCACGCTCACGCACCATTACCCGATAAGAATTTCAACTTTCAGCACCTTCTGAATAGAGAATGATGTCTTTATCCTGAGCGTGTACAAATAATCTTTTATATTCCGAAGGCACTTATTTGTGCTTGTGTCTATAGCACGACTCTGCGGGTCGTGATTCCGTTTCCTCATTTGACCTTGTTCCTAACGAACCCACACGATTACCGAGCGCTTGCTTCTTTTTTATTTCGCGTGAACGATTTACTTCGGCTCAACATGAAGATCGCTGCTCCGAGTGCTACGCCTTAGATCGTTGCTCCGTCGCAAGTTTTTTTCAGATCCTATTTCCCGGCATGATTGCCCGTGAGGACGATCTTCAACACATCAGTAAGCAGCAAGACCACGTACTAGCCCACTTACACAAAAAGGGAACAACTCCACCATGAAATCATCCAAATATATTTGCTAAAATGGACCGCCCAACCATGACCGCGTCCTCTTCCTCGAGCAGCACGCGGCCCAACCCGTGGATGCTCACCGAGGAGAACCACTGGTGCCAGTGGCTGCAACGGGAATCCAAGATCTCCCGCTACCAGTGTCTCCACGAAAACAACGAGCCACCGATTGGGGAAGGAACGTATGGGCGGGTTTGGAAATACCTGGACAAAGAAGCGAAGGACCCGGACCGAGGAGCTTTACGGGCGTTGAAGGAGATTTTCGTGCGAGCCCGGTCCCACGTATGGAAGTGTCAGAATCGAAATTGACAAAATCGAAAAATTTGTAATGCACAAAATCGATGTCAGTTGGAGCCTCAGTTTCCAAGTGGCGCATGACGAATTTCGGAAGCACCCAAATCCAGTCTGTCATGCTGTTTGGGCAAAGAAGACTCCTCCTGTCGTGCTACTCTGGCAGAACATTGTATACCCCTAAACAGGCTTGCAATCGGTCTCATTTGCCTGCTCCCCAATACAGGCCTTCAGTGCCGTACATTTTATGCATCACAAATTTTTCGACTTTGTCGATTTCGATCCTGACACATCCATACCACGAGGGATTCCCAACGCAGGCCGTCCGGGAAATATCCACAGTAAATTTCCTGTACACGTACAAATGCAGTCTCTGCATGACAAAAGTTGCCTTCAATCCTAGTCTAGCACGACAAGTTGGACACTGCAAGTTAGCGAAATTTGTAATGCATTTTGTACATGTACGGAAAATTTACATTGCATAGGAAATCCGCTGCTTGAAGAAGGTCGTGCACCCGAATGTCGTAAGGCTCCACGACGTTTGTATCGGGTTACCCGATTTGCAGCAGGAACACAATCAGTTCACATCGAAGGTTTATCTCGTTTTCGAATTCGTCGAGCATGACCTCAGTGGGCTGATCCGGGCGAGGAAGGGCGTGCTCGATTTAGCGGAGGCCAAATGTTTGGCGCGGCAGATGCTGGACGGGCTGGTGTATTTGCACGGGAAAAACCTGATGCATCGGGATTTGAAGTTGTCAAATTTGCTACTCTCCAAGTCTGGCGAGGTGAAAATCGCGGATTTCGGACTCGCCCGGACGGTGGAGGTCGTGGAGAATTATACCTCGACGGCGTCCCAAATAGGAGTGTTCAACAGGGCAGGTGCTGGCGCAAGCAGCAGCTCGGGTGCATCATCTTCCGCAGTGGGCAGGAACACAGCAGCACGAGATCACAGCAGCAGAGGTGGAGTAGAATCAGGTGCAAGTTCCGCCAACGCGAATCCGCAACGAGACGTGGAAAACCCCCCTTTCACTAACAAGGTTGTGACTCTCTGGTACCGGGCCCCGGAGCTCGTTCTCGGCAGCAAATATTACTCCCTGGGCATCGACACGTTTGCGGCTGGGTGTGTTTTAGCGGAATTAGTCACCGGGAGAGTGCTCTTCCGCGTCCAAAATGAGCAGCAACTACTGGAATTGCAGGTTCGGCAACTGGGCACTCCGCCGAGACATTTGTACAAACAGGACCCGATTACTTACCCCCTGGCGTTTGACAACAGCAAGATTTCCCAGTTTCTGAACCAGACACTGCAGACTGTACCACCGCAGCCGCCGCGGATCGAGGAGTATTTGTTCCAGATTCTCCGAGACCGGAACATCCCAACGGATAATTTCTCGGCCCGAGCCTCGAGTTCCATGGCGGGGTTACCCGTCCGGGGCGGGCACCAAGCGAGACTGCAGGCCGCGAGCGCTACGTCCGCCGGTGGAGCAAATTCGAAACGGTTTCAACAGTTGACGCAAGTGATTCTGGGGCTGCTGCATTGGGACGCGAGTAAACGGTTTTCCGCGGAAGACGCATTTAACCACGCGTTTTTCACGGACGAACACCCTTTGCCCTGTAAAGCGTCGGATTTGCGATTGGACATGGGCGAGTCCTTTCACGGGTATACGGCGAAAAGGAGGAGGGTGAACTAGGAACTAGAAGTAGGAGGGCCACGACCCACTTGCGGTGCACGAACAAATGAACATACGCTGGACCAGGAGCTAGTACTGGTCTAGTTGTACAACTTTAATGTCTTCCACAACAAGCGACAAAAGTGATTTCGCTCCTAGTAACGCAAAATGAAATGATAAAATTTTCAATCTGTGGAATGAGTCACTATTTCGGCCGCTGCACCTTCTGCTTTTCTTTGACGGGGGTTGTCCAGAAACAATCTATTTTACGTTGTTCAGAAAAATTTTTCTTTTTGGTTTTTTGTTGCTGAAGTCCTGCGTGAACACAGTGCTTTGTGTCGGAGCTTTACTCGCGGACGCGGAAGCAGAAGCAAAGGCGGTTTTCGGCCGCAGGCTAGACGGGCGCGAAAGGCTCCCGCGTGTGCTAAGGCCACGGAGTGAAAGCCGGGCCAGGGCCACGGGGTGCGCGCGGCCGGCCGCCCTCGCGAAGCTGTGCCGGCGCGGAAAGTTTTGCCGCGGCCGGGTTCCCCAAAAGCTCGCTGGAAGATGTACAGTGAGTTCTTCAGAAACGAAACACGAGATGAACGCAGCAACAGACTACGAAGAAAGTGCGGCTACTGTTGATCTTTCCTGCCGGGGGACCAACAAGCGCGCCGGCGCGGGGAAAGCCCCCGGGCAGCAGCGTGGCGCGCTCGTAAGTAGCCCCGCGGCCGATTTAGTTCGCGCAGCCTGCTTCGGCCCCTGGCTAGAGTGTGGCGCAGCCCGTCGCGCGCCCTTCCCGGGCCCATGGTGAGCGGGTGGCCCCGCCCGGGCGCGCGCCCTTGTTTGGCGCGACCACGCTCGCAGGCGTGGCGCAGCAATTCCGGAAGGGATAGCAGTGGGGGGCCAGGTTGCCGGCCGCGCCCCTTCAGGCCCAGGCGGATGGCCCGGGGGAAGGGGCGGGCGGCTTCGCCGGCCCGCGAGCGATGAAGGAGACCGCCCTAAAGTGCTACCCCATCCCGAAGGGGGCGCGGGCGAGCGCCCCCGCAAGCTGGCGGGGGTTTGCCTCTCCCGGCATTGCCCAAAAATTGGGCGCGGTCTATCGCAACGGAGCCGATTCAGTACTCTGCCGCCCTCGGTTCGCATTTCTTTGTGGAAGCATCGTGCCGGCGCCCCTCGGCCGGCCGGGGCCGGCCCTTCCGTCCGAGCGACCGAGCGAACGCCGGCCCCGACGGGGCCGCCCGGCCCCCGCGCGCGCGCCCGGGCCGCGCCCTGCAGTTCGATCGGGCCGGGGCGGATTTCGGTCGTCAAATTCGGCAAGACCGGACGCGCCAGCGGTGGCGTTAGCCTTCCCAGTGTGCCGAAAGAGAAAGGCCGCGTGAAGGCGGCCGCGCAACGGAGGAGGCAGGCCGAAAACAAGAAAAAGGAAGGGCGCCCGACGCATTTCTTCACTCGCAGAGGAGAAGGGGGGGGGGCGGTCGCGATGTGTGGCGTTTTGGCGTGCCTGTGCGCCCGGTCTCGTCGTGCTAGGAAGGGAGGGCGGGAACGAAGCCACGCGCGCGGGGCGGGGAGGGGGAGTGTCTTTGGCCGTTTGCTCCGGGCGCGCCCGCGAGCCCGGCAGCGGGCCCGGCGGCCGTGTGGCCCGCCCTTCGTTCCTTGGTGGGGTTGTATTTTCCGTGGCCTTGTTGCGCTTTCGCCGGCCGGCGGGCTGGCCGACGGCGACCGGGGGGGGCACCCTCCTCCGCTGCTTGCGCGCCGCAGCAGCGCAGCAAACGACCGGGGCGCGGCCGGGCGCGCCTCACCATGGGAGGGAAGGAGCGAGGGGGCGCACCGACCTCCGCCGGGTCGCGGCCCTAAAGTTCCAGTTTCTTCTTGACGTTGGCTTTATGAAAAATTGCCTTTCCCGCCAGTCCCGGATCCCTCAGGGTGAGGAGCAAAGAATGAAACCTCGACAAGGAGTGTTGGCGCGCTGCAATTCAAATTCTACAAGCGAAGAGGGGGGACTTTGCTAGCATCGACGAGGCTGCGGATTTGCAGCGCTTGCCATAAGCTGCAGAGCCAACGACCCATCCTCTGAACATCTGTTGTAGAAGAAATGCTCTCATCACTCGTTCTGCAGCTTCTGTTTCTCATCAACGTCGACCTCGTCATCATTCATGTCCAATAAGATTCAGTTGGTGCGAGTTTTTGTTTTTCGTTTTTTTTTTCGTCACTGAAGATCTGCATCAGCGTCGCTTTTCTTGATCTATTGCTTCCGCTTTCTATTGTTTCCACAAAGCGAAATAGAGAATTCGAATTGCCACGTGGTGACGCGGCCGGTAGTGAAGGTAGATCCTGACCACGCAGTGGTAGATGCAAGATCGTAATTGTAGTGCCGAGTCAACGTCTCCCTGCGGTTCCAGTTTTGGGTCATGTTGTAGTCGGCAATTGTCCTCGGTATACGAAATTCTAAAAAAACCAGTCGACAAGACCGATTTCTGTACCAAGACAGAACTAGATGAACCCGAATTGCTTTAGCGGAACATCAGATAAAAAGGTAAAACCACTACATCGTTCACTAAAACTAAAATAGCAATGCCGGAGCCGGAAGGAGACGCGCCGGAAGGGGAGCGCAGACCAATCGGAAACCTCCGAGGTGGCCGTGGTCGAAAACGAGGCGGCCGCGGCCGAAAGGATCGAGGCCGCAACAACGACCACGACGACCATCCCGGCGACGGTCCGGGCCATCAGCAAACCCGCGGAGTTTTTGCGCCCGCTGCTGCGTCCTTCGTGGACAAACGTGCGTATGGGCTGTTCAATCCGCTGCGCCCGGACGGGGCTCCTTCGTCGGAGCAAAACAAAAACACGATGAATGAAGACCAAACTGCCGAGAGAGTCGAGGCTCTACTTGAGCAGGACAAGATTCCCGAGCTTCGTGGGGGCCGTGGTTCCGGTCGTGCTCCTTGTGCTGCCAACGGTACTGCAGGGGACGTCGAGGGCTTCAGCGCGGAGGACCGGCAGTCTGTAGATGATTTGTTCTTCTCCTCTTCTCGTGATGGCCAACGAGAAAAACAACCTCGGCCGCCGAATCTGAAGCGCTCCCGGGGTGATTCGTTTGAAAGCAAAACAACTAGGGACGACACGTTCACCGCTTCGTCCAACGCCGGAAATCTTTGGGGTATGCCTATGCGTCGTGGTCGTGCTCCTGCTGCTTCTCGACGCGACGAGCGCGACCCAATGTCAGCTTCTGGTACAACTTCTGGTACTACCGACCGGCGCGCCTTAGCTTTGTTCGCCGGAATCAAGTCCGGGGGAAACAGGCTCATCAACGAGGACTTGATGTTGACAAAAAACAAAACTAACGCGAACCCCAATAACCGTAACGACCTGAACTCCCGTAGAAGAGACCGCGGCGGGCGCCGGGCCGCACGAGCAGGAGGACCCCCTCTGTCGTCTTCTGGTGTTGTCTCAGGACGAGCAGATCGAAATGGTGAACCAGGCGTCTTCCCAGGAGGTGGGATGAACAAGGACAGGCGTGCTTTGGATTTGCTAGCTCCCTTGGGCGGTGGCGGCGGCGGGGCAAATCGAAGTAAAAGTAGTACTAATGCAGCGAAGAACAAGCAGAACAAGCGCCAGCGCGAGCACCTAGAAGCCGCGCCTCGCGAGGACACAGGCATGGTTTTTTCCGCACTTACGGGCGGAGGTGGGAACAATAGCACAAGTAACGCGACGAAGCGAATGAGAGCTTGTTCTCGTGCGAAGAGATCTTGTTCTCGTACGAGACGTTGTTCTCGTGAGAGAGCTGCTTGCTCTCGTGAGAGAGCTGCTTGCTCTCGCCAGAGAGCTGCTTGCTCTCGCCAGAGAGCTGCTTGCTCTAGAGCTTGTTCTCGCCAAAGAGCTTGTTCTCGAAGCAGAAACACTTGTTCTCGAAGCAGAAACAACATCAAACGACCTCCCCCACCGCTCGCACCAGCAGTGGTCTCCGAAAACGCACGGATCAGCAGTAGGAACATGAAAAGAACGAAAACTACCGCTCCTGGCACAACTACGACTTCGACTTCTTGTTCTGCGGAGAATAAAACCGCGTATTCCTTGTTCTCCGCCGTGGCCGCGGACCACGCGAGGAATATTAACTCTGCGACGAAATCTACGCTGTTGAATTTAGACGACTTTGAATTCCACCAGCCGACCGGGTTCCCTGCCCCCGATAAAGACCTGCTTGTGGACAACTCCCTTGCCCATAAGTTCCCGCTTGATGTTACGGCCGGTGGTGGAGTATAAATATAGTGCCACGAGAATGAAACTAGCGACCTACGAGAATGAGGAAGCAAATGGGGCTCCACCCGCTTACAACTTTTCCCGCTCCGGACGGGGTAGAAGCTGCGCTTTTCATAGGGCTTGTGCCCGTTTTTTCGCGCGCAAAGCTACTTGTTTTGCGCGCGGTTTTTCTCCGCTCGAGCGGTCGGGTGGAGAAAAACTGCATTACAAAATTGGAAAACCAGCCGGATGCAGATGCAGCTTTTCTCCCCGCAGGAGAAAAGCCGCGCCACAAATTCGCAAACTCCGCTTCCTCCGGTTGGAGAAAGTGAAAGACCGCGCCTCCGGTTCTCCGCATTACAAATGCGGAAAGGTGGCCTTTCCGCATTACAAGTGCGGAAAGGTGCCCATAGCCATTGCGTTTGTAATGCGGAGAGCCCGACCTTTCAAAGGTCGGGCTCTCCGCATTACAAATGCAATGGGCGGAAAGGTCGGGCTCTCCGCATTACACATGCGGAGTGCGGGGCTCCCCAGAGCTCGGGGTTCGGGTTGTGGGTAAAATGGGGAAAGGGGAAAGCCCGGACCCTCGGGTTCTCCGCAACCCGGGCTCTTCTCCGCATTACAAATCCCCCCGTTCGCCAAAAGCGGCTGCCACAGCCGCTGCACACCGTCGGGCGTAACCTTTTGCGCGATGCTATCCCCAAGCAGCAATATTCGCACTCCCGATAGCATCGGGCGTGAGGTTATGCTGCATGGTATCGCTGCGTGCGAATTTTCCTCGCAGCCATACCATGCTGCATTAGGTTACGCACGACCTGTGGCTGTCTTTTTCTGCCCCCCTTGGGCGTTGTGCAGCTTCTTTTTACCCTCAAACACGACCGGACTCCGGGAAAAGTTGTGGCTTAGGGAGGAAGCACAACTTTTCCGCGGACCACGCACCCCAAGCCGGCCCCGCCCCAAGGGGCGCCCGCGAGACACGCCGGGGCCGCGCGCAAAATTGTGGCGGTTGTCTTTGTTTCGCAAGCACGCACGCCCATGAGAGTGGCCTCTCTATTTTGCGCGCCGGCTGCATCTACTCCGGGCCCGGGCCGGGGTTCTGATTGATGGGAGGCCGTCGGCCGTTCATTCTCTTCGCTACCTAGGCTACCCAAAAGTGCCTAGGCTGCCCATAAGTTCCCGCTTGATGTTACGGCCGGTGGTGGAGGAGGTGGAGCTTAGGGTGGGACTAATTGCAAAAGCGGAACCCTGCGGAACGTGCTAAAATCGCGCTTTCGCGTGCTTGGCCCCGCAAACGCGCGATCTTTTCGAGGCGCGGCAGGAACTTCGCTCCGTCGGCGGCCCTAAGTGTCGCGGCGATCCCCCGCCGATAAACGGCACATGGGTGATTGCAAAATGTGCAACCCCTGCTCGGGAGCATGTGCGTGGGTCTGTTAAGGCGTAGCGCCTTCGCGCGGACGCTCCTACATGGTTTTGGGGGCCCGGCCGGCACATTTGGTCGTCCGTTTGGGCGCGTGGGCCTTATGCGACGCCGGGCCGGCTGGCCTAAAATGGGCCCCGATGGAAAGTCCAGGACCCTTTTCCCTTGGGGGATTTATCGTTAGTTTCCGGCTCGGAGACCGCGTACAGGCGGCGCGCGAGGCACGCTTCCACCCGACAGGCGCGAGGAGCATAGTCCCACTTCTCCCGCCATTGGGCCGCTTTCCCGTGGCGAAAGCAACTCCGCGCGGCCACCGGGGCCGGCCCTGCGCCTTGGGGCCTGACGCGGCCTCCAAGGAAGCTCGCCCGATGGTAATGCAGCACGCGCAGCGGGGGTGTTGCGCGTGTAGTTAGGGGCCTGGAGGCGGGCCCGCGGCGGAAAGGCGGAGATAGGTTAGCCCGGGGCGGGCCATGTGCATCTGTCGAAGACAGGAAAGTAGCAACGCCGGCGCGCCAAGCAAAAGAAACAGCGCCGGGGCGCAGCCGGCCGGCGTTGCGCCCCCCCCCCTGGGCATTGGCCCGGCGCGCGGCTGCTTTTGGAAATATTTTCCACCAAGTTGACTCGCCTTGGGCGCTGCGCCGGTGTCTATTGAGGTCCGTTTTGTTTTTGGCCCATAAGTTCCCGCTTGATGTTACGGCCGGTGGTGGAGGAGGTGGAGCTCCTGCTACTTCCTGAGGTGACTTCCACCGGAGCGCCGCGGCCGCTCCAGGCCCGCCGGTTGCGCCGTTGGCCGCCAGGGGCCGGCGGGCGCCGACGACCTGCGCACGCGGGGGCGCCGGGCTATTCTCAACAAAGAGAAGAGCGAACTAGCGCGCCACCCCTAGCGCCCACCGCCGCCCGCCCGGGCGCGCCCCCTCCGTGTGGCCTGCCGGCCTTTTTGGGGTATGCGGCCTTTTCGGCATTGGCCCGCCGGCCGCACGGGGCCAGCTTCTCGCCAGCGATCGGGCGGATTGACTACCGGCAGGCGCGTTGGTTTTCCTTTCTAGGCATAACGAAAAAGCAGCGCAGGCGGCACCCAAAACAATCGGCGCCCGGTCTGAATCTCGACAGTAGGCATCTATCGCCGGAGCGTCCAATTGTCCGGATTCAGGTCGCGTTTTGATGTCAAAGCAAGCCGGTTTTGGTTTCTGGCACTAAGCACGAAAAACAATGTGAAAAGGCAGAAAAAGCGTCGCCGCGCCACACCTTGCCCCCCTGTTGCTAGTTCCAAAGCTGGCCGGCGTCACAGGTGCGCTCACAGAACAGCTCATGTTGAAGCTGTCGCGACCCTCTCGAATATGGGCCGCGCAAGTCTTTGGCAACTTCTTTGCAAGTTTCGACCTGCATAAGATTGGGGGTCCGTTCCACCAGTAACCATAAGTTCCCGCTTGATGTTACGGCCGGTGGTGGAGGAGGTGGAGCTCCTGCTTCTTCTTCGACGGAAAGTAGTGCGGTGAACCCTGGTGACTTGATGGAGTTGGAACTTCTTCTAAGTGGAGGGACGAGGAACAATGTCAACAACATGGTGAACTACGACGAGCAAAACCATGTTAACCACTCTGTGATGATTCCACCACCTGTGGAGCAGGTGGTCCTCTGGCCAAACGGCGACAGAACAGGTTTTTCGGTGCCGTCGTTTGTTGAGAAATGATGTTGACCACAGACGTGTCTCTGTCAACATCTAGTTCATCCGATGTTGGGACCTTTTCATCCACCGGATTCTGGCAAAGATGGGTACTTAAAAACTTCTCATTTCGTACGTCGACCACGAGTGGTTCAAGATAGACAGCTGTCATGACCTACTAGTAGTAGATCTCAGAGATTCTTGAAATTGAAAATACCCGGTAGAATACAACTCATTCTTTCATTCTGTTCTTTGAAGCGAAAACGAAATTCAAATCATAGAAATTTTGACGAACGACATTTTGAAGCGAATCTGAGCGTTCTCAATGGAACAACTTCGACAAGCAGAACCAGAAGTCCAGCCCTTCTGCGACGTTCTTGTGTGGTTCTTGTTTGTTCAGAAATAAAAACGAAAGAGGCCAGACGAGAGCGCGACGGCTGCCCCAAGGTCGTGTCATCAAAGGAGGGTGTGGTTGTAAATGCGACGCAGGCTTACCCCTACGCGGCCGAGTCGGTCAAGTTCACGTAGAATTCTTTCCTGCTGTGAAAGATCCTATAGCTATCGAAGTTCTTGCTGCTGCAGCGCCGCGCACGAAATGCTGGTCGATCCTCTACTCGATTCTTCAGTTTGTTGGAGATCCACCCGCCAAGTGTTTTTTTTTTTCACTCGATCGGAATCCGAACAAGAAGCCGAACGACCCATTTCATTCTGTTTCTCCCTCTGCTCCGTGCATAATTCGTGACACAGACACAGACAAGGATCTTTGCACCAAATCCAAATCAGCCGAAGTTTAAAGTAAGAAAATAAACAGCAGCAGTGCGTCAGAAGCAAGCGGAACAAGCGTGAAGATGGCACATGATAAATTGCACATGGCACGAATCTACTTCACACCAGGAGCGGCCACACGACGGTCCACCGACATGCCGGAGGCTCACTGAAAAAGCGAAAAGACATAAAACATGCAATTGTGATGTTGGCCCTCGTCATGATGTCATTGAGTTCATGTCGATCTGATTTCCCTGTAACAAGTAAGTAGTGTTTAGAAACAGCAAGCATCGTCTTAATAGATGTTGAGCAGGAAGAGCACCTCCAAGACTGCGGCCTCTTAGCATCCTGGAATAAAAGATAAAGAGTCCCAGAACACTTATGACTTATTCACTCTCTCAGTCTCAACATCAACATTTCTATTTCAGACCGCACATCAACATCATGTCCCTGCACCAGAACATCGACCAGTCGTCGTCCGCATTTCGTGATATCGACCTGCACGACCTAGCCAACTTTGATTACAATCCGGAGCTGCAGGCTAAAATTCTCAAATCTTGGCGCCAGCATCTGCATCTCCCGGCCGACGATCATGAACGGGATTACTACAACCTGCAGGAAGAAGCCGTTAATGCAGTGCGGCAACGGCTCGGGCGTCTTTTTGACGGAGATAGATACGACGCCTTTAAAGATCTAGGTTCTTCTTCCGCAAGAACGGCAGCGCAACTTCTACCAACTGACGAAAAGAACCACGCAGAGCTGGCGCGATGGGAGCTGGCAGCTGTTTTTCACCTTTTCTTCAAGAAGCGATTTTTCAAAATCAATGCGGTGGAGGAAGATGAGTCGACGGACGAAGAGGACACTTCTACAGCAGAAGATGAGGACAAAAAAACGGCGCCCCGCACCGACAAGTCCGCATTTCAGGAGTGGAACTGTTCCCAGCTTGTCAAACAGTGGGCGCAGAACTGCAAGGAGATGGAAGACTTGTTTGCCATTGACGACGTGGAGGTTGAGGAGCTGGAAAGGAACAAATGCGAAAATTTAGCAGCGAGGAAAAACAATGCTGTAACTGTAACTTCTGCTACTACAAGAGTTGCACCACAAGAACCACGACCTCCCACCGTATTGGAAGAAGTGTCGCCGTACGTCGCCCGGCGGCTGCTCTTCGAGAACGAACATGATGAAGATGGCAGTTCTACTTCCCCAGTGGAGATCGTGCAACAACGCAAGGCCTCCCAGTCCCGTCGGAAAACGGAAGTGGAGCAGAAAAAACAATCACAGCAATTACACCACCTCGGCCCCGAGAAAATGAAACAAATGCAAAAGCGTTCTGAAGAAAAAGAAAAACAAAAAAGAATCGGGTGTGAAGATGAAAAAGACCAAGACTATAATTCCACAATCGAACAGTGTGACGACAAGGAAGATCACCACACGGAGCAAGGACAAGCGCACAGATCAGCATCCTTTTTCAAAATTACAGAGCTTGGCTGCGGCAGTAACGGGGCTGCGGGAGTGGAGCTTTTGCGGGCGGCGGGATTGTTTTCTAGTACACGTGGAGGTATACGTGCTCGTGGGCAAGAACAAAGCGCGCTGGCGAACAAGGATCTTTCTGTAGCTTCTCAGTTGTGTGCCTTTGCCTCAGAAGGGAAGCATCAAATGATCAGAGCTGCCTCCTGCGAAGGAGAAAGCCCTACACGACCTCTCGAGGACTACAGCATGATTTCTCGCACAACATCCGTAGAACTTCCAGTCGCGGTCCACCTCTGTCTCACAGACGGAAACCGAGCAGCGCTGGAAAAATTACAACAAGCGATCGTGAAACCTTTGAACACAAACCTGAAGTCTCACCGACGTCGGGAAAATTTTTGCTTCGCGAGGGACGAGAACTCCGCAAGGAAGCCCGCCCTTTGCTCCAAAATAACCACCAAGCATCTCCTCTGGGGGCAAGACATCGACTTCTACCAAGAGGAACTGGCCGATGGCGATGGGAAGAAATGCTGCGTTGAAAATAAGAAGCCGGATTTGGTCGTTTGCTCGGATCTCGCTTACTGCGAGAACAATTTTGTCCCCTTGTTGATCACACTGCTGCTTCTCACTAGCGCAAAAGATGAACCACGGAGCGTTACAACTACTTCGCGAGCCGCCGCCTACAAAAAGGACTTGCTGGAACGGAAATTCCCGAAGATGATGAGGTTCGACAGTCCGAGCGCGCAAATGCGTGTCGCTGAACAAGCAAAGCATGAAAATAAATCCGATCATGAAGATCCAACCCTGGATGGCAATGACACCTCGTTCGTTCTGTTCGCCGTGCAGAAGCGAAGCCGGGTAGAAGCGGCTTTGCTGCATTTGCTGGCGATTTACTTCGAGGTAAAACTGCTTGCGGTAGGGGAGGTTTGTTGCAGCGAGAACGAGGATTCTACGCTATCTTCCGACAGTGATGGGACTTTCCACAACTTGATGGGGAAAGAAAAAACGAAAGAACTCCATTCTCACGATTTGAAATTTTTGCCCCGTTTAAGCTCCGGCCTCCAGGACTGCGTTTTCTACATGCTGAAGCGACGGAAGAAAGCACTTAAGCCGGAACAAGTCGTTTTCGCGGTCGAAGAAAGTGAATTCGCCGAAAAATACCAGCCGGACGCGGGCGAGATTTTGCACGCCATGGGCCGCATGGGGCGGGCGCACAAGCAGAAGTTGGTGAGCAAGATGGTGTATCGCGAGGACTTACAGGATGGATTACCATTGCGCTTGTGGAAGAGCAGCTGGAAAGCGGCGAGGAAGTTTCTGTTTGATCAGGGTTTGATGTCCTTGCGAAGTGATACTTCCAGCAGTGAAAAGGACAAAGACGTCGACGACGACGAGGACGCGACCCTGGAATTCGAATTGGATATGGAAGAACAACACTGGAGCGCTTTGCGGACGTGCCCGCGGGGTTACCACGACGAGTTCGTGTTTAAAGACTCCCTAACCAAAGGACACTACGACCCACGAGTTGACACGATTCTAGGCACGCTGATGTAGTAGAAACGATAATGATAAGCGACGGACTATAATAGATACTGACGTTCGTGCACGAGCACCGTCATCAGAAAAACAAATAAGGATTCCTTTTTACGAACGCATTACAACAGAGGAAATTTCAAGATGTTGCGATAGATGCTTCCCCTGCACGTGCACAGCACTATCGCGAAGCGAAGTTTTGACCTAAGTAACATCCACGTTGGCAATATAAAAAAAATCTTCTTTTTCCTCCCACCTCTTGTCGCTCGCCAATCACTGGCTGAAAAGAGACGACTGGAAAAGTAGCAGCATTGAGCGAAGAATTACGGTTTCATCTGTGTGTGCAGTTTGCTACATTATTTTTACGAAAGCAAAGAGGTAGATAATACGAAGATGAGTTTGAGAACTAAGTAAAGTAGACGACAAATAAAGGCAACTACAAATACAATCAACCTATGACTTGTTGACCTTCTTGGATTTATTCTCCCCCGCGGCCGCGACATGATTTTTCTGCACCTCTCAAAAATAGAAGAAGTTGGGATTATCTCCGGCGTCGCTGAGTGATAGTGCGCTCGTTTACGCCTTCTTGGTGTCAGCACGACCCGCGGAGTAGATGTTCTTATTTTCTTCATGTTTCTTTGTCAGAGGAACGCCGTCTCATCATGAGGCGGTCATGGTCATGTTGAAGATGATACTGAACACACTTTGTCGTTGTCGTAAGTTTTCCACAATAAATTGAGCCTTGGACGACCGCTCGCGTGAAGATAGATTTGAGAGGGCTTGAGTGTCGTTTGAGTGAACATGAGTTCAGAGATACCAAATTACTCCTGGCGCGTGCGTCCACCCTCGATACCTTTTTCTTTTCTATCATGTAGTAACAAGAGCGGAAGGTTGTAGGCGAGAGAACAAACTTTCCGGAGAGCAGCAGCAGGATGAACTTGGAATATTAAAAAGAGTGTTTCTTTCTCTTCGTTTTTTCTTCTTGAGGAACCACGACCTCGTAGTTCTCTATCATGAATCCCTACGCCCCGGCGGCCGCGAAGCCAGCCGGAGCATCCGGCGGTCTGGTTTCTGGTCTCGGCGGCGCGGCTCCGAAGCCGGGCGCAGGCTTAGTTTCTGGCTTGGTTGGCCCCGCTGCGAAACAAGTCTCGTCCGGGATGGTTGGCCCCGCTGCGAAACAACCGTACGGGATGGTGGGTCCTGCAGCGAAACAAACTGGGCTAGTCGGGTCGCCGCCGAAGCCGATGGGCATGGTCGTCGGCGCAGCAGGATCATCCTCCGGGATGGTCGGCCCGGCGGCGAAGCAAGTTTCGTCGGGGATGGTCGGACCCGCAGCGAAGCAAGTAGTACCTACTTCCGGCATGGGCATGGGCTTAGTTGGCCCGGCAGCGAAGCAGGCTCCCGGGTCGTTTGGTGGGAGTGCAAACGCGAATGCCACGCCTGTTATTGCACAGAATAGACCCGGTGGAGTTGGTGTCGGCATTGCGAACAAGCCCCAAGGGATGACCGTCGGGGCAGGTGGCGCAGCGTCGTCTTCTTTAGTCGGGGGACTGAGCAGCGGCGGAGGTGTCGGTGTTTCAGCGTATAACAAGCCGGTCGGAGTAAGTGGTGTTTCTCCGTATTACTCAAGCATGACATCAGCGTCTTCGTCGTCCTCGGCGTTGCCGAAACCGGTTGGAGCCACGGTGGGTGTAGGCGCTCCTGCAACTGGGATTGGTGCGAAACCGGTGGGAGTTGCGTCGGCCGTGCCACAGCCCTCGTCCGCGTCGTCTGCGCCGAGAGGGAGCGTCATCATTAGCCAGCTGGTGGACGGGAATCAGGCGAAATTGCCAAGTAAAAGAAGTTTCCCCACGCACTATTTGAACATCTACTTCGAGGACGACATTTATTCCTGTGAGGATACATAACACTCAACTTCGTATGTTGATCGTAGCTCCTACGCTTGCATTGTTATTGCGCATTTTTTGAACTTCAAGCTAACTACTTCCTCTCTTTCGCAGGTGCAACGGCAACACCGGTCCAGCAACCGATAGGCGTTTCCCCCGGCCTGTCTCCAACCATTCCTGAGCAACCGGCCGCGGTTGGGGTCCCGAAGGACGCGGCTGCCTCTATGGCGTTCTCAAACGTTACATTCTCAACCGTTACATGAATTTGTCATGCAAAATTGCCATTAATATCTACATGATCAAGCTGCTTCGCATGACAGGTTCCCGACTCGCTAGATAGCATTAGAATCTGCGCCAAACCTGTAATGCAAAAGGCGCAATCTTTCCCCTTTCACTTTTGCCATTCTTGCATGACAGATTCATATAACAGTTCGGAATGTAACAGTTGAGAGCGCCATAGCCTCGTTTTTGGAGAAGGTGGGCGTCTACGAGCTGGAAGAAGAGAAGAAAAAAGCGGAGCAAGCACTTCTGAAAGTTTCGGGTGCGACGCCGAGAGATGGCACTGCAAGGAGTTCCTCGTCAGGTATGATAGACTGGACAACTGTTTTTTTTTCATATGACTGCTGTGCTTCCAGCATCAAACGATTCTGGGTAAGCAGTTGCATCGTTGAGGAGGACGAAGATTTGAACCCATACACACCACTCTCCCCGATAAAACATCACAAAATCCAGCCGCCGCGAAACAAGACAAAGACGCCAAACAAGACGACGACCTCTCCCCGATGAGTTTTGCCGCGGTGGATAGCAGTAGCGTTCTCAACCGCACGATCCTCGGCGGTACTAGCCGCTCGAGTGGTGCAAGAATTCCGCATATTGCCCCCCTCTCCGTCAACGCCTTTCATCGAGGGTCGCTTCATTTCCACACCTTTCTCGGGCAACTGGAGCATGTGGAGTACTTGCTGGTTGATGCCGAGAACCAGGGCGACCAGTTCTTCGTCAATTCGGTGGACACCTACGGAAAAAGAACGGCTCTGCATCTAGCCTGCTTTCAAAACGAACCTGAGGTCGCTGAGCTGCTGCTGCAGCACGGCGCCGACCCGTTTGCAAGGGACAGAGATTTGCGAACGCCGTTGCACTACGCGAGCTACAAGGGAAGCAGGAAGATCGTGCGGATGATCGTATCTATATTATTTTTCAATTGTGTAATTGCTTCGTACTGCTAACCACAGCTTCAGCTTGTGATACGAATCCTGTACTTTTTACCGCTGACGATCTCAATCGCAAACCTAACTATCTTCATGTCCAGCTCGGCATGTCTTTGCACAAGCTCCGGCAGGAGATCGTGGCGAAATTCCGCAAGCTGAAGCTCCAAGCCCCGGAATACGATCCAGAACTCGCAGACGAGAACGCGTATGAACGAAAATGCGCGAAGGATTGCTGCGGCGAGTATTTCAAGAACCTGGAGGAACTCCGCTACAAGTTACTCGCCACAGAAGACATTAAAGGCATGACCCCGCTCCATTACGCGATTCACGACGCCTGGCAGGGGTGTCTCTCCACCTTGCAACTCCTTCTGGAGGGCGCGCTAATCGAGCCGTTGGCATTTTCCGCCACCGGGATCGGGGGCGGAGAGCAATCAAAAGACCCGAAAACGTCGCACATCACCGGGGGAAAACTGGGCCCGGTGAACCAGGCAAACAAAGAGGCGCTGATGCAAGACCCGAAATTTCAAGTGCTGAGCAAAACGAATTGCTTTCCCGACTTCTTTTTCAAGGTCTTGCTCGCCTTTGAAGTGAAACTGCTAAAGAAGGCGCACAGCGACCGGTCGCGAGCCATTACGGACGAATTACTGAACGGCCCGGACGCCGGGGGCTACACCATGCTGCACCACTGCGCCTGCGAGGGCAACTACCGCGCGGTGCAGATTCTGATTCAAAAAAAGGCGGACCCGAAAGCCAGAACGGTGGCGGCGAATGGTACAGTGTTTCGAAATAAAAATATATTGCTACTGCCAAAGCAAAGCGAACTCCCTATTCGTGATGAAAAGCATGTAAGTACTTACTTCTGACACATAGGTTACTAGAGAAGCAAATTTTACTCTTTCATCACAGCGTCCCGCGCCAAGCAAGACACTTTGACGGATGCGCTCGAAGTTGGCAAAACGCCCTTCGAACTTGCCAAAGACGCCGCGACGAAGAAGGCACTGCAGCAGTACTTCACCGCTACGGTAAAGGAACAGGACGCCAAGCTGGATGACAAGGAGCAGCTTCTGCGGGAACGAACGCCGGCGCTCAAGAACAGTTCCCCGTCGAAACGGTCCCGAGTGAACTCCTCGGAGTGGTTTGACGAAGACGAAAACAATCTCAACTCCTTTCTCGCCGATCCGAATGTCATCGCGCGACGGCAGGCGCGCGCGGCAGAGGAGTTTGGCGACTACGTGAACGAGGAGAAGGGCTTTCTCGGGCGAAACTCCTGCCACGCCGCTTTATTCACGGCTATTCTGAACAAACCCGGGGGCAGCGAGGGCCTGGGAAAAACGGTGAAAAGCAGTGGGTTCGAATCCGCGCACGCGTCGCCGAGTATGGCGGGGAAATCGATGAAGAGTTCGAGCAGCACGTCGCCGAGCAAGGGAGGAAGTGCGCCTGCGGCTGGAGGTGGAACCAGTGCCCTGGAGGTACTAAGAAAGTACTTTTTTCTTTAGAAAGCCACTAGGTCTAGGACGGACATGAATGGGTTCTGCCATAGTGCCATAATGCCATGAGTTCTACTCGTCAGAATGGGTTATGCCATATTGCCATCGAGAGTAATGTTATGCTGCATGCTACCACGTCCAGTGCTACAGTGCGTGCTTCATACCCTCGTGGATGATACAACGCAGCATGTTGTGACGAGTGTGATGATATGCGATAGCGTTGCCGGGACCTCTACGCGTGGTGGAAATATGTTGAAAATTCATCAGACCCTCCTCGAGATGCACCCGGAAACGAATCCCTGGGGTTCGGACGCTTCCGGTTGGAGCAGCGTGCACTACGCAGCGGCCTACGGAAAGTTTGACGAGCTGCGGATCCTGCTGAGGCACAGTCGCCGCCACCTCCACGATCCGGCGAACGCGGTTGGGAGGAACGACCCACTGGTTCCGGGAAAACCGCTCCCACCACGGAAAACCCAAACGGTTTCTAAAAGACCGAAGTCCGCGAGCAAGAGTGGGGGAACGGCGGAGGGCGTGGCACGGGTACGCCCCAAAACGGCGGCTGGGATGAGAAGTACTGAGTGGTTTGTCCCGGTTTCGTTTTATTCAGAAGGCGTGCAGCCCTAACACCGCCTAGTTTTTTGCAACTTCTTCACTCGAAATTTTGTGTGAACAAAAGAATCGACCCGACAATGACAAATTGATATATGCTGAGAGTCCTCCCTTCCAAAACTACTTACTCACATTAGACGGCGAGGCGATGACCCGGCGCACGCCGACGCACGTTGCTGCCCAGGGTGCTTCCAAAGGGCACGCCGACCTGATTCTCGGACAGTCGGAACACGTCAAGTGTCTGCAGGTTCTAGAGGACGAAGGTTGGCTCCAGATCGAGGCACGGGACGAGAAGGGCTGCACCCCGATACTCGCTGCAGCGGCGAAAGGAGCGAGTATTAATAGAAGGGTTGATGATTTTCATCGTTGAACAAGTTTTGTTTAACGTAGCATTGTCATACGCATAGCTTTTTTCATCACCCAGAAGATCATGCCACCGTAGTTTGAAGTTGTACAAAATTTCTCATGACAACTCCTCAGCCGCTGCGGTTCACTGGCTTCTCCGCAAAGGGGCCGACGCCTACGCTGTGGACCAAAACAACCGCAATCTTCTGCACCTCGCGTTGCTCGGGGGGCACGTCTCTCTCACCCGCCTGCTGGCCTACTACGACGCGGACCGGTGCTTTTTTTCGTCCCAGAAGGACTGCCGCGGGGCCGTTCCGAGTCAAATTGTGACTGGGAACGTCAAGTCCGAGGACTACTGCACGATCTGGGAGGCGGCTCGGAAGGGCGATCTGGACAAAGTGCGAGCGGCGCTGCGGCTGGGTACGGAGATCGACGGTTTGTCCCCCTCCGGCTGGACGCCATTGATGTACGCCTGTGCAGCGGGACACGGCATTTTGGCCAGATTTTTGCTCTCCTGCAACGCGTCGGACAGTAGGTTGGCGGGGGACGAGAGTACCGCGGGACCTTTGTACGATTTGGAAAACGAAACGCGGCCACACGAGGGGAGGCAGGCAATTCACCTGGCCGCAGAGTTTGGACACCCGGAGATTTGCGTGTTACTGCGGGATATCAAGGGCGCGGACATCAACGTATTATTCGGAAATGAGCGAATTTTTTTTTCGTTACCGGTTTTTCTTGACGTCGTTGCGCTTAGTTACGCACGAAAAGTTCTGTGCAGAAATGTGCCTTGTCGTAGGTTTGTTTCTACTTGAGTACTTAGTGTAGTGAATCAATGAATGATGAACAAACGTTGTCATTCACCATACAGTCTGCTTGTGACGATTTCGGCAAGACACCTCTCATGTACGCCTGTTCCGGCGGAAAGATCGAGTCCGTGGACGCCCTGCTGAAACTGCCGCAAACCGATATTTTCGCGACGGACAAGCGCGGCAGGACGTGCTTGCACCACGTCGCTCTTGCCGCGGAGAAAGATCCGGATAGGAAAAAGGACGCGGATTGCGCTCAAATCCTGAAAAAAATCGTCTCCCTAGTTGGGGTGAAGAAGGCCGCAAGTCTGTGGAAGAAAACCTACGACAGGGTGACAACCAATGCCGAATTCCTCCTCGAGAAGGAGCAGCCAAAACTCGCTTCTTCCGCACCGTCGTCAGCGACAAGCAATAGGAAGAGAGAGCAATCCAAGCCGGTCACGGCATTAGACGAAATCAAGATCCTCGATGACCTCCGGCACTTCGGCGGCGACGGCTGGAAGTCCAAAACGCAGAACATGATGGCGCGGCTGGCGGCCCATCTGAAGGAGGAAACCAGGAAACGGGACGAAATGATGCGCGATTTAGAAGAGAAAGCGGGCTACCAGATCGAGCGCATTCAAGAGTACGAGAGAAGCGGAACGGTATTGCCGAAGGAGAAAGCGGCGCCGACGACTTCTCTGGCGCCAGTTGTGGGAGCTGCGCCGAGTAGTGGAGTGGGGGTTGCGCCGAAATCTGCAGCTGGTATGACTCGAGTTTTGGACTATGGAAATTTTGTAATATGCTGATGGGATGCATTGACGTAAAGGCTTTTACTTTTACATCGTTTGTTCTAACCTCCACCTCAGTGCCTTCCGTCTCCTTCGCCGCGACTAGCAAAGCAGGAGCACCCGCGCAGCCGATGCTCTCTCCCGGTTCTAGCGATGTTTCCATCATCAACAGCCTTGCAGCGAAAGCGAAGGCGCCAGTAGCAGCCACTGCTCCCGTGGCAAACTCCGCTTTGCTCACCGGAACCAGCGCTTCTGCAGCGTCGACATCTGCTGCGGTCAGAATGCCAGCTGCCGCGACGTCAACATCATCTATTGCAAAACCTGCGCCGTCGGCAGTATCAGCATCGTCGTCTGTCGCACCAAAAAATCCGGCTACGGTACTGTCGTCCGCTCCGACCGTTTCGCCAACGCCTGGCGCTGTCGCAAAACCAGTCGGCATCACGGGAATGGGAAGTGCTGCTGTAGCGAAGCCAGCAGGCCTGGTTGCTGGCCTTGGCGTTGGGGTCGGCGCGGCGAGTAAACCAGTCGGGGTAGCGGCGCCTTCAACTGCAGCCGGTGCCAGCAGTCTCGTCGCAGGGCTAGCGGCGAAGTCTAGTGCACCCGTCGCGGCTAAGCCTGTCGGCATTACCACCACCACACCAACGGCAGCCACAGCTGCCGTCGCGAAACCAGTCGGAATCACAGCAACAGCGCCAACCGCGGCAGCTAAACCCGCTGGAGTTTCTCTCGTAGGCGCTCCCCCCGCTGCTGCACAACCGAAACCAACCGGGATTGTCGGCCCGGCCGCCAAAACGGTAGTTGCCGCGAGCAAACCGGCCGGCACAACTGTGGCCAGACCTGCGAGTGCGAAAGCGAAGGCCAGAGCGCATTCCCCCGCTGGCAGTGACAAGTCCTACGGCGGGGAGTCGTTCCTGTCAGAGTCCATCGAAATCGGGTCCGATTCGTCCTCGGACAGCCCGATTGTTGGCGTTGGAGCGAAGGCGAAAGCGAAACCCAAGGTCGCTGGTCCGCCGTCATCCAGTTCCTCGAGCGCAAAACCGGCCGGCGGGGGACCCAAGGGAAGCGACTACAACTTTTAAGTTGAATGGAGTCATCTTCAACAAGTTGAGATAAATGACATCTGTACTACTTGTTGAGCTTGTTGCACGTACTGCTACTGAAATGGTAGTTTCGGCTCAAAATAATCATGAGCCTCAACATTCTGGGCTACAAAGTAGATACGAGCTACTTCTTAGAGCTTTTTTGACAGCTATGAAATAACTACGCAAGAGCTGCAATACCTACGAACACAAGAACAGATAACAATTGATAACACCTGGATCTATCAAACAGAAAAAAGGATTACAAAAGTATCAGTCTGTGACTGTATATGCTTTTTCTTTTATTTCAATATCGGCTATTTCAGAAATTTTCTCACTCTCGCGGCGAGAGAGTGAGTTCTTGTTACGCATTAATCACTTTGATTTATATGTTTCGTGTAAACCTAAACACCGAGCTAGGAAGCGCATGGGGGTAGAGGGTCAAACAAGTTTTTCCATGTGAGCGAGCTTTTTTTTCTAGATCCACAAAGAATCAGAATGCCTAGCCCTAACTTGAGCTTTTTGTCGCTGTCGTGAGGCGAGCGACTCAAGCTGCAATGTGTAGTCGGCTACGAAGCGAAGAATACTACTTCTTCCACTGTCATTATATAATTCAACAAGATCGAAAAACGCGAACGACTGGTAGAATTCAAATTCGAATTTTGTAGAACACGAGGACATGATTGCGCGCACGCTAAACCGACTAGCTACAATAGATACTTAAAACGCACTTTGATCAAATCGAGCTTTCTACATATCATATCAGCCTGCTATTCAGTGGCCGTAGTCATGCATGCATGGGGTCGTGCACTATCGTCAGGGTCGTAGTCTTACTTCTGCTCGTGTTCCAAGAAGGCAAAGCCCATCCGTCTGTCGACAGACGAGCACAAGTAGTAACTCTAAGTGCATGTTCTTGCGATCAATATGAACAAGATCAACAACTACTCTACACGGAATTTATACGTAATTAATCGATTTCGATTCTACTTCCGCAAGCAAAAGTAGCAGGGCTTTGTCCACTAATTCCGGGAGGGGCAGCCGCAGCTGGTCCACGTGCACCAGCACTGCCGCATTGGGCTAATGAACATCACGCGGATCGTCAACGTTAAGACTCATCCTTGGGGGAAAAAATGGCGATGCCAAACACATCAAACAGAGATCATTTTTGTCCTGTAGTTCTTACACCAACTCATTTGTTATTGTTACGATGAACTGCCCTCACGTGAAAATAAATTGCTTGCAGGACACCATTGACGACATTTACCCCATGGCTTTCCCACCCACATCTCACTCATTTTTACCCATGTGCTGTTTTAGCGAGGAGATTGTACCAGCGCCCTTAGAGGAGCGATTCATTTAACTGACCTTTACGCGTATTTTTTTGAAGAACAAGAACTACGGAACGAGTATAGAAGTACAATATTAGAACAAGTACCAGTACATCACTCACGACTTCTGCATATGCAGTTGAGCCAGCAGATGAAGATGATTCGATAAAAGCAAAGAAAACCCGCGCCGCCATGTCGGGAACCGGTACACAAAACGACCCAATAGTCTTGTCCGACTCGGACGACGACGACAATAACAACAACCAACAGCCTCTCGGTAATGGAGGGGATGATGGGTCAGACGGCGATGACGGTAGTTCTCCATCCCTACAGCAAGAGGAGGAGGACTCAGAAGAGGAGGAGTCTGATGAGGAAGAGCCTGAGTCAGTCTTCGAGGAAGGGGACCCAGACGAGCAAAATGCGCCTGGTTTGTCACCACCCGACGAAGAAAATAGCGGGGAGGCCACTCCAATAGCGGATCAGTCTCCGTTCGCCGCGGTAGTACCTGGGCAGCAGCAGCAGCAGCAATCAGCAGCAGCGCCGGCGGTCATAGATGCAGCCTTATCATCCTTGCCTCCCATGGGCGACGTAGCGGACGCACTCGCCGCGCATTATCAAATGTAAAAATGTCTGGGTCTGAAAGGTTAGAACTTGTCATGCTAAATCTGAACGATGCAAAAATCTGTGTTGCGTGAGTACCAAAAGCTGTCCGCTTTTGACCAAGTGGAAAGGGAGTTTCTCATGCAGGAAAGGCATGATAGAGACCTCAAAAGATCTGTCATGTTGGGTCTCGCATTCCAGACCTCATGAGTCATGGAAAACCTGCATCACAAATCTTGCATTCTTCCAGACCCAGACATTTTTACATTTGATACGCATTTTCTGTCTCCCAAATGGCAAGCGGAACACGCCGCGGGTCGTGTAGAAGTCCTCTCGGGAACAGGAGCAGGAGGAGCTGCAGTCGCTTCCTCCAGCTCCAGCTCGAGCCACGTGCTGTTTGGCGCGCAGCTGACCGGTGGCAGTAGTTCATCATCTGGGGGCCAAAAATCTACAGCGCTGTTGTTTCAAAAGGAAGAGACGCGCCATCGGCACAGAAGCGGCGTGCATGAGCGACCTGGTCTTGAACAACAACAAGCGGTACTAGAAGTAGAACCCAGAACTGGTTCCAATGTGTTGTTCAGCGCGCTTGCTGCTTCGACGTCGTCGTCGTCTGCGGGCAATGTGACTGGAGCCTCCACTTCTAACGCGGGAGCAAATGTCGCCGGCGATATTACCTCCGGAGCAGGTACGCAAATTTGAAATACACTTGCAGCACTGCTGCCCCACTATTTTAGTTTTTGGCTTAGTGATCATGTGGTAGAAATCAGTCGTCTTGCCCTCGTGCAGAATATTTTGCAGGACGCTGTCATGGACGCGTCATTATCCTATCGCCTGTACCATCGTGCATCATGTTATACACGACGGCGCACTGAGAGTTGATAGGTCAACCTCGCACGTACTCAGCAACTTCAAAAGCAAAAATCGCATTCAATTTTCATTTACGATTTAATATTTACAGCACCAGCTGCTTCGCCGCCACCGGAAGACGAAGAGAACGAAGGGATAAAATCTGCTGCTGCCAGCGCCGGCAGCAGCGACTCTTCCGTCGCTCACCACGTGGAAGAGGCGGACGCTGAGCTCGCGAGCCAGCAACGTGGTCCAGAAGCCTCCCTCACAGGGGTCAAACTTGACCCATCACCACAAATTGCTGGCACAACCAGTCTGTTCGCTGCGGTGGAAGCAAGTAAAGCGCCACTAGGTGGAGCAGCAGCAGGCGCGGCCGCCTCCAGCTCCTCCGCAGGTTCTCGTGCCCAGATTGACGTTGCCGTGGTCACACAGAATACCCCGCACTTCGGGCCGATGCTGGACATGGAAAACGAAAGCCTCGACGACAAGCTTCTGCGCGAGAGGATAAACAACTTGAGTGAGTTGCGACCGAATCCGAATAGCCAGGATCGGTTGCCGCCACCTCCTGCAGCGTCAACATCTAGCGGAGGAGGAGCTGTAGCACCAGCTGCAACTACTCCTGCATCGGCAGGATCAACATCTTCAAACGCGAATGCGGATGAGCAGCAAATCCAGCTGTTGACCAAGATCATGGCCAAGGAGCCAAGGTTATTGCCGCAAAATCTCCTTCCGAACAGCAGCAGTTCCTCCGGCGAAGACCACGACGAGGTTCTTGCGCCGGCGGGGTCTCCTGGAAACACAAATGTCATGCAGCTCATCCCAAATACCGGCACCGCCAAGAAAGCTTCACCCGACATCAACACGATGAAAGGTGGACCACCCGCAGTAGTTTCAGCAGACTTGGCGCGGTCCCCGTTTTCCATGATTTCTGCGAACGACCCGAGAAACCAGGCACTCAAGTTCGAACAGATCGGCGGATCATCCTCGTCCTCCGCGATTATCGCCGATGCTGTGATGCAGGACGCCGAGAATAAAGAGAAGTCTTCAGCTGCAGGCGATATAATTCCAGAGGAAGAACTCCTTCCTGCTGCGAAGAGGGCAAAAATCGCGGACGATGATGAAAATGCAGCTTCCGGATCTTCTAATGCCGCCGCTGATGACCGACTCGGCGGAGCGAGTTCTGCTTCGTCTGATTTCGGCGGAGGTGGTACTAGCGCAGCTAACATGATAGCCAGCCCAAGCCCGGAAGAGGAGATTTCGAAATCAGGAGGAGCCGATGGCGATACTGCAATGCTGCAGGGAGGAGAACAACTACAGCAGCTAGTACAGCCTCCTGCATCCTCGATGTCCCGCGACGGCCTGACACTCTCCGAGAAACTCCCCCCTCCGTTGTTTTCGGCCCGAAGTTACCAGGCGTTCAGTACGGAAAAAAGCATTTTGCCGGGGACGATAACCTCCGCCGAAGGTGGTGGCGCAGGAACGTCGGCACTTAGTCAGCCAGGAGCCGGAGCCTCGTCTTCAAGCAGTATGAACAATCTGTTGTTCTCAGCCGGTGCGCCCGCAAATCTCAATCTTCCATCCGACTTGCTGCCGAACAAAACTACGAGTTCCGATAAAAATAATTCCTCTCATCTCTTCCTTGCGCTCAACGCCTCTGCGAGAGTTTCCACAAACAGCAAGAACAGCCTCGCAGCTGGCGGTGGCGCGGAGGGGTCGCAAACCCCAAAAGGAGCTGCCTCCAAAGAGGACAAAAACAAGCCGCTCCCACGGAACAGCATGCAGGCGCGGATCATGGAGCTGGCGCACCCCGTGCTGGACGAAGAGGCGCTCACCAGTTTAACGAAAGACGAGCTGCAAGAAAAAGTCCGCAAGATGCACCGGGAAAGACAACTATTGGTCGACAAGTTTCGGAGAATCCAAGCTGCTGACCGGACGCGAAGCAAAATCAGCATTGCACCCTTGACGCCCGTGTTGGAGCAGACGAATGATGTTGACCAGAAGATGAATCTCACACCAAATCTCAACACCTCCGGCATTGCTGCAGCCTCTAGTAGCCAGCTCGTGACGGAATTGCAAGCGAGAATCGCCGAGCTGGAGCAAATCGTCGCGAAGAATCGGGCGGATTTGAGCAAAAAAGACCAGGAATTTGAGAAAAAGCTGCAAGAGGCAACGGGGAACTTAAACGCCAAGATTCGTCAATTGGAGCAAGAAAACCAAACTGCTTCCAACGGCTACCAACAAGTAAAAGAGGAAAGGGACGCGTTGCATCAGAAATTGACCAACACAGAGAAGCACATGCAGGAGCTGAAGGAGTCGAACAAAAAAAGCCGCGAAGAATCGCACAAACTCCTGACCGAAGCGTTTGAACAGCAGCAAACCTTGCGGGAATCCTTTGCTACCGCGAAAGCGGAACTCCAGCTGGAAAAGAACCGCTCTGCGGTTTGGAAGGGCGATTACGACATCGCGAACGCGAATCTGCAGCGGAAAATCTCGGAGCAGCAGATGAGCGAGGCGAACGTCGGGGAGCAGTTGTTGCGCTTGGACAAAATCGAGGCGGAAAACAAGGAGCTGCTGGACCAGGGCCAGAAACTCGCGTTTATCATCTGCCACTTGGTCAGAAGCAGCTCGACGCGACTGCGGAGCATGTTTCAGAACTATCATGGTACAACTACAGGGACGATGAATGCTGGAGCTGCTGGGGGCCCCGCGTCATCGTCCAACCTGAATCTCGAGCAGCATAGAGTAGACGCTTTGCTAGCACGGGAAATGTCCGCAGCGGGTGGTGACAACTCTGGAATCATGGATTTCGACGGAGTTCCGCTCGCCGCGACGCCAAGCGATCCGGCGACGCCGAGGTTGTTAGACCCGGCGCTGATGGAGGGAGCTTCGCCGGAAAGTCTGCTCGGCCGGTCTCCTGGAGAGGATAGCGAAATGGACGCTGCCAATGCGAACATGTTCTCCATTCTTAGGGATAACTACAACCGGAATCAAAATGCGGACGGCAACATGCCGGAAGACAGCGGGTCGTGGAGTATCCCGAACGAGTTGAAGAAAAGTATTCAAGAGATCCTCAGGTTGGACATTCTTCCACGACAGGAGGAGCAGCAACAAACGACAACGACCACGACAATTCAACAAACGACGACATCTTCGACATACTATGAGCAGCAACAAAGCAGTACTAGAAATGGAATCCCCTCCAGCGACAAGGTGCAGTCCATCGCACTCTTAGCGGACTATCTGAAGCAGATCCAGGGTCTGAAGGATAACCTAGAGAAAACCACCACCGAGCTTTCCGATAAAACCCATGAAAACGAGCGGTTGGGCAAGTCGTTCGGCGAGGCCAGGCAGCATTTGACAAAGCTCCTCGGGGATCACAAGCACACGAAGCAGCAGCACGAAAGTCTGAAGGAAAAGGTATGTGAGTGTTGTAACAACTGAAGCGACTTCGAGGTTCTTTCGTTATCGTTCTTGAAACCATCCATACATATTTCGCAGAAGTGTCCTCAGTGGTCTCCTGTCTCACAACTTCTTTTGCATCATGATGCACTTCGACGTCTTACAGGGAAATTCCGATAATATGTTTGTAGTCGTGTAAATCAAAATCAACACCTACCAGGTCGAGCTCCTCCGTACGGAACTGATCAAGTGGAAGTCCAATGCTAGCCAAAACCAAGATTTAGTTGATGTCTACGTGAAGCAAATCGAGGTCTGGCGCCACGAACTCCACCGCCTGCAGTCGCAACTCGCCATCGGTTCTGACCAGTGGCGCCCGACCCCCAGTCAGCAGATGAGCAAGATTTTGAACCCGAACAAGCACCAGCAACCCGTATCCGCGGCCAACGCTGCGGATTCGGTGGCTTTGTTCCTGGAGCGATACGATAGCGAGATCGCCGACAATTTGAAGTTAGTCGCGGAACTCCGGGCGCAGCTGCAGACTCTGACGTACGAGTCGAAAGTGTCGATTGAGAAGCTGAAAGCCACGAAAGACGAGCTGTTAGAGCACAACAACGAATTGGAAGAGCAGAAGCTCATCGCAGAAACGAAAGCGACGCAAATGGAAGAAGAAGTCGCCGACTTGCGCGACCGGGCGGAATTAGCAGAAAAAAGCTTCGGCGAAGTGGAAGCACAGAGACAGGAGCTGGAACGCCAGCTGTTTTTGGGAGGAAATGCTGGAGGGGGTGGAGCTGTGGTCGCAAGTTCATCTTTGAGCAAGCATAGTAATTTCGGCCAGACGACGGCGTTCGAGCAGGAAGTTGCCGGGCTGCAGCAAGGTACTTATAAATGGTTTGTTTCCTACTTATATCCTGTTTTTCTTTTTGAATTTGCCTTGTCGTGCCGACCAGTTTAGTTGTGCCACCATGACGGAGGATCATGTGTATTCCCGTTCTGATTCTTGTTTGAATTTGATTTCGCTGGTTAAACATCACATCACGATCATCCCTACCTACAGGCGGTTCCCAGTACTTGACCTCCCGACAGCACGACGAGGTGATTGCCAAAGCCTTCAAAGCGCTGCGGCAGAAAGACGCCGAGATCGAAAATCTTCTAACCCAAGTGAGCAAAACCCAGCTGGAAGCGGCGCAGTTCAAGGCCGACTACCAGTTGATCCAAACAAAAAACGATAAACTCACTTCCGAGAAGAAAGAGCTGGAATCCGAAAATTTACACTTACTCCGTCCGAAGGTAGAAACCCTTGACCAAAAAGTGGTGCAGAAACAGGCGGAAATTCTCTCTTTGCGGAACGAGATGACGAGCACGCAGGAGAAGATCCGGTCGTTGCAAATGGAAGTAACGAGATTTCAGAGGCAAGAACTGGAGAGGGATGAGGAGTTGCAGAAGCACAAGAAAAAAGCGAATAAAGAAGTGATTGAAAAAGAAGAGCAGATCACTTTGCTCCAAGCAGAATTGCAAAACACGGAGGATAAGTGGAGAAAAGAGCTTTCCCTCCAGGCCAAGCAGATGGAGAATAAGGAAGATTTGATGCAACTCTACCGCCGCACGCAGGAGGAGCAGATTCAGCAGGACCAGAAGCGGAAAAGAGAGATTTCCGAACTGCAGGCACAGAAAATCGAAATCGAAAAAAAAGTGGACGCAGAAAAGGCGGTGAACGAAAGGTTTCGGGCGCATTTGGAATCGGTGGAAAAGGAGTTGGCGAAAGTGAAGGAGCAAGCCGCAACTGCTGCTAGCAGAGGTGGGAAGTCGCCAACTACAGGGAAACAAATTCATCTTGCTGGGCACAATAAAAAACACACTCCCCTTGATGATGCCGAGGTGGAAAAAGAGTTGAATCAGCTGAAGGAGGAGAAAAAGAAGCTGAAAACGAATTTGGAAGAGGCAAATACGCAGAGACGGCTTCTACAGCAAGACTACGAAACTTTGCAGAAAAAGCTGAAGGATTCAGAGAAGCAGTGCGGAGATGTGGAGGTGATGCGCCAGGTCTTTGCGGAAAAAGCCGTGAAGCTGGAAAAGGATCTGCAAGAGAAGGAAAAAGAGCACCAGCAGTTCTTGAAATTGCAACAGGAGAAGGACGCGAAAATCGCGCTGTTGCAACAGCAACACGCTAGTAGTACCGCTGCAGCGAATTATGCGAAGGGTAGTACCAAAGGCGGAGCTGCGAGCAAGGGCGCAGCAGCTTCTTCTTCCTCCTCGTCTACCGCTGCAGCTAGAAGCAGTACGACCAAAGGTGGTGGAGCCGCAGCAGGCAAACCAGGAGGAGGTCAGCATGTACTTCAACAGGCCGCTGCTGCGCAACAGAAAGTTGGTGCTCGTGCAGATGATGAAGATGAACCAGTTCCGCAGGGCGACTCCGCGGATATCATCATCGAAAAGAACAGGAAGATCACGGCGTTGGAGAAACAAGTGAAGGAAGCGCAGGACCAACTGAAAGTGTTGAAACACCGCGACCAGAAGGCGAACAAGGTGCAAAACGAGCTGGCCGCAGACAAGGCGTTGTTGGAAGAGCAAAGGAACGCATTGGAGAAGCGCTTGCAGCAATCGCTTCAGGAATTGAAGAAGGAAGCGGAGAGGAGGACGAACACCAGTGATCTTGGTGGGACGAGTGGTGCTCCTGCTTCAAGTTCCGCGTCCTCGGCTGCTGTCCTACTTCCAGGTGATTCATCTAATGCTGGGCAAGCAGCTCCACTTGCATCTTCCGCTCATCTCTCCTCTGCGTTATCCACAGAAGAGAAAGAAGACGCTTTGAATGAAGAACTTCTCCAGAAAGACGTGCAAGTCAAATCGCTCCAGCGCCAGTTGCAGCTCAAAAGGGTCGAAAACGACGAGCTCCGACTCCGATTTCGGAAAAAGCGCGACGCCGCGCACACTGCCGCAAGGCTCGACGGGTTGCTTGCTGCGGAGAATAACACGGTGGAACAGGATAAGGACAACACTGCTGGTGGTTCTTCCTCTTCTTTCGCCGGCGGTGTGATCTCCCCTTCGAGTGGAAATCAGGCACAGCAACAAGCGAATATCGCACTACAAAATCAGAACCAGATCGCGTCTGCCACGACGGAACTGCGGCAAGCGATTGAGACGGAGTATCGGCAGGAGCTGGAGCTTTACAAGTCTGAGACGCAGAGCAAAATCGAGAAATTCCAAAAAGCCACGCAGGAGGGGAAGAAACACTCGACGGAGCTCACGAAAAAATTGGAATCCGAGTTGACCCGCCAGCAGGAGGAGGTGAAGGCGCAATTAGCGAAATCGGCGGAATTGGAGGAGGAAGTGGAACGACGGAAGGAAAAGTACCGGAAACTGCAGGAGGAATTGACGCAAACGCAAAGGGACGCGGAAGAACGGGTGCAACAGAAGTTGGCGGCGCAACACAGTGCTGAAGTGGAGCAACTGAAGGCGGAATTGGAAAGTATGAAGGGGAAACTGGCGGTTGCTGCACGTGTATCAGGACAACCCAGAAAAAGTTCTTCAGGTTCGGTTCATGCCGTTGATGTCGAAGGAGAAAAAGATCTCGCGGTTGTTGAAAAAGCGCAAACTCATTTTTCCGAGTCCAAAGAAGGTGATGAAGATGCTGTGGTCGCTGAAGTGGAAGAGGGGGAAGTCGCAGCACCTCCGGACGCAGCTCCCGATGAAGTTGCGATGGATGTGGACGCTGAAGTAGAGCAGCAACTACAGGAACAACCAAGAAACGAGGAGCAAGTTGTCGATGTCGCAGCTCAGGAGGGAGAAGTCGCTGCTGGCGCTGAAGCTGTTGCAGTACCAGAGATGGACGGTGAGCAGCAGGAACAGATTCTTGTTGGCACCGTTAACGAACAGGAGTTGGATGACCCCGAAGAAGTAGACGCCGACAATATGGAAGTCGAAGTAGATGTTGTCGAAAGTAATCAGCACCTCCAAGTTCAAACAAGCACCGTCGCGGCCCGGGCTGGTGGTATTGAAGATAGTCACGATGCGGAATCCACGGCCAGGAAGACAACCCAAGTTTTTGCGCCAGACGAGGAAGCGTTGCTCGGCGGGGATGTCGAAGAGGAAGAGCAGCAAGGGAACGATGAGTTAGCGCCGCGACATGCTTCAGCTCAACAGCCGCGACAAACCGACCTCGCTGCGGCGATAAATCTCCAAGACCAACAGGGCCTGCAGGAGCTGGTCGCAGCTCAGGTAGAAGGAGCTGCTGGTGTTGAAAAGCAAGAAGCAGAAACGTCAGCGGCCCCTCCTCCTCCTGCCGCCACGACCCAAGAATACGAAGTTGCAGCAACGCTCGAGATTCCACAAGTAGATCTTCCGTACGCAGAAGCCGAAAACAATGTCGAGGTACACCTAGAGGACGCTGCTGCGAACGTCGCCGCCGAAGTTCAGGAGGAGCTTCAAGCGCTTGACGCGGCCATGCAGGACATTGCGGACGAGGAAAAACGATTAGAGCAAAGTGGAGGTGATGGGGATGCGGCAGCAGATGAAGATGCCATCGTTATTGAGGAGGTTGCAGCGGAAGAAGGGCAACAAGACGAAATCAGCGAGGAGTACCAAATTGAAGAGGTTTTGCCCGACAATGTGGATGATGGAAATAACGCTCCGCAAGAAGCGCCTGCTCCAGAAGCAGCAGAAGCACCGCCACCCATGGAACCTGCTGCGCGAGTAGGTGGGGACCACGCGGTTGCAGCTGCGACTGGGGCAGTGCCAGGAGTTCTTCCAGTTGCTGTACCAGGTGCCACTACTAGCACCATCGTCACCGCAACAACATCACAGGCCGCGCAAGACCCACCTCCAGTTCCCCTGTCCCCAAGGAGCCAACTGCTCAAAACAACGACCACAACGACGACAACAATGTTGACTACTAAAGTGGTGGAAATTGTTCAGGAAGAAACCTTGATTAGTGGAGACGAAGCTGCCCCCGCGCCAGTAGATGCACCAGCTTCTTTAGAGGATCAGCAAGCACCGGACACAACTGCAGATGTGCTGGTACTAGCAGACGAGGGCGCCGTGCAGGAGGACGACCAGGGCGCCGTGCAGGAAGAGGACCGTGCTCCACCAGAAGCCGTCCCTGGTGCCGACGAAGCCGGTGCAACGGTAGCCGCTGATGAAAATGAAGCGGAAGTTCAGAACCAAACCCGTCCCCCCGTGGTATTCGATATGGAAACGCCTGCGGCATTGAAGAGTGAAAGCGAAATCTTCGTCACTCCTCAGGGTGGTGGTGCAGAAGAGCCCGACGAGAAGGATCTGGAGGGAAAAGAAGAAGCTGTTGCTGGGCCAGGCAGTGCTTCTGCAGACGTAGACGCGAGTGCTAATGTAGCTGACGTTTTCGAGCCTGAGCTGCCTGGAGATCATGCCGCGCACACTGCACTAGAGCCAAATGAGCTGCAGGCTCTCGTCGATACTGCTGCCGCCTCTAGCGGAAGCGGTAGTAGTCTAAAGCGTGCGTCAGCTCAGCCCGCGGCAGTGGCAGTGGATCAAAGTGCACCCGTCGAAGAGGAAACGGGTGAAGCAGCGAAAAAACAGAAAACTGAAGCTGCTGCTTCTGACGCTGCATAAGTTGTTTGCTGGCTCCAGCTCGATCAGCTTGAAACATGTTTAATACTAACGCGACATGTGTGTGAATGTGACAAATGAAATTATCAAAGCGAAAACTCAAACACTCAAAGAAAAAAACATATATACGCACCCTCAATCGCTATATCTTGAGGCGGTCACAAGCTTTACACGAAGCTGTGAGAGAGCGTTGCTGCTGCAAGAAGGGCGAGCAGTGCTACACTTTCTTGTTCGTCGACGTCTACTTTCTCATATTTCTATTTCATTGTGATCCTATGGTATGTACCTTTTGCTTTTTCTTTTTCGCTCTAATCCGGAAGCCAGGCTAGATGCTGGGGCACACTGAAACGATCAAAGTACGACCAGAGACATGCTGCACGTGAGGATGTAGCTTTATTTGCTTTTGGATCTAAACTTTCAATTACATAGTGTACGTCTTCATCGTATTCATGTTGATAATATGAGTCAACCTGCACCTGCTATCCGCTCAGATGAAAGAGAGATCTCCATATTATCTCCCCCTCGCGCTAAAGTAAAATGCATTCACGGGGCACCTTCTGTTGCTGGTAATCGCCTGTGCCCCTTGTTGTAGCAAATTCATAGACGTACTTTGTTTTCATTTCAACGAACCGCACATCACGCACCTCCACAGGACGTAGACAAAGTCTACTGAAAAACGTGATCCCATACTTTACTCTAACTGAAACTGAAAGGTTTCTAACGAAATCTTTGCATGTGCAGTTAAAGCTAAAGGTAAAAGTCAAACACAAACTCGACAACTTTCGAAAAAATAATTTTGTAAAGAGCACTAAGCTGCTGCCTCTCAAATATAAATACTCCTTACAACTAGCAGTAGCGTCATTTCTAAGATTTTTTAAACACAACCGCCTTTGAAAGTTTCTTTGTTTCTTTGCCCAAATTTCAAGTTGAAACTTGAAAAATAGCATTCAAAAGTACCCGCAGTTGATAGTTCAGAAGTACCACTGTCGACAGAGACAGAGTCAGAAACTTTCGGGCTCCGACCGCATTTCATCAATCATTATCCACACTGCTCTCGGCATCAAAAAAAATATTTTCACAAAAATGCCTTTGTATCTCACCGCCAAGTTCAAGATGATGCCTGCCCTTGTGGCAGCTGCACTTGGGGGCGGCATCACGTCGACCTGTGTAGTAACGGCCTCCAATCCTGTCCGGCCTGGTCCCGTGGCGAAGGGCAAACCAGCTCCGAAACGACAGAGCAGACGTCCGGGGGAAGAACAGCAGGGGCAACATCAGTTGCACTACACAACCGGAGCACGCTCCACGGTGCGCGTTGTTGGAAGAAATCGGGCCTCCGGACGAGGTGGACAGCAGCAGCAAGGTCGCGCAAGTAACGGTCAGCTGCGGGCGCAGGAACAGCAACAGCAAGACCACCTAGACCAGCGTGCAGCCATCCCCATCGACGAGGCATTTGCAGATCGCAACCGCCTCGCCCGGACCCAAGTTTTGAGCGACCACCTGGACAGAACCCAGCCCCAGAGCATTGCGGACGCGAACCTGCTCCGGGCCTTTGTACGGGTCTTGGAGGACGAACGGCGGACGAACAACGGAGGTATCCGAGACCAGCAGCAAGGACTGCGTCAGCAATCCTTCAGTGGTCCTGTTCGTCGGACTGCTGGTGCGGGACGTCCAGGCCAGCAAGGTGGACAACAACCTGCAGTCTATGAGCAGCCGCGCGACACAATGCTTCTACAATACCCCCAGCAGGAGCAGCCACAACGGGGGGATCAGCTGCCAAGTTTGATTTCTCCCTCCGGCGGAACAAACTATGCAACCCATTCCCTGCACCAGAACCTGTCTGCTGCAACCGTGACTCGCACCCCGTCGCCGACGGACGAAATTCTGAATCACTTCAACACGATGGAGGATGAGGAGCACGACAATTGGGGCCGAGACAGCTACAGCTCTGGGTCTGGAGGTTTTTCGTCGCCAGAACAAGTCGAATTCGGCGCGGAAGAGGATGCTTTCATGCGGTCCTTTGCCTGGAACGAACACGACGACTCGCTGACCATTCCGCCGTTTCAGCATTTTTACATCAACCGAGGCCGCGGCCACAATGACCATCTGCAGATGAATACCATTTCCTGTCCACCGGGGCTGGAAGCCAGAGCCACTCCCGTGACTACTTCGAGCACCTCCATTTTTCCCCGCACCAGCACGCCAGCGATGGTTGTGGCTCCGCAGCCGCAGCGTCAGGGCCTTTTTCTCCCGGACCAAGATGAAGATCCGTTTGCGCTGCAGCTGCCCAACATGCAGCAGCCCATGCGTGTGGAGATTTTTGACGGGAAAAAGCAAAGCATGGGTCAACAACGTCCGACAGCCAGTGCCTCCGCGGCGACCTCCTATACGTACACCGCCGGTCAGGAATTCCTGAGCGCTGCCACGGCGACGCCCTCATCTCCAAATGGAGTCACTCCCACTGCAGCGGGAACAGCCGGCGCTCCTGCTATGCGGGCACCGCCCGGGTTGAGTTTAGATCCCAGCAAGTCGAATGGCAGTGTGAGGATGATGTGGATGTGTGTCCCTGTGCCGTTTGATAACAACAAAAAATCTACAACTTCCAGCCCCGCCGCGGGCAAAGAAGAAGCAGCTCTTGCCCCAGCGCTGGTCGATGGCCATCTTCTACAGAATCTGCAACTTGTTCAGGATCATGCTGGTGGCACCGACATTACGGCTGACTCTACGGACGACGTCGAGCGATTGAAGTCCGAGGTTATCGACTATGGAACTCTCAAACGTTACATTCTCAACTGTTACATGATTTGTCATGCAAATTTACCACCAAGATCGCCGCGATCAAGCTGCTTCGCATAGCAAATCTGCGAAGGGCTAAACAGCATCGAAATCTGTGCCAAATCTGTAATGCAAAAGGCGCAATCTTCGCCAGTTCACTTTTGCCGTTCTTGCATGACAAACTTATGGAACAGTTGAGAATGTAACATTTGAGAACGCCATATCGACATGCTGAGGGATATGGGTGACAACTTTGGCACCCAGCTCTCCGACGCTGAGGCAGTGGCCGCCCTGCAGATTGTCAACGAGCGCCTGGCGAAGCACTCCGAGGAAGAGATTGCGAAGGCCAGGAATTCCCTCGAAGATGGGCGCGCTGAACAAATGAGGCCGATGAAAGCAATCGGACGAGGAGGAGGACCAGAAAGCCCCACGACGACTCGTCAACACCGAGCATTAGATCATGCTGAAGCCGGCGGCGCGGCCTTCAGAGCACAAAGAAGTGCGACACAAGTAGAGCCTTTTTTGTCCTCCTCGCAGACGACTGGGGTCTCGGTCAGCAAAAAAACTGCTCTACCGCTGACGAGGGAAAACCAAAACGTGCAGGCGTCTCAGAGCGCGTTCCTGGCGAAGACTGCTCCAGCACCGGCGCCCGTCGGCTCCTTGGTGCACAACTTCTACACGCTCGAACCGATGTCTGCACATCAAACCGTAGATCGCGTGCCGCACCAACAACAGCGTCATGATCATCTGGCGTCGGAACAAGAAGATCATGTTCCACAACCGCCGCAGCCCCACCCGCAGTTGCGCCGCTCGCTGAACGTCCAGAGGGGGCAACCGAGAACCCCTGGCCAGCAGCACGATGGTATTATTAACGCGAAGACGAGGAACGAGCACGGCAACATCATTATCGTTTCGAAAGGCTCCGTCGGGCACCCGCACGCCTGCCAGCAAGCCTGCAAGTACCACGGCAAGAAGAGCGGGTGCAAGGACGGAAAGGACTGCGACCGCTGCCACCTGTGCTTCTGGACGAGCAAGCTCAGCGGGGGCCGGAACTCGCCCGAAGCGAGGGAGAAGCGAAAGGGGATGAAGGAACAAGGCCTCTTGTCGGGAGGTCGAGGCGCTGCTTCGGCAGCTGGAACGAACCAAGAACAAGAAGACATTATTACACCACAACCTGGTCATCTCGTCTCTTCATCCTCTCCCGCGAGCAGCCCGAGTCAACAACAAGAGAGCATGTTGTACAACAACTCAAGCCCTGCCTCCCCGGCGTCTCCGTGGGTCGGGGTCGCTGATCAGCTGGCGGGAACTCGGGAAGATGGCGTTTTTCATCCAACAGGCAGTCCTTTCTCGACCAGAGGACAAGAAACTGAATCTGCCGACGTGCTGAACCAGGACATCATTCCATTCGCGACGATGAAGAAAGGCGCACGCGCAGGCCCGATGCTCCCGGGTCGCGTGTCGTGAGGAAAATTATGTCGGGCTCAGCATATTAGATATTGACAGGTGGAGGTCATAGTCACGAAAGACAGCGGTAGTTGATGTTGTATACTTCATTCGATGTCCCTCCTCTTTGTTTTGTCTGTAAATCGCACCACCGCTGTCCTCAGCAACGAACAGGAGGAAAACCGCGCCGTGCTATCATGCTCCAGCACAGAAGATAACGCTTCCTCCTTATACCAGTAGTAACGCACCACCAGTTGGAGCTGCTCTCGAAGTGTACTATTTTTAGATGGTTGTACAAGAACTAAAGATTTTTTTAAATCCACCTTTGTATCCGGGCATCTCCCGCCTTTTTCTTCTTTTTTGCTGCGTTTCGGAAAACCGCGCGCATTATGTTATCTCTGATTCTAGTACTACGTACAAAGTATATGATGTTTCTATTTTCTCAAAAGTTGTTTTACAAATATACTTAATTATGACCGCCCGACGATGAAATCCACCGGTGTTGATAGACGCTCCTTCTTACGAATGGAAATGCCTCAATAATGCTCATGCAAACGTGGTAATCTGTGCGTGCCCTTCACCTTCTCTATTTATGCTTCTAGTTCTATGGTCTAACCACTGAATTTATTCGCATTTCACACCTTCTCCACCGCTTGCTTCTCGTTCTATTTTTAGTCTCGCTGTAAAATTTGATTTTTTCGAAAGCACTTTCATATTTCCCGACCTAAGCACTCCAGAAAAACTGCAAAGAGAAGACAGAAGTAGTTCTGAGTAACGCTATGACTATTTGTTGTATTTCTATTTCGCTGCACGATGGTCTTTGAAGAGCTTTTTTCGAATACAGAGCAGCTAGCACACCTAGCCACAGCTTTATTTGCAACCTTAGAATGCCACGAATATCAATATGATTTTAGATTTTTACGGACCTGACATTAATGTTTGCTAACTGGCACCACTTCCATTTGCAGCTCTATTTCTCGCCCAATTTTGGAACGGAATTTGTGAATTTGGAAATGCGTTTCCCGACAAACTTTCTGCTATTCGCGCCGGCATTTGCTATTTCTTTTGTTTGAGATTTTCATCATTTCTGTGCTCTTGTAGTCACGATTTTTTCAACATGATGAAGGGTGTGTAGAAAAATATATTTCAAAGGAGCAAAATAAATGAGAATCTTCTGTATTTGCAGTCCTCCCTGTAGCATCGAACATGAGTTCAGCAAGCGTAAAACCTCGTTGTGTATGGCACGACGCCGATTTGGATTGTGTTATCTAACACATGAGAATCCAGTAACCCGAACGTGAGTGCAGTATGTACAAGCCAGTACTTCGTGCCCCAATGATCTGTTATTTATTCTACGCCATCATAACTTAACCGCTTTTACTCACATAAAAACGATAACTCGCTACTTGTTGGCATCAATTGCTTCGAGAGCAGATAACTGCTCCTAAGTGCGCAGGTGAGACGCAGAATAGATGACCTCCTCCGAAGAAGTACTTAGATGTTAATGTAGGAATATAGATTTTTTGTTGCTCGTTTTCCGTAGCTATTGCTGTATCCGAAGATCTTTATATTTTTACGATCGATGCGACGATCGACGAAGTATGTCCAAAATATTTCGGCTTCGGGAGAGATCGAAAGCCCGCTCGCTTTGTTCGAGTAGGGTACGAGAACCGCCTGAAAACTACACGTTTATGATTTCTTTCGTCTTGTTGTACTTATCATTTCTGGGGGTAGCAACGATACGAACTTTTTTACGCTGCAAGAGCAGATGCAATTTACGATAGTATCTATAACTACCACTACTGCTGCAAAAATAAACAAGCGGCTTGTGAAGAGGATCGAGCTTCAGAGCTATTTCCGGACTACACCGAAAAAGAATACAAGCCGTGAAATGAAAAAAACAAAAAGTAGATATAGAGATATCTGATAAACTCAACCGAGATTTGACAATTTCTCCTTCTGTACTCCACCCTGCATTTGTTGTATCTATACAGGAACCGAGTTGTCAAGGGCGCTTGCGCACCGGTGACCGTAGACGATGTCGACACAAACACGGCGTATCCTCGTCGCGCAATCGACGAGTTCACTTGTTCATTTGCATTTATTCGTGACGCGTTTTTTTGTATCGTGCCTCGCTTGTGGTCTTTGTGTGTGCAGGTGCCCTGATATAATTCGGTCATGATCTCCAGTCGATCTCGATGCTAGTAAATCGCGGCTCTGGAGGACGAGGACCAGCAGATACGAAGATAGCAATGCGGTTGCGGGGCCAGTAGGTAAATAATAAAACATGATATAATAATTCGCAGATGGAAATTATATTCTCCGCTTCGTCGTCGTCTTCCTTGTCGTCCTCGCAGCCTCTTTTGTTCATCCACTTGTTCTTTCTTCATTGCGGCCGGCCGCGATCAAAGCTACGGCGGGTGGATTGTTTCGCCACCAGTGATCTATCATCCGTGCCGGCGAATAAAGCGCTATTTGTTCTGATTTATTCAGTGTCTGTCGTGTTGTCCAAGTGGCATCTTGTTCCGGCGATCGAGATGATCTATCGAGATCTCAGCATATAATGCCAGACATACACAAGAGCTGCAACGCTTTTGCTATCATGTCGTCTCACACCGATTGATCTACTTGTATTTCCCGTTCCCCCTCACAACTTGTTCTAAGTAATGCGATCACGTCCTCGCGAGGGCCGCCTTGATCTCGTCAAGAACTGGGGAGTTGGAGTATTTTGATAATGATATTTTTATATTCTGCACCATCTAACTATTGGGAGGGTTGGGCTTCGCGGTAAGACTTGACAATGGCATACAAATTTGGGATTTTACTTTTCAAGAACATACAACTTCAAAATACCCACAGCACCGGTCGTGGACAACATAGTCTACTGTCGATCAAAGATTTTTTTACAAGTAATTTATGAACCGAGTCTATATTGATATGGATAAGCATAAGGAGAAAGAGATTACAGAGAGCTTTACTTCAACTCGTTCTGGTTCTCTTGACGTGGTAAAACTAAAACTAGAAGGAAGCAAAATTTGACTTCTAAGTCCTTCCAAAAGGCAACGAAATGAATTCTCACTACTCAAAGAAACACACCCGACCTTTTTTAGCCGCACTCCCGCCGTTTCAAGCTCAGAACGGTGGAAACATACAAGTACTTCTCAAGAAGCGCCGTAGTATGTAGGTAGTACTGCAACTACGTGGCTGATATTGATAAATAGTTCACTAGTACAACAGCTCGTACCGCAAAAAGTTTGATTTTTCCTCCCTCATCAAAGAAATAAAGTCTGCTCGAGGTAGCAGAGAATACAATTACACCTTCCGCCCCCAAAAGAACAAGAGCAAGACCAAGATCAAGATGTCATCCTTCACAGCCATCAACGGAACGATGATGGCAGTGGCTGCCTTTATTTTGTTTTTGGCAGCAGCTGGTGGTGTCTTCACTTGTGATGTTGTGATGGGCTCTAGTCCACCAGCACCTTTGCCAGTTGGACCAGTTGGACCACGTCGAGCATCCGCTCTTGCGAAAGGCAAGGCACCAGCCCCGGAAGGACAATCATCCAGGGGTCGTGGTTCTTTCTTGCTGCCGCGACCAATACCGCGACCAATATCCAAGAAAAGAAGAGGACCATCTTCACATGAGTCACTATCTTCACTGGATACAACCATATATTATTCGCAGGAATAAGATTGTGACATAAATGAACAAATCATGGGGTGGTCGTAAGGTTCTTTGTGTAGAAGTGGTAGTGCTGCTGTCGTCATTCGAGGATACATCATTGTCGTCGTGTAGTAGCTCCTTCTCCAGGTGGACAAGGAATTTTTGTTATGTCCGCGGAGATACAAGTGCCACGACCTGTTGCTATTGTTAAGTATTTGATTCTTGTGATCAGGTCGTGGGAGATTGATGTTGCGCGGACCGCGGGCTCTGATCAGGATATACATAGTGGTCGCATGACAGGAGAACAACTTATCTGGTACTACAACATGTCGTTCGACATCAAATTTCCCATGCCAATGAAGTTGCAGTTGGTAGATCTAGATAGTGCTCCTTGTTTAGTGGTGATTTTTTCATTTTGTTCCATAGCCACGGCCAGAGCCAGACCAGTTTGAGCACCCGACCCCCGGGGCTGCAGGACCCTCGTGGTCCGCCGTTGTTTCGGAGCCTCCGGATCACAGACAGATGACCACCAGCCCCGGAACTGCCGGAGTAGTACAGGACGAGACAGTGCACACACCGATGACTACCAGCACCGGAACTGCCGGAGCGCAGGACGAGACAGATGGTACTAGAGGAGGTACTAGCAGAACCGGAGCCCCCCAGACAGCACAGACACAGTCACAGCTCGCCTTCGACGTCGGCGAGTCTTCGCAAGCGACGCTAGGCGAGCAGCGCAACCAAGCCTTCGCACGCCTGAGCGAGTCTGCGCGAAGGAGAATACAGCGTTATCGCGCTTGGCAAGGCGAAAGAAGAAGAGGACAGCAAGAACAGCGCGCAGAGCTGCAGCTGAGCCGTCTGGCGCAGGATAGTGGTGCTTCAGCGGCGTTGCGCGCTCGCTCGTCTGCGGGGGTTCATCTTCCCGGAGGCACTAGTACCTCCACCGAGGTTCTTGTCCCCGAAGCCCAGACACACGACGAGGACCCCGGGCACAGGCTACAGGAGCGTCAGCGAGCTCCGCAAGCGGATGAAGGACTTCGAGAAGAATGGACAGAACTAGTACACCACCAGCAAGGCAGCCACTGCGAAAATCTATTGACGGAATTGCTTCATGAAAAAAGTATGCAAGAACTGGGGGTTGCAGCAGCCGTCCGAACCGTTCAAAGATTTTTTATCAAATGCAAATATGTTGTATGTAGTGAGGTCACCGAACGGTTCTAACCAGGGAGTTTTTTTGACAGCTACCCTGAAAAACGACCGGCAGTTTTCAAGCGGCCGGAAGCGTTTTTGCACATAAAAAATTTGCACTTATCAAGCGGCCGGGGCTTTGAAGTCAAACAAGCCCGGTGGAAAACTATCGACTCGCACTTGATAAAACGACGCAGGGGAGCCGGCAAAAGGGGCGCCCTTCTGAGGCGCCCACCGCCTTGGTTTCTGGCGATTTGGGGCGCCCAAAAAGGGGCGCGCAAAGAACGCGCTCAAAATCAGAACAGCGAAACAGCATGGCACGGCCGCGATTTCGGAGCACTTTAGGCGGCCGCGAAAGCGGCCGCCTTTTCGCCGGTTTCAGAGCCTGGGAAGCTTTGCAAAAAGCGCCGGCGTGAAAAATAAAAACGCGAAAAAGAAAAAGCGCCCCAGACGCGCAAAGCCAATCCGCATGCTATGGGCCCGATCTTTCTTCGCTTTTTGGGCGCCCCCCGTAGCACCCGGATCGGCCCCATAGCATGGGGGCTGGCTTTCGGAAAGGAATTTCGGGAATTCGCCAAAATTTGTGACGTTTCTCAAGTGACCGCCATACCGTGCGGCATAACGTTACTCACGGTGGTATGGCGAGCCCAAAAAAAGCAAAGCCGCGGCCAAGTTGGCGGTCGGCAAAAAAACGCCCACGACCTCACTACCCCCGCCCCGGCGGCTATATTTCGTAAGTTGTATGGGTCTGGAAGGACGCAACTTGTGATGCTGATTTTGGATTCTACAGAAATTTGTATTGCGTGAGCAGCAACAGGAGTCCAGTGCATGGTATGCGGAGGGGGCGGCATTTCTCATGCGGTATATCTATGCATCAGGAAGTACTCCTAAAATCTGTGATGCGAGGGCATACATCACAGACATCATTGGTCATGCAAAATGTGCATGACAAGTCTTGCAGCCTTCCAGACCCAGACAGATTTGCTATTGATAAGATTCGAAGAGCAGCAAGAAGTGGCATTCGAAGAAGCCCTCCGAGCCGTTCAACGGTTCGAAGAGCAGCGCTTTTTGTATGGGGGTGTCAGGATGGAAATCGACAAAGTGGAAATGGTTTGTCGTGCATATGAAAACCGATCCCAGTTGGGCCCCCAATTACTAAGCGCCGGCGCATGACAAAAAAATTTAGCTGCAGTGAAATCCAACCTGTGATGCTGTTTCGGGCAAAGCAGGGTACACCTGTCATGCCCCTTCGCAGCTCTATCTCTCCCCGAATCAGGCTCCAGCTCGGTCTCACTTGGCATCCTTGCAAGACAGGCACTTTGTGCCTCGCATTTTATGCATCACATAATTATTTCAACTTTGTTGATTTCGGTCCTGACGCTTCCATATTTTGGCGCCGGATTATAGTAATTATATCTCGGGCTTGCGCGATCGCTCATCCCCCGCGGCTTCCGGCACCAGCGACCGTCTGAAAGCTGCGCAAGAGTTTCTACATGAAGCAGAGACACATCTGCAGCAGGCTGAAGCTGCCGGAGCACAGCTGGCACACGACCGGCGGAAAGCTGCGCAAGAGTTTCTACATGAAGCAGTGACACATCTGCAGCAGGCTGAAGCTGCCGGAGCACAGCTGGCACACGACTGGCAGAACGATGCGCAAGAGTTTCTACATGAAGCAGAGACACCTCTGCAGCAGGCTGAAGCTGCCGGAGCACAGCTGGCACACGACTGGCAGAACGATGCCCAAGAACTTACACACGTAGCAGAGGCATGTCTGCAGCGGGCTCAACATATCACATCAAGAAGAGCACATATCGATTTGGGTCGGGAAGGAGGTTGTCATCATGCTATTTTGTGAAAGCTACTTGAAGATGAACGCATGAGTGCAAATAACATCAAAATTATGCAGATGAGCCAAAAGCATGAGCAGCGCAAGTTTTTGAGCGGCTCCTTGTTCTTCGGTATATTATCCACCGCATAAAATACTTTATATACTTCGTTTATGCGAGGAAAATGAACACCGTAAGCACTTCTAGACTTTTTGGACACGACGACACAAGAGCATGATGTTGCGTCACAACCACGACATCGCACAGCAGTGTTGATGTCAGCTGCTGAGAACAAGCAAGCATCACAAATGTTGCATTCTTCCAGGCCAGCCAGTCCGATATTTGCAATCCATACAGTTTCTGCAGCGAAATCTACTCGACCAAGAGCTGTACCAGATAAGAATACCCCCGCGCGAGGAACAGCCCCCGGAGGTGGAGGCTGCGTTGCAAACCCTGGGGTGCTTGCGCGATCGCATCGAGAGTACTGCTGGTCCAGACAGCAGCGCGGAAATTGAGTTGCTCCAAGGTGCTTAATTACTTTTGAGTATGTAATTGTCGAGATTAAGACAAAATACTTTGGCTGCATTATTATATGTAAAATCCCCGCAAAAATGGTAGTACGTGTTGTCAACGCGAGACTGTAAAGGTAAAATGTGGAGGGATTCTTCCAGTCCACCTCCGTCTTCGTTCTCTGATGGTGTTTCCGCGAAGTCGACTGGAGGAAGGAACTGTTCCTGCTCGGAAAATTTTATCTTGTTGACGAGCGTCGCTTTCCGCAACCCGAACAAGAACCCAATTGCGCATGCAGCCGTAAAGGACTGCTTGGTCCAGTAAATCGGGTCCTGCATTTCTATCAGTTCCTCGAGCATTACTGGCGGAGGCTGGGTGTGTGCGAATAGTCCTTCTCGTTTCTTCCGCGTGACCAGCTGAGACAGATGAATTTTGTCTGCCGCCCCCAAGTTGCTGCCACCTGGGATCGCTTCTAAACGCGCGACGACAGACCATAGATAGTCATCGGCCGTCGCGTAGAAGCTTCGCCCGACCTGATCGCCGACTAATGCCGTGAAAAACAGCGTTGCGTGCTGTCTGGTGATCGGCCATGGTTTTTTCAAGAAGGCGCACTCCTTGTGCTGCGAAGCCCGTGTGCAAAACTGGAAATAGCACTTCAGCCGAGACTCCTCTGTTGTTGCAGCAGGCCGTCGTGTCATTTCCTTATGCGCCGCCTGCATGCGTGGAAGGTCGTCAAGGAGTTTGAATACTTCGTCCTTCTGTTTTGTTCGTCGTTGTTTCTCCGGATCGTGTGCATCGCGGTAAAGTTGGAGAATGCGCGGATGAGCTGCTACTTCAGAAAAGAACCCGGGCTTGAATTTGGCTGTTGGATCTTTCTCCGAAGGAATAATTCCTTGTGCCAGAAGTTCCGCGTCTCCGCAAGCTGCGATTGCTGCGGCAAAAACTTCTAGTTCTGTAACTTCCTGGTGCTGGGACTTGGCTGCTGGTGCCGCGGGGAGAACTGGCGCGGTACAAATCGGGTCGGAGCTTGATCTTTTTCTGGATGGCTGTGCGCGTGACTGCGGGACGATTCCGCACTGCCACTGTAAACTTGCAGTATCGTTTTCGGCCGATGCTATCGAGAGTACTGCTGGTCCAGACAGCATCGCGGAAATTGAGTTGCTCCAAGGTGTTTTGCGGGTCTTCATGGAGCAAGAAGACCGCGCGCAGCGTCTTCGACGTTTTTCAGGGCTCGCCGAAGGAGCTTCTGCCGCCGCAGTTGTAGAGGATCAGCAACAAGGACAGCAATTTTTGCAATCGTCCGTCGGGCATGATACAACTGATACTGGTACGGCGGTATTTTTGCACCAACAACGACAAGAACCTCGTCAGGAAGTGTGGACACAGTCCTCCTTGTTTTCGTTGCCAGAGGCGGAAGTCGAAGTCGATGATCTTGAAGAGCAGGACGAGCCTTGTTCTTACAGGAAGTGCTTTACCTTTGCCAGTGATGAAGATAATGAAGACGGTGAATTAGTGCTATGAGAGTGCACAAGTCGTCCCTCTCCCCCTCATCAGTTGTATGGCACGAACAGCTGCATCTGCAAAAACATCACAGGTGTCTCCAACACAAGTGGAGTCTGTTTTTTATCATGACAAGTATTACTTCACGTCGCGCCGATTGTAGTTCGTTGTGGTTGTCAAGTTTCCGGTTCGGTGAATTAATTTGTTTGCCCGGCCGCAAACAGTGCCACAAGGCGGCAACTGGATTTGGGTTGACTTAGCGTGAGAAATCATGATGCATTCAGGGACATGATCGGGGCGCGTTCCGTTTAGTGCCTTGTTGTGCAGCAGCACCCCATGGACCCGCCCGCACGACCCCTGGGCAGCACAGGCTTTACTCTAGCGCAGCCGCTGCCGCAGTCTGTTACGCATGACAAATGGAGGGGACGAGGAGGGGACGAGTGCTGCTCTACTTTCATATGAGGATGAAGACTGTCTGACCAGCATCCCCATTCCGGCCTTTGCCCGTCACCAGGTCGAAGAACAGCACCAGCCGTGCGATCAGACGAGGTCGTCCTCGTCCTGTCCACCCGAAGCTCCAACTCTGCTGCATGCCAAAACATCAACTCCAGGTCGTTGCAGTAGGTGTTCTCATCTATCTTCCCGAAATGTTTATTCGAGCACCCGGCGGGAAGCTTTCAGGGTCTTCTGCCAGTGCGTCCACCATCACCGCGGAAGCGGTGCCAGCGGTGAGTGATTGGGGCGGTGGGTGCGAGAATGAGGCTCGTTTGAAGAGTTCCAAGGGGTCTCGAGGGGCCTGCGTACCAAGCCCGCACGAGCCGGCTTGCGGCCTTTTTTGGGTCGCGAGTACGCAGGGCCCGGGGCCGCGAAAAAGATGCCCGCCTGCGCCTGTTGGGCGTGCTGTGAGTGCCCGTGGGTCGCGTCGATCTGCGCAGTGGGGGGGCCACTTTAGTCTATGTCTAGGCTCGTCGGGGTGTTGGCGTGCCTGTTGGTTCCTCTAGAGCGACGCCTGGGCCGCGTGCAAAAACCCACCAGGGGAGGCAACAGCACTCCTACGCAGGCGCGACCATAAAAACTGCAGCGCCTGCGTTGGCGCAAAAAAAAAAGGGCAAATCCCGACGGTATGCTGCGAATTTCTTTAGGGATAAGAACAGCGCTGAAGATCACCTATTTCATCTCTATACAGCGGCGAGGCTACATGGAGCGATGGTGGTGCTGGTTCCGGTTCGGGAGGCCGCGATCTTGGCCTAGCTCCCCGCGGACCCGCTTGTTGGTTTTTTGCTTTCCGCCCTCGTGGAGCTGTAGCTCGGCCTCGTCGCCAAGCAGTTCGCCCGCCTTTGCCACTGCTTTCGGCCCGGCAAGCTTTACTAGATTTATACACAGGCGCTCCACTGCTTGCTTCTGTGTCATTCGCGGAGGCCGTTTTTTAGTTTTCTCCCGCTCGAACATGTTCGCGAACCCGTAGCTGCTCTCGTTTTCATCTTCTTCTCTGCCTGCTGGAACACCGGCGCCAAGACCTCTTTCGCCGCGGAGCGAGTCGTAATTCCCAAAGAGGTCTACCCTGCAATCCTTTTTGAACTGCTCGGCGCGGGCCCCGAATCCACTGGCGATGGCTTTAAGCTGAAAGGCGCCCGCGTCAGTGCCCGCATTTGCTTCTCGCGCTGTTGTCTTTTCCTTCTGCGTGTTTACTTTCGGTGGGATCGCAGCCGCAAAAGGCGCGCCCACTCTGGCTTCGACGCTAGAGCTACTGCTGCTAGTGCTGCCGGTCGCGGAGCCCGCTTCCTCAGGTGCTGGCCTTGCTCGTGATTCCAAGTTCCGTGTCTCGCGACTATTTGCATTCCGAAACGACATCGCAATGGAAGATGACGAAGAGGAGGATGACGGCTGGGCCCGATGTCTTTCTCCGATTTCATCGGGTGCTGGCACTGGGAGTGGGCGGGGCGATCTCATCTCCTTCCATAATTCACCACCTTTATTTGCTGAAATTCGAGCTGCGAACCTGCCTGTTGAACCACGTGGGGCCCGTTTCGACCGGGTGGTGCTGCACACTGCTGCAGCTCACCAGGCTGCTTGTTTTGATGCGCCAAATCCTCTCCGCACGAAGCTACCTCTCGAGTCGCCGCGTCCGCGTTATGCATCACAAAATGCTGCACTAGAAGTGGAATCCAGAATGCAATTTTTTTCAGAAGCAACAAGCTCGAGCTGTTTCCTTATAAATATATTTGTCATGCAAAATCGAGCAGCCGTGCGATCAGACGAGTTCGTCCTCGTCCTGTCCACCCGAAGATCTGCTGGAGGCCCACGCAAGGACGATGCCCTGCACCACGCCGGCGAGGATCCTGACTCCTCCGCTAAGTATTATCCTGTGTAAGAACGTCCCCACCCCATAGTCAAGATGGGGAATCTGGATCTGCTACACAAATCCATTAGTTTTGGCTGTCGAGCATGACAGGTTCCGGCTCGTAGTGTAATCCTGTTTAGCTAGTAGTGCAACCGCATGACAAATTGACTATCTCATCCTGGTTCTAGCATGACAAACTCCCAGACAGCATTAGAAAATGACGCTCATGGGGCTGCGCATGAGAGACATTTTAGGCTTGCGGATTTGCACGACAGCCATGGGGTGGGGACGTTTTTACATATGATATTCGCCGCAGTGCCAAGAGGACGTTCTGTCTCGTGAGGCTGAGGTTGATGTGGGCATGACCATGACGGACAATATTCATGTTGATAAAGTGCTGGGCCCGCTTATTCTTGCCGAGCTGGCCAACTACAGGCAGCGCAGGATCATGCGGCAGGTGGTCCAGGACCAAGGGTTTGGTCATGGTGCCGGCCAGACCCAGACGAACTACATCAAGGGACGCCAGCTGATGGAAAATAAAACGGAGCCGGGCACCAGTGGGGATGATGTTAACGTCGCTTGTTCCACGACGACCACCACGGCGACTGCATACAGCCCCCCCTCCTCTCCCTCGCCTCCTTACATCGTGGCGGGCCAACAGTTACTATGAATTGCAAAAGTATCGCACTCGTATAAATGCATTACAAATTTCCTCAGCATGAAAAATAAAATTTGTAGTGCTGATTTACCCTAAAAAAAAATGTATTCATTGCATGATTGCAATACGAGTACGATACTTTTGCACACGATAGTTACTCGATGCCGCGATGTGGTCTCCTAGCGCCAGCCGTGCTGGTTCAGCCAGTGTATAACCTGCTCAGATGTTGCAACCTCAAGCGTTACAATAGAAATGGAAATTTGTGATGCAAAAAGTGAATAATTGAATGTCTAGTCTGCTGTCACGAGATTGCGCATGAGAAGTTTTTACAAAGCTCCAAACCCCATGAGAATCTGGCAAAATTTGTATTGCGAAAAGCGCAAAGCTCTGCATGTTCCACCTCATGCTCTCTATGCAAGACAAATCCCAGAATCTATATGTAACGTTTGAGCAGATTGTAACATCTGAGCAAGCCATACAGTGGTTTTCGTGCTTCTAGTGTGCGAGCTGTAGTACCCGCCTCCCGGTCAACATTTCTAGGTGTAGAGGAGGACATATGAAAGCCTCAGAATGGAAATTCTCAAAGTGGAAATAATTTGTGATGCATGAAATGCGACACCAAAAAGACTGTATTGCAGAGGACGCAATGGAGGCCGACTATTGTGCTTCTACGGGTTCAGAATTGGGCTGCTGATTAGCACGAGAGAAGGGCACACCTTTGCCCTAACTAGCATGACAGACATGTTTTGAGTGCCCGGGAAATTTGTCATGCGCGGCCGATTAGAAATGGCACTTCAACTGGAATTGTTTTTTTGCATTACAAATCATTTCCACGTTGAGGATTTCCATTCTGAGGCTGTCATAGGACACAGCTTTTGCTGCTGCCACCAGTTCTTCGAGCGGCAAAAGTGGCAGAATGATGTGGACGTGCGCGCGCGTGCCCCTGAATGACCTCCAAAAGAAGCCGGAGGCCGAGCCCAGCTCGACGTCTCCTGGCACTACCAAAGGGGCAACAACAACTGCTTGCGGGAGAAGAAAAGAAGATGGCTATAATTTTACGGAGGGGGTTGTTCTTCTTGCGCCGCAGCCGGGTCTACCTTGTTTCTCCTTCAGTACCTCACCGCCAACGCTGGTGGACGTGGAGGGGTTCGAAACCCCAGACGCGGATGCTGATTGTGATTTCCCTGCCCGGACCTCAAGTACGAACAGCATGATGACAGTCCAACAAGATAATGTGCACAATGTACTCATCACGGACACGGAACAAATGAACGAAGACAACATCGTCCCTGCCGACGTCGAGCAACTGATGTCCGAGATTATCGACATGCTGAAGCACATGAGCGATTTCGAAATGGAGCACCGGCTTTCCGACGCCGAAGCACAGGTTGCCTTGCAGATCATCGACGAACGTTTGGCGTTGAGTACGGATAGGGATATCGTGCGAGCCACTGCGCTGTTGCGCAACAAGTGCAAGAAAAGCAAGCGGAACTTCTTGTGCGAGGACGATGCAAGAACTTGTAGTGCATCAACATCAGAGGCAGTGAGGCTGGAGGACGCCACGCGTCAGTGGCAGCAGAAGCTGCGCGGCCTCATTATGTTTATGACCACGAAGACCGATATGGAAGCGTCCGGATTGATGAAATCGACAAAGTTGAAATAATTTCTCATGCATAAATTGCAAGGCATGAAGTTGCGCCTCTCTTGCAGGGATGGCAAGTGAGGCCGACTGTCAGCCTGTAGTTTGGGGTCTGCGAAATCAGAGCTGCTAAAGTAGCATGACAAAACACGCCCTCTGTCCCTAAACAGCATGACAAACTGGATTTAGGCGGTGCCGAAAGTATTCGTCATGCACCGCTTGGAAATTGAGCTTCCAACAAGTATCCATTTTATGCATCACAAGTTACTTATTTCAGCTTTGTCGATTTCAATTCTGACACTCCCATAACCGAACGCAGTTCTTACCGAGTTCTTCAAGGAGGAGTCGAAAAATGCGCCAGAAGTATCCCGAGGAAAAACGTCCTCACCCCAGAGTTGTCATGCAAATCCGCATGCCAAAAAATAAAAATTTCTCATGCGGAGCCCCATGAGAACCATTTTCTAGTCGTGTTTTGGAATTTGAATTTGTTATGCTAGAATCAGCATGATGTGCTAGATCTATGATGCTTCGGAACTAGCTAAACAGGACTAAACTACGAGGGCAAACTTGTCATGCGAAACAGCCAAAGCTGGCTGATTTGTGTAGCAGATTTCCCATTTTGACTCTGGGGTGGGGACATTTTTACTCAGGATAAGAACTGCGCCAACTTCTGCGACCGCCAGCACAGCGACAGGCTCAGGCGGCGCTGCGTCTTCTTCCTCGACGTCGCAGATGGCTCAGGTACAGAGCACCTCCAAACCGCCCTTGAAGATGAGCCCGGTATTAAGCAGCATTTCGTCTCAGACTGTCGCGGCGAGGCCCTCCTGCAGCTCCCCAGCAACGGCAGCACAACCAAAGATTGGCCGGCCCACGAGGAACTTCCTGATCCCGCGGCAGTACAACTACACCAAAAAACTCCCCCCGGCGCAAGGAGAAGTTGTGTTTGCTGCACGGAAGGCGCATGCGCAAGCCGCGACGTTCTTACAACGATCACCACCAGGAGGGAACAAGCTGCAGAACTCGAGAAGCTACGCGTCTGCCATCCGTGGCCCCCACTCGGGGGCCAGCAGCGCCACGAGTAGTACTACTGAACGACTTGCAACAGTGCACGAAAACGTGCCGCAAGATGATCATTCGCCGGAACAGCGGCCCCAAACCCCGCAGCTGGAGCCGCGCTCCTCGTGTGATGTTTTCCAAAACTACTGTACTTCGTCGGCCGCCCACGAGGACCATGACGGTAGAAGTGGTGCGACGTCGTCGTCGTCGCGGCAGGAGGAGCCCGGGGGCTACACCGATGTCGTCTCTAAAGGCTCGCTGGGTCACCCGCATACCTGCTTATGCATTGCAAAACAACAAGTGTCGCACACGTCGCACTGGTATAAGTAAACAAACTGCTTGGGTGCAATTTATTTCACATCAATGCGAAGGAGAGGCGCTTATTGTATATTTCATTTATAAATATGCTGATTAGAAGTGCAGCTGATCATAAAACCAAAGGCGGTGATGGTTCCGCAGTACTATCGCAGTTTTTTACTATATACAACTAGTACGACTACGAGTGCGACACGACCACCTTTGAAGTGGATACTGGCAAGCTCCGTGTAAATACAACTGGACAAAAAAGGGCTGCAAGGACGGAAAAAACTGTAACCGCTGCCATTTGTGCTCCTGGAAAGACTTCTACGGAAAATTTGAAGGCAAGCACCGGCCTCGGTCCCGGTTCCGGTTCTCGGACCCCGATGCCTGTGGTTCCGGTTCCGCCTCCGCCGAACAAGCTTCGTCCCCTATTACAATGAAAAATGCCCCCACCCCACACTTGGCAGCATTTGTGTTGCAAATCTTTCCAACAGAAACATTTCCCGTCTTGCATATCTCAGCATCACAAACTTTCCATGCTGAATAGGTCGAATTTGTGTTGCGAAGGGGCCCAACAGCAGCCGGATCTGTTACGCACAAGGCACCTTGCGCACCTAGATTCTGCATCAGAAAGGCTCGCAATCCTTGCATGCAAGACAAAAAGCTTTCATTTGGAAAATTTTGCATGCCAAACTTCTGCAAATTCCGGGATGGGGGCACTTTTCATTGTAATATCCTCTACTCCCGGGACCACGAGTGGTTCCGGCTCAGCGGATATCAAAAGGAAAAATCCCTTATCAAAATCAAAACGAAATTTCTGATGCTGGATTTGGATACACGAGGAGGACTAAAAGTCAAAAGAGCAGCAAATAGGCAGAGAAACATCAAACGATGGTCGGAACCATTTCGAACAGGACAGAAATTCGATTGCGTGGCCCGTGCGATTATTCGAACAAGGCGACTGCTACGGAACAGTGTCGAGTGGGAACGTTGGGAAATAAAAAGCTAATAGTACTCAGAAGATGCTAGAAGATTTGTTATTCTGACAAAGAAGTACTAGAGGTAGAGCCCTTTTCTTTGTCTCAACGTCGTACCAGTTCAGTGGTCACACACGACCTGGAAGAGAGCAAGCACACCGAATCGGTGCAGCTCCATCAAGAGGCATTTCGTTTTGCATGTGCCTGCTTCTACGCAGCTACTTACCAGTTCCGGCTGCTTGAGAAGTGCAAGTGTATGAACAGCAATAAAAGCAATGTCGTAAATTCCTAACAACATAAGTTACTTTTTTCCTGCAGACATTTTTTTTACCCAAGGCCCTCCCCCCTTCTTATTTTGCCTGCAGGTTTCTGATTGTTTGCAGCGACCAAGAAGGCTAGTTGATACATAATACATAGAGGAGTCAAACCAAGTCTGGAGGTACTACGGGTGACATGAACATGGTTGTCTGTCACTGTGCTTCGAAAGATGTTGTTAATTGACTCGCATCTTCAATACGAGTGCATAGAGATCATGCGCCGTGGTCAACACCGCGGCTCTAGATCTTACGATTAATACCGGCCTTAGATCTTACGATAGAAATGATACAAGACCGCGGCCCTACTAGAGGACGCTCCTCCTTACGCCTACGCACAGGGAGGACTGCCTCATCACTGCTGATTGGTGCGTGGTGCTTGCAGTGCCTATAACTAATACTACCGTGTGAAATGAGTGATTCTTTAAATGCTTTAATGATTTTCGATAGGAAGAGTACACAGAAGATTCACGTATACATGTCGTAGCTTTCGCTTTTTCACGCTACTAGCTTGCTTTACGTGCAAAATTTTCAAAATCCAAAAACCTTCCCTGGTTCTTCTTTCAGGCCTCGGATGAAGAACTTGAACTTTACAGAAAAAACAGCAGAAAACAGGAATGCCATCGGATATCGGTTGCGATTTCGCAAAACGTGGTGAACGCTCCAAACAAGTGGCGCCATTTTTTCCATTTGTATATTTATTAATATTTCTTGAAGATCAGCTCTGACACATCCTTGGTCGCTATAATTCGCGCCCCCGGCAACGTGAATTTTTGGTTGCCCTGTAGTGACATAATTTACTTATACAACTTCATATGATGTAGATGTATAATTGATTTTTTTTTAGCTGATCATGAAGAGTCTCGTGGGTAGGTCAATGTCGTCTGTATTTCCGGCTGTAGTTCCTCTCCGTAACTAGAGCACAGTCGGGCGTGTCGTGGATAGTGTTGATGTACGATTGTGCTCAGCATAACCGTCAGAACATATGAAAAGCTGTGAAGAAGAACCATCTCAGCCTCATTTCTACTTATCATAATATACAACTACTGACGATGAACACGAATGTTTCGTCCTCGAGAGACTGTTCCTAAGTGCGGTGCAGGACCACCGTGTTGTTGAAATAGATGACGTTGATCATTCTTTTCCTTGCGCTTGCGCAAAGATTTAGGAAAAGAACTTCTTTTCCATTGTATAGGAAGAGTGCTTCTTTTAAAGAAGCACTCCGCTTTATAAAGAAACTCTTTTTCCATTGTATTTTGATTATTCCGTTAGCCAATGCCAAACTTTATGCTGATGGAATAGCCCAGCCTCGCAAGTTCAACACCTTGCTCGACGTTGTTGACGCCGAGTATGTGCGGTGTGAGGCTCCAAAAGTTTTCCTTTTTCTTAACCGCAAATCGCTATGGTACGATTACGAAGAGGGCCACGGCCACCAATTCAGAGGTATCATCTGCAGGTGGAGTGATACGAAAACGATAAACCGTGGCCATCACCAAAGGCATGAATATCATAAATTAAAAGTACAAGTGGACACAAAGACAATATCAATATCTAAGAAACTCATCCAAAAACTATTTTCATAAAAGACTTAGAGTGGTAAAAATCCTGCGTTTGTAAAGACTTGTATACAGTTTAGTTTTCAATGTATACACAAAGACAAATTCAAAAACCACGTTGACGCAACTCGCACACGACCGTAGTTGCGCCACGAAACACAAAGAAAAGTCGACATCATTTGTGTCGAGATAAAGTCGACCGCAACAGCGCGCTGTTTAGTTCGTGTTTTTTCTTTGTGCTTTTGAGTTTGTGGAAGTTTTTCTAGTTTTCTTCCTCGTTATTGAAATGGTGGTGACATTATAACATGATGAACGTCTTCTGATCAGGTTTTTCAGTTACTAGCACGACTCCATCTTCTTTGTGTTGGTGGAAAAATCCTCCAGATGACTTGAGGCGAGGCTCGAACTGGAAGCATGATGCCCCGTGTTTGTACAACAATAAACATAATGTTCACAAGGCTCGTCGTGTTCTGTTTCGTCCGTCATGCAGCGCTGCTGTTTCAGCTCGTTGTCGTTCCCGCGCTACGGCCCCCGACCTCCGCGGCGAGCCAACAAGCCACAACTAGCCCATCGTTTAGCGGTCGGGCTGGCGAAGATGCTGATGAACATCAGAGCGTCTTTCTGCAGTCGGACGAAGAGCTGCGCGGGGGTCGTGGCACAAACGTTGATCTTCCTGCCGGACAACAAGCATCTCAGCAGCATGGCGAGCTGCACAAGAGTCATTTCTCTACCACTAGCACTAGTACTTCTGCAGTGTTGACAGGGGCTGCGGCTACAACTCATCATCTGGAAGAAGATCATGGTGCACGACACAGTAGCTTTCAACATCAAACCCGGCTCACGAAGAACTCGAACTCCACCATCGAAGCCGCAACCTCCGTCAAGGATCGCCTCAAAGCCGGCTGCCACCCCCGGAACCTCGCGCCGGTGCTTTGCGGCAGTCTCTTAGCGTTGCAAGCGGCGAGCAACGGTCGGCTGGCCGAGGAGTCCGGGAACCCCCTGTTCGCGTCGCTCTGCAGCTCCGTCGTCGGTGGAACCGTGATGCTGGCCTTGGGCGCGATGTCGGCGGGATCCGATTGTGTGGTGAAGAAGTTGTTGTCGGTGTCGGGGAGGAACGCAGAACAAGAGGAAAGTAGTGCTCAGTCGGAAGAAAAGAACTCTCCAGAACCAGATCAAGATCCGGAACAACAAGGTGTGTCAAACGACGGCAATGTTTCGCTCACAGCTCCACCCAGAAGTGAGGACACCTGTGCAGCAGCGCGGTCGAAAAATCACCGCGGGAACGAGCACAGAGAGGAAGATCCGCTCGCAGACGCGCGGGGCCTTGGCTTTGGGCAACAAGTGGTCGGCGTGTCGGAAGGTAACAGGCCACGGTGGAACTCGCACAACGTCGGAGTGGCGTCGTCATCCGTGCCTCCTGTGGGATCATCTTGTTTGAAGGCCGCCGTGGTGCCTTCAGGTTTAGCTGAACCTGAACAAGTCGACGTTGCGCGTAGTGCACGACCTACCACCAGCACGGACAGCTCCCCCTCCTCCTGTCCCGGGCCACGGGACGTTTTAAACGCCTTAGCGAGCGTGGAGGAGGAGCAAATGCAGGATGCGCTGCTGCTGAGTATCAACGCCGCCTGCTTGGATTTTATGGGCCAGGACGAGGTGGTTGACGAGCATTCCAGGACGGTGCGGCAACAGATTGCGTACGAGCCTATCGAGGAAGGTGCAGCCGGGTTTGAAGACCAGTACAACTCCAATCCAGAATCGGATCTAAGCACCAGCGGCGAGGCTACATGGAGCGATAGTGGTGCTGGTTCCGGTTCGGCAGGCCGCGGCGGGCACTTGTTCCGGACTTCTTCTGCTTCGGGGGCAACAAGAATATTAACCGCGGACAAAGTCGCGAGATGGAATGTCGCGTGGGCCATGGCGAGGGGGGAAGGCGACGAAGAGGCAGAGGGAGGTAAACAATCCAACAGCGGTCCTCGTCGTGTACTACGATCTGCAGTCGACGCAAACGCGATGGACACAGACGATCAAGAAGAACAAAGTGGATCGGAAGCGAATGACCAAGAAGATGATCGAGGGAAATCGAAATTGGTCGAAATTGAAGAGAACTACGTAGGGAAGCTGCCTGGGCTGCCTGGACCACGACCGTCGGAATTGCCAGCCGCTTGTTATTCTGGCGCAACACAAGTTCTTGACGAAACCTCCACAAGAAGGCTGCCTGATCCGGAACAGCAGCGATTACACTCTATCTTCGGAGACGATGATGATCACGTGTTGATGGGGCAGCACCACCACCACGACCGGAGCGGAGTCTCACCCCCGTCCACTTCACCAAACAGAGCAAGCCGCGCCACGGGCTGTACAACTAGCAGTTCCAGTAGCAGCGCACGGCCGCCTGCTCGGATGTTCTCCACAGCCTCCCCACGAATAACTGACTGGATGCGGCAAAAGGCGCGTGGAGGTCTGAACAAGGAAGCAGACGGCGAAGGCCGTTTTAGAGCTACGACTTCCTATGACAAGAAATCCAATTTTTCATTTTCTCTCCACCCACGCCGGAAGCCTGCAATCGACGACCCTTTTGGCGACGATGCTGGAGGTGGGGACACGTCCGCGTCAGATTTTGAAGGAACAACGGAAATGATCCTCAATTTGGACGACGATAGTCCTAGCAGAAGTGACTTCAACAACGTTGCGCCCGTGGTGCTCGGGAAACGCACTTCACCTAGACTGTCACACGAAAGCAACACGCATGTTCTGAAGGGTGTTGCCCTTCGGAAAGCCGATGGCGGGACAGATGGTAAGACGCAACAAATAATTGGCCAGCACAAGAAGCGGCATGGTGGGCAGCGTGATGTAGTTGCAGATGGCTTTGCCCTGGCGTCGGTGCACCAGCAACTGCAACAACAGGGCGATTTTGCTTCTACGAGCAATAAAGAACAAGAAACAACCACCACCCCGAGCAAAAGCGCGAACCGCAGACGACCGTTTAATTTTTTCCCGCCAACATCTTCTTCCTCCGCTCGTCAGGCAGCGCAGCAGTTTCTCGATTTGTTCCGAGCCAAGAGCACGAAGCAGCTGCAAGCGGCAAGAAAGCTTTTCTACGAGCTGAAACACACGAAAAACAAGAGGAAAAAGCTCTGGTTCCTCCGCCGGTTCCTGTCCCGCCTGGTGCTCGGCGGCCCGGTCGCCGCCAGTGCGGTGGCGCTCGCCTGCATGGCCGTACCGAAAACGGGCGTTTTGAGCTACACCATGGCCTGGATTGTTGGGCAGATGTTCGTGTCCGCAGCCGTGGACCACCGGGGGAGCATGGGCATCAAGCGGAAAATGACGGGAAAAAAGTGCCTCGCCTCCCTCCTCGCCCCCGTCGGCCTGTTAGTGGCCGCCGCGGGGCAAACGGGAACTCGCTCCCCAGCAGGAGAAACAGATCAGAGTCAGTTGGAAGCACTGGTGAAGGTTTTAATCCCCTCGAACGACAAAGCGCTCTACCTTCTCGCGGCGATGTTGAGTGGCGGCTTGATGCCGGTCGCTCGCGTCTCTCTCGTGCAGTTGAACGCGCTCTTACCGAACCGCATGCTAACAACCGGGGGGATTGCGTATGTGTCCGGTGCGTTGGCGCAATTTCTATTCCTTGTGATACTGTCCAAACCATTGGGTTTGACGACAGCGAGCGAACTCTTCGATGGTTTGTTCGACGGGAATGACGATCCATCATCCGACTTTGGTTTTGCTAGCACGGCGGGAACTACTAGCGCAACAAATTTCACGACTTCTACTATTGCACCAACAGCAGCTGCACAGCTTGCCGTAGAAGCTTCCTCGTTCAGTAGCAGCAAAAGCCTAGAAGCACTTCTCGTCCGCCTGCCGCTGATTACCTGGTGTGGCGGCTTCGTGGGCGCGGTGCAGTTTTTTTCTATTCTACTCTTCCAGAAGAAGATCGGCGCTTTGCGGTACTTTCTCCTCGTGTTGCTCGGACAACTGTCCACCAGTCTGCCTTATAGATTGCAAAAATGTGTGGGTCTGAAAGAATACAAACTTGTGATGCGCATTTCAGAACACAGAAAAATCTCTCATGCATAGGTAGCAAAAGCTGCCCACATTCTGTCCCCAAAGCGGGGGATTTGTCATGCGGATTCGGCATTGCGGAAGCTTCTCGAAACCTGTGATGCTAGAGCTTCCATGCCAGACCTTCTGCGTCATGCAAAAATAGCACGACTCTTCTAGACACAGACATTTTTGCATTTGATATGCCTCTGGACCACTACGGACTGCTGGGCTTCGAAAGACGCGAGGTCACAGCGTATCCGGTGGCGGGGGTGGTGTTGGTGTTGCTGAGTGTGCTGTTCAACCAAGCGCTGTGAAGATCCTGAACTAGGGCCAGTTGCAATCCATCGTGGTTCTGGTTGTCTGCAGCTTGAACCCAAAACGCCAACTCCATATCCTTGTACCAGCACCAGCTGTGCATTTTGAGAATAAAGTCTGCACAAAAATAGATTTTGAATTGCCTGAATTTTGCTTTTCATTTCGTTTTGAGCACCAGGTTTGCTTTTTGATGAAGAAGATCTGCAACTTTTTGGGAACATGAACAACCGATTGCGGTACTAAAATAGGGAGAACATATACAAGAACATGGCATGAGCGCAAATAACAGCAATAGCATCGTGATTGGTGTTTTTGGTCTAGATGAGAGCAAAACTGCGAAACCCACCACGACCGAGCGCAACCCACCGCAACCCACCGCAACCCACCGCAACCCACCGCAACCCACCGCAACCCACCGCAACCCACCGCAACCCACCGCAACCCTCCGCAACCCTCCGCAACCCTCCGCAACCCTCCACAACCCTCCACAACCCTCCACAACCCTCCACAACCCTCCGCAACCCTCCGCAACCCTCCGCAACCCCCCACAACCCTCCGCAACCCTCCGCAACCCTCCTCCCCCCGCTCCGCTGGTGCTTCCTTACCCCCCCCCGCTTCTTATGTGTGATCTGCCATGTGTGCAGTGGCTTTGTTTTCTTTTTTTGGGAGAATGAAAAAAGTATAAAGCAGGAGCCCTCCGGAACCCCCCTCCCCCCGCAACGCTGGTGCTTCCTTACTCCCCCCGCTTCTTATATGTGATCTGCTATGTATATAGTAGCTTTGTTTTCCTTTTTTGAAAGAATGAAAAAAAGTATAAAGCATAAGCCCGCTGCAACCCTCCTCGCCCCCACCGCTCCGCTGGTGTTTCCTTACTCCCCCCGCTTGTTACATGTGATCTGCTATGTATGTAGTTAGCCTTGCTGTCTTTTTTTGAAAGAAAAAGAATGAGAAAAAGTATAACGCGCAAAGTAAATTATGAGGCTGCAGCGATCGGTTGCGTTGGTTATGGCTTCTGGATCTACCCAGATCGCTGCAGCCCCATAGCGCCCTTCCTTGTTATGTTGTATACTTTCTTTCATTCAGCAGAGTTGCCATTAGCATAGCGCGCCACATATAACAAGTGAGGGGAGTAAGTAAGGAAACACCAGAGGAGCGGGGGGAGGAGGGTTGCGGCGGGTTGTGGAGGGTTGTGGTGGGTTGTGGAGGGTTGCGGCGGGTTGCGCTGGTTTCTGGATCTACCCAGATCGCTGCAGCCTCGACACTGTATGCTTGTGCTTTGTGCTTTTTTTCGTTCTTAAAAAAAAAAGGAAAAAGCACGACTATATACATAGCGCATCACATAGAACAAGGGGGGGAGTAAGGAAACACCAGGGGAGCGGAGGGAGGGGGGTTGTGGAGGGTTGCGGGGGGTTGCGCTGGTTTCTGGTTCTACGTCTACCCAGATCATGGCAGCCTCATCGCTTACTTATGCTCTATACTTCTTTTTAGATATTCTTTCAAAAAAAGATGAAAAAGCCTCTATATACATAGCAGACCACATACAACAAGCGGAGAGAGTAAGGAAACACCAGGGGAGCGGGGGGAGGAGGGTTGCGGAGGGTTATGGAGGGTTGCGGAGGGTTGCGGAGGGTTGATGTGGTGGATTGCAGATTTCTGGCGTGTATTCTAGTACTTTCTTTTTTTTTTATTCGTTCAAAAAAAAAAAAACAAAGCTACTATACACGTAGCAGATCACATATAACAAGCGGGGGGAGTATGGAAACACCAGGGAGCGGGGGGAGGAGCGGGGGTTGCGGTGGGTTGCGGTGGATTGCAGATTTATGGTGTGCATTATAGTGCTACTTTATTTTTTTTCATTCTTTAAAAAAAAAAATAAAAAACAAAGCGGAGGGTTGCGGTGGGTTGTAGATTTATGGTGTGTATTATAGTACTACTTTACTTTTTTTAATGTTGTTATACTAATATATATTAGATTATAATATAATACTATTATATATTCTACTAATATAATAGCACTAATAAAATACTAGTAGTGCTAGTATGTGTATGCATATATGCGGGGGGGGAAGAGGTTCGCCCGGGCGCGGAATTCGGCTTTTTGCCTTTTTTCTCAAAATTGAGGAACACGCCGGGGATCCAATTCGTTGCAGTTCTTGCACAAGTAGGAAAAAAATGCAAATCACGATGCTACTGCTGCTATTTGCTCTCATACCAAGAACATGGGATAATTGATTGAGTGCATGCTGTAAACCGGAAGAAAAGAGTTAAGTGCATCGCTCGGCAAAGAAGTGATGGATATAGTGTTCGTCAACATGTCGTAGAAGTCTTTAGGCATGTTCATAACTCGTTGTCTTACTCAAATTCGTGTGAAATAGCTAGGGGATGAGAGAATCGCTGCTTGTTCAGTTGCTCATCGCCGTCGAATGTTCGTGATCGTAGTAACTTCGCTATTCTTGTTGGTTATACTTCGGTGGACGAAATCCGCCATCTGAACCGGAATCATAGGTGCGTGAAGATCGTGAAGTTGCCAAACAAAAATCGTATGTCGTTTATCGCAGCGGACAACTAACTTTCATCGACGAAGGCAGTTTCATATGTCAAGTATACCATGGCCAGCACAGGCACAGCAAGGATGAACTCCAACATGCTAGAAGAGGACGCGGCAGCGTCGCTCTTTCTCTCTAGCAGTAGGGCCGACCATGTGAAGGCACCAGGCGCATCACAACTTGCAGGCTCGTCGGAGACCACGATTTTGGAGGCAGCTTCAGGCGGAAGAAGTAGCAGCGAAAGTACTATTACCAGCAAGTTGCACAAGCTCAACCCTTTGTTGCAGAGTTGTACAAGCAAGAGTTCGACGACGTCCAGCTCCACCAGCTACGGTACTTGCCACGAGCTGACCACTTTCACTGACCCCAACGTGACCGGAAATGCTCAAGCAGCAGGTGGCGCCACTCCGAATTTTTCCGCGTCCTTGCGAGCGACTGTAGACCAAAAACAACATCACCCACTTTACTCCAGCACGCGGGCCCGGTTTTTCAAGAAGACAATCGCCTGGATTCCCTTGTTGGCGCCGTCTAATTCATCTCAACCGAGCAGCACAGCTTCCTCTTCAGCAGCAGCGTCATCATGCGGAGCATCGTCAACCAAAAGCGCGCTTGTAGTTCCTGGCTCTGTCGAAGAAACCACGGCTCAGTACCTGGAGCAGGAACGCGCCCGGGTACGGTCCCGCTTCGTGATCCTCTGCTGTTTCCTCACCGTGTACCTGACCTCTGTGCTGACCCAGTACATCCTGGTCGGCGGTCCCATGTGCGTAATTTGGTCGAAACAACGTGGGTTTCTGCTTACCACAACGGACAAGTGCGACGACACAAGCAGCATTCTGGACGAAGAAATTACTGCTGGACTTCTACTACAGGGAGCAAAAACTACGTCGAAACAAGAACCAGTTTCGACCACCCAGATGACTTCTTCTTTCGGGCGCCCCCGCCTCACCACGAGCGCCGGAACGCCGCAGAACTTGCGGGGAAGTGCGACAGCAGCGCTGAACGCTTTTTCCGAAGTAATCAAAGAGGATCTCCAGCATGACTGGAACGTGATGACTGGTGCGGAAGACAAGAACGCTGGTGTGACCCAAAATGTAAATGCGGTTAGCGTTAGCGGTGGAGCTGCAGCAGGGCCGGCTTCAGCCGAACAAGGAGGAGCTGATAAACAAGGCACCAGCGATTCTTCTTTTCCCAAAAAAGAAATCGTCGACTACCGCATTGCGGACGCGGGTGACCGGTGGTGTGTGAGCTTTAGCGGGATCCTGTGGTTGCCGCAGCCCTGCCGCCTCGGCGGCGACGACTCCTGGTTTGTCAACGGGGCGATAACCGAGGTGGGGAGGAAGGTGGACAGGATGAACAAACAAACTGCATCAAATGTGCGGCACGACGTTCTTGCGCAACAAGAAGCCGGTGCTGTTGAGCACCAAGGACAGCCACAATTATCGCAGGACCAATCGCAGCTCCCGCCGAGCGCCTTCTACTTCCCGACCCCGAATGCCTTCAGTCTGATGAACTTCCAGGATCCGGCGCGACAGCAGGAAATGGACATGCAGCAGTTTCAACCAGCAGGTGGAACTGGTGCTGGTCGTCGTGTGGGGGACGATCCCACGTCCGAAGCGTCCTCCTCGGTGATCCAGCTGGCGGCGAGCGAGGATGTGAATTCTGTGCCTGTTCGCACGATGATGCACGATGCTGATACGATTGGCGGTTCGAGTACTAGCACTAGTATCATGCAGCTGGGGGAGGAACACGAACAGGAACAGCGTGTGGAAGTCGAAGTGCAAGACCAAGTCGCCGCTAGTACTGCTCACCAGCAATACAAACTAGCCTCTTCGCGGCACTTCTCGAGTAGTTCTGCGGCAGAGCAGCAGCAAAAACGGAAGTTGTACGAGAAGGCATTGCGGATGCAGAAGCGAGAGCGGGAGTTGGAGAAAGTGGATGAAGGAGGAGACCGCGGTAGTCTGGAGAGCGACCTCGATTTGGGGGACGTGGACGAGGGAGTGCGTGCTCAGAAACCAGAAGGAAGCGGCATGGTCCCCGTCGCGAAGGATTTTCCCTTGATCTCGCAGCTCCGGATGCGCACTCCTCGGTCCGATGTCGCAGAAGGAGGGAGCGAGGCTCACTTTTACGGCGTTTACGGTGTACCGGGAGCGGTCACAGGGCTCACGGGTGATACGGAGTTTCAACGACCGTGTCTCGCGGAAAGCCAAATTCCTGCACTGCTGAACGCCGGCTTAGTAGCTCGGCAAGACTTCGTATATCAAAGCTTGAGCTCTTCGTGTTGATCTTTATCTATTGGGTAAAACATCAAGTACAAACAAAAATACAGAGATCAAAATAGAAATCTTGCGTCGCGCCGCCCCCACTTGATATTGAAAAGCACACCAAAAAACAGAACCGCCAGGACGCGTCGCTCACGTGGTTCGAGTTGCTGTTTTCGACGGCAAAGCCAAATCAGTTCCTTCTTCACTACACCTACCGTGTCAGTGTGCCCGACGGTAGCGGGAAGGGTGCTGCCGGAAATCCGACTGGTTTGAGTCGCGTTGTCGTTGTCGACTGCAACGTGCCTGGAGGAAAGTGCAAAGACAGCACAAAGCTACCAGTGTGGACAATTAACGGTGGAAAAGCAATCCAAGTTGCAGACGAAGTTGCGAGTTTAAGCGTCAAAATGGCATCGGAGGAGGAGGTAGCAGAACCTGTTAGTTGATTATTTATTAGGTTTGTCGCGTCCGCTTCGGATGAGGTCAGCTCGAGTGTTGGAATGTCTCTACTAACCTTGATAGCGATATGAATGACGAAGAAAATCAAAACATGGGCTAAAATCCAGATCTCTGTCTCACAAAATCTCGTACAGATGGACAATGCGGCCACGGAGCCGGACAAAGCGTGGAAGAACGGTTACTACAAGGACACGCTCAAGCCGGAGCAAGACTTTGCGTTTGGAAACCGCGAAGAGCGGATGGAAAAAAATGAGTACCCCTACTTCGAACTGAGCATCAAAAAACTTGAAGACGGCGCTACTGTCCCGGACGAGCCAAAACCCGATGACGCGGACGTGAATGAGCTTGACCAACCCAAAACGGTAACGGGAGTGTGCGGTTCGGGCTCGGGGGCTTCGTAGTTCCGATTACATGGTTGTTCACATTCTTTTTTCTTGCACCCTGACGATCATACCCTTGCTTATTCTTGATGTATGATTTGTAGTTTTGATATGTATACTCTACTTCTGCGTCTTGTGTTACGTTTCAATATGGACACAAAAGCAATAATGGCAGCTGCACGTGTACCTACCTGCCTTCGACCAAAGTTTCAAAGAATCAAATGGCAGTCCCGCGGTACCCAGTATGCTAAATGTAAATCTTCATCTGATACGTCGGACAACTGTAGTTGGAAAGCCCATCCTTACTAAGTCAAAGTGTGCTGCTCTTCGAAAATAAGTGTCAGAGACAACCACATGAGACACCGTTGAAAGAATTCTTGTAGCACTTGAGATAACTACGGGGACGGTGCCCAAATCAAAATCTGTTCATCGCCTTGACCTGCTTTCCAGATGCGATTACTCGCGCAGTGACTGTTCGAGGCATGATGTGCGAGTACATGGAGCGAAGCGTGCAAATCTTCAAGGAAAAGCGAGGAAGCTAGTAACTCCCGTGTAATTGCTTTTGCTATTGCTTATCATTTTCCGAGCGTCACTGGTGTATCCTCATGATAGAAACGACTTGCGAGTCGTTGTTATTCTTTTGTTTCGGTGGTACTACAGCAAACTCTTCGCAATTTTTGAGCACAAACAAGAAGAGGCATCGGCATGAACGCAAAGAGCGCCACCAGCACAACCACAATGAGCTAGTTGATATTCGGGAGCAAACCGGCTAAATGTAAACCAGGCTCAGCGTAAAGTGGCCGCGCTAACATAGGATAGCCAAATAACGAAGTACAAGTATTGTTTTTTCTGAGGACGAGCTTGGTGGAACCCTACTAGAAGCAGGAGCTTCTGAAGTACAGAAGAATGTTTGGAAGACCTCAGGGCTCCGCATCCAGCTCCACCCGGCCGCCGCCGCGAGCAGTACCGAAGATTTGTGTTGCGCTTTTAACATGCACATGCGATATGAAACAGCACTTGAAACCTCAGGTCTGCAAGTTATGTTGTACTTGAACTTCTTTTGGTTTCAATATCAGGCCTCCGCCGGCGGCACCGGTCTAGTGCACCGCGACGAGGAGAGCATCGAGCGGAAACTCCAAGAGGGTCTGCAGCGTCTGGAAGACGCCCGGTCACTGGTTTCCGCAGCGGCTGCGCGCGGGGGTGCGACAACCCCCGGCGCGGCGAGTGCCCGCTCGCAGTCTACTTTCCACCCAACAATTTCACAGCACAACAAGTCCGCGTCGCACAACTTTAATATCTCCGCAAGTCCGGCCTCCTCCGTCGGAACAACACAGCAGCACCCGCACATCATTTCTAGCAACGGACCAACTACTTCTAGATTTGGCGGCGTCGCAGGCGGATCGAGTTCGTCCAGTGTACGTGCCACCCCGGTGAGACCCTACATATGCATTGCAAAAATATCGTACATACTTGTATAAATGCATTACAAATTGCCTCAGCATGAGAAAGAAAGTTTGTAATGCTGATGTACCATAAGAAAAGGACTTGTAATGCATGATTGCAATACGAGTACGATGCTTTTGCAGTGGATACTACAACCAGCAGATCGACTTGTTGAACTCTTCTACCGCGTCGCACAGTTTGTTGCACAACGGGATGAATAATGGTGGGGGAGGTGCACCTCCACTCGGTGGAAGTGGAACGTCCATGACTTCGGGCTCGCACAGCACAACTAGCATTGTCTCCGCGAACCACGCTGCCTGGAGAGCGAACGGGTACGACCCGCAGGCTTCGCGGATGGCGCTGCAAAACCTCGCGCCAGAATTCAACATCAGCACGACTTTTGATACGTCGATTAACCACTCGGTGAACGCATCCGCTGCGGTAAACCGACCACCGTTCTTCGCCACACTGAGCAGTGACCCAGATGTCGTTGCGGGAAAGTCTTTGTTGGAGCGAACGAAGGTATAGAAAATTTGCAACATCATGATCGTAAATCTAAATCTAGATAAATTTTACAATTTTGGAAGCTGCACGCAAAAACAGGAGCGAGATGCATCTGTGTGTGCGTCACGCATGAAGGCATGGTTCACTTAGAATGATGGTATAATTCGGGGGAACGAAGCTGCTTGGCTCAGCTACAAGAATAGTAGAAAATGCGAAAGCATCTGGATCACTCACCCCTGCAGCCCGAGTTCCTCCGCAACCAGGAGGGCCGGATCAAGCAGATGGAGTACGAAATCAAAGTCCGCCGGCTCGAGGACGAGGTCGAGGGGCTTTCAAAACATTCGAACGACTACCAGGCAAAACTCGAAAAGACGCAGGAGCAGCTGCACAACACCCGCCACGAGGCGCAGGTCCTGCAGCGGGAGAACGAAATCATGCTGGAAAAAACGGAGCAGTTGGAGGAGGAATTGAACCGGGTGCAGGCGTATGCATCGCAAAACTATCAGCACTAGCGAAAATAGCACTACAAATTTTTTGTGGAACAGAAATGCAGTTTGTCATGGAGATTTCGCTGAAAAACCAAGTCTGTCATGCATGGTTGCTGCAATTACAATTAGTACGAGTGCGATACCTTTGCAATGTATTAGGCGTTTGCCGACGGGTATTCTTCGGAGAAGAAGGATTTTGAGGAAAATGTGAAGAACTTGGAGAACCAAGTTACAGTCCTGACCGCATCCGAGGAGACGCTTACCAAAGAGCTTACCGCGATAAAAGCCCACGCGACGGAGCTCGAACAAGAGTGCACCGGGCAGTCAGCGGAAGTGGTGCAGCTGAGGCAGAAATTGGAGGAGACACAGGTAAAATATCATGACGAGTTGCTGCAGCACTGAATGTCTATGCCTTGCAAGGATCTCGTATTCCCGCAGCTGCAGCTACGGATAAGAATGCGTTTGTCTGATTTTTAAGGCGCAGTCCTATGCTATTTACCACTTAAAACTGGAGGAAAAAATCCTCAACCCCAATCCTTCGTCCCATCCACCAGGCCGCCCTCTGTGCCGCAACCAACCGCTGTGAGTCCTACCACGCGGAGTCTAGTAGTCTCCGGTCGGATCTCGACGCCCAGAAGGCGCTGCAGGTCCAGCTAGAGTACCAGCTGCAACTAGAGCGGAACAAGAGCGACAAGGCCAGACAGGACAAAAAGCGTTCCGCGGATACCGTTAGCGAGTTGCGGTCCGAGTTATCCGAACTGGAGCAGCAGGCGCACATTTTGGAAGCGCAGTTGGAGCATTCGCACACCCGAAACGCGGACCTCTGCAAGGAGCTGACGGTCAGCGGAAGCACAGGGGTGAAGGTGAAGTCTAGAGCGGCAAAGTGGGCAAAAGAGGTACTACGTGATTCCTCGCGATATTTGATTGCATAGCAAATAGCGAGCATCTCATTGGTTTGTGGAAGCCTCAGCCTATCGGTGTAAAGCTAGGGACGAAAATCTAGGCCAACATCTTGCCCTGCTAACGAATCTTAATTTACATTCCTGTCACTATCAGGTCGAGGCTTTGCACAAGTGGAAGGGCAAAGCGCTGATTACGATCCACGCACTGCAATCCGAGGTGAAGCAGATCCAAGGCAAATACCAAAAATATTTGCAGTACGCACACAAACTCCACCAGGAAAAGGATTGCTCCTCAACCAGGGACGTTTCCGCGTCCTCTGCATCTGTCGGTGCTACAACCGCACAACAGCAAGCGTGTACAACTGGTGAATTTTTGATGTTGTTTTGAACTTGAGGATGAAGTAAACAAAGCGTCTGTCATTATTGCCGATCAAACCATGGTGCATGACGTTATTCTGCACGGCATGCTTCAAGACATCAAGGCGAAAATTCTGATTGTTCCAAAAACAGCCGCCGTGTATCCCCCAGCGGGGGGTGCCGCGAATGTTACGAGCAAGAGCGTCTTGTTACCGAACTTCTCAAATCCTTTGTTGGCCGCGAGTCTGAAGGAAAGTCGGGAATTACTGGCAGCAGCGGCCGCTGCAGAAATGAACCAGGCCAGTAGTGACGAGGACGACGTCAGTTTTCAGGACCTGCGGCCGGCCTCGCTGCGCGCGTGAGTGGCGGATTTCGGCTCTTAGAACAGAGTTGGATTCGCTTCTTCTGGAGAAACGAAAGCTATTGACATTGTTGCACCACACAGAACTACTGTGTGAATGCCACAGACATGATGATGGTTTCTATTCAGCTCGACAATTTTTGTCCTTTTGTTCCCTCAGGACAAGGTCAAGGACTAAGGATTCATTAATTGGAAAGCGCAGTGCCAGTGGAACAGAAAAACGCAACCGCAAAAAGCTGTTTAGTTAAGTACATTCATTGTTGTGTTGCTGTTGCAGAAACAAACTTCCGAATGATTTTCAAGTTGTGTTGATAGAGACAAACGTCCCGGCTCAATCAAACTGTGGATCATCTTCAGCAAGGCGATAGAGCTTCAAAACGGTTGCTTCCCACGATTCTTCAAAAAATGCACGTGGTGCTCGTCTGCAATTTTCACCGATCCTTTCATTTATGTCTTTTGAAAAAACTACTGTGCGGAAGACCGTGTCACAACTCTTCAAAAAGCTATAGTAGTTTTAGCTGTGAACAAGGTAAGTAGGTTAAGGTTAAGCTTAAGCAGATCTTCCCTGATTGAAGAAAGACCACCACTTTTCCTGTCGTAACCGCATCAAAAACTACATCACATCGTGCGTAGAAAATGACGTCAAGCAGATGGGGGAGTCGGTACAAGCCGCACCAGGAGGGGCGCGCTGGTACATCGAGCTCTTCCTCTACGTCTACCAGGAGCAAAAGCTCTTCAAGTAGACCTCCCTCCAGTTCGTCTTCTTCTTCCTCCGCCTACGACCAGATTTGGACCAAACGGTGGGAACCGGAACTCAGAGCCAAGATCGAAAAAGCGCAGGAACCGTTGGTGCAGAGTGTTTTTAGGCAGGTTTTTGGGAGACAGCATGGTACCAGGATCATGTCCTCAAGTTCGTCCAGCTCTTCGAGCAGCTCGTTCATCGGAGGGGCATCTTCAAACGTCGGCGCGAAGTCCTCGTCCCAACTTCCGTTGTTCTCAGGAGCTGCACCCGCTGAAGCGAAAGTTGCGTACCTACCCTGCAGCTTTGTGGACGAACGGGCTGCGCTGCGACGCTTGGCACAGGAGTACTTGTGACGATGATGATGTGTCGTAGTTTCGTGCAACAAGATGGACTGAGATTTGTGTGAATTATTTCTAGTAAGTAGCCAAAGTCTTCGAATTATGAGCGTGTTCTTGAACGGAACGATAACGAAGTACACGTGTGCAATTTTCTGTACAACATCAAAACAAACCTCTCACACAGGGCACGCAGCTCCACCCGAATCGGCATCCGCCCGGTTTTCATGGTGCTACGAAACCGATATCACTCCCTCGCGGAGCTGGTAAATGAATTGCTACACCGGTATCCAAATCATTCCAATCTCTTCGAGGTCTTGCACAGCTGGAGTTTTCACTCGCGTGCACTGGAGACAAGTTGCGATTATAATGGGATGCTGTCACCGTCAGATTCGGAGTCAGAGGAGGACGAGTTTGTCGACGCTATGGAAGTTGACGACGACGACGAAGTTGGAATGCGGGAGGCACACCGTGGAAAAAATAAGTACAAGCAGAACTACAACACCACCGCCAAGCAGCCGCAACGCGTAGTCATCTTTGTCCTCACCGACACTGCCGATCTTCCCGAGCCGGTGATGTCCGAGTTCCTGCAAGCGCTGCAGCTGATCAGCAGAGCAAGCAGTTGTCAAATCAAACTGCTTCACTCGACCCCGCTCGCCCCCCGGTGCAGCGAAGCCTTCCAGCATTTGTCTCGTTCCGCGTGGCTGCCGGTGGCGGGTAAAGGACTCGATCAGATTGACATGGGCAGTGCCACAGAGGTGTTCGCGGTGAGTGAAGAAACGAAAAAGGATTTGGTCCGGGAAATGCTGCAGATGGTGGCGACGGATGTTTTTGTGCCGCTCATTGTGAGTCCCGGGACGATACGTGAAGTGTACATGATTTGGTGTTAAGTTTCGACGTGGATGTCGAAGTAGACGAGAAATTCAAATTATACGAAATCGCATTGTATCCCAATGTTGACGCCGTCATGATTATTTTGAATTTAATGCGAATATCTGAATCATGATCATCATCATGAAGAAAAAAACACAGCTGGACCGCCGTCCAAGAATCGCACGGTTGTAGCTGCGTTTGGCTTCTTATGACAGTGCACAACTCCCCCTCCCCCTCATTTGTGATGCAAATTACCCAATCCACGCCATGCCTTGAAGCACTGTTTGCATCGCAAGTTCTGGCCGTCCAAATAGCATTACACCCCTGTGCAGATTTGTCATGCAAATCCTGCTGCATTCTTGCTGACGCTTGTATTGCTGTTCATGCCATAGCCATACCCATACAAATGAGCGGGAGGGGGAGTTGTGCACAGTCATACTTCTGGACCGGTTGTCTTCGCTTGTAAAAACCGCCTGTGCTGCAGCCGGCACCTCCGGGCCTTTCCCAGCGGAGAGATTTCTGATCCCGATGCGGTTACCTGAGGATAGTCCAGAGTTCAGCCTGCAGGGTATTTGCAACAGCGACTCGCCAGCATCCTCTTGGTCGATGTTGAAGGACGACAAAAAACGGAACTCGTTCGGTGAAATTTTTGAGGAGCAGAACAAACTTTACTGGCGTGAGGTGTTTACCGAGCTGGGCTCGCTGCTCGGTTTGGATAAATCAAAGTTCGAGGAAGCGTGCGAGAAATGCGGAAGAGATCCAGAAGCGGCGCGACAACTTCTCGCGGAGGCAGAAGAGTTGGACCACATAGGAGAGACGAATTCCAATCTGCTAGTATCCGGCCGAGGAACAGCAGCTTCTGCTGCTCTAGACACGATGGAGCGCAGCCGGGCAGGAGCAGAAGGAAAGAAGGAGAAGCAGAGCAACACACCACTACTGAAACCGCGGCCCGGCGGCAAGATGACAAAGACGCCCACCAGAAAAACTCCGCAACGCAAAACGTCGAAGAGTAGCAAGGCGGGGGCTTCGCAGGCGGAACAAAAACAAGCAGAAATCAGCTCAAAACCAACACCAACTATGAGCAACCTCATCAATCCAGAAGCCGCTTTGCTCGAAGAAAGACTTACAGCGCTCGCGGTTCAGCTATTTGGAGATCATGACAAAATATCATTTTCGAAACTCGCAAACCCGAGCCCCTCTGCGCTAACAGTGATCCTCGCGCAAATGTGCAACGCGATTACGGATTTGACGCAATGGCGGATGGCTCTGCTGAAGGACTTTTTCGATTTGCATCTCGACCAGCTGAAGCGAGCGGGCGACTGCGTCTTCGATCTGTTCCTCTCCGTCTGGGAAGCGGCACTGGGGATGGCAACAACGAGAAACATCATCGCGAGAACAACAACCAGGAAAGACTCTACTTCTTCCTCTGTTTTGACGACCAAAAATGGCAAACAGCCTCTTGCAGCTGCTTCCTCTTCAACTTCTACCGGCTTGGATTCGACGACGTCGGCAAGAGCAAGCTTCTCTTTCTTCTCGCTGAAACTCTCAGAAAGCATCCCGAAGGAGGAGGAACGGAAGGGCTGGATGGGAATCTTTGAAGGCGAGGAGAGTGTCCTGAAGCCAGTTCCGAGCGCGTTGCTGCACTTCTTCTGCGATCGGCACGTCTTGTCTAAGGAAGCGCTGAAGGCTTGTGGCAGCTCCTGTGCGGAAACCGAGATTGGTGTTGATCCTGCCGTTGCTTTATCTTCGCAAGTAGAGAAGATGAAGCGGCGCGTTGCGCTCTTCGAGCCGACACAGGCGGGACAGGAGCTGCTGCTGTCGTGCTGCTCGGAAGCGGAATGGCGGGTACTTACGTAACAAACGTCCACTTGCGCTACTGTCGTAAGTATGCAAATGTTTTTTTTTGCGTTTGTTAGCTCGTGAAATACTTCCACATGAGTTGCAAGGAGAAGATGAAACATCAAATCTATACTAGGTGAGCGCCGCCCTAGCTCCGGGAGACATTGGGTTCGCCAGCCGCTTGGTCGAAATGTCGGGGAGCCGCATTGGGGTGAACGAACTGAGTACCCCCGCGTTGATGGCCCTGAGCTACTGGGGCTTGACGAATCCCCCATCGCGCGCCCGCACGGTGCAGAAGCTGGGTTTCGGACGCTTCTGGTACGTGGAAAAGCCGTCGGTTGTGGACTCCTGGGAGGATGAGCTCGGAACTGGAACTGGAACTGGGGAGAACGGGAATAAGGAAAAAGCAGGACTAGGGGGAATTTTCGATAGCAACGTCGCGATATTGGACGACGCGGGAGAGCTTGCGCTGCTGCAAGATCGGGAGTACCAGCTGCGGGCGCGCAGTCAAACGCCCGGTGCGCAAGGACGCAGACCCGTGAACAAGACGCCCCAGCCAGTGGCGATGAAGAAGGCTCCGGCGTCGGCCCCCGCGAAGAAGCGGACCCCCGGCGCGGGCAATCGGGGAAGAGGGAGGAATTGCGGAATCAAAGCGGCGCCCGCGGGGCTCTGGTAGTGTTGAGCGACGTGAAGTTGATGTTTATGGTAAAAGAAGTGGTCCATGTCACTGTCAGTTTGATTACCGTTTAAGTTTACACGAGCATTCACTTTGATGCGTATGGTCAGTCGTTGCCCTGAACCTAAGGTCTAGCGCTAGTGCGGAAGAGAAATAGCGACAACTGAGACAGAAGCAACTTTAAGGTTCCTCACAACTTTTTGAATAAAAAACGTGTTCCGTTTCTGCAGTTGTCCGTGTTGGCGGGATGTCTTCTGCTCAAGTACGGGACTTCAGCACTCTTCCCAAACCGGACAGAAGTTCGCAAGTATGTGAGAACGAGCACGAAGATGCTCCGGCCCAGCCCGGCGGCGTCCAGGTTGATGAGGGCGATAGCCCGAAGGAGTACGCGGCCAAGGTCTGGGCCTTCCTCGTCCCGGAATTACTTCCGAAATTGGACAGCCTGAAGAATTCCCGCGCGGCGAATGTTGCGAAGGAGGACGCCGGGCCTCTTGCTAAGCGCCTGCGGCTGCGTCTGTCCGGCCAAGACCAGCAGGGGGCTTGTGCAAAATTCCCGAAAGATGGAGCCTGTATGTATGGCGCGACGTGCAAATATTCGCACGCGGTTCCTGAGGGTGAGGACCACATCCGGAGGGCCGTCGATGCCATCGGCTGGACCGGCTTCGGTGTTGCCGTCTCGTGGAAGATCCGCGGCCGGCTGCCTGTGCCAATACCGTAGCAGCGCAGCGCGCAACCCCGTCTGCCCGCAAAGGCTAGCGGCCACGCGTGGGGCGTCCGGCTGTGAGTTCGCCGGCGCCCCGAAGCGAAAAGGCGAGCGGCCCAGGCGGCGCGCGCCGGCGACCACGCCGGCGGGCCCATATCCGGGCGGCGCGCGAAGGAGCTCGACGGCGCGGCGCCGTTGCGCGGGTTCGTGCGTAATCCGTCGCGGCCCTGTGGCGCGCGGCCGTGGTGTGCCCGCTGTATTTCCGGGGCAGGGTTGTCGGTCCTTCCAGTTTGGGGGCAGCCGGGGAAGCTGTCGCGCGGCCCATTGGCCCCCGCGCCCCCGGGCAAACTGCCTGCGCCGGCGCTTGGGGATGTCGGTGGACGGATCCCGCCGGGCGGGCGGGCCGCCTACCTTTGCGGCGACGCGGTCGGTGGCGCGCGGGGATGCCATCGGGGAAGTGTGGAGCCACCTCAACCGCCGCAGATACCGCCCAGAGCCCCCTCCTGCTGCTCGTGGTGGACAGGCATAAGCGGACGAAGGGGGCCCGCGCCCAACTCCTCGCCCGCTCGGGGAGGAACGAAGGCGGGCGCGGAACGGAAAGCAAAGCAGCGCGCCCGCCGGCCCCGTTGCAATAAAGGCGGGAAGCGGGAAGGGTGTGAGCCGGGCGGTGGTCGCCGGCCGGGCGGGCCGGGGCAGGCAGCAAGTTCTATCTGTGAAAGTCTGCGCGGCCGCCCGTCCGTCGCGGCCGGCCCCGCGCGTGCAGGCATTCCCTCGCGGCGGGGCGGCGCCCTTTGCCCACGGTACCTGAAGGCGCGCAGGGGCGGCCGTTCGGAGGTTCGCCAAAGAAGCTGCCTTGCGCCATCAAAAGCGAAACAACCGAAGGCAAGCGGCCGCGCGATCGAAGGAACACTGCCGAGGGAATGGATTGCCTGCAAATCCTTGCCGCCCCCACTGGCCCGCTCGACTCCCGCCCTTCCCTGTTTGCTTTCCCTGCCGCTGGCCCGCGCGCCCGGGCTTTGGTGGTGGCCGCGTGTCTTTCCTCTCTGGCCCCCGGCCGGGCCTTGCCTGCTAGTTAGGCGGGCCCGGGCCGGGCGGCCGGTTTGCCGGTTGCGTTCGTTGCCGGCCCGGGCCGTATCTTTCTGGCTGGGTGCCGTGTGTGCGCGGCCGCCTGCCTATTAATTGTTTCGCACCGGCCGGCCACCGGGCAAGCACGCAGGTGCGCGCTTTGCTTGCCTAGGGGCGCCGCCTCCCTCTGTGGTTCGTGCGCCCTTCCCACGGCAGTTCCGCCGTCTGTCATGGCCTCCTGCGGATAGATTGCTTCAGGCAGAGAGCCCGCGGGCCGCGGGGGGCACTAAATCGCAGCTAATTTTTGCGGGATTTCCCCGAAGCCCTTAGGTGGGGCGGTGGTTTTCCTCCCTGGGCGTTGAAGGCCCCCGGGCACGCAGGGTTCCGTCCTTTTCCACAGCGCCCGGGGACCCGGGTTTTTTTCGAGTCCCCCGCTGGCCCCGCATGCTTTTTTAAATGAAAAGGCATGGCGGGAATTAAAATTTAAAAATTCGGGCCGTTTTCAGGGGATTCGAAATTTCGAACGCCGCGGGGGCTTCTTTGGTATTTCCGCGCCCGGGTGGTTCCGAAGGTGGTGGGCAGCGCTCGCGGTCTTGCTTTCCTGGGGGCCCTCGGGCTTTCGGATTGGGTTGCGAAGACCCTGGCCGCGAGGCCAATGATGAAATCCCTCCATCCTATCATTGTTTCGCTCTTTCGCAAAGCCATTGTCGTTTGGCTTTTCGAAAGCATTGCCAGGGGTCCCGATTATCTCGTGTTCTGTTTTGGACTTCTAAATGTGCTCGCTGTTTTGTTTTCTATTTTTCTGCGGGATTCGTGTGTTCGGCAGCTGTCTCTTCAACTTCTATTTTTCGCGACACTGGAGATTTCCAAAGGAAATCCGCCAAAACGCGAATTTAGAAGTTGAAAAACAGCCGCCCGAACATGCGAATCCCGCAAAAAATAGAAAGCAAAATAGAAGCACGATTTAGAAGCCAAAATAGAATACGACTTAGAACATGGAATTAAAAGCGAAAATAGAACACGATTTAGAATACGAAAATAGAAGCAAAATTAGAAGCAAAAATAGAACCCAGAAATAGAAACAAAAATAGAAGCAAAATTAGCCGCGGAATTAGCAGCGAAAACACCCGCCCGCGGGGGGTGTTCCGTATGGGTGTAACTGGGTGGGGTGTTCGATGGGTGGCGTTGTTTTTCGGCCGGCTTTGGGATTTGGGGTCTTGGTTTGTGGGAATTCACCCTGTGTGAGGTTGCCGGCGCTGCCATGTTCCATGTGTAGAAGACGGCCTGCTTCTCATTGTTTTCTTTTTCTTGTCCTGAATTCCCTTTCCTGATTGCTTTGGGACCTCGTGTGCGGCAACTTGGGTTGTCGCTTTTTCGGGTTTGGGCCTTCAACTATTATCCCGGACGCCGGGGTTTGAAAAAATCCCGCAAAAATTAGCTGGGAATTAGCGGCCGCCACCGCCCCGGGGTTTCTGACTGAATTGCTTGGCTGAGTCATTTTTTTGGTGGCGCGTTTGGTCGCTTACGCAAGGAAGCGCACTGAAGCCTGCCTCTTTAGTTGCCTTTGATTGGTTTGCCGCGGCCAGGGCCACAGTCAGAAAAGCTACCAACATGCAATTTATAGCATTAGGCACCGGGCGAAACCAATGCCCGCATACACCAGAGTCGTCAACCGGCGGGAATCACGATAGTTGACGCTTGTTCCCAGAGGGTTAGCAGGCACGCAGCGACGCGGGGGCGAATGCCGAGTCTGATCCTTCGCCCGCCGCGTGTTCGTTGGTTCGCTTTTTTCTTTCGTTTTTCAAGTGTGGTCAGCGTGTGACCGTGTCAGCGCAGGGATCTTTTTTTTTTTGTCATGGATGAGTCTACTTCGTGCGTGGCCCACATGCGGTCACAAAGGTCTTTATCTGATGACCCATGTTCACAAAATCAACAAAACAGTTGTACCGCCGCGCTAAGCTGCGAGTATGCCAAAACGGTAAAACTCCAGCTCTAGTAATGACCGAGCAAAAGCTGAAGCCTTGAGCGCTTTTTTTAGCTCAGACAAACATAATTTCTTCGAAAGTGAAACACCTCGACCCGTTCTCGCTACTGTGCGTAGAAGCAGGCGTGCGCAAGCTGCTTGCAATTTCTATACTTCTCTGTCCAAATAAAAAAAAGCCCAAGCGACCTGCCCCGTTCATGATGATTCCCCGCGCGCCAACGCGGATAAAGCTCGTGCTGGAAGATGCTCAGGAGTATGGTAAGTGGTTAAAGCAAAAGGGCGGACATCAAGCTGCAGGAATTGTTCACAGCGCTTCTTCATCTTCTTCTGGAGGCTGCAACGTCATCAATCCTGACAGCAACGAACCCATGAACAGCAACGGCGCAAACCTCCCCCCACACCAGCGCATCTTCGGTGGAGGAGGAACCGCATTACAACACGGCGATCACGGAACAATTATAGCACCCAATACGACCCGCGGCCCCGCAGGCGTTGTAATCCAGCAACGCCAGCAACACGGTAGTAGAACCGGCGCCTTCGGAGGCGCATTCATCGGGAGCAGCAACTTTGGAGGCAGTGCCAGCGACGACATGATCAGCGAAATCCCGCACGAGGCGGAGTACCACGGGGTTTTGCGCAGAGGACAACTGTTGCAGCCACCAGGAATGGGTAACACCTTTTCTAATCAGGGTCACCACCATCAGCAGAGACCAAGCAGGAACCGCAATGGTGCCGGGATTGCGGACGACGAAGACGACGTGGAGGCTATGCTCTTGAATGACCAAGCGATGATGATGGATGACCGCAGCCAGATGGAGGACATTATCAAAGTGAAAAAAGCCCCCACCCCATATCGGAAACGGAAGATGCGCGAATTTGTGATGCTGTATTCGAGTACACAAATCGACTTGTATTGCTAGAAGTCCAAGCGACGAAGCTGCGGCCTAAATTGCAGGCAATCTGTCATGCTGTTTCCCACTTCCAGTTGCCTCCTGTCATCCTGGAGCTGCAAGGCTTTCCCACGCTTGGCAGCACTACAGTCCGCATCTTTTGCGTTCTAGCATCACAAAGCTGATTTGTGACCACAAATCTGCATCACAGATTTCCGCTTTGATATGGGGAGGGGGCATTTTTCATTGTAATAGACATCTCGCATTCCTTAGAGGAGTTCGGACAACCAAATCCCGGAAGCGCGTCCAACATCGAGCACCACAACATCATGCAAGGCTTCAGTGCCTCCGAAGCGGACAGCAGCGGGGGCACACCGTTAGTTAGCCCGGGGGATGTGGTGGTAGTGCAACCTTCCGATGGAGGTGGACCGATGGGTCAGCAGCAGCAGCAGGAACTACCACCACAACCACTCCAACAGCAGCTACATCATGTTCCTGCGAGTACTTCTATACTAAGCTCGGAGGAGGAGCGCCGGGTGCAGGAACTCCTCGGTTTAGGATTTGCACGACAAGACGCGGAACGAGCGTTGCGGATGGTAGAGGGAGACGTGCAAAGGGCTGCTGCGCTGCTGATGGACAATTGACACTGACAAGATGGATTTGTTGATTGGCTGCACTTCTTCTTCAACACAAAGCTGAACAGGACAAGCCGAAGGGGGCGTTGTTCTCCGCTCTCACTGCCGGGTCTGTTCTTTCTCGCGACATGATGGCAAGAATCGCAAAAAGTGCTAGAAGTGCACAACTTCAGGCTTTCGTTTATTTTTGAAGCACAGGAATCAGAATCTCCACAATGTTCGCCAACGTTTGTTCTTCTTTTTTCCAAGTGCAGCATGCGGCCGCTCGATGTGGATGATCCAGCTCAGGACGTGATCAAGTATTGCGAGTTACAGGTCGTCTCCATGGACGACCGCGTCAGAAGGATCTATCGTTTGCTAGGAAAAAACGAAGCGTTTGAAGCGATAATGTGCCCCCGATGCCGAGTCTTCACCTCGATTGCGTCATTGTAAGGAATTTCAGTTCGTTTTCCACAGATAAGTAACTTACGACGTCGAAGACGACCACGAGGCTGAACTCTGATTCTTGCATTGAACTTGAAGATCATTCCATTGGGAAATAAACACCAACTTCCAGCAGGACTAGATTTTTACTAAAGCTTTTCAATAAGCCTAACGGTATCTGTCTAAAGATTTACCGACCTTCAACCTTTGAGCGCGGACCTTCCTTGCCGACACATGGGTGGTACACTGTGTAAATTCTATAGTGCAGTGCCAGTACCGAAGATTGAATCTCAGTTGTGAATTTTTTCTACACGAGGACGTCGGAACCACGCGAAGTGGTCCTTGTTTGTTTTCTATCTCGTTTATTTTCATTCGTACTATTCGTTTCCTTCCGCACCGAACCAAAAGCTGAAGCTCTGCCTATGTCAGTTGTTCAAGGAAGTAGAATCCAGAAGCACATCACGTCCTCTCGGGAGGACCGTGCGAGAACCGTGCACCACTTTTTTTGAAACGCGGCCCCGCCCCTTCTTTGTTGATAAGTCAATCGAACACGAATTGTTCGGTAAAAAAAGTCTAGTTACAAGACGAGCCCCTTACTTCGCCGCCCAAGCCGCGGAATAAAACGAAAAGCATGTTACCTTTAGCAGCAGCACTGGCAGTTTTTTCCGCAACTTGTCCAATCTCCTCCATGGCCGCCGATTTGGGCAAAGCTAATAAAGCTGGCGGCGCAACTTCTGCGGAGAAAAACATTCCGACTCTCGGTGGTACTACAGGAGCTGCTGCTCCGGTCGCGTTTTACCATGACCCGGAGTTGTCCAGCACATCGGGCGCCGGTGGCGGGAGCAGTACTACTACAACGTCGGGTCATCAAGTAGATTCATCGGTCTCCACGCCCTACACACCTTCTCTCGAAGCTGCGCGGTTTGCAGCGGCGTTTACAACGCCTGGAAGTGGGCAGGGATCAAACCAGCAACATCTTCACCACACGATGTTCCACTCCGGTGGTTCTTCCTCCGCCTCCTCTTCGAGCAAGGATTTACCGCAACGCATTCTCCCTCCGCAAGACGCCACCAGCCAAGGTTTTTACCAGGGTGCCATGGATGCCGCTTTGGCCGGTCACCCGGTGATCAAACCCCAGTCGTTTTCCTTTGTGGAGCACATGATGCGGACCGGGGGGTTCTTCAACAGCCACATTCCGCAGTCTAGTACCCAGATGACCATCAACATTCAGGTGCATTTGGACGAGTTACCCGACCGGGACCAGCTGAAGGAATTACTACGGGAACAGTGGGTGAAAAAGCACGCGCGGGTTCGCAGCGTAGCGCATCCGCAAACAGGCGTATTCACTATGCTTCCGGAGTTCGAACCCGAGGGGGCGGTCTTGGATTGGGACTACCACTTGAAGGGCCCGATTCATTTGGACCAGAACGAGAATGAAGAGGAGAACATGACCGTGACGGATTTTGTCTCTCTGTTGTATCAAGGACGATACGACAAAACGGGAAAAACGCGGGTGCGAGGAGGTCTGAAGATGAAAAACAACATCTTTCGCGATCCACGCGGCAACGCCGCGAGGAAGGACAGCGGTTTGTCTTTTTCCGATTTAGCGTCCCAAAACGCGGAGCTGGACCCGTGGCAGCCGTTGTGGCAGGTGTGGATGTTGCGGGGGAAGCCGGGGGCGGCGTTTTCGGCTAGGATTGACTTGCTCGAGCCGAAGTACAAGCGTGTGAACATTTTGATCTTTCGCGTGCACCACGCTTTGGCCGACGGACTGCGGATCGCGCTTGCGGGGTCGAGCGGATTCGTGACCCAGCCGGACGGCAGCCCCGCGGATTTCGGGAAATTTATCGAGGAACAGAAGCAGAAATTTCTAGCGAAAATGGCCGGGAAAAAAGTTGATAATGATCCGGAAACAACAAGACCTGAAGTGAGCTCATCTTCGTGTTCCGCAGGCGGTCCTGAAGGCCACCGTGCCAGAAACAAGACCTGCTCCATGAGCAGCTTCAAGCTCCTGAACGCTTTGACGATGGATCTGCGCAAACTGCCCGGCCGCCTCCTCAACTTCGCTGGCAGTCTCGGCGCGCTCGCCCAGCACATGTTTTTCCTGCCGAAGCAAACCTTGACCACCTTCTCCGGTAGAAAAACCAGCACTGACCACATGTGCGAGGGTTTGACGAAACGAAAGTTTCTGTACTTTCCGACGTTAGATTTGGACATCGTGAAACTCGTGAAGAACATTCTTTCCCGTCCGGAAGACCCGGCGAGGGTGTACTGGGAGCCGGAACAGGAGGACTTGATCGGTAATGGAAGCCGACATTCCACTGCGAAGACGTCTAATAAAGGGGCCGCAAAAGCTGGCTTGCGGCTGCGGCGACCGCTGTCGCCGAGGCAGCTAGCGGAACTGGAGATGAACAGGACGAGTGGGGGGCGACAGGGAACAAGTGGCGCTGCTGGTTCTAGTCCTGCTACTGGCAGTGGCAACACGAACACAATCGCTCCTGGGGAAGCAACACCCGCCGCTTCTCCCCAGCACAACGCGGGACAAGGAGCTTCTGGTGCACGACCCTCGAACCTGCAGTCCAGGACAACCGGCCTCCCCCGCATGGTTTCGAGAACGGTCCGCGCGCTGTCCCGGAGCCCGGAGTTTCTAAAACGCTTTTTTGGAAATTTGTTGCGGAAAACGTACAACAAAATCGCCGCGGCCCGGAAGGCGCCGAACGTGATCTCTGTGAATGACGTTTTGCAGAGCTGCCTGTACGGTGCGATCGCGCGCTACATGCTAGAAACCCGGCAGGACCCGGCGGTCGGGGGGAATGGGGAGGACGACGGAACCGGAAGCGGGGATGACGGTAGTGGCAGTGACTGGACCATGAGCAGTGGTGAAAATCAAAAAAAATTGGTGTTGCAGCGCATGAAAGAGCAAGCCGCGGGAGTGAAGAAGCCAGTGAACAATGATGACCAAGAGGATCACTTCACAGTGTCGCCTTCCGCGCTCCTGCTCCCCTCCTCTTCGTCGTCTTCCACCGATAAGAATGTGGTCGTCGGCGGAGCTGCAACTGCTGCCCTTCCAAACATCAAACCGGGAAAAACCAGCTTTGTCCAGAAGTGCCTCGCCCGGCTGAAATCCTGCGCAGTTAGTCGGAAAAAGACCGTAAAACTGCACTCCGCCACCTTCATGGGGTTTCCGGACATGAGTACTTCTGTGCCGAAAGGGCAGGGAGAGTCAACATCTTCCTATCATAATGTGCAAGAAAAGGTGTCGGCGCCGTAGTACTGACTTCTCTCGCACTTATGCATGACACGTTGCACGACCAGTTTTGGAGTTGAAAAAATTTGTAATGCAGCTATTTATACTAAAAAAAAAAACTAAGACCGGCTACAACGACACTGTTCCTTTTGCAATGCATACTTCCCAATCCGTGTCTTCCTTCGTGGACAAGGAGAACAAAAAGCAGAACCAGCTCTACAACGACTGGGTGACCTGTCTCGGCGCGTCGATTCCGGTGTGGAACACGAAGCAGCACCGGCTCTACACCCCGCTCGAGCGGTTAACTCTGACTAAACAGTCCGGGGACTGGTACAAGTCCCACGCGTACCCCTTCGTGCTCCGGTGGCTGTTGCGCAACGCGCTGTGGTATCGACAGTAAATGATTTCCCGTACTACACGTACAAATGCGGTCTTCGCATGACAAAACTTGGCTTCGATCCTAGTTTAGCATGACAAGTTTTTCGCTCCAAATTCGTGAAATTTGTGATGCATCTTGTACACGTACGGAAAATTTGTACTGCATATGTGGATGCTGGGCCCGTTTGCCAACCGGCAGGTTTTGTCGCACTGCTTCTCGCGGCACAGCCTGCTCTTGTCCAACGTGCCGGGGTACAACGACGGCCCGATCAATTTGCTGGGCAAGCGCGTGCAGGCGATTTACGTGCCGATGCCCCAGATTCTGAACTACGCCATGATCTTGACCTACAACCAAAAAGTTTTCGTCACCATGGCCGTGAACGAGATCACGGTGACGAAATCGGACACGATCCTGAAGCATTTCCGGGCGGAATTCACGGAATTGGTGCACGCGGCGTGGGAGAAAACGGAGGACGAAGCGGAGCGGGAGAAGCTAGCTGCGTTTTTGCTCGCGGAGGAGAGTTCGACTTTTGCGGCGGAGGGAGAAGATCTTCATGAAGGGGGTGAAAGCTGTGAAGATGAGCGGGACACTTTCTCTGCGGCGGGATTAGCGTCGCAAATGATGGGAAGAGGAGTCAGTGAAGATTACGAGAAGTTGTAGAAGAGGCGGGCGAAGATGAGGATGAGGAAGCGAATAGGAGATTCTTTGATGATAACTCCAGGAGCGAGTAGACTTGGAGTTGGACGACTTAGAGGCGGTGGAAGTGTCGACGAACAAAAATGGAGAAGGATGAAGAAATATATAAATCTGAAGATTGAGGTTCTTGATCCTGTCTTCACCTTCCGCCTCAACGTTCTTTTTTGACTTTTTACCAAACAAAACTGAAACTTGATACACCAGAGAATAGAGAAATTTCGGGTCTTTGAAACTACAGAACACAATTGGCATCGTTGCAGTGAGGAACAGGAACTACAAATGATCCTTATTTTACTTGTAACGCGGAACCGGAAGTAGCACCTACGCCTACCCGCCTAAGAAAAGTACATAATGCGGGGGAGTTTTTGGTAGCGGGCTTCGAGTCGCTGCCCATGCAGCGGCTGCGGAATGTCAATAGTTATAGTGTTCGACTACCACGAGGAAGACGGCCGGCGCACGTGCCTGAGGACAGAAAGCAAGCGCGCAAATTCTTATAGGGCTACGTCGATGACAGGGGCGCGATTCAGCGGGGGCATATTTGTTCCGCAGCCGCTTCCCAGTGCGGGGGGCCGCGCTGTTATGGGTGTGGTTCCGATAGCGAAGCTGCTCGGGGGCCTTCCCCCGGATCGCAAAAAGGCTCCAGGCAAATCATGGCGCGCGTGGCGACGCTGACAGCGGCCCGCCCCGCGCGAAGCTGCGGAGCAGGAACAAGCGGCGGCGGCTTCGTTGCTGCGCAGCCCTCTCGTGCACCTCTTGCAGGGGCTTCCGGGGTTCCGGCGCATGTATCAGATAACTGAGGACCGAGCTGGCCCGCATGGTGGGGCACGCGTCGCGGTGATTGAAGGGCCCCGGGCTGCCCCTTTGTGTTTGTCGCGTCTTTCTTGGAGCTGGGCCACGAGCCGCGGTCTCGGCGTGATGTGAGATTGTTGCTGCGGGTTGTGGCAATCAATGGAATTGTAGCGAACTCGTCGCCGAAGGGGAAGCCGGCCGGCGCGCCCCGGGGGGGCGGTGAATCGGCCGCGAGCGGGGTCGCGATTGCAGCAGGGCGTCCCCGAGCATGGTTGTCGCGCAGGCGCCCCGCGTGCCATGTGTTTGGCTTGGAGGCGTTTTATGTTTGGGCGGGCGGTTTTGGGGGCGCACGCCCGCCGCTGCCGGGGCGGCCCCCCCTTCCTTCGGCAAGGGCACCGCCCCCATTTGCGCCAAGCATCATGAAGGCCCCTATCTGCTTCCAGAATTGTGGAGCCGATGCCCGGGCGAGTGTCTAACCTGTGAAAGCCTTGCGCCCTGGCTTTCCGGCGGGCCGGCGGCGGCGTTGTGCGTCGGGTTTGCCGGTTTGCCAGGGCTGCCGCGCGTCCCTCCTTCCGGGCGGCAAGGATGCCCTGGCCCTTGTGGTCGGCGGACGGGCGGCGCGTGTGAGAGACCGACGGGTGCCTGAGCGTCGCCGTCGAGTCCTTTAGGGGTTAGGCGCGTGCGGGAGTTTTGCAGGGGTCAGGCGTGTCGCCGCCTTTCTTGGTGGGCTCTGGGGCCTGCCATCTTGGGCCCCCCCCTACTTGTCGGCGCGCCGCCGCTACGCAGCGCCCGCCGCGCCGCCACGCCGGTCCGTCGGGCCAGCGTGTGGGCCGGCCGGCCGCTCGGTCGGTTGCTTCTGTCTCGCGGCCCCCGCCGTGCTCGGTGGGCGACTGTGTTGCCGGCCTTTCCTTTCGTTCATTCTTGCGCCGTGGAAATCCCGTTAAAGCAATACGTGGGGCCCGTGGCCAAGCAACGCCTTCGGCTTCGTACGCCCGGGGCGGCAAGCTTGGTTGGGGCGGCGCCCGCTGTCAGCCCCGTCTGCCGGCGGGCGTCTACCTCGGCTCTTTCGCGCGGGCGTGCCGGCCGTCGCTTCGCCGCGCAGGCAGGCGCCCGCGGCTTTTGAACGGTGGGCGCCGCGCGACCGCTGGGGCCCGGCGGGCCGGCCCTTGCCGCGAAGCGCAAGCAGTGAGTCAATCTGTTGAAGTCTGTGATGATCTCGATTGTGTCGCGAAGTAATATTTTGCTTGTCTTGTGTAGCGGCCGGCCCCGGCCCGTGTGTCCTTGCGTTGGTGCTCTCATCAGAGATTTGTCTATCTGGCAGAAGAGGCGATAGAAGTGGGGCGCGTCCCGTATTTTTCCAATTGCGGGCCGTGTGTCTTCAGATGGTAGCTCCATTCCCGACAGTGACTTATTCTTGTAGCAGTAGGTCTAGGTGGTCGTAGGCATGGGATTGCTTGGTGCATGACATAGCTATCAAATTTTCATTTTACTTGCACGGCTCCGGATGATGAGACGCAGTTTCGTGATTGCATTGGTATTCCTGGTTGGACGAGTGGGAGCGTCTTGAGCGCTTTTTGTGGTGTCATTGGTACTACGTCATTATTCCGACGGCGACTTGCTTCTACTAAGTGCGAGGCTCTTTTGTCCACCGCCCGTCTAACATTCTTGCTACGACATACCTGACGCTGTCAATTTTTTTCTCAGTATTTCTATTTCCCTTTGGCTCCGTGCCCGCGGCCCCAGCCCCATCGTTCAGGATGCGCAAGGTCGCACAGAGATGCTGGACCCGAGGACAACGGGGCTCGACGTCATCTCTTCGCTTTCCTATCCCGCCCCAAGTTCATCTCGCCTGCCGCACACGGGGCCCCTTACTTACTCCGGGAGCTGCGCGACCTTTCTCAACGGCATCTTCGCGGCCGGCGTTCTCACCAGAGCATTCCTCTGCGCCTCAACCGAGAAAAACATCAGCTTCCAAGTTTTCCGGCCGATCCGACATTCTCGTTGAGCCAACCGACACTCCGCACACACTTTACCAGAAGCTCGTCGACCGCGGGGAGCTCAAGACGGATGCGGAACAGGAAAAAACCGTGGAAATGCTTACAGCTATCTTCCACTCCGTTCTGGGCAGCAAGAAAGAATCTACTCCTGCTACTCCCCCTCGCGGCCTGTACATCTACGGTCCGGCTGGTTCCGGGAAGTCTCTCTGCATGGACCTGTTTCACCTTTGCATCTCGCAGCAGAGACCGAATACCGAACGAACCCACTTTCACGAGTTCGTGTACCGGCTGCACCGCAGGTTGAACGAATTGTCCAAGGGCGAAAATATTAGCAACAGCTCATCAACAAGCACTTTCGCCGGCATCCCGAAACAAACTGACACTACGAGGCAGAGGATCGAGAGAGTCGCAAAGGAAGTCGCGGAGCACAGTGAGGGGTTGCTGTGTTTTGACGAGTTTGCGATTACCACGATCCAGGATTGTACGATGCTGTGTGTGTTGTTTCAGGAACTGTTCCGACAGAACGTGGTGTTCATCACGACGTCCAATCGGGCACCGCAAGATTTGTACGAGGACGGTTTGAACCGGCATTTGTACTTACCGGATTTCTTAAATTTATTGCACACCAACTGCGACATCCGGTCAGTGGGGTTTGAAACCGGGATCGACTACCGACAGGCGGGTTATAATTCGTTAGGGCAAGAATTAGGCAGGCTGGTGGACGAGGAGGGGACAGGCGAGGGCGGTGATTCAGGCGCTTACGTGGTCCACGAGTTGTATTTTCCCGACCCGGAGGTTGCGGATGCAGGAGCAGGTGAAGGTGTGAATATTAAACTACCAAACCGCGAGCAGGCTTTCGCCTGGGCCAGTTCAACATCTTCACTCGAGCCGATAGCGGACTTCGATTTATCATCTGCAGCAGCTTCCACGTCCTCGACGGTGACAGGAAGTTCCACCCCGATCCAGATCCCCATCAGTTATGGGCGAACCTTGGAGTGCAAAACCTCCGGTCCCGGCTGGGTCTTGTTCGATTTCCGCGAGCTTTTCGGCGGAACCGGTGGCGACACGGAGCGGAAGCTGAGTCCGCGTGACAGCAAAGAACGACCCCGACATTCCTCCACTGCCTACGGGCACTACAGTGCGGACGATTTCAACGCGATCTGCCGCCAGTTCCACACGGTTTTGCTCGAAAATATTCCGAAATTAACCACGGAAGAACACAACGAGGCGAAGCGGTTCACGAATTTTCTCGACTGCGCGTACGAAAACCACTGTCGGTTGGTGTTGCTGAACATGCTATGCACTGCAAATATGTCTGGGTCTGGAAGATTGCAACTCGTCATGCTGTTTCTGGACCCCAAATAAAATTTGTATTGCGTGACCAGCAAGAGGGGTACAGTTTTTGGTACACGGACACGGCATTTCTCATGCGGAAGGTGCATCAGGAAGCCCTCTAAAAGTCTGCGATGCTAGTTCATGCATTACAGGCATCATGGGTCATGAGAAATATGCACGACAAATCTTGCATTCTTCGTCTTCCAGACCCAGACACTTTTGCATTTGATACATGCACTGCGCAAAGGTTGCTGACGTTTTTCAGGAGCTGCGGTCCTTAGAGTCCTTGCGGATGGCGGACTTTGGACAGCACGAGATTCCGGCCGGCGCGGCAGATCAGGACACGACGAAAGACGCATCCGCGATTGTGCAGGCGATAAAAAAGCTGAAGGAGCGGAATGTCGGGCTCGAGCAACTCGAAAAGGATAAGGGGGAGACGGAGCCGCACGTTGAAAAATCGTCGGAGGATCAGCAGGTCACCAGTGGCGCTGGGTCAAGCACAGGTTTGTAGTTGATGGAGTACCTGCTTGATTTGAGAACGCGTAAAGGTCTTGCATTGACTTTGTTCTTTCTGCTTTTGGAGCATCTTGGAGGATGCGATAGTAGATACTGGTACTGCAGAGCCAGAACATAAAAAAGTTTCGCCACAAAAAAAACATTCAGGCTCACCACCTTCCCAACGAGGACCTTCGTCTCTGAAGAGCGACATGAAACACCCGATGAGCCTTTCAGATTTCGACCCCGAAAAGGATATGCAAATCTGGAAGCAGGACGCGCAGGGCATGCCGCAAGTCACCAAATCCTGGGATGAGCGACGCCGAGCGAGTCAGTTTCTCTGGGAAGCAGCGGATCCCACCGCGGAACAGCAGACTTTCAAAGGCGTGTTCGCCGCGGCAATTGCGTCGTTGCACGAGATAAGCGTTGCAAATATGTCTGGGTCTGGAACATGCCAACTTGCGATGCTGCATTTGCATTCCAAAAAAATCTGTATTGCATGAGCAGCAAAAGGAGTCCGACTTTTGTTACGCGGAGAGGGCATTTGTCATGCGGGATAGGCATCAAGAAGCTGTCCTAACAAATCTGTGATGCTAGGGCATGCATCGCAGACAACATGGCTCATGCAAAACGTGCATGACAAGTGTTGCAACCTCCCAGACCCAGACCCAGACATATTTACGTTTTATACGAGACGGGGTTTGCAGTGAAACGCGCGGTCTCCAGGTTGCACGAGATGCAGAGTCGGAGATACTTGGAGGTGTGGCAGGACAAGCGCGGGGGCGAGACGAAGAAGTAGGAGTTTTTATTAGTACCTAACAAGAAGAACATACACCTCAACGCAATCGCAATGTAGTATGTAGCAGCTCGAGCTCCTTGTTTCGTGTGCAGATAGTACAGCTGTTGTATGATCGAAATTTTGCTGGCTCATTCTCATATTTGCCAGCGGGGGTTTCTTCATAGAGTATTTTGGAAAAAAATGCACGCACAAGGTTTTATGTGACCAGAATCCAAGTCGAGTTTCATGATTGTGCCGCGACTTGCGCATAGGGTTGCAGTTGCACCAACCACACCGAGCCAGACTTCCTTCATTGTCTTGTTCGTTTCTCGTTTTCATCGATTCTCGTTTTGAGAAATATCTTCGTGTTTTGCCACAGAAATAGATGTCCGCTGATCACTCTGTAGCCAGAGCGAGTAGCGTTTGAGAGCGTGAGAGCCGCATCGTGTTTGTGTCTGGACGTCGATTTCATCCTGTTTGATAGTTGGTTCTGTGGCAATTACTTAGCAGACATAAGAAGAAATAGAAAAAAATCTGTACCAAATGTAAACCCTCCGTGAATAAATTATAAACAGAAAATCCTCTCGGTCTCGAAAACAACCTCAAAATGCCAGTGACTTCTCCGAAGCACCAGGACAATGCGCGGTTCTATTCCGTGGAGCGCCGGATGGGCCGCATGTCCGACGACCGCGGATACGACAGGCAGCGGTTTGAAAACTATTCCGCCTGGATCGACAACCAGACCAGGGCCATGCAAAAGTCCGAGGCGTTTTTTTTCGGGAGGCAGTCGAGTAAACCGCTGTACGGGTTCGAGGCGAAAAGACCGGTGATAGACAAACCAAGAGACGTCAAGACGTTTTACGTTCAGGTAAAGAATTAGTGTGTGAGATTACTATTTTCACTTGTTCATTTGTCACGAAGAAAATGAAAATCTATCACCGCCACCATGACCTGGAGCTGCAACTGCATCATTCGTAGACGTAAGTGGACCTAGTTCTCAAGTCTGAGCCAAACCATCTTCAACAACGTGTGGACAACTGTTGCGCATTCTATTCTACACCATTCTCAGGAACCAACCTTCACGTCGCAAACGGTGTGCGCGAGAAAATACGACCAGAATTACAAGGTCGTGGAAGATCCGTTAGAAGACCTCCGTGCCGATCCCTACCACGAGCCGAACTTTCTTGCGGTTGGAGAAAAAGATCACTATGGAGATCAAAGGTACAGGGTGCTGCTTGAATTTGATTTGCCAGCGCATTTTTGTTTATCACACGTCTACGTGGCAGCTATCTCGCATGACGGAGTGTTGTCGTTGTGCTTTTCGTGCTGCAACGATCATCGCCGTATTCTATTCATCAATCAATGAAATTGATCGGAAACCACCACCACCAGGTCTGGTTCCCAACACCCAGAAAAGAACCGACTACCCAAACTCTGGCGGCCAATGGACAAAGAGTTACGGAAAGCAGTGCCACAGGAGCTCGTCGATAGCTGGATGCGATCCATGGGTGGGGACAGCAGGAGAGTAGACCCGAAGGTATATTAGTAGAGATTGATGAGCTGCGTGCATCTTTTTGTAGACAATTTTATTTTGTCAGGAGAGACAACAGAGGCATGACAAATGTGCTATTTCATCTTTTACTTTTTGCACGACCCGCATCACAAAAAAATCTCTTCCTTTCAGGATCCGACCTTCCAAGTGCTTTTCAAAAACGACATTGACGTGGTAAAAAACTCTTCCGCGAAGGGAATCAAGGAACTGAACCTCGACTCCTCGGTCTTCCACCTACCCCACTACCTGGAAGAAGAGAAGAAGGACCTCCCACCCCCGCCAGAACCCCCAGTAATCGGGGAGGACAGTCTGCTCCCGATCGAAAAAACGGGAAGAGTGTTCAAGAACCGGGAGGAAGCGCGGGTGTTAGTCAGACCGGATACGAGGTTTGAAGGGGAACTAGACCAGCTGGAACAACCGCCACTACCGGAAAGTCCGAAATCCCAGATGTCACCCCGCAACATCGGCCGGAAATTCGGCGACTCGCCCGTGCCGTCCGCCGCGACTGGTGCTGCGGCGGCCATGATGGACGAATTGCTGGGGAGGTCACCGGATGGAATAGCAAAGCCGTACACGCGGCCGGTGCAGGGCATTGTGCAGCCGGACAAGAGTCTGATGAACTTGTCCATGGAGGAGAGATTAGGGGAGTGGAAGGCGCTGAAGAAACAGGACGCGCGGGGGAAAATATGACAGTGCACAACTCCCCCACCTTCCCCTCATTTGTTATGCAAAATCCCAAATCCAGTCGGTGCCTTGTGGCACTGCGTGCATGACAAATTCTGGAAGCCCAAACAGTACAACTAGATTAGGTGCGTAAATTATTTGTCATGCATGGGCTCCACGCGTGCGGGTGCTTGTATTGCTGTTCATGCCACACAAATGAGGGGGAGGGGGAGTTGTGCACTCTCATAGAAAATCCGGGGAGACGTGAAGGAGATTTTGAAGCAGTCGAGCATCCTGTTAAAAGTCCAGCAGCACCCGCCAGTGGTACCGAGAAAGATCTTCGTGTCCGCAGAAGACAGATACAACAATAACTGGGATCGGGACATGCACAGGGTCAGGATGCGTTATCCGGGAGGTACAATACTGTTCAGTGGATGTTAATTTTGGTTTTTTGTCTTTGTTTCGTCATGCGTGCGGAAGATCAATACGGATTGTCATTGTCATTGTCCCGTATTACGCGTGTTTTCGTTGTGCATGAGCAATGTCAGGTTCCAGAATTATGATGAAATAGAAATCTTGCGTCGAAAACAACTACAGGCACGCGCGCCACCGAGGGCATGGCAGGGACTTGGGCCCCGGAAGGCGGGGGTATCGCTGCGTTGGCGCCGCCCGTGAACATGTCCGTCGCGTCCGCGGTCTACCGCGGTGGGAAGTAGGGGCGGGAGCGTGATGGTGGATCTTCACACGACCAGGAGGTTTGTGGATGAAGACAGGAGAATTTGTCATGAATTGAAAAATGATGAACCCAAAGACAAGGCACAACCGAAGAACACCACCAGCTTTGCCAATCAACGTAACATTATGCAACGTATACCTTCCAGTTTCAACGTCGATTTGAGACTCTTAGAATTAAATGCTACCAATTTATTATATCGCAAAGTCAGCAAAAGATGAGAGATGTCTGAATGAATCAATAATGTGCTACATCAAAGAGGAGAGTTGTCGATAAAGCTGAATCGCTAACACAGACAGCGATTGCGATGAGCATCTACAAATGTACTTCTACAGAGAACTACCGTTTTCAAACTAAATGCTCCAAAACGAACTCTATTCTGGCTACTTGTACAATGATGTCAAGAATAAAAATGTATCATGGAACTTCTGTTGCTCGTTTGCTTTCTTGCAGCCTGTGCCCCTGTGCACGAGCACGACTTATTTTCCACGACTGTCGAGAATTATGATCATGATGTTGTTCTTGTTCTTCTAGATGTTGTCACAATTTTTCGTGCGATTTTTACTCATGAATCTGTCCGCGCTCATCTCTGAAAAGTACTGTGCCGTCGTGTTTGGTGAACTTTTAGTATAGTACGAGGAGCGAGGGAAAGAAGCAAGACTCACGACGTGCCTACGCACGTGGCCAAAGGGATGAAAAGGAGACAAAATCGCGCAGAGCTGTCAAAACTTTGCGTTGTTGAGTGGTCAAAAACTGAAATTGATGATTCAAACAAAGGCCAAAGAAATAAATCTGAAGTCGAACAACAAAGGGGGCTGCAGTATTAAGAGAAGCTGCAACTAACTGGTGCTGTAGACGAGATCTTCTGCAGAGCATCAACGTACTAAATGGCAGATCGTCTCCAGCTGCTGCGAAAAAAGCACCCCACTTTGGGGTCGCCTGATGTGAAATCTTCCAAAAAGCCAAAGACAGAAGGACAAGTGGTGGAGCAAGAAGGTGGCGTAACGCAAGGACAACAACCACCTCCTGATCAAGCACCACCCGAACGACCGCAAAGCAACCTGTTCGGAGCTGGCTTCGGGAGCCATCCCGATGCAGCTTCTGGGGCGACATCCTCTTCCTCGTCAAGCTCAAATGTTCTCGCAGCAGCAGGTCCTTCTGCCACCGTGTCTTCCTCTTCGTCCTCGAATCGCGGCCCAGGGAGCAGGGGACTACAGCCTAATGCTCCACATTCCGCTGGAGATCATCGAGGCGATCCTGGTACAACTCGCGGTCGACCGCGTTCTGCTTCCGCAAGGAATCGAGATCCAGCCGCTCGAGCCGCCGCCACTTCAGCTCGACCAGGGAACCAAAGCGCAAGACCAGCACGGGAGCCGACGCCGACCGGGCCTAGGACTGCTCTAGTTGTTCCGGATATCCTCGCCGACCGCGCGAAGCCGGTGCGGACGGAGCTGGCTACTAAATTACCCCCGCGGAAGGATCAAGTGGTGGTTTCCGCGCCGCAAAAAGTGAAGTTCACGGTGGATTCACGCATCGACACCGGGCTGCGCGGGGACTGGAAGAGCAAATTGGATGAAAGCCGGGCGCGGTCCAGGGACCGCTCTAGGATCATCGAAGAGCACATCCAGGGGCAGAAATTCGTCCCAGTGCGAGCACCTAGTCGGGAGAGGGACGAGAGCCAGTTTTGGAGAAGCCGGAACCACAGGGGGGATGCAAGTCACTTGGAAAGCAGTAGACCTGGCGGTGACAATTCCTCACACAACGAGGAGGTTTTTGTCTCCCCGCAGCAGTCCCCGGAGCAGAACCAACAGGGAGAAATAGGTGAACGCGAAGACCAAGCAGCGCAACAAGCGGAAGAGCGCAGCGTAAATCTCGGCTCTTTTTTTGCACGCCAGAACAATCCGGCGGATGATGATGACGTTAAGATGGGCGACAGCCACGATTTCGTCGAGGCGAATGCGAATGTATCATCTCTGGCAGCAGCAGCATCGGGAGATGAACCAGCTGCCGGACCGGGTGCGGCGAATGATCAACATGTTGAGCAACATCATTCCGAAGGCCGTTCCGTTGCACCGCCACCGTCAACAGGTGCACAAGCCACCTCATCCTCGTCCGCGGGACAACATCAAACCGTCGACACCGACGACCTGAATCCGTTCTACGTGATGCCAACGGATCCTCTTGCCGCCATCGCGGATAGCGCGGCGGAAATGCGGCACCTGCTCTGTGGCCGGCCGGCGAGCGGCGGCAGCTTTTCCGCGGTTTTACGGGAACGGGACGAAAAATTACGGGAACAAGAACTACAAAAGCAAAAAATTAAAAGTCGCCCGTCGACCGCGGGAGCGGCTATTGCTGGTCTTGAAAGTATAGATGAAAACAAAAAGGGTAACATCAAGATCAAGAAGCAGAATATCAGTGTGGACGAGAAACAAGAGGAACAACTTCTCGCGAACAAGATGAAAACGCCTTTAGCGCACGCGATTCCCTCCCCCGGCACGACTCGGGTGAAAATCGGGAACGAGGTTGCTGTAAATGCTACCGCCAGTGCTTTCGAAAGCCGCATGATGAAGATGACGATGACCCAACTGCAGGATCAGCCGAACCCGATGGAATCCAGCGTCAGCTACAACTTTCGCGGAAATAAAATGAACAACGATTTTTCCCCGCTGGCGTCACTGGCAAACAAAGGAAGCGAAGTTTTGCAGCTAGACGAACTTCGACCGGCTCCCGCAGGAGCTCCCGCAGCTACGAGAGGTCGGGTGGGCGCCCGGCAAGGTGGGGCTCTTCTTGGTGCAGCTCCAGCAGGAGCTTCCTCTACCGCCCAACTACAGCAGGATGCGTGGGTCGGCCGGACCCTGGATCTCCAACCCCAACGAGCCTCCTCGCCGTTGCTCGAACAGGGCGGACACGATCTCTCCTCCCCAAAGGGCCGTGAGAACGCGCTCCGGGCTTTGGTGGCCGCGTCGCCAACGAGAGGGTTAGCCGGTTCGCCGAAAATTGGAGGCGGAAAGAACACGCGGGATCGTACGGCCTTGTCGCCCAAACGAAGCCCGCCAGAGCAGGGGAATATTAAAGTCAGCCACCGTGGTGGTAATCATGGCGGTGGTCTCTTCTCTCCGAAACGAAGCCCACCTGAGCAGGGGAGAAATGTTCGCCACGATCCGTTTTCTCCGAAACGCAGCCCAAAGGAGAAAGATTTGGAGAGAAAAATGCTGTCGCCGAAGCGCAGCCCCGTCGAGTCGAGACGCGTGAAGGACCAGATCAAGCACGAAATGCAGCAAGTTTTGAAGCAAGAAGACGATGTTGCTATGGTGCCTAATATTGGAGGTAGTAATAAAGCAACTACGTCGACGAAGCACCATCAGCATCCTTGGTCGCCGAAGCAAGCCCGGTCACCGAAAGACAAAGATCCAGTTGTCCAAGCAGAAAGTAGCAAAGTATCGCCGAAATCGAAGCGACACAAGCCCTCCGTGAAAGAAAAGTTCCTTGAAAAAATGACCATCGGGGGGCCGCGAGGCGGGAGTAAAGACGGGAACGAGCAGTCTTCGCAGCAGCAGCTTCCGGCCGCCGGCAAAGCGAGTAAGGCGATCAATGTCAATGCGGTAGACCACCGACTACATCATGCCGACCAAGCACAGCAGCTCGATCATCTTCGTGAAAGCAGCGATAAAACTACTACAAACACCGATCTTCAGCATCATCAGCAAGTTCTCCTGAAACCGATGAAGCTTTCGCATTCGCCGTTGGCCTCTCGGCGGACACGTCCGCAGACCGGCGGTGGCTCGCCCGGCGGAGCAGCAGGCGGATCATCGTCTCCAGTTGCAGCTTCGCAGTTTGAAGACGCTCCGGTTGTCTCACCACGAGATACGAGTCGGAATCTGCTTTCGAAAGCTGCAGCTGCACAAGGCCAGCATCAAAATTACAACCAGCAGGCGCGGCAAGGTCAATCACATCTTCCGCTGTCCCCATCGCAGCAGCGTAATCATCAACTACATGATCCTGCGGGACAACAGCAGCAAATACAAAAAGGCAGTCATTTCATGCAGCAGAAAAATCAGTTTCCGAGCACACAGGACGCTGCCGAGGACCAGTACAGCAAGAAGAGGCTAGATGAGCAGACCTCCTCCTTCATTCTGCCGAAGCTGGTAGGGGCCACGGCGAAAGGACGAGACGGAGATGATAGCAAGCAAGGTGGTAGTATCCCCTCCCAGAAGATGAATCCGAAGCAGGATCTTCTTTTCTACAACGAAATGCCCACAACTTGCGCAGGAGCCCCCACGGCATCTTCCTCTTCATCCTCCGCTGCAAACAACAGTCGCAACAGACTGCCTCAAGCTGGAAATCCAAATCTGAATGAGCCGCGGCTTTCCTTTGGAAATGCGACGAATATTTTACTCGACCACGAAGACATGATGAAAGACACGTCAGAAAGCTTCCTCGAAGAGATGGTAGAAAAACAGAAACTGCGGACCCCGGTAGGCAGTCGGAGGACCAGCGACAAGCACAACCTGAACCAGAATGATAGGCGACCTGGTCTTGCTGGAGGAAGACTTGGAGCTGGTGTTGAGCCCGGTATGGGTGGGAAGATGAGCAATCCAGCAGAGCCTCAAGGTCGACCGTCCATTTGTTTAAAGGACGAGTGGAGTACGGGTTATAACCCGTATGATAACAGCGACCGGGTGTACAGGTATCCAGCTGCACATAGGTCTGGAGCAAACCCGGATCATGTTGATCCGAACCATTCCGGAATCGAGATTTTGCAACCGAAGGTACTGGAGACCACGCTGTCTTCTTCGTCCAGTAGCTCGAACGCCGCGAACGTCGCAGACGACAACACTGCCGGAACAAGTTCCGGCTTCGGCCATCAACAACTCGGGCCACGCCAAGACGATCGGTATGACGCAGAGATCTTGCCGGATGCGGACGCAGAACAACACGATGGTGCAACACCATCCCGACGAGATTACCGCGCATTTCCAAAAGTTCCACTTCTCACGGACGACCTTCCGGATAAAGGAGCGAGTTTGGGATTTTTCACGAACGGGACTAAAAATGTGGACCCGATGGACGTTGATGAAGAAGAGGACGATGATTTTGTCCCGCCGAGTAACTGCGCCGTCGCATCTTCCCCGGTAGACGATGTGAGTATGATGGGTGCTGGTCATTTTTTTGTCGGAGAAGCACCAGCAGCACAAGCGGCACTTCCACCTGCTGCAGGAGTGTTTCCACCAGCTGCCGCATCAAATAATGATCTTCAACCGAACAGCAAAAACCACGATCAAAGTCAGTTTTTCGACACTTTAGAGGTGAACATGAATACCTTCAACGAGGAAGCAGCCGCCGCAGAAGTAGACGCCGAACATTTTCTGGCGAAAACCGCGGACAATTTCACCGTGCCCGTCCGCGAAACACCCTCCTACCAGTGCCCGCAATGCGAGCGGTGGTTCGTCAAGGCCGCCGCGGACCGACACATACCGAAGTGCAAGGGCTGGAACAAACGGAGCACGGCAAAGCCGAAAGTACAGATGAAGGCCGCGAGGTTTGGCAGGCGGGTACCGGAATCGCAGGACCCCGAGCAACATCTTGTTATGGGGGGAGCGGCCGGTGCGGGGGTGGACAGTGGGGTTGGTTTCGATGCCGACGGAGGTGCTGGTTTAGCTACGACGAACAATCAGGGCAGTAAGAGCAGTAGTGTAGCTGTTGGCGCAGCAGGTGGTCTCCCAACATCTTCGCCAAAGAACAATCGAGCAGTGGTGCCTCCAACTGCAGGAGGAGGACCTTCTGGCACAACCAACTACGGTGCGGCCCACCAGCAACAACCACAGCAACCACAATCGACCGAAACCCTGTTCGAAACGCAGAAGGTCCAGGTGGAGATGTTGCTCAAAGACCAGAAGAAGTACGCCTCTTTCTGGACGTATCCACAGTAAATTTCCCGTACACGTACAAATGCGGTCTCCGCATGACAAAACTTGGCTTCGATCCTAGTTTAGCATGACAAGTTTTACGCTCCAAATTGGTGAAATTTGTGATGCATCTTGTACATGTGCGGGAAATTTGTATTGCATAGGACGAAGCCGGAGCTGAAGACCGAAATTTTGCAAAAAACCCACGCCGGGCTGAAGTGGGTCTCGCAGTACAGCCAACTGAGTGAGAAGACAAAAATCAACCGGACCCAACTCGCCAGGGTGGTGCTATCGGCGGGGGCGGGGAATCGGAACAGCAAGACGAACAACGAGACCATTAGCAACATCAAGGCACTGATCGAGTTTCAGCTGGAACAACTGGAAAAGGAAAAGAAAATACAAGCAGCGAGCGATATCGATTTAGAATCTAAGAGGTCGATGGTGCAGTTGGCGGATTACTCGAAGAAATTGACCGAATTTTTGCGGATAAAACTCATCGACGACACGGATGTGACGCTTTTGCGGGACTCGCTGTCATTGATAAAAGCCTTTTTTCGGAATTTGGAGGAGCAGAAGCGGTGAAGATATGAGGAACAGAGTAGAATTACACGACATACTAGATGATCTCCCATTTGGCTGACATCATGTAAGAACACGCACGTGGACGTGCTCTCGTTTTTTTTACCACGCAGCCTGACAGTACGCTGCAGAGCAAATAAGTTTTTGATTCTTATTGACAGATTCGTTCGTTAAACATGTATCTTCATCTTGTGCTTGTGCCACTAGCTAAACTTGTACATTATCTGAATCGAGGACGACAGGACGAGACATGCTGTGTTGACATTTTGAGCAAACAAGCCTTGCATCATTCTGACTTGAAAATTTAGAAGCGCAACGGATTTTCATGCTGCTTCGTACTTTTCTTTCGTATTCGTTTTCTTGTCAACATGTCCGTTTGGAAGTCCCGACCGAGTCGTTGTATTTTCAGCTTATGCTACGAGAGGAGGAAAATGAAAATCTTGGCATCGTGAGAGAGGACGAGAGATACTTAAAAACTGACGGACAAAATCCTCGTTGGGAAACGAAAAATCTTCGCGGAGACCAGGAGAAAACAAATCGAGTTGGGAGCAGAGCGTGGCGAAGTTTCAGTTTTGTGTGTGAAGGAGCTGTTCGAAGTATTTGTGCAGGACTAATCGCCAGCGCATTCACGACAAGAAGAACGCTTGGTCACCCTTAACACCAGTCTCTCCAGAAACAAAAATGCCGTCTCGCGTGCCCAGCGTGGCTGCTGGTAAGCAGAAGGCACAGCTCCCACCGCCCACCGCGGGTGGTCCAGGAGTAGACAAGATGGACGCTGCAGGTACTGCTGGTAAGCGCAGCCGGCCGCAGAAGCAGAAGCCGGCGAATTTTCTCTCGCCGTTTGACAAGTCGTCCGATTACTACGAGGACGATGAGGATGAAGGAAATCAGGACGACGATGAGGGTTTTTACGACGAGAACAATGATGAAGACTCCGAGGAGCAGGAGTCGGAGGAGGAGTCCGAGGCGGATGAACCCGCTCCGAAGAAGAAGAAAAAACCGACATCTTCGCGTGGACCTGCTGCGGACAAGAAGATACTAGAAAAGTATTCCGAAAAGTACAAAACGTTCATCAAAAAACCGCAACCGGCACTCCTGCTGAACGAGAAGCGAGTGACGTTTGACGCGACTTCTCAGGCGTGGAAGATCCGCATCAAGAACCCGCAGCGGCTGATCAACTTCTGCCGGGAAGCGATGCTGTGCGAGGGGCTGCTGAAGCCGTTGACGCCCCACTTAATGTGGGCGGCGTGGGTCAAGGAAAAGGCGAAGTTTACGCTGAGCAAAAACGTCCCCACCCCAGAGTCAAGTTGGGAACTCAGCAACACAAATCCAGAAGTTTTAGGGGTGACGCATGACAAATTTCTCTCTGTATTGTAGTGCAGGGTAGCAAGAGCAGCCGCATCATAAAGCCATTCTCCTATCCTGCTTACAGCATTACAGATTCCAAAACACGATTGAAAATGGCTGTCACGCGGGTGCGCATTCCAAATGTTGCTGTAATTGCAAATCTGCATGACAACTCTGGTATGCGGACGCTTTTGCTCAGGATAAATTTGCAGGAAAATGGCGAGCTGTCCGAGGACATGGAGGACATATCCTGTGCAAAAGTATCGTACTCGTATAAATGCAAGTCTTGCATTACAAATCTCCTTCCGAAGGCAAAACAGCATGACAAATTCCATTTGTCATGCTGAGCTAATTTGTATTGCAATTACTACTAGTACGATACTTTTGCAGTTCATAGGACATCGACTTCACCAATGTCCTACCGGAGGAGTGCTACGGCCACGATTGGACGAAGGAGCGGGAAAAGTGGGTCCGCGTGAAGCACATCAGCAAGTACTTGGACGCTTACAACGCGTACGCCACCGACCAGGACCGGACGTATTACCGGAAGGAGTTCGACCGGCAATTCGCTCTGTACGCGACGAAGGTGCGGATGTTTTTCTGCGTATGCAATACAAATTTCCTTTTCCCGTACAACATTGACAACATGCATCACAAATTTCGCCACCTTAGAGCATGCCTTGCCACATGTCATGCCTAAACAGGATTCAATGGGACCTTTGTCATGCAGAAACTGCATTTGTACGACGTGTACGGAAAATTCACTGTGCATACTGCGGGCACCGGGCTTACTACCTGTTCAAGCGGGTGGTGGATTGGATCCGGTGCCAGCACATACAGGTGGACCTGGAGCGGCTGCGTCTGAAACAGGAGAAAGACGGTAAAAATATGGGGAGTTGAGTTTTTGCTGTGGTCACAGGAACCGAGCTTCTTGCACATCAAATCCTGCCTAGAAGTAGCTCGCGTCATGACATTAAGTAAACAACGCAGATATAATGATTTTCATGTCGATTCACATTATCATTCTCATCTGAATAATAAAACAACACAACCAGGTGGCGTTTCCGATGTACCTGCCCGGCGTGCCTACCACACCGCGCGGCAGTATTTCATGCAGACCGCGATTCCGAAGTACGAGCAAAAGCAGAAAGAGGAGAACCCGAATGATACCAGGACGAAGCTGGAAAAGTTTCGGGTATCCTGTGCAAAAGTATCGTACTCGTATAAATGCGTTACAAATAATTTCCGCAGCATAATGCGGATTGAGCTTAAAAACAAGATTTGTATATCGCATGTTTGCAATTACTACGAGCACGATACTTTTGCGCAGGACATCGGGAGTGCTTTGACAAAGCGACCAAGGAGTGGAATTCGCTTCGCGTCGCGGCCGCCTCGGCCACAACCAACTGGAACACACCAAAGCAGAAAGAGATGCAGCGCTTGGAGAAGCACGTAGCGGCTGCTATGAAAGCCTCAGGTTGAAAATCCTCAAAGTGGAAATAATTTGTAATGCAAAAAAACGACTCCAGTTGAAGCGGCATTTGTAGTCGGCGCATGACAAATTTCCCGGGCACTTAAAGCATGTCTTTCATGCAGGTTAAGGCAAAGGGATGCCATTCTGTCGTGCTAAGCAGCATTCCAATTCTTCAACTCTAGCAGGATAATAGTCGGCCTCCATTGCGTCTGCGTCCTCTGCAATACAGTCTTTTTTGCGTCGCATTTCATGCATCACAAATCATTTTCACTTTGAGGATTTCCATTCTGAGCTTTTCATAGCTGCGAAGCAAGCGGAGAAGATGGAGTGGACGAAGTTCCGGGCGTCCGCCGTCGGAAAGCAGTTCGAGTTAAAGCACGATATCAAGTGCAAAAATGTCTGGGTCTGGAAGAATGCATGTTTGTCATGCTTGTCTGGCATGACTCTTAAATCTGCCATGCACGTTACCCAAGAGCTCCATTTCTCTGTGATGCAGAAACGCAGTTTGTCATGCAGAATAGGCAACACCTAGAAACTCAGAAACTTGTCATGCTGAGCCAGCATTTGTGGCCTCATCATGAGACGCCAGCCAGCATCACAAGTTTCCAGAGGACCCAGACATTTTTACAATTGATACACGAATACTTGAACCAACACTTTTGGAAAAAGAAGCTGCGGTACCAGGACTGGCAAAACCGGGTGAAGGAGATCAAATTGTTGAACCAGATATGCTTTGCAAAAGGATCGTACTCGTAGTAATCGCAGTCATGCATAACAAATATCGTTCCCAAGGCAAATCTGCATTTGTCATGCTGAGGAAACTTGTAATGCCATTCAAACGTACTAGTAAGTACGATGCTTTTGCAGTTCATACCAGATGGACCGCGACAGCACCCTCGGGCCGCTGAAACCGGCGGACGCGCGAAAGCGAGACGACTACACCGCGGAGCTGGCCCAGTACTTTCCGCTGACACCGTTATGAATTGCAAAAGGATCGTACTCTTATCCATGCATTACAAATTTCCTCAGCATGAGAAATAAAATTTGTAGTGCGGATTTACCTTGACAAAGAAATTTGTAATGCATGACTGCAATTACTACGAAACGATTGCGATACTTTTGCACAGCATACCCGAAGGACCGGAGCAACTTGATCGAGCAGCTGTTCAAAGACGCTGACAAAGTGAAAATCGACAAAAAATTGGACTGCCCCACCTTGCCCTCTACCATGACGTTCGTTTCTGGGGGAATGTTCGCTGAGGTGAAAAATGGTAGTGGTCCCGGCGATCTTGCGTCGGCACCTTGGAGGAACCAAGGAAAATTTACATTTCTCGATTCTGCAACGTTCAACGATCCGAAGAAGAACATGCTGGCGAAGAAGGGCAACTTTCTCCAGCCGGGGAAGGAGGGCGAGGAAGTATGAAGTGCAAATATGATGTCAGGGTCTGGAAGCTTCGGGGAGTTTGTCATGCAATTTTTACATAACCTGCCCCCGCGGTGTCGGTGATGCATGTCGTAGTATCATTCACAGACTCTACTGCGAGGACTTTATGATGCCCATACCGCATGAGAAATATCTCCCCATGTAGTAGCAAAAAACTGGACCTTTTTTGATGTTCATGCAATTTGTAGAGTCCAAAGGCCGCGTCACAGGGTGCATCCATCCAGACGCAGACATATTTGCAATGCATAGGAAGATGACTTTTACGACCCTTCGGACGACGAGGAGGAGGCGGAAACTACGGAACAAAACCAGATGAACCAGAAGGAAATAAACGACAACAAAAAGAACGTTGATTGTTCCGAGGACGGGATGAATGTGAAAATGAAAAGCGAAGACGAAGAAATAGAAAAGGTTCTCGTGGGAATAGAAACAATAACCGACGAAGCTGTTCAGGCTATCGAAGAAATGGACGAAGACCTGTCTTCTGATGACAGTGACTGGCTGAACAACTCGTCCGACGACGATGAGGAACAAACCAATCTGTTGAACAGCAAAAATAAATCGTTGAACAACATCACCAGCAGGGAAAACTCGGCGATTTTCACGGTGAAGGGAATCCGCCGCGGTGCGACCCTGAAATCGGCGAAAAAAGCGTTGAGAGCCGCGGACGAGCTGAAGGTCCGCAGTGACGGGGTCAACGCAAAAGTGAAGCAGCAGGTGGCGGAAAGAAAGAAGGACAAAAAGCAAGCCGAGATGCAGGCACTCTGTGACGAATTCATGGCGGAGGAATTAGACGATGACGAGCTCGCGTTTGAAATGGCAATCAAAGACAAGAAAGCCAAAGCGGATAAAGACGATGAGGAAAGTGGGAGTGAAGACGATGAGGATGAAAAGGAAAACTCCGATGAAGATGCGAGTCAGGAACAAGCGTGGCGGGAAGCGAGCAAAGCGATCGTTGACGCAAAAACGACGAAGGAAAAAATCAAAGCGATTAAGGCCATCACGTGGGAGGATTTCAAAGGAAAGTGGGAAGATATGGTGCGGGAGGACGCGCGGAAAACCAAGCAGCACGGGTCCTACAAGGAAGCTCTGGTCACCATGGTGGGAGGCTTAGACACCGAGGACAAGGAGGAGGTCCGGAAAGCGAAAATGATGAAGATCGCAGAACTGGAAAGGGAACGGAACGCGCAAAGAAACCGCCAGAGGACGAAACCTTCGGAAGGGAAGGTGAATCGCCCGATCGAGAACAAGAAGGAAGATCTAGACAAATTGAAGAAGGACATCATCAAAAAAGGCGTCGTGAAGCCGATGACAGAGGCGTTTTCGCAATTTTCGCAGTTCCGCCCGAAGCCCCGGACGGTGCGGAAGTGGGAAAAACAAGGGAAGACGTCATTGAAGCAAAAAATGGTGATCGGTTGGGACGTATCAAATGCAAATATGTCTGGGTCTGGGCGAAGGTTGCAACTTGTGATGCTGTCTTTGGATTCTGAAAAAATCTGTATTGCATGACAAGCAAGAGGAGTACAGTTTGTGCTTCGCATGGAGGGCATTTGTCATGCGGAATAGGCATCAGGAAGCCCTCAACAAATCGGTGATGCTAGGGCATGCATTACTGGCGTCGTGGGCCATGCGAAACCTGCATGACAAACCTTGCAATCGTCGTCCAGACCCAGAGGACATATTTGCAGTGCATAGGACGATGACGCGCTGGACGAGTACGTGCAGAAGCAGAAACAAATACATTCTTCGGAGCACTCGGAATTGGTTCATCCTGCGGAGATGATGAACAGAAATTCTTCTTCTTCTTCTTCCGCCAGCTCCAGTAAAGTCACAAATAACACTAGTGCGATTGTGAAGCTGCAGAAAAATGCTTTTGGTCTTGCGCGAGTAGCTAAAAAGGGCGGCGGTGAAAGGGGAAATGATACACCAGGGAAGAACAAGAAGGGAACAAGCACAGGGGCTGCGTCTTCAAAGGTGAAAAAAGGTGGAGCTGCGGGTAAGGGCAACAAAATTTCGAAAAAGCAAAACGATTCCTCCGACGAGGACGAGACTAGTGAAGAAGAAGAAGACGAATCATCCGAAGAGGCGATCGACGAGGAAGACGACCTTATGGCGGAAATCGAGTCGGAGGAAAAAGCCGCACGGGAAAAAGCGAAAAAGGCAAAAGAAAACTTTCTCTTCGGCGGTGGAAATGCGAAGAAAGTGCCTCCTGCGGCAGGTGCGTCCTCCTCGTCGGCCTCTTCGTCGACGGCCGTAGTCCAGAACTACAAAGCGGTTGCCGAGATGAAAAAGCGGAACGAGATGAACGCGGAGTTCGCGGCCTTGTTGGAAGAGCAGAGCAGCGGCAGCGAGGATGACGAGGACGAGGAAGGACAAGGGCAAGGTGGCGGTGGTAGTAAAATGGGGACTATGAAAGGCAAGGGGAACAAGAAGGGAACATCCAAGGGGAAAAAAGGGCAAGGCAAAGGGAGCAAGTTCGACCACAATGATCTGGGGCTGGAGCTGGAGGACGATGAAGAGGAAGGGTCGGAGGAAGACCAGGAAGAGTCCGGGGAACAAGAGAGTCAAACCGACGAAGATGAAGAGGCGGAGCAAGATGAGTCTTCCTCTGGCGATGAAGAAAACGCAGCAAATGAGGGAGCTGCAAGCTCGGGCAAAAAGAAGGTTTCGCTCTCCGGTAAGAAGGGAAAGGGCAAACTGATCGAGATTTTGAAGGGCAAAGGCAAAAAGGGAAAGGGAAAGTTGATGATGCTGTTGAAAGGTGGCAAGAAGGGAAAGGGAAAGCAAGCGGGAGAAGGAAAATCTTCTTCTTCGGGGAAAGGTGGTGTGAAGAAGTAAATGTTAACGTTGCATTGCTACCAGAATGATAAACTCAACAACTTCTTGTGTTTATTCGTTTCGAAAATTTTTCAGATTTTGTGGCGTGCTGAAGCCCTAGTTTTTTTTTCATGTGTTGTTCATCAAAGCGAAGGCGAACAGCAACTCATGCTGCGACAACAGAATACACTGCATCAAGTTTCGATAAAACAAAGACGGTAGTTGCAACGAGATACGTTGACATTAGCAATTGAAACTCAAGAATGTGGCAGCTAAACCAAAAGTTTGTGTTTGATCAATATTATTTTCAAAGGTTGTTTACTGTTTCTGTTTCTCATCTCGTGCTAACAAACTATTTACTGAAGAGAAAGATGCGCATGGACGAGTGCAGCAAGAATGCAGGAAGTGCGCAGCAGGTCTTCAAGCTCGAATGCATTGCAACAAATGCAGATGCTAAAGATGGGAATGGGTAACCTTTTATCTCGTTTGAAATAAAAATCAATCCAATGTAACATTGGATTGAAACATTGGCAATGTTTCAAAGTGCTTTGTTGCCTCGCGGGAGTCGTGTGCCTATCCTGTGTGTACGTCTTGCTTCTGCAGTTTCATGGTTTGGTTATATTTATGTTGTTTCAGTTTTGTTTTTCTTATTCTTCCTTCTTTTCGTTTTCGAGTTGCATCCATGACGTCGTGTGGTTGCAAATTTGAAGCAATTGGTCTTCGCAGATACAACTTCTTTCGTGTGTCTTGAGGAGGTAGTATTAATGGACAGCTGAAAATTGACAACCGCAAGAACAACGATGATCCTGCCCTTTGCACAAGGTGCTCAAATCACAATCACTGGACCAGGGACGATCTTCTTCCTTCCACCTTCGAGTACTTGTAAGATCAGTACAGAGTGTTTGGAGCTACTATGAAATCTACCGTTCTAGCACTAGACCTTCTTGTTCTTGATTTTGATGGTTGAGCTGACTTTGTTTTACTTGAAGGCCGTGTTTGTCTTTATTTGAACGGGAATTTCTATTTGCAGGCCCACATCCACCATATTCACTTCACTTCTAGTTCCACTTCACAATCACTTCCACAATACATTCCCCTCAAATCATTGTTCTACGTAGACGAGATCAGCATCTTCAAGTAGAGTACAGCTACACGTACTAGAAAGTTTGTCTTGACCATGACTTTTTACAGAAGAAAAATAGCACCCTGCTCTTCTTTGCCGACACGTTTGGTCGTATTCTGGAAATAGCTGCGGCAATAGGAAGTTTTTTTTTCGAGAAGTTTTGATGAAACGATTTCATTCAAGTCTGAAACTGAATTCAAAGCCTTCACTCAGTACAGTAGAAATAGCACTCGTTTATTCCGCCCACCATGATGCAAGATTCCCAGGGTTTGTCTGTGATGCTCAGCGAAGAAGAGCAGTTGCAGATGGCACTCCGCATGTCCATGGGCGAAGACGTCCAGGTCCCCCAACTCCCGCCCGCGGCAATCGGCCCCCCACTGATCTCCACCGGCAGGCAAAACGAGCCCGACCGGGAGCCAAACGTGAGCGACGATGGATTGGAAAACAACGCTGGTGGCGGCCCGGGGACGAGAGGCCCGCGGAACAGTCCCAGGTTTGGGTTAGGAGGGAATCCTGGGGGGAGCTCCGCGCAGCAGCAGAATATGATGAACACGTTTTTTGAACAACAAAAAATCCTACAGGCAGCCGGAATAGACCCGAACGATGAAAGTAATCTGATTTTCAAACTAAAGATACTTCAGATACTGACGAAGGACTTGCTTTGTTCAGATGTACAATGTACATATGCATGCTTGTGTTAGTGTTCATCCAACATGAGCAGGATTTTGGTATTTTTGATCAGAGAAAGTCGCGCAAAAAAACTTTCTGGATCAGGCTTTGCATTCTCTACTACATCAAAAACTAAACATTCAGGCATCATCCCCTTCGGCGGCGATGTTAATCTCCTGAACAACCCAGGAACATCAACTTCCCCCGCCGCTCCGCCGAAATCCCCCGACAGAAAAGAGTCCGTCGACAGCAACCCGGAAATTCGCAAGAGCCCGCCGGCTGGCAAAGAAGTGGACACGAGCATGTCGCGACCCTCTGACTTCGACGATTCGAGAACACACAACAACTACCAGCAGAATTCGCTGTTCTCAGCGCTGAGCGGAGGGAATACCGACCCGAGCATGACCTCCGCCCTGGCAAATGCCGCGCTGCCGGGAAACAGTGCCGGCGATGACACGGCCCCACCAAGACCGCCGATGGGAACCAACAGCTTGCCGTCTAAGGTTGCGAACTCCAAGCGCGTTCGGGATGAAATGACCGGCGGGAACCGTATATAAAGATTTTCGTTGACAGAGTAGAAGTACTAGCTAGAGCTACTAGAAGCGTGTCATGGCACAGACTGACTAGACATAATTCTTGCGTTTTTTTCCTTTTGCTCGCGCTGATAGTTGCGCGCTTTTGACCGTTCTTACGAGGGAGTAGTTTTGCGTGAACTCAGTATATGAAAAAGAAATACTTTATTTGTTGATTTACAGCCTCCCCCGACGGTGGCCCGGTGAAGCAGGCGACGATAGCGGACCGGCGAATGTCCATCACCGGCCACTCGAAAATCGTCCAGGATCTTTACATAGCGCTTTTTGGTGCTACCGCCGAGCCCGCCGATGTGGACCGGTGGGAACGCGCTGATTTTCAGTTCGCGAAAAACGTAATATTTACCGATATTTATTATTCCTTGCTAGATACTGATACATCAGTTGCACGTATAGACACAAGAAATTGTACATTAGTGATTCATTCTTTCTGTCACACAACAGCCCCGGTTCGCGTTGGTCCAGCAAGAGGGCGGTCCTTGCGGTGTGCTTGCTGCCGTGCAAGGCCATCTGCTCCAGCGAATTCTCTTCGGTAGTCCTTCACCCGCGACAACGTCGAAAGAGCCAACTTCTATTGTGGGATCATCTTCTTCGACGAATAGAAACCCCGCCGCCGACCAACAAGTTATTTACAAGGAGGACTTTCTGAAAGATGCGAAACTAGCTGAGTTTCTCCAGGACGACACCCGGAGGAATCTCTTCTGCGAGGCGCTTGCGGGCATTCTTGCGAACGTCAGAACCGAGGAAGCAAAACCCTGCGTGGTTATTTCCGCTACCACCACGACCATAAACGGCGTTGCCACCGGCACCGCCCCGGCGTCTTCAAGCACCGCGCCTCCTGCAGCTGCCAGCAGTAGTACCAGCAGCCCGCTACGCCTACCGTCCCCAGTAGGGAGCGCGGGCAGTAGTGGCGGTGCTGGTGCTGCCGAGGTCGTGTCCCCGGGCGGAACGATTGCTCCAGCGGGGAATGGACCTAACAATACGCCGCTGCAAAAGGTGCACTTGAAGTTCAACGAGCCACAAACGTGCGCGACGGAGAAAGCCGTAATTGACTTTTTCAAACAGCAGCTGGGAGAAGCCACGGTGGGCGGCACAAGTGCAGTGCAAAACAGAACTGACACCAGCACTGCTACTGCAACAGGAGACCACCCAACAAGTAGTACAAGCACCTCTACCAGTGTCACGACAAAACCGGCCGGAATTTTGCTCTCCTTCGTCTTCTCGCTTCTTCTCACTCGTGGGATAGAGCAAGTGAAATCCGACCAGGACCAGTACGAGGGCGAGCAGCCCCTCGTTGGGCAGTTTGGCCGCTGCAGTCAGACGCTGATGAACCTTCTCCTCACCGGCAAGGCGACGAGCAATCCTCACGACGGGGTGCAGGATGTCGGTGGCCTGCAGTTGCGAGGCGTCGAGCTTCCGGATTTGGTGCTAGAGAAGATAAGAAAAGACTTCAACCCGCAAAACCCGCAGCGGAACCTGGATGAGCGAGCAGGTTGTACAACCAACCAAGGCGGGATGCAATACGAAAATAAACTTCCCATGGGCTACCTCTCGCAGTACGAGTACCAGGGCCACTCCCCCGTATGAAAGTGCACAACTCTCACTCCTCCTCATTTGTATTGCGTGAACAGCAATAAGTACAGGCGTCATCAAGTTCAAGGATGCAGGTTTTGCATGACAAATTTGGACAGGCGTGTAGTGCTATTTGGGCTGCCAGACCTTGTTATGCAAACAGTGCCAAGAGCCCAGGCGTAAACACTAGGCATTTTGCATGACAAATGCGGGGGAGGGGGAGTTGTGCACCCTCATACCCCGTGGGAAACTTCTACAAGCACCCGAAGTACCCGATTTGGATTCTCGGGTCCGAAACGCACTACACGCTGCTCTGGTCCGCGGACTATGAGGTTTTGATCGCGAATAGTTTCGAGGAAAAGAAGCAGCTGGTCACAAACACCTTTAATGCTGTCGCCGGTGAGGACATGGCAAACGCGGGGATGCTACCCAAGGAGAAACTGGACGACTTGCTTCCGGCTTTCTGGGAAACCGATCGGATTTTCCAGACGCAAGACCAATATCGACTCGTGCACGCCATGCTCTCGGAGGCGGACACGGTGATACTTTTTCAAGACTGCTGGGATCAGGTACAACTTCTACTTACGACTCTGACGATGTCGTATGTTTCTTGAACTCCGAGACGGTCAACGCGAAAAATTTACTCGCCTTTTTTCTGATTAGCGCTGATCTTCGCGAAAATGGTGATCGTGCCACTATAGCAATGATCTGTGTTATTTCTACGGTGTGATCATGAGTCTGTCCATTACAACACTCTGGTGTAAAGCTCCTTTTTCTACTTCTTGGATAGTTATGGTGAAATGATACATGTTCTTCATCACAATCGAAACACAGCTTCGCAACTGCGGCGTCTTCGAGAAGGAAGAAAAACTTCTCGGCAAATCCTTCACCCTCTTCCACTATGACGGGCTTGTGCAGGGCGGGCAGGCGATATGAGAGTGGACAAGAACTCCCCCTCCCCCTCATTTGTGTAGTTGCATGAACAGCAACACAAGCGCTGACCGCAAAGATGCAGCTTTTGCATGACAAATTCCACCTAGAGGATTGTAGTGCTGTTTTGGATTTCGGAATCTGTCACTCTAACAGTGCTAACAGGCAAAGCGCGGATTTGGGATTTTGCATGACAAATGAGGGGGAGCAGGGAGAGTTGTGCACTTTCATAGGCGAAGTTCCAAAAAGTTTCCGCAACCGTGTCCGATCTGCCACCGGAGTTGGTGTCCCAGGACACCTATGCTTTGCAAAAGTGTAGTCGCACTAGTAGTAATCGCAATCATGCATGACAAATCTGGTTTCTTGTCTGAATCCGCATGACAAGTTCCAACGATCTTCGTGAGAAAATTTGTCATGCAATTCATACTACACGACTCGCTTTTGCAATGCATAACACCATCGGCAACGCGTTGGTTTCCACCTTACGGACCAGATGGGGCGGCACCATGCTATTTGACGCCGAGGTCTTGCCACTGGAGCTGTTTTAATACCGGTAGTAGAAGGTGCTCGGGACATTGTTTATGTTTAATCTTCTACAACCCGGAGCTGCATCAAAGGAGAGGACGTGGAGATGAAATAGAACGAAATCTAGTGAAGACTTTCCCGCCTACCTCTGTTGAACTCCGTGTTAGTTCTTCTCAAGAACATGGTCTTCATTTCATGTGGCTACAAACGACACCACTTGTTCTTTTGATCGATCAGCAGGGGGACCACGACCTCATGAAGTGCTAACATAAAGATTTGATATGATAAAAATGGCAGCGCCGGCGGCCTACCGTCAAACAAGAAAGCAACGCATCCGCAGGTTGTAGTTCGTGATTTCGATATCATCTAGGAAGTGTGCGTAATGTAAAGAACAAAAAGAGACTGAGACAGTTCTGGTACGTAGTACTAGTATGCGAAACACAAAATAAACAGAGCCAATGACTATATCGGTCACGTCGACTGTAGGGTATGATTGAACACCAGTCGGTCCCACTTTTATTTCTTGGCTCCAACCATTACCATATCCATCACCTCGGTACTTGCAAGTACAACGCACTACTTTCGGTTTTTCTCCAGCTCTCGTGTCCGGCTTTCATGATCTTCAGGTCTTTGGACCAGCTTGCTTCGGTTGTCGTGGCGTCGCCGATTTTTCAGCTCTCGTACTGTGCTATCTATCCCCGTCGGTGGACTGTCTTCGCTATTTGCTTTTACTTCTTGATGAAAACATAAACGAAAACCGCGCTGCTCGACAGCACTTCTACTAGAAGTACAGAATTTCATTTTCATCTTTCGAATGCAGGACTCCAGCAACTCAAGGTATTTTTGTGTTGAGTTATTTTTTTTTCTGTTCTCAACTTGAATTTGTTACAATTTCAATTGCGATGTCTATTTGGTATCCTCACTGATCTACTGCGCAGAACCTACTTTGATGTTGTTTTCCGGGCCTGATTCTTACAGCTGCATCGGCAGAAGGCGGGCAACTACCATGAGTAGGCACAAGGAGGAACTACACGTACGGATTCATATGTTATTGCTCCTCTTCCTTTTCCCGCCAGTCGTCTTTGTACTTTTCCTTGTACTAATATCCAGCTGCACGGGCGGTTTCTTTTCTCTGCAAGGCGCACGGGCCGTTTCGCTGCGCAGGGAAGCCACATCAAGAACGCACCAAAAAAGAACGAGCCAGGCGGCAAACCTCCCCGCAGACCGTGCCGAGAGTGGCGGGGAGGGCGAGGGGAGCGGGTGGCAGCCGCAGGCCGATGAAGGTCCTCCTTCCCGTATGACAATGAATAGTGCCCCGGGACGACCCCCAGAAATAAGTATTTCGGATGCGCAGTTTCCGATTGGAAAGGTTTTGTCTTGCATTCAGGAGCTACTGGTACTGAGGAGTCTACCTGATCCAGATTCCAGTACATGAGAAGCGCAGCTGTTGCTGTGCCATTTTGCAACGCATCAAATTTTTGCTAATTCTGCACTGAAGACTTGCGACGCTGATGCATGCAAGAGGAGGACTGTTCTTATTTCGATTGGGAAAAAATATCTTTGCGCAGTCTGTTTGCATTGGACGAACGTTCTGAATGGGAAACGCTTCGAAGGAGCTTGGGGTAAGTACTAGGGGCGCTTTTCGATATGATAATACAGGGCGATTACAACTCTACCAGCACGGCGAGCGACAGCACACGTGTCCGCGTAGAACCTCCTTCGTTGTTTTCGGAGGAGCTAGAACGCATGATATCGTAAGGAAACATCCCCCCTCCCCATACTGAAAAGGTATACTCCTAAAAAAAATTGTAATGCTGATTTGTGACCACAAATCCTGTCTCTCTTGCAAGAGAGCAAACCAACGCAAAGAATCCGCCGACTTATGCAGGCGATTTGTAATGTTGTTGCGGCTACATGACAGGCCTCTGCTATGCTATAGCACCTACACCAAAGCAGTGCCTTGAAAGCACCACGCCAAAGCCTAAGCCTGTGCAGGGGTGCTTTGAAAGCACCCCTGCACAGGCTTAGGCTTTGCCTGCAGTGCCTCACTGCAAGGCGGAGCTGATTTGTGTACTCAGATCCAGCAACAGAAATCTCCGTTTCAATATGGGGAGGGGGGATTTTTCACTTTGATACATGACGGAAATTGACTTTCGAGTACGCGCAGGAGAGGAACCGCCTCCAGGAACTGCGGCTCGTTTCTCTCCGTTGGTGTCCTCCAAGCTGGATCGAAGAAAAGTCGACTTCGTTGGCCATTTACGGATTTATGTAAAAAAACGCTTCGGACCGGCCAGCCTGCCACTGCTCGCACTACCCCTTGGCAGAAGCGTCTTGCATTGGGCCATCGAGGTCCAAAGAGGATTACCAGTTGACCCAGCGCAGCACAAGCCTGTACCACGCATTTCGGCGTCGCACGGTCACACTGGTACTGATTTCCAACGAACGACCAGTGACAGTCGTCTTCTTATCCTGTGTAAAGGCGCCGCGCCCATACTTGTTATGAAAATCTTAGATGTAGTTCTTGATCTTGTACAACCCCCGGCAGCCTCTTTTGTCTAGCAAATCTGATTAAATCAAAATCTTCCATCTTGAATATGAATATGCCGTGAGTGGTACTACGTTTTTACACAGGATAGCTCTTTGGTACGCGGACTCCGAGGGTCAATTTGCTTGGCAGTTTACTTTTTTTCGGCCGAGAGTCTCTGTTCGGATGGGTCTCTATAATCATGCGACCGTCGAGGATCATCTTCGGACGCGGGGGCAGATGAGCTCTCTTCCTCTACTTCACAAACACAGAGAGCGGGGGTCCTCCAATGATACTTCTACCGGTGCTGGCGCCCCGCGGCCACAGCCCCGCCGAGCCACAAGCACGACGAGCGCAGGCCTGAAGATATCCAGTATCAAAATGAAAAATCCCCCCTCCCCATATCAAAATGGAAGTTCCTGATGCTGATTTGCATACACAAATCCGACTTGTCTTGCAGTAAGGCATTGCGGCCACATCCGCAGCCTAGCTGGGAGCGCTCAGGTGTAGTTGTGTAGCATTGCAAACGGCCGCTACCCTCTAGGACCAACAGCATGCCAAATCGCTTCCACAATTGGGCGGATGCCTCTGCGCTTGTCTTCTTGCAAGACAGACCTGATTTGTGGCCACATATCAGCAACACAAATTTTCGGAAACATACCTTTTCAATATGGGGAAGGGGGATTTTTCCTGTCAATATCCAGCTTCTTTGAGCGCTCTGTTCAGTCGATCGTTCAGAACTATGCGCTCGAGGAGGTGCGCAGCCACCGCGAGGCGGCTTGCCATGCGATCTGGAGGGTAGAAAATGATGTTGAGAAAAGTATCAACAGCACTCTTCCGGAGCCAAGCCCTCGTCCTGCTCCTGGCATCGAGGTGCATATGTTGGGCTATGAACATGTTGCTGCTCTTGACGCTGCATCTTCTACTTCACCGGAGAACAGGTTGGGAGTAAGGTTGTGAGCGACGCCTTATGAAAATGAAAGTATAATTCGGCCCCGTTGTCCCCATGTTTGTCAAAACGAAGCGAAAGCGTGTTGTAAGTACTTCTTAACGCTGAGTGGTGATTTGGATGCACATGAAGCGTTCAAGCAACAGCCCTACTTCTCTCTGACCTGATAGGGAGCATCAAATTGCTGCGGTGTAGGTTGTGTTTTGCATCATGGCGCGGTTTTTTTCTGAATATACCGCTTCTGATTTTTCAGCATCGGGAAGAAGGCCGCTTCATTTTCTCATGATACCACGCAGCGATCGCACAGCCGAATTACGAAACCGGTGGTTTCGTCCGGACCGCTTCGGTCGACGGTCCGCCAGACTTCGTGTTGCCACAGACCCCGGAAGAGTGGGAGCAGCTACAAGCGCTCATGGGCTACGAGTTCCCGGACTTTCCGCCTACTGAGTAGGCGGAAAGTCCGGGAACTCGTAGCCCGCGGCGCTCGCAGGGTTGCTCCGCTGTGGAGTAGTACTCCACAGCGGAGCAACCCTGCGAGCGCCGCGGCCGATAGTCCTGATCTGTGAATGAGACTTTCTTTTTCAATTTCAATACAAATCACATCAAAGAACATAAAAAGACAAAGACAGCTGAACATCATAAAGACCACTTCAGATGATGTTGATCCGCATGAGACGAGGTGAGTCAGCAGGCTTCTTGTCCTCCTTATTTCATGGCGGCTCCGTATTCGTGGCTCGCAAGTTGTACTTTTCCGACCCCCTCGCCTTTCGGCTCGAGACTGCTTGTTCCTTCAGGCGGGTGTTCACATGCTACAGCTGTTCACATGGTGAGCAGGCGGTGAGTTACGGCACCGAGAAGTTGCCTGCTTCCTCGCTGCGCAAGAGAGCCGATAAGTGCAGCGAAGAAACGGCACGACAGGTGCTAAGTATGTTGCTCTTCCTTTTTATTTCGGTTGATGTGTCTGTGCCTGTTCCTAGTGGCCCACTGACCCGCTTCACACACTTCTACACCACCTAGAAAACTAAGCCGAGAGGTCGTTGGATACCATCTCCACAGAGATCTGCGGAAGAGTGAGTAGTTCCCTGCGATCGCAACAAGGTTCGTTGGAGACCACCCTGGTTGCGCCCGATTAATTTAAAGGTTGTGCGGCCCACAGAAGATGAAAAAAAACTTTCTGATGAAAGCATGCAGCGCAAGAACTACATCTGCAGACTGTAGTTCGTGATTTCGATTGATCTAGGAACAAGATTTGCGACGTATATGTAAAGAAAGAGAATAAACAATATTGCGCTATTAAAAGAGAAACAATGCGGCCAAGGACATCGGTTACCGTAGGTTATCATGAACATCAGTCGGTCATATTTTTGTTTCGTGGGTCCAACCATTACCATATCCATCACCTCGGTACAAGTACAGCAAAGTCGTGTGTTGACTACTTTCGGTTTTTGTCCACCCCCCGTTTCCGGTTTTCATCTTGAGGTCTTCGGGCCAGCTTGCTTCGGTTGTGGCGGCGTCGATTCAGCCGACGCTTCGCGCTTGTAAGTATCCTATCTATCCCCGTCGGTGGACACTGTCCTCGATATTCGCTACTCGATGAAAACAGAATAAACCACGCTCGACAGCACTTCTACCAGTACAGAAGTTTATTTTCATCTTTCGAATTATCATTATAATGCAGGACTCCAACAACTCAAGATATTTTTGTGTTGACTTCATTTTGTTTTCTGTTTTCAACTTGTTACTACAATTGCGATCGATTTATTTTTTATTGTTGATTTTGATGTTCATCCTCGAGCCGACTTTATGTGCCTTTAGTGTTACAGCGACCGTCGAGGCCACAACCAGTAATAATTTGAGACAAGTTCTTCATCAATTTCAAACCCGATAGGATCATTGATTTACCTGCCCGCATGATCGGCAAAGCGTCGGCTATGGTGCGAAGCTTTCTGGAGATTCACTCCGGTGGTGATGTCCAACAGAATGCTCAAGAAATGATCCCAGCAAACCAGCACGCAGCTGGACCCGCAGTAGAACAATTGTCTTCACTAGTACAACAACCAGAACAAGCTGCAGCAGCAACCTTCGCGACTCATGGTGGAGAGAACCTCGCCAGTGCTGGTGCTGGTGAAGTAGCCCAAGCCGTGGACGACGCGACCTACACCTCCTCATCCTCCGCACTTCTCCAGGTCCTTCAGAGCGTCACCAGGAAGGACACCCAGTGCGACGCCTGCGTCGTGATCGCCATCGTCCTCGGCGTCATCGGCGTGATCGCTGTTTCCATTGTCGTCTACTGTCTCTGCCGGGACTGTCGCGAGGGCCGCGGGTGGTGGCAGCAGTCGGTGGTGTATCGCGACGGCGATGAAGATGATGGAAGCTTCCAGGTGGAGGATGAGTACGAGTCTGATGCGGCCCCTACCGGCGCCCCGAATGCATCCAAGTCTCCGGCGGGCTTCGCGCAGCAGTCGTTCCGGGCGCCGGTGCAAGGAGAATACGAGTACGTCGAATCGACCGCCCCGCACTTCGGTCTGACGCCACCTCCTGCCGATCCGGCGATCGGCACGGCCGTTCTTTCGCAGCAGCAGCAACTTGGTTCCGCGCTGGCGCCCAGTTACTACGGGTCCACGGGGGGATCCACGGTTGCGGCGTCCAACACACACCCCGCCGGCTCTGACTTGTCCACCGGCGCCAGCTCAGCGAAAACGAAGTCCACGGGAATCGCCAGCGATCCATCCATACGCGTTGCAAAAGTTGTATATGTTGGCCGTAGTAGAAGTGACTGCATTTATACGTATTTCAATTTGATGCTCAACAAGTACAAGAGTGTTGCAATTTCTTGCTGAAAAAACGAGTGGACATTTGTGGTAGCTGCAGTTACAACTACGAGCACGATAAGCTTTTGCAATGGATAATCCAGGGTGGGGGAAGGATCACGGGGGGGCAGCTCGAGTGCGGGTTCAAAGCCGGGCTCGGCAAGAAGAAACGCACTTCGCTAACAAGTGGAGTATACGACAACACTTGCAGCGCGCCGACGTCTCCTGTGGCGGAGGGGGTGCGGCTTTAGTACGAATTTATTGCACAACTTAAAGAGGACGACGGACGTCCACCTTTGACGTTTATTTGACATCTCCTTGTTCACAGTTAGTTTTCATACATGATACACACTACATCCGCTTATTCTTTTACGTTAACTACATGTTGCAACGATAGCACAATCATTTTATACTCCTGGTTTTCAATTTCATGGTACACTATCGATTTCTTGATGATTAAAAACAACATATTGATATTGCTGAGTCATCTCCAACAAGTATGGCAAGTTACTTTCCAGCCGAAAATTTTTTCACACAGACACGGGGAAGCGACGACCCGTTTCTTTGCGAGGCGCTGCGAAGTAATTACTTTATCAATCCCTGCAGATTGATCGAGGCCGGCGCTTCCGAGAAACTTTTAAGAAGGGATAGTACGCTACTAACTTCCTCGGAGCTGCAATTTTTGCTGTGAAAAAACATGAAAATAAACTGCGACCTTTTTGGGGAGAAAAGCAGTCGAGCGGGCAAATTTCTGGTTTGTTTCGAAGGACTCGTGTCGACTTGTTGTAGTCTGTCTATAATATTTGCGTTTGCGGGTGGGACGGGAGGCGGAACACGGGCAGATGAATTGACCAAAGTTGTACGAACACCCAGCAGACCCAGACGGTCTTCTTACTTGAAAAAGAGAGACGAGTGATGTGTTGATCTTCGTCCTGTAAGAACGTGAGTTGAGCTACAACCTGTCGTCCCGATGGCAAGCAATATTTTAAAAGAGAGCGAGTGCGCGTGGACATCCTTCCGTTGCCATTTCTAGCACACGACGTCGTGCTATAGAGCTTTACTTAGAACTATGATTATTTTCATTCAGTTTGCTGCTCGAGCTCTTCCTTCTCCTTGTCCTCCCAAAAAATAAAATGACTGGCGCGACCTCCTCCGCCGCTGCAAGAACTTCGGCTGGGGGCAAGAAGCCTGGTGACATCGCCCATCGCACGCTGGTATGAAAGCCTCAGAATGGATAAAATCCTCAAAGTGGAAATAATTTGTGATGCATGAAATGCGACGCAAAAACCCTGTATTGCAGCGGACGCATTGGAGGCCGACTATTGTGCTTCTATGGGTTCAGAATTGGGCTGCTGATGAGCACGACAGAAGGGCGCCTCTTTGCCTAATTAGCATGACAGACACGTTTTGAGTGCCCGGGAAATTTGTCGTGCGCCGACTAGAAATGGTGCTTCAACTGGAGTCGGTTTTTTGCATTACAAATTATTTTCACTTTGAGGATTTCCAACCTGAGGCTTTTATAGCTGGACGATCTGCACTTCGACGTGATTGTGCTTAGACGGAGCAGTGTGGTCGTCCCAGAAGGCGAGGACAAAAATGCGGGCGGTACTTCTGTGTCCTCTAAGCAGCTGTCCCCACCAGAATACGACATCATGTACCTAGACGATCACACCCTGGAATATGGGATTCTCAAACGTTACGTTCTCAACTGTTACATGAATTTGTCATGCAGAAGCTCCATAAGCATCTACTACATGATCAAGCTGCTTCGCATGAAAAATTTGCGAAGGGCTAAAAAGCGGCTAAATCAGTGCGGAACTTGTAATGCTACAGATGCAGCGTCCCCCTTTTGACTTTTGCTAGTCTTGCATTGCACATTCGTGTAACAGTTGAGAATGTAACGGTTGAGAACGCCATATGGAATGCAATGTGCCCGCGGAAGAGCTTCAGAGCACCGATGATGATGATACGCAACAAAAAATTAAGGAACACCTACACGACGACGTACAAACTGCATCGCAAATTCATTTTCCAGCCTACACTAGCATGCGACTCCCAGTTGTCATGCTGAATAGGATAATATAAAGGAAACACAATTTTGCCATGCAGACACCGCTTTTTTTGTACGTCGTGTACGGGAAATTTACTCAGTATAGATCAAGATAAAACGACAGAAACGACCTCCATCAGACCCCGTCCCATGATGCGGTTTGACGCCGACGACTTGCTGCAGGTCGGGCTACAGAAGCTGCAAGAAAAATATGGGCCACAGAAGAGCTCAGGCACGACCGATACAGGGAAGAAAACCTCCTCACAAGTTGTTGCACCGGCACAGAAAGGAGCCTTATGGATTGCAAATATGTCTGGGTCTCGAAGATTCTAAACTTGTAATGCTGTCTGTGGACTCTAAAAAAGTTTGGATTGCATGACGAGCAAGAGGACTCCAGTTTGTGCTACGCGGAGAGGCCATTTCTCATGCGGTAGAGGTATCGCAAAGCGCTCTAAAAATCTGTGATGCTACGGCATCCATAACAGACATCACGGGTCATGGAAAATAGGCATGACAAATCTAGAAATCTTCCAGACCCAGACATTTTTGCAATCCATAAGCCTGCAGTCCACACGATTTCTCCCCCCAGCGGGAACGGTCTAGCAGCCAACGGCGGCCGCATATGGAAGTGTCAGGATCGAAATCGACAAAGACAAAGTTGAAATACTTTGTGATGCATAAAGCGGATCACAGTTGGCGGCCAGTTTCCAAGCGGCGCATGACAAATTTGGGTAGAACCTAAATCCAGTTTGTCGTGCTGTTTGGGTAAGGAAGACGGCTTTTGTCATGCTAGTTTAGCAGCTCGCTTTCTACCCGTCAGCAGGCTTTTTACAATCTGCCTCACTTGCCTACTCTGCAAGACAGGCATTTTGTGGCTTGTATTTTATGTATGACAAATTATTTCAACTCTGACGATTTCGATCCTGACGCCTCCATATCGCAGTCCGCGACCGTAACACGCAGCGGAACGAGCGGAGTGCAGTGGAACGGGAGAAGGTACAAAGACTTGATCGACGGGACCAAGATTGTCACTTACGTGGACGTATGCATTGTCAACACAATAAAAGTATTTTGTACTGGAACTGGAGGCGTATGAATTTTTGCATTACAATTTTTATTTTGACGAACACAGACGATATGCAATTTGGAGTGCCGATATAATCCCTTTAGATGATGATGACCATGGATCATCTGTCATGCGCGAGGACTGCAATTACTACGATGAGCACGATGCTTTTGTAGAGTATACGACGGGAAGCCACCGCCGTCCAGTAGCTTATGCATTGCGAATGTGCCTGCGTCTGGAAAGGTGGAACCTGTATTGCGTGTCTTGGATTCCTGCAAAATCTGTATTGCGTGACCAAGAAATAAAGCGCGCATGACCAGCAAATAAATCTGTCCTGCAGAAGCGCAGGCTCTAATGCGCAGTACGCTTCACCAGAAGGCTTCCTTAGAATTTGTCATGCTTGGCTGCGCTCAGGAGTATGGTCAATCGATGCCACTCAGCATCACAGGTTTCCAGACCCAGACATTACATTTGCGTTTGATATAGCTCCGCATCGGATGACGAGGGTGAGGGGGAAGGCGGAAAAATATCAAGAAGAAAAATCCCCCCTCCCCATATCAAGACGGAAATCTGTGATGCAGATTTTTGGTCACAAATCAGCTTTGTCATGCTACAAGGGAAAAGATGCGGACTGTAGTGCTGGGTGGCGTGGGAAAGCCTTGCATCTTCAGCATGACAGGAGGCAGCTGGAAGTGGGGAACAGCGCGACAAATTGCCTGCAAGCGAGGCCACAACTGCAGCTCTTGGCCTTCTAGCAATACAAGTCTATTTGTGTACTCAAATAACGCATCACAAATTTCGTTTTCGATATGGGGAGGGGGGATTTTTCCTTTTGATAAAAAAGGAGTCCCAGCGGGTCTCCGAAGCAACGCGGGGGCGGAACGAGTAGGAGCGGGAATAAATCACGGCATGATCAACGTCGGAATAGAGATGAAATGGCAGCGGGAGCAGGTGCAATGAGATTTTCTTTTGTATAGTTGATGGGATGATGTATTAAGTAGTCGCTGTGCTGGAAATTATAGCATAAAGAACAACTACTACGGACATCATACTTACATTATTTATATAGCACTCATGGGCTCCTCCTGCAGGTGCTTTCCTGTATCTGCATGTATTTCTCAAATAAACCAAGCCAGGTTTCGACGCCGATGGGAATTTTGTGGATTCGGACGGAATATGAATTGCAAAAGTATCGTACTATTCGTATAAATGCATTGCAAATTTCCTCAGCATGAGAAATAATTTATACGAGTGCGATACTTTTACACAGGATACGGAAACGTAGTGGATGACGAGGACGACGTATGCAAAGAAAATAGTGTTACAGTTACACATGATTGTGTTGCAGAACGCGCAACAGAGACATCCTCTCTCAAGCCGGAAAGGCATGTGTGCCTCGTTTCATGCGTGTTTTATTCCCGTATGATCTCTGCATTGCAAATTTCCTCTCTCATGCAGAGAAAATTTGTCTTGCTGAATTGCCAACAAATGTGTAAAAACTGTATTACATTTTTTTCGTTGGATACGACGAGATGCTGGGCTTCAACAGAAACAACCAAGAAAGCCGCCCCTTCGGGCTATGAATTGCAATTGGGAAATTATCGTACTAGTAGCCATTGCATTTTTGCAAATTAGCTCAGCATGATCATGACACAGAACATTTGTCATGCAGATTTAGCTCCTTGTGGTCCTTGGACAGAAGATTTTTCCGTTTCATTCAAGACTGCGATTACTACGAGTGCGATGCTTGTTTTGAACAGGATACGAGCAAGCCGGCATTGAAAGAATTCTGAACGAAAAGAAGACTATCGAATGCAAATATGTCATCTGGGTCTGGATATTCCGAGATTTGTCTAGTCTGGCATGACTCTGAACTCTGTAGTGCGTGGCCGCAAAGAGCCCCTCTTGCCTGTCATGCAAAGACGCAGTTTCTCTATCTCTTCATGCGGAGTACGCAACCCAGAACCACGGAAAAACTTGCTATGCTGGGCAGCGCATTGCAGCGTGCTCATTATTCCTTTCCTTGCATCACAAGTTTCAGACCCAGACATATTTGCAATGCATAAAGACTTACGAGTTGCAACAGCAAAGTGCGAATTCTTCCAGGCCGAATTCCAGTGTATGCATTGCAAATATGTCTGGGTCTGGAAAGGTGAAACTTGTGATGCTGCTTTTGGATTCCAAAAAGATCTGTCTTGCCTGAGCAGCAAGAGAAGTCTAGTAGTTTTTGTTACGCGAACAGGGCACTTGTCATGCGGGATAGGCACCAAGTTCAAGAAGCACTCAGAAAGTCTGTGAAGATGCTAGGGAATGCATCACAGACGTCACGGGTCATGTAAAATCTGCATGACAAGTTACACCCTACTTCCAGACCCAGACATATTTGCAATACATACAGTGCCGGGACTAACAACAGTTACTTGGAATCCGACCTGGAGCTCCGGTCGCTGGCATCCGAACAGTCGGGGGTTGGCTTCCGTGGGGTGCAGAGTCTGAATATGCACTGCAAATATGTCTGCGTCTGGAATAAACCTGTCTGTGATGCTGAATTGAGCATGATTGAAGCGCTTGCAATGGCTGCCAAACATGGCAAGTTTTTGAGACGCCTGCTGATGCCTAGCACGCGTCACGAATTTTCGCGTTTTTGCATGACGAAGGAAGCTCCTCATGTGCTGTTCATGCAACACAGATTTTCTAGGAATGCAAGACACGCATCCCAAGTTCCACTGTTCCAGACCCAGAGATATTTGCATTTGATACTGAAAAAAGAAAAGCAAAATAAAGTAGCCACCGTTGAGGACTCGTGAAACAAGACTACACCTGTGTGGTAGTAGCTGTAAAAAGAAACTGAGAAAATATAAATCATCTGGTAACCAAATGCGTGCGCCGACCATCATCCTCAGCATGGCGCAATTTTTGCCTCTCTACATTTCATCTGGCGCAAGCGCAACTCCAAAGGAGATGGCACTTCGAAAGCACGTTTCTTGCAACGGGTATGGCTGCAGCTAATCAAGTTGACGAAATAATGACACAAAACACTGCGATACTACCTCCTGCTCGACGTACACCAGCAGTACCTCTTGAAAAACTGATAGAACGACATATGTGTTCTAGATATAATTGATCTTACTCGAAAAAGGACAAGCTCAGTTTACAGCCACACCGTGCTGGTGTCTTCACGTATCGCTGCTATGTCAGGAGCACACGCAGTTTTGCAGCTCGTTTGATCACAAAGCTGTTTTTTTTTTGTTTTCGGCGAACGGATCTTTTCGTAGATTTTTTTGGCGGGGGCATTTTTGATTTCTGTTGCACTTCGTCAATTATAATGTCATCAACGAAATAAAAGAGCAGCTCCTGCAGCGTACTTACAAAGATCTACTTTTTATCGCGGCAGTATTAAAAAAGATCGTGAAATGGGACACACTAGGGGGGGGGGGCGGCAGGCCGCGGCAGCGTCTGAGTCTGCTACGTCCTGCTCCCATTGCAAGCAGCAGTAATCGATAAGAACCCTCAAGCGGAAGCATCAACGAGATGAAGAAATAACCCGAAAGAAGACGAGTGACACAGAAGAAGAAAGTGTCGCGCGAAAGAAAAGTGCCCGACAACGAACAAGAAGAAGAAATTTAGGACCAAATATGGGAAAAAGGTCGCTCTCGCTTCCGAAAGCGCAGACTTGCGAGTTCCCCGCAGGTACGTCTACATTTTGGAGTCATGGAAGTAGTATTTTTTGCGAATATAACTACCGGGAAAAACAAAAAGCTTAGCTGTATACAGTTTCATCTTTAGGAGCAGTTTAAAGAAGTTCGGAATAATTATGCTGACCTTTACCTCTTTTTTTATTGCAACAGGAGGAGGACCAGTGAGAAAAGGCACAGAAGAACCTGCTCGCAGCGCGAGGCGCTAGAATCCGCATTTACGAATTACGCCGGTTCTAAAGGCCTACACCACTTTCGTCCGTACGCATCCGTGGATCGCGATGAGGGCTTTTACCGCGACGATAAAAAAGGACCGACGTCGGCGCCGGAGAGTCCCCGAGATGGTTCCGTCAACGCCAACGCGCGGAAGAAGACGTGGCGCGGCCGCGCAAGTGTGCTATTTCGTCCTCGGCTACGTCTATCACTACGAGCGCACAAGCACGGTCGTCGGGTACGGTGCCTATCAAATGCAAATTGTAATGTCTGGGTCGTCTGGAAGGTTGGAACTTGTTAGTGCTAGTTCTCCATATTATCTAGGAAATATGTATTGCATAGCCAACGAAAGTCGCAGTCTCTTTTGTACATGCAAGAACGCAGTTAGTTTCTCATGCGGATTGCCTATGAGAAAGTGTTCTGAAAATAAGGTGTCATGCTGTGATGCATTCGGAACTGTTTCCATCATCCACATTTTAGCATCACAAGTTTCCATATCCCGGACATACTTATTTGCATTGCATAGCGCCACGGCTGCTACAACAGAAACTGGACCACGAACTCCACAGCACGAGAGCAAACGTGCCGACGGGGGAATAGATCGCACCAGCCAGGGGAGGTCGTGGAAAAGAGCCAGACGTGTATCTTCGACTGGTGGTGTGAAGGATGAAGACGACGTGGATGTCGCCCTCCCCTGCGAGATGAAGCAGGTCTCTGCGAGCACCAGTTCCTGCAGCACATCAATGCTGGTGCCCGTCTTAAGTAGAGCCCGCAGCTGCGGCGCTGCAGGCTTATTCCCCAACGCGGCTTGCGCGAAGAAAAAGATGATGAACGCTCTCGACGCAAGGGCTGGGGGCCGCGGCTATGCATTGCAAATACCAATCTGGGTCTGGAAAGGTGGAACTTGTGAATGCGTGTCTTGCACCTGGCATATCTGTGTTGCAAGAGCAGCAAGAAATGGGTAGCTCTCCTTGTCATGCAGAAAAGGTATTTGTAATGCGTGTAGTTAGGTAAAAATAAATATCAGAAGGCATCCCCAAAGCTTGTCCTCATGCTTGGCTGCAAGATGACTTGCAAGCATTGCAGCCATGCGCCAAAAATTAGCATGATTACATACAGGTTCTTTCCAGACCTAGACATGTTTGCATTTGATAGCGGCTTTCTCGACGGCGCAAAGATGTGGGCTCAACACGCCGGGCGAAAAGATCATTTTCTTCAAGGTGCCCCCACAGCTGCTGCACTTCGAACAATGGGGTCAGTACAGGAAGACGGGTTTTCATCAGCACCAGATGCTGCGGAATTCGACGTGCCCTGGAGAAAGCAGCTTCGCGGCGCACAGCGCAGTGAATGTGAAAAAGGCGTCTTTTGCAGCAAGCACGTGCTGCCCATCAACACACCGGCTGACGATGAAGCTGAAGACTTGGAGCTCGTAACCGCAAATATTTCGGAAGTTTCACTAGGAAACTCCGCCCCGCGGCCGATCTTCGACGATTCCTATTACAAGGAGACAAAGTGTCCCCACGAGGACCCCGGATGAAGTTGGAAATGCGAAAATTTATGATGCATAAGGTTTACAACTGAAAATCTTTTTGTTGGTACTCGTATACATGAAAAGACCAAATGAGCCTTTCTGATGCAGAACCTACGTACACTGAGCAAGGCATTTTTTACATATCAGGCCCGGCTGTTGCTGGGCGTTTCTGCAACACAAATTTTAGCCATTCCACATTGAAAATTTGTGACGCTGCAACATGGACTAACATAGGGAGTGTTTTCATGATTGGATAGCTTTGCAATAAAAGTGCTGCCAAGTTCTGGGGTGGGGGCATTTTTCATTGTAATACTTCCGCGCCCGTGTTGTCCTTCGACCGGTCTCAGACCGCAATCAACCTGCGGGAGAACAACAGGGGAGGTAGCGCTGTAATTCACTCGTCCGCGGCAAGTAGAAGTCCTAGGGCTAGTGCAACCGCGAAAAGGCGGAGGACATTAGCATGCCCATGCTCATTCCTACTTACTGCACCTCTCCTGTGCGCGACAGGCGCTTTCGCTCCGTCGACGCTAGCTGAGCCTCCCACGACCCGACTGTCACAGCAGGAGCACTTTATCCCGTGTGACAACGTCCCCAACTCCCCAGAGTCAAGATGGCGACTTTGCTCCAGAAAGCAGCAAGTTTTGGCTGTAGTTGCTGAATGATCTTCGTGGTGTTCTTGCGCATCAGAAACATACCACGCGTGATGCCACTTTATTTTCATGAGACTTGTCTTGGTTGGTGGGGAGGCTTTTACGCACGAGACACTTTGAACAACACTTGTTATCAGAATTGCGGAGCATTGTGCACCGGAACGAGCCGATCGTGGATCACCCGCCGGGCGTTTTCGATGCGGGCATTTTCGACGACGAAGGCCCGTCTTTCTGGCGGAGAACCACAGAGGACGTGGTGGAGGGTAAGGATATATCAAATGCAAATAAAAATATGTCTGGGTCTAGAAGATAAAGATTGGGATTGCCAGGTTTGTCATGCATCTTTTGCATGGCCCTTGATGCCTGTAATGCGTGACCTAGGATCTTCGGTTCGGAACGCCCCGCGCCCTTTTTAGAACAAACGTTTATGATGGCCGTACTGTGGGTGGAGCGTAAGTCAGTTTTTAGAACCCAACCTGCGTGCTAGCAGCGGGCTAGCGGGCTGCGGACCCGCAGGAACGCGCTGACACGTTCGCACCGAAGTGGTAGGCCCTCAGCTGAAGTATGTACGCGGTATGGCTTCGATCTAGAAGTGGGCCCATCCGTTCGGCTCGTAGGAGAACTTAGCCCAACAACGAGGCTCGCCATTATATGTATAAGCGTTGAGCTACCTCTACCTGGCCGGCGAGGCACTACCGCCGATCCGCCGATGATGATGACCTAGGATAAAGGTCTCCTGATGCCTATTCCTATTCGGCATGAGAAATTCCCTCCCCGCCGCGTAGCACAAACTGGACTCCTCTTACGGGTCACGCACTTCTACAAATTTTTTTAGAATCGTCCAAAGACAGCACTAACCTTCCAGACCCAGACATAAATATTTGCAATGCATTGAATCACATCGCTGGCTCGACACAGAATTTTTCAGCAGGTGATAACATCGATGTGGAAGAAGTAGAGCCCCAAACACCAGTTCCTGAGTTTTTGCCCGGGAGCGTCCTCGGCGAAGGCAATGAAGCCAGCGCGTTTTATTTTGGCCGGAAAAATAACAACTCCATGTGGCGTCGTCCGCTCGGGGCCGCCAGCGACCTTCTTGGAGAAAATACTACGCGTAGGACCACCGCCGCTGGGATTGACAACGATGACCCGGCGGGCGCACGACACGAGCAACTTCTACACCGAGCGCGCGCGCTCCTTCGTAGGCCTGGAGAGCACCGCGCTCCCGGTCCTCGAGAGGTGGGGGTGATGAATATGCAGGAAGCAAGCCGAGAAGTCAGAACAAGCGAACGCACTATATCTGTTTCGCCCAGTGAGATTGACGAAGGCGGCTCGCAGCTAGTACCTCGTTCCAGCGCGGATCACTGGCAGTGGCCTGCTCGGGGGCTGCGTCGTAGTTCCAGCGCGGTTCCTCTGCAGCCGCCGACCCCTGCTGGTGGTGCCACCGCGAGTCGTGCAGACGGGATTCCTCCCCTCGAATTACCGCCTGCATATCAGTGGCCTGCTCGGGGGCTGCTCCAGGCTTCCCGACCGGAGCAGCGGGCGGCAGACGGAAAAGAAGAAAAACGGCCTGCGAGTCCCGGGGGCTTGACCGACTTGTCGGATCAGAGCGAGTGGGAAATAACGGAGAAATCCTCCTCCACTGCGGAGGATGAACAGGACCACAACCAGATGGACCACCATCAACCTCCCCCGTTTTTGTTGTCTACTACAGCAGTTGCTCTTGCTGCCTCCGGTAGGCGACCGGGCTTGTTTGCCTCTTCCAGGTCCGCGCCCGGAGAAAGTTCGCTGCCGCACCAGGAGGAGCGTGACGGACACGAGCACACGAGTTTCATGGCGAGGCAGCTGCCCCTTCGTCCCCCTCCCCAATCCTGGTCGCGCCGGCAGGAAGAAGCGGGAGCGAGTAGCGCTAGCACTCGTCCAGGGCGGTGGTACGAGCATGATCAGGGCGCGGGGGCTAGGGGAAGGAGTTGCGCATTTAATGGCAGGGATGTTGTTGCAGCGCTTGAGGACCGCAGCAGGACCCCCTCGCTAGGGGGCGCCTTTTCAGCACGTAGCTGGGGTTCGAACAACAGCGAGTCCCTCGGGGAAGAAGGTGCTATGAAGTAAATTTGATTTTCGCTTTATTTATAGTTTGCGTCCGAAAAACCAAAAATACAACGAACTCATTTTTGATCGTTCAACGCTTCAAGAACCAAAAGAACATAGAAGTTCATCATCCAGAGACACCAACTTCTTTCGAAGGTAGTCCGGAAGCGGAACTCCAGGAGGTGGGCAGTACTAGTACGCGAGTGGACACCTTCGATTCCCTACCCGCGGACCACGACAACGATACTAATGATATCCTTGAAAGCGTGGAGGGCCTAGCGCAGCTAAGGCTGACGGCGCCGGGAGACAGCAATGACGTGGCGAACCTTCCAGCAGTAGGCGTTGTTCTTCCCACTGGTGGAGCAGCGGACCACCATTTACGATATGACGATGCCGGCGCCCCCTCTACAGCCGGCCCGACCTGCGAACCAGGAGGTGCTTCGCCAGCAGCTTTCGGACACCTTGACCTTCCCGAGGCTGCGTTAGGCGGGTGATGCTTTTCATTTATTTTTAGCGTGGAAGCTACTTCACGTCGGCTATCCTGTCTTCCCACACCGAGCCGTGAAAGAACAAAAGAATCTGTGAAGAATGTTTTTTGATGAAAAACGTTTTTTCTCTTCGAGCGAAATCAAGCATGAGAAGCTTGCGAAGAAACGAATGAAAGAACGAAATGAAACAACCTGTACATTCCAATTTTCCAGTCTTTTGTGGGTATCTCAACGAATGCGACCGTGCACAACTCGAAGCGAGTTTTATACTTTTCTGTTGTTCGAGTGGTCGGTCCAACATATCCTACAGCTACAGAAAAGTACACGACTCATAGCGGCCTTTCAGAAAATTATATTTGTGGTGCAGTTTTTTATGTGACGAAAAACAAAGTATTAGCTGCTCTTGTCTGCTGTTTCGTTCACAGATTTTCTTGGTACCTCTCTGTTCGCGATTTGGAGTTTCGGACTTTCGTAATAGCAGATTTTTATTTGCACTTGTAGTCAACTTTTTGAAAATCCTGGGCGATTACGACGACACCGAGTTTCACAACTTGCACCAATTCAAAATCCTAACAGCTGACCACAATCCAAAAGAAGCGCATAACAAAGTTTCTGTGATGGAACCAGGCATACCTGATTTTTTTCATGCCCCGGTGTCATTCAGTTTGCAAGAGGGTCGTGACTATGATTTTAATGTTAATATTCACAATGTCCAACCTGGTAAACTTATTGGGGGTGGTGCCTATGAAACTTCAAAAAAATCTCTCGATGATGTGAAGGCTCTCCTTGCAGACCGTGTGGCCCCTGCCTTGCGCACGTGTATTTTTGATGCCAAACGACTCTCGTATTTGTATCCGTCTCCCAAGTTACATAAACTGCCTGTGATACAATTCAGACCGATTTGTTCTGCAACAGATAAAACTCCCATATCTGCATTAAGTGATTGTTTGAAAGACTGTTTGGATTTTGTGTTAACTAAAATCCCACAGGGATTCCGGGTGAAAGATTCCGTGGGTGCTAGAAAGAAAATTTGTCAAGGCGCACACAGGTCTTTTTACAAAGGAGATTTCAGTAGTATGTACACAAAATTAAAACATAGCACTTTGATCAAATTACTTAATTCTCAAATGCATAATGTCTTGCATCAGCATCGCAATGATTATTTTTTGTTTTATAAAAGTGGTATGAAAATCTCCAAATCTCTCCCGTCATGCCGAAACAATGTGAAGTTTGTGTTGCGGTATTCCGATTTGTATCAAATTATGAAGACTTGTGTAACGTGTAACTATGTATGTGTAGCTGGTGTGACATTGTTACAAAAAATTGGCATACCAATGGGTTTGTCAAGCGCAAATTCCATTATAGATACCTGCTTATGTGCACTTGAAGCAAACTTTTTATCTTCCCTAAGTTCAGCAGAACGCCAGCGCTACAAGGGGACTTGTCGTTTCGTAGACGACATTATTTCGGAGAACACCAACTTCGTGACGAGTTGGAAAGCCATCTACTCCGACACGGGACTCACCCTAGAGTGTGAATCAATGGGAGACTCTGCGGTTTTTCTAGACCTCGAATTAACAATAAATAAAAAACACTGTCTACTTCAAGACGTTTTCTAAAAATAGTCTTTTTAATTTCGCTGTAAACCGCTACGTCACAGGCCGTTCGTGTATATCAAAAAGTGCAATTTTTTCTAGTTTTTGTGGTAGTTTTTTACGTTTTTATGCTAACAATAACTTAGCCTTGTTTTTCTTTAGAGAAATAGCAGAGCTCATTCTCAGAATGAAACCTCTGCTCTCTTTTAACATTTTCCGCAAGACAGTAGATATTTTAATTAGTCGCCACTGCGAAAACAAGTGGCTAGACAGTGTTTCTCTCCGCCGTGTCCTCTTGACATTCTGCATGCAAGTATTGGAATTCAAATTCCAGTATTTGATTGTCGATCCTCATCCTTATCCTCCATTTTACATCTCAATCCCTAAATTCCCTCGCAGCCTTTTGTATGGCGGATCCTCCTTTTTACATGCTATGTATTTTCTAGATCCTTTGCCCTTTGCATCTGCTGCCCTGAGGGAAGCACACATCAAATTTTATATCCTTAAAATTTGATCTGTGCATCTGGATTGCTATGTCCCGCTGCATACCTGTATTCACCCCGGGTGAGGCTCCTAAAGTCCCAAATTTTATGTCATCATCTGTGACTTTTTTGATTTTCCAATGGTGTTTTTCACGTTTCCACTTTCCATATCACCGCACCTTCTATCTGTGTTGTTCTTCCGGTCCTGAGTGTCCTGTATCTTTTTCCAGAGAGACGAGAGAATGAGACTTCTCTGCTGCTCCCCAGTTTCGGTGCTCTACGTAGATCTCATGTGTTTTTATATGCTATTGTTTTCGATCCCCATATGTCGATCCTCATTACTCATCCTCGTCATAGATCCTATTCTGACCTGTGCATTATGTTTCATCTCGGTCTTATCTCAATTTCTCATGCTGTTCTCATGATTTCGTTTTATCGCGAGTAGTACGATATGATATTCGTTAATCGTATGAGCTTGACTTTCGTTTTTGACATTGCCTCGTGATCTTGCTCGTCGGGCTTTTTTGTATTCGTTTTTTCGATTTCGAATTCGCTCTCTATTTCTACGCTCGACCTATATCGTTTTTTCGTCTATCGATATCGATCTCGTTTTTCGAGTACGTCTTCGTTTTGAACTCGGTTTTCTTTCTTCTTCCTGTTTTCATTTTCGTCCTCCGCTTCCTTTCTCCTATGCACGTTGTTGTTGTGTTTCCGTAGCAGGTGAACCGGTACCCCTGTCCTCTTCGGAAATCTTTGACACTTCAACAAGCGAGCACTCCCAGATTTTGTTCTCATCCTAGTTGCTTCAAAGGGCAACGAGACAAAGTTCGGTGAGACGGCAGGGGCTGCAGTGCATACTTTTTCCCATCGGTTTATCGGTCCAACGTAAAATCGGTTTTTCTTTTTTTCATGCATGAGTGAGAGCGAGACGTTCTTCCGATACTCATCTCAAAGTCTAACCAGTTTCTGTTTTCGTGCAAAATTCTTTGCATGCAAATCAAAAAAAGATTTTATTTGCACTTGTAGTTGTAGCGCGTTCCGTTTTCGTAAAATTTTTGCTATATCTTATTAATCCACTTTAGAAAGCTAATGATTTTTTGGAAAAAGAATAAAAGAGACGAAAGATAATGATAAAGTTAGCTAAAAATGAGGAAAATGGGTGATATTGATACTGAAAAAGGATATTGATATTGAATAAGTCGATAACGGGGAATAAATTGTTTGTTTGTAACGGGGAATAAATTGAATCGGATACTCAAATTGTACTATATAGACAGAAATTCACTTCGCTTGAAAATTTTTTGCTTTTGCTCTACACGGCAATGCTCTCACTGGCTTTCATTTGATCGCATAACTTTTGCCGACAACCTGCCTTCACATTGTTAGTTAATGTTTTGCACGCCGGTATTGTATTTTGACGGACTCCTGCTCGTCTCGCAGTTGTCTACTAGGCGCGAAGGAACCATGGTGAAGATTCTCACTTTATGATTTTCTTATATAACCCGATGAAGATTCTCACTTTATGATTTTCTTATATAACCCGCAACTGGGTACTTAGTAGCATCAGCATCAGCATTACTATGAATGAGGCACACAACCTTGTAATGCAAAACAGGACCCATTTTCTTGTAGTAAGACCTTGCGCTTAAAGATATTTATCGCGGTAGGCAAGAATGTAGATTTACTACGTTTTTCGACCCGTCAGTTAACAGCTCTCGAAAGTGTAAACTACAAGAACCTTCAAGAAAAACCGCACTGCAAATTGATGTTTTAGAAAGTTTTGAACTTGAAAGAAAAACAAAAAATGTGAAAAAAGAAGAAGAAGAAGGAAAGCGGGACCATCATGCTCTTTTGTTCACAGGCTCTTGCACGGGCACCCACTCTTGTAGTGGTGAGAGAGTCAAAGACCAAGAAAACCCTCAAGCAAGTTTGTTCTCGACTCCAGGAACAGGATTTTTTTCGGGGAAATTACGAACATGAGCGTCCAAGGAAAATATCCCTAATGGTGCTTTAATGACTTTGATGAGAGAGGAACAGAACAAAATTCGTTGTGGAGAGCCAAAAAAGTCGCGCTGAGTGAAAAAGTTGTTTGTTATTTTCCACGACAACGCAGGCCTAGGCTGTTGCTGTCGGCCATAAAGGGAAATTAATTCGTTGAAAAAGAACGTCCATATCACAGATCGCAAACCGCGGCCAGAGTTGGTTATGATTATATCATTCGAGAATTATGTAGTAGCAGTTCTCTATTCGTATATCACGCGGCCCAGCACAAACCTCGCACCCCGTGTACCCCTCACTTTCGCCGAAGTAAAAAGTATGTATTCCTCCTTCTTGTCTTATAGTCTTTTCATGTAACAGTGCAGTTTTTCCCACCCACCTACCGAACTTCTTTAATTCATTCCTGGCGCCGACAATGACTCGTGGCAGCATGTAGTTGTTTTCGCCATTTTTTGCCTCCACGAACTACACCCCCAACTGGACCTTTTCTGCTTACAACCCTCGTGATCTATACCATCACCTGATCGCAGATCAGGAAATAAATCTCCATAGCATCTTCATGTCCCCCCTATCGGCTTCTCAGACACGACCGCCACACCGGTCCCTGTTCCTATGCGTTGCAAGAAAAGTACTATCGCACTGGCATCCATCTCCGCATGACAAATCTTATCAAGAAGTATACTATAGAGCAGAAATGAAGTTTGTCATGCTGGAAAAGGTACAGCTACAGCTACGGCCTGATGTTTGTCATGCATGAATGCGATTACAACTGCGGTAAGTAGTACTTTTGCAGTGGATATTTCCTTCCCGTCCTCGACTCCGGTGGGGAGCTGGTCGTGACGCTCGAGTTCGTGTATGGAATTCTCAACTGTTACATTCTCAACTGTTACAAGAAGAATTTGTGATGCAAGAATAAAAACAGTAAAAGGAGGAAGATTGCAGCACCTCCCGCATTATGAATTTGGCGCAGAGTAGTTTCATGCTGTTGAGCCCTTCGAAAATTTGTCAACATGCGAAGTAGCTTTATCGCGTGGGTGCTGCTGCTGTTTTGCATTTTGCATTTACAGATTTATGTAACAGCAGCTAAGAATGTAACGCTTGAGAACTCCATATCGTCGACCGAGCTAGTGTGTTTGTCGTCGAACAGCAGTCGAGGAATGCGGCGAATGTTAACAAGTCCGATGGTAAACAAAGCTACCCGGGCGGTAACGCACCAGCAGCGCAACAGGACCACGATAGTGCTGGTCAGGCGCCTGGAGAAGTTGGCAGCACGACGATTGATACAACAGCAGACGGGAGAAGCAACAATGGTTCTGAAGAAGCAGTTCCACCAAACAAGAACCAAGTAGGTAGTGGCGGTTTTATTAACCACGACAGTAGTACCCCGGAGCAAGAGACATCCCAAATACTACAACAAGCTGCAGATCATGATCCAAACGCAACTTTGTCATCAACCGCAGGGGAATCAGACGCGTCCCTTTCTGCCTTATTGCTGAAGCAGTTACGAACCTGGAAAAAGTGCTCGCCGACCGTGACAAAAGAAGGGCCGCTGAATGTAGTGGTCGGGGATAATTATACAACTAGCACAACATCTGATCATGCGAACAAAACCCCACCGAATAAAACCCTTTTCGCTCCTTCCTCCGCAAATTACAGTGGTGCGTCAACGGGAGGTGCCAGCTCAAGAACGCAGGACATTCGAAAATACGGATTTGCCCCGGCAGCTTCTCTTTACCAGACGCAAAGTTGTACAACTAACGCGCAGCAGCATACGGCGAAAATTTTCGCGGATTTTCACGAGTTGAATCCAGGTTTTGACCAGAACAACCTCGAGGACAGTCAGTCGGAGTTTTTCTTCGATGAGGAAATATGCATTGTAAAAGTATCGTACTAGTATAAATCGCAATACAAATTACCTCAGCATTACAAATTGAATTTGTAATGCGGATTTACCTTAACAAGTAGATTTGTAATGCATAATTGCGATTACTGCGATACTTTTGCCCAGGATAGGAACTTCCCGGGGACGATGAACTCACCGCGAGCGACCGGAAATTCTCGAAAGCAACTACTTCCCAGCAGACCACGCCGCGGAGTAATTTATCTTCTGCTTATTTGTTGAAGAACAATATGAGAGTGCACAACTCCCCCTCCCCCTCATTTGTATTGCCTGAACAGCAATACAAACACCAACACACATGGAGCCTGTGCATGACAAGTTCACGTGCCTAGTGTAGTACTCTTAGGGCTTCCGGAATTTGTCATGCAAACAGTCCCACAGCGCAGCAATTGGATTGGGGATTTGGCATGACAAATGAGGGGGAGGGGGAGCAGTTGTGCACTCTCATAAACAAACCAGTCCTTCTCGATTTCAACTACGGGCACCATTTGGCTCGCGAAGGTGCATGGGCGAGACGAGCTAGGCGCGAAAAGGCTCGTCGCGGATCGCGGCATGCCCGGAGCTAATGGCGGGCCTACGCGAGCTGATTAGCGCCGCTAAACAGGCGCGCGGAGTGCATGGCGGTCAAGGTGGGGCTGTCGGAATGCTGAAAAAAGGCGCCATAGCGCCGCGATTCGGCGAAATTCATTTCGTTTTCGGTTCCCCGACCTGTATCGGCTGTTTTTCTTCATGGAGGACCTCAATCCGGGACCTCTATCTTGGGACCCCTCGAGAGCTGGTAGCACGACCTGACGCTCGATCCAGATAGAGGCCATCTTGGGCCTCTATTTTCCCCTAAAAAAGACCTCACTTGAATAGGTGAAACGCAAAATCGAGGTTTGGTTACAACCCCACTGGGTATCTGCTCATAAACTCTAAACTTCAAACATTCCGTTGCACTCTCGTTGCCCCAAAAAAGCTAGCGCCCCGCTGTTCACAAAATGCGATGACTCGCGAAATGCAGGCGGCGCCCAACATTGTTGCCGAATGAAGCCGGGCGGCTTGTCGAAGAGAAACGAGGCCCAAAGGCCACCGGCGCGGAGGGTAGCGGAGTCCATTGGTGGTGAGGACGGCATACGCCTCCCGGGCTCTCGCAGATTCCGCGGAAAGGGCCGCAAATATAGCGGAGGGCGCCGGGGATTGCAATAAAGAATCTTCCAACGACGGCCCTGGCTCTTGCCGTGTGTGCGTTGGCGTAGGCATTTGAAAAATGCTAGGTGCACGGCATTGATAACACAGGGCGCCCGGATAGTCCGGGGCGCCGGCGCCCTTCGATTTTTCTTGCAATATTGTGAGGCCACATCTTGAAGCGCTGCCGCTGTGCTTAAGACTCTAGCCTTCGCAGGTGGCGCGGCGCCTAGCTCAAGCTGCAAGCATGCGACCGCCCCCTTCCAGCGGGATTGTGGAATCAAACCGGACGGCGCTACAACTCCTTACTTTTTTGAGTTTCATGCTTGATGATCATGCCAAGTAATATTATTCTTTCACTTCTTGCATGACAAATACAAAAAAAGTATCTAGCTCAAGTTGAGACTGACCTAGCTATTTAATTTCATACCTTTTGTGGTAACGATTCCGAAACGCAAGCAAATCATTGAAAATCCTTGACAAAAATGATCACATTTTGTTGTAGAATTTGAAGATGCAAAATGAATAATAAGAAATTTTTGAATCGGCTCTGTTTTGAATCGCTCAGTCGCTCCCATAGTCATTCATTGTTGGAAAACAAACCAGTCTTTCTCGAGTTCAATTACGATGATTGCCCTAGACAGCCAGTCCTTCTCGAGACTGGCTGCCCTAGATTGATAGATCTGCACCGCCGCCGGCCCGGCGAACCTCGCTCCCTGCCATCGGCCGGGGGCCGGCACAGCACCGCAGAAAGCGAAGCGGCAAGGGGGCCACGGCGCGTGGCAGGCCGGGATGGGGGGCCCCCCCATAGATACCGCTTTTGGCGTGAACTTCCTAGCTAGGGGGGGTGCGCCGCCTACTGGTTGCGTAGGCTCCATGGCGAGTGGTTTTTATTTGTTTTCCCGCGGAACGGAGGCGGCCCGCCCTTTGAGGTTGTGCCGCAGATCAATGCAGCCCGCAGGCGCCCGGTGCATTTGGGTAACAAAAAATCGCGCAAGGCCCCTCCAGTGCGCGGGCCTTTTGCTGGCTCGGGTGGGTCGGTGGCCCGCCTGCGCGGGCCCTCGCGCGCTCTGCTTCGAAAAGGCCCCGCCCACCAGAACAGGCAAAAGATAGAGAGCGCCCGGCCCCGAACGCTTCGTAATCCTTAACTTAAGGTTTACTCTATCCTGCTTCGTAACCCCATATTGAAAAACAAACCAGTCCTCCTCGAGTTCAATTACTCTCCTGATCTGAGGTCTCACTTTTGTCCTTTGGGAACAGTCACCGAGTTGCACTGGTGGACACTACCGATCTAACCGACTTTCAAGGCACCTATTCTACAAAAGTCCCATCTGCAATGCGTTTTCTGGCCCTGTGTCGTCCTTCATGCATTGCAGATTGGTACGGAGAGGATAATGTCACGCCTCCTCCCTCTCTTCTCCTCCTTCTTTGCTCTCTTCTGTCCTTCATCTGAGGCAGTTTCCAACAAACAATGTACAAAACTTCATGCATTTTTCTGCGTGCATTTTGTGTGTTTTGTAGAAGTTCAAAAGATATTTGTAGAAGTTCACTCAAATATATTTGTGACGCACTGCGGTGTAGAATAAAATGTTATGTCTATATAAGAAAAGAAAGCGAGGGCTCAATAAACTGAATAAACTCTGTTACTTTGTAGGTTCAACAGGTGGAATCTCTGATGTGCGCAAGTCAAATAGATACTGTTAAGAAAAGGGATGCATAATCGTGGTTGATCTTTTGCTTCTGCTGCTGGTCGTAGTGCCCTTGATTTGTTGTGCTGTTTTTGTATAGACATTTTCAACTCTTGCGCAACATAAATAGTTGCTTGTGTGAAGGAGTTTTGTAGCTTGAGCGAGTTGTCAAAACTTAGCTATACTATTTTAGTCTACCCTGAAGTCTTCACCCGAACTCTCTTTCCCCGCTTAACACGAACACGAATACGAATACAAGACAAAAAAAAATCAAAGTAAGCTTAGAAGGAAAACAAAAAGCAAAACCTTAAAAAAACAAAACCTTAACCTTCACCATACGAAAAAGCACTACTTCGCTGCGTGCTTGGTGCGCCCTCGTGCAACAGTTGGCAAAGAAAAAGTAGGAAATAAGTTGCAAAATGTAGCCGCTAAATGCTCAAAAAACGGAAAAATCGTATAAAGGATCTTCGCTTCTGTATTGTTGAAAAACAAACCAGTCCTCCTCGAGTTCAATTACGACGACTTGTTGCAAGCGGTGGTTGCAAAAGGGCTTCGGCGGCGCGCCGCGGACTTTCCAATTTCCGACAGATTTGTGAAGGAAAGTGTCTGCTTGGTAACGGACAACGGGACGGTGTTGAGCGAGAGTGGCGCAGCAGCTTCGAGGATGAAAAGCCTCTCAAATAATAATACTAACGCAGCGACAATCAAAGTAGGAGGTCCAGGTCCAACGTCGAGCTCCTCCATCCTCTCCGCATCACCCGCCGTTGTACAACAACCTCGGCCGCAAGGAGCTGCACATCAGAACGCGCTTCACGCCTCGCCACAACACACGAGCACGACACGCACCGCTGGCACTGCTACTGCTGCAACTGCCACCACCAGTGTTGCGAGGCGCAGCCGCGAATGTTCCCCCGCGCCGGGAACCGGTACTAGCGCGGCACCAAAAGCTCCTCGTTCCTCGCCCCGAGCTGGTGGAGGTGCAATATTCATCGAGGAAAACTGCAACAAGAATTCTGTTTTTCTCGAGTTTCCGAATTGCGAGTTTCTGAACGTGATAGTCAAGTGGCAGGAGGGTCTTTTCTTCCCGCACATGGTGGCGGACCTGCACCAGGCGCTCGTCACCGGGACATACCAAGCAAGGCCGGATCTGGTCAGCCGGGTAACCAACATCGCGAACGGGGGTGCGAATAACGCGAACGATTTGATGGTGGTACAGCATCTGCAGCAGGTCATTGGGATGAACAACAATCCGCCGCAGGGGATGCTCCCAGGTGGGAACAACTTTCATCTGCCGCAGATGTTGAACAACCGAGCTGGGAACAACAACAATAACATGCAGGGAGCACCAGGCGGAGGTGCAATTTTCATGATGAACAACAACGAGAACATGCGAAACGCGCGGGGGCAGGAACTGCAGTTGCCGAACAACAACGCGATCTTGGTCCAGAGACAGATGTACGTTTTACCTAGTTTAGAGGAGTGGGAGGTCGGGTTGTACCAGACGGGGGAGGAAGATCTCCTCCGGTTCGGGAAAACTCCCTCGCAGGACCAAGTGTACGGGTTTTCCCAGTTGTTGCAGGTGATCGACCGGGTGAAAGCGGCCAACTTCGTTTTTCCCGCGCAGATTAACATCATCTTCCACCAACAGGAGCTGCAGCGGATCGGCGGGCTGGGCGCGTTCTTGGCGGAAGTGGCGGTCAGAGTGGTGCAAAGCTCGAAGTTCACGACGAACTTGCTCCGGGAAGTCTGGACATACCGGGAAATGATCAACCACAGCAGTAGTGCGGGGGCAGGAGCTTCTGTGGCGATATCTAGTTCGACATCAACAACGGGTAACCAATATGCTCTGCAAAAGTATCGTACTCGTATAAATTGCACTCATGCATGACAAATATCTTTCCCAACCTGAATCAGCATTACAAATTCCAGTTTTGTTCTTGGGGCAATTTGTAATGCAATTTATACTAGTGCGATACTTTTGCAATGCATACCCAACAGCAGCTGAACTTCTTTTCCCCCCCGTCGCGCGGTTCCAGCAAGTCGCCCGCCTCGAAACTGAACCTCAGCACCGGTGGGAACCAGAGCTCCTTCCCCCCGTCTCCGCTCGTGTCTCCGAGCCGGAAGGAGCAGCTGCTGAAGATGAAAGGGACGAGTGCACTATCCTCCGTGGTTGACGACGATGTTTACGACACCTCGATACATCAAGACCAGTGGAAGACCGGTTCCAGACTCCGGGCGACAACGGTGGTGCACGAGATTTTGAGGCAGCTCCGGGTGTTCCAGGTGTTTGAGTTGCGTCATGGTTTGAAAGCCGCGGTGGACGGGGACAAGCTGTCTATCTGCGAACGGTTGCTGAAGAATTTGGCGCTGCGGGGCGATTTGACCCTCGGAATCCGGGAGGAGATGTGGCAGAACCAGGGCCTCACCGGGGACGCTTTGTTGGCGCGGAAACAGAAGAAGCTGGGTGGATTTGGGACGTCGTTGCACCAGCCGGGGTTTCTTTCCCGGTCGGTGAACAGCTCGAGTTTGGACAACAGTTCTTTTCTGTCCCGAGCGTTACTTCCTGCGGGCAGTAATGGTAATGGTGATCAGTTCTCGTCGCAGCAGGCCCAACTGGTGAGGCAGACCGGAAATAACTACCCCGGAGGTGGAGGTGGTCCGAATAATTACACGGATGAATTAAGCAGTTCCGGCTGGGCCTCCTACGGCGGCCGACAGCTTCCGCCCCTCAGCAGCATGCGCAGCAACCACAGCGACACTAGCAACGGTGCGGACTGTGCGTCCTCGGTTTTAGGAGGTGGAAGTGGGGGACTGAATAATTACAACAACGCTGGCGCGGGAGGCGGAGTATGCATTGCAAAAGTATCGTACTCGTACTAATCGCAGTCATGCATTAGAAATTTCTTTGTCAAGTGAAATCCCCATTACAAATTTTATTTCCCATGCTGAGGAAATGGAAATCTGTCATGCGATTTCTACTAGTACGATGCTTTTGCATTTCATACGGAGCAAACGGCTACAACTACCGCGGTGGCACAGCGAGCGTAGAGAGTCTTCCGGAGACGGAAGTTCATATAGATCAGCGGAGTAACGTCAGCAATCCAGGAGCAGTTGGGCAACATCAACTCTATACCCAGTTTCCCTTCAGTCCGGTTCCAGAGGGGGAGTTGAGCAGCCGGTTTGTGAAGAGTCCAAGTCGTGGTCAACAGCTTCATCAGCAACAGGTGGAGCAGCAGCTGAGCGAGGGGTCGTCGGTGGAAGAAGAACTTTGGTGCCTCTACAAGCACCTGATGTCCAACCGGCTAGAATACAGCTGGATCAGCCTCCGGTGGACGTGTCTGAAGTTGATTCTGACCCTGGGCGGGGCGGGCCGGAGCAGGAACGTGGGAGTGTTGTACGACCACGACGATATTGAGGACTTTGCTTCGTCGTCCGATGAGGAAAGCGGAGATGATGTTGAGGCTGATCTTCATTCTGATACAAATTCATCGTCGTCGTCTTCATCCGCAGAAGGATGTGGGGACAACGTGAAGAACATCAAGAACTCCTCCAGCTCAAGCTCCAGCAGTTGCGGCGAAGCAAAACTTGACAGAAAAAATCTCCTCCAGCAGCCGGAGCATCATCAAGACACGACGACACAACGAAACCTCCACGCAGATGTTGTTGAAAACAGCGAAATCTTCACAAAGATGAATCAGGTTGGTCGTACTGGCACAGAACACGCAAATTGTGTCGAAGCTGCGGGAACGGGCGCAATAACGATGATGACCCAAAAGCAGCAGGAGAAGTATGAGCAGAGCGTGCATACTGGACTGATCCAAAGCACACCCCCTGCGAAACAACGACAATCTACAGCGGTCATTGCATCAGCAATAGCGCAGGTAGTCACGCGCGACCGCGCCCGCAGTAAACAAGTGACAGAACAAATGGGCGGCAGTGATGCTGCTGAACAGCAAGCCAGTCGCAATGCCCCCGGATCCGGAGCAAAGGCAGCGAATAAATCTTCCAAGTCGAAACGTGCCCCTGACAGCAAGGGAGCAAAAACATCAAATAACCCACGCCGGTCCTTTGGCAAACCGAAGCTCCGCCTGACCCTGGCGGAGAAGCGGCTGCAGAAAGTTTTTCTACGACGGATCCGCAGCTTCGTGGCAAGGAGGTTCCAGGACTTGGAACGCTTTTCCCGCTGGAGTGAAAAGAAGTTGCAGGACTACGACCCCTGGAACAAGGATTCCGCCTACCTGTACCCAGATGACTACGACCAGTATCGTTTTCTGTACACGTCTATGCACTGCAAAAGCATCGTACTCGTAGTAATTGCAGCATATGGATATGCATTACAAATCTAGGTTGTTGAGGTAAATCCGCATTACAAATTTAATTTGTATATGCTGATTGCAATTTATACTAGTAGTAGTACGATGCTTTTGCAGTTCATAACGTCGGAAATGCACCGCCGGCACCTGGACCGGAAGCGGAAAGCGGAAAAGCAGCTGGAAGAAAAAGTGTTGCAGCTGACCGCAGCCGCGCAGGAGAGGGCAGGGCAACTAGAGCAGCAGCAAAACGCGTTAGAGATGTTGAACAAAGACAAAGACAAGGACCTGCCCCGCCGCCCGCAGGTGACGGCTGGCGGAACCAGGAGCATTTTGCCATTTGAAGAGGAAGAAGAGACGGTGATTCCAATAGTCGAAGACGGTAATTTTTCAGGAGTACACGGGGGTCGGTATGCAACAGAACACGACAGAACAAAGACCCCGGCGACGGTCCTCGCCGCCGTCGCAGGTTCTACACATGGAGTGAACTTCGATTCTGCGTCTGCCACTGCGGCCGCGTTGTCGTTTGGAGAAAATGGTGGGCCAGCACCAGCTGCCAGCGAAATAAGCGGGTTAGTAGAGCAGGGTGGAAATGACCACGGCTGCTCGGTCAACGTAGTGAACAACAACCCGGATCATGACGATGAACTCTTGGCTCAGCAGGTGAAGACCAAACGGCGAAAAGAAGAGTGTCAGCAGATGATTACCTCTATTAAATGCAAAAATGTCTGGGTCTGGAAATTTCTGATGCTAAAATGTGCATGATGAAAACACTTCCTTATGCAGGAAAGCATGACAAGTTTGGAGGACGGTTTTTTATTCGCAATCAGCATGAGAGGCTGCGTAAGCGTATGCGTGTTTGATGTATGAAAAGAGAGGGTGCGACTCCTCTTGTTAGTCATGCAACACAGATTTCATAGGAATGATGTAAGACCAGCAATACAAGTTCCAACCTTCCAGACCCAGACATTTTTGCAGTTCATAACCTCTATCCATGAAACCTTTCGTCGCGACATCGTGGGCATCGCAGCCGAGTTGCTGTATCAAACAAAAAAAGTTCGTCACGTCGATCACTCATGCGCATTTTTGCAATAAGTACAAAATTGGCTGTCATGCGTAAAAATGCATGACAGCCAAGCTTCATAGGGGATTTCCCTAGTGTTTCTGCAATACAAGGAAAACTTGTGATGCTAAAAAAATTTGTAATGCAAAACCTGCAAGTTAGTGACTGTGACAAACTTTTTTCTTTCCATATGCTGGCCAACACGATTAGTAACAACTTAGTCGACCAGGTCTTTGTGGAGGAGATTGAAACCAGTCTGTCACCCACTATCCAGGAAAACACCCATCCACATCCAATTTGTCATGCAAAACATACATAACATCCCGCGTCTGTCATGCATAAAATGGATGGGGATGGTTTTTTTTTTCTGTGGATACCCACCGAGCCCGTGACACTCAGCGCAATCAAGATTTTCCTGCAGAGCTTCCCCACCGCGTTCTCCTCGTGATAATTCTACTACAACGAGCAGTACAGTATGATTCCCGACGATCTGGTTCACCAGGATCAATCTGTTTCGTCCTTTTCTGTTTCGCACACTTTTTTGGATATTTAGCAATATGATGATTTTTTTTACGCATACAATACGCAGGAGGTAGTATAATTACACCGGCATTTTCTTGTTGTCTCTCATCATCAACGTTGAAAATCAGTTTTGACTTTCTGTTTGAACTTTATCGAAAACCGATTATAGAAGATGAAGTCAACAACAACATTTCCTCGGGCGTCTCAGTCCGCTCGAAGATGGTTCTGCTCTTCAGTACCGTTTCGCACGACCCACAGTGGTAAGGTTGCGCTAGTAGCTAATGCACTTCGACGTTGTGCTGCCGTTTTAGCCCTGCAACTCTGTGTAGCTTATAGCAATGCAAACGCATGATCTTCCCCTTCGAGAACATCGATTTTATCCTCCACAGGAACCATATTTACTTTTACACCAGAGAAAAACTCCCCAAAGACGTTACACCTATGATTTTCCCATTTTTTTCGCAGATAAATCGAAATGAACCAATGAATTGTGTATGGTGTAAATTATGTGTCTGTATAATTTTCATCGATCCCCCCACCCGCCTTGGCGTGATGTTGGAAACTGCATTTTGATTGTAGTATCAAACAGAAATAAGGACAGCAACGGCGCTATCGGACAGCTTGAAGTCTATTACGTTTACGATCGATGCTAATGGCGTGAGGGTATCGCCTGTTGTTCCATTCGACGCTGCTTCGTGTTTGTTGTTTGCTGATCATTCTTTTCTGTCCAAACAACGACAACGCTGGGGAACAAAATCTGTAGTTTTCATCCCGTCCTCTGCTTGATCAACTTGATATTCTCTGGTCAGGAATTATCCTATGAATAAAAGGAGACGTGCGCAGCGATGTTGATGAGCGCAGACAGAAGCCGTGGATCCTTTCCCCTTTCGCGTACCCTCCAATGCAACAAGATCACAGATGGTTCTCGAGTTGTCGGTATGTGAAAATACAACTACATTATCTGTCTGTGTCACACGTTGTCAGTGCGCGCTTGATTATTTCACGACTACAAGATCAAGAACGAATCACATCAGCGGCAGCTGCGAGTTGTTGATAGACCGAGGAAGGCCCGCTCGCATAGTACGACCTTTCTTGCGTTGATAATAGAGTTCCTGTTCCACCACCACCTGTTATGCCTTGAATTCCGCTTCCAGAACCGCCTATGATTGGTGGTTTTATTTCAAGAACAGGAAACTAGAATTCTATTTTTACCTTCATTTAGAAGCCGCGCTTTTTATTTGCAACATCACTGCACATCATCCGCTACACGTACACCCAAAAGTGTAGAAATCATGTCCATCAAAAAGCGGCTAGTTGTGGCGGTTGACCTGGATGAAGTTCTGGGTCAGTTTCTGATATCCCACGAAAAAAGTGTTACAGTTACACATTTGTAGTCAATTCAGCAACACAAATTTCTCTGCATGAGAGAAAGCTCGTAATGCAGAAATCCTACGGGGAAACAACTATGAAACGAGGCTCCTATCCATATCCGGCATGACAGAGCTTGTCTGTCTTGCTTGGCATGCAACACAATGTGTAACTGTAACACTGATTTCTTGCGATATCTGAACGCCTTAGTCCAGTACTACAACCAGGAAAAACAGAAAACCTTCGCCGTTTCCGACTTTTTCAGTTACCGGTTCTGCGACGTGTGGGGCGGCACCAACGAGGAAGCGACCGAAGTCGTGCACGCGTTTTTCGAGACGGAGTTTTTTAAGCAGAGAATCCTGCCGATTGACGACGCAAAGCAGGTTTTGGAGAAGTGGAAGGGGAAGGATATTATCGATTTCTACGTGGTCACCTCAAGGCAAACCGTGATTTTAGAAGAAACGAAAGCGTGGCTCGAGCAGCACTACAGCGGGATTTTCAAGGGAATTCTGTCCGGGAACCACTGGGCCAGGGAAAACGCGCATCTGGGCATGGTGACCAGCGAAAATGGTGGTGGGAAGGATTCAAATCAGCCAGAGCTGGTGCCGTCATCTGCGCCTGTCGCAACACCTTCAAATAATAAATCCTCATCTCGTTCCAAAGCGGAGATGTGTAGGGAGATCGAAGCCAACCTCTTGATCGACGACGCGCCGGCCTATGCGAAGGATTGCCTGGAGAATGTGAGCAGCATGCGGAAAGTAGTGTTATTCGGAGATTACGGGTGGAACCAGAAAGTGCCAGAAGAAATTGCGAGCATGCTGGAAAATGTAGACGACGAGCAAAAAAGGGTGGTGCGGTGTGCTGACTGGCTGCAAGTGGATAAGGAATTGGAGAAATTGGTGGCGGAGTTCGTTGTTGAATGATTCGACGGCAACATGATGATAAATTATCCCTGCCGATGAACAAAAAGAAAATCAAAATGCTGCTGCATGCAATATGCACGCAAGCGCTACTATATTGAGTTCTTACTTACCAGGAAAGCATAGCACGCGATCCGACGGCAACATATTGCTCACTCTCAATTGAAGATTTTTCCACCCACGCCAGCGGCGCTGTGGTCATGGCCCCCGCAATTTCATCTCGCACCCGCATCTAGTCATTGATTGTCAGCGTTGATGTTAAGCCCACCGCCCGCGCTCAAATGAGTACTATGGCGCCCTCTCTGACGAGAGTGTTCCGATAGACATGGTGATGAATTTCTACTTATTTCGTGCGAGCAGTACTGCTGGGGTCCGTCATCTCCATACTTTTGTGAAATCAGAGATGCGACGGCTCCTGCACAATGAAGATTAGAGAAAATTCAGAAGTGCGTTGCTGTGAGAAGATTCTGATCCGCATATTTTTGTGCCCGAATCGAGTCTGCATGATCATAAGAACAACGCACTCACCTTACAATTTGTTTTTTCAGTCAATGTGTTTTAAAAGTACTAGTGTGAGTTGGAGTTGTAATGTGTAGCTGAGTAGATCATGATCTCGACCTGTACTACCTGATCGTGATCCTGAAGCTAAATTTGGGTAGCGACTTGAATTTCATAGCGACAGAGTGATCAGTTCTTTTGTACCTCTTTCTACAACTACCAGAGTCGTGCACAAAAAAGAATCATGGCGCTTCGACCGCCCTCACATTATTCATCGTTGCAGCCGCCGTCCAGGAGGACCAGTAGAGGGTAGTAGAAAGCACGTGTTCTTGTGTGCTGGGTACAAGCCGTGCGACCTCCCCTGAAGTGCTGCTGCTGGCAATACAGCTACAAAACCACGACAACGACGCAATCCGAATCCCAATCGCAAAGCAAGCAACCAGAAGCAACAATAAAAACCCACTAAACCATGAACGCCGTTCTCAACGCCGCGATCGGGGAGCAGCCCCCGGTGACCCGGGCCTTATCCAGGAAAAAACACTCATCTCCATCCAATTTGTCATGCAAAACATACATAAACTCCCGTGTTTGTCATGCAAAAAATGAATGGGGATGGGATGGGTGTTTTTTCCTGGATAGGCCTACCTCCTACTCTCCACCTTCCTGATGGCCCTCTGCTCCCTCGACCTGCTCTCCCCCTTCCAACTGTATTTGAACTGGCACTTGGTGCTCACGCAGTTCCAGATTTGGCGAATTTTCACCTGCTTTCTCTTCTTCGGGACCTTCGGATTACCGTTTTTCTGGAACGCGTATTATTCTGAGTAAAAACGTCCCCGCCCGAGAGTTGTCATGCAATTCTGCATACCAAAAAAGTTTCTCATGCGGAGCCCTATGAGAAGCATTTTCTTTGCGTGTTTTGGAATTTGTGATGCCAGAATCAGAATGATATGCTAGGTCTGTGATGCTTTTGAGCTAGCTAAACAGGATTACACTACGAGGACAAACTTGTCATGCCAGACAACCAAAGCTGTGTTATTTGTCTAGCAGATTTCCCATCTTCACTCTGGTGTGGGGAAGTTTTTAAGCAGGATACTTATGTGCTCGTGTTCTACTGCGCGTCGTTGGAGGGGATGAGCTTCCGGGGCAAGCCCGCGGACTTTCTCTGGATGCTGTTGTCGGGGAGTTGGTATGATCGTGTGCAAAAGTATCGTACTTGTATGTCAACTGCAATCATGCATGACAAAAAAAGTTTTTTACCTTACTCACCATGACAAATTGACTTTTCAGCTTGGACAAATTTGTGATGCGATTTCCACGTGGTGCGATGCTTTTGTAATGCATACTTGGATGCTGCTTTTCATCGCCTACTTCTTCGACGCGAGTTACTTCATTTCCGGCGCCATGATCGACATCATGACCTACGTATGGGGAAGGAGAAATAGCAACGCAAGGGTAAGTGGTACAACGAGCAGAGCACCTGGCACTTGCTCAAAATACTATCCATACGATTTTGTAGCTTTTGACACTGGTCGTGCGCCGACAGACTCTAAATTCAGTTTTTACTAGTTTGTTGCAGTTGCACGTGTTGTTTCTTTTTGATGCTGTTCTCTTCATACGTGTAAAACCTACAGAAACAGAAATCACAAAACCAACCAAAGGTCCACGTGATTTTTCTCACGGTCCGTGCCCCCTACCTCCCCTGGGCGCTGGCCTTCGTGTCCCTCCTGATGGGTGCCCCCGTACAGGATCACATTTACGGCATCATCGTCGGGCACACCTACTACTTCTTCGAGGATGTTTATCCGCTGATGCCGACCTCCAAGGGCTTTCGCTTGTTTAGGACGCCATGGATATTGCGCGTCTTGTGTCAGCAGCAGGATTAAGTGCAGGGGAGTACCAGAACCTCGTCGCAACAGCAGGAAATTTTGCTACGGCATTTCGTGAAGAACACAGGATGTAGTAGCAGCTGCAGTCCGATGACGGGGCACAGCATCTCGCCAAGAATCAAGGGCAACATGATTTTATCAGCAGCTGCTTACGGTCGTCGCACTTCATTCATCACGTCTACTTCGAAGAAGCTGGTTATAATGACAACTGTCTTTGTGTTGACACTGTGTGGATCCTGATGTTCATCGCAAAAATCGCCGCGGCGCGCAACGAATAGCACCTTGTCAAGCTGCACCTGGTGTACCGAAGTAGCGGAGCTGTCGCGCGTTGGTCATCCAGTTACGCCGGCCCGGAGCGGATATGCGTCAACACAGCGCCGAATCAAGCGGGTTTAAGTATGGGCAAAGATAAGAAGCAGCTCCCCCCGCTCCTGTCCGTGACAACTGCTGCAGGTGCAGCACAGGAGGAGGCACTGTAACCGTCGTGCTGCTCCTTGTCCTGCTCAATCTTCGACCTCGTCAAGGATGTGGGCACGGTACAACCTCTTGCTTTCAGAGATAAATTACAACGAAAGCCGCGCTACGATTACAGTTCGCACACGGGAAGATGATGACGCATGTTGCTTCATCTTTTGCTGCAGCCGCAAGGGCACCCGCGCGAGGAGACGCCTACTCCGCTGTGTTGGGCTCTGGAAAGGAGAGAAATGTCAGCAACCGCCCATGCTCGTGAAAATTATCAGGGGGCCAAACATTAAGCCACAATGTCTAACACAGAAGCTAGCTGCACGACCTTGTCGACCGAGATTGCGCTGCTCCACCTGTTACTTACTTTTTCTAGCGACACCGACACCCCATAGTTTTCATAGTAAATACGACGCAGAATATCATGAAGATGAACTTCACTTCGCGGAAATTGTTGACTCTCTACATAGGAAGCGAAAGCGTGCGGCGCCGGGGATCAAACTCCATTTTTGGTGAATCTGTAAAGGAGCGTTGCTTTCATGTTGATGTTCTTCAGTCCGTGCGTCTTTCAATGACATTAAGACACGTAGAAGTACTAGAAAGGCTGTTGATCAAAGAGACAAAACTTCACCTAAACAAAAACATCACTCGGTCTAGTTACGCACTCTTGTGGATTTTTTTCAAGGCAGAAGCCATGCGGAAAAGCTACATGATCATGGAGTGGAGATGAAAGCCTTGCTTGTTCTGCCGCGCCTCTCATTTTTGAGTTGTAGAGTACTTACGTATAATCTTATCCACCACTTCCAATGCCACAGCACGGGCAACTGCAGCTTGCCGTCCGTGCACCAGGAGAGATTCTTCTTTTAGCGACCGGAACTCTTTAACGTACAAAAAGTTAAAATCGAATTGGTGAATAGAACAGTGAATCTCGCTTTCTCATCCTTCTGTAGCCACTGAAGTTTCTGCATTTTCCTATAAACGAGCGACAACCCAATTATATCGAAGAATGTCGAAAATTATCTACACTCACACGGATGAGGCGCCGATGCTGGCGACCTACTCGTTCCTGCCTATCATCCAGACCTTCACCAAGGCCTGCAACGTGAAGGTGGAAACCCGCGACATTTCGGTCGCCGGGCGCGTGCTCTCCCTGTTTCCGGATTATTTGTCCGAGGAACAAAAGTTAGGGGATCACCTCGCGGAGCTCGGGGACTTGTGCAAGACCCCGGAGGCAAACATCATCAAACTTCCGAACATTTCCGCCAGTATTCCGCAGCTAGTGGCCTGCATCAAGGAACTGAATGAACAGGGGTATAGTACACCACCATAATGAAGAACAAGTGTTTGGATCGTGTCGCGTCAGTATTAACAAGTAAATGTGTATGTGAAGAAGCGCCAGGGCTCGGCTAAACGGAATGCAAAACAAATTTGCATACGTGCACCGTGAACGGTTCGCGCACTCCCTTTCTTCGCAAAAAAAGGTATCCCGTCCCTGCCTATCCGGAGGAGCCGCAGGACGACAAGGAAAAGGAAATCAACTATGCAGTGCAAAACGTACAATTACGTAAACGTATCGCTCTCGTCACAGAAATTGAAATAGAAATCGTGCCAAGGAGGTACAACTAAACTATTGAAAAATATCCACACAAGTTTTGTTGCCAGCAGTTTTCAGGCAGACGCACAGACACCTTGGTCATACTTGACACACTTTTCGAACTACGTTGAGTCACACTTTTGATTTCGTACGACGACCGCGATACCATATTTTTTCCATCTGGATATCGTGGCACGATACGCGAAAGTGCTCGGGTCCGCGGTGAATCCGGTGCTGCGACAGGGAAATTCGGACCGGCGCGTATGAGACTGCACGATTTATTCCCCTGTCCCTCATTCGTATGGCATGAACAGCAGCAGAAAGTCTGGCAATAGTGGACCTTTTGCATGACAAATCGAAGACCGCTTCAAGTGCTCTTATTTTCGCCTTCCGGTTGAACCTGTCATGCAAGCAGTGCTAGGTGGAAACGGGTTCTTTGCTTGGTATTTTGCATGACAAATGAGGGTGAGGGGGGGTGTTATGCACTCTCATAGCGCGTCGCAGACGCGGTGAAGGCATATGCGCAGAAGTACCCGCACAAGCTTGGAAAATACTCGGCGGATTGCAAAAGTCATGTACAGCAACACTTTCTATACCATTTTGATGCAGCTGTTTCTGTTGTTGTTGTTCACAAAGACAAAAATCAAAACGTAAGGCAATTTAAGAACACAGCAGCACTCAATGTCATGGTCCTCGAGATGATGAACTGGTGACAATAAAATGCCTGAAAGCTTGTACGGCGTGTGTACTAGTACTAGTGCACAAGTTCAAGAAATAATACAACAACCAGGTCTCCCACATGGAGGACAAGGACTTCTTCAGCAGTGAGAAATCGATATGAAGGCCTCAGAATGGAAATCCTCAACGTGGAAATAATTTGCATTGCATGAAATGCGACGCAAAAAAGACCGTATTGCAGAGGACGCAATGGAAGCCGACTATTGTCCTGCTACGGGTTAAGAATCTGAGTGTTGATTAGCACGAGAGAAGGGCACCCCTTTGCGTTAACCAGCATTACAGGCATGCTTTGAGTGCCCGGGAAATTTGTCATGCGCCGCCTAGAACTGGCGCTTCTACTGGAATGCTTTTCTGCATTACAAACTATCTCCACTCTGAGGATTTCCAACCTGAGGCTTTCATAATCAACCACGATGGAGGCCAATGACACGCTGAATATCTCCTTTACCCCCGAGGGCGGTGAGAAGCAAACGCTGAAGGATAATCTTCCGGTCCTCGCGGGCGAAGTGATCGACTGCTCCGTGATGAGCTGTACGGCGCTGCGGGAATTCTTCGAGGCGCAGATGCAGGACTGCAAGGACCAAGGCATTTTATTCTCCCTGCACATGAAGGCGACCATGATGAAAATCAGCGATCCCATCATGTTTGGGCACTGCGTCTCGGTGTTCTACAAAAACGTCTTCTATGGATGTGTCAGGATTGAAATCGACAAAGTTGAAATAATATCTCATGCATAAATTGCAAGGCATGAAGTGCCTCTCTTGCAGGGATGGCAAGTGAGGCAGATCGTCAGCCTGTTTGTGGGGTTTGCGATAGAGCCGCTAAAGTAGCATCACAAAAGACGCCTTCTGTGCCTAAACGGCATGACAAACTGGCTTTCAACGGTGCCAAAATTTGTCATGCACCGCTTGGAAATTGGGCTTCCAACTGGTAGCGATTTCATGCATTACAAGTTTTTTCAACTTTGACGATTTCAATCGTGACACTCCCATATCTTCGAAAAGTACGCGGATTTGTTTGCGGAGCTGAAAATTACCCCCAACATATCCTGTGCAAAAGTATCGTACTCGTATTGCAATAATGCATTACAAATCTTTTCCCTAAGGTAAATCAGCATTGCAAATTTTATTTCTCATGCTGAGGAAATTTGTAATGCATTTATACGAGTACGATACTTTTGCAGTTCATACAACAACGGCGTCGGCGACGTGTACGCGAAAATCAAGGGCCACGAGAAGCGTATAGAACGCTTTTGAAGATGTGTGTTTGATCAAACTTTCAGAAGGCGGAATCATCGAACAAATGGAATGTAGGAGGGTGTGGACTCTTAGAGTTTCGATTTAATGTACGCCTTTGTGTGCAATGAAACTCAAACTACTCCACCATCTGCACGACGATTATCGCACAGAGGCCGAAGTGGAGGCTGCCTTGCTGGAGGTTTACAAAACGCGCCCGCCCCTCGCAATGGTGGACTCCGACAAGGGCATCACCAACCTCCACGTGCCGTCAGACATTATCATCGACGCCAGCATGCCGGTGGTGGTCCGGGATAGCGGGAAAATGTGGACCCCGGAAAACACGCAACAGGACGTAAAGTGCTGCATTCCCGACCGGTCCTACGCGGGCATCTACAAGGCCTGCCTCGAGTACTGCAAGAAAAACGGTCAGTTCGACGTGTCCACCATGGGGAACGTCAGCAACGTGGCTATCAAATGCAAAAATGTCTGGGTCTGGAACATTGTCATGCTAGTCTGGCATGCCTCTGCACACTGTATTGCGCGGCCACCAAGAGGTCCTCTTGCCTGTCATGCTAAAGCGCAGTTTCTCATGCGAAATTGCATCACAGAAGCACGAAAAAACGCCAACGCGTCATGCTTGGCGGCGCATTACAGAGCACTTATTGTTCACGGACTTGCATCACAAGTTTCCAGAACCAGGCATTTTTGCACTTGATAGTCGGGCTGATGGCGCAGAAGGCGGAGGAGTACGGCAGCCACGATAAAACGTTCGAAATGAGCAGTGCCGGCGTGATCGAAATTACCAACGCGGCTGGTACCGTCTTGATGTTATGAGAGTCCACAACTCCCCCTCCCCCTCATTTGTCATGCAAAATCCCAAATCCAGTCCCTGCCTTGTAGCACTGTTTATTGCATGACAAATTTTGAAAGCCCAAACAGTACTACAGTAGGCACATGAATGTGTCATGCACAGGCTTCAGGGTCGCTGGCGTGTGTATTGCTGTTCATACAATACAAATGAGGGGGAGGGGGCGTTGTGCACTGTTATAGATGTCGCAGGCGGTCGCGAAAGGGGATATTTTCCGCGCCTGTCAGACGAAAGACGCCGCAATCAAGGATTGGGTGAAGCTGGCCGTCTCGCGCGCAAAAGCAACAAACTACCCAGCCGTCTTCTGGTATACTGCTTGAATTTACTTTGTCGCCAGGACGGCAGTTGCAATTTGTAGGTCGGTTTTCTTCCGTATATGAGAGCAAAACGGAAGGAAATAGAAATAGTAATAGATACAACTAAAACTAAAAGCCTACCGCATCTACTCCTTCCTAATCCGGCTATACTTGAGGTTGGACGCGTCGCGCGCGCATGACGCGGAGATTCTGAAGAAAGTGCACGTCTACTTGAAAGACCACGACACTACGGGTTTGGAAATTTTGATCAAAACCCCGGTGGAGGCCATCGAATACTCCATGGAGCGCGCCACGAACAAGCAGTCCACGATCTCCGTGACGGGCAACGTGCTGCGCGACTACCTGACGGACCTGTTTCCGATCCTGGAACTCGGCACCTCCGCCAAGATGCTCTCCATCGTGCCGCAGCTCGCCGGCGGTGGCATGTATGAAACCGGCGCGGGTGGGTCGGCACCGAAGCACGTCGAGCAGTTTACCAAGGAAAACCACCTGCGATGGGACAGTCTCGGAGAGTTCCTCGCCCTCGCGGTTTCCCTGGAGGAGCTCGGTGCGAAAACGGGTAACTCCAAGGGCGTGGTGCTCGCAAAAGCCCTTCACGCCGCGAACACGCGCTTCCTCGACTCGCGCGAGGCACAGGTGTCCCGAAAAGCCGGGGAGCTCGACAACCGGGGCAGTCATTTCTACCTCGCACTCTATTGGGCACAGGTAAGAACAACTCTATGGTCGTATTCTAGTAGGTCTAAGTATCGGTTTACTTACAGTTGAAATGCATGTAGATGTGCTGATGTTCATGTTGATAATCAAGATCAAAACTAACAAATGCAAATCATGATCATAAGTACACTGAATAAACTCGTCGTCGACATCAAAGGCGCTCGCCGAGCAAACGGAGGACGCGGACCTGCAGGGAAAGTTTGCGGGCGTGGTGGAAAGTTGGAAGGGCGCTACGGAACAAATCGTGAAAGAGTTGAACGAGTGTCAGAAGGTGGCCGTGGATCTCGGCGGGTACTACCACCCCGACCCGGTGAAGACGTCCGCGGCGATGCGCCCCTGCAAGGTCTGGAACGACTTGCTGGAAAAGGCCGGGAAGGACGTGCAGGCCGACCCCATCGTGTCTTCGCCGAGCAAGGGAAACCGCAGAAAGTCCTCCGGCGTGTGTTGCATTGGCAGCGCGGAGGTGCCCGCCAACTGAAACATGCAGCAGCCACTGGCTCTTGCGGAAGGCGTTCGCTTCAGGTCGAAGTACTGAAGCAGGACAGCATGCTATCTTCTGCTTTGGATGCCAAGAACCGCAAGATCATATCGACACAAACGATGTATCCTTTATCATCTTTATTATCGCAAGGGAAAAAACAACAGTCCATTTGTGTAGACTTTTCAATTTTTCAAGGATAGTGAACAACTTGCACTGCTATTGCGTCCCTCGTTCGTCCCTGAAGCAATGAAACGAAACATCTTGGCGGTAGTTATCGCTGAGTGTACTTCTTTCAGGGGATGAAAATGAACTTGGGACAGCAGAAGCTCTGTGGTTGGAGATCTATTACCGCTAGGATCATATCAGGGTTAACAAAGTCTATTTGTATAGCACACAAGACAAGTTGTGACAAGCTTTATCGATTCAACAAGTATTTTCCTGCGCACATTTATGCGTAGCAGGTCTTTCACCCTTTTTTCTCTTTTCTTCGTGTGTAACCAAAGAAAAACAAAACCGCGGCACTTTGTGACCCCTGTGTTTATTTTACGTCTGGCACCATAAAAGGGAAACGATCATTGTATTTCTTGACTTACTCAAACTCATTTTCCGCCGGAATGAACTCGCTTCCAGGCAACGAAACACTTTGAGAACTCCCAAAGTTGGATTTCCAAAGACAAAGTTGGAAAAGAAGTCATGGCGCCAGAATGAAAGACGTAGTAAAGTCATGCAAGTTTGCGCATGGTGGTCAAAAAGAACCACTACAGTGAAGACTCTCACACCAACGCAGTTTTTCCCCGGGATTTTGCTTGTGGAGGGACGTGGCGCTGCTACAGGCAATTAAGAGATTACTATATACTTCTTTCCTTCTACGTACATACTAGCAGCGCGCCACCGACGCGGCATTCATGGAGGACGCGCAGGGCATCGCCGACGCCTCCGCGATGTTGTCTTCCTACCGCGCCGACTCTTCAAAATGTAAAGAAGGGAAACTGCGCAACTACCCGGAGGGGGATACTGCGGGCGGTTTGCGGCGCCGGCCCCGCCCCCCGAGCGCGATGCGGGAGGGGGCTCCGTCAGTTTGGCCCGGCTTACCTGTGTGCGTGCGCGCTTGGCGCCGTCTTTGTTCTTCCGCGCGCCCCCCTTCTGCCGGGGTTCTGGGGCGGCGGGCCGGCCCAGTCGCGCAGTTCGGGGGCGGCGAGGTCTCTCGGCCCAGAAAATGCCAGGGCGGCCCCGGAATCGCTTGCCGCCTTAGAACTGCAGCGATTTGCGGTAGATGTCTTATCTGACAACCTATACAGAGCCTACCCGAATAGCAGCCGGGCCTTCGTGTTCGTTAGCTGCAACAGGTGCGTCAGCGAGCGGATAGCAGGAAACGGCTGATCTGCATGAAGGCAGCTGCGCCGATTCGGGGCACCGCCCTGCGCTGCCGCCGGACTCGTTCCGACGTGCTACGCATTTCCTGGCCGCGCCCTTCCTTGGGCGAAGCGTAGCCCGCGCGCTTGGCCCCGGGGCCGCTGGCGCGCGGGGGCCCCGCACGCGAGTGCCATGGCCCGGGGTCGATGTGGCGAGCCCATAAAGACGAGGCCGGCGCCAGAAGCGACCTGGGGCGGGCGCGCAGGGCTTTCCGGCGTTCTTGGACTGCGGGCGAGGATGTGCGGGCGGTAGATAGTTCCTCCCTTTCCTGGGTTTTCCGCTTTGGCCTGTTCTCCCAGACCGATTCGCGCAGACCTTCGGGGCCCCCGCCGTCATGCGCGCCCCAGCTTGGCAAAGAAAGCAGCAACATGGCGGCCGGATGGCAAAGGGTTGGGCGCCCGCCGCGTCGGTTGTCGCCCGATCCGTCAACTGAGTAAAAAAGTCGCTGAGGCCCTGGCGCGTTTCGGGTTCCATTGCGACACCGCCGCGGATGTCTTTGTGGATCCTTATGGCAGGCGGTATCTTCCATGTCCAGGAACCGCAGACGCCGATCCGCAGTGGGTGCGTGTGATGCCTGTCACCTATGGAAGGGGGGGCGGGGAGTTTTCTGGGCAGGTGGCGGCCCCCTCCAGTCCAATCCGCCCAAGCCCGGCGGGGGCCGTCAGCCCCCCGGGCGGCCGGGTCGGTCGCGCCACTAACTTGCGGCCGCGCCGGAAATAAGCGAGTCCGGCTACGCCGTTTTCGTATTGCTGTCTGTGATGCGCGTACAGTTGAGAAACGGGCCGCGGGTGCTAAATTTAGTGGGCCCAGCGGGGGTATGGCGCACGGTGGAAATTTGTTTCTTAATCGTGCCGCGAAGCTGTAGCATTCCCTCGCCAACGCACAGTGGCAGCCTGTGGCGCGATTTCTTACTCTGTCGGGCCGTTATCCCTCTGGTGGTGGCTCACTTTCTTCGACGCAACTTTGTTCCGTAGGGGTATATTGCGCTATGCTTAGAGTTTGAAATTGAAATGAGGATGACCCTGGCGCGAACGTGTGGAGGGATAGCCGGCCAATCGTGGACTAGTTATTTTACCAGCATGTCAAACATTTTTTTATTTTTACACTTTTCTTCCTACGTAGAAAAAGCACAAAAGTGAGTTTCTAGTGTGCATAGTTTGATAGGAGCGGACGTCTCTGAATGCAAGATAGATGCGTCGGCCGCAAATTCAACGTGTGACTCATACTGTTGAGAACAACTTGCATGGGAACGCGAAGTGTGTAGTTTCTGAGGAGAGATGATGATACTCCGCCCGCCGACGCCGTAACAGGTTAGGTCGGGCGTCGATTCTTTTTTGCTACGGGTGGACAGGAAGTTTCGACTAAGCTGCGCAGCTATGTTTTGATTACCGGTTGCGTTCCTTGTCTTGTTGAGAAGAAGAAATATCTCTCGTTTTACAACGGTCAGGCTAACAAAAGTGAACACCAGAGGTCTCCGTTGTTAACACCTCCCCGCCCGCCTTGGTCCTGGTGTTTCTTCGGTGGATGCAAAGATGCTCCATACCTCCTCTTCATCCCCGGCGGAGCAACGAGATAGGCCATCTCTTCATGATGAACGACCTCTTCCCGACAGGGATTCCTTGGCGCGCGAATCACCATCCCCAAAAAGCAATGCAAGAACCAGCCGAACGTCAGTCCACGGGGAAGAGGATCATGAGCAGTTTCAGCAGAAAACACGGCTCTGTGGAGCAAGCACAGCGTCAGGCCCTCGGGGGAGCAGACGACATACGCGGACGTCAACTTCATCGACAGGCCTGAACTGCTTCAAAAGCGCTGCGCTGCGTCTCAGAACGCCGAGCCAAAACCACGGTGGTGCACATCCGCCTGTTGCACGGTGCTCCAGAGAAACAGCGCAAGACGTGGAGGACAAAAATGGCCGCACTTTGCTCCCTGACCAAGAAGCGGCTTTGATCTATCGGAAAGATGATGTCGGCAAGGCGAGCAGCCAAGAAAATCCTGTGTCACCAAACATCATGTCGATCACTGATAAGATCCTGGACGAGCCCGAAGAACCCTCGTCGTCCAGTGACCTCGAGCTGATTCAGGTCAGCCTCGCCAAGGAGCTGGAGTTCCTCGACCGCACGAAAAATGGGAACCGCTCCTCGTGGCCGTCTGTATTGCGTCCTGCCTTCGGCGGAAAGACCACATCTGCTAAGGCGAAGAACAAGAAGGGCCTAGTCACCACCGCCAAGACACCAACGTCTCCTCATCAAGCGGCAATTGGTACAGCAGAAAAAAGTGGTACGGAGCAGGAGAACCACAGCGCCGCTGCAGTTCATCTGTCAAGAGCCGGCAATACTAAACAGGAGACGACCACGACTTTCCACACGGTCGCGCGCAAGATTTCGCAACCGCTCAGGGCCCTTTTCGCAACACTGCCAGCGAGGAGAAGCAAGACCTCCCGAGACCGCGCTGCAAGCGACGAGGAAGACGTGTGGCCCCTCTCTGGAGACCCACAGCGCGCCGAGAGCGGCAACCTGCGCGCCGCGAGCAAGAGCCAAACGTCCACCTGCTCCTCCAACGAGGCCCGCGTCAGCAACACCTCCGCCCCGCCGTTATTGTCGGCCGGTATTGGGAGCGCCGCAGGAGCCAACGGGCGCGCGCGGAGCCTGAGCTGCGACGAAGAGAAATCATCGCCCTCTACTCCGAACAAAGGTGGAGCGGATCCGTTGCAGTACGGCAGTCCAGGCGGTGGACGAGGAGTTTCAAACTACAAGCAGGTGGGACGAGGAGGTGCGACTAGCTCGACAGCCTTTCAACAGCTGTCAAAAACCGCGGCCGGGAATAGCAGTAATTCACTCGATATTCTGAAAATGCGGTCCGTATCCGCGCCGGGTTTGTTTAACAAACAGGACTTTGCCGCGGGATTCTGGTACTACCTGGACGGGACGGAGGAGAAGATTGTCGGGCCCAACTCCAGCCAACACATGCGGTCGCTGTACGATAACAAAACCCTGAATAACAACACGCCCGTTATGAGCAGCTGCTTCGGAGAAGGTATGGGTTACTACGTTGATTGTACCTAAATAACATCAACATCGCGCAATGCAAGTTTAATATCTTCACCTTCAATTCCATACGCGTAGATGTACTCGTTTTCGTACTTGATGCCAAAAACGAATCATAAATTTTCCCGACCTCAAAACTGACGCCTTTCTCTATGCTCTCGTTATGCACAGATATCTCCAACAAGCGGGTCTATTACGCTCTCTCCGAAGTGTATCCGGAAACTCGCCACTGCTTTTACCTCCCGGCAGTGAAGCCGGTGGCGGTAGCGGCCTCTAGTAGCAAAAACACGAGAAGCGGGGGCGGGCGGCTGTTTTCCATCGAGGAAAGCGAGAACATTATTGAGGAGGAGGAGGAAGAGGAGGAGGAGGACCAGGATAGCCAGAGTGCGGAAGAAGTGGATGAGGACAAGATTTCGCGTGACAGCTAGTCTTGAGTTGTGGAGTGCGGGTAGAAGTTCTCGCTGGTCCTTGCGAATTCAACATCTTCAAAAGCACCTACTTCTATGTCAAAATTTTCATTTTGTTTCGCAGTGTACGAAAAATAACAGTTTTTTACATGGAGTTTCAGTTTCGTAGAGGTCAACATCGTCAACAAAGGAGTAGTGTAGAAATCGACTGATTTTGATTTTTTCAAAAATTTTGGGCTGTTGATGAGATGATTAGAAAACACAATGTGGCTCTCCAGTGGGAACAAAGACAAACACAGAAAGAGGTTTCGTCAATCGTCGTCGTCTTACCGTGCCTGAAAGTAGCTCATCGCCACATGGCGAGAAGACGTAGTCAAATATACTTTCTTTCGCGACGTGATGTAATTCGACCTTAATACGGCGTAGGTTTCCAGACGCGTAGATGAGCAGTGGCAGAAGTGGACCACCATGGCAACATCGAGTTCCAAAAAGAACAAATCTGTTCCTGATCTACTAACCTCACTAATCAAAATTTCAAAGTACAAGACCAAGGAACTACGACCAGTAGTGTCAATAGTTGTCAGCACGTCGAGGTCGATTGCCACCGGTATAAGAAAATTTTTAGAGAGCTAGTTGTAATCAACTTCTATGAAGATGATCCATCACCTACAAGAACGAAGACGAACAACAGAATTACGACTTCAAATAACAAGCGAGAAGATGCTCTTTACACATGACGAGTGCAGCCCACAGACAACTACCGAGGACGACGAGGAGATATAGAAGTACTAGCACGTTGAAGTTTATAATCTCTAGAGGGAACGCATTCACATACAAGGAGCTCCACTTTTTACTACAACCACTTCTATGTTTTTGTTTTCAGTAGTACAGAAAGGAACAAGGTCCGTGTCGTTGCACTAAATACACGAGGAACATTCCTTGTTTGTTCTGCCTGCAGCCACTTGACCACCAAATGATGTCGCTAATCCAGGACCAGTTGGGGATAAAGGAGCCCCTTCCGTCGGTTTTTCTCGAGGGTGTGCTGGTGAATTATGCAATACAAATTTCCCGTAGTACATGTACAAGATGCATGATCACAATTTTCACCAATTTGCAGCGTAAAACTTGTCATGCTAAACTAGGATCGAAGCCAAGTTTTGTCATGCGGCGACCGCATTTGTACGTGTGCGAGAAAAAGAAATTTACTGTGGATATGAATCTGGGCCTGACCTGGGGCTTTTTCCTTCTCTCCTGTCTCGTGTCTCCCTTTTTCTGGGGCGACCTCCCGCAGGAGAAGAAGCTGCTGTGGCACACGACGTTTGTGGCGATGATGCAGCCGTTCTACCTCGGGTACGCCCTGTGGTCGGAGATTGTGACCTATCACATGCAAATAGATACGTCTTCTTCTGGAAAAGTGCAAATTTGTGATGCTCTCTGTCAGTCACACAAAAATCTGTCATGCGCGAGAAGTAGCGCAAGCTGTCCACTTGTGGCCACCTCCTTGGGAGATGAGCATTTCTCATGCAGACTAGGCATTGCAAAGCTGTCGGAATAAAACTTGTGATGCTACGCCCCCTAATCCAGACAGTGTAGGCCACGCTAAACCTGCATCACAAACCTTGCATTCTCCCAGACAGAGACATATTTGCAATCCATATGACGGCGGGCAAGTGGTGGTACGAGAATCCGTTTGGCGACTGGTTTTCCTACCCACCAAGTGAGCAAATTTGGTACGGGACTGGGTTGTCCTGCGGCTTCATGGCGATGGACAGCATGGCCATGGCCATCTGGCCCCGGCAGCTGATGAAGGCGCTACGCAAGTCGATGTACATCCAGATGTGGGTGCACCACGTGTTTTCCCTGATCTTCTGGCCCTACGCCCTGTCCGCACACCGTGCGGCGATTCCCATCGCGTACTTTGTCCTCACCGAGATTTATCCCACAGAAAAAAGCTGGCAGGTCAGATTTGTAATGCAAAAATAAACACACAGAAAAATCTGTCATAGGCGAGGCCATAGCATGCTGTTTAGGGCATGCAATACAGATTTTTTTGTCTATTTATTTTTGCATTACAAATATGCCCTGCCAGCTTTTTTCTCTGGGATAAGGTTAGCAACCCCTGCGTGAATTTCCGATGGCTGCTGGAAAACCGACCGGGCTGGGACACGTCTGTGATGTACTACACGGCGGGCATCACCTATGGAAGCGTCAGGTTTGAAATCGTCAAAGTTGAAATAATCTGCAATGCATAAAATGCATGACCCGAGGTGCGTGCGTTGCAGAGCAGGCAAGTGAGGCCGATTGTAAGCCTGTTTGGGGTTACAGCTCGAGCTGCTAAAGTAGCATGAGAAAATCGCTCTTCTTTGCCTAAACAGCATGACAAACTGGATTTACGGACCACCAAAATTTGTCATGCGCCACTTGAAAACTGGGCTCCAACTGGCATCCATTTTATGCATGACAAATTATTTCAACTTTGTCGATTTCAACTCTGACACATCCATATCACCATGCTGCTCGTCTTCTTCGTCGTGCGCATACTCCCCATGCCCTGGTTTCTCTTCCACATGCTGCGGCCCAGCAGCTATCAACTGCAAATATGTCTGGGTCTGGAAGAAAGCAGGAGTTTGTCATGCAGATTTTGCATGCCCCATGAGGTCTGTGATGCATGCCCTAGCATCAGAGATTCTGCGAGGGCTTTCTGATGCTCACACAGCATGAGAAGTGCTCTCTCCGCGTAGCACACATTGCGCCTCTACTTTATTTGCTGTTCATGCAATACAGATTTTATGTAGAGTGCAAAGGTAGCATCACAAGTTCCATCCTTCCAGACCCAGACAGATTTGCAACGCATAGCAGCTACGACGGAGCAACGTGGTTCCAGATGGTCACCCTGTTTCTGCTCGGACTCATTCCCTTCGCGCTCAACGCGTTCTGGTTTAAACTGATGGTCCGAAAGGCGTTCCGCGTGCTCTCCAACGTATTGAAAGGATCCTCACGCAGTGAAGAAAAAGGAAAAGCGGAAACACCGGAGCAAGCAGAAATGAGAAAAACGAAGTAAGTAGCGAGTTTTTGAACAGAATCTGAAACACAGAAAATGTGGCGCGGACTGCAAAAAAATCAGCGTCACGTGGTGCACGACGCATGTGCTACGTTTTGACTATTTCTCGGGGCAATGTAGAATCTGAATCGTCAGTGTGTAGTCTTGCCTGACTTGCGAATAAAATTTTCAAATCGACTCCGCCCGCGCGTATTTTCAACACGACCAATTTGGCTGCAACCAAGAACATGACTGCGGCTGTGCCTCACTTGACTCGTCACAAGGCATCAAATCAAATTTTTTGGCCTTTGGTTCGGCTTCCATTCTGCGAACAGAATCTTCAACAGTAGCGTCTTCTACTACATGCAGTTGCGCAAGTTCACCGTGAAGCCTCCTGTTTGATGCCTCATCTCTTGTGTTCATTGCTCCTGGCTGCTCGCCCACCTTTGATAAATTTTTAGGATAGTTAGAGCTACAACTTATATGTGATTCATTCCTACTAGAAAGAGCACCAACACGACTCCACAAGAAGCATAGTGTCACTGAGCAGTACGAATGACAACACTTCTCACATCTCGCAACATCTTCCGCTCCTCCTATCTATCAACACCATCGTCGCTTATACATGATTTTTTTTCGTGGTAAAAGGTATTAATTTGTGCTTCTCACACAAGGAACCCTGCCTATTAAATAATTTCCGTGAGTGCGTCGACGCGCACGCTGCACTTCCATACATTTTTCGATTTCGAAGCATAACTAAGTATGCAGGGTAGCGTAGTGTTAATGTACCACTACAGGATGCCGACGAGAAGTACTTACCTCTTGAGAGTTTCTGGAACCGTAGATAGTATAGATGCATGTTTAGGTAGATACTTACATGCTACTTAGATATGAAAAGTGCAACCCCGTTGTAGACAACATTTTTACAACCTTCGCCTCCCTCCAGAAGGACTCTGTATAGCTGTGACTCGTCGCCTCCTCCTGTAAAACAAGATGCAGTAGCTAAAGTTTCGCACAAAAAAGTACAGCAAGATAAAAATCCTTTCGTTGTCGTCCCCGAGGAGTTGTTGTTTTCGTTCTGCTCCGTTTTGCTTCTGAGCTGCGCCAGCTCTTCGTTAGTTGCTTTTCTTACTGCCTGCTGCCACTGGAACAACGAACCCGGGGCGAAGACGATGGTCCAGTTGTGTTGACCACACGCGAGCAGGACCATCCTTTGGCATTCTTGCGGAGAGCAAAGTGCTGTGGCGAACGCGAATCGAAGATGCGCACCGCCGCGCTGGAACTACTGGACGAGTCCTCCCCATGTAATTCATCATCATCTTCTCAGCGGAAAGGGAAAGCTGCATGCTGATGCTTTGCGATTGCCTAGAAGCGAGGACGAAGTAGCGGCGGCCCTAGGAAAATGTAGCACCAGGCAGGTTGTACTAGTTGTTCCTGACGCGCTACAATCTTCTCCGACATCAACAGTGAGAAGTATGTACAACTAAGAAAGGCCAACGTCTTCTTGTTCGCACCCTGGACCGCAACGGCCGCTGGAGCTACCCCGTTGATATTGAAACTGGTGTGAAGATTCTTGGAGCCAGTTCTTCTACAACTGCCTTCGAAGGAGTTCATCCCGAAGTACCCGTGCGTAACGACTTCCGCATAACAACGAACCAAAGTTATCAACATGGGTGCCTACTTGTCCGAGCCCAAGCGCGATAAGGACTCTGAGAACCAATCCGGAGATGGGTGGGACCTCGGTGCCTCGTCCATGCAGGGTTGGCGGGCCAACATGGAGGACGCGCACCTGGTACTCCCGAGCTTCGGAGGCGACAGCGACACCTTCCTTGTGGGCGTGTTTGACGGCCATGGGGGGCAGGAGGTGGCAAAATTTGTCGCAAAACACCTCGGCGAGGAGGTGCTGGCAAACGAGTATTATATATGATACAGTGCAGCTAATTTCTTGTTCTAGGGAATGCGAATGGTAGTTTATACCACAACAATGTACACGATAATGTTAATGCCGGCGACTGAAACAGAAACAAAGACAAACGCATATAAAGGAATCTTCTGAATTATAGGCACTACCAGGGCGGAGATGGGAACATAGGGGAAGCGCTGCGATCAAGTTTCCTGATATCAACTGCAAATATGTCTGGGTCTGGAAGATTCCGGGATTTGTGATGCATATTTTGCATGATCCATGATGCACGTAATGCATGCCCTAGCATCACAGATTTTATGCGAGCTTCCTGCTGCCTATACCGCATCAGAAATGCCCTCTGGCTATGACAAAAACTGGACCTCTCTTGGCGTTCATGCAATACAGATTTATTGTAGAATCCAAAGACAGCATGACAAGTTGCAATCTTCCAGACCCAGACATTTTTGCAGTCCAGGCCTGAACATGGATGACAAACTCTTCCGGCCGCATTACCGAAAGGAACTGGCACGATGGAAAAACAAAGGTAGATGCTTTGGTAGCAGCTAGTTACTATCAAACAAAAAAACTTTCTCGTCACGATCACTCATGCGCATCTTTGCAATACAAAACTGTTTGTCATGCGTAAAAACAAAAAGGCATCACAGCGGCCAAACTTCATAAGGGATTTCCCTAGTGTTCCTGCAATACAAGTTGTAAAAGCTGTGATGCTAAAGAAATTTGCAATGCAAAACCTGCAACCTCCCAGGTAGTGCCCAGAACATTTTTGCGCAGATCGTGCAGTTGGCAAGTGCGAACGAGGACGGCGGGCCCGACCCCTTCAGCGGGCTCGGAGGGCCATATACATTGCAAAAGTATTGTAGACTCGTACTGATTGCGGATATACATGACAAATCTGCTTCCCAAGGTAAACCAGCATGACAAACTCCATTTTGAATGCTGAGAAAATTTGTAATGCAATTTGTACTACAGCTACTAGTACTAGCGCGATACATTTTTTGCAATGCATAGGCCAAGTTCTGCGACAAGTGCGAACGAAGACGAGGAAAAGGCAAAGGAGGAAGAAGAGGATTTTCCACCAGAGCTGAAAGACACCGACCCAAAGGACCAAGTACAGGCCGGGTGCACCGCCGTCGTAGCGTGGCGGAGAAAAAACAAACTCATCGTCGCAAACGCGGGGGACAGCAGGGCAGTGCTGTATTGAGTGAAGTGTTGCTGTCGCTTTCGCTTTGTCGCAAGAAAAATCAAACTGTTTGCGTTTCATTGTAAAGTAAAAAAACCTTTATTTGACAAAGAAGACCACGAGCTTGTCATCACCATGATCCTGCTAGAAATGCAAAATCACCAAACCATTCGGGAGACATCGACATATCAATATCAGGTGCCGGGACGGCGTTGCAGTCGCCTTGTCAAATGACCACAAACCAGAGTTGCCGGAAGAAACGGACCGGATTAAGAAGGCGGCCGGGTGGATAGAAAACGGCAGGGTGAACGGAAATTTGAACTTGTCACGGGCAATAGGCGACCTCACGTACTACAGGATCATGCACCATTGATTTGTCATGCTACGACGGTCGACCCTCGTGCTAGAGCTAGCACCACTGCAACAAAAAATATTTCGTTCTGTTGAAGATGCGCTCTATTTCATGCGGCGAAACTGCTCAACCGCGCTCGTTTTTTTACAAGTGAACAAAAAACCTTGAGGTACAAGAAAAACTCGTCCCTGACACCCGAAGAGCAGGCAATCACCGCCAACCCGGAGCTCACAACCTGGGAATTGCAGGACACAGACGAGTTCATCATAATGGGATGCGACGTATGCATTGCAAAAGCATCGTACTAGTATAAATCGCAATACAAGTTTTTTCAGAAGGAAAAATTGAGTTTGTAATGTTGACAAGATTTGTCATGCATGATTGCAATTAGTACGAGTACGATACTTTTGCACAGGATGCGACGGAATCTGGGAGATTAAGAGCAACCAGGAAGTGTGCGAGTATAGAGAAATGATTTGATGATTTTTGTTATGCTGTAACCGCATGATGAGTATTTTTTGTCATGCTGAGACTGCATCTACTTAAAACTAAACAGCTTCGTGAAGCAGCGGCTGCCAGACACGCTGAAGGAGAAGAAGCCACTGTCCAGCATATGCGAGGAGTTCATGGATTCAATTCTATCCGAAGATATCACCAAGACCGAGGGAATGGGTTGTGACAACATGACCATGATCATTATTTTGCTGAAAAAGGACTGAAAGAGACTGAGAATCTACTCCTTATGTAGTTTTTTTGAAGCACGACTCGCTGGAAGCGCGGGCGTGTCTTTTGTATTGTTGTACTTATTAGTTGTTGCTGTTGGACGATTAAGATGATGTTTTTTTTTGCGATCGATACTGGTATTGCTGCGGTGCTGACTCTAGCTCAGTACATTGTGTTTCGCGCTGTCCCGGTAGAGTAAGGAGGGGCTAGTACACACATGAAAAATATGGACAGCACCTACTACAACTACTGTTCAGCGACTGTAGAAGTGCTGGAATAGGCTTGTATAAATGCAAACTACGTAGGTTTTCTGCATTTTTTTGCTGAAATGGACACGTCGACTGTGACCGATCGTGAAACTCAAAGCTATGTGAATTTCATCTGCTCCTTCCGCTAGGTCGTGAAGAAGCGCAGTCTGAGGCAAGGCAATCAGTGTATGACGTGCAGCCAGGAGGAGCACAAGCTTGAGCCTTAGTGCCACCACCGTAGGGGTGGACGATAACAAGCAAGGTTTCAGTCGTGTAGATCAGGAGCACGTCGCCTTTTATGAAGAAAATCATTTTCAAATCGCTACTATCGGGTACTGTCTTCTGATAAACCTTTTTCAGCTACCCCGCAGCACTACCTAGTACAAGTACAGCCTAGTACAATCTGGACCGTTAAAAAAATGTCAATGTGAGGCTGTAGCCCTTGTCTGTTGTATCAACCGAGCGCATTACATCAATCTTGTTGGTTGTATCCCGACTACCCTTTAACGTGAATACTTATTTGTTCCTCGTACACCCTCCGAAATAGTAATAGACGCACTATGATCCAACACTCTAGTGAATGAAAAACCCGCACCCGCGACGATGTTGACTTGGTACAACAAGCTGCTTCTCTTGCTGCGTCAGCTAGCGCTCTTCGTGGGTACTATCGTCATCCTCGAGCAGCCATGTGGCTGCCAAAAAGCGTTAGCCTGTCGTCTCGCTATCTACGCAGGGCAGGAGCGGGAAGAGACGGCATCCGCGCTGTTTCTCGGTGGTCCGGAGCGCCCCAACGCGTTGGACCAGCAAGCCAATGCGAGGACGGTGGCGTTTCTGTATAGAGTTTGTGGCTTTGCACTTACTGTTCGGTGCTCGTTTTCTAAGTTTTTCATTCTGCATCTACTTATTCTTACACGAAGGAGCACCTCATGGAAATAAAATAAATCTGCAACTACACATTGTCAGTGGCGACGCGCCCGACAGCTTATTTTGGGACCCGGCGTTGTTCTTCCAGCGCAATCACGCGGTGAACCATATGGCGTTCTCAAACGTTACATTCTCAACTGTTACATGATTTGCCATGTAAAACTCTCATCAATATCACCATCATCAAGCTGCTTCGCATGGATGACAAATTTTCGAAGGGCTCAAGAGCATCCTAATCTGTGCCGAACCTGTAAACAAAAGGCGTAATCTTCACCCTTGCACTTTTGCCAGTCTTACATTACAAATTCGTGTAACAGTTGAGAATGTAACGTTTGAGAACGCCATAAACCAAGACGGTTGGGGCGTCGGGTGGTACAGCAAGCGGAATGCCGCGAAGCGCTACCGCGACTGGGAGCCCGCGGTGGACGTCCAGCGGCACATCCACGAGGAGGCGGCGTCCTATTTTTCGGACGCGCCCCCGGAAAAGAGCATCGTGTACACCAACCGCACGAATTCTGAACTAACGGCCTTCTCGCAAAACATCAAGAGTCCCGTATCAATTGTAAAAATGTCTGGGTCTGGAAGAATGGAAGGTTTGTCATGCTTGTCTGGCATGACCCATGGTGCTTGTAATGCATGACCCAGCATCACAGATTTTTGGAAAGCTTCCTGATGCCATTTCCGCATGACAAATGCCCTCCTCGCGTAGCACAAATGTGGCTCCTCTTGCTGGTCATGCATACAGATTTTTTTAGAGTCCAGAGTTAGCATCACAAGTTCCAACTTTCCAGACCCAGACATTTTTACATTTGATATCCCGTGCTTTTCGGCCATTTGAGAGCATCGTCAAAAGGAGCTGGAGCTGCCGCTAGTACTTCTTCCCAAGAAGATAACCCAGGTGCAACCTCGCAGCCTGTCGGAGATTTGCAACGGGTCAATACCCACCCCTTTGTGTACAACGGCATCCTTTGGATGCACAATGGCAGCTTGCCCAAGCACGTCATGGATCAGCTAAAATCCCGGCTGCTCTGTGAGCCGATGCGCGCCAATTTGGTGAACGGAGACACGGACTCCGAGCACTTGGGCGCCTATGAAAGCGTCAGAATGGAAATCCTCAAAGTGGAAATAATTTGTGATGCATGAAATGCAAGGCGAAAAGGCAATATTGCAGAGGACGCACTGGAGGCCGACTATTGTCCTACTGGGGGGTAAGAATTGGAGTGCTGCTTAGCACGACAGAAGGGCACCCCCTTGCCTTGACCTGCATGACAGACATGATTTGAGTGCCCGGGAAATTTGTCATGCGCCGGCTACAAATAATGGCGCTTCAACTGGAGTCGTTTTTTTGCATTACAAATTATTTCCACCTTGAGGATTTCCAACCTGAGGCTTTCATAGCGCCTACTTTGTCCAGGAATTGATCCAGAACGACCAGACCAAAGAGCCCACAGTGGAGAACTTCTGCGCACCACGCGGCAGTCCGGCGTTCACACCGACGACCACGACAACGACAACGACTACCACCACGACCACGACGACGTCCAGCAGTGAAACGGAAGCTCCTTCTCAGGAAGTAGACGCAGCAGAGGCTGCTGGTGGTGGGGATGGCGCAACAGAGACTACTACGCTAGCACCAGAAGTGGCAGCAGACGCTGCTACCGCTGCTCCCACGCCAGACCCCGCGACCCTTGCGGCAATAAAAGAGATCGAGGACGCAGCGAAGGTAAACACTTTCTACACCGTTTTTGAGCTGGTCACGGCGTTGCGAAACACGTTGCGCACCATCGTGGAAGTCGGCGGTCCGGAGGCCAGCAGCATCAACCTCGGCGTGTCCGATGGAAATACGGTTTTGGCATCGAGGTTTGTCGTGTTGGAATTTCTGATATGTACTGCAGAGTTACTTGTTAGAAATAGAATATACAAGAGGAGCCATAGTCACAGTGACAATTGAAGTACATGGTTCTGACATGAATTTGTTGTTCCTGTACTCAGTCTTGTGGACGAGTACTCACAGTTTCCCGGATGAAAAAATTGTCGAAACAGGTTTCGCACCGCCGACAACGAAGACCCTCCATCGCTCTACTACGCGCGAACCAAAAATGCCGTTTGGATAGCCTCCGAGCCGCTGGATGCGCCTCTGCCGTTTTCCGACTGGGTAACGACGCCGGCGAAGAAGAAAAACGAGGCCGACACCATCGAGCCCCAACTCGCGTACGACTACGACGACTTGAGCGGCAGTGTGGTGGTGGAAGGCAGTTTATACTCCCCCGAGTACGGAACGGAACCAAGAATCTGGCAGTCGCTGGCCAAAGACGAGCTGCTCATTTACGAGCGGAGCACCGACACACTCAAGTTTGAGTGCCTGTCCGCAGCCTGCGAGCTGGATAAGAGGGAGCGGAAAAAGAAGAGAAAAAAACGCATGCTGAACGGACTCAGCGTCTTTTCGCCGAAACGAATTTATAACTCGCTCTTCGGAGACCGGCCGGGGGCGGACGACCTGTAGATTGATGCATGTCCACCGTAGGGGTTCGTTGTAGCAGCGGAAATGAGGATGGACGCCACTGCAGTAGATACAATGACGCGTGTCCACTGTCCACTTTCTTAGCCCCATATGGAGTTTTTTATCCCCTGCTTCCTCGAGCTCAAGCCGGGTTCAAAACTGCGCGCACGCATGAAATTCCTGTTCTTCTTCACGAGAAAATCAAAATACAAAAATGCAGCTCCATTGTTTAGAGCACCGTAAACGCACGAGAGGAGCAAGATTCCAGGTACAAGCATCTCACATGGCAAAACCTTTGTTCAGCTGCATGATTTTGATTGCACTTCTTCCACAGACTCTGGTTCGTGCTAAGTACCAACTGCACACCTGGTGCAGTGGTAACAAAGTAATTCGTGATGATCGTCCTCCCAACCCGGGGGCGGCTCGTCTTCAAACCCGTATGACAATGCCATCATGATCGTCCTTTCGTCCGTGGTACTAAAGGTAAGTATACTTTTTACTCGTCACAGCCGCGGTCGTTCCAACCTCAAATTTTTCGTGTGGTGAAAGGAATGATATTTCTTCGTTTCGTGCACTCGTTTTTCTACTGGTGTTTTTTTCTCTGTTTCCTTCGTCCACTTGCTTTTTGGTTCTCATATTCATTCTCATTGTCTTTTTCACAGGTCCCGTTTACCCCCAGTGACAGCAGATAATCGCACTCAGGGAAACTACATCTTGTATCTGTCAGAGTCAGTATACGCCGGTGGATACAAGTTTACTTACTTCCATCGTTCTGTTGTAGTGGAACAAGCAACCGCTATTGATACTTCACCCAAATCATAATATGTAGTGCATATCATTGTATTTTTTGATTCTAACATCAGTACAGTGGTGGAAACGCGGTTCTTGCGCTTTGTTGTCAAAAATGACGCAGATGACGCTCCTCCAGCGCCAACACCGCCGCGTGGGAACACACGTAAACGACCATAAGAGTCGTGCCGCCAACATTGCGTTGCTCGTCTGTAGTTTCGGCTCTCCGAGTTGTCAACCAGCTGCGGCCTTGCAAACGGAAGGGAGAAGGCTAAGAACTACAGCAACACCAGCGGTCGGGAAAAAAGATGACGACCAGCAAATGATAGGCACGGAGAACAAGAACGCGGCATCCACGTCCCCCTTCTCCTTGCTCCGTCGCAGGAAACATCTGCTCAACAAGAATACCAAATTTGCCTCCTCGACTGACAACACCCCGTCAGAAGTGTCAGCCCCGTGCGACGGCTCGTCCTTTTGCGTCGGTCAACGCCTTGCAGTTGATGTACCGGACGTAAAAACATTAACAAGGACCACCAATTCCAATTCGCAGCAATATGGTGGCGCTAGTAATACTACAAATCCCAACCAAGGTCTCCTGTCCGCGACAGAAGAGCTTGCGACTTCTACGCAGAGTGCCTACGCCGGAATCCCTAGTCGCTACACGCTCGCGCTCGACTGTCCTGGGTCGGACCGGGAGAAATTTTTGAATTGCTTCCTCCCCTACAAGGACAGAGATCCGACGGAAGGCAATGTGGACTACCTGCGGGGCTGGGACGAGTTTCGGAACGAGCTGATCACCGTCCAGGCAAACCCGACCAACCCGGCGAAGAAGCAGATCAGTATCGATTTCAAAACCGGCGCATTGAACGGCGCCGACAATCGCCCGGCGATCCGGCTCCACTCGAAACTGGGATTCGAGTATGGGTCGCTGTTTGTCGTCGATGTGGAGCGCATGCCCGCGCTGGACGGGGTGTGGCCGGCGTACTGGACCTGCCACAAGGGTGGTGTGATGGGTGGCAATTGGTATGGGACCGACCACGCGTATTGGCCGGGGTCCGGGGAATTTGACCTGATGGAGCACGTCCACGGCTGGGGCATGGACCAGATGCGCACCACACTGCACACAGACTTCGAGCAAAAGTGCGAAGTGTCGATGGATACCGGCAGTCCGGGCAACCTCGGGCCGGCCGGACGGGATCTTAAGCTGAAGCGCGGCAACTGCGAGGGCTATGATGGATGCGGGGTTGACGCGAATCAGGTTCCGAACGGGCGCGGGTTCAACATTGCACGCGGTGGGTTGCACATCATGGCTGTCGAGGAAGATGCGGTTAAATTCTGGTGGGTGCCGCGCGACCAGGTCACCGATGCAAATTTCCCAGATGCGGACACGGCGCAGGGTGCGTTCTGGGAGCAGAAGCTGCAGCAAATCCAACCCTACGTGGTGTTCCCGCTGAATGACCAGAACTGTCCCGCGCGTGCGCTCTTCAAGACCCAAACCTTCATCATCAACACCACGTTTTGCGGCGCCTGGGCGGGCGCGGTGTATCAGCGCGGCGAAAAAGCTGGATGTGAGGCGCTCGTGCGGAGTGATATGTACGGAAAGCGGGGGCAGAAGAACGAAAAGGGTGAGGACCTGTGGGACCAGGAAGGTGGCATCGGCACGAATTTTGTGTTCAATTCTATCAAAATGTTCGCGAAAGATGGCAACAGCCCAGCCTGGGATCTTTCCAAGCCGTTGCGCTAGGAGACGAGGTGGAGAAACGTACATTGAGACTCTTTTTTTTTGCATTACCCCCTCCGACCGCTCGCCGGTGCTTTAACTCCATCTGTAAATGTACGATCCTCAGTGTTGCTGTTGTTGCCGTGATCTTCATCTTTTTACTATATTCGAATGCTTGTAAATTGTTGGTCATGTGATCTAAACCCTACCTCCGCGCAAGACTGAAGCTTCTATGAGATCCCGAAATGCCTGCTCTCCAAATGCAAATGATGAAGAATTTGAGCAAGTCGGGCTCTCTTGGTTCGGATTTTATCAAGGACCGGCGACCCTGGTAAAATCTTTACCAGGGACCCGGGTCCCAGATGAAATCCCTACGCAGGCTCCCACGGTACCGATTTGACCGATCCCAGAATGGTCCAGATCCTAGCCAAATCCTGGCTGATGACTTTATGCATCGAGGACCGTCGTCCTAGATCAAAACTTTATCAAGGAGCTCCGACCTAGATAAAAACTTTACCAGGGACCTCCGTCCCTGATAAAATCGCGCCCATACAGAGTGGGAAGTAGGTCCCAGAATGGCTAGAGATCTGGAGCCTCAGAGCCTGTGATGAGTGGAGTGATGTCTATGATGAACCTTGATTGCTGAATCTTTACAGGATGCAACGCAGCCAGAGGCTTTCGCCCTGTCTGCTGAGAGATTGGAGCGCTTTAACGTGTTAGAGACCTCTCGAAGGTAGAAGCTTTGGTCACTCAGTGTGGCAGGTGTGTTCAAAGTCCAGCATAAGCAGCGTTGTGCTATTTTTTTTTTTTCGATTTTTACAATTTAAACGATTGTGATATCGCTCTTTCGAAACAAGCCCATGCCCAACTACAACTTCCACCCCGACGCATAGCAAATTCTGATCACAAGCAAGACGCTTCCCCAGCTTGCTCCCCCCCTTCCTGCAAGCGCATCAATATCCAAGATGTGAGTTTACTATTTTTGGAACGGTGCGACGTAAAAGAAAAAGTGTAAATGCACCCTGCATTGATTTTTCGTCTTGGCCGCGGGCTCATCTTCCTTCTATGTGAGTTCGTGGACCCTAAACCCTGGACAGAGCCGCGCATTCCACAAGAGCCACGCCTTCAACTAAGCCTGGTGGCCCACCGGCATATAATATGCGAATGGTAGTACTGCTCGGTCGAGATTATCATATCTGCTCAAGTGGCCGCAATAAATGCAAAGATTTATTTCGAGCGACGTTGATCCTGTAGTCGCGCTCCTCGGACACGTCTTGTCTAGAGACAACATGAGAAGGATCCTACGCGGCCAAAAGGTGATCTGATCAGCAACGGATCATTTGTTTCAGCTGCAGCGCATCATACGTTGTAATAAACGACCTAGAGCTAAAGGGCGTACGTAGAGGATCATAGCCATCGTGATCGTCCTTTCGTCCGTGGTACTAAACGTAACAGACTTATACTCGTCACAACCGTGGTCGTTCCAACCTCAATTTTTTCGTGTGGTAAAAGGAATGATGTTTCTTCTTGTCGTGCACTCGTTTTTCTGTTGGTGTTTTTTTCTCTGTTTGCTTCGTCGACTTGCTTTTTGGTTTTCATATTCATTCTCATTGTCTTTTTCACAGGTCCCGTTTACACTTGTCCTCAGTGACAGCAGATAATCGCACTGAGGGAAATATCTTGTCGGATACAAGTTCAAATACTTCCATCGTTGGTTCTGTTGTAGTAGAACAAGCAACCGCTATTGATACTTCACCCAAATCATAAACATAATACGTAGTGCATATTATTGTATTTTTCAACATCAGTACCTATATTGGTGACAACGCGGTTTCGCTATGTTGTCAAAAATGACGCAGATGACGCTCGTTCAACGCCAACGCCGCCGCGTGGGAAACGTAAACGACCACCGTAAGAGTCGTGCGACTGCCGTCAACATTGCGCTGCTTCTCTGTTTCGGCTCTGCGGCGTTGCAAACGGAAGCGAGCAGGCTAAGAACACCAAGACCAGCGCTCGGGCAAACAGTAGAGGACGAGCAGCAAATACGCACGGAGAACAACGGTCGACGCACATCCCAATTGTCGTTGCTCCGTCGCAGGAGACATCTGCTCGACGTCGAGAATGCCAACAAACTTGCCTCCTCGTCCAACAACGCACTGTCCCCCCCGTGTGACGGTTCGTCCTTTTGCGTCGGTCAACGCCTTGCAGCTAATTCACCACATGTAGAAACAGTAACAAGGACCACCATTTCGCAGCAAGGTGGTGGAGGTGGTGGTGCTATTCCTACAAATCGCAACCAAGGCCTCCTCTCCGCGACAGAAGAGCTTGCTACTCCTGGTGGTGCTAGTATTCCTACAAATCCCAACCAAGGCCTCCTCTCCGCGACAGAAGAGCTTGCTACTCCGCTTCCGACTTCTACGCAGAGTGCCTACGCTCCGCTTGCGACTTCTACGCAGATTGACTACGCCGGAATCCCGAGTCGCTACACGCTCGCGCTCGATTGTCCAGGGTCGGACCGGGAGAAATTTTTAGATTGCTTCGTGCCCTACAAGGACAGAGATCCGACGGAAGGCAATGTTGACTACATTCGGGGGTGGGACGAGTTTCGCGACGAGCTGATCACCGTCCAGGCAAACCCGACGAACCCGGCGAAGAAGCAGATCAGTATCGATTTCAAAACCGGCGCGTTGAACGGCGCCGACAATCGCCCGGCGATCCGGCTCCACTCGAAGCTGGGGTTCGAGTATGGGTCGTTGTTTGTCGTGGATGTGGAGCGCATGCCCGCGCTAGACGGGGTGTGGCCGGCGTACTGGACCTGCCACAAGGGTGGGGTGTGGGGTGGCAATTGGCCGGGGTCCGGGGAATTTGACTTGATGGAGCACATCCACGGCCGGCGCATGGACCAGATGCGCACCACACTGCACACAGACTTCGACCAGAAATGCGAAGTGTCGATGGATGCCGGGAGTCCGGGCAACCTCGGGCCGGCTGGAACCAGGGACCTGCGGCTGCAGCGCGGAAACTGCGAGGGCTACGAGGGATGCGAAGTAGACGCGAATCAGGTTCCGAACGGGCGCGGATTCAACATTGCGCGCGGTGGGCTGCACATCATGGCAGTCGAGGAAGATGCGGTTAAATTCTGGTGGGTGCCGCGTGACCAGGTCACCGATGCAAATTTCCCAGATGCGGACACGGCGCAGGGTGCGTTCTGGGAGCAGAAGCTGCAGCAAATCCAACCCTACGTGGTTTTTCCGCTGAATCACCAGAACTGTCCTTCGCGTGCGCTCTTCAAGACCCAAACCTTGATCATCAACACCACCTTTTGCGGCACCTGGGCGGGCGAGGAGTATCAGCGCGGCGGACTCGCGGCCTGTGAGGCGCTCGTGCGGAGTGACCTGTACGGAAAGCCGGAGCAGAAGAACGAAAAGGGTGAGGACCTGTGGGACCAGGAGGGGGGTATTCGCACGAATTTTGTGTTCAATTCCATCAAAATGTTCGCGAAAGATGACAACAGCCCAGCCTGGGATCTTTCCAAGCCGTTGCGCTAGGAGACGAGGAGAAACGTGCAGTGAGGTTTCTTTCCCTCGTATTGTACTATTTTTTTCGATCATTACAACTTGAACTTTCACGACCCTTTGCCTTTTTTTCGAAACAAGCCCAAGGACTACAACTCCCACCCTGACGCATCGAATTCCGATCACACGACGCTCCCCCGTCATAATCACCCCCTTCCTGCAGGCACAAAAATGCGATTGACTTTCAGAACTCTTGCAACGTAAAAGCGTAAATGGTGGTGCTCACGACCACATTTTTCATCTTGCCCACGGTGTCCATTTTTGTTGATGCTGCTCCTGTTGCGCTCCACGGGTCTCCGACCTATGTTGATCCTACTCCTATTGCGCTCCTACACGAGTACGCTCTGTGTGGACATGAGAAGGATCCTACATGATTGCCACAAGTCGATCTGATCAGCCACGTATCTATCTGTTGACTCTCCTGCGGCGTATGTGTGCCCAACCTAGAACCTTTAGAGGTAGAGGATCAAAGCGAGCAAAAACTACCTAGAAGATCAGCGCAACGCCGATGAAACATTGGATCCAAGCGAAGAACTCGTGCTTCGATCAAGTAGCAGCGTGCGTCGACTTGCCTTTTCGATTTCCATTCCAACAATTGATGCCTATCAACTTCTGCGTTCGCTACAACTTTTTTGCAAACTTGATGTATGAGTTTGATGTCTTCGTTGCAGAATTTGATGCTTTGGCGCATCGCGAACACCTCCTGGCACTTGCTGAAAACTCCAAGGGGAAGACGTTCTTGTATACTCATTTCTACTCATGCGTTTTTTTTTTTTTTGAGAACGTGTATGGCACTTATTTACCGCCGGCGTCAATTATCTAGTAGCGCCGTCAGAATTTATTTGCACATTCTACTCCAAACTTGATTGAAGAACGTTGCAGAAATCCACTTTCTGAAATCACCTGTTTGTCCGAGAAAAGAAAAATTAAAATAAATCAGAGCAGCACTAGCACACAAAAATGAGGAAGTTTGCAACAAAGATCGCCTACCTCGGGGCAGCCACCGTAGCTGCGTCGGCGGGCTACACAGCGTTTGGTACGAAGGTAACGGGTGGTCCCCCGGGGACGACCGCTACGGGTCGCGCCGGAGGTTCATCTAGCAGTTCGAATTCAGCGTCAGCACCAGCAGCAGCGCAGAGGGACAGCGAACCGAACCGGACGCAATGGCTGCAACGCCGGGCCGGTTACAATCTTGCTTCCACCTCACCGCTTCACACCCTCCTGAGTGACGTCCGTGTCAAGCTGGAGCAAGAAGCGCAGCAGGAAAGAGACACACGACGACATGTTGCTCCTGAGGCGGAGATGATGCCATCTCGCAGTGAAACGACGACTGGCCGCAACGGAAGAAGCACTGCTTCATCGTCCGGCGTGGCAGCATCGTCGCACGCAGCTGGACCGGGAATTGTACCAGCTGTTGCTGCCTCCAGCGCTGCTGGAACAACAAACACAGGCTTGATGAAGGAGGAACAGGCCGAGAATCTTCGGGAGCAAGCTGCTGCAGCATTGGGAGGTCAAAACGAAAACACAGCTCTACTAGCTGTTGTCCCTACTAAAAGATGAATGCTGTGTTTTGAGCCAAGAACCTCCTCCTTTTTCCTAAGCGAAAACTTTAAAACATGAAACAGAAATTTGAGCTTCTGCTATCAAATCCAAGCAGGAGCAGGTCTTGTTCATCAAGCTGCTCCAGGAAAAATGCATGCAAAATTGAACTTCTTCGCTTTCTTCAGGTCACCAGCAAGGAGACCACCTCGAGCAGCATGTACAGCCTGCAGGAACTACAGCAGTTCCCTTTCTCCCTTTCCCCTACCCGGGCATCGACGGGCTGCCGCTTAAGGCCGAAGACGAGGAGGAAAACGACTTACCCATGCCCGCTTCGCAAGCCGCTAGCCTGAGCCTGCCAAACAGCCAGGAAGACCCGCAAGACGTCGCTTTGCCACTGGAAGAAGTCGCGCCGGCGGGAAAACCTCCGAAGCTGGGAGACATGCCTGGTATGGTTTTGATTTACTCGTTCTGGGAGCACCTTAGCTTGTGCTTGCGTTTCACGTTAATTATGTGGTCAAAGATATCATCAACTACGAGAATAAACTTTCCAAAATCCTAAAAGGCCTAGACGAGAACGGCGAGTGCTGGGTGGACGGCAGTCGCAACAACCGGTACCTGGTCAAGCGGATGACAATCAAACAGTACTCCCACTTATACCAGTCGGACCCCCGGTTCCGCTCAGATTCCCCCAACGAGATCTACTACTGCAGCTGCCCTGCCTGGAAATTTAAGAAAGTCAGCTACTACGACAAGGAATGCAAACACATTCGCGCACTGGTACGATTATTAATTGGAAGTATTGACATCGAGCTCGAAAAACTCCTTTCAAATTGCAGTATGATGTCCGCGATCCGAAACTCTCAACATGCACTCAATTCTACTTCGGGAACTATGTGGTTCTGGTTGCTCTTGCTGCAGGTCTGCAATTTTCTTTTTCAAATGTCGCGCATCAAATTCTTACGGATCATTCAATAAATACAGCTCGGCCTTTCCACGGAAGAGGACGATGCCCGAACCGCGTCGCGCTCCCGATCTCGCAGTGCCTCGGCTGCTTCCTCCACTACCAGTCGCGGGGGCCGAAAGGGTCGTGGACGGGGAGCTGGAGCGGCAGCGGCAGCAGGACCGGCTGCATCCGGAATAAATCAGGATAGCACGACAACAGGAGCACGTGGGCGTGGTTCTACTTCCGGTGCCGCGCAGAATAATGCGAAAAACGGAGGTGGCAAGGGCGGCGCGGGAGGCCGAGGCAAAGGCCGAGGCGGGGGAAGTACAAGTAGTACGACGACTGGAGGAGCAGGTGCTGCAGCTTCGAGTACTAGTAGCAATGCAGTCGTTCCTGCTGCGAGTAGCTCCGCAGCGGCGTCTTCATCTACTGGTGCAGTTCCTACAACAAGTTCCGCAGCCACTCGTACAGCTGCGACCAAGAACGTCCACCTCAGCGCACGATGGCGCGACGAAGAGCAGCACATTGCCAAGGCTCCTGTAGTCGTCGCTCCTTCTGCAGCGACGGGAGCAGCAGCTGGTGCCTCCTCTTCCTCATCTTCTCAGTGGCACCCGAACCTGTTGATGCGACGAGCGGAGCGACAGCAGGATGAAATCGAGTCAACACCCCCTAGTACTTCTCGAGGAAACCAAGCTGAATGGAGGAGAAATCCATCAGGACATCAACCAGGTCGTGAAACACGACAGACCAGCCGGAGCAGGAGCAACGCACGATCCTCAAGCGATCGGGGGACTACGACTACCGCAACTGCGAAAGCCCGACCTACCGCTCAATACAGTGGGGGTGTTAACAAAGGCAAGGGAAAGGGAAAGGCAGTGGAACACCGGGTACGCAGCCCCGGTGCAGCCAGTGAAGGGTTACCAGGATTTGGAAATCAGCAGGCAGAGGAACAACAATTACGCGGTGTCGTCCGCAGCCTCGGTACAACTAGCATTTCCGGCGCAACAGTAACAGAACCTCCAACGCCTGGATCGTCGCAGGAGACAAAGGTCGAAACGACAACAACCCGTAGTATTCCTGCAAGCAGTGGACGAGGTCGCGGAGGCGGGCGGGGCGGTGCCGGACGAGGCGGTGGTGCTGGAGGGGCAGGCTCGTCCTCCGGAGTGGCGCAATGATGAAGAAAGCAGTCAAAATATCGCCGGCGAATGAATGTCTTTACTTCTGAATCTGATGAATATAGGTCAGCCTTTTCGTTTTTGTCGTTGCCCATTAAATTTGGAAATACTTCTGCTCGTACCGTACTAGATTCGACGATTTGGAGACTTTCGTGCAAATAGACATGATGATGATACGCAATTATAGTAAACCTGTTCCAGCCCTCCATGACAAGATCCCGGGAAAGAGCTGTAGAGCAAGAGATTTTTGATCTTTTGGAAACGTTAGCTATTTGCCGGCGAAGAAGATTTTTCTTTGCATTTCCACCACTTCATTCTTCACCGTATATGATTACATCATGATGCCGTTCCTGTCTCGAAGATTTTATCTTGAAGCCGCAGAGGCAAGAAGCCTGCTTGTCGTAAAGTAGTTTTTGAATTCTGTCATAGCAATGAAGACCTACTAATCTTGTTTTTTGAGGATCAAATTGAACCACAGCCAGAATCAAAGCAATGATTCGTAGAAGACTTGAAAAGCCTAGTAAAGGTGGAACGAAACGAAGAATCAATACCCGTTACCACGCTACGGACTGTGTCACGCCATTTGTGTTTTGATGAAAAGGATACCAAACTGCTGCGCGCAAACAAAACAACGTGCGCGTGCATCTGGTGACGGTATTGCAGGGCGTTGGTTCCTTCTTCGTTCTTCCCCTACAGACCACAGCTCGAGCTTGGTTCTACTCGTAGGCGGTGTTCATATTACTTACAGCATGACGATCTTACTGTGTAGATGCGGTACTAGTACTAGCTCCCATTATCAGCGTCGTGGAGAGATCGTCCCAAGCGTAAAAAGACGGTCACATTATACCTGCCTACCCATACTTGTTTTGTGCCCTTGATAACTTGTTCAGGATGCTGCGAGGAGACCCCCGCGAAGACACATCAGCCAACGGCTACGGCAATGCCAGCAACGCTTTGTCATCAGCCTGGGGCGGCTACATTTCCTTGCTCGACTACCAGAACTCGGTGAACACGAACGCTCGGAGCAAGCCGCCTTTGATCGATCGCATTTACGCCATCGTCGGGGCGTACTCGCAGCTCGGGCTGGGGCTCCGCATCAACGAGCAGCCGGCATCTGAGGCAGCGACAGGAACCGCGAGTGCATCAGCATCAGCAGGACTAGCAGCTTTTCCAGCACAACAAAGGTGGCAAAGATCGCAACCTAGTGGTGCACAGCAGCCTGGCAGCTCCACCTACAAGGAAAACTACCAAGACCCTACATTCGCGGGCTACGGTGGCGCGTCTTCCCGGAAAGGCCGGCTGAACCCGTACCGAATTCGATCCTTGTTCTGCAGCGGGAAGGAAAAATGGGTCCGGCAGAGCGAATTTCGCGAATTACTCCTCCTCGCGTCCAGTCTGCCGGGCGTGACGATCGTTCAGCTGACCACCTCGGTCGCGGCCGTGCACGCGGGGCTTCTGGGTGCGGTCACGGGACTGGCCTTGCTGGTCTTGCCAGTCGCCTTGTTGAACGCGGTGTTGGGTGCGGTTTTGAGCAGCATTTTGGTGTTTCCGTTGGAAAGAACCGGGCCGCTGTTTGCACCTGGCGCTGGTGTTGGTTTTCACAACAATCATGTGGGCGATCAATATCAACACCCAGGATCATCATCTGTGACTAATCTTCATCCCAATAGCACAGTGAGTCGCACTGTAGAAGCTGCGCCTCCTCTTATGGCCGCGCACAATGCAACGTCGACTGGTTCTTTCGGCGTGGTCCATAGTGCAACATCACCATCAATATTACACACGGACAGTGCAGAAGCGCGCGGGTCTTCCAGTTCAATAGCTCCACCCATGCTGCCTGGAACGGTGGTGCAGCAGCTGCACAACTTCACAGCCAGCTCTATCGCAGGAGCAGGCACAACTTCTGCATCTTCGACGGACCACGCGACCCACTCCAGTATAAATCACGACCGCTTGCGGGATGTGTATTTCAGTATTTTCGTGCACGCCAGCTTCGTTTGCTTCGGCGGCATCGCTTTGGAGAAGGCCGCGATTTTGCGAAACACATTCGCGAAACAACCGGAAAACCGGTTGCCGCTTCTGCTCGGTTTCATCTTCGTCATGCTCCTCGGCGATCTCTCCTGGGCGCCGCCTTTGCGGCTATTCGTCATCCCCATTGCGTTGCTACTGGTGTACAGCGACAGCCTGGATTCCTTCTTTCAGTTCGTTCCGTGGCGCGGCGGCGGTTCTGGACTGGATGGTACTAGTGGTGCGGAGAAATCTTCCTCTTCTTCAAGATCTGCACATAAAAATGCGCGGAACAACAAACGTAGAGCAGGCGATGGTGAGGAGCATAACGTCGATCCTCGTGGATGTAGTGGTCTAGGAGATACCACCTACAACCCGAATTACAATTCCCATTGGGACATAACCCCGGGCGATTTATACTACACCTCGACAGACAGCAGAGCAGCTCGACAGGTCGACTCTAAAAATGGAACCGAAGATCTTCATGCTAGGCGGCCAGACAACCACCCACGGTTGGACTTGCGTATCGATGATGACATGTCCGTTCCACCTCGGGAGGAGAGACAAAGAACTGAAACGCAACCGGCAAGAAACCCAGCAGCGAACAACTCTCCAGATGGTGCAATTCAGCATCAGCACTCCCCGACCTCGCCTACTTCTTCCCCAACTTTTGGATACGTTTCTCTCTTCGCTGAGCAGCAAGAACAAACGAATATGAATCTACTGCGAGGTCGTGGTAGGAATAACATCAACACGTACTACGCCAACGGGCAACATCAAGAAGATTTGAATATGATCGTCCAAGAGCCGTCGGACGAGCAGCTGATTTTAGATGCCGACCGAGATCAGCTGGTCCAGTATGGGGAGCCGTCCGGCTACGTTCTCTTCTCCGTCGCGGGTTTACTGTTCGTGCTATCCTGGTTTTTCTGGTTCTCCGACTCCCTCGCGTGCTATGGATCCCACCTGCGGGCCGGGTTCACGCTGTTCGGGTTCGGCACGTGGATCGAGGCGGTGCCGCTGCTGGAGTGCGAAAATCTCGTGCCGAAGCACATTTTTTTGTTGGGTCTAGTCGTCGCGCGCGTCCTTCCCGCCCCGAGCTCCCGACTCGGCGCGATGAGCGCCGCGGCGTTTGCACAGAGCTACTTGGACTACAAGGTGCACAAATTACTGCCCCAGGCCATTTTCCGCGGGGTTGCCGCGGCCTGCTGTTTCGTCGTGCCGGGCGTTTTGCTGATGTGGGGTTGCCTGCCCTTCTGGACCCAGACGCGGGAGGTTTTGACCGCTTTGCGGCCGAAAATCGCGAAACTGCACAGCTGCATGGCGGGTCTGGTCGCGGGGGCCACGACGCTTTTGATGTTGCAGGCCATCAACCGCGCCGACGACTTTCCCGCCAGTTTCAAGGCAGCACTGATCATCGTGCTTGCTGGGGTCCGGTTTTGGGTCGAAAACGTCAAGGAATGGCAGATCCTGCTCTTCGGCGGCGCTAGTGGGTTGTTGTGGCATTTTGTCGTGAGCTCCTTCCACCTGTCGGCCGGTGGTACGTCGGCGGCGACGTATGGTGAAGCTGCAGTGCCGGGGGCTGGAAATAATTTTCATCATGGATATGGAAGAAGCACTTCTACAACTGGTGGCCATGCTGTGGTTTTTTCAACAAACGATGTGGTGTCATCTGGTGCTGCTCTTCTTGTTCATTCCGGGATTTCTCTAAGAACATGAAAACAAATGTGATGATCTCTAAGTGGGACGAAATCAGCAGGCAGTTGTACCTAGTAGGCCTGTCCGAAAGGGTCGAAACACGACTCTCAGATAGGAAATTGCACTTGATCATTGTGCGTCGACGACCCTAAGTTGTGCTTGAAGCCAGCAGGAGGACAGCCGCAACGGTGTTCTTCCCAACAAAAGTACTTAGTTGTTTACTGTGTTTCGGCAAGGCAGAAACAGGCTTACCGGTCCCGCCCCTCGGGGGCGGCAACCTGCCTCTTCCGTGAAAGTACAGTCGGACTCGGCAACTGTGAAAAAGAACTACGTAACGTAGGAGAAGCCGTGTGCTGACAATGTTCGTCAAGCTGCTTTCCGTTTCGTCTACATAGAACTAGAAGTGCTTTTCTAGTTCTTCACTGCTACAATCATAAAAACGCGTTAAAGAAACAACATGGAACAAAACCAAGACCAGAGTTTTCGCTCTGCCGTTGCTGGTGTGATCGGCTCGCAACTGGCACTGGTGTTGCTTTATCCCATTGACCAGCTGCGGCTGTACGCGCAACTGAACAATGGGGAAGAGGAGAAGAAGAAGATTCCATTTTCCGACTTCTACGCCGGCTTGATTCCCATGATGCAGTCCAGCGCGATTTCGAACTTCGTGTACTTCTACACGTACGTTTATTGTAGGAATTGTGTGAAGAGGATAACAACAAGCAGCTCCTCGTCTGGGCGGAATAATGAAAAATCGCGGATCTCTCAACATCTCTTCGGCGGGAACAAGATTACAGCACAGAACCTTCTCAAATCCGTTCCCCCAGCGGTCCGGGACCTGGTCGCGGCGACCATAGCGGGCGTCGTGAACGTGATCTTGACTGCGCCTCTGTGGCGAGCGAATAGTCAGTTCAGAGTGCAGAGGTACTTGGCGGAGGGGAAAGAGAAGAGTGAAAAAGAAGCAGGAGAACACAGTGCTGCTGCAAGTAGGACAGATAGAGATACAACCGGGAAGGCAAAGGAAGATAGCAAGGCCAGCACCAGTGCGTCGCCGTCCTCCCCAAGGTACGAATTCTACAACGCCAGCCCCATTCGAACGCAGTCGATGGAAGAGGACGATATTAAGGGACCACGAGGTGGTCAACACGGTCGGCAGACAAAGCAAAGCCAAACAAGCTCCTGCGACAAAACATCTAGCTTAACTAGTGGCATCAACAGCAGCTTCAGCTGCAAAAATGCCAGACACATCTCCAAGTTTCTGTATCACGAATCAACCCGTCTCTTTGTCAAAGTCTACAAAATCGCACGGACGAACCCGGCCGATCTCACCGCGGGAGTTTCCGCCAGTTTGCTGCTGGTTCTGAATCCGGTTTTGCAGTTCGTTCTGTACGACTGGCTGAAAAGGAGAGCGACAACGTTACTGGTGTTTAATCGGGAGAAATTGAGTCTCGTGGTAGAGTCCGTGTTTTTCTTCCTCGCACTAAGCCGGAACAAAAGCAATAAAACCCCCGCGGTTCATCAGAATCCTGCCGGAACATCTTCTTCTAAGGAGCTGTTACCACAAGTGTTACAGCCCCCTTCAACAACAACCTCCCTCCAGGACGACCACGACGAAGATGACGATCTGTTCCCCTCCAAACTTCTCCGGTGGTTCGCGGATGACGGGCGGTTTTTCGTTATGGGGCTGATCGTATGGATTGCAAATATGTCTGGGTCTGGAAGGTTGCAACTTGCCATGCTAATTCTGGATCATGCAAAAATCTGTGTTGCATGAGTGCCAAAAGCTGTCCACTTTTGACCTAACCGAGATACAGTTTCTCATGCAGGATAGGCATGATAGAACTCGTCTCACAGAGTCTGTCATGCTATGTCATACATGACAGACCTCATGTTGGGTCATGGAGAATCTGCATGACAAGTCTGGCATGCTGGTGTCCTGGTTGGGCTTTCTATATGTGTCGTGAGTAGGAATTGTTGGCGTTGTTGGTGAAAGTGTGAGGCAAAAAAGTTGGTATAGTTGGCGAGTTGGTATAGTGGCCGGGAGATGATGGCGATGGCATTTCGGTGTCCGCCTGACCCACCTTCCCTGCGTGACAGCCATCTGCGGCCGTTTGCACAGGAGGAGGCAAAGTGTGCCGCACTTCTGTTTAGCATGACAAGTCTGGCACTCTTCCAGAGGACCCAGACATTTTTACATTTGATAGATCGCGAAGGTCATCGCTACGCTGACGACCTACCCCCTGCAGGTCGTGCAGTCGCGCGTGCGCGTCTTGCAGGGCACGGCGAAAATGTTAAGGGAGAACAAGGCGGAAGATGAAACAGAAGGTCATGGTGGAACAAGCAGTGGCACAACCAGTCCAACAAAATCTTCAAAACGAACTGCCGCTTCACCACCACCACCTCCAACGTCCGTCACCTCGTGTCTAATCCAGCTGTACAAAGACCACGGCTTCAAGGCGCTTTATGCCGGGATGGACAAGAAGCTACTGCACAGTGCGCTCAATTCCGCGTTTTTATTCTTCTTCTACGGTATCCTGTGCAAAAGTATCGTACTCGTACTACTACTAATTGCATTTATGCATTACAAATCTGTTTCCTAAGGCAAATCTGCATTACAAATTTAATTTGTAATGCTGAGCAAATTTGTAATGCAATTTCAATTAATACTACTAGTACGATACTTTTGCATTTCATATACGAAAAAATAAAACGGAGGTTGCTGGTACAGCACCAGCAGCCGGTCTTGGGAAGTGCCGTGAAGTAGTTCTACTTGTTTGTGAAGATGATTTAAAAATTCAACCATACGGACCGAAGCATGATGCACATTTTTGTCAAAAAAAATGCAGAAAATGCAATTTCCTCATCGATGTTGATGTCTTCATGTCGAATTGGTAAAGACGATTTTCTTCATGTCTTGAAATCAGTGAATCTCAAAAACAGATGCACGCGCCGCAACAGTTTGAGAATAGTGATTTGAATCCGAGTGACAGCAGCTGTATATTGCGAAGATCTTCAAGGTTTTAGAAATGTTGTTTTAAACATTGCAAACGCAGCTGAATACCACCACATCTTCAATCGACGCAAATACAAATGGACGAAATCCTAGAAAAATTGCCAGCATCGTCATGTTCTCTTCCTTCCTGTTCCGCTCGAATGCAGAACAAAATTGCGATCACAAAGACAAAGAAACGGACGAACGTGAAGAATTCCAATTCGAAAGCTCAAGAAATCCATGACGGGTGGTCCTCGTTTTCGTCATGTTTCATGCAGATGCCCCTTGTTCTTGTTCTACTACAACTCATTTCTCTGTGTCCTGCTTGCTCATGCAGTACGCACTTATCTTGTTCATGACCAAAACCACATGTAAATGGAATCAGTGTGGCCAGGAAACAATAGATGGCGCACCTGAAGCACCTGAGGACCATAGCGGCTAAATCTTGATAGCATTAGCAAGTGTGGTATAGGACAAAAATTTTCTTCAGTGGTGAATTATTGTTCGACACAAGTTGTCGTCGTAGCTATTCCCCTGCTATACGGAAGATTCAGGTCCTCGTATACTAGTTTGGGTTTCATAAAATTGCAAATAATTTCATGCAACAAGAATTGTAGAAAATGGGCGCACGCGACGGAGACAGGCGGTGGGACATGGGCCCAGGAGCACGCGACAGTGGCAGTGACCGCTATAATAACAAACCGAGTCCACCACCGCCCCCACCCCCGCCCGGAATGCCCCCAATGCGCGACGGTGCAGACAGGAGGTGGGATATCATGGGCCCAGGAGCACGCGAGAGTCCACCACCACCGCCCCCGCCGCCGCCCCCTGTGGGTTCGCCCCCTCCAGGTTTTCCCCCGCCGGGTTTTCCAGTACCTAATTTCGAATTGAGCACGTCGTCCTTGATGGCGGGCAGTTCCAGACCGGCGGGGGGGAATAACAGTAATTCCCTTTTCGAGGGGCGTGAACGCGACGGACCTGCAGGCAGTAGCGCTGCGTATGGTAATCCTAATCAAATTCCCCTTCGCAGCAACCACACCGACCGACGTGATCCTGGTAATCCGAACCACATTCCCATCGGCAACAATTTCCACAATGACTCTGGCCACCACCAAAGCCAAAGCTACAACTCGGGAACAGTGGGTCGGAGATGCTGGAACAACGAAAGCAGTTTCAGTTCGGAGCGGAACGACAACAATCGTGCGGGTCAGCACGGACAACTACACGGAGGTGGTAGTACTTCTGGGTACTATGGCGATCGGGATCGCAATCCCAGAAATGACAGCCAGCATCAACATCACCCACCAGGCGGCGGTCGGATGGGGATGAACAATGACTACGATAGAAATTTCCAGCGTGGTAAAGGTAACTACCACAGCCAAGCGGATCGTAATAACCACATGGTTGACCACAGGAGCCAGACCCACAACAACTTCGGTGGTCGGAACGATAAAGATCGGGGCGGAGCTGGGGGTCAAAAAGGCGGTGGTGGCTTTGCTTATGGCAACCGGGATCATGGCAACCGCGATTATAGCAAGCGCGATGATCGACGAAATGACTATGACAGCCAGAAGCGCGATCATTTTTACAACAACAATTCGGGACGAGACGGTGGTCCTCGGGACAACAATCACGAGCAGAATAGAAGATACAACAACTCAGATCGGAGTGACAATTACCACCACCAGCAACAACATGACAAAAACAACCAGAAGAAGGGCGGCGATCGGAGTGAAAAAGAAAATCTGAATGAAAATCAAAGCCAGTTGTACAGCAACTCTGTCAGTTTCTCGGACCTGAAAGGCATGAACAGTAATCAACGATACAGCCAGCAACACATGAATAACTACAACTACTCCTCGGGAGGTGGTCCCCGCCGGAACAACTACATGTCGAATCAGCACCACCGAAGTGCCTCGAATTTTTCGAGTCCGGCTGAGGACCTCCATCAAGGGGGTCCTGCTGCTTCTCATCCGCGCGAAGATGGCAGTCGCAGTCAACAACAAAGTTTGCACCAGCATAGCCGTAACTACTCCAAGTCCAGTCACAGTCTGTCAGACCAGCGCGGCGTTCTTCCACCGCCTCCGGGAGTTGGGCAAAACTCTGTTCTCCCACCGCCTCGGGGAAAAATGAACAACGGGAGAAAGCCCTCCAATCCTGCGGTGCCGTTCCAACGCGAACGCAATGGCAATGCGGCGCCGTTCCAACGCGAACGCCAACGCGAGCGCACGTTTCAGCAGCAACAGGAACAACATAGAAAACCCCAAGAACAAACCGCCCCTCAAGCACATCAAACCACTTCGAGACGACCCTTCCGCTTACCGCAAGTTGTACAACAGCCAGAAGCGGGAGCAGGTGGACCACAACCGAGCAGTAGTTATGTCTTCAACGGGCGTTAGCATACAGAAGGGTGAATTTGCAGTGAATTTGTATTGCGTGGCATGATGCATGAAGTAAGGGGCATATGAAGAACACGAGGAGGACGCCAGGCAGTCAGCGTTCCGTGTAGTTGAAAGGTTAGCACTTGCCTGGTGCCATTTGGATGGTGACGCTCACTGTCAGAGCCTAAAGTAGAGACGCACGTCTTTGCTGCCTGGTGCGTTGCCAAGAAGCAAAGGCGGCCTGTGCTGGCGGTCTCACAATATAACACTGCCTGTGCGGAGTCCATAGTGGGTCGAGAGGGAGGGGGCCGAAGCCTCAACAGGAGAGGGGCACTGGGTCAACATCTAAGTGGGTAGCTCTCACGGGTTGTGGCTGGCTCGGCTTGGATGTCTGGAGACATGTTGCAATGGATGCTAGCATCGCCTGCGTTGCTCTGTAGCTCGTATCTTCCCAGCTGTGTTCCTGCCTCATCTTGTTCGGGTCCTCTAGTTTTCTTCGACGTGATCCCCAGGTCAGAAATTCTCCTGGTGAATTTTGAGGCTTTTTCTTTTTGTTAAACTTTTCTGGAGCTCCAAAACCTGCAGTTTCTCATGCGCTAGCGAATTTTGAACAGGGACCGCAGGCCAAAATTCACTCACGCCCTTTTCCAAATTCACCCCAAAATTCACCTGGCGCCCCTTTTCGACCGTGATAAGCAAACTGCAGCGCAGGAAAGTGCTCAAAAAAGTCCGCAGATAGGCCCTGGGAAGTGGGGCCGATGGGAAAAGACAAGCGCCCTCTGTTGCCTTCAGCGCGTCTATATTCTGCCAAAAAGGCCTGGAGAGTTCACGCGCCTGCCGGATAGACGCGTCAAAGCTCTCGGCCTGGTCCTTTCGCCCTTGCTTTCGCGCCTTCGTCTTGCCTAATTGCATGCGCTCCGCGGCCCTTGTTTTTGACGTCTTTGCCGCCGCTGTTGCAGTGCTCTTATGCGAGCACAGGAACAAGGCGCAAGGACATGGCCAAAGAACGACGCCCAGGCCATGTCCAGTTGCCCACTGCATAGCCGGCGAGTTCTGCGGTGTGCAGAACGCTCTTCCCAGAAGGGCAAGAGGGACAATGTCCCGGCGGACGCATCTGCAATTTGTCATGCAAAATTCACTAGAGATTCGCCACGCCTCACGCTAACGCGTGTTAAAGCTCTAGCGACGACCCTTCCGCTTACCGCAAGTTGTACAACAGCCAGAAGCGGGAGGTGAACAACCGAGCAGTAGCACCACTGGCGCGCCGGCAAAGGCCTTTCGACTCCCAGAACTGCCCATGGAAGCAGCTGCAGATGTAGTAGGTGCACCAGTTGTACCCTCTTCGAGCGACGAACATGCACAAGCAGCAGGACCAGAGCAGGACGCACAAGGGCAAAGAGATGTTGAATTACAGGAGAGCGCCTCTGACCTACTCGACCAAGAGGGCAATGGGCAACATTTGGATGATCGCAGTCCAACTGCGTCATCTTCGGGCGACGACGGCGAAATGAGCAATCCCTACGGAATAAAGGAGGAACAACTGCCTGACGATAGTGGCAGTAGGAGAAAGTCGTCCATGTTGCAAGACAAGGAACGAAGACCCTCACAAGAACAGGAGCCAGCGGTGCCGGCAGGCCAAAACAACAACTCAAGCCTGGACCACTTCAACGGTACAGCACCTTTCGACGTCTTCGCTGCAGCTGAAAATAATGTCGATCCTTTCCAGACACAACAGCTGTTCCTCCCGAACAGCCAGGGCGGGGTTCATCTTTCGCAGGCTGTTCTCAACGCCAGGTCCTCGCAAGACGCAGTCGCAAATGGACTCCACGTAGCCAAAAACGCAGCAGCCTCGCAAGCCAACATCATCCCTGGAGGAAGTGGCGCAGCACAAGCAGCAGCAGCCACGACACAGTCGCAGTTTGACCCGTATTCCACACAAGTGTTCGTCGATGACAACTTTTCCCAGATGTACGACCTCGCACCTCCTGGAGTTCTTAATTCGTTAAACGATTCTGCTGTAGTTCCACCGCCCGCCTCCGCAGACCCGTTCGCAGCGGGAGGTCAATCCACACTTCTGCATCACTCTGCCGACAATTTCGGGTCGTTGTCGCCGTTGCCCGGGACCACGACGAGCCAACCCGGAGCGGGAGCTGCAGCAGCAACAAAGGATGAAGTTGATCAACCCGCAGGAGCAGGAGGTACTACTGCCACTGGACCGCAGCACCAGAACCTCCCAACTTACAACGGCCCCACCCTCGACAGTTCCCAGTTTGACCCGAGTTATCTGCAAACGCAGATGCTGTTCCTGGGCAACGACGACCCCTATTACGGTCTGGATCCCCACGCGCAAAGCACACAAATAGCGGTCACAGCGGCGCTGAATGAGACGGAGCCAGAGGAGAAGATTCACCCGGTGGATTTGGACAATATGGACCTGGAACAGCTCGGGCCGTGGAGTCGACGGATCCGGGACCGGTTTGGACGGTTCTACTGCTTTCAGGAAGACGAAGAACAGGCTGTGGACGCTGAGGATCTTCTGTTCGGTGCAAATAACCCCTCGTCATCCTCTTCAAATAAGCCGACGGTGGTTGTCCAACGGTACACGAAGCGACGGCGTCCGGCGTTTGAGTTGAAAGCGTTAGCGTTGCCCAAAGCTGCAACCGCGTCAGAAGAAAATCTGCACGAGAACAGTCTGTTGCACAACATGTCATCATCTGCAAGAAGAAGATCGGACGACGATGTCAACCTTACAGTGGAAGACCGTCCGATGGTGTCCCAAGAGCAGATGACTTCGAACTCCTTCTTCGCGAGACAGTGGAACGGCAAGATGAAACAGATCGTCGGAAAATACGCCAAAGACCTGTCGAAGGAGCTCGCTGGTGCGTCAGATACAGGACCTGTGGTTGGAGGAAAAAAAGATAAAAACGGTAGTTCCACCGTTGACGGTGTTGGAAACAACAGCAATACTATGTCCTTAGCCGACCGTCTGCGGCACAGTCACGCGAAGCACTATTTGCCCTATTTTTCCTTCACCCGCCCGGCCGAGCAGGAGTTTTTGAACACGATGAAGCGGGACAAAGAACTCTTGGAACGGATCGGCGCGACCTTCGTTTTAGACAGTAATGAAGAGTTGAAATTGATGGCGAACATGACAAAGAAGATGAACACAGCAGGACAAAGCACAGGAATAAATGCAGGGTCTGCAGCTCTATTTGGCGGTAGTACAACCTCAACCTCCAACACCACTCAATCCCTGCAACTGCTCCAGCAACCACAAATCACGCACTTAGTCCTGCCGGATGAGTATAATCCAGAAACTTCGCTGAAACCGGAAGAGGATGTGAAATTCTTGGCGTATTTGATGCAAATATCTTTACTCCCAGGAATCGTCTCCTTGAAGTATTTGAAACAAGCCGTGGAGCAGAAATTTTGGCCGGCACCGGACACTTTGCTGTTTCCGTTACCAGTGGAAGCGAGAAGGGCGATCGCGGATGCGCGCGATGACTGCAACTTCCTCGGGCGACGGTTTTCGTCGGTGTATTGCTTCCCCTCGATCCCGCAGTCGAAGCGGTTTTCTTTGTTAATCCAGGCGGCCGGAAGCAAGTACCGGGCAACCCGACCGAAGATTGTGTTTCCCAGCAATAAAGCGGGGGGAGGAGCGCCGAACAGTGGGGTTGGAGGAGGGGGAGCTATTTTGCCCGAACCCCTATTGGACGTCGAAGACGGGCTGGAAAGAACTGTCGTGGGAACAAAAATAGGCTCGGCAGTTGTGTCGGCCACGACGGCCACGACCTTGTTATCCAGTAACAAACGGCCTGCACCTTCCGGCTCCGCGACGTCAAAATTGTTGCAGAAAAACAAGCCACCCACACTGGAGGACGACCCCATCGAAGAGGTGTTCACCGAGTTAGAGGACGAGAACAACCAGGACGAGCAACAACTTGTACCAGTGAGCCAGGGAGGTCGCGCAGCAACTGGGACGAAGAGGCGGCGATTACTCGGGGCCGGGTCCTCTGGAGGTGGTCTCAACAACATTTCTGGCGCCACTCCTTTTTCGGCGCAAAACAGTAAAAAGCAGGCGAAGAATGCTGATACCCAAAAGAGCCTGTTCTGTGGGACTCAGCCCGGGGACGAAATGTTGCCGATTGTTTCCAAAGAGAACGGTGCCGAGGAGCAAGAGGATTTGATGGAAAACAACACCAAGAAGAACGCCGCGACGAAGATGGGGAAGAAAATGGTAGCCGCGGTGCCGATCAAAACAACAAACACGACCAATCTGCCGGATAGCGGCGCGAACATTCACGACGTGCTGTGGATCGGCACAAAGGACGACTACAAGGTCTTCGTCGAAGCCTACGAGAAGCAATTTAACGTGAAAATGAACACCTCTGGGATGGTGAACAGCAAGAGAAATAACCGAAACAGTTTGGGAACAGGAGGAGACCTGAACGGTAAAAACAAGCAAGATACCATCGACGCGGACCGGCTACCACCGATTTGTGATGTGAAGTTGCTCTACGACATGGCGTTCGCTTCGAAAGGGAGTCTGGCGGAGCTTATTGAAGCGCACCGCTTCTCGGTCGCCGATCTGATTCGGGCGTGAGCGATGGTGCTCCTGACTGACATTCGCTTTTGCATCGAAGAATGCAGCACAAGGAAGGACGAACTGATGCTTCAAGTAGCTTTGATGAAACAAAATGAAATATGAAAAGGATTACTACCAGTTGGAGCGGCGTGCATAGAACAAATTCACGTCATCTACTTCGGCATTCGCATTACCACAGAATAATATAGACAACGGATCTATTTCGAGTTTCGACAGAGGAGTGCTTTTGTTACCCGATTCTGCGCACGTCCCAAAGTAGCCGAACAAAATACACGAATATGAAGTTGTGCAGCCGCTTTTTGATATCGATACACGCAGATAAAAATGAAAATGGCTCAGCTCCTGACCTTTTGGTCTTGAGAAGTCCAGGAGAAAACCATGTTTGGTATTTCCGGTGTGAAGAAGATTCGCTGTAGATGTACTTGTTCGCAGTTATACCCGTTCGAGACTGCTACTGCAGCTTGACGTGACAAAGTTGGGTTTCTTCCTGTCTCGTCTGCGACCAGGTTCCATTTGCAACTGCTTCTGGCTAGGAACAAGCAGATGCAGACGCAGCTGAAGCATGAACTACGTCCTGCCATCTTACAAGTACAACACCTCATCAGGAAACAAACTCTTCCCTGTAGCAGCGACCACCTGGTCTTGTCTGCTGCTGCTGCTGCTGCTGCTTAGTTCCAAACGAGCGAGAGAGAGTGACAAACTGGTTTGAGTCGTATCATCTATTTCTATTTTCACTTGTACGCAAACGCATTACCAGATTTAGATTGTCCCAACGCACACACACGACGTCTGGGGCGCCTCTTGGCCTTTCAGAATTGCATTCAGTGTCACGATCTCTGTGTGTTGCTGACGTGCGATTGGATGAACATTAAAGAACAAAACATCCTCTTCGTTTGTTCTGTACCTTCTTGGGTTATGCTCATGTCCATTACCATGTTGATGTCTGCCATATTAGCCCACCACGTTACACCCTGTTCTTTATCGCCACCTCCGCCGAGGACAACTTGGATTGTTTGTTTGTCTTCGGCTGCTCTATGTATTTCCAACTACCTGCTCCGCGAGGAAGATTACTGCATTTGAATGCTGCGCTCGTTGTTCCATTTTCATGATCATCCCAGAATCATATTGTGCTTGCTGCACCGTACATGGCCAAACGTGATGACGCGCGCAATCTTCATCGCTACTGCTGTCTGATAAGCAGAATAAAGTACCGTTTCTCGTCACCAGCCAAAGCCGAAACGCGTCTTGCTTTGCCGCTCCTGAAACTACGAACCAGCCTGGTTTCTACCTCGTTCACCGCCGGCCCTGATTCTGGAATATTCACAGTCGACGAAAATATACCGGCGACTAACTACCTCGAGTCGCACAAAGCGAAACCAGTTCAATAAACGCACCACCGAGCGATCCCGCAGACAGCAAATTCAATATGGAAGACGAGGTCGAGTTTCTGTCTGGGTCCACCATCTGGGTTGCGGATGCGGACCTGGTTTGGGCGCCTGCCGTGGTGCTCAAACCCCACCGGCCCGGGGATCACTTCTTGCATGTAAGCACAGCGCTACTGGAATTATTCCTAGATGATTTGATGGACGCGTCTCGTCTAATATCACCCTTGATACAGAAGTACTACATGTTGTCACTCTATTCATCCGCAATTATGCAACAAGAATTTTTAAGGAATGCAGCATTTTCTTCACATGTCCTTTATTCTTAGGTGCAGCTCGCCAACACGGGCCAATATCAGCAGCACAGCCCTTACCAGAAGTCCTCCGCTCCATCGAGCACGTCCAGATTGGTCGACCTGCGCAAAGAGGAGGTTTTTCTGCGGAATGAGCAAAGTCACGAGGTGCACACCAGTGCCAGCTCTTCTTCGAGTACAGTGGTACAGCCGCCGCACCAATCGAGCCCGGCACCGCACCACAGCCCAGCCGCGGCTGCTGGACCAGCGGGTAGTATTGTAAAGGAAAAAATGCTCGTACCCACGTACAGCGCAAAGCGGAGCGGGCTGGGCATCAAAGTTCGGGGGCAAAAACGCACTATCACCGACATTCGTGTCGCCGCCGCAGCGCTGTCCCCGAGCGTGTCGTCGCCGTCGACTGGAGCTTCGCCACCAGCCTCGGGAGGAACTGGTACTGAGACTAGTGTGTGGCTCCACGACTTTCAACATCTTTTACTACATGCAAGCATATGAGATCTGGTTACAGTGGGTGCTGTGTGCTTGCAGATCTTGATCTTGTTGGCTACAGATTGCTGTAATAAACATCAACTTTTGATGCCGATAAGATCTTCATGTAGGTCTCTGTCCTTCGCCCACGCCCGGAAAGAGCAAGATCCACAAGTTGAGCACCTACCACGGAACGCCCTCTCCGCCCCCACTTCTCCAGAACAACAGCATCTCAGGCAAACTGAACACGCGCGCAACGCCCAACAGCATCACGAGAAAGTCTCCAACCATGATGAAGACCCCGCAAAGACGCTCGGTGACTGGCGGTGGGAGCTCAGGGTCCTCTTCGCGGGTGCTATCGTCGTCCGGGACAACTGGTATCTCATCTGCCGCCGCTGCTGCTGCCGCCCGGAATAAGGAAAACACGCCGACAAGATCCCCTGGCCTGAACAATGCGAACGCGATAGTACCACCACCTCCACCCTCTTCGCTGCAGAAACACCACAAAACCTCGCCCTCCTGGGCCGCAGCTGCGGCAGCAACGCGGAAACGAAATCAAGAGCTGTACGGTGGTAATCATGTGTTGAAACAGACAAACGGAAACGCGCCAGTCTCCAAGGGAGGTGCGGGTTCTCTTACTGAGCCGCACGACGCCGCATCGCCAATAGCGCACCAGCAGCACTCTGTAGTGTTGACTACAACCAAAAGCGGCAGTACGCCGAATAGTAGAACAAGCAGACGCAAAAATCCAAAGCAGGAGTGGGACGACGACTTGTGTCATTTGATTTGCCTCCACGAGCCAGCCATTCTCCACTCTCTGCAAGAAAGATTTTACCGCGACACGATTTACACCGCAACGGGGCCGATTTTGATCGCCGTGAATCCGTTCAAGGTAGTACTAGTGCGCTTTCGCTTTAGTTCTAGCAACCGAGGTCAGACACGACCAAGTTTGCAATGAATGTTCCCCACGCGTTTGTTCTTTTCCTTCTGATGTAAGCATGAAGTGGTCTTTTGTTTTTCTATAAATGCAAAACAAAAATCAGACGCTGCACGGACTTTACGAGCTCTCTTCCTGGGAAGACCATGGCAGAAGGCCGCACGTGTTCACCACTGCCAACGTGGCCTACGAGCAGCTCTGTCAAACGGAAAAGTCGCAGACGATCTTGATCTCTGGCGAGTCCGGCGCGGGCAAGACTGAATCAACGAAATTTGTGATGCGGTTCCTCGCCGAGAAAGGCCACCACGTGCAGCAAGATGGGAAAAAAGACAACACGCCATCATCTACAACTCTCTGCAAGAAGATGAATGAGAACGACGTGGAGCGAGCAGTCCTGCAGTCGAACCCGTTGCTGGAGGCTTTTGGGAACGCGAAAACGTTGAGGAACCACAACAGCTCGCGGTTTGGGAAGTTTATCGAACTGCAATTTGAAGATGTCGATGTTTCAGTCGCTGAGGAAGCAGGTGGTGGTGTTCCTCCCACGAAGAAAGGGGCTCAAAAAACGCTCGTCGGCGCCCGCATTCAAACCTATCTCCTCGAGAAGATCCGTGTGACGGATCAGCAGGACGGCGAGCGCAGCTTTCACATCTTCTACCAACTTCGCGCCGCTGCGGCTGCTGCAGCGAAAACGATTGCAGTAGAGACGGCTAAGAACGGGCGAAATGACATCGAGTCTGAAATAGCTATAGCCGCGGAAAATCAAGAAAAGGACGTGGCCTTGTTCACCAGCATAATTGAGCAAACTGATGCGGACCCGAGCCAAGAACCAAAATCCAAATCGGCCTCAACGGTAGAAGAACCTTCAGGTACCTGCTCCGGTCTTGCGGGTGGTCGTGAACCAAACGATAAACAACCAGAGGATGCGCATCCTGACCCCGAGTCGTGCACAACTTCCGCGGCAGAAGCGACTGCTAGGACGTCAACGAGTGATGAAGTTGAAAAAGCGGCGCCAGAACTTCCAGCGGCAACAGCGGCGAGTACGGGCGGCACAGAAGCGGCGAATGCACAAGACCAAGACGCCCAAATAACAGCAATCGTTACAAACCCAAGTTCTCCCTCGCATACCATGGTCGTAAACGGTGTGCAGGTCGGTACCAGCGCGGCCACATCGTCGACTGCGCCATTTGTTTTGCCAAATTGTCACCAGGACAACAAGGAATCGACTCAACAAACGCAGACTGCACCGGCCTGCGGTGCTAGTTCCAACAACTCCAACACACCGTCCTGGCTCGATCTCAGTTTGTTTTGTCCGGCCGCGTATGGCTTTGGCAGAACAGCTCCGTCCGGCAGCTCTGAGAGTGCAGCGGGATCGGGACCTGCTGCGATAACCACTTCCACCACGTCGACATCTTCCCCCCCTTCTTCCGACGCAGAAGGGTTTGCGGAGACCGTTGCCGCAATGGCCGCCGTTGGAATGGACGACAGTGCTAGGAACAAAACGATGTTTGAAATTCTCGCCGCCGTCATGCACCTGTCCCGCCTGGAATTTGAGGTGATATCGAAGCCGGGGGGAGGGGTAAATACTGTTTCAGGTGGTGGTGCTACTGCGTCTTCATCTTCTCCGCCGGAAAAGGCTGGAAAGCCCCGGAGATCCTCCACTTCCTCCACGTCGCGTCCAGGATCAGGAAGCAAAGCGGCTCTTGCAGGAGCGGAAGCAAGTGTAGATGTCGAAAACAACTCCCAGCACACGACCTCCGATCAACAACCAACGGCCCGGTCTTCGCAACACGAGATCGACTTGGTTCGAATCAAAGAACAATGCCAGCCGGAATTGCAGCTCATCCAGAAGCTGCTCGGTGTGGATAACCTCGAGGAGGTGTTGTGTCACAAATCCATCGAGTGCCGAGGGGAGTTGGTGAAGAGCCACTTGAGACTCGCCCAGGTTCGCGACAACCGGGACGCGATTGCGAGGCACTTGTACGGGCTAATTTTCAATGATCTGGTGTCGCAGGCGAATCGCAAATGCGCTGCGGTGGGGGCGGGGAGTGGAGATTTTCGAAATGGTGACGACATCAACTTTTCGTCCGCCAGGAGCAGCGTACAAGCGAAGCAGCGAGAGTTATTGCAGCACGACAGCAGCAGCCTGCGTCACAACTACAACAACAGCAGTACTTCTGGCGGAGGTAGGAACAAGCACTATCCTTTCTGCGGCGTGCTTGACATTTTTGGGTTCGAGTGTTTCCGGAGAAACAGCTTCGAGCAGCTATGGATGTGTCAGGATTGAAATCGACAAAGTTGAAATAACTTGTCATGCATGAAATGGATGAAAGTTGTAACCCAGTTTCCAAGTGGCGCATGACAAATTTGGGTAGAGCCGAAATCCAGTTTGTCATGCTGTTTGGGTAAGGCAGACGCCTTTTGTCATGCTACTTCAGCAGCTCAGTTTCTACCCCTCAACAGGCTTACAATCTGCCTCCCTTTCCTACTCAGCAAGACACGCACTTTGTGGCTTGCATTTTATGCATCACAAACTATTTCAACTTTGACGATTTCAATCCTGACACTCCCATAGCAGCTTTGTATCAATTATGCGAACGAGCGGCTTCAGGTATCCTGTGCAAAAGTATCGTACTCGTATAAATGCACTACAAATTTTCTCAGCAATTTGTAATGCGCATTTACCTAACGAAAAAGATTTGTAATGCATGACTGCAATTACTACGAGCGCGATACCTTTGCAGTTCATATCAGCAGTTTTTCAACAACTTCGTTTTTTTACTCGAAGAAACGCTCTACCGAAAGGAAAACGTGGTCTGGCATCCGCTGAACTTCCCGGATAACAGTCTCTCGGTCGAACTGTTGCAGGAGAAGCACACCGGGATCTTGTCCGTCCTCGACGAAGAATGCATCATCGTGGCCGGCACCGACCAGGCGTTCGTGAACAAACTCGTGAAGCTGCACAACATATCAAAAGGAAAAATCCCCCCTCCCCATATCGAAAACGACATTTGTGATGCTGTATTTGAGTACACAAGTCGACTTGTAATGCCAGAAAGCCAAGAGCCGCAGTTGTGGCCTCGTTTGTAGGCAATTTGTCATGCTGTTTCCCACTTCCAGTTGCTCTCTGTCATGCTGAAGGCGCAAGGCTTTCCCACGCCAGCCAGCACTACACTCGGCACGTCTTTCGTTCTAGCATGACAGAGCTGATTTGTGACCACAAATCTGCATCACAATTTTCCGTTTTGATATGGGGAGGGGGGATTTTCCTTCTTGATACAACAACAAAAACGAGAAATTCGAAGCGGTGAAACTCGACCGAGCGGCCTTCCAGGTGAAGCACTTTGCGGGCAGTGTGAAATACCACTCGGACAAATTTCTGGACAAGAACAAAGATCAATTATCCGCCGATGTCCTGGCCAGCATGAAAACGAGCAAAAACGACTACTTATCCCAGCTGTTCAAAGCCGATCCGAAATACCAAGAGCACATCCCCGGGCGGAAGCGGAAAACGAGGACGATCGGGGCGGAGTTTCAGAGCCAGCTGCAGCAACTGTTAGAAAAAATTGAGACCACCGATCCACACTTCATTCGGTGTATCAAAAGCAACCCGGGCAACAGGCCCGGCTTGTTTGACCGAAAATTGGTAACGGAGCAACTGCGGTACAGCGGGGTCATTCAAGTCGTGCAGATCTCTCGGAGCGGTTACCCGGTAAGGATTTTACATCGCGACTTGTGGGCGGACTACCGGTGCGTGGTGCCCTTTCTCCAGAGAAATCCGGAGCTGTTGGCGGCGCCGGGAGTGGTCGCGAAGAGGAGTTGTACTAGCAACGGGGCGACTGTTATGAACTGCAAAAGCATCGTACTAGTATGAATTGCATTACAAATTTCCTCAGCGTGAGAAATGGGATATGTAATGCTGATTGACCTTAGGAAAAAGTAACGCATGTACAGCAATTACTACGAGTGCGATACTTTTGCACAGAATAACTGTTCACCAAGGGCAGTTGCTGCGGAAGATGACAACGAGACTGCTTGAGTAAACTGTTCTTGATCGTAGTTGTCGTGTCTTGGTCCATAGTCAATTTTTCAAGTCTAATCAGCACTACCATCTACGAGCGTGCAGCCAAAGCCCTTCTAACTTCAAAATCAAAATTTGGTTGCTTGTTCACATGCAAACTGTACAACTCTCCACATTTCAGGCTGATGAGCGCTTCCTGCAAGATTCCTTTCAAGGATCCGCTCCACCCGCAGACCGCGAGTTTCCAGATCGGCAAGACGCTCGTTTTTTTCAAGAAGGCTGCCTTCGCGAAACTGCACCAAGCCCGACTGGCCCGCCGGTCCACCGCCGCAACACAAGTGCAGGCCTTTTTCCGCATGGCAGTGGTGAAACTCCGCTTTTTGCGGACGAAGTGGAAGTTGGTGCGCATCCAAGCGGTGTTTCGCGGTTTCGCAGCACGAAGGAGGTACGCGATTGCCCTGAAGCGGTACCGGGCGGCCAGGACGATTCAAGCAATTGTTCGGATGACGATCGTGCGCGGGGCCTACCTGTACTTGATCAAAAAGTCCGCACCGCTAATCCAGCGGTGCGTCCGGGGGATGCTGGCGCGAAATCGAGCGAGAAAGTTGTGGAAGGAGAAGTACAGAAAACCCATTCTAGCCGCGACTGGTTCGTCTTCCACTTCATCTGGCGCTCATCAAAAGCAATTCCATCGCAGCACGACACTTACCACCACTCCCTTCCGGGCCTCGCACTCCATTCTGCGAGCCAAAGTGTCACTGCGCCCGTCGGCAATGGTCAGCTCCAGCATAGCCGGATTTCGTGCCTCCGCACCGTATTGGCTATATTTCCATTTCGTCCATGAGCGATATAGTTTCTTCCATATGTTTGAAATTGAACAAGTCTGCACGATTTTAATGAATCGGGGCAAGCAGAAGTTAGTTGTATCAATCTCGAAAAACTTCACAGCCCTGGAACAAACACCAGTTCCCCTGCCGAGCCCATGATTCGTGCGGGCCAGCGCGCGGTGCGCGAAATGCGAACCTCAGTCGAAACCATCTTGTCCGAGCAGATGGCTCAAACCAGCACTACGCCCGTCATGGGAAGCAGCAGCACGGGTCCTCTCGTGAACCGGAGCTCGCCGAAGCCGAGGGCGTTGTCCATAACACGGAGGTAAAGGAGTGCGATTTTGTGGGGTCGTGTAGTTTGAGTTTCCTGTCGCATGAAAGTCAACTGTTGCCGTCTTGCATGATGAACGCAGCCATGCTAATGATTGAAAGAATTGCACAAAAAAAACCTTAGCTTCGTCCCGCATCCTGCTCGAGGAGGCGCTGCTCGAGTCAGCGCCGGACCCCCGCCACAGTCTACCTCCTCCTCGAGTACCGCTGTGGTTGTCGAGTCTCCCTTCACGATGGCTCGCAACGCGCGGAGGTGTACAACTACGACTCCCACCGGCGCGACGCGGCCTCTTCAAAACGGCCTCGTACCACTTCCGAGAACTCCCGGGGTAGGGGGAGGTGCAGCTGTAGTGAAAATTGGGGGAAGTAGTGGCACTTGCACTTCTGCGAGCGGCGTTGTTGTACAACCAGGAGGTGTTTCTACTTCTAGCGCTGCTGGGACGGCCCACGGAAACGGAATCGCTGTTCAAAATACAGGCGTATACCAGAACAATGGAACAACCACGACAACGACACAGCTCCTCACTCCGAGTAAAATCACGATGGTGAACGCCGGCACCACAACCGCAGCAGCTTCTGTTGCAACTATTTCTGCGGAAGGTACTGACAAGCTGTCCGCGCGCGGCGATCCCAGAGGACAACTGCCCTCAAGTCGCCAAGAACTTTTACACAGTGACCATACCACGACGACCTTGGCTGCAAACTCTTCCTCAAAAAACCTCGCAAATACCGTAACACTCCAGTCCCCCGAGGTCGGTTACCGCCCACTGCAAAGTGCGAGCATGGTATCTCTGGGTCCAGCCACGCAGGGTGCAGCTGGCAGGGTGAGTGCATCCGGAGGCGATACTAGTAGCACCACGACTGGCTTTAATATTGCGGGGGCAGCTGCTCCGACGAGCAGCGCTACCGCTGCAAATGCTGGGACCACGACGGGCTTTGGAGTAACAACTCGCATGCAGGCCAGAAATAACTTTTTCAACCCTCTTTCCCGTGGTTCGGGTGTTCAGCGAGCCGGGCGGGTACAACTGCCCAAGTGTTCCACAAGCCAGCCCCAGGTGGTGGTCAGCACGACTGAGGAGGGAAGTGAAGGAAGGAAGTGAAAGACCACGCGAAGGACACTGCAGGCAAACTGAAACTGCGGACAAAAACAAAACGCATGTCATCTACAACTAGCGACAACCCTTTATTTGTGTACCAAATACTTTCTCACCTTCTCGTTCTTGTTGCAGCCCCTTCTTTTTGTTCGTCCTCCTACTACCGGGACATACAGGCCGTCTACACGACTATCCGTGGCACCGGTACCACTTCTGTTTTCCTCGCTTCCTTCTGAGCGCCTTCTACACTAGTGTCTACTTCTATCTCTTCACGTCCTCTGTCTGCAAAGCTCGATAGGATCATGAAGTGTTGGTGATGCTGATGACTCAAACTTGTGCAAGACTCCTCAGCAAAAAAAGCATTTTTTGACGTAACCAGTAGTACAAAATATTATATTGTCACGACGCGTCGAGATGAAAGTACGCGCTTGACTTCGGATGCAAGCTGCGGCGCAACAAGCGCATCATGATTATAGATTTATCAGATGTATTATGCCCAAAGTTGGTGATTGAAGTTCGATCATACGTTCTTGCCGTCGCGTCGGTTTTTTCGTATTCGCATGTGGTGCTCGTGTCGTCCTTGGTCAAGCTCCGTCTTCAGGCCATTCTTGTTCGTTGCGCTTCGTCTTGTTGTCGCAAGTGGATTTCGTTTCCGTCGGTTCTTATTTCCAATAATGCCAATCAACATACGAACAAGCTATATGGTAAGTCAGTGCAATTTCGTATGATCGGTTTCATCGTTCACACTGTTGCAATACGTCGTTCGAATAAGTCCGCGCTTTGTGCCCGACCACACACGTACAATGTAATCGTCACATTCGTTCTTATCATGTGTGTGTTATTTCGTTGTTGTTTGCGTACATGTAAATACGAAACAATGCACAATCACAAACGCATCACCACAAAAAAAAATACTCTACAGCTAAACTTCTTAGCAACCCCAACAAATTTTCTAGAAATTCTTCTTTAATAGCGTTAGGGATTCGCAACTGCATTATGTCTGTGTGGTGTGTTTCAATCTTGAAGAAAAGCTAGACATTCATCTTTCCCCTATTTTAGCGCTTGTTTAAATCTAAGAAGCTGCCTCTACCGGTACTGATTAGGACCCCTGATCGGACGTAGAGTAGCTAGGTAATTTGTGCTCGTTTTTCAACAGTCGAAAAAACTTTTTACCCATAAGATTTTAATTTTCTCATCCTATCAAGAAAAATCCCCCATCAAAACATGAAATCCATTTCCAGGATGATGAGTTTTCCTTTTTCCCTCTCGGCGCTCTTTCAACTCTTGTTCACCACCAGCCTGTACGCTCTTGTTGGCGCTTACGGTCTTCAAGTGCAGAAGCGGCACAGCGAGGTCACCCGGTCGGTCATTCGAAATAGGCCAAAGAAGACTACATCAAAGAAGACACGAGGGGGCAGCGGCAAACATGCAAATTCGGATTCGATTGCTGATGCTGGTGCACGACAAACAATACAAGTGCAAGATGAAGCAGACGCGGACCACCTGCACAGCAGGGTGGCTGCGCCTAGCGCCAGTTTGGAAGTGGCACACGGCACGACTGGAGAACCTCCGCATGCTGCGCCACATCAACCCACGGGCCATCTTTCCGAGGTTCAAGATGTGCAATTTGACGATGTTGACGAGGATCATTACAACGATCACGACGCACAGGACCTTGAAGAGCCTGAACAGGATCAGCAGACCATCGACGTGGATGTGGATCAGGCAGCTACACGACTGTCCAGACACGACGATCCTGCAGATGAACAAGTGCTCTCCACTTTCATCGCGCTCGCTCTCGGCGAAGAAGCAAAGACCGCTTTTGCCCGCACTACCGCAAAAATGACCGCCGCTGACGGGGACGTCTGCTTCATGATCATCGGTGGCATTGCCGGTGCCGTTTTGCTCATTGCGGGCATCATCGTCGGCTGTTGGTGCTACTTTTCCCGAGAAAACAAGCGAAAGACCGAATCAATGAAGCGAAAGGAAGCCAAACCCAAGCAGCCGCCCCCGGTTGACGCCGCTCCCGCGTACCAGAAACTGCTCGATACGTATAAGTTCAACGAGGAGGACGCCCGGGTTTTGTCCGAAAAGCTCGCAGACCCGAATGTGGACGGCTCGGAAGAAGTGCCGCAAGAGCAGGTAGATCTGATTCGCAAATACGCGGGAGGAAGGAGAGGATCTGGGGAGGAACTACCCGAAGGAGGAGGAGGTGCTCGTACGACTACTTCACTCCAGCAAGGAGCAGATGCGGCTGCATCTCCTGCACATGTGGTTGCTGCTGCCACTGGCGACGAACAAGTTCTTCAAGCGCAACAAGTAGATCAGGACCAAGAACAACCCGAAGTCACAACCGCCACGACAGCGCGAGCCTCCGCCGCAGAACAGGAGCAGCCCGGGACGGGTGAGCAACCCGCGCTGAGGAAAAGTTCCGCACGTGACGTTGCAGTTGCTCCTACAGGTGGTCCGGTTTTTTCGTCATCTGCCGCTGGTGCAACTACCAAGAGGACTTCTACATCCGCGACCGCTCCAGCGCAGCCCGCTTTGGAGGTTCTTAGTACACCGCAAAACAGCTTCTCAGCCGAAGGAAATAAGTTGATCAACACGATTGGTTCCATCCGTGCATTTCTCGCGACGCAGGAAAAAATTCTATCCAGTGCAAAAGTATCGTACTAGTATAAATCGCATTACAAATCACCTCAGCATTACAAATCAAATCTGTAATGCTGTTTCACCTTAGGAGAGAGATTTGTCATGCATAACAGCAATTACTACGAGTACGATACTTTTGCAATGCATAAATTCCCACGAAATACGAGGTGTACCTGCAGATTTTTCGCAAATTGTTTGCGAAAACCATGCACGAGTTCCCGGAACTGTTTCCGGATTTGTTGGAGGAAACCGCGGTTTTGCAGCTAGAAGACGCGAAGAAGAACCCCGTGGCCCGCACCATGGACTACAACGTCGTGAATTCCGTTGTGCGAGCCGCGTCGATGCGAAACCGCCTCAGTCTGGAAAGCAAGCAAAACAAATCTGCGGGCAGCAACAAGGGTGAGGCAGCTCTACTTGCGGAGGAAAACGAAAAGGAAATGAATTTTGCGAACAATAATTCTAGTTCCGCTGCTCTTCTTCTGAGCAACAAGCAAGAGAAGCGCATGAACTTGAATCTTGCGGCGAAGAGAATCGAGGCGCAGGCGCAGCTGGTCGCGGACGCTTTGGCGGATGCAAATTTACAAGCGGGAGACGCTTTACCCGTCGAGGTCTTCGCCCCCTTGCAGATCTACGGCTTCGAAAGCACCGACACGCTGTCTTACGCGCGCTGCTGGGTCGAAACGGGCACGCAGTCGCCGGACGCGGCCGCGAAGCGGATGAGTTTGAGCAACGGCGAGCGGTTCGCGTCCGCGGTAGCCACGGACTTGGTTCCGCGGGAAGTGCACAAGCTGATTCCTTCGAAGAACCTGGTTTTGCACATGCTGAAGAAGCGGCTCAAAATGAATCTTACTGGTACACAGCAAGGACAAACTAATACTAGCGCTCATAAGAACCTCGATGAAGTCCTGTTCGGTTTGGAGCGTCCCAACGCGGACCAGCATTTGGGTCTCCTTAAGCCACTCTGGACCACCCCGGCGGGGGAGGAGGATTCCAACAAAAGCAAGGCGAAGAAGAGTGGGGATGATGAAACGAAATCCGACGGCGCCGGTGGGTCTAACAACCCTAATGGCTCCGCCGTCCCCCTCGCGTTCCTTCACACCGTGGAACGGGAGGAGCTTTCCCCTGAATTATTGCAGCTCCTCTTACCCTTCGGGTTCCAGAGCAACGACAGTGTGCAACGAGTGCAGCACTGGATCTTCCACGGGTGTATTACCCCCGTGGACGACCTGCCGCCCCGCGCGCACTACTGCGCGACAAGGCTAATGAAAACCCTCGGGAAGGACGGCGAGCGAGAGTTTTTCAACATGTCAGTGGACCACGGGACGAGTTCGTCGACCTCCTTCGAGAGCCCTTTAGTGGGTTCCGAGCAGATGATCACGCAAGCGTTTTTCGAACCCCAGGAACTCGAACTCCGTGGCGCGTCGCACAACACGGACGACGTGCAGCAATTGATCGGCACGGGCGCGCTGTTGGAAAACGCCGTGCAGATTCACAAACTGCAGGACCAGCCCGCGGAGTTGCTCTTTTTCAACCAATTGGTCCAAAATTGCGGCTTCGATCCCATCACGGACAACCAGCTCGGCTTTGTTCGTGAGTGGATCTGGGCGGGCAGTCCGTTGATTGCGAACGAAGTCCCGCTGCGGGTGCACCGGTTGCGGAAAATTCTGCTGGAAAACTCGATTTTGGACCAAGAGAAGTGCTTTGTCATTGCGGATGTCGTGGCCCACCCGGATAAATACGATCCGATGATCACGTTGAAGGAATTACTCCGCGCGTTAGAACAGTATCAAATGTAAAAGTGTCTGGGTCTGGAAGATTCTGAGACTTGTCATGCATGTTTTGCATTGGGATTGGCCATGATGTCTGTGATGCATGCCCTAGCATCACAGATTTTTTGAGGGCTTCGCGATGCCTATTCCGCATGACAAATGCCCTCTCCGCGCAGCAAAAATTGCATTCCCTTTGCTGCTCATGCAATACAGATTTTTTTGGAATCCAAAAGCATCACAAGTTGCATTCTTCCAGACCCAGACATTTTTACATTTGATAAACAGGTAAAGGAAGCGAAAGAGAAGCCGAAGAACTCCCGCTCCTCCGAAGCGACGTTTGGGCGCACGAGCAAGGCTTCGACTGTATCCAATAAGTCTGGGCAGACCAACACCAACACCAACACCGCGCCCTTCACGCAGAACAGCACGGAGAAGCTGGCGATCCACGGTCTGATGTCGGCCTACGGGTTCCGGGAGGAGGATGACATTCTGAAGATCCGGCGGTGGGTGATCTTGCATTGTCCGAAGAATGTGGTGCAGTTGATCCCCAACCTTTCCCAAGCCGCGGAGCACTTGGAGAAGAATTGCGGGTTAAAGCCCCGCCACGCGGTCAATGTCGCGAACATTGCCGCGAACAAGGCGATTCCAGAAGAGAAAACGCTGGGGTCTGTGGTTTTAGAAAAGGAGGATCAGCTCGGGATTTTGCTGGACATTCTGGAACCCTTCGGCTTTGACTGCGACACGGACACGGTTGGGAATCTCCGCGCGTGGATCAACTATGACTGCCCGGACCGGCTTTCCGAAGTGGGGAAGTTAATTGAGAAACAAAAGGAGCGGAACGCGGTTCTCGGAATCATGGAAGTTGACATGGCGGGTGGACCACTGTTTATGCAGAGTGTTGTTGAGAAGCCGGTCATTGCCGAGCAGCAATTCTGGTGGAGCTGGTGGAACCGGCTGACGAAAGGAAGAGCTTCGAAGGACCTTTCTCGCACGAGCAATAAAGTGTTAGACCCGACGTCGCTCCCCGAGCGCGCGGTTCTGGTCAAGCACCTGCGGTCCGGCGGGGTGGCGAAGCCGTACGCGAAAAAACTGGCCGACGCGGTCACGGATCCGACGTGTAGCATGCCCCGCACGGAAATCATTCCTTCGACGGGACCGGAGAAGATGGGTGTATTGCAGAAATCGTTCGGCTTGCACATGGGCGACAGCATCGCGAAGGCGCGGAGTGTTCTCTTCGACAGTCTGAGCAAAAACCCGAACGGGCTGGGCCAAGCGGGCTCGCGGTCGAAGATGTTGGAGCGGGAGTTTGGATCCCCCGTGCCGGGTGCGTTACAGGAGAAGCAGCGCGACATTTACAAGGACGTTTTACATGACGCCGGCAGCACGCTCGAGTACAGCACCGTTGTGGCCGACGCCTTGGTCATCAGCAAACGGGGTGGGGCCGCCCTTGACGGCACGAAGCATCTACCCGCCCCGTTGGACCAGGGGGACGCGATCGTGCTGAGCCTGCGGCTGGGCATTGACCCAGCCACGGACACCATCGCTTCGGCCAGGACGAAAATCGAGGCGATCGTGAAGGCGCAGGAAACCGACCACGAGGAGAGCGACGACAGCAGTAGGTCAAAGAACACGACGTCGCGCGCGAGTGCCGCGATGGCCACGCAGGCGACGGAATACGAGGACATTTTGAAGTCTGGTGGCGGACCGCCGCACGTGAACAAGACGATCATGATTAAATCGATGATTTTGCAAGAGGCGAAGAAGCTGGGGAACGAAGTGCAAATTGTCAACTCGTCGGAGGAAGAAACCGAAGAGTCAGAACTGGAAGGTGTAGGTGGCGGTTCTAAAAAGAAACTACAAATGGAGACCCACATCAGTGGCCGCACCGAGGGACCCTCGCGGCGGGACGTCGCAACAATCGGGCTCAAGATGTCGGCCCCGGGCTCGGTGGGCGAGCTCCACGAATCTGCGCCGGCGCCCCTGGGCGACCCTGCGTTGCTGGCCAAGTTGTTCATCAACGTGGGGTTAGACCCGGACTTTGCGCTCGGGTTATCAAAACTTCTAGTCGACCCCAACGTGAGCCGGAAGCGGCAGCTGAACGCAGATTTGAGTTGGCAGGACAATGAGGTGCTCAACGCCATGGGGTTTGGCTCCGTCGAGAAAAAAACCGTCGGCGCGTTTCGCGACTGGGTCAACCGCGCGACCGCAGGGGCTTTCTCGACGACGCAGCTGGCCAGCGCCAAGGACGTGGACGGGTACGCGCGCGAGATGCTGATCTTGGTCGGATTCTCGCCGGAGTACGCGAAGAGATTGGGCAAGCAGTGCGAAAGTAAAAGTGTCACTGACGACGCCGAGCTAACCCCTCCGGGCGGGAAAAAAACCGGGGATTTGATGCGGTTTGCGCAACTGGGGCTCCTCCTTTCCCCCGAAGAGGCGGTCAAGCAGCATGGAAGCAAGCGGAAGAAGGAGCTCCGCGCGGCGTTGGATGCTAGTGAGCAGACCGCAGCAGAAAAGCACAAGATCAAGGCCAACGTGAAAGCCAAGGGCGACCTGTTTTGGCTCAAGGCCCGCACCCGGACGAAGAATCTGGAAAACGAGCGCCCGCCCTCGATTGTGAAGATGAGCATGGCCACGGTCAAACGCAAAACCCTCCCCGCGGACGTGGTTCTCCACCTCCTCCCCACGGTCGGCCGCATCCGCGCCTTCGTGTTCGACCTGCACGAGCTACCCGCACTGGCGCAAATGGCAGAACTCCCTCTACCGGAGCACGACGAAGCGTTGTTCATCCTGCAGAAGCGCGGGTTCAGCGCGGAATACGCACAGCAACTCGCCGAGCAGTTGGTCGAGGCCCCGGTGGAAACCGTCCCGGACTCGGACCCGATTCCCGAGCCCCGCGGCGCCGACCGGTCCGCGCTGGAAGCGCTGGGTCTCGGTCCCACCGCGAACTGCGGGCTGTTGCGCGGGTTTCTGGCCGCCGCGGAGATGCCGTGTCGCATGCTCGGGATGCAAAAAGCGCCGGACGAAGACATCGTGGCTTCGGGTGGAGGTGCGGGGGGACCTGCGGTTAATAACAACCAGGGGACGTCGATCTTCGGGACCTTTGCGGGTGCGATCCTCGGCACGAGCACGACCGAACAGCAAGTCCAGTCGCTCCCCCCCAGCCAGCAACCACTGTCTTCCTTTCGGCCCAGCTCCACGCACGAAAGCCGGCACAGCTCCACCCACATCACGGGTATGTTTGGATCGGAAGCACTATCGGGAGCAGGGAAGAAAACGCAGACCGTCCTCATTACCGAAGAACAACAAAAACAGCACACAGCAAGCGTGAATTTATTGCAAGAAGCTGGAGCACCAGCCCTGCAATCGCTGTACCAGCACACGGAGTTGAAAGAGCAAACGGCCAGTGCCCGGTCGATGAAGAAGGCAGAAATCTCGCATGTGGAAGTCGAGCAAATTTTGACCGAAGATTTAGGCGCGACGGTGAAATACGCGTCCGGGTTGGCCACGCAGATTTTGGACGACACGGTTCACCCCGACACACAGATTGTCACTCCTCCACCCAACAACTTCCCTCTCTCCTTCTCAAAAGACCAGGCTGCCCAGCAGGCGTACGACCTTAAGGGCGAGAAGGAGTGCGTGGGGAAATTACGAACTTTACTTCATGCACTGGTCCAGGTGCGGAGGTTGGCCCAGATTCGGATCGACAAGAATCTGGAGATTAGTGACATGAGCGGGGACGAGGAGCAGCAAATGTCTCCCGCTGCGGCGAAGACTTCGCAGCGGAAGACGAAGGCTTCGGCTGCTTTTGTCGAGGACGATTACCCGGTAGCTGCGGCAGCAAATGCCTACGACGCGGAAGTCGCCACGCGGACCACGACTCCATTTACGACGGACGGGACAGCTGCGCTGGCCGAGTACCAGCAGATTCAGTACCGTCTGCCCCGGCAGGACGGGGCGGACTTGGAGTGCTCCCGCGCAGAAGTCCTCGCCATTTTACTAAACATGGGCTTCACCCGCGTGTACAGCGAGGTAGTCATGCGGCAGCTACTATCAACTGCAAATATGTCTGGGTCTGGAAAGAATGGGATTTGTGATGCTAGTTGTTGACCACACAAAAATCTGTATTGCAAGAGAGGCAAAAGACACTCAGACTGCTGCCACCCGGAGTGGGCATTTCTCATGCAGTACAGGCATGAACAAACCTTTGCGAAAGCTGCGATGCTAGAGCATGCATCACAGGTATCGCGAGCCATGTACAATTTGCATGACAAACTCCCCAAATCTTCCAGACCCAGACATATCTGCAATGCATAGCTGCTCAGTCCCATGGTGCCGGAGTCCGCGGTCTTGGCCCCGGTGCCGGTTTGGGACAGTCAAAACATCTTCGCTCTGTATCCTGCGTAAAAACGTCCCCACCCCAGAGTTGTCATGCAAATCTGCACGCTGAAGATGTTTCTCATGCGGAGCCCCATGAGAAGCATTTTTCAGTCGTGTTTTGGAATTTGTCATGCTCCAATCAGCATGATGTAGTAGATCTGCGATGCTGCTGAGCTAGCTCAAACAGCACTACAATACAAGTCTAAATTTGTCATGCAAAACAGCCAAAACTTGTGGATTTGTCTAGCCGAGTCCCCATCTTGACTATGGGGCAGGGACGTTTTTACAAAGGATACTCTGTTCCCCAAACCTATCAACCACGTGGGAAAAATGCGCGCGTTTGTGCAGTCCTGGTGGCGCGCGCCCTGCGCGGTCGGGGACTTCCGCGGGTTCGACGACCAAAATCCCTACTTTTTGATCCGGATTTTCACGACGTTAGGGCTGTCGGACGTGATAAGCCAGCACCTCGTCCAGTTACTGAGGTCGACCTACGAGTACCAACAGTTGCAGTTCGACAACAACAATGCGCATCATCAATACGGCGGTGGTGCGGGACTCACCGTCCAGAAGTCGATGCACGTTTTTAAACCCCGCGGGATGGATTTTCATTGCTTGAAGCAGATCAACGCGTTGTTGCTACAGGACTTACACAAACCTGACAAGATCCGGTTGGAGCAATTAGGCTTCCGCTATCTAGTCCCCATCGCCGTGCGGAAGTTGTGCGCGTGGGTGGGAAAATTCTGTTTGGCGGTTAATTTCGGGCACAAGAAGTTTTCCGAGAAAATGCTCTCCAAGCACCAAAACGCCGTGTCCACCCAGGGTGCGGCGATCCTACTCAACCAGGCTTGCGGGTTACCTTACAACGGCGTGGCCGAAGTGGTTGCGGTGTGGCTGTACCAGCAAAATGCTACGTCGGGAGAAGTGGGTGGTGGGGAAAGGAAAAGCCGAGTTTCAACCCGGAAGAGCAAAGCTGCGGGAGGTGTTGCGCAACCTTCTCCAGAGGTAGATCCTGTTGCTGCAGAAGAAGCTCAAGCTGATGCCAGAATGACGTTTTCGAAGGATGCTCCGGGACAAGGTGAGGAAGTTGCCGGTCAAGGTGAAACGGCTGCTACATCCCCGACCCGGCCATCAACGGCAGCGGCTGGTGGTGCTGTGGAACCACGGACGTCGAGGAGCTCTACTTCTAGGAAAACGAGCAAGAAGTCTACTGCGGGAGCAACAGCTCCTCTTGCTGCCGCTTCTTTTGCTGCGGCGCAACAAACGCAGCCTGAGGGCGAGGCAGACACCGTCGCGATCCAGGAAGGGGGCGAGACTGCAACTGCTGCCGCAAGAGCATCGAGTGCGCGGAAGAGCAAGAAGTCACAGCTTGCTCAGGACACTGAAAGGCAAACCGGTATGTTCGCTCAGGACGACGGAGAAACTGTTGTGGCACCAGCACAGGAAATAATAGAAGCTGGCGCTATTGACCACGAGCAGGCCGTCCCGGTAGAGCCAACAGCACAGACAATGCCGCCACAAGAAATAACCGCCAAACCCGCACAACTAAAGCACGACCGTCGGTCGGTGCTCCGGAGCAAATCGAACCAGAAGTACGTGAGCATGCTGAAGCAGCTGCTTGCGACGAATCGCGCGGACATGGACACTGCAGCCGTGCACCCCGGGAATGTCGACGCCTTTATGGACTCTTTACTCCTGGAAAGCATCCCCTGGAACGCGGAGGAAGCCGCGGAAACCGTGGAAAAACTCTCGGCGATTGTCGGTCAAGAGAGCCTACTGCTCTCCCCCGCGGCCGGCGGCAGTTTTCCTGGGCAGCAGCAGCAAAATATTAAGTCCTTACTCGCGGCGACTCTGTACAGAAACGCGTGTGAAAAACCGAGCTTCTCGGCGCTGGACTTGTACGTGGATCTGCTCAATCTTGCCGCGGGTGGACTACACAAGGTTAATAACTCCTCGCCAGATGATGTGGTTGATCAGCAGAGCTTGTTGAACAACAATTCCACGCAGGAATTAGTACGCGTACAGCAAGAGAAAGACGCGCTCCACGCGGTATTGCGCCGGGAGAAGACCGCCTCGGTTGGACCCCACTATTTCGTCGATTTTTCCGTATTGGTTTCGCTTCTGGATCACAAAGCAGCAAGTCCCACAACTCTGTCCTCGAAATTATCCTCCCAGCAGCCCGCCTCGCAGGCCACCGGTGCCTCCACGTTGGTGTCCAATGTAACCGAAATGGAAGAGGAGAAAGCCGCGGAGTCGCAACAAAAAAAGTGCAAAGCCTACGCTGCGGACTTGGCGCGACTGGAAGAGCAGGTTCTTTGCCGGCCTAGTATCGGGTTGACGTTTCGAAGATTTCTCCGCGAGGAATTTTTCGGCGGGAAAAACAAGACCGCGCTGGAAGATTTGCAGGTGTTTTATCAATTTTTGAGCGACAGCATGCCGGTTCGGTACACGAAGTTGACATCGTTAGGACTCCCTGGCGCGACGACTTTAGCGGCGGAAGAAGCAGCTGCTGGGCTCGGTACTCCGAGCGCAGCTGCCGCTCCGACGTCGACGGATTTGGCAGCCGCGGCCAAAGTGGACCCACGGAACACACTGACCACGAAAAACTTCTCCGTCATGCCTCTCCCCGGGGAGAAATTATCGGAAACGATGCGGAACACCACTGATAACAAGACCAGTCAAATGTTGACCACCGGCGGGAACACGGGCACAACGCCCGGAGCTAATGTTGCGGGTGAGGGCGAAGCGTCCATTGTGCTGGAAGAAGGTGTTGGCGGAGATGAACAACGGGGACAAACCACTTCCAAAACATCTTCGAAAAAGAGCGTGACAGGAGGAGCTCGACAATCCGAACAAGTAGTATCGGGAAGTAAGAAAGTTAAAGTATCAGGGACAAGACTTACCGGGGCCGCCGCGAGCACTTCTCAGAGTAAGAAACTGTCTTCTAAAATCGGCGGTCTCCCTGATCCAGAGTTGTTCGGATCCGTGGCGCCACCTCCAGGAGGCGACGCAGCAGCCACTGCAACCGCAGACGGCCAGGAACAGGAACAAGAACCTCAGCAGCCCGATTATGTTAACGACGAGACCGCAGCGCTGCTGGCCACAGGCGCTAGTACAGGCGTTCTTGCAGCCGGTGAGCAAGTAGATATGATGAGTCGCGCCGGTGATGTCCCAAGCCCTACGATCGTTGACCTGCAGAATTTCGCTTCCCGAAAAAGAACCCAGGAATTCGAAATGGAACGGGAAACCAAAACGACCCCCAAGCAGCAACGGTCTGGTGCCGAGTTCACGTTACAGGCGTTGCGGACCAGGTTTTACGCAAAACTGGAGCAGATTTGGAAGCAGCTCGCGTTGCAGATGAGTAAAATTTCCCCTACTAGCTTCAAATCCGCTTTGCCAAAATCGCAATATCCTGCGTCGCTGCTCCGGCAGACGAGCTTCGAGCAAAGGATGAATAACACGAGAAACAGCGAGTTTTATTTTTTGACTAGGAGGCAAAAATGCTCTGTCGCGGAAGTCGCCGAAGTTTTGCAGATGAAAGAAGTGGAAGAGGGAAGCGGTTGGGCAACCGGATTATATCCTCCCGTAGCGGCCCCCGCACAACAACTTCTCGTTTCCCCGGAAGGCGAGGCTGGTTCGATCGTGATTCAGGAGGGTGGCGAAGGAGGTGCTGTCGTGGAAGGAGCTGCAGCTTCTGTTCGCAGAACGAGCAAAAAATCGAAAGGACAGTCGGTCCAAGTGCAACAACCACCTCCGGTGTTGACAAATGATGCAGCAACTTCGACGACCGGCATGGGACCCATTGCTCAATCTGCAACCGGTGTTACAGCAGAAGCTAAGACATCAAGAGCTTCTGCCAGAAACACCGCGGCCAGAGGACCCGCTTCTTTGGCATTTGGTCTTGCAGGTTCCCCAGACAACGAACAACCCGGAAATAAAATCAGTGCTTTTGCTAGCAGTCCAGGAGCTGCAGCTGCGCCGGTTGCCGTTGCGCCAGTTTCTAGTCCCGCTCTGCACCAAGCTCGCGAACTTTTGTTCTCGCCGCAACAGGCCGACAATACCAGTTCCGAACAATCCCGTGGCAGCGAAACCGCAATAAACCTCCGCAACTGGTTCGCACAGCAGGAAAAAGATCTTTTGTCCTCGCGCGAGAAGACTCTCACGTGGCCGCACCTCTTCTTCATCGACCACCTGGATGGCAACGCAAATTTGATTCCGAAAGATGCGTTGGCTCCAGAGGAGAAACCGGGGAACTGCGCAGCGTGTTGCAGTTTCTGCTGCATCAGAAGGGCGCGGAAACAGAAGGAAGAGACGCGAAGGGGGGTACTCCGGACGATCATCGACGAGTTGAAATACAAATTTGATCGGGATCAGCCGGCGCAGTAAGTAGAGGTCGTGGAAGCGCCAAAAAACTCCTCACTGCGTCGAAACCAAAGACGGCAGGGGAAACGCACATTTTTTAGTTAACTTTGTTTATTTCACACGTAGTATAACACTCCAATTGCAATTCCAATTCCATTATATTTTACAACTTACTTTTTATTCAACACGGTAAAACTTTAACTTGAATATCACGCAAAATCCAAATCAAAACATGTTAGGCAGTTTGTTATTTTCCGTTTACAGTCACGTTTTCTTTCTCATCAAACTTAAATTTTCCATGTATTGTTCTACACACACGAAGCAGAAGAAGAAGAACAAAACCACAGGCAGTAAAATATTTTTTTTATCATTTACACATCTATGAGATTCTACTTTTGCGGCCCATTTCATTTTACTGTGAATCACAATCCTAAACACGTTTTTACTTAACTTTTGTCACACACACCATTAGCAATGCGAATACTTAGCAACTTCACATCACCCTCCCTGAATTAGCGAGCGATCCGCCTTTCGGCCATTTCTATTCACAAAATTCAAGCACCAAACACAAAGCATTAATTTTTCAATTTTCAACCAAAATCTCAAGTTCCTAATTAAGACCAAGAGTGCAAAGCCCACCGATCTAGAAAATGAAGAAAAAAATCCAAAGTCCAAGCAAACCCTAACATGATTAACATCATTTTCATAATTCTAATTCTTTACAACCTCAACCGCGCTTGCTCTTTGTGACGAGCTCCAGGCTCACAGAGAAAAGTCATGGATTTCACCGTGGCATATTTGTTCGTTCGATCGTTGGTTCGAGGCAATGAATGATATGAAATATCTTTCTCGATGGATATTGATTGAATTTTTCTCGAAATTCAAAATTTTTATGGTCTGGAAATGCAAAAATTCCAAGAATCAATGAATATTCTTTCATGATCATGGATTCAGAATCAGAAATCCACAGATAGAATAATTAATTTTATCGTGTGATTGTGAGGATTGATATTGGAGTCCAGGATATGGATTGATGAAGAGGTGTAAATAAGAATATTTTTGCAAGTTCTTTCATGATGTTTCCTTTGGGATTTCATTTTTCAATTATGATATATAGAAAAACAAATCGGAAAAAGATTATTTTGTGGAAATTTGAAAAAAGATCTTTAATTTGTAGAGGGAAAATCTTTTATAGTTTCATCATATTATTTCCGAAATTTTGTTGTTGAGTTCTTTGATTTCAATTTTTTGGAATAATTTATTTTGAAAATATATGAAAACTGAAAAAAAAAGAATCGGAATTTTCAGAGTGGAAATCTCTCTTTCATAGGATAATTTCATCAGATTATTTTCTAAATTTATTTTGTTTGATTCCGATCGTTTTTTGAAATAATTTTGAAAATATGGTTGGAATCATGTCCTCAAAAAAAAAAAAAATAAGTTTTTCCTTCAATGTCAATTATAATCTAATCCTTACTTTCTATTTTGAAATACCAAAATTTTTCAAAAGATTTTTGATTCAGAATTCCATTTCTTTTGCTTTTAGAATTATTTCTCGATATCATTACATTTTGAAAAATTTCATGGATGATCGAAAATCGACGATATGAATATGAAATCCCATTGAATTGAAATGAATTTGAATCATCAATTTTATCAAATTTAGATGTAGATGATTCATATAAATAACAAATCGAATGTCATTCAATGATGCTCTAGATTCAACCAATGTAGGATTTCGACGATAATTTTTTTTTTCGGAATCTCAGATTTGATCATCCAGAGAAATTTTTGAGAAAGAAAAATATTTTTATTCCAGGGTCTGAATCTTCAAGAATTTCATCATATTCAATTGATTGAAGATTTTGTATCTCGATACATCACAAAACTCAACATCAAGAATGTCTCATCAATCATATGCATGGAATGGAAAATCGATACAATTTTGATGTGTTGTGTTCTAACAATAAATTAAAATTCCATGATCACCCTGCATTGCCATTGGAATCACGGAGGATAGGACAGACACAGAGTCACGCATCAACAAACATGAATGTTGTGTTTGAGTTGGTATGGAAATCAATGAAACAGAAACTCGTGCCATGGATTTCCATGCAAAAAAACGGATTCACGAATTAAGCATCGTGTGTCAAGGAAAGCATTGCATTGATGTAAAGTCAGAGTGTGCATTTTGAAACGCTTGGAAATAGGTGGAAACGGAAACTAGACGAACGAGCGGTATCAAATCATAATTTTCATCATAGATGAAGGTGGAAACGCGCAGCAAAAAAAGTTCGCGCGTTAAAAAAGTAATGAAAAAAACAATGCGAGTGCAAGCTTCTTTGATAGCCTTAAAACAAGAAGTAAATTGAACTCACAACCGTATGTCGATGCATGTAATACCCCGAGGAGCATGGTGCATTTTCTTTTGAGATGAACAGGACCGGATCGCCGTCTCATCTAACAGCAATCAACTCAAATTACAAAAAATTGAATCGGTGAACTAGGTACTTAGAAACATAAAGCTGAGGTGTGTGAAATACTACGCCGCCACTGTCGCGGCAGTCGAGTGCTTCTATTTCCACTTTTTGAGCGACAAGGGGCGCACGACGCCGTTGAGGACGAACCGCGAGCCGAGGTGGGACACGAAAAAGCAGACACTGGGGAGGAAGATTAAAAAGTACCCGAAGTACATGCAGAACTGCTCCAGCTTGTGCGCGGCGGTGTCCAGCTCACTGGGATGCCAGAAATACCCCGTGAGCACGGCGCCGGCAAGACCCGCGCCACTTAGCTGCCACAGGATTGGGCTGCTTTTCACCGGGTGCGCAAACACCGCACCGGAGACCAGGGTCCAAAAACTGGACCACAGCGCCACCATGTATCATATGTAAAAAAGACGTCCCCACCCCAGAGTCAAGTTGGGAACTTAGCAACACAAATCCAGAAGCTTTGGGAGCCACGCGTGACAAGTTGCAGTCCGTACTGTGGTGCATCTGCATGTTAGAAAGGACAACCACATCACAAATCCATCAGCTTATCCTGTTTACAGCATTACAAATTCCAAAACGCGATTGGAAATGCCTTTCATGCTCATGGAGATGCGCATTACAAATCTTCCTGTGATCGGCAATCTGCATGACAACTATGGGGTGGGGACGTTTTTACTCAGGATACCATGCCCATCCAAATCACCACCGTCACCAGTATTTCGGACAAAGTCCGCTCCGGCACGGTGAGAACCAGGAACAGCTCGTGCTTCAAGACTGCTTCGTACAAGGCCACACTGTAGCCGCTCAGCACCGCAGCGTGGACAGCCGCGAAGAGAATTTGCTTTTTCGCCGGCAGCGGTGTAATATTGGTGCTGGACGAAGTAGTAGATGATGTACCGTCAAAAGTAGATACTCCACCGTGCGGCGACGTGGAGAGCAGTCTCGCGGCCGAGTTCGATGTATTGTTCATCCGGCGATAGTTGTGCAGGTGCCTCCCCGCCGCATCTGGAGCAACAAACAGCTGGCTGAGGAGGGAGAAGAAGCTGTAGCTGGTTCTGCCGTTCGTGGTCTTATTCGACGTAGAAACGCCATCCACTTTTGAAGAAGATGTTCCACAGTCCCCAACGAGGAAACCGCATCGCGCCCCGCAGCCGAGCGCGAAGCCAACTGAACTCGCGGCGAACAGGCCGACCCAGGCGCCCGTGTTCAGGAAGAGCCCGAACGTCACGAGTTGCAGCACACAACGGCCGACGGCGAACAGCAGGAAGTCAACCAGAATCAACGAGTGATCTTCTGGAAGATCATGCGGAGACGAGCCTTGTGTTCCCCCGGCTGCAGCAGCGGCGTTGTTGTCGTTGCTGTTCTTTTCTACTAGATTTATTTCCGGAAATGCCGAAAGCTCCTGCGGACGGTTGTTCGGGAGGTGCTTCTTGTGCTCTCCTGCTGTCGATTTATTTTTCGACGAAATTTCTCGCGAGAACGGCATGACCCCGGCAACGCCAGCTTGATGTTCTGGTAGCTGCGCAGATAGCGGCTGTTGTACGAAAAAGTCGTTTGTGCGTTTCTCCTTGTTTTTCAGCTTCTGCGTGGCCAGCTTGGCTTCTGTAAACAAAGCGCCAGAAACACACCCCGCAAAAAGGATCGACAACACAAACGCGGACTGGTCCGATATCAATTCGGAAGAAGTAGAGTTTTGTTCCGAGTTGAAGTTATCTGATGATCCGCTCGCGTAGTAGTTGCCCCGCACGAGAAAGAACTCCAGCAAAACGAAGGACACAAACAGCGTCACCACTTCCGCGCCCAGAACCACTGCCAGATGGGAAACCCCGAGCACGAGCTGCAAGAACGGCGCGCTGGATTGGTTGCTCACACCAGCCCGCAGAACTGGATCCTCGAGCAACGGGTCGCTGGTCCCCATGGCCAGGAACTGCTTCTGCAGCCAACGCAGCAGCCCGGGGTGCGATTCCAAGTGCCGAAACTCGTTGCCAAAGGTTTGCTCCTCAAAGAGGTCAACGTCGTCCAAACCGCGGTTGATGATCAAAAACAGGCAGAACGTGAACAGCAGCGGGAGAAACAAAAAGCTCGGGTGCACGGAAAACTCGAACTCCATCCCGGAGGGCGGGATAGAAGCGCGGTGGAAATCCTCCGCCTTCCTCGGCAGCCAGAAAACGGAATGGCGGAAGGTCAGGTGGGTGTGCACGCTGACGAGTTGCAGGTCGTTCACCTCCACCATCGCATCCAGCACTTTCCGGGAGTCCGGGTCAAAGTAGAACACGAAGGCCTTGTGCGTGTAGATCCAGTGCGAGGGCTTTAACGGATCCTGGAGGCCCAGCCGAAAGTCGTTCGGAAGATCCTGCGTATCGTCCGAGTTGTGTTCGCGCATGAACTGCTTGAACTGAGAGAGGTCCTTATCCTGTGTAAAAATGTCCGAACCCCAGAGTTGTCATGCAGATTTGCAATGACAGGAACACTTGTAATGCGCTTCCACATGCCACGCATTTCCAATCGTGGTTTGGCATTTGGTATGTCGCAAACAGGATAAGCAGATGGATTTGTGATGCGGATGTCCTTGCGAACATGCACTACGCTGCGGACTGCAACTTGAACTTGTCACGCGTGGCTCCCAAAGCTTCTGCATTTGTGTTGCTAAGTTCCCAACGTGACTATGGGGTGGGGACGTTTTTACATATGATAGTCCTCCAGTTTCACGCCAAGAAAGTGGTCCATGTGGAGACGGGAAATCAACTTGTGGTCCTCGTCATCTGCGACGTGCTGCTGGGCGGCCCTCGTGCTGTTCATGCTGTTGGCCAGAAACCGAACGTAATACTCGTAGTCGATCAACAACTCCAAGGCCTTCACTTCTTCGCCGTTCAGTCGCTGCGTGCAAACCTCCTGGGAGGTCACGTTCAGGCCGATGAGAAGCTGAAACTTCTCGGGCGCGGTCAGCAGCTCGCTGTCACACAAACCGATTTGCTGGTAGTGGAAGTTGTCGGTGATGGGGGTGTATCAAATGTAAAAATGTCTGGGTCTGGAAGATTGCCAGGTTTGTCATGCAGGTTTTCCATGACCCATGAAGCCTGGAATGCAGGACCTAGCATGACGGATTCTGTGCGATCTCTTTCATGCCTATCCTGCATGAGAAACTCCCTCTCGACTTGGTCAAAACTGGACGACTTTTGGTCATCATGCAACACAGATTTTTGCATGCTTCAGATTTAGCATGACAAGTTGCATTCTTCCAGACCCAGACATTTTTACATTTGATAGGGTGAGCGGGCGGACTACGTCCGGCTCGATATGAATCACGTCACCCTGGTATCCTGAGTAAAAACGTACCCACACCAGAGTTGTCATGCAAATCTGCAGGCTTAAAATGTTTCTCATGCGGAGCCCCATGAGAAGCATTTTCTAATGGTGTTTTGAAATTTGTCATGCTCCAATCAGCATGAGAGACTAGATCTGTAATGCTGCTGAACTAGCTCAAACAGCACTACACTACGCGTCCGAATTTGTCATGCGAAACAGCCAAAGCTTGTGGATTTGTCTAGCCGATTCCCCAACTTGACTATGGGGTGGGTAGGTTTTTACATAGGATACCTGGACATAGCCCGCAACTCCGGAGGTAAGAGATGTAGTAGTTGTAGTACACAGCAGGAGCGCGGCGCGCCAGGACGTTGATGACCAACACCAAGCGGCAATGAGTCGTAATAAGAACGACCCGCGAACGCATACTGGCAGCAGCTGCGACGGCGGAGTTCTCGTCGTGGACCGCATGCTCATGTTGCTACAGAGGAAGAGCAGAGGTGGACGATACAGACACACAGAAATGGATCTGCAATTAACACACAGAAGGTACTATGTTTGTATTAATGTCACTAGAAATCTTCGTCAATAACAATAATTCATGTGGTTGGAGTTTGTAGTGATGAGTTTAAAATGCAATTCCAATTTTTCGTTGAACAGGAAACAAATACCAAATCGTGCCACTCTGAATTATCCGGTTTAGGTCATTTTTGAATCCCACGGGTTTTTGGAAAGGAATCTTTTGTGTTTGAAATCGTGACTCAGACTCGCTCACACACACACAGACACGACTTTTGGTTATTCCTGGATTCAACAACTCAGACAGCCAGAAGAACGAGGCCGAACAGAACCAGAAGCGAAAAGATAAACAGAAAGGCTCGTTCTCCAGTGGGTGTTGTAAAAACACCCCTTTGCAAGAATCTGCTGCTGAGAGTATGATCTTGATGAGTCATACCATGTACGTTACCCGTCGTCCTTCCATTTTACAGCTTCCACACCATGGTGAAACTTGAACTTCAGCTTCACGAATTATGTCGGGCCATCGTAAAAACAGCACGTAAAAACATCATCAAACTCAGTCACATTCGTGTTCACTCTGTCACTGGTACTGTGGCAGACCAATTGGCATTGCCAGCGCTATTTGTGACCTCAAAAAAACAACTCAACGGTATTGAAAACGAAAAGATGAAAAGATGACGAAAAGTTGGATTTGGAAACTCAAATTATTTGCGTTGTATTTCCACCTAACCCAAGGCTTTGTTGGAGGTGGCTTCCTCGTTGGAGGTCCTGTGCATCGTATTGTGTTCTTGAACGAAGAAGTTGTACAGGTAGAGTATTTTTGGTATGGAAACTTGTTTATGCAATCTTCCTTAAAATTTCCTCCGACATCAAAGCCGGGATGATAGACCTGATATCTACTTATGCAGCAGACTGTGACTGGCCGGCGACACAGAGCTGTGGAGGGCCCTCACCTCCGACGTGAAATCGATCACATCAAAATTTTATCATCATTGGTGGGCCTGAGCGTTGTTTGCTGGACCGCCAACGCCAGGCTGTGGCTGCTGTTGTTGTCCCCCTTGGCCGCCCCCCGTATTTACATTGCCCTGGATGGCGGGTGGGCCCGCCGAGGTCAGCCCTGTAAAGGAAAACCCTTGATGTTGATGCTGCCCCGCTTGCTGTTGATTCAGAGTTGTCATGTTAACACCTGCTCCGGCGCCCACTTGACTAGGTCCCCGCGGCTGGGGCTGAAAACCGGCGTTGTTGGTCATATTCATGTTCTGTTGCTGCTGGGCGTTGTTCATGTTGCCACCACCGGTGGTTGTGCCATCGAGTTGGAATGGTTGCAGTTGCATCGGTTGCTGCTGCTGTAGGAGCTGTTGTGGCAGCTGCTGCATTCCACCAAGCTGCTGGCTCGCCGCACCTTGCTGTGTACTAGCACCAACAACCGGCTGCTGGCCCCCAACTCCACCAACGTTTGAAACTTGCGTCAGAAACTGCTGCATCTGCAATAGCTGCTCCATGGACATCTGTTGCATGTTATTGTTTGCAGTACCAGCTGCACCCCCACCCCCGCCGCCCGTATTTAGCATTATCGAAAGATTTTGGTTTTGCTGCTGCTGCTGCTGCGCACCCCCTGCTAGAGGAGGCAGCATGTTCAGCTGCTGCGTGTTCGGAGGACCCCCTCCTGCTCCGGGAGGTTGTTGTAGTTGCCCACCTGGTGGACCTCCTTGTCCTTGCGCCGGACCTCCTGCCGTAGAAGTAGTTGCAGCACCAGCAGCGCCGCCGCCGGTTGCGGCATCCAGGTTTAGTGGCTGCACTAACAGCTGCTGGAGGTTCAGCACCGGGGCTTGCTGCTGCTGTTGCGGTTGTTGTGGTCCACCAGCACCGGAAGTATACTGCTGTTGTTGTTGACCAGAAGCTTGATGTTGACCTGGGTTGATACCACCTCCTCCTAGCGGTAGTTGTTGTGGTCCTCCAACCCCCCCGGTAGGTGGTGCAGCGTTGTTTTCCATGATGGTGCCGAGTGGTTGCTGCTGGAGTTGAAGTCCCATGTGAAACGGCTGCTGTCCTGCTCCGCCAACGACTAATCCGGCAAGCGCATTACCCGTGGGGTTCAGCAATCCGGGCAGTCCTACACTACCCGTGTGCTGCTGGAGAATTATTTGCAGCACTGCGGGGTTTACGTGATCGCCCTTCTCGCCCAGCGCGCGACTCACCAGGGGGCCCGCTTTGTCCATGGGCACCCACTGGTTGTTGGCAGCGGTCATCTGATATTTTCTATATGATCCTCCATGATAGATTTATTGCGAGGAACCCAAAGTTTCTTGCCTCACTGCGACTGGAAGTAGCTTTGTCTTTGACTTTGAAACGCAAAAAAATAAGTTTACCTCAGTGCCACCCCCAGAACTTTTCCGCAGTGTCTTGAACAAATCTGCTACACCAGTGTCAGTCCGCGTCACGTTTCGGAACGAGGAGAACTCGTATTCGATATCAGACGTATTCTGCGAACGCGGGGACGTGGAAGGCCTGAATGTTTTTTGTTTTTTCCTTTTGCTAAGCTAGATGAAGGTAAGTATCTATCGTTTTACATTTACCTTCATGAAGACAAGATGGCGCAAAAATCTCGCAGAAGTGATGAAGTACAAGTAGCTCGTGGCAGCACCCTCACACTAAGGTCAGGTGTTTGCTACAAGCACGAGATGAAACTGCAAGAGCTTCAGTAAACAAGCCCACTCTGTTTTTGTAAAGTACTTTCCTTGATGTTTCGCGCTCCCGGGAGGTCCTCCAGAAGACGAGGAGGAGGGTTGATTTCCACCTTGCCGCCACGATGTCTTATCGTTGCCTTTCGCAAAGAAAGTGGCGGCTGCTCCGCCGAGGGCGCCGGGAAAGGAATTCCCTCCGCCCGGAATGGAGGGATTGGTGGGTTCCAGATTGAGCGCATTGATGTTTCGCACCCCTCCGCCAGGCAAGACTTGCTGCTGCGCCGGGCCGGCCTGCTGGTTCGAAAACTTGCTGTGTTGCGACTGTTGAGAACCTGATTTTCAATTATCGGGGTGTATCTTGATGGGACGAGTTTCTATTTCTTATATGACACATACACACATCGGACTCGAAGAAATAAGTGCGTCATTATTTGTCTCATCGAGCTTCTCCACCTGCTGAAGTTTTGCACAAAGCACGAAAAGGACTTCTAGTTCTACCCTTGCCACCCGGATCCCCGGCCTTCCCGCCCTTCTTGTTTTTGTGGGTCGGTCCTCCCGTACTAGCAGCGCCTCCACCTCCTTCTGTAAAGTTATTGTATGCGCCGGTGGTCGAATATTGGTCGGTAGTGCCGTCGCCGTGGTAATTGGTTGTATCGCCGAAATTCACATTTTTGCTACCGCTTGATTTGCTATTTTTGTTGCTCGTGGCCTTCTTATTTTTCCCACCAGCGCCTCCTGCTTCTTTATTGTCTTTTCCACCGCCCCACGCGGATGTTGTACTATTCCCTTGGTCAGCACCTCCGCCAGATGGTTTGTTTTTGTTTTTCCCGCCCTGTTTACTTGGCGCTGATCCACCGTGCTCGATTCTATTTTGATGGTAGTTGTAGTAGCCTTCACCCTCGGGTTGGGGTTCATGCGGTGAAGTTGCACCAGCAGGAGCTCCCTCGCCCAGTACCTGCTCGTCATTCTCCTGTGCATGCGACAGCTCGCCTCCTGCATCGGCTCCTTCGGCTTCGCCTTTGGAGCTGGAGGGTTTCTTCTCAACAACATCTTTTGGTTTTGCTTCGCCTACGACAGGCGAATGTGCAGAATTCCTCTCAACCGCAGCCTCTTGATCCTGTACTGCGTCGGCCGAGGGGGCGGTAGCGATGTCCTCGTCCTTCGCCTTTTCTTCCATGCTGGTCTTTTCTACGCCTTTTGATACCGGACCACCTGGTTGGGAAGGAAGCTTCAGTTGTTTGGACTTCTTCTTGCTTTCTTCTTTCTTCGCAGCTCCTGTGCCTGCCTTTGCTGGTTGCACTATGATCTTTTGCGCGTTTATTTGGCTAGTACCGTTTTGCTGATGCGGGTTCAAAATATTCTGAACTTTGTTTATCTTCTTGCTGGCCGTACTCTGCGGCTGGTGCTGCTCAGCACCTCTTTTATTCTTGCGTTGTTTTAGTTTCCCCTGTCGTCGTGTCCCCTTTTTATCCAGAGCAACTGGATTCAGCGTCTCGAAGGCCAATAAGTCGCGAAGGTGGAGTAGCAAAGTCTCCGGATGTGGTGCGGGACCCGGAGTTGTCGTGGAACTTCTCCTACCTGCACTACTGTTCGACGGAGTTGTTGTACTGCCTATTGCCAAGTTGAGCGGGGGTGGGAACAACTCCTCCTCCGTCGACGTGGTATGCTTATTGATCGGATTTGTCAAGGTCGTCAGCAAAAGCGAATTATCTCGCGGGTTCCACGCAGTGAGTAACCCTTCGTACGTGATATGGCTTTTCAACAGGACGCGAACCTCACTGCCCAACACCGCAGTCATGGCCCAAGCGTGATGATCTTTCTGCTGCTCGACCAGACTGTTGACAGGAGAGGGCTTGCTGAAAAACATGATTTAATATTTTGCGGGAGAAGTCGTAGTCTGCGACGTGTTGGGCCACAGATGAAGATGATGGGAAGATGAACTTCAAGTCGGTTGTTGAAGATGTGCACCTCGTGGTTTTTACTTGATTTTCTGCTGGATTTAGATTTTCCACATGAAGATGAATAGTTTTGCGCTGGGACAACTGGTTACGACGAAACAACTGGAACAAGTAGACCTGAGTAGATGATGTTGAAACTGAAGAAACGTGGCCAAGAAGATGCGCTGTTGATGATGATGTTTTCCCGTTGAAACTCCCCGCGGGCTGACAGTCGGAGGTCTCCACGTTGGAATGAGGTCGATGTTGTCCCCGAGTAGCCACGAGTTGGAGACGAGCAAGAGATGCTGGAAGATAAGCAGGATTACGACGCCGTTTTTTACGTTGCTGTTTCGATTGCTCCAAGGGTGTAAGAATGTGTCTGGCCATCTTTGTCTTTCTGAGGGTAGCGTAAAAATACAATTTTCGGCTTCCTAGTTCTTTTTCTTGTTCCCCTCGCTCTCATTTGACAGTGGCATTATGTGCTATTTATTTTTGGAACTGATGTTATCCTTAACCTTATCGCGTATTCAAAAATTGTTCGGAATAATGACCCTTACGGTTCTGTTTCCGCAGAAGTTGTCTGGTGGATTTCTACAGTGAAATCTGTATCTGAGTCTAAGTCGTTCTTCTCGGAATAAGTGATTTCAACACGACTGCAAGACGAAATGGCTCAAATTCTCATCTGAACGATAACTTCTAGAACTACGGACATCAATCAAAGATGCGGCGTTCATGTTCTTTCAAAGAGGGGCCGGCAACAGCTCCTAGGGGGTAGTAGTAGGAAATGTGATGGAGGAGCTTGTTGAACAACACGACCTTCTTTATCGTTTCACAACGTGAAGGCCAAAAATCAACTCTATATGAAATTGTTGGCTGCGCCATTAATACTGATACTGACACTCAGGGTGCGTTGTTGTTTGACATTGACGGCACCACGTAAAACTTCGTCTTCGACATCATACGCGATCATCTTCGTCACCTTGGTGTTAGTTTTCGAGCTTGAAGATATGAGGGAGTAGCAGTAGAGTGCGTTTTTTCTTGTTTCCTATCCTTGCCTTGCGGAACTGAAAGTCAGAAAATGCTGTTCGAGGGCAGCTTCTCGACTTGCTACTAACAAACACCACGAACAAGATCAAAAAGTAACTGCTCATGCGCTCCTTCAGTGCACACAAATAATGCATCGTTCGACGATTCTCTCATCGGAGCAGGAGCAGGTCCTGTTCCTGAATAGGCGTGTAGATACTTAAAACGCCCCAGCAGCACGTCGCGGAGGATCTCCTCCTCTTCACCCCAACCTTGATTTCGACCTGCCCTTGGCCTTGAACGCGCCCATCTTCGACGCGGCCGTTTTGCTTTTCGATTTGCCCTATCCTGTGCAAAAGCATCGTACTTGTACTAATTGCATACATGCATTACAAATCTAGTGCCTAAGGCAAATCCGCATTACAAATTCAATTTGTAATGCTGAGCCAATTTGTATTGCAATTTATACTAGTACGTTACTTTATTTGCAGTTCATATGCCCATGGCCAGAATGGCCTGCGACGCCGCTTCCTTTTCCGCCTTCATCTTTTGCAGCCTTGCGCCCACCTCGTCCTCCGAACTCAAATCATCGTCAAACGAGCGCCGTTGCTTCGCCCCGTTTTCATCGTCATCATCGGCTGCTGCGGCGATGTCAGCCTGCGCCGCGGCGGCCTCCTGCGTAGCCTGCCGGACACCGGAGGATAGGCCTCCAAACGCGGCCGCCAGCTCGTTCTTCATGTCCGCCTGGACTTGGGGCCCTTTCGTCTTCTTCGGGCCTTGAAGGTTCGTCACCGCCTTGCTCTCCGCGACGGACGTGCCCAGCACCGCGTTCAAGCATTTCAAATTCCCAATGGCGCCCGCGTTTGCATTGCAAAAGTGTCTGGGTCTGGAAACTTGTAATGCAACGAAGGGAATATTTATATTGAGCACACTGTAATGCGCTCCCCAAGATGACAAGTTTTTCCGGGGTTCAGAGTTCCGTACTCCACATGAGAAACTGCGTTTTTGTATGGCAGACAAGAGGCCCTCTTCGCGGGCACGCAATACAGAGTTTCGAGTCATGCCAGACTAGCATGACAAATCTCGCAATCTCCCAGACCCAGACATATTTGCAGTTCATACCGCGCGCTCGTGGTGCGGGGGCAGCCGGTCCGCGGCCTCGTGCTCCAATTCCCGCCAGAACTCTTCCGCGGCCAGCGCGGCGATACTGGGCACCATGCGAACCGCCTCGTCCTTGTTTTTCGCCGCGCCCGTCTCGGTTTGCTTCTGCCGTTGCTTCTTCGCGTTCAGGGCGGAGGGGGTGTACTCCATCCGCAGGGCGTACTCGTTCTGCCACTCGGGCGCGGCCCGCGGCTCGTCGCGCGGGGCGGTGGGGTCGACATTGTTGCCACCCGCCTGGTACATGATCATGCTCTGCACGTACGCGACGCGCGACTCCTCTTGGAGCCGCTTCACCAATTTGTCTTCCGTGTTTTCCGCGGCCATCGCCTCAATGGCTTTTTGCCGCAGGTAGTCGGAGAAAGCGTCCTGTTTCTGCCCCTGCGCCTTCCGCCAGGCGTTTTCCAGCTCCTTTTGCTTTTCCTGCCGCTTGAGAAAAAGCTTCGCTCGCTTCAGCCGTCTTTTTCGTTCTAACTCAATCAGCTCCAACAAAATTCCCGTGTTCTGAAAGTGGTGGGTGTCCACGCGGGCCCACCGACCGGTCATCGGGGCCTCGACCTTGTTGTACTGTTTGTGCACCGGTGGGAGGATGCCGTGGTTCTTTTTCGCTTGCTCGAGTAACGCCTTCTCCTCCTCGAATTTATTTCGGTCGCGAACAAACTGGCACTCGTCGGGCAGCTGATCCTTTTCCTTGTAGCGACACGCGCCGGCGTCGCCCCAGGAGGCAGGCGTGTGCCGAGGCGCGTAGGTGAAAAACATTTTTGTAGTGCGGGGGAGGTGCTACCTGCACTCGTAATTATATCAGATCGAAACTACAACTAGTCCTTGTGGGGGTACTAGACAACTTCGAAGGATCATGGTAGGTTTTTTTTTTTATCAGAAGGTGGAGCTAATCGTAATCAAAGAAGATAAGGGTTCTTGCGGGGTATGAAATGCTTGAGTTGATGGTGTTTGATGCCACCTGCAGTTGTCGTGAATGTTGAAAGTGATTCTGTGGTACTATGTTAGCTGGCAAGTGGACAGCAACCATTAAACGACGAAGTAAACTGCAAAGACGAGTAGAAGAACCGAGATGACACAATGCGCTGGTGGCAGCTACCGACTTCTATTTTCTTCGTTTTTTGTTGAGCAACAGTACCGAGAGGTTGTCTCACTCTTCGAGGACCGAGAGGGAGAGCTGGGTTTGATTCAAGTTTTCCTTCATTATTCCGGACGAGACCGATTCTGAAACTTCTTTCTTGACATACGCATCTTCGACATTGAGATTGACGCACGAGAATCTATTCACCGAGACTTGTATATTACTGATTTTTTACCGAAAACGCCAAGCTGATGCGGAAAATGCATGATAGGCGGTTACAGTAGATACAAGCTTCGGTAACATTCTCCGATATAATAATTCGTCTCCACCATCCCATCTTCAGTCGTGTTATACAACCTATACATAGGCATTGGCAGCTGCGTCAGTGCTCTTTTTATTGGAGTTCGACCTTGTCACAGCTCCTCTGGCCCGCCCCGCTGAGCAGCTGCCTCCTGGCCTTCTCCGTACACCTCCGCTGGCAAGGAAACCACCACTCGTCCCGCGGTCCCGGCTGGTCTTTGCTCGATCTCCGTGTGCGCAGCTTCGGTGGCCGCCAGACCGCGGAAAGTTTTATCGGGGTCTACAACGGGTTGCAGGTGGTCGATCCAAACGGTCCGCAGCTCCTCATCCGCTTGTTTCCGGACGCCTGGGTCCGCGATGCCGACAAACCCGGTGACGGATCCCTCCGACTGCATCAGAAGACGTGCGTCAACAGAGCCCTCCGAGTGCCCCTTGTTCCCGACTACGACGACCTTCCCGTGTTTCGCGAGGAGGCGGAGATCCGAGCCGAGGTTGGCCTGCGCTTGCATTTCGAGGATCAAGTCAAACTTAGTATCTACCGGAAGGTCTGCGCGGGTGTGATCGGTCACGAAAATGTGCGGCGCAGTGCCTGTGGTGCTTTTCGATTCCTCTGTAGATGTTCCTTGCTGCGCAGCTTGCGTCGATTCGGCGTCTGCTCCAGTACTCAGTGCCTCCGCCCCCCAGAGTTTCCTCACCTGTGTCCGCAGCAATTCCCGGCCCCGTTCCGACCCGGCAGTGAAGGCCAACACCGGGCCGAGATCGAGTTTTCTCGCCATCTGCAAGACCAGCAAACCTACACCGCCACTCGCACCGTTGACGAGCAAAGACGAGGCTTTACCATATATTCTGCTTGTTCCGGGCTTAATATTTTGTGCGCCGCCTTTCTCCACCAAAGCACGCCAGGCGGCGTAGTAGGGCACACCAAAACCCGCGCCTTGTTCGAAAGTTAACCTCTCGGGAAGCGGAAACACGTCTTTTCGATTCGCGATGCAGTGGGAAGCGTAGCACCCGTTTTCAGAATTCGTTGTGAACACGCGCGCGCCGGGGTACAGCCAGGAAGCAGCTTGTTGTTGTGTTTGTTCGTGCTCGTTTTTGGAAGCTAGTGCACTTTCGGTTCCGATCTCCACCACCGTACCCGCGCAATCGCGACCCGGGGTATAGGGGAGCTTTGGTAAATTTGCGTACGCCCCGGCCCGCTGGTACGTCTCCGAAGGATTGATACCGAAGGCTCGAACTTGGATTAGGACTTGGTCCGGGTCGAGGCGAGTATTTTCGGATTGAAACAACAGCTGGTCCTTTACGACGCGGAGAACCTCTGGTTTTCCAAAGGCCGACACGCTAACGACGTCGCGGACGGAGACTAGCGATGATCCATTGGTCGCGCTCGTGAGTGGTGCTGTCGCGGTGCTGGCCGCCCGCGCAAGGACGACGCCGCCGCTGACAGCGGGCATGGCTGAGGGCAGCTTCATGATGTAGTTCAAGTTCTATATTTACCAATAGTTCGGCGTTCAGATTATGATGAAGATATCTATTTGCTCCGCCCCGTGTGAGATGTCATCTTCTTTTGATGTGCAGCAAGACGTGTCACCCTTTTAGCCACTAGCGCTACCGGAGCTGATCTTTACACATGCACTACTGTCGCGAGCATCGTGAAACAGATCACAAAGAAAGCCCGCCAAGAGGATCGTCTCGACCTCACGAAACCATACTTGGAAACGAACACCACCGCAGCCTGTGAGAATGTCCTCCGCAGGTGCGTGCCGCTTCGATGAAAGAGTCGCGCCCACCTTCATGCGGACAACTGCCAGTTCGCCGTTGGAGAATTGGCGGGATATTTCTCGAACTGCTCGTCGGAAGACCACTCGCATTCGTTTATATTTGTTTTTCAAAGATTCTTGAAAAAGTAACTTCTACGGTCTTTATTTTAACAAGAAGGTATTGACTCAACAGAAGAAAGTGCTGAAAAGTTTGTCATCTTTTCTTTCAGGTGCAAGGCTTTTTTAGCTCTTGTCACGAGAACATGATGAGTAGAAGAGACCTAATACAGACACAGTTTCAACAGATTTAGATGGTGCGTCATGTTGATTCCTGCAGCGGCAAATTCTTCTTTTCCGCAGAGGCAGATGTTATCGAAATGGAAAATAATTAACCTAGCAACTACAGCATCCGGTAAAGAAAAAAACGTTCGTCCATATTAACTACTTTTCACACTACAAAGCAAGAGCTCAGTTTGCGGGGTTCGAGTTCGGCGCTCCGTCAGAACAGGAGGTTATTTCGGACGATTCGCTGTAATTGGCGTACTGATCCCGCGCTCTTTCCCAGTGCTCCCGTGAAAATTTAGCGGAAAATTTCGCCACGTCGTCTACCGAGAAGGACGACTCTCCAGATTCCATTTTCCGCAGGTAGTTCGACAGGTACAGTGGCGACATCGCGGTCGCAAGAATCCGCAGCCCGAGCGGGTTGTCAAACGTGCAGCGGATTAGCGTCGGTAACAGGATGTGTAGTTTCTTCGGATCAAGCAGGAACACCCCGAACGGGAGCCGGGCGAGTTTTCCCAGTAGCGTCGGTTCGTTCTGGATGTCGGAGAAGGTGCTCTCGACTGCGAAAAGCGGCGCTGCTGCAGGCGTCACGGTAGATGCTGTCGTTGACCCGGCCGTCGCAGCTGCTGGCGGTGGTCCAAATTCGAACAACGATGCCGAGGCAGTAGCGGCTGCGGTAGCAGTAACTGTTCCCTTTATTGGACCCTGCTGCAGGTTGTGGTCCTTACCACTCTGAACGCTCGCAACTATCGTCGGACTGGTCCCTAAACTCTCTCCACCGCCAGCCGCCGCCGCACCGGTGTGATCGAGTACTTTCAAACCGCGACCGGAGCACATGTGTAGGATCTCTTGGTTGACCGGGTGCAATGCCGTGAAATTTCCCAGAAAGTGCACCAACTCCGAGAGCAACTCTGCTTCTTTGGATGTTGCGCCCGAGGATGATGCAGAGGACCCCGCTGTTCCTCCGCCTCCAAGCAACATGTCCATCTGATTCATCTGCTGGGGTTCTTTTTTGCTGCCGGCGTCGTCAAACTGCACTTTACAAGTGTACTCGAAAAGGAACCGCACCACGTGAAACACCTCCGCAATTTTGATCGGACTCTCCCCCAACGCGGATTGCAGAACCAGTGGTGGGATCGTGTTGAAAAGTTTGAAGAGATTGGTCGCGAGGGAGATGGAAGTCTGCGGAATGCGCTCCACGCGCGCGGCCGCCGCGTTCGGCGAGAGAAGAACCGAGGTGAGTAACGGGATACTGCCAAAAAACTCGGTCTTCTGCAGCATACTCTTGATCGGCCCGCAAGAGTTGCTGGTTGATGTCGTGTGGGCGGGAAGCTGCAATGTGGTCGATGTTGTACTGGAAGTCGTAGAAGTTGCGGATGATGTGCTAGTTGGAACAACCGCACCAGGATGAACAAACACCCCACGCACCAGCACCTGGAGCAAAATGGAAGCTCGGAGCAAAAAAGTGGTCTGCGTCTCGAAAATCTGCATCATGCTGGCGTGGCGGAAACGCGCACGAAGCCGGTTTCCCAGACCGGAGAGAAGTACTTGCTGTGCCACGAGGCCCTTGCTACTCAACAGCTTTGCCAGTTGATCTGGCGCAGCGGCTCCGTCCTGCTGTTGATCCATGATTGGTAGCGGGTTTTCTGATACATCTTGACCACTTGTTCCACCTTGTCCTAGTTGGAGCTGAGAAGGGTCAGAAGTTGATGCACCACGACCAGCCGCGGTTGTTTTTGCTTCTCCACTTTGTCCTCCAGCTGCTAATTTCAGTGCTGCTGCCGCGGCGGCGTGAATTTTCGTGTAGGACTCCGCATGTTTCCCATCGGACGACAGAATGTCCTGTTGTTGCAGACACTGGCTGAGCACGTGGAAGATTTGCGCGAGCTGCGTGCATAGAAACTGGAACCCTTCCGACCGGTGGACGGGTGGGGCGGATTTATCGGGCTTGGCCAGCCACCAATCCTCCACCAGCGCGGGCGCCACGCGTAGTCGGGGGGGACGATAGAGGTTCTGGTCATTCTCAAGTCCTGTGGTCAGCGGGTCCACTATCAACTCGTCGTCGCCGAGTGCAAATTCCAGAAACGGCACGTCTTTGTCACACACCAAACCAGGGGGCGCAGGAACTACTGCGGTAGTCGTAGCGTCCTGCTGTGCGTGTAGTAATGCACCACCGCCAATCGTCTTCCCGCTCTGTTGGTACAAACCCGGTAGCAGACTCGTGCCAGTCAATGTAGGAGACTTCGCATCGGAGGTCGTGGTGTTCAACATTGCAGTACTACCCGCTGCTCCGGGGAACAGATGTCGCGGAAGCTGTTGCAACATAGCACCAGCTCCAGTTCTGTTCGGCGACGAGGCGCTGCTTTTGCTCTTCCGGGCTGACAAATCGGCGGCGGGACCACCAGCGGAAATGGTCCCAGTATTGCCAGGTATTGCCACAGCAGCAGACGTCGTCCCGCTGTTGCGTTTCAGAGAGGAATTGCTGTGGTCCGGCGTTTTCGCTGCTTGATCGAAAGTCGCCCCGCTGGTGAGTGCAAAATAACGCGACGCGTGCTTTTCCCGGTATTCCAAGATTTCCAAAAGTTCCAGACACCGCACCGCGCACTCCACCAGCCCCTGCACACGGCCCGAGAGGAGCAAAAACACCCGCGTGGCGTTGTTCTTGCACAGTTGCGTGAACAGCTTTAACGCGACGACAATCGCAGACATAACGTTTTGGTGTATGCTGGAAGTCGCTCCTGCGGAGGTTGATGTGGTGCCAGTCGAGGACTGCTGGGACGACGACCCGGTCGTGTTTAGAAGCACCAAATGCGCCGCAAACACGTCCGGAAGCTTCATCACCATGGACGCTGCGAGTTGTGTGGCGCCGTGCTGCACCAGCACAATGTACTCGTTGGTGCTTTTGCACTTCTCCAACAGCCGCACGACGTCCTTCAAACAACCCTCCACGGTGTCCCACGCGACGGTTTCCAAGCCCTGCATGTTGTCCTGAGCGAAGCTGCTGGCGCGACCAGGTTCCGGAAACTGGTGCCAGGCACTGGAGAATGGTTTTGGTTTTCAGGTTGTGCTGATGATCTTCGATAATTCAGGATCACCCTTCATGAACATGTACATGATGCGTCGAGCTCCAACATGAACATATTCAAAACAATTTTTCATTCATATTCTTTCGCGTAGGCGGTGATCCAAAATTCAAAATCGAAAGAAAAGCAGTAAGTTGTCATGTGATGAAAGGCAGTTGTACCTGTTCGGAGCTCCTCCGGCGGTATCCTTCCCTGCAGCTGCTGGCGCCACAATCACGCACGGGTTCGCTTTCTTTTTCTCCTCCTGCGCATTCATCGCCTGTGCCAAAGCGGGCCCGCAAAGCCGTTGCAGTTCCTGTGACAACTTGGAACTGCGGGCCCGGATGCCAGTGGCCAAGGGCCGCAGGTCGATTTGGCAGAGGTCGCAGGCGACTTGCAGAGCCACTTTGTCGTCGAGGAAATAAGGTTGACTCGATGGTAACGAGGTTTTTGCTATTTGTAGTGCAGCCACTCCTGCTGCTGCAGTAGGCTCAACATCTAGACCTTTCTGATCCGCCAGGAGAGGATCAACAGCTGCAACTGTGGACGGTGCGACAACCGCCGTGGAAGAAGATGATGTAACCGAGGCGTCGAAGAACACGAAGAACGGAAGCTCGTTGTCCTTTTTCTGTTCGAGGAAAGCCTTCTCCAAAACCTCTTCGTCTGTGTCTAAGATGTTCCCGTCTGGGCCGACATTTGGTTTTTTCTTCGCTTTTTTGTTCTTTCTCTTCTTCGCTTTGGCTTTGGCTTGTTCCGTACCACCAGCCGTCACTCCGCCTTGACTCTCGATCTCCGCAGTTGCATCCTCGGGAACTTCCACTGCGGGAGACTTCTGCGATTCCAACTCGGCTTTCTGCGCAGCGGGGGTTGCAGCGACATCGGAATCGGAATCAGATGAAACCAAGTCCATCATGCCTCCGAAGGTGTTCCTGCTGGCGGCCGCCCAAGCGTTGGTATTGGACTTGTTGTTCGAGGGCTTGCTGGCAGTGGTCTTGGGCGCCGGCTTAGTTGTTGTACTCGTTGATGTAACTTCTACTACGACCGGCTTCGACGGCGCAACGGGCTCCGGCGCAGGTTTGTTGATGTCCTCTGGCTGCGTCGCACCAGGAGTTTTGATAATGTCCTGCTGCGGAACTACAGCTGTGGTCGCGGCCTTTATTTTTCCCGGATACAGCTGCTTTTTCTTCTTCCGCTGCTCCTCCGGTAGTTGTACTACCGTTGCATTTTCGCTGGGGGCATTCTCATTTGTCGCCACGCTCGCTTTACTGCTGCTGTTTGTTCCGCCTATATTAATTCCAGCGCCGGCCTTCGCGGCGGCGAGATAATTTATCGGAGGTGCTGGTGCAGCGACGTCAAGCTGCGTTGTTGTATCGCGATCGGTTGGTGAGAAAAGAAACTGCTGCTGCTGACCCTTCCCCCCTGGTCGCGTGCTCTTCCTACCTTTCCCACCAGTAGCAGAAGCTGCACCGGGGGAGGCCGCAAGATGGTTCGCAGATTTATTTATTTCGTGGTCCTTGTCCTTGCCTGCCTTGTCCGTGGTACCACCGCGGTGCCATCCCTTGTTGTTGTTCCCCCCTGGACCTACTCGAGAGGAATTTAACTTACTCGCTTCCCCGACCCCGGCTTGCTCAGGCTTGCGACCACTTGCATTATTTGCATGTTGACCGCCTTTTCGATTTTGGTTCAGCGCTGCACTTTTGCCTAAATTTTTCGCGTTGCCCCTTGCTGACGAGGCTCCTGTTGAAGAAGTAGGTCCACCCTGGTTTGTAGACGACGCATTTTTATGCGTCGCCGCCGTGGCGGCCAACAGCCGCTTCTGCATGCGCTTCTCGCTCGCTTTGGCACGGCTCCAGCCCTCTTCCAAGGGTTCGTCCGCGAAGGAGAGCGGCGGAGGCTGTGGTTGATTTGACCCCGACGTTCTTTGTGCAGCTCCTCGCAAGAGTAACTCCTCCTCGTCCGCGTCTTGGTGTGCATACAGGATCTCCTCCTCCTCTTCTTGACCACCGTCATCGCTCGACACCGTTCCCCGACCGGAGAGCCCGCCTGCTCCAGATGAAACTACAGATGTCGCACCCTGAATCGCACGGCCGGTGACGGTCAGGTCTATGGAACAACCTTCGTCCTGGAGGTTCTCATCTTCCGGGTCGTCGTCTTCGTCGTCGGGTAGTTCTTTGCCGTCCCGTGGTTCCACAGCATGTTTTTGTTTTTCGGCGTCACCTTCTTCATCTTGCCCAGCACCACCCGAGGTAGCTGCAGAGGAGGTTCTCGGGTCTCCTTGTAATAATTCCTCGTTGTTTTCCATCTCCTCGTTATCGTCCGCTCCTCCGGAGGAAATCCGCCCCGCCGCAGCCTCGCTCTCGTTGCCCGTACCAGCGGAGAGCTATCCTCCGTAAAAACATCCCCACCACAGGGTCGTCTTGCAGATTTGCAAGGACAAGAGCATTTGTAATGCGCATCCCCATGACAGGCATTTCCGTTTCCCATTGTTTTTTGGAGCTTGTAATGCTGTAAACAGGATAAGGAGACGGATTTGTTATGCAGCTTCCCGTGCTAAGCTGGAGCTGCACTACAGTACAGCCTGCAACTTCTCATGCGTGACTCCCAAAACTTCAAGGTTTGTGTTGCAGAATGCCCATCTTGACTCTGTGGTGGGGATGTTTTTACTCAGGATAAGAGCAGGGAAGTTTTCAGGCTCAGCATCTTCTTCTTCTGCTCGCGGTACTGCAAATACTGTTCTCGGGAGTGCAACACCTTCATCTTTTTGTCCTCCGCCAGCTCCTTCCGGCGCTCGCTCGCCTCGTCCGACTTTTGCTTCGACTTCTGCGCTATCCTGTGCAAAAGTATCGTACTCGTAGTAATTCCAGTCATGCATACTTATACAAATCTCCCTTTTTAGCAGGTGAGTCAGCATTACAAATTCCATTTTTTCTTTTGGGAAAATTATTTGTAATGCGATTTACACTAGTACGATACTTTTGCAATGCATATGCGCCTTGGCCTTCTTCGCGAGCAGCGCATTTTGCCGGTTCAGCGCGGCCTGCTGTTCCTTTTCGTACAACTGATCCAGCAAGGCGGACTGTTTCTCGCTCCACTCGCTTCTCCGCTTCTCGGTCGCCTTCGCAATCCTGGTTGCACTCGCCATCAATTTTTCCCGGACCGCCTGCTGGAGCGACTCCCGCTGGGCGTCGGCCTCCCGCTGCTTCTTCTGGATCAGCATCTGATTCTGCAGCTCCGCCGTGTATTCCGCGGATCCCTTTTCCACCCGCGCGATCCACTGCGCTTCCTCCGCCTTTAAATTCATCGCCCGGGCCTTCAGCAACATATGCTGTGCAAAAGTATCGTACTCGTAGAAATGCTAACGCATGACAAATTCCCTCAGCATGAGAAATAAAATTTGTCATGCGGATTTACCTTGAGATAAAATTTTGTAATGCAGGATTGCAATTACTACGAGTACGATACTTTTGCACAGGATACAACACTTCCTGCAGCGATTCCTGGTACTGCTCCTTCGCCCGGTCCATTTTTTTCCGCAAATCCGCGTGCAAACTATCACAAGAAAAAGTGTCAACGTCAACGGTTTCCACAGATTGCGGCCATGCATCACAAATGTAAGCCAATATGCATTCTAGGCATGACAAATTTTGGCAAGTTTTGTCTTTGTGATTGTGATGCAGATGCATTGCTGCATCACAAATTCCATTAACGTTAACCCTTTTTCCTGTGATACAAACTTGCCTGCTTCTCCTCGCGCCGCTGCCGCGCTTTCTCCACTTTCTCGTCGATCTCCCGCGTTTTTTGCTTTGTTTTTTGCTTTTCCTTTTCGTGCTGCTGCTGCCGTAACTCCGCGGCGCGCTGCTGCTTCCGTTCGATGTCCTCTTCTGTCAGTTGGGACGACTGGTGCGACCGGAAAGTCCGAAGTTTCCGCTCGCGCTTCATGTGACTTTGAATCAACCGCTCGACCACTTCGTTTAGCTGCTGGCCGCGGCTGGGCCCGCGCGCGACGGCGTCGCTGTTGTTAATGTTGGCGTTTCCAGCTGCAGCTAATGCGGGTCCTGCAGGAGCTCCACCGGCGCTCGTTGTGCTGTTATTCCCCGCTGCGGCTGATGCGATTTGCCGGCTCAGCGGGCTCGCAGCGTCCATGGACGTGGAAGAGCCGCCCCGGAGGCTCGAGGTGGAGGGATGCAGTACCGGCGTCGAGGTGAATCCGCTTTGCGACGGTGCCGGTTCGACTAGATTGTTCTGGTCTGCTTGAGTTGTCTGTGCCTCCCCCGTCGTTGTCACAGGCTCCGCGGTCCCTTTCTGGTTTGCTTGCGGAACCGCCGCGGCTGTAGAAACAACTGCAACAGCACCACCTGCACTAGGACCATTTTGGCTAGTATTTTTCGCACCAGCGCGAAAATTGTTCGACATGCCGAACTCATCTTCCGTCGTATCATCATCGGTCCGCATGTCCGCCCACGCCTTGCGCTTTCCCCACCGCGAGGAATTATGCTGGTGCTCGGGCTTGATTTTCTGCGCAGCAGAAGTTGTTGTACTACTCGGTTCCTTTTTCGTGATGTTGCAATTGTCGATATTGTTGTTGGGATTTTTCATCTTTGTCGCAGCTACCAGGTTCACGGAAGACCCCTCTACTCCGCCCAACGTCGGGGTCCGTGTTAAACCCGGGGTGAGTGGCTGAGATCCGGAAGGAACAACGGCTCCGTCTTGTTCATTGACAATTCCTGTCCCGTCACCGAAAACCAACGACGTGTTGGTACTCACAGGTTATCAAATGCAAAAATGTCTGGGTCTGGAAGAGTGCGCGATTTGTCATGCTGCTTTTCCATGACCCATGAGGTCTGGAATGCAGGACCTAGCATGACGGATTCTGCGAGACCTTTCTCATGCCTATCCTGCATGAGAAACTCCCTCCCGACTTGATCAAAACTGGACGACTATTGGTAATCATGCAACACAGATTTTTGCATGCTGCAGATTTAGCATGACAAGTTGCATTCTTCCAGACCCAGACATTTTTACATTTGGTACAGGTCCTTCCTTCACAGGGGAGCCCTTCTTCCCAAACAAATTCAACGCTTTCCCTAACGTATCAAATGTAAAAATGTCTGGGTCTGGAAGGATACAACTTGTGATGCTACTTTTGGAATTTGAATTGAAGTAGCGACGCCACCCTGACGTGCCTCGGTAGCCGATCGCTCTACCAACCGGAGGTGCTAATTACATGCTTACTTCTTCCTTCGTCGAGCACCTTCTTCGCCATACAAGCCGGCTGGTGAGCAATTACCCGGACTGCCGGCCCAATTTGTGCCGGTTTTGGTGTTTTAGGGAGATACCCGCAACGCCCCCGCGGAGTTGGCGAAACCCTGATAGCGAGACGCAACCCTTGGCGCTACTTTTGGAATCTACATAAAAACTGTATTGCATGAACAGCAAAAGAGGTGTAATTTGTGTTACGCGGAGAGGTCATTTCTCATGCGGTATGAGCATCAGAAAGCCCTCGCAAAATCTCTGACGCTAGGGCATGCATCACAGCCCTAATGGGTCATGCAAAATCTGCATGACAAACTCCTGCATTCTTCCAGACCCAGACATTTTTGCAATCCATATAACGCTTCCGAGTCGGTCGACGGTTTCCATTCCCAGGCGATCGCGCCAGAAGAACTGTTGATTTTCGTCGTGCCCTCCTCTACCAGTTTCAGCTTACTGCTGACGTTCTGGTGTTGCACCGATGTAGATGACGCGTTAGTACCTGCTGCAGATGCAGCGGAGGCAACGGACGCACGACCGGTTGCAGTGGCTGTAGCTTGTTCCGCCGGAGCTGTCGTGGACGCAGCAGCTGGCGGCTTCGCAGTTTGTTCGACGCCGGCTGCACTAGTTTCCTCTCCTGCGCCAGCTGTCGTATTTGCAATACCCGCGTTGTGACCACTTTGTTCCCCAGGTAGTTGTTGCTGCACTACCCCGTCTATCAAATGCAAAAATGTCTGGGTCTGGAAGAATGCAAGATTTGTGATGCAGGTTTTCCATGACCCATGAGGTCTGGAATGCGAGACCCAGCATGACAGATTCTTTGAGGTCTCTATCATGCCTTTCCTGCATGAGAAACTCCCTCTCAACTTGGTGAAAAGCGGACGGCTTTTGGTACTCACGCAACACAGATTTTCGCATCATTCATTTTTAGCATGACAAGTTCTAATCTTCCAGACCCAGACATTTTTACATTTGATACCGTCGTCCTGTTCGCGAATCTCCAGTGCCTGCTCCTGCAACACCAACCGCTGCCGCAAGTCCGCAAAGTCTTTCGCGGCGTGGCCCAGCATCTCCTGCACCTGGCTCGCGGTCAACACGTCCGACTCGAACTCGCACAGCGTGTACAGCTCGTCGATACTGCGTTTCAGCCGGAGCAGACTCTGGGCCCAGAGCGTCTGTGCGGAGAGCATCTCCTCGGTCTGCTCGTCCTGGAGGAGAAGTTCCTCTTCCACCTCTTCGACGATGATGCTATCCTCGATGTTCAGGGACGAAAACCTGATAGAAATAGAACATGATTTCTTTTGCAGTTCTTGCACAAGTTTGTAAAGAATGCCCACCTGCATCTGCGCCTGCCTAGGACGTCCAGCTGGTGAAGATGCGGATGTTGCCGATACAACATTCAGACAGACACATACCAAAAAATGTGTCACCTTGTGGCCGCAGAACATTTTGAAAGTGAGAAGCGAATCAATGATTACTCATCTTCAGTTTAAGAATACAGCAAGCTCGTCCCGAAATTCTGCTGAAAATCGTCATCGTCCGCTATCAAATGTAAAAATGTCTGGGTCTGGAAGGATGTAACTTGTGATGCGCATTTCAGAACACACAAAAATCTCTGATGCATAGGCAGCAAAAGCTGCTCACTTTCTGTCACCAAAATGGGGGATTTGTCATGCGGATTCACCATTGCGGAAGCTTGCTTCTCGAAACCTGTGATGCTAGAGCTTCCATGTCAGACCTTCTGTGTCATGCAGAAACAGCATGACCCTTCCAGACTTACCCAGACATTTTTACATTCGATATCCGCCGAACCATCGCAATTCCTGCCCCCGATGTTCCCACTGCTCCGGCCTTTCCGCAAAATCGGAAGCCCCCGACCGCTCGGGCCCCGACTCAGCGCGAGAGGTCCACCACCCGCGGTTGAGGTAGTAGAAGATCTTCGCCCGTTGGCTCCTTCTTGGTCCGTTTCGTCCTCCGCACTGGTGTCCTTGTCCCGCCCGCTCTTCGGAGACATCCAGCCGGAGTTTGATGTTCCAGCACGGAGTGTTGCGGGGGGGTTGAGGTTCAGATTCCCACTAACCCGAGCGGACGTGTTGGCAGGGTCCGCGGGAGGGGGTAGCCGGCTCTTGGGGGAGGAGGTGACAGCACCGCTGTCTTGGTACCGCGTTCCGGCGACCGGCATTGTTTTATTTGTTTCGGGAATAATGAAAGTGGCCGGCGTCAGTGACGGTGCGGAATGGTACGTGCAAAAAAATTCTTTCTCCGAACAAGAAATACAACGAGGACACCAAATGAAAATTCAAACTTCTGATTCTATTTCTGCTTCTATCTAGTTTTGGTTTGTAATCTAGATCATTTTCTGCTCAGAGATGAAAGCAGCCGAAACGCGGAGCACCGTGGCCCAGCAGCGGCGCGCAGATATTTTTCGTGTTTTGTAGTTTTGTCACAGGCGTCCATTATACACTCAACCCCAAGTAGTTCTGTTCTGTTTAGCAGAAGTAGTTCATAGAGCAGAAGTGAAGCCGCAGCCGGCGGCTGGTTTATCGTCAACAATAACCAGTCAGCTGTTAATTCCGTAGATGGTCTCGCTGACAGCGAGTCGCTGTTGAGGTTAACGCCAACAGGACATAAAACAATCTCGCTCGCAGCAAAGAGGGAGACACAGATAACACCACGCGCACACAGGCCTGGAGAACACCAGAGAACACTCTTCACGACGCCGATAAACAGAGGTAGCGCCAGCAAGTCGAAGTCCTCGTCCGCATTCTTTTCAAAGGGAAAACATAAAACAGCATGAAAAACGCCGTCTCAGGAAAAAAACATTTTCATCATCAAAATTCCACTAGTACTCCTGGCTCTCTCAGTGAAAAGGCAACATTTGCAAACCGTCGCCTGCGTAGTTCCCAGAAGTAGAATGAGAATCTGCACCATCTTCACTTGTAGCGGTTCTTGCTGCTTCCTGCGATGATATTACAGCCCCTTGTCCAGATCCGACCGACATGGTCTGCAGACTCTGGAGGTCCTGCATATGGCGCTCTCAACTGTTACATTCTCAACTGGTACAACATGAATTTGTGATGCAAGAGTGGCAAAATTGAAGGGTGGAAGATTGCGCTTTTTGCATGACAAATTCCGCACAGATCCAGGTGGTGTCTAGTCCTTCGCAGATTTGTCTTGCGAAGCAGCTTGGCCACCTGGCGCCTAAAGGTAATTTTTTTGCATGATAAAACACGCAACAGTTGAGCATGTAACATTTGAGAACGCCATACTGCAGCATGCTGCTCCCGGTTAGCTTGCTCTTCGACATGACAGTTGTGGTTGCGCCCCCCGCCGTACGATCAGCTCCAGGAAACAATAGACTGTCCTGTGCTGACGCCGGTGTGAATTTGAATCCGCTGCTCGAAGTACTACTAGCTCCTGCTGCTGCACTTCTACTCACCAGACTCATCGCCGCGGCATCCGCATTGCCGGCCAACCGGCTGAGCTGGGCGTGAATCTCGTCCGCATTGTCGATGTTGATCACGTTTCTCGCCGACTGCAGCGCCTGCAGATTTGCCTGCCGTCGCGCCCGCCGCTCGTCGTAGTGCTGCAGTAAATCGGAACAAGCGGACTTCAGCCGGTTTAAATACGCGTCCACCTCCTCCTTCTGCTTTTTCAACCCCGTGCTGTCCTCGCTATCTGCGTCGAGCGACGCGCGCTGCTGCAATTCCAAATTCGACCGGTAGGTGCGCGCCTGCTCCAATTTCGCGGTAAACGATTCTTCCGTTTTTTTCAGCGAGTTGCTATCCAGCTCCGCCGTATTCTCGGATTTCTCGCACTGCTCGCGCAACTGCTGATACTTCGTCTGCAAGCTACCGAGACTGTCCACGGCCTGCTGTGCGAGTTGCTGCGTACTGGCGGATTGTTGCGTCGAACTACTGCTTCCGGTTGCCAGAAACCCGAGCTGCTGTTGCTGCTTACTTCTCTGGTCGTCCTGCTCCTCCAGCACCAAAGCGTTGAACCGCTGCAGAATCGCGACAGCCTGCTGCAAAATTTGGCCCGCAACCTGGTGGTTCTGCTCCGACTTCTGGAAAAACGACTTGCTTTGTTGACGGAGTTTGGTGAACTCAAGTAAACTCGCAGCTAAATTCTGCTTCTCCGCCTTCAGCACCTGCAAACTACCATCCAACTCGGACAGCGCTTCCTTCTCGTTGTCCACCTTCGTCAGAATCCGGCGCAACTTCGTGCCCTTCTCCTCTACGGTGCCGCTGTTCCGCGAGATCTCGGCCTCGCACCAAGTTTTGTGGCTGTCTTCGTTCTGCGTGGCTTGCTGGATTTGGGCCATCATCTCCTCCACCATGCGCTTCACGCTGGAGAAAGTCGCTTGGCGCGACGAGGTGGCGTCCTGTTGCATCTGCTCTTGGTGTTGTTCTGCTGGCACAGAAGCGAAGCTGTCGTGTGTGGTAGTTGGCAGACTGGAAGTACTTGATGCACTTGTCGCAGCCGCGAGACCCCCGCGGGTCTGACTTGCGGACGAGAGGTTCAGGAGTCCGAGACTTGAGCTTGTGCCTTGGTTTTGTACAGCACCACCACCACCGAGCAGCGGCGGAGCAACCATACCGAGGGTAGTTGTGCCAGTGGGTTGCTGTTGATCTTGCGCAAAGACTTCCTGTGCGCCACCGTAGCTGCCGGTCTTCGTCGTACTTTGCGCTCCTTCTTGCAGAAAGGACAGCATAGTATTCTGCTGAGCATCAGCCCCGCCGTAAGATTGTTCCCCTCCACCCATCGAAGCTGCTGCTGCAGTCGACAAACTTTCCGTCACCGCTTGCAATCCCTGCAACACTTCCTGATGTCCAGCTTGCCGCGCCGCCCACCCGGTGGACAGATCCGCGCACACCTTCTTCACTTCCGCCAAATGGTTCGTCGATGCGGCCGTTACCTGCGTGGCGTCCTCCAGACTGCGCTTCAACTGGGCGATCATCTGCTCCGACTCCGCCAAAGCGGCGTCCTTCGCGTCTTTGCTCGACTGTAATTGGAGTAACACCTGCTTCTTCATCCGAATTAACGAATCGTACTGGTCCAGCGCCTTCCGTTCCTGTTCTTGCGCGGTCGCGATGGACTGTTCGAAGGTGGTCGTTAGCGTTTTCAGCACCTGCAGGACGGAAGACTTCGTTTCCTCGATCGCATCCGCCTCGTTCATCTCCTGCTGGTCTTGCTCTTCTTGTTGTTCCTGCTGGCCTGCAAGTTGTCCTCCGGTAGAAGACGTAGAACTAGACGTCGACGTGACAAAATCGTCTAGCAACACCCGGTCTTTTTCCGCCACCAATCCGGATCGCTGGGCAATCTGCTGCACCGAGGAGGCAACTTGCAGCAGGGTTTGACGGTTCAAAGCTCGGTGGTTCAACTTGTCCGACGCGTTGTTTAACTCCGTGAGCATGTTTGCCGAGTCCTTCTGCTCCCGCAGGTAGTCGCCGTGCTCCGACTGCCGCAAACTCGACCCTTGCCTCACCGCGTTCTCCGCCTCGGCAAGTTCCTGCTGCAGTTGGGAAACTTCATCCTTCAACTGCCGATTCACCGCCTCGCGTACCTTCTGCTTCGACTTCAACTCTTGTTCAATCGCCTGGTACTGGTTCTGCCCCTGGCTGCGGTCACGGAACGCGGTCTGGCACCACTGAAACGCCGAGCGGTACTGCGCACTGTCCACCTCTTGCTCCTCTTGCATGGACTGCTGGAGGTTCGACAAAGTCTCCACGATCTTGGCCACCGGGGCGGCTGGAGCAGCAGAGACGGTCGGTGCCGTGAATGCGACGAGCACAGCTGCTGCGCCGGAGCGCTGCAGCAACCGTCGTTGTCTCGCCCACATGATTCTGCAGCTCCGCTGGCGGTGCAACTGCTCCTTGTTCCTTGACGGTCACACAAGCGACGAGCAGCGAGCTGTCCGCACGGTCGCTGTCGACCGGCAGAAAACTTTACACCATGCACAACAGCCTTATGATATACAGTGCAAAAACAGTGAGCCACATGATATGTGGGTTGCTGACCTACAGGACGGCTCTTCCTGGATGGTCAAGATGTTTCTCTCTGCCTATGACGTGCTCGCGCAGTCTACCTGATCCTGATGATGATCATTATGTCCTTACTCATTATTACCGAACTAGCCACAGAGCAGCGACGTCAGTGTCACTGTTGCTGTTACTGATGTTTGTAAACACTGCACACACGAAAGGGATAATGGATCTCCTTCTTCTACGGCAGGAACTAATCATGAACCGGGGAGCGGGAAGCACCGGTAGTCCCTCTCTCTCAATGTAGCTACCCCTCGGAGGGCCCTCGCCCCGCATCGGAATGCTCGCACGCTCGGAGGCGGGTGAGGCATCGCGCCTTTGGAACACCAATACCCCCAAACAAGAGCGCTGCTGATTTTTGTCCGCTTTTTGTCCAACGACTGCATCTTCAAAAGCAGCACTCACACCGAAGTCAACCCCAGCTGAGAAGTCGTGGGGGGGAACCTGCGAGAGCGCGCCCTGCGGTGCAAGCATTTACTTACCAACTTGCGGGAACGCCATTGCCACAACATGATCGAGGGGGAAGGCCCCCCTCCAACAGGCCTGATGTGGCGCGCGCGCCCGCGCGCGGCAGCACAGGCTGCAAAATACACCTCCCAACCGGGTGGCCACATGCCATCTGCGGGCAGCGCGCGGGCGGGGCGGGGGCGCGCCAACCCCGGTCGATGCGTGGGCGCGCCGGCCGACCAATGGGCCACGGTGGCGAGGCCACCCAGCGAGCCAGCGCCGGCCCCGCCCGCAAGGCGGCCCACTGCTGTGCCACAACTGCCCAAACGGGAGGGAAGCCGGCCTCCCCAAGGGCGCCCCAGCCGGTGGGCCGGCGTAAAGCGCGACAAGGCCCCGCCAAAACGCGCGCCCCCGCTGACTTCTTCGCCTGGGGCGCATCGCTTGGGAATCTCACTCATGGGCGCCCTTCCCGGCTTTCGGCTTTTTTCTCTCCGACAAGCGACCCAGAAGCTGCGCACCAGGGCCCCACTGCCTCAAGATAGCAGAGATAGGACAATCAGAATCCTTTACAACAGACATTTCCACCCTCATCAGCTGCCGGCTCCGGGGACTTGAAGTCCGGCGTCGCAGACGCATTTCCGGCGCGACGGACCAACACCACGGGCGGCCGGCTTTTCTAGGTAGTGGATACGGAGCCGGCCCACTCCCGCGCCCCACCGGGTGGGTTCCTTCGTTCTCACCGGCACTGCCCGGCCTGATCTCGAAGCGCGCCGAATGCTTCTCCCGGTCGCACGGGATAACCCAACAGGGGGAGGGCGCCGCGCAAGACGGCAGTCCCAAGAATGAACGCCAATCACTTTGGTGGGCGTGCTAACAAAGGCGAGGCGCCCGGCCACGACCGGGGGCGGTCGTTTTAACTAAGACCAGTGGGCGCGGCGTGGGTGCGCGCATGGATGCTTAACAAGCAACCGGCGGGCCGGGTCCGGGCATCTTCCACCAGCTTCCTTGGCGCCCCGCCCCCTCGCAAAAAATAGAAGCCCGCCCCACAGGGCTTTCGGCAGGGGCCGCGCTGTCCCTGGCTTTGCAGTGTTTTTGCCAAATTCCACCCAGGCACTTCTGTTGGGGCTTCCTCGACAATGCTGCCACTTTTCGGGCTGATTTCGAAGCCGATGAGATGCGCAGGGCCATACCTCAGCGGCCCTCCTATATCTTCTATCTGCAGGCACGGCAGGCAGCAACTGGCCCACGGCGAAGACCTCCCGCCGCCCGCGCGCCTCCCCGAAGCTGGCCGGCGTGCCAGGGCCCGAAAACGGCGGCGACTGCAAGGCCAAAGGGTAGACGCCGGCCGCGGCTCTTCCCGACGGGCGGCAAGGCGCCGGCGGCGACTAGTTGCCAGGTCGTGGCAGGTGAATGTGCTGGGCCCTTGCACGCGCCCAAGCGTTCGGGCAGCCGGCGGGCCAACAATCGGAGCGGCAGGCGGTGTCGGCTCAACTTCTTCCCCTAAAACCCTGGGCAGTCTGCGTGCCCGCCCCGTCTGCGGCGGCCCCTTCGAGGATGGAAACAAGACCGGCCCGCTGCCTGCGGCGGCCGCATCGAGGAAACCGGGCCGGCCCCCTCTCGGCGGGGGCGTCGTCGCCGTTTCTTTGCAGCAATTCCCCCCGCGCGGCACTTCACCAACTACGCGGCCCCGCTTCAGCGTCATCGCCTGCTCGGTTGTTTTTGCAGGCGGTTTCACACCGGTGGCAGTGAAGGGGTCGATCGCTCTGCTGTGGCCACCCGGCAGCGTCGCCTTCCACGCGCCCAGGCCCAAGGGGCCGGAAGGGGGGCGCCACTGCGGCAGCCAAATGAGCCAGGGATAAACTCGGGCAGCCCTTTTTGGCGTCCGACTGAGTATCAGCGCACTTCCACCAATGCAGACGCTTTCCTGATTTCCGCCAGCGCAACGCATTTGGATTTGCGTTAGCATTTCCAACAGTGTATACAACTGTAGCTCTGCAAGCGGAACACGATGGCAAACCGGTGGTAGCCGTTCCAAATCCTCGTCAACAAACGAAAACTTCATCGACATTCTCATTCACATTTGCGCGAAGAATATAACACACGACAAGACGAGCAATAGGGTTTCGGTTTTTGGTGTTATTTCTTTACTCAACAACTTTTAAACAAAGAAACGAGGACAGCCTGCTATGCTACAGCATGCAATTACAAGTGCGAGACAATAAATTAATTTATTCTTGAAACTTGAAACAGAATGAAGCACTTCTTGTTACGGCTGTCTTCTCAAGTCATGACGGCGCAGCTGCCTCTACCTTCTGCACATCATCTGTGCCACCTTCGCATACTTTTACTTTTCATCCGGACCTCGCAACTCAGTGGGGAACTTCTACACTTTTTCGCGCATGATCTCTACCATCTGCCTCTTCACCGCACAAAATTTTTCCGCACCTTCGGTGGCGAGGGCGGGGGGGCGTTCTTCTTTGCCATGGCGTACGCCCGCAGGGTTTCGGGCGCGTACAGGCCCCGGCCGTCGTAGGGACCGGCTTTCACTTGCTCCACGATATCCTCGTCGTTGTCCAACGGTTTCACACGCGCATTTCCCGGAACGGAGGTGTCCATGCCCATTTTGTTCCGGCGAATCGTTTTAACATCCAGCGCCGGTTCTGTTTGCGTTTGGTTGTTTTTGATGCACATCATCACGTCATGATGTACTACTTGTAGTTCCTCATACGTTCATACTTCGCTGCTGTAGTACAACATGAAGACTATAATCAACTACAACCATACCGAAGTAATCCGAGGTGAGCTGGTACATCCGATTGCGCATGATGAAGCAGAACCCGAGGCCGAAGACGATGCCAAACGCCGCCACTAGGATCCGTGCCGCGGGCGTCAGCGCCGGTCCGCCGCCCTTGGCCTTCAAAAACCGGAGGGGGTTGTTGTCATAGAAGTGCTGCTGGAGTTGATGATCATCATGTTCATGCGCCGACGTCATGGACGTAGCTCCTGCGACATCATGTTCATTCTCTTGCGGCACCGCGATGAGATTGTCCGCGATCGTGTTCAAGCCGCGGAACACCCAGTGCAGGGCAGCGTCACCTAAAGCTTCGACGGAGAGATGAGATGCGTTCTTTTCAAACGCGCCCTCACGTGACGAGGAGGAAGACGGAGTGCCGAGCGGAGCCATTGTTTCTGGTGCTTGGCTCCTTGTGGTTCTGGAAGATGACCAAAAAATTTCTTATTCTTTTAGCCAAAGGGTTCTCTAAAAGAGATCGTTGCCCTAGTACTGAAGACCGTGATTTCAAAAATCTCGACGAACACGAACAGATGAGAAGAAAGCCGACAAAAGCACCATGCGACTCTTAACTTATGTCTGTCCGAGCGAAGCCCACCAAACTGTGTCCTTAAACGAGAGAAAGCCTGCTCGAGCATTTCTCTGACTCGACAATCATCACGCTCTGTGGTCTCTAGCTCTACTGCGAATGCGACTCTATGGAATGTATCAATCTGTGCGACGAGGAGAACGAACAAACGAAGTGAGCAAGTTTTTCAAACGCAGCTGCTAGAGCTAACAGGCGAAAGATGCAAACACTGTATGTCGACGTAGTTGCACACGAAACCACTGCAGTCAGTCTCAATCTGCAGTAAGTCTCACGCTCCTGTTTTGTTAAAGTGGACGATATGGATGCTTTTCTAAATATTCTTCTAGCTACTGCTCACTCCTGTGCTGCAGCTCGTGGCGGTGAGAGGCCGACGCCCCCCGTAACACGACTTGTCTTCTGCGGTGATACATTTCGCACTGGGCTGTTCCTTCCACGACCTGCAGCAGCTGGTGCAGTAATACCCTCCTGATTCAGATCTTCTTCGCTCTTACCCGCGGCTGGCACATCGATAACAAAGGTCGGCTCGTCCTCTAAGCTACTGCCGATTCCGCCTCCAACTATCCCCTTCGAGCCAGAGGAATTGGTAAACGCACTCTCGTCCTGCTCCGTGAGTTTTACGTGCCTGGCAGAGGACGCCCCCGCCGCGGTACCTATGAGCCCGCCTGCGGGATGAAAAGACAAAGAGTTGCTACTTATTTGTGGAAACAGATATTTCCGCGCCAAGACGTAGACGTTGCACGCAAGCAGCGTCAAGGACAGCACCGCTAATAGCCCGACGGTCTGCAGCAAATCGTCGCTAAGGCGCTCGCCCGCAAAACTGAAGAACCCGGTTACGATCCCTTTGCTGCGGCCCGGCGGATGGCTGGCATTTGATGCCGCGGCGGCGGGGTTCTTCGAAGGTGCCGGCGTGGGGGAAGCAGGTGTCGGAACAGGACTCGCGGCACCTGCTCCTCCTGCTCCTGGTGAAGACGGGGCTACTGGCGTCTGCGGTTTGTTCGCAGATGATCCTGCAGGCGCTGCAGTCGAAGCTGCACCATTACCAGCAGCCGGAGTAGTACCTCCACCTCCCTGCTGCTTCGCGACGACCTTTGCCGGCGTGGTCAATTTACCCAGCATCTGCTTCGCTTCCGCTGAAAAAGAGCCCGCCAGGGGTGTGGTCGTTTGCTGACTCGCGGCGCGCTTCACGGCGGTCACCGTGCAGAGGGGGAAGTTTGGAGACTGAAACTCCGTTTCCTTGTTGTTTTTTACTTCGTTCTGCCGACATTGGCACTGCTCCGCAGCGGCGGGCGCAGAACCAGATTGCGAGCACCTGGTGAATTATTTTTTCGAAGCATTATGACTCTCAAAAAAGATACAGATGACTCGTCTGACAGCATGGATGCATTTCTAAAAATTCGCATCGACAACTACAAAGAACAATTGCTGCCCTCGATAAACAGGAACAAATTACAAAAAAAGTGCTCAAGAACCGTACCACGACAGCACCACCACGCCGCCACCCGGCGGCGTGAGTTCCGGAAACCCAGCTCCACCCGCGGTAAAGTGCACCTGCACCGACGTGCGTCGCGGTAGGTCTTTTTTTACCGTGAAAACGACCAAGCCCGACTTTTCCGCGACGAAAGCTTGGTCGACAGTGACGTCCGGCGTTTGTTCAAACGTGGCTCCTACAGATAAACCACCACCACTACCCGCAGCCTCGTCGAATACCGCCTGCGCCGCCGGCGCCTGCTTCACGTTTTCGATTTTCAGGGCGATGGTCGGGTTCGTGCAAGTCGCTAAGCCCTTGTTTGACACCGTCGCGACGTTTCTATTTCCCGAAGAAACACCTAGCTCGACGTAAATTTCGCACCCTGTTTTCAGCGCCAAGTACCGCATGCGGATGTAGTTGCGCTCGATGATCCCGCGGATCTTCCCCTGTCTTGGCCAAAATCCGTCCTCCTCGTGGCCAACCTCTGGGGACATGGAGATAATGCCCTGGTCGTAAAACCAGTCGTCCGACTCGCCAAACGCCGTGTACCCGACGGTCTCTTTCGCCGTGCCAAACTTGCTGTATTTGAAGACCTTGTTGATCTCCTTGTAGATCAGCGCGTCGTCTGGGGGCAGAGTGTTCCGCGTCTTGTAGTTATACGGGTGCGTCAACATGGACCCAAACGCGTGTAGATTGCTACAAACGGTGAACTTCACTTTTTTCACCAATTGCTCCAGCGCCGCGGTTTCCGGCTCGGAAAAGGGCTTTGTTCCTCCGTACTCCTCACTGCAGCCGGATGGGACTCGTTTCCAATGGGTCGGAAAATTCCGGTTCAAATCCACTCCTCCATCTTCCACCCGATGGTTGCAGGTCGGCCGCATCTGTGCATTGCAAAAGTCTCGTACTAGTAGGAGAAATCGCATGACAAGTTTCTTCAGCATGAGAAATCGAATTTGTAATGCGCTTTTACCTCAAGAAGGAGGATCGTAATGCATGACCACTGCGATCATAATTTACTACGAGTACGATACTTTCGCAGTGGATACCATGTTCTTTCGCTTCATTTTCGTGCGGGATTTTTCGTTGAACACGTACCCGTCCGGATTTACGAAGGGAATCACGTAGATCAACCGTTCCTGCAGCACAAAATCCGCGTCGGGGTCAATCCCGCGTCGGGCCAGCAGCTGCCCGACGAAAAACAGCACGACGACCAGACCCGCCGGTTCCCGACTGTGGGTGAGCGAAGTGAGCAGGAATTTCGGCCGGTTGTCGATGGGCGTCAAGGGTAATACCGCCGCGGCGGGGCTAGTAGTACTTGCAGCAGCTGCTCCGGCGGCCTTTGGTCTCGTGGAACTACAAGCAAGTTTGTAAGCGAGCAGCTCCCGGCCTTGGAAGCTCTCTCCGATCTTTTCCTTGACAAAGCAGTCCGGGTACGCTTTCTCCCACTCATATGCAACACAAATTTCCCCTACATGTACAAAATGCATCACAAATTTCAATTTCGCCAATTTGGAGCACCATGCGACTTGTCATGCTAAACAGGATTGGAATGAGGCTTTGTCATGCAGAAGCTGCATTTGCACATCGTGTACGGGAAATTTACTGTGGATAACTCTGTCAAGAGCTTCATCCCCTCCTCCAACGTCGGGTAACTGGCTTCGTGTCCCTTCCATAACTGCTCGACCCAGGGAAGCGAGAGATCCGCCTTCAGAATCCGGTGGGCCAGCGCGTTGAGGTCGAGGTGGAGGGAGCCGAGGGGGCTGTTGTTGCTCATCTGCGGGGACGATGATGGAGCTGCAGCTGGTGCTGGTGGCCAGTAGACACGTTGAAATGATGGTAGTACTTCTAGCGCGTGGTCGTCGACGACGCTAGGGCTAGTTCTAGTATTGCTATCCGCTGCAACAGCAGATCTTCGCACAACGAGTTCTGCTTTTGCGGTGGCTGCGTCACCAGGTCCAGACGGCGCGGTGACGTCCTCATGTTCTTCTTCTTTTTCACGATCAGCTCCGACACTTTCACTTTCCGCATGATTTTGATTGAGCTGTGAGGACCATGATGTGCTGTCACTTCTTTCTGCGGCCGGCGTAGCCTCATACGCAGCAACTTGATGGAGCGCTTCCAAGGTATCGGCATCTTGTTCACGAAGAACCGGAAGAACCGGGCTAATCCCTCCTGCTATCGTTTGTGCCCGCGCATGGTATGCGATAGCTGCTGCAAAAGCAAGAAAGCAGGAGAGCAACGGACAGGCTGCAGTGCCGCCAAGCAGCTTGTGCACTGACGAAGTCGGCATTTGGTTTTGTCCGTAGTGTCTATCTATTGCTATCCAACCACCATTCTTCTACAAGGAAAAACAAAACCGAGAAAAGTCCTTAAAACGTGTGCCTCCATGAGCATGATCCGAGACCGACCGGAAACGAAAAGTAAACGTCGGTAGACACAAAAGTAGCCAAACACTATGCACTTCATCATGCTTCGGAAATACACAACTTCATGCTCGATTGAGCCGCTGCGTAAGCCGGGCATGACTAGGACGAGGACAAGGAAGCTAGCCGGCGGGGTGAATGAATTGAAGTTTTGTTTCGGTTTCGCAGGTGTTTTTACAGGAAAAGTTATCATTTTTTGTTCAGTCGATGAGCAGCCATAACGAGCAGCAGGAGCCACCGGCCCGTCACGATGCAAAAAAAAATCATCATGATTTTGATTGTTTTTCATATTCATTGTGACTCTGCTAGTTCTATGTAAACAGACTGAGTAGAGAAACCACCATTCTACCGGAACTGGGGCTCCGGGTCCGGCTGTTGGGGTGAAACTGTGACTGCATAACGGACGCTGGCAAAAAACTAGTATTTCCATCGCAATCGAGAAAACCTAAATTTCCGTGTTGAGAATGAGGTGCCAAAACAAGTATGACGTCAAGACATCATCCGGCGTATCTAGTAACGGTAGTAAAACCACGTCCTATCTTGGATGGTATAGTTATAATACACGACTGTATTCATCATGGCATAAAAATAGCACACAATCTATTTGTGGGTTCTGCAATCCGAAAATTGTGCTTTTGTGTACTGAGCGGCCCAACCTCCACATGCAGTCGATGAAAGTCATTGAAGAGCTACAGAAAGCTCCAGCTCGCATGTGGTTCATCTACTTTCCGTGCCTGTAGTAAGTTGTGCAGCCTGTGGGATGTTGGCCTAAATTGAGTAGTTTGACATTCATCGCCGTGATTTATAAAAGTTCCTAGGACGACGACGACGACGTCCTTGAAGCAACATTTCAAAAAATCTAGCGGGAGTAGCAGTCAGCGCCAACTCAACCTCCTGAGTTGGTCACCTCCCGGGCTATTCTTCAATGATGCGGATCATAGTACAAAAAAAGGTCTACTTTCGGTACATTTTACTATCTTTTTTATTCGCTTCCGTTTGTTCGGCAGTAGAATTGCTCGTGTTTGCAGCTAGTAGGATCGAATTCCAACCTGATCTTCAACCGATGGATTCTCGCTACTCATTGCACACGCGGCTCGTCGCCAGCAGTTGCACCGGATGAATTTTCTTGGTTTTCCACCTCCTTCTCCGTCGCACCGTTGGGGCTGGTGTTCTCTGCAGATTTATTTTCCACCACCAGTTTCGGGCTAGATTTTTTCTTCTTTTTGCTCCCGACCGTCTCCCAAGCTCCTTCTGCACCAGCCTCGTCTGCATTTTTCTCCGCTGAAGCACCGGAAGATGCACCATTTGGGCGGGGTGAGGCGGGAGCGAGAACAGTCTCGAGTTTTGGCTTTTGCGGTGAGGACTTCGTGGTCGTCGGCGCAGTGGATGATTTATTTCCGTCGGCGGAATTTCCAGTTGTCGCATCCGGTGTGTAGTTGTTGTGATGTGAGGAGGCTTTGCTTTTGTTTTTGTCCTTGTTTGGAGATGGAGTGAATGTTTTGCTGTCCTGCACCTGATCCTGAACCTGCTCGACCACACCCTCCTGCTCACCCGCGGGATGTTCCGGAATGGTGGCACAACCGTTGTGCTTTGGAACGACATTATTTCCGTTTGTGTTTGACTTGTTGGGCACGCTGCTCCCGGCGTTGGTGTAGTTGTGTTCCGCATTACCACCATTGTTCCACGAGGAGCCGTTCTTTATTCCCCACGACCTGCGATTATTTTGAAAAGCGTTTATTGGGCTTGTAGACGAGAAGGAGAACTACTCTGGCAGCATGAAAAGTGCACATACCCGCGGCGGGCACAAGTAGATTTAAAGATGGTGTCAAGAAACGTCAAAACAAAATCAAAATGAAAAATACGTATGTTGGTATTGCTTCCTTCCCTGCATCTGGTTTCTCGTCTGCCACTCGTGGGAGTAGTAACCGTTTCGAGGGTGTAGAGGTGAAAAAATTGATGTGATTTTTTCTCATGCATGGCCGCGAAGTGCAGGACCAGGGGCAGACAGACTGCATTAAGACTTACTATGCCTCAGCCTTTCCCGCCCGCGACCATGCATGACAAAAAACTAACATCTTCGGCAGCTTCCTATGCATAACAAACTGCCCGTGTTGTACTGCGAATTGGCCACGTTTCCGTTCCACTTATTTTGTTGCCACGAGCTCTGCGACCACTTGCTCTTCGATTTGTTCGCCTTTCGCAACCATTCCGCAGACGGCATGGAGAGTTTACCTGTGTTTGTAATTTGATGCGAACGAGTGTACGTGATCGTGAACAAATAAGTACTTACTTAGCATATAGTGCGTGTTCTTTACAGTAGAGGACAAGAAACAGAAGGTGTGAGTTCTGTAATTTATCATAGATTTCTGGTGTAGGAGCCGTAGCAAAATTACTAAAACTATTGAGATCAACAGGAAAAACACGTTCTTACGCGGTTGTCGGTGCGCATGTCCCCAGGGGTTCCAGCTTCCGCCGTTGACCTGCGCTAGCACTCTCAGCACCGGCTGCGTCTGGGGCATCAAGGGCACCGGGCTGGCCGGAAACATTTCTGATGATCACGATTTGACATCAGCACATCATGGTTTTTTTGCACGGCTTCTTGAGTAAAAGGACTACTAGTAAACTCTTTGTCTTTCTGGAATCATCGCAGTTCAACTAAACTTCTTAACTCTTCAAAAAATACCTGCTCCCCAGCTCATGGGCGCCGCGCTGGGCTGCGGTGACAGCTGCATGGGCTGCATCTGCATATTCGGGACTTGTCCTGCGGCTCCCATGGGCGGGCTTGCGTTCAGCATCATATTCGCGACGCCGCAGTTTGTTGTGTCATTCCCCGGCGGCGTGTTGAGCGGGATGAGGTCTGTATTAGATGGAATGAATTTTGCATTTTCTTTTTTATCAGGTAGAAGTCATGCAGCTACTTCATCCTCCTGTGGCTGCGCTCATTGTTTAAACGTTCATCCAGCTCGAGTTTCGCGATTATCTATCAACAGTCTCAGTAGAAGCAGGAGTATGTACTAAATGATACTATTTGGCGGCACTCCGTGGACAGGAAAGAAGCTCCTCAGGAAGTGTTCCGATTTGATCGCCGACTGGATTTTTTTCCCCTCGTACTCTTGATCACGGAGAAACAACGCGATTTTCTGTGTCGCATCGTCGCTGGCGCACTTCAGATGTGCATTGCAAATATGTCTGGGTCTGAAGTCTTGCAAGACTTGTGATGCAGATTTTCCATGACCCTTGGGGTCTAGCATGCAGGAGCCAGCAGGATGACAGGTTCTAGTTGTTCTGTGGGGTCTTTATCATGGCTATCCTGCATGAGAAACTGCCTCTCAGATTGGCAAAAGTGGGCAACTTTATTTGGTAGCCATGCAATACAGATTTTTGCACGATCCAAACTTAGCATGACAAATTGCAGTGTTCCAGATCCAGAAATTTTTGCAATGCATATCAGAAACCAGGTGTCGCACACATCGGCTTTGATGCCGACGATTTGCGATCGCAGGGACTCGTCTAAACGGCCGAGAATCTGAGGTTATTTTCATCCATGGTGCCCATCGATCGGGACGCGTAGTCGTAGTGTAGTGAATGTGAAAAAGATAAAGAAATGCAAACGAAACTGGTACCCGTGCTCGTGCTGCCCAAGAAATTTTCGCATTCGTGTTGCTACAAGCACGTTCAAATGCAATGTATGAGAATGAGTATGAGAAGAAGCACAAATTATGCACCATGACAAGTTTTTCATCACCAAAAAAAGAAATCGAATTCCACAATAGTACGTCGTTCTTCAAAACTTGCTCCCCGTACGGAAATATCCTGTGCAAAAGTATCGCACTCGTACTAATCGCATTCATGCATTACAAATCTCATTCTCAAGGTACATCCGCATTACAAATCTGATTTCTCATGCTAAGGAAATTTGTCATGCGATATGTACTAGTACGATGCCTTTGCAATGCATAGGAAATTCCCGCACGATGATCGTGTTGCGCTTCGATCGCAGCATGGGCCGGACCAGTTTCTGCTCCAGATCCACGCCTAGTTTCGCACTGTGTTCCGCGGCAGCCATATGAAAGTGCACAACTCCCCCTCCCCCTCATTTGTGATGCAAAATACCGAATCCACGACTTGTGCTGAAGCACTGTTTGCATGACAAATTTCAGAACCTGAAACAGTACTACAGTCCGTGTGTAGATTTGTCATGCAGGAGAAGGTCCATTTCTGCCGTTGCTTGTGTTGCCGTTCATGCATTACAAATGAGGGGGAGGGGGAGTTGTGCATTGTCATAAGCCAGGATGTCCTGCTCCGTGACCGGCTTCCTCATGGCGCAGATCCGGTCGTGCTTCTATGAATTGCAAAAGTAATGTATCGTAGCAGGTACTAGTAGGGAAGATTGCATATACAAATTTAAGTACCCAGGAGCAAAAGTGGAATTTGTAATGCTGATTAAGGTATAGCAGAGCATTGGTCATGTAATCTTGCAACTAGTACGAGTACGATATTGCTTTTGATGCAGTTGATAGTTTCAGCAGATCCGCAACGGACACGTACATCTGGGGACTGATGCAGCCCCGGAGAAACTGGTCTTTCGCTGTTTGAGTTGAAACAAATTCATAAAAAATGTAGTAAAATTCAGAAATTCAGCATGACAGGGCAAAAAAAATCCCGTAAACCATCTCTGCGGGAGAATCTTCAAATACAAGTACCTAAATTCTTCTTGCTCAACAGTTTCTCTAGCATCTCCTGCAACGTAAGTTCTGCTCTTCCCTCTTTTTCCGGTTTTTGCGTCTCCGAAGGCACCTCCACGCTGACGGCCTCGACAGCCGCGGGGTCATTTTCGCCCGCTCCCATCGTGACAGAGTTGTTCGTTGTAGCCGGAAGTTGTAGACGAAAGAGCAGAAAAAGTTGTACACGGCAGGCTCCTTCGGACGAAGAAAAGGGAACCGGAAGACGGTGGTTCAAGGACCCACTGGTGGTGCCAACTTGTTTATTCCACAGCGAAACCTAAATACCTCGTCACTACTAGTATTACGTTGGCAACCGCAACAGACGGACCTAGACACACAAGTGGTATAAGATGAAACTTGCGTCGTGAAAATAAAGAACATGCACATCTGAAAAGAAGAAACAAGCAATGGCAACTTATATAACCAAAACGAGTTTGAGTTGTTCACTGATCGGTTTGCACTTTCACTTTGCGTTTTTTGCTTCAAAGTTGAAATGCCAGAATCTCTTTTGAACGCTCGCCAAAGAACGTCGTGTGCGAACACAAAGAATTTTTCGATTAAAGTAGAAGCACCAGAATCACTTACTCGTGAGAAGTAGCTATTTGCTTCGTACAGCGAATATTTGTAGTTTCGCGCTGGGACTCCTGCTCGGTGTTCGTACTGTTGCTTTGGCTAGGTAGCTGTGCAGTTTGTTTACGTCTTGTGCGCGTCACCGACAGACGCAAAGTGTGCTCGCGCTGCCGGCGTCCTGTGACAAACTACAACTAGAAGCAAACTACCAAGGGAAAAGAAAATTAGGCGAACGTACAGTAAAGAACTACGCCACACCCAAACTACTTACTTAAACTGTGATCCGCACTGCGACTGCATGCACTTGTGTGCATGATCACCCCCGGTGGGGCGGGCCCGACAGAACAACACTGGCGAGGTGCTTCCAGCGCTCGACACCGGCCGTCCATCCGTCCCTTAGCCTTACCCTTAGCTGCCTTACCCTTACCCCGTCGCCGCAGTCAGAATGCTTCTTCTGACCGACCGCTCGATGGCCGTTTGCGACTCTTTCCGCCAGTCGATTTGGTTGAAGACTAGGAATAACGTCAGGGCACAGCCGCAAAAGAGGTCGAGAACCAGCGCCAGCCAGAGAAGGATCAGGCTGTGGTACTTCAACACCAGGAACAAACTATAACAGTGCACAACTCCCCCTCCCCCTCATTTGTCATGCAAAATGCCCAATCCTTCCTTTGCGTTTGCCTCTTGGCACTGTTTGCATGACAAGTTCTGGCAGCCCAAATAGCACTACACTCCATTGCAAATTTGTCATGCAACGCCGGCATTACTGCTGATGCTTGTGTTGCCGTTCATGCAATACAAATGAGGCAGAGGGGAAGTTGTGCACTGTCATACAAACCCAGCGGAAACCCGAACAAGTAGTGCTGCACCAAATACATCCCCGCCGCCGTGTCCGACCAACTGCAGGCCCTTAAAACGCCAACCGCCACATTCTGCACGCAGTCGGGAAGCAGGGAGAGGGTGAAGATGATTTTTAACAAAAGCTGCAGCAGTTCGTTTTTCTCCTCGGGCGTTGTGACCAGACGGTCGTTTTGGAAGAGGAGACTACTCGTACTCGTACTCCCAGATCTTCCAGAAGATGAAGAGAACGCTGATAATACCAAAGTTCCTCCTTGTCCTTGTCCCCCCTTCACTTCTACCAAGCCCGTCACTTGTTCTCCTGCACGAGAACCACCTGTAGAAGTCGTTGCCGTGCTACTAGGCAGATGAAGTAGTTGTGGCTCCACTTCCTGGATGAGAAAATTCTCTGCCTTCGAGAGGACGTCGTCAAGACTAGTCCCGTCAGCGCTTACTATCGGAAAGTAAAAGTCCGCGATGCCCCGGGCCGCAACGTTGCCGATGATCATGACGATAACCGACGTGAAAACGCTGTACCAGACACATGTCGCTGCGTTTTTTCGTGCTTGTCGCGGCCTGCCCTCGCCTAGCGAGTTCCCAACGACCTGCGCCGCTGTGGAGGCTAAGCCTAGTGCGCCCGTGAACACTACCGTGTACACCGTCAGACCCGCGACGTGGCACGCCAAAGCGCCCGGGCCGATCAGCCCCGCGCAAATCGCCATCACCTCCCACATATGAACTGCAAAAGTATCGCACTAGCAGTAATTGCAACACAAATTCGCTCAGCATGGCAAATGGAATTTGTCATGCTGATGCGCCTTGGGAGCGAGATTTGTAAGGCATGACTGCAATTACTACGAGCACGATACTTTTGCACAGGATACCACAAACACCACTCCAGGACGATCTGCCAGGCGGTGGGTACGGAAATTTTCAGGAACTTCCTCAATCCGTGCAGGCTGTAGCTCCTGCCTGAATTCAATCCAACCAGGCCACTGCGCTCTTCGACCGCATAATGGTCGTTTGAAGCAGTTCCAGTCTGGTGAAGCATCAAACCCGGATTCGTACTGCCCCCGCGCCCGGCTGCAGCGGAGAAGGGGTCGAAAACGACCTGGAAGAGTAGATGTACCGGGGGTTTGAATTTTTCGTCCTCCAGAGCAGCGGGGTAAGATGTTGAGCCAGCAGCTGTTGTTGTCCCTCTGAAACTACTCACCCTTCCGCTCGCCCGCAGGCGCTGTTTGAAGCTGCGCATTGCGGCGGCCTGCGCTTGTGCCTGCCCCGGGGGCCTTGAAGGGGAAGAATTGGAAGCGGAGGTCGGGACCACGGGAAGCGGTGTGTTGTAGTTTGGCGCCCGGCTGGGACTGCTGGACGAGGTCCTCTGCTGAACGACAAGTTGAGATTTTTCCCTTGCAGCTTCTCCCCCTCCGCCTTCATCGTAGAACATGAAGCCTTCGAACATGAACCGTTTCGTGTAATGTTTCGCTCTTTCAAACATTTCCCGTCCGGACTCTCGCGCTTCTGTGAGGAAGACCTTCGCAGAATCGGCCGAGAGCGATGCTGTTGTCCTTGCTGGAGGCGGTTCTTTATCGAGGAAGTCGTTTTTGTCATCCACGGGTACAACTGCATCTTCAAATTGCCCTTGCGCACGGTAGTTACCTTCACGGTCGCCAGGGAAATAACTAGACGACGAGGAGGACCCACCAGCCTGGATCTGTGGACCCGAAAATTCGCCTTCCGCCCGCGCGTGCTGCGGCATGACTCGAAAATTTGAATTTCCGTATAATTCATCTGCGACAATAAAATCTCGGCGCGCTTGATCCCCTTCGACTTCGTTCATTTCATGTCGAAACACATTTACGTCTACGTCTACACGTTCGTGCCTCAGTGATAATGATGATCCTCCCCCTACATCATCATCGTCATCCTCTCCTCGTTCCTGTTGCGCCGCCGGTGCGGCTGCAAGATTCATGCCACTGAGGTCGCGAAATCGCAGATGTTGACCGACCGGGGAGCCCGGGGAGAGATGATTGAGCGGGAATTTGGTGCTGACGTTTTGTATCGTCTTATTCTCCCTCGCAAGAAGCGGCGTCGCTAGGTGACCGTTGTGTAGAAGTGGAGCAGTTCTACTTCCACCGTCGAGCTCCGCAAAGAGCAGGTCTTGGTCCAAGTTATTTCTCGTCAAACTCAACGAGCTGGTTCGTGGCGCTTTTGCCTGCGACGGACTGCTTTGTACAGCGTAGAGGTGATGTTCCACAAAAGACGCCCGCGGCGAGGAGCTGCGGCCCCGAGCGCCGGAAAGTAAGATTTGCTGTGCGGCAGTGGGACGTCGGAGATCCTCCTCGTCGGCGAAGCTGATGATGCCCCCGCTCGCGCCGCTTTGTCGCTGGTACTGCTGGTCGAGAAGAAAACCGTCGTTCGCGTTCGCCGCTGAAGTGCGCGCAGATTTCGTTCTTGAGGAAGATCGTCTTTGGTGCGCCGGTTGGTCAGCAGCAATTCCAATGGCTCCATCGCTGTGGTAAGAAGTAGAACCACTGATGTTATTGTACGGGTCTACGTTCACACTTGCGTCCGCACGGGATTCCGGAAAAAAGTTGTAGTCCGCATCGCTTTGGCTTTCCCTCGCATGATGATCCCGAGGCTGATTGATGTCGTAGAGGATGTTCAAATTCTCTTCAGTTTTTCCGCCAACACCACCCAAACGCTGCGGTCCTCCCGCACCACCTCCTATCGCCCGAGCTTTGCTCAAGCTGCGGCTCCCACTGCGTTGCCGCTCCAGACTCGCCTCGCTGCAGCTCGAGGACTGCAGCCCGCTCTCGTCTTGGTGCACCCGGAAAAACTTCTCCAAAATGGTCAACCCGGGCACGACCGGAGAAGACCGCACAGAAGAATGGTGCGCACGGTCGATTTCGGAAATCTTGTCCTGGGGATCATCTTGTTCCGGGTGCAGCTCTACTGACGAAGTCGACGGCCTTCTGATTAGCACCGAAGATCCCCGCGGACTCCTGCTTCGGCTGCGCGAAACAACCGGAAGGTGCTGCCCAAAAACGCCAATACGAGCAGCTCCCTCTGTGTCGGTCGCAGAACCTGGCGCAGCAGCTCCGGATCCGGTCGTCGCGCCGGTCGTATCAGGTGGAACGTAGTTCCCACCAGCACCGGACATCGACACCCTTTCTTCCAGCCCGACCTTGTTCCCGAAAAAGTTCCCACGCACATACGGGTTCCAGAACTCCCGCAGGTTCAAAGCGTAGTACTGGTAGCCGAAGAAGAGAAACGTCAACATGTTGGTGCAACTGTTCGCCAACCCTACCCCGAAGTTCTCCAGTTGGTAGTACCCCACGAACAAAAAGCACCACAGCCAGTGCAGCAAAGTCGTGCAGATCTGCATGGTCTGGATTGCGTTCGTCCGGTATGGATTGCAAAAAATGAGCATCGTTATCGTACTACACTACACTAGTTCTAGTGAAAATAGCATTACAAATGCAAATTTTGCTAGAAGCAGGTGGAAATACTAAAGTGGAATTTGTAATGCTGAATTAGCTAAGAGACCAGATCTGTCATGCTGTGATGCAAGTAGTACGACTACGATACTTTTACCTCTGCGATGCATATCCGTCCAATGTTGACGAAGAACTTCCGCCAGGTGTCCGCGATGTACATCGGGAGCAAGCCGAGTGACGCCGCGCGACAGTAGATCGCCGCTTCCCGCGCGACGTGCTCGTCCTGTTGACAGAGCAGCATCAGGGGCTCCACCTGGTAGAAGAGAATGTAGACCGCGAAAATGGAGTAGAGAAACACGCAAATCTTATGCAGTGCAAAAGTATCGCACTCGTATAAATGCATTACAAATTTTCTCAGCATGAGAAATAAAATTTGTAATGCTATGCATTAATGCGGATTTGCCTTAAGAAAAGGATTTGTAATGCAAGACTTGCATTTATACGAGTACGATACTTTTGCACAGGATAAATCTGTGCCTGCGCCAAATACACGTACATCTCCTTGTAGGCCTTCGCCCCGAACGCGGTGGAAACCAACGCTATGCATTGCAAAAGTATCACACCCGTAATTCTTGCAGCCATTATGCATGACAAATCGTATTCTTAACGTAAATCCGAATTACAAATTTGATTTCCTATCGCTATCCCCATGCTGAGGAAATTTGTAATGCAATTCATACTAGAGCGATATTTTTGCAATCCAATTGATAAGCGTATCCAGTCCGCAATTCAGCCCCACCGGAAACGCGACCGCCAGGCAGTTGAAGAAGCAGTTGCCCAAACCGACCGCCGGGAGGGCGTAGGGGTTGGATTTCGCGTAGATACTGATCGCAATCACGTTCAGGGTCTCTGGGAGAAGCAGCAGGAAAAAACTGATCACGTTGGGAGCAGAGAGGGCCTGGATCTGCAGCAAATCGCTGACAAGCCGCTCGAAGTCAAAGTCATTCCACCAGGCGGTTGTACTTGCAGCTGTGTTCTTCGACGCAGCTGAGCTCCGGGGGTTTCCGCTGGAGTTGTAGCCGGATGATCCCTTGCTGGTACTAGCATCTTTGATTTTGTAGGTACGGGCGGCAGCAGCGTTCTTCTGCGGCCTTGGAGGTTGTAAAAATGCAGGAGGAGGTTCTGGTGGGAAAGGAATTGTTTCAGGTCGTGGTGTCGCTTCGGCTTGATAGTTGTACCCTTTTACTTCTTCCTCTGTGGTGCGTCCCTCGCCGGGAAGTAGGCCCTTTTCGGGTGCAACTGCCGACATGATCGTAGAAATAGAATCTGAATGGTGGCCGTGGTCTTTTTCTTTAGAATAGAAAAGTAGAACTGGTGGTAATGTTCAAGAACTGAAGAACTACATTCGCAGGCGATTGCGCACAGCGAGCAACGATGATGAGCTAATCGTAAAAATAGACTACGTATGCTACAGTACTAGCTGTAGCAGGATGCTCACATAAAAAAAAATGTCAAATCCAAGCAAGCCCGAAAGCACACCAAAAGTCTCGACGTTTTGGTTTTCGGCGGTCTGCTTCTTGTCATCAAAAGTTAGACTCACAGATGTTGAGGTTGACCCCGGACATGGAAATGGTTTGCACGAAATTAGTCTTGAGTCCTTGCTATTGACTACACCCTCCGTGCTCCTCTTTGTCTTTCTACATTCAGCTTTCTCGATGTTCTGTACGGTGGAACAAGCGCCGGAAGCACACATTTATAATTTTCATTCGGCACACTTTGTGTTTGTTCCAGCAACGAACTCGAGCATATGTAAGTGCTACTGGCGGGATGGAGGCCATAGCTGCTAGTAGCTGAGCCTACTGTTGTGTTTGATTTTTCCAAAGCGAAGTAGAAGTTAGTGCACAGCACGACGCTATCAAAATACATCCGTTTATTTTTCATCATGTCCAGGAGCTTTATTCTCGTCAAAATCAAAGTAAGGTCACCGGAGGACCACGACGGCCTTAGTTTAGATTCCTTCATAGTTGTTTCGGAGGTGGAGCTTCACGCCCGCGGATATTGATGAACGTCGGTGCCGCCTGCGCCGTCTGGTGAGATTCTACTTCCATGAAGCTGCTGCAGCATGGCAAGGAGAAGGAGGCAGATTTCGGTTGTTGTAGACAACTAGAACTACAGCCTTCTCAACATCTCCAACTTGTCAGACGGTGCAACAGGAGAAAGATAGCTGCGTCGCAGGCAACCCCAACGTCTAACCACGATTGCAAAGCGAGGCAATAAAATAGGACATAAATATAGATGAATTTGAATTTCTTCGAAATAAATCTTTGTAATAAATCAGTTTGGCAAACAGGGCTTGTGCTGTATTCTCAATAAAAAATGTGCTTGTGCAGCACACCAGGTACTAGTAAAAAATGTCGAAGTTGTAAAACCGCTACAACTAGAGCGGATAAAAGAAAGCGTCAAATTCAATATTCTCGACGTTTCAATGAACAGAAAGAGGCGGGAGTACAGGAGTAGTTATAAAGAAAAATATACCTGCACACAGGCACAAGTGTGTAAAGAAGCAAGTGAGACTTTCATGTTTTTTGTTTTTCAAAGCATAGAAATAAAGTGATACCATTGCGTTTTTTACATTTCGACAGTCAGAGTTTTTTGAGTTCAGAGACGAGCGCAAGCAGGAGTCAAGAAAAACAAAAAGAATATACGTACGTACGTAGAAATGAAATCTGTAGCAGGTCAGGAGCCGCACAGACGAGCGAGAGATTGTTGTAAAGTAAAAGTGCGCGTCCGTCCTGCTCTAAAAATTGTGTACTTAAACTTATCAAAAACAACTCGAGGAGATCAACATATGTCCTTTTGTTAATTCGTTTTCAATACGACGACATTTTCCCGAGCGCCGTCGTTGGGTGTGAGATCTAGATCTGAAAGACCCTCCCTCTTGGAATCCCAACGACCGCTTGTATGAAAATTGCGTCGGCCATTTATCTAGACGTAGAAGCTCCCCAGTGAGTCAGTTTCATTCAAGTTCGAGCTCCGGCGACCGCTACAGATGACGTACACACACAGAGGAAAATCGAAGGTAAAAATAAAATTGAGCAGTCAGCTACATCTTGTATTGGCAGCTTCCACTCCTGTAGCGGGAAATGGAAGTTTTTATTTATCGACATGATCAAATGAAGGCTCTACCAGTATCAGCCTCAAACACACTACACTATGCCTTGATAGGTTTTCATGGCACAGCGTAGTGACATCATCATCATTTGTGTTGATTAGAATCGTATACATAAACATCGAAACGGTTTTTGATTTTGTCCACATGTTCTTTCACTATCACATTCAATAATTTTTTTGTTGTTCGCTGTATTCTACTACTTGTTTTATATGTTTTTTTTTAAGTTTTTCAAGCCTGTTCTGTATTACCTGCTACTAAATGTAGTTGCTTGTCACCATGTCAACTTTACGCACTTCAGTGTAGTCTCCTGTGTGATGTCTCCTTTCATGAAATTGCATGGATTCTACGGTACTTCTGCTTCTGCTTCTCCGGATGTAGAAGTGAATTCATCCGTTGTCGAAGTGGTAAATAATCACAACGACTTCCAGATAAACTAGAATCTCCTGAGCCGCCACTATTGATACTGTTCCGCTTTCCCAGCGACGCTAGAAACCACCGCTGCAGAGGAAGAATGATCTGCGCCTCCTTTCATCTTGGACATCATGATATTTTTGTTCCCCTTCTGGTAGTTCTGGTCGGCATGCGCATGAAAATGCTGGTTATTATTTGACAGCTCGGACGAGTTGTTCAGCGCAGCGAGGTCCACAGTCGTTGTAATCGGAGAGGCGTTGTTCATGGTGGCGGCCGAAGAAGTTGTCGTGTGGGTGACACTTCCCAATGTAGTACCTGGATTAAAAATTGTGTGGTGGTGTAAACAACTACTTACATCAAACGACGCAGGAACAACAACAAGCCGGTAGTACATAAACTATGGTCAACCTCAACACGCTTTGCGAATTTGATGTTCTAAACTCAACCTGCTAATAAAACGGCCAGTCCGCATCGTTATTCCATCTATACCCGTGTTGTTCGCCGCCTTGAAGACAGTCGTATCTGCCTGGGCGCCACTCTTGGAAACCGATGAAACATGCGCAGGAGCTGCAGCTCCGGTAGTAGTTGTATGCCCCATGATTCCAACGGTGGTCACGATGGCTCCGCTGTGCGAGGAACCCGTGGCGTTGGAGTTCGTAGTCGCACTAGAAGTCGCAGTGAAACTTCCAGTGCTGGTCGTCCCAGAAGTAGACGTCACTCCGGTACCAGCACCAGTCGAAGTACAACCGTGGTCAGCACCGGCTCCACCGGCCGCGGCAAGAGTGGTTTGCGGATGGTGGTGCAGCTCCATGTATCCAGGAAAAAACATCCATCCCCATCAAATTTGTATTTGTCATGCAAAATATGCATAAGATCCACTGTTTGTCATGCAAAAAATGGATGGGGATGGCTGTTTTTTCTTGGATACCATGGTAGAAGAAGGCGCAACCGTCCCATTAGCATTCGTGATGCCAGCCGTGGTTCCTGTTCCGGTCGCGTTTGCCGTATTTGCAGTGTGCTGGTGCCAGTTGTGCTGGTGATGGGCCGCGGCTCCGTGGTGCGTTCCAGCACCTCCACTCGTCCCGTGCTGGTGGTGTTGGCCGGCAGCTCCGTGGGCAACCGCCGCGGCGGCACCGGCAGCTCCGGCAGCGGCCGCCGCGTGGGCGGCTCCGTGCGCGTGGGCGGCTTGCAGGTGGTGGGCCGGGGCGGTGGGGAAGTGGTGCGGACTGTAGTAGCCGGCCCAGTAGGACGGGTCATTGTAGTACCCGGCCCAGTACGCAGCGTCGTAAGCCATGTTAAAGTGGTCTCCCTCCGTAGCGCCGGCGTGGTCTGAGAATGTTCATGTTGATCAAGGTGTCAATAGTTTCGGATTGATGAACAGGGAAAACTAGTATTATATGAGACTATGTTGATTATATCGCATGACAAAGAGGCGAGCTCAATCAAAAAATGCAACAGAAATACAGATTGCCGGGGGGTAGTTCGAGTTTTCGTCTTTCTTCGGACCGCCGACGAGCGCGAGCAAATCGTTAATCGTATTCTTCTCGGGGGAGGAGGGCTGTAATAGATACGGATTTATATATGCATGACAAAGTTCTCCAACTCCAACAGTACGGAATCACACATGACAGGTTGCATTGCCAAAAAAACGCCTGGTATAGAACTATACTCCGTGCTTGTTGCTGTGCAAGGGCGTAGACTGGTAACTCGGGACTCGCGTACTGGGACTTTCGCCGTAGCCTCGTTTTTTCGGAGTCTTCCAGAACGCGGGCTCAACTGATCATGTGGGTGGATTGAGTGGACGTTGTATAGGTTATTTTCATCATCCTCACGACCATACACAACATGCTGCACGCTTGATACGTAGAAGTTCTTGTACTACCGAGACTCTTCACACAAGGGTGCAGACCTCTAGCTCTATGCAAGAAGTCAAAACTTCTTTCCACCGATCTCTAAATCTAAACCTGAAGTGAAACTGAAATCAAAGACCAAACTGCATGACAAAGTTTTGGCAGCTTAAGTATAGTAGAAAACTGCCAAAACTGAAACTCCCAAAAAGGAAAAAACTATAGTACCGACGCTCTGCTGGTCGTACCACTTGGCGGCGTCCAGTGCGATCTCGACGAGCATCTTGTTATCCACATTGCAAATATAATCCCTGGACGTCTGGAAGAATATAAAGACCGCTACCGCTTGTCATGCTGGGGTTGCATGACTCTCAAGTGGTCTGTCACATGCACACTACAACCCACGACGACCTCCAATTAATTTTCTGTGAATGCAAAAACGCGGCTATTTGTCATGCTCAATAAGCATGATCACCTCCTAGAAAGAACGCAGAAGCTTGTCATGCTAAGGCGTCACGGTGTCCTCATGATTTTTCGCCACTCACTCAGCATCACAAGCTTATTCCAGACGTCCAGGGTGGACGATATTTGATGCACTTGATACTTGTAGGTGTCCGACGAAATATCGTGTTTGTGCTTGACCAGGTCCTGGTAGATCTTCTCAATCCCCGACAAGTTCGCCTTCGTATGCATTGCAAAACAAAGTACCTTCGCACTTCACAACCTGTATGAATTGCATGACAAATTTCCTTGGCATGAGAAATGAAATTTGCAATGCGGGTTTAGGTTGAGAACAAGATTTGTAATGCATGACTGCGATTAGAAGTACTGGTACGACACTTTTGCACAGGATACTTCGAGATCTTCGACAGCTTCTCTTGCGCCTCCTGGTTGGCCGCTTCGGCGTCCAAGCTGTGGGCCGATATTCAAGAAAAAAACACCATCACAATCACTATTGCACGTTTTTGCAATACAAAACTTTTAGTCATGCGCAAAAATGCATCACACTCAAAATTCAAACGGGATTTCCTTCATGTTTTTGCATTACAAGAAAAATTTATCATTCCAGACAAATTTCTGATGCAAAACCCCCTAAATGTGATTGTGATGTTGTTTTTTTCTTGGATAGCCGAAGTGTTCGCATCACTGGCCGCCGGGCTGCTCGTCCCCTCGGAAGAGGAGTAGCTGAACGAGCCGTCAGCCGCCGTACTCGACGGGGTGCCCCCCTTCACCGCACCGGTACTGTGCGTCATCGTGGTGGTCGTGGAAGTCGTGTTGGCATTCGATTTCGATCCGTCCTTTGCCTTTTCATTTGGCGAACCGCCAGCATCTTCGCCCTTCTCACCGTTCTTGGCGTCCCCACCATCAGCACTGCACTGCGGAGAGTTGGAACAAGTCGTGGCTTGTTTGGCCGGCTGCTGCATAGGGACTACTGTTCCGTTCTTGCTCGAATCTTGTTTCGTCATGGTCCCGTGCGACGACTCCTTCAGGTCGCAGGCTTTGTCCTGCAGAGCAGAACTCGTCCCCTCTTCATCAAAGTCGACCAGATCGAGGACGGATGAACTGGTAGTGTTGGTAGTAGTGGCACCTCCACCTGCCGCAGCTCCGTTGTTGTTCGCCACATTATTGTACTTGCCCAACATCTATGCTGTGCAAAAGTATCGTACTCGTATAAATGCAAGTCATGCATTACAAATCTTTTTATTGAGGCAGATCCGCATGACAAATTCCATTTCTCATGCTAAGGAAATTTGTATTGCATTTTTTTTTTTTTGATTGGGCCCCGCTCTGTTGACGCATATAAATTCATCACTAAAACTAGGAGGCCGGTGTGCGTTACTTAACATGTGAAGCAGTTCTACGAATTCACCTGCCTGCCGCAGCAGGTCAAACAGGGCCGACACCTTTCACACAGTTAAGCAGTGCGCGTGTATGCGTGCACTTTTCGTCTTGTTTTGATATTCTTACTATCTGCTCTTGTCCTCTGCTCCAGCACATTGCACTGCGCGTCTTGTTCTCGCTTCGCTTGCGTTTTCCCCCTCCTCCCCCGCGTGCGTATCGTATGTCCGCGCTAGCAGGCAGATCTTCGCTTTTCATAGTGTTTTCTTCTGAACTTAGTGTCTGTTAGTCTGTATCTAGTTGCTAGTCTGTGCTGTAAAACTGAAATAAAGCGAAGCGGAAATCTTAAAGAGCTTACACCTGACTTCAAATCGTGCTAGCATATTGTTTCTATTTCTCATCCCCACAACCCATGGCCAGCCTTTGCTGGAAAAAAAAAAGTTCCCTGGTGTGTTTTTTAATAGTCACAGCGGGTGGGGGGAGACCACATTGGTCTCCCCCCACACGCTGCTAGTCTGTTGTAGTATCTGCTTGGTATTTCTACATGAGCGAGGGCAATTGCGATACGTTTTACGAAGTGCTTATTTCATACGAAGGGAAGTCTGTTACTGAATTTGTATTGCAATTTATACTAGTACGATACTTTTGCAATGCATAACATCGACGAAGTTTTCGCCTTGTTGTACTGCTGCATTTTCTTGGCCATGGCGGGCGACAAGGGGGTGTCCTTCAGCGTTTTCACCTTCATCTCCCGTAAATCGTCCATCGTAGTGGCGGAGGTCACGACCTTGTTCTGATCGCCGGGTTTAGTCTTGTCCTCGTTTTTAGAAGTGCTGTCAGTATCTGTTTTTGAATCCATCCCACCAGAAGTCGTGTGTCCCACAGAAGTCCTCGCCGAAGTTTTATTACCATTCTTCTCGCCCGCAGCCTTGGCCGTCTTGCTAGATGAAGCACTGGTGGACGAGGAGTTCTTAGTCTTTTCAGAGGATGTTGCCTTCGGGGAAGATTCACCTGTGTCTATTTTCTTTATTTTTGCAATCATGAATTGCGGCGCAACCTGTAAGTGTGAAGACTCATTCTACATTCACTGGGCGAGACGCGATAACTAGAACAAAGAACCAATTTACTGTCTGACTTTTGCTCGCTTAAAAGACGTCGCTACACGACTGTTCTTGAAGCATCTTCTTCTAGCTTAGTACCTTGAGCGGTAGATGAGTGCACTCCAGAAGCAGCTCCACCCTTGCGACCTTCCCCACGACTGGAAGTTTTGTTCATCATGCTCGCGGCCCCCTCCGATAACTGCCGGTCTTTTTGGTAGTAAAAGTACCAAAACGCGACCGCCGGACAGAGAATCCGGATCGCCCACAACACGAGCGAAGCAAAGTCCAAATCCAGTACCTCATCCATCGTGGTCGGAGCCGGCGCGGGAGGTTCTTGCGTGCTGTTCATGGTCAGTAGGTTAGCAGCAGATGCGCTAGCACCGACAACACCGGGGGCTGCTGCAGATGATGACATCGCGCTGGTTGTCGTGGTTGAGCTTCTTGTTCGCCGTGTACGTGTTCTCGGTTCTGCGTACTATTTCTAGAAGTTGTACTATCACAGGAAAAAAGTGTTACAGTTACACATTCGTTGGAGTTTCTGCATCACAAAGTTGCTCGACATGGCTAAGAAAACCTGTGATGCGCAGACTGTAAGGGAAAACAGGAATGAAACGAGGCTGGCAAGCATAATCTGCATGGCAGAGGTTGTCTGTCTTGCTTGTCTCCCATCAGAGTGTGTAACTGTAACACTTTTTTCTCACGATATGTACTTGTACGGGGAGGAAAGGGAAACAACTTTCCGTTCGAGGTTGACGTTGAGCAGGGATAAGGACTTATCGTCTTTATCCTCACAGTTGTGCTCCGTCCGGTTCTTTAATACCGATGCTTGATTTATTCTTACTCGTGGCCGCAAAGCACTATTCTCTGTAGCCCTCGCTTCTATCTTGTGAAGAAGAGACGCGACTTCGAACGACGAGACAAGAACTGCTACTTCGGGGCACAACCACGAAGCGCTCGTCCCGGATAATGTTAATGTCGGTAGATGAAGGCGGTGTGGTTTCGCTGTGATGTTTCAGCCATTCATTATACACGCATCTCGTAGATGAAGAAGTTGTAGGACATAAGACGGCCTTGAGCCTCCGCACGTCGGAGTATGATTTCGTGTTCGTTGTCACTTCCGCCGGAACAAAGGTCCGCTTGCGACGTTTCCGTTCGCGATCGCGTTCGGTTTGCTAACAACAAAGAAAACAAAATCTAAATCCGTCCGCGCTGGTATTATCCACGTACAACTTGAACTTGCTTGTGCTTCACTCCAACACCAGCAGTAGTTGCAAGGAATACTAAAACAAGCTATGCTACACTATGGTACAGATGGTGAAAGAAGTTTTTTGCAAGAAGACAATGAAAGAAAACAAAAAAAATCGCAAAATGTAAGTCGTGCAGCACCAGCACTTGCACTTCTTGTAATTGCATGCAAATTTCTACTTATAGGTGCAAAAATTGTTGTTTTCCTACTAACTTCTGAGGAGACATCAAATTATGCCAACATTTTTGCCTCTAAACGAGCCAAAAGTTCATATCCAAGAAACGGATCAATGGAAATGGGACCACGGCCGCGGCCTTCTCGATATTATCGAGATAGCAAAAGTGGCAAAGTGAAATTGGTGTTCTTGTTGGGAAAGGAAGCTGGCGTAGTGAATGAACTTTGGGATCTGTTATCTCTTCACAAGAAGATCGTGGTGGATCTAGAGCGACAGAAACTCTTTGATCATCAACGGCACGGAAGGCTGGCGACAGAATGATCGGGCATAACCGTAGATGTAGTTGCGCTTCGAAGAGCAGTTGAAACCAGCACGCGCAGATGAACAAGAGAGAACAAACCTGTATCGGATTGTGGACCCATGAAGAGCAGCACGTGCGATGATCTTCATTATCCAAAGCGCGATGGCAACTGCTCTGCCTTGGAACCAACGACGCGTGATGTCGATGTGTTGAGCGAAACTTGTGTAAAGGGAAAGCAGCATAGCACCCGGACCGCGGTGGAAAAAAGCGAACACATAAGTACTGTGAGGGAGTTCGAAGCATCTTCAATCTTGTTGAGCGTGGTGTTGCTCTAGCACTAGTAGCTCCTGTTCCTCTTTCTCATATCCTACTCTATTCACGTCCTCACCAGCTCGTATACTACATTCGAAACCGCGGACATCAGGTACCCATGTCTACACCACGTCACGGTCGCGGTTTCCAAGTATATAAACACAGCTTCAGTCGTGGTTTCGAAATGCTGCTGCAAGCACATGGTAGTAGAAATATTACGGTATGTGTGTTTGGCTTTTTGCTGGAAATGGAATTTCGATCTGCATGGAAGAGGATCTTTTCTTACTGGGTTCGAGAACGCACTTACGAATACCATAGTGGTCCTGGAAGAAATTATATGAATAAGCAAAAGGGCATGCTGCCCACCACGAGGGGCTTGTTTGACAGTGTTTTTGTATAACTACACGATGACGAAGGAAGCTTGGTACTTATCGCAACAAGGGATGAACGGGGGCAATTCTCCAGACCATGAAATCATGCAAAAGAGAAACAAGGCACGGAAAATTACATCTTTTTCTTGACAACAGCGCCATCATCTTCCACTAGGGGCGAGCCCTCCTTCGCTTCTCTCCCGGCGCGCGTCACCTTGGCTGTGCCTCGCCCGAACTGCAAAATAAACGAGAACAAATAATCCTCAAAGAATCGTCTTCCGCGGAGTGTCAGCGAGACCAAAAGTCGTTTTTCCCTTTGCTTTTCCTGGGCTAGAACCGACGGCCAGCCGGATTCATCCTCGAAGTCCTGGTCGGATGGGTTTGGTATTGATCTTATTGAGCTGTGATGGTCGTGGCCTTCAAAACGGGTCTTGCTTTCTCCACCTTGTTGTTCTGCCGAGAAAGTATGCGCAGCGAGACCGGGAACACCAGGAACGCCTTCACCATCCTTCCCTAATGCAGGCTGCGCTACAGTTCCTGGTGGCGTGATGTTGATGTTCGAAGCTCGAGGATTGGAAAAATTATATCCGGCTGTCATACCTCGAGACGAGGTCCTAGTCCTTCTGGCGACGGTATAATTTGCAGGTCGTAATGGTGAATTTCGTGCAGGAGAAAACGCCTCGTCGTTGGTATTGTTCCCAGCATCACTTACCGTAGAATTTTGATTTTCCTTTGAAGCGGTGCGGATGCAGTATTCTCGTCCCTGTATGCTTTGCGCAAACATCAAGGCCAAGGCAGTGTACACCAGCAGATGCCACAGCCAGTGCCCCCAAAGCAGCAGATCCAGCTCGTAGGAGGATGAGGAGGTTGGCGCTGCTGGGGACATGGCCGACGACGTAAAAGTTGCTTGATTTGAATCTTCCGTACTTCGACTTCCACCCCCACTTGCAAACCAGGAGCTTAATGAAGCCAACACTGACAGTGTGGTTGTGTTCTCACCAGGAGCAGCAGCTGCAGCTACTGGGGATTCTAGTGCCGGCGCTCCCGATTCTTCATCACTTTTCCCTCCTCCGCCGAACCACCGGCCCGTCCACAGCGAATAATCGCCTCTGCAGAGCCAGAACTCAGGTTCCCAGAAAAGCCTACCCGCGAGCCCGAGAATCCACAGGAGGCGTTCCAACCCACGGCTCGGCGCGGCGGCACAGGCCACCAGGAGGATGATAGCGTGGAATATTTGGCAGGTGAAGAAAAATGTGAAAAACGCATGCCACCCCGTGTACACGTAGAACACGTGGCAACCGGCGACGGCGAGCTGATGTGATATTTTTTTGGAAAATTATCATCTACTTTTTTACCGACTGGTAGTGCTAAAAATTTCTGCACTTTTTGTTGGATACAAGCGCAAGCCTCTGACCATGAGTGCTGGCGGCGTACGCGTAGTTAGTCTGAAGATTTTGCAAGCAAAAATCCGCACTAGAAATTGTACCGGCACCCACTTGTAGGCCAGCTGCCGGGACACCGGTCCCCGGTACAGGGGACTGTAGTCCAGCAGCGACGCTTGCAGCGCCAGAAGCGTGAGTGACATGCCCAGCTCGTCCAGCATCTCGGCCCAAAACTGCTGCGTCGCGTGGAACAGCAGAGACCCGGTGGCCATCCCGATGTAACAGCACCAGGTGAGCTGGCAGAGCAGATACGCCGTGCTATCCTCGCTGATAGAACGGAACAAAGCCGTTTTGTCTCGAGCTGGAACTGGACGTCGGCTTGCCTTTGCGAGTGATTCGTGATGCCCATCATGAACATGATTTTCATCCCGTGTGGAGCTGCTTATCCTGCTTGACGGACTCTTGTGCGGGAAAATAACTCCTTCGCTCTGCCTCTGCGAGAGCAGCTCCAGCATGGACTCCGATACGACCCGGCGCTCACTTAGCGGACAGAGAAGCGGGGAGGAACACGGCGACGGCGCTTTGGTCGAGGGCGTGCTGACCTGCTCCGTCGGGCTGCAGTCATCTTCTGACGCCTTTGTTACTTCGGGTTCGGCAGGAAGTGATGTTTTTGATAGTGTTGGTTCTGGAACTGGAGCAGAAGTCGAAACAACAGGTAGTACCAATTTTTGCGTGCTTGTTCCGTTTGCTTCGTTAAAAGCCACGCTCTGTGCGCGGGTTGTCCCGTCATACCCGTATCGTACTCCAAGAACTTTTTTGCTCGAAATAAACGCGAAGACGCTAGCGAAAAAACCGGACTTTAGGTTGGACTGTGGTGGAGTCCGCACAGTGTCTGGTGTTGAAGTAGGTGATGTAGTGCGATGCTCTTTCTCACCACCTCCCGGCACGAGAACGAACCTCCCGGCCCCGGCGAGCCCCGCGGTGTAGGCCATGCCCACCAAACCGAGGAGTATTGGCCAGAGATTCGTCAGCGCGTTCCAAAACTCCGCAATATACGGTGACCGCTCGTACGCCGGCTCGCAGAAATGCACGTTGCTGTTCCGGGGGCCCCAGAAGGGCTGTAACGATGAAGTGGCTGAGGACATTGGCGAATTTGTAGCAGTCGCGTCTGCTGGACCAGGAGACATTAATTATGTCGCACCACACCGAATAGGATTCTATCTAATGTGAACGGGAGAAGAAAGGCCACGTCAACAGAGTTTGAATTTATACGCGGCACAGATAAAAACGATTACTCTTGGAGCAAGAGGGGATGTGAGTACTACGCGAGGCACAAAAACGAAGATACTACAGAATATCAAAATTTCTGTTTAACTACAAGAAAATGATTGATACAACACTCACAATGGGGATTCGGTGGATTGGGGTATAATACTAGCTGAGTTTGATCCGTAGGCACGTAGCAAGGGCCCTGCTTTTTCGACGATCACGATGATCAAGCGCGAGATAATTGAAGGAAGTCGAGAAACATAAGATGACCTGGCATTACGAGATCTATCAGGTGGTGCTTCCACACAGTGCGCCTACTCGGCTATTTATGCTTGACACACATCGCATGGTCACACTCACAACAAAACAAAAACCGACAGCAGGAGACAAGGCATAGTGGCCGCATTCTATTTTGTCACGCTCTCGGAACGGAAACTTTCTTCGAACACTGGAAATGACATTGGATTCACGCAAAGGTCGCGAAGCGCGTCGAAAAAAGCTCCACTGCCAACTGTCACCTTCCGTTCTTTGAGCGATATGCGCGCGAATACCAATATTGAAATTCTGTGTTTTATCATTTCACAACTATACTACTTGAGCATTAAATGCCATTTACTGTAAAAGCGTCTTCTTGAATGTCAATGTCAATTCTCAGAAAACATAAACAAAAACATAACCAAAGTTGCTGTATGCGTTAGATAAGAGTGCTTCTGTGCTGTGACTCTGTGTGCGACTTCGGCTACTGCCTTTGCAGCTTCAGACGTTTCATACGATAGTGTGAGTAAAATTCAACATCATTCTGAACGATGCAGAAGAGGAAGATGTAGAAGTACTTAATCGTCACGATTTTTATGTTGCCTCACTTTTTATCAAGAATTCGCACAGAGACCGAAGATCCGGAGCGCGGAACCAAATCGAAGCGGAACACGTGGAAGATGACGTGCACGAGCTACTAGACATGGCCCCAATTGTCAGATCCGCCTAAGAAGTTCTGCTGTTGTGCCCCAGCAGGTTGGTATTGCGCTCGGATGGTCTTGATCGCGTCGATTCGCGACCGCTCTAGTTGTCGCATCCGCGGTTCCGGCAGCTTCAACGTCTCGCAGAGGATATCTCGCGACAAATTGGTTCTCGCGTGCGTCGCCACGGAATCATACCCGCAAAAGGCTCGAAAAGACGGCCGTCGCGCCACTTCGGTCTGGAGCAGCAGCTGTTCCCAATTTTTTACCTCGGCGTCCTCAGGGTACTGGTTCTCGGCTGCCCGGGGTGGCAGCTTCAAGGCAAGCACTTGAAAATTCCGCTCTGTTGCGGCCCCGTGGTCGTCTCGCTTGTCGCGAAAATGCCGTGTCACTCCCAGCGTCGGGTAGATTTCCTCTGGGGCGTGCGCCCCTGCGAGTTCCAGATCCTCTGCAGCCCGGTAGGGGACCGTGTTGCGGAAATCGAGCGGGGATAGTCCGCCGTCGAACAGAGCGCCAATCGCCTTTCGTTGAAAGCCCTGCAGTAGCGTACTGCGGTACCCGGCGTTCATGATCTCGTGCGGGGCGAAACTGAATCTGTACCACCTCGCAGCGTCTTGTGGGTCCAGAACACGGAATACATGGATCGCACCGCTACCTCCCGTCGCGCGGGGGCCTTGGTTCTGCTGTTGCTGCGCTTCTTCGTCTCCACTATCCAGCGCAAATATGTCTGGGTCTGGAAGAGTGCAAGTTTGGCATGCACGTTTTGCATGAGAAGTAGCCATGAAGTCTCTCATGTCTGCCCAAGCATCACAGATTTTCTCAGGGCTTCTCGGTGCCGATCCCGCATGACAAATGCCCTGTCCGCGTACTTGGACTCCTTTTGCTGCTCATGCAATACAAATTTTTTTTAGCAATACAAATTTTTTTTAGAACCCAAATTTGGATTCCAAACGCAGCGTCACAAACTCCACCTTTCCAGACCCAGAGCATATTTGCAATGCATATCCACCTCCACTGGACAAGTAGACCCAAGCCTCACTGCAGTTGCTGGAGAAGAGCGCGCCGCCGTTGGGCAAATAATGCCGCGTGACCCGCCATCCATTGTTCGGTCCAGGGTTAATATCGGCCAAATGGTGCAACATGTCAACCTATCCATTGCAAATTTGTCTCAGTCCGGCAGCTATTTTCAGAGATCTCTGATGATGCGTCTTGCAGGTTACGCAAAATCCTGCCTTGCGTGAGTGAGTAGCAACAGAGACAACTACCTTGTTGTGGGCACGCTGAAAAGCGATTTCATCTCACACGATATTCATATGCATGCTAGGCCGTGCAACTGCGTTGCAGAGTCCGTGGCGCATGCAAACTGAGCTCGAGGACAAACGTCTGCATTCTTCTACCAGACCCAGACATATTTGCAGCGGATACGATCATCAAGATTCGGCGGTCGGACGCAGCAGCGGACACCCCTCTAGGCTCGCCTTCCCCTGCAGCCTGGCGGTCTGCCATGTATTTCAAACACGCGAGCGCGACCTGGTCTGCTAGCGGCAAGTCGTCAAAAATCGCATCGGCGTCCCGCAAAATGATGTCCCGCAAAAACGTCGGCGTGGCGACATCGAGCAGCTCCGACACCGTCTATCAAGTGCAAATATGTCTGGGTCTGGCTCTGGAAAATTGTGACGCATGTCAGTGAGCAGAAAGCGCACTGTAATGCACCGCCAAGCATGACAGATTTTCTCGTAGCTCTGTGATGCGTATTTTGCATGAGAAACATCGTTCTTGCATGACAGACAAGAGGAGGCCTTCGTGGCCACGCAATACAGAGCTCAGAGTCATGCCAAACTAGCACGAAAGGCCTCGCAATCTTCCAGACCCAGACACATTTGCAACGCATACCGTCGCGACCGACCCAATTTGCCGCAACTGGTTCCAAATCGGCGGGAACAGTCGGTGGGCCATGTTGCAGCTAACGCGGTACTGCCAAAAAAGCCGCCGGCTGATTGCCTTCAGGACAAACGGACGCAGGACGTCATGGCACTCCCGAAGCTGTATGCCCCACGCCAGTGTTGGCATTTCCGCCTTGCTCAAAACTTCCTGCACTTCTGCCCGCTGATGCTGCAGCCCCATCGGACTGGGTTTCTGGTCCTCTCCCACCTCCGCGACGAAGGCGTTGTTTGCGTGCAAGTCGTCAAGCGGATGCTTGATCTCAGCAAGCAGCTTCTTTAGTGGCCACAGAGTATCTGCAAAAGTCACCGCCCAGAGCAGGACGCTATCGCATGAAAAAAGTGTTTCACTGTATAGGATTTTGCAAGTTTTGCATCACAAGTTTGTTCTACATCACAGAGAAAATTTGCCATGCGAGATTCCTAAGGGAAAACACAGCTAAAAATCTAGTGTCTTGCATGTGTAGCAAGACAAACCCTTCGCAGATACATTTTCTGCATCACAAGTTCACAGCGAAACAGTTTTTTCGCGCGATAGACGCGTTCCGGGGTATAATGGGCGTCCCGCAGATGCATCTTGTTGGCTGCAGATCCGGGGCGGAAGACGTTGTGGTCCAGAAACGACTCCCACTGCGTCATTCCCGGCCGACCGTGGTGCGGCGTGGGGAAGTATGGGAACTGGTCGTTGTTCCGGAGAGTCGGCAGTAGATCTCCTTGCGCGGGCCACGCCGGATTCACTCCGCGATAGCAGTTTGCTTTATTTCCGACCCAAGTCAAAAACTCCTGTCGCAAGACCTCCTTCCGATTTTCTTGCAGCACGTCTGCACAGGCCCAGCATATGGGGTTTGTCCCCTCCAACCCGTAGCGGGGTGTTGGTGCGTTGCAGTCAGTGCAGCAGTATCGCGTCCGCAACACCAATTCCACCCGCTCCTCCCTGGTTGCTGCGTCTTCGTCGCTGAACGCCTGGGCGTAGTCGGAAGCCCAGACCAGGCGCTGTAAAAACTGTCGCCGCGAGGGGCGGTCTGGGTGCCCTACTTCCGGCTCCGTGCTAAAACAGGCACTGTACGACTTTGGCCTCTGCCGCAGACCGCGCCCGTCGTCCGTCGGTAGCTTGTCGACGGGGTCCGTCGGTAGCTGTCGGAGTGGGGGCCCGATGACATGGCCCTGGAGGAATGCCATCCATCGCAGCCGGTCTTCCCGCGATGGGTACTGCGTCAGCCCCTGTAGAACGAGTGCCACACGGTCATCGTGACTCTGGGCGTCGAAATATTTCGCGCACCTGGGCATTTTATGGGTTTACCAATTCACGTTTAACTTCAAACCAGGCACGTGGGTGCGCAACTTTCGTTAGCACATTTGCCCGGCGCCATCTGACGTCATGAAAAAGATCGAAAAAAAACTATTTCTATTTCTGAACCGCATAAACAAAGACTAGCATACCTTGGATGCCGGGCCAGGCGAAAACACCTCCGGAGATAGTGATACTCCGTAAAATCGTATGCCGTGTCCACCTTAAACGCCTTGTCGAATGCTTCTTGGCTGGTGATCAGCGACGGTGCTTTGTCTCCCGTTAGTGGCTGCCGACCAACTTGGCGCTTAGCAAAAAAATCCGGCTGCGTTGCGTCTCCCGTGCTCGTGCCAGGATAGAATATCGCAACCTTGCCAACCAGAAAGCGGTCAAACTTCGCAAGCATCTCCGAATCTGGACGAGGAAATTGCTCTCGCAAAACTGGTGTGATGTGATGAAGAAGGGTATGGTAAAGCACTTTCAAAAGTCACAAACTGTTTGCTTAGAACCATCTAGCAACACATACCGCAATCATGCAAAGAGGAAATACATATAGCTGTCCTGCCCCACGCAAGCGCAAGAACTCCATCTTCGACACAACACAATACACAACGTGAACAGTATGCACCTGCTTCAACAATGCTCCGGTAAGCATGGTCCCGCCTATAAATTTCTGGTGCTTCCACGGCTACGGCGAGCACGGCGTGAAGGTACGACTCTGGGTCTGCTCGGATTTGCGTTGTGTGTGTTGAAGTTGATGCTGCAGGCGCGGCTGCGCCCCCAAGTACATTACTGGAGGGGCCTGGCATCGCAAACCGCGAGCTGTTACAATTTCGCAGAGTTTTTTCCCTCTCAAAGGGCTGCCAAAATCGTGGTCGGTGAGTGCCACGTAACCGCAACAGAAAATACTCCGCCGTCCGCTGCGGTGCGGCTGAAAAATTTCCCACTATGAGGGTGCACAACTACTCCCCCTCCCCCTCATTTGTCATGCTGCAAAATACTTAAATTACACCTATCCTCTTGGCACTGTTTACATGACAAGTTCTGGCAGCCCAAATAGCACCAACTACACCCCTGTTCAAATTTGTCGTGCAAAACCTGTATTCTTGCCGACGCTTGTATTGCTGTTCGTATATGTACAAATGAGGGGAAGGGGGAGTTGTGCACTCTCATACCCACCCCCAAAAGGCCCGAAGCCCACGCCCCGAGGTCCTGCAATTCCTCTTCCGTAAGCGGCGCGCTGGCTGCGCGGCCACTGTGGTACTGCTTGCAGGCGTCTCCGAAGTGGCACGGCCTTTTGCTCGACGACGGATCGAAGTGACATTTTTTCTGCGGGAACTGTCGCAGGAACCTTCTCCTCTGCTCAACCTCGTCTGGCGCGTTGTCGTTGCTCCAAGGACGCATGACGCGTTGTGTGGAGCTAGCGCTGGAGTTCCAGTTCCTGCTTCCCGACGCGGTGGAGGTGGTCTCCTTGGACGTCGTGTTGTTTGCATTCATCCAAAACTCCTGAAGCTGTACCGACTGCTGTCTTAGTCTTGTGCTGGTGGTAGCTGTTGTTCGCTGCTCGTGGTAAGAACGATCAGCACTTGATGCAGCTCGTCCAGGCCCAGCACCAGCTGTGTCGTTAAAATAATCCGGATCGCGGTGATTGTCCTGCTGTCGTGGTGGGTTCCGAGTCCGATCTTCTTGCGCGGGTCGGTCGATGAAGTTTTCCGCTCGTCCCCTTCTGGCCGGTTGTCCTTGTCGCGGTCTTGCGTCTTCGATTTCGTAAACGTTCCGCCTATAGTCCCGCTGTTGACTTCTACTTCTACTTCGAAACCCGCGTTGTTCTTGGTTGCTTTGGTGCCGAAAATCTCGACGCCGGTCTCGCTCTCGCGAAGCAGCTCGTCTGTGACTATTATTTCCATGTTGCTGACGCTCGTCGCGATATCTTGAGTTATCGCATCGTAGTTGTCGTTGTCGATATCGTGAGTCATCGCGTCGTCGTTCTCGCTCTCGATATCGTGAGTCATTGCGTCGTCCTCGTCGTTCTCGTTCCCGCGAATTATACCGCCTCATTGACTCCTGAGGCGCGGGCTGGAAGTTAAAAAAACCTATGTCGTCCGGCTCTCCAAAATCACCGAAAAACTTTTACATCATCCGTACCATCTTTGGGTAACACTTTGGGATGAGTATGTTGAGATATTCATTTATCATTTTATGTTTTAACCGATTGGAAATCATGAAAGTTAGAGTTACGTTATCTGATGCACGTTGTCATACGATTCATATATCACTGTATCAATCTATAGCTACGCTGTGTCTTTTACTTTTTCTGTTTGTAGTTCTAGTTTCACTTTCAGACGTGAAGAGCAGAACATATTCATTGAGACGAGGTTCGAGATGAACAAATCAAAATCTAAATCCCTGCTGATTGCTTTTTCCTGCATTCTGACGCGGCGCAGCGCAGCAAGCTGTTCCCTCTAGAAGATGCCTTCCTCAGGTCAGTCTCGGGTGCTGCTCAAATAAATGATTTGCTCTCTGAGTGTAACCAATCGCGTCACTCAAAACAATCGCTCGGAAGGCTAGCCAAAGCGCTCAAAGAAAAAACAAAGACTAAGGAGGCACGTAGCATCGCCTACAGCTGCAGTATGCAGGCGAGGAACAAAAACAGAAAAAAAAACAAAATTCAAGAAGTAAGGTCTCCCGACTCTAAACGTTCTTTCGTCTGATGCTCATTATCATTTCATATCACACGTTCCTGACTGTCATAACCATAAGGTGGATATTCATGGAGTGTGTTCACTTTGTTCTTTCGGTGGTGGTGCTGTGAATGTGTTTTTGAAAACAAAAACCATCAAACTACCGAAACAAGAGAAAATAAAGTCTGCGCATGCACTCTTGTGAGCTCTTTGGCTTTACCAGATCAAAACTCCATCAACGCTTTCCCCACACTCCCCTCCACGCTTCCCCCGGGCAACGGAAACAGATTCGTCGCCTGCCGACAGAAAGCCAGCTTTCCCGGGGGCGGACCCCCACGGGACGTTGAAGACGCAGTACTTGGAGTTGTGTCCGTTAAATTCAATGCGCAGTACTTCGACAGGGGTTGCGAGTAATCGAGCTCCTTTTCAAACTGCTGCAATCGCCTCGCCGTTTCCGCCAACCTTTTCGCTTTCTTGACTGCCTTAAACGCCCGGTCCTTGTCCCTTGCGAGATCCCGGAGAACCGAGTCCGCGTTGTGCACCATTTCTTCCGTTTTCTCCTTTTCCCCTTTCGCGTCCACACTCCACCCCACGATGGTGTCGATACTGCCCTTGTAGATCCCTTTTCTCGAGTCCCACGTCACCGGCGACGGCTCGTCCGCGTAGCTATTGACCCACTGTTATCCTGTGCAAAAGTATCGTATTTGTATAAGTGCAAGTCTTGCATTACAAATCTTTTTCTTAATGCAAATCCGCATTATACAAAGTCTACTTCTCATGCTGAAAAAATTTGTAATTGTAATGCTAATGCATTTATACAAGTACCAATAATAGCCGCGTCCGCGGAGGTAGTGAGGTCATGGCGGTCTTTTTGTCTTCACGCCAAAAAAGGACGCAACTTCTCTGCCCACCATGCCATCGTGAGTAATGTTATGCACGACGGCACGGCGGTCGCTAAAAATCTCAATCCAGAGGCGGCCCCCATTTGGTTTCGAATCGAAGAACCTTCCCCGCATGCTATGGCCCCGCCAGGGCCCACGCCAGGGTCGGCCCCTTGGGAGCCCCAAATCGGGCCCATAGCATGCGGATTGGCTTTTTGCTTTTGGCGGACTTTGTTTTTTTTGTTTTTTTTTTGGCAAAATGCTGCATCTTCTGGTCTTCAGTCCGCCTCTGAAATGGCGGATTTTGAAGGCGTCTTTTGCGCGGCCCGAATGTGGGAAAAAATGAGGCCCATACCATGCGGATTCTCTGTTTTTTTCGGAGTGCTGCTTTTTGGGCGCCCATTTTTGGGCGCCGCAAATCGCCAGAAACTAAGGCGGTGGGCGCCTCAGAAGGGCGCCCCTTTTGCCGGCTCCCCTGCGTCGTTTTATCAAGCGGGAATCGATAGAATCCGCCCGGGCTATTTTGCCGCAAACGCCCCGGCCGCTTGATAATTGAAAACTTTTTTTGTTAAAAAACACTTCCGGCCGCTTGAAAACTGCCGGTCGTTTTGCGTGATGCATGTCAAAAAAACCGCTAGGATAGAACGTTCGTGACCTCACTACATACGATACTTTTGCAGTTCATAACTGTCCCATCCGTTTCGTTTTCTCGTTCTCCGTGTATGGTCGCATCCGCGTTTCGATCATGTTCATCGGATTCGTCCGGATCGCCTGCAGCCGCACCAAAATGGCTTTCAGTGCGCGGTACCCCGCGTAGGCGGAAATGCCCTGCAGGATGAAGGAGAGGAGTTTTTTCGAATTCTTCTCCCCACCGAAAATCTCGTAGAACAGTTCCGAATACTCCTCCTTCGCCTTCTTTAGTTCAATCGTAACCATTTTGAACTCGTCCAGAAACCTTTTCCCCGCCTGTTCAGTATCTGAAATGTAGCCTTTCATTTTTTTGTTCAAATTTTCAATTTGCCGGTCCGCAATGTCCAATACCAACGCCGTCGCTTTCTTCACTTCCGCTTTCAAATTCTCCGTTTTTTCCTGATTCGCCTTTTTCACCTCCTCCGTTTCCCCGGCTGCGTGGTTCGTTTCCGTCAGTTGTTTTTTCAAGTCGTCGAGTAAACCCGTTGTCCCTCCGGGGATCTTCTTCACCCCGTCGAAAACTACGGGCGGAAGAATGCTCTGCGCAAAGTCCATCACCGTGTTCTTCGTCATGTCGGCGGCTTGTTTCAGTTTGTCGTATCCGTCGGTCTCCGTCGCTTGGCCCGCGAGCTTCTTCGCGTCGTTCGCTTTCGCCTTTAACCAAGTCAAGACCTGTTGCCCCATTTTCCCCGCTTTGCTGTTCATCACGTCGTTCTCGAACGAGATTGCGGACCGGCCAATGTCAAGTTTCTCGGGTTCTTCCGCTTCTTGCAGCTTCTTCTCCTCCAAGTCTTTTTTCAACCCCTTCAAGTGGTCCGTGACGGCCGTCGTCTGCTCCTCTAAAATCTGCTTCGAAGTGTCAGACGCCTTGGTGATGATCGCCTTGAAAAAACCGAGCGCCAGGTCCTCCTTGTCCATCGTGTTGTCGTTGTCTAACTGGTCGTTTACATCGTCCTCAATAACCATCTGCTCCATCTGCTTGCGCATCTTCGAAAGCATGCTCAGCGTGTCCATGTCGAAGAAAGCGGTGGGTGACGAGGATGCTGCACTACTTGCGGTGCGACCACTGTGATTCTGTAGCTGTCTTCTCCTAACTCGTCGAACTGAAGCTTCTATCTGATGATCGTCAGCGGGACTTCCGGAACTGAAGAACGAGGTACATCTTCTCGTCGATCTGTGATGGCAGCTGGAGCAAGCGGCTGTTGTTCCGCCCGGCGACGTTTGCACGGTGGATGCGCCGCTATGGTGGACGTGATAAGGCTCCTGGTCCATCTGCCCTGGATCCGCAGACAACTCGTGATGAAGCGAAGCGGTGGCTTGCGCCACGAGACCATGTGGCATCTTGACCTGCTTGTTGCCTTCAAGAATCGCTGAAACTGCAACTCAAGAAAACTCGGTGGACTTAACTTTCGCAGTCAGAATTTGCATAAAAAACTGAAATACAACTTGCGAATGAAATACTCTTACATTCTGTAGACGATGAAAAGCGGCATTGTCGTGCATCCAACGATCACCAACGAAAAATCTCGAGCGATACAAGCTAATCGACGATCAAAACTAACATGATAATCTTCGTGTGACATGCGATTTGATAGCGAGCTCGAAGATGCCTTCGATACCGATGCATCAGTGGCGATAATTGGTATTGCAAAACAAGTAGAAGTTCTTTCCGCTGAGGACGATACGAAATGTACTCTTCAGGCGAGCGCGATACTTACGTAAACACGATTCAAGACGTCGTACAGTTTCGAGTAGAGGTCAGAAGTGGAACAGCAAAAACCAACGCACTGGAGGTAGCTACTAGCTACTGGGAACAAGATTTCACTCTGTGCGTCCGATATAATTATCGTGACTGGAAAATGGAGCCTGACTCTCTGGCCTTTGCTGGCACAAAAAATACTTGTGATGACCTGAGTGGATTGACGTCAGGACAAATATTTTTCCTTCACTTTTTCACTGACCAGCGCGGCCTCCCGTTCGTCGAATACCCAGAACTCTCCCGTCCGCCTGTCCAAATCCCCGTCTGCTTCCATTTCGCGCAATATTTGGTGAAACCCAATCTCCGCCGAGCGGTACTTGTGCCCCAGTTTGGTCGGCAGGTCGAGGCTTTCGAAAATTTCCGGCAAGTAGATGGACTTAGTTGCGGTCGTACTGTGAGTTTCTGGCTGTGCCGAATCAGCTTCAGCTAGGGCGGTTGTGCTGGCGCTCATGTTCGTCGAGGTAGCGACGTCGCGGTTCTTGGTTATGACCACAGGGCACGACGAGGGTGCGGAAATTGTGGTACTTCGATCATAAACCCACACACAAGTAGATCTTGGCTCATCGGAAAGGAAATCGCCTCAGCGAGTGCCACCGCAATATAAGGATCGCGACGAACTGGAACTGGCACGACGAACTTAACTAGTAAGAACGAAAAATGTCAAACAAACGAGAAACAGGCTTTGCTTTCAATTTTCAATATCATTTCGGTCTCCACCGACCTGCAGGCTTTTCCGATCTGCGGTCTTTTTCGTATGCTTTGTCGTTTTTTCGTTTTTTATTTTTTCTTTAAATTGTTGCCTATTTCACACCACTCAAAATCACACAAGGTCGTAGGTGGGTCAGAAAAGTTGTCTATGGCGGGTCGGTCTAGTTGTAGTGGGGGTAGCTATGCAATTCTCTTCACGATCCAAAGGCGTTGCGCTACATCAAAACCAGTACAATCTGATCTTCTGATTGTTCTGTCTGAGCCCGGGGGTGAGTTCCAGGTAGTAATTTTAATTTTCTTCTTTGAGTCAAGGGGGGTAGAAGCAAGGAGCCAACATCAGCAGTTTCAAAACCACTCCAAAGAACAGCGTCTTCTGCAGAAGCAGAAGAGCAACGTCGACAAACGGAAAAATAATCCTCACATCGTCCCGTGGTACTGTTTTGTCCCTTTGCACTGCGGGTAGCTCAAACAGCCCCAGAATTTCTGTCCGTTGGCCTGTTTTTTCCGGATCTCCATTCGCTGATCTTGGCACACCATGCAGACGGGCGGCACTTCCGGGATCTGCTTCTTGAAGCGGCAAAACGGCTGCGGACACTGGAAAAATCCGGAATTCGCTTTTCGGCGAAACTTCGTCTCGGTGCCGCAGAACATGCAGAACAGCGGGTAATTTTCCGTATTCGTGCAGTCTGGGTACTTGACGCACCCCCAAAACTGCCTTTTGTTCGTCTTGTTCTCCCGAATCAGCATGGGCTGGTTGTGACACCAGGGCCGCATCACCGGCGAGCTGTTCTTCGGCTGCTGGTCGGGGTTCCGCAGGCCGACGCCCGTGTAGATGTTGGAATTGCTGTTGTCGTTTTGATTTTGACTGCTTCCGTTCAACATGACGTCGTTCGGGCCCCCGGACGGGAAGCGCTGTCGCTTGTTGGACTGGTTTGGGTTATTGTTGTTGTTCTGTTGGCTATTTCTGTGCTGGTCACCATCTCCCGGGGTTAACGAAGGGTTTTCGACAACACCCTCCATGTTGTTTGCTGCACCAGAAGTAGTCGTGCCGTCTTTCATGTTGTTGTTCACGTTATTTGCGGTACTAGACGAGGACCCACCGCCCTGCTGGTTATTATTGTTGTTTTTGTTCGCCCAAGAATTTGGCGGTCCAGCAGGCGGCTTCATGGTATTGTTGTTTTTGTCTCCACCACTGCCCTTCTTCCCCTTTCCCTTCTTGTTCCCCTTACCGTCATTCGCAGATGAATTTGTTCCGAACGGCGTTTGCCAATTGGTCGTATTGTTTGTTCCCCCACCTGGAGCTGCACCACCTCCAGCGCCCCACACCCAAGCTTGGTCGTTTGTCATGGCGAGTTGCTGTGGCGGCGGATGGTTTTGATTGGAAGATGAGCTGCTGCTACCACCGGCCGTTTGTCCTTGCTGTGGCGCTTGCGCGGGGCTCGGATGGCGACTTTTGTCCTTCTGTTCCCGCTCCAGTTTCGCGCGCTTCCGTCGCGGGCTTTCGTTTGTTTCCTCCTGTGCGGGGGTGACGGAAATGGGGGCCGGGATCATGCCCTCCTGTTCCTCGGATTCAAACAGCGCACGCACGTCCTTCGGCGTGCGCCGCTCGCCGACGGCAGAGGCGGGGCCGGTACCTGTGGTGGGGGTTTGTAGTTTCATTTTGCTGCGTTTGTCTGGCGGATCTTGGTGGTTTTAAATTCATTTTAATTTCTCCCGTGAACGACAGCTTCAGGAACTGTATCCAATTCGCATTTGTGGACAGAAATTATGAAGAAGCCCTAAATCCTAAAACGCTCGCAAAATATGAGATTGAGATAGAAAAAGTTACCTTCCATAACCGGCTCTTGTTCCATTGCGTCTTCGTGGTCGGTGCCACTGTCGCCGCCCGGACTGGGAACGACAGGGTACGTCGCGACTTTGCCAGATTTGTAGTCCTCAAGAAACTCGTCCGCGACCTTGCAAAACTTGCAATCCAGGATCTTTTCTGTACCTGATAGGACAGAGTTTTCATTTTGTTCGACTAGTACGAGTACCTCTTTATTCAATTTCCATTCATTTATGATACAATGCAAATTGGTGGAGTCAATTCTTCAAAACTAATACGAGGTTTGGCCCATCGTTGTATGGCAAGAAGTTACAAAAAAAAACATCTATACTCCATCGATCAGCCGGGTTCGCCTTGAGCATGCCAAACAGGGCCTGTTGCGCGCTCGCCGTTTGTTTTTTCCGGAACAAATTGAAGGCCGTGTCGTAGTCCCGCTCGGCCGTGTTCAGCGTCTCGTTGAACGGGAATTTGCCCTCGAGCATCACGAAGAGAATCACCCCGCACGCCCAGATGTCCACGCCGAACGAAGCCTCGAGCTTCTTGTCAAAAACCTCCGGGGCCACGTACATCGGCGTGCCGACGCAGGACTGGTGCGTTTGCGCAAACTTGTTCATCAGCGGGTTCGAATCCGTGGCGATCTCCTTGGAAAGACCTGTTATTATAAGAGTTTGGAATAAGCGTCATGCGTTATTTTTCACCGAAATCGTTGTGCCAATTTCACATACTTTGATGTGTGCATGAAATTATAGCAAGCCAACCAAAAGGAAAAGTAGAGATTGCAGACGTATGTACATGTTGTAGCAGTAAACATCGCTCATACAACTAGACGAGTAAATTCTGACCACTATACCAAAATCGGCGATTTTGACGTCGTGCATGCGCATTCTGGCGACGTTTTGCGAGCTGCCAATCAGCACGTTTTCTGGCTTCAAATCTCTGTGCGCAATGTGAGCTTGGTGCAAAAACTGGAGTCCGCGGACCAGGCCGCGTAACACATAGCTCGCTTCCGGATCGAAAAAGGTGCGCTCGATGATCTGCGCGAGAAGCTCGCCGCCGGCCACATATTCCTGCACGATGAAGAGCAGTTGCGTCTCCTTTTCATCGTAGCAGCCTTCGTACCTGAATTATAGTTTTGTAATAGTAGAAAACCTCTACCTAGGACTTACTTTTGCTGCCAAAAATGTAGTTGCAACATGCTCTTGCTCATGACGCATCTGTATGTCTTCAAGAAGCAAAAAATCCAAAAGACAACAAAAGAAACTACGAAGCAAAAAATAATTTCCCATATACCCGACGATGTTTTCGTGCATCCCGAGGTTTTGCAGGATGCTGATCTCTCGTATGAGGCGCTGCCTCAGCCTCTGTTCGTTGTTCCGCAGCCGCAGCTTCGCCAAATCGATACGTTTGACCGCGTAGGTTTTACCGCCGCGGAAACACTTGAACACCGTGCCCATCGCCCCCTGGCCGAGGAAGTCGCCCAGTTCAAAGCCCTGATCCTTCCACCGGACGGACGGCTGCGTGCTGGAAGAAGAGGACTTATTGTTCATCCCCGTTTGCGGTTGCGACGTACTGGTGCTGGGCGCTTTATTTTGATTGCTACTTGCGGTTGCGGCGTTGCCTCCGACTCCTTGATTGTTGTAGTTGTGTCCTTGATGTTTATTACTAGAGCTGCTCGAGGTAGTACCACCAGTGTTGTATGCATTACTCTTGTAGCCCTGCTGGTTACTGTGGTTGCTGTTCCCACCTCCTGCTGCGCCGTTTATTGGCGCCGTGGCAGTTCCTGTTCCACCCCCAGATGAGCTGCTGTTGCCCCCTCCCGCGGTAGTCGGACCGGTCGTCATCACTTTCTGTGCCTCGTTACCGGACGCGTGGCCGCCACTGGAATGGCTCATCAGGATTCCAGGCCGTTGCACTGGTAGCTTCATCTTGTTGTTGTTATAATTCTGCTGGTGGGGGTTCTTGGGGTTCTTGGGCTGGCGTGAATGTTGATGATCCTTCTGCTGCTGCTGCTGCTGCTCACCCGCTGTGTAGTTACTATCACCAGCTGGCGGCGGAGGAGGAGGTTGTCCACCTCCACCAACCGCAACCACCACCGGAGATCTCTTCGCCACTTCATCCTGTGTGAGCACACTTACCCCCTGGTGCGTCACCTGCGTGATGTGTTTGTTTTTGTTGAAAGGCTGCAGAGGATTCACCCCCGGCTTGTTCGAGGGTCTGGAAGGCCCGCTATTTGAAGACGACGCAGGTGCGTTCTTCATGGCCTTTTTGGCGCCGAAATTATTGTGTTTCGGTGCGGACGGTGGGTGTTGCTGGAACTGGAACACCGGGGTCCCCGCGGGGGTTGCGGCTCCGGTGATCAGCGGCGTGGCGCCAAACTGACTCATCACGAACTGGCTGGCTGGTGCTGGTGGTGCCGTCGCAGTTGCGTTGTTCACCACTGAAGCTACAGCAGCTCCTTTTTGATGCTGATTAATGCCCGTGCTTGTTGTACTGCCCATAGTAGTACTTGTCGCATTTTTGCCACTGCCTGGTGGTGGAGCTGTTGCCGGATCCCCTGCTGCTGCTGCTGTTGTGACTATTCCAGTACTGGCCAATATCGCTCCTGGTGTTCCACTGCTACTAACCTGATTTGGCGGAATTGTTCCGGTCGCCGCGGCCATGGGAGCAGGTGGTGGTGGTGGTACAGTTGTTGATACAGCTGCGCCAGCTACTCCACCCACCGCAAGCTGCAGCTGCTGCTCACCCGCTGCCGCTGCTCCGCCCGTCGTTAATACTGGTTGCTGATGCTGGCCCGCCGGCGGTGGGTTCATGGGCGGCGCAGGCGTCCCTGTGTTTGTCGTCCCGGCGGTCATCTCTTGCAAACAAGATGGTCGTGCGGAGGTAACAAGCGTGTTGAAAAGCAGGTACTACAATCAACGCGTGGTCCTCTGGAACGATGACGAGGAGGACCGAAGAACAGGTACTAGTCTACGTCGCCTCTCAGTGCCGTTCTGTCGTCGTTGTCGGCTCGGTGGTACAGGAGGATCCTCTACTTTTACCCGAATTCCAGCACGGAAAAGATGAAATGGCCTCGCGAGGACGTGCTGGCGGCCGCCTCCACGGTTGTAGTATTCGATATCGATTCAAATTCTGGCGATTTTCGTTGAAAAGTAAGTACTACGTATTTTGCTGAAGATAAATTCACGAGCAGTTTCGTCCAAATTATACACTGATTGGTCCTCGCTGAAGACGCTGACCCCAGTAGTAGTAAACAGGATGATGTAGTTATAATCACTGTTGGAATAAAACTCGATCCAACGAGATGAATACAACCACAAAAACTACTCACGAATAAATCTTCTAACACAACCTAGCAACTCACTTTCAATCTAATCACACGCGAGTCTTCAATTCCTCAGCATGTAGTTGCCCTCTGCTCGACGTCCGTGTAGCAGCTGTAATAGCGCAGCTTTTTATCGGCATTTTTATCTGTCGTGCTTCGTTGCCTTCCTGAACTCTTGTACTCCGCTGCACGACTCCGCGCGAAAGCTGGCCGTGGTTCTTCTTGCCCTCGGTGTTGCAGTAGCCGGAATGTAGATTCATATTCATGGTCGTTGATAGAATTTTTATGCTTGTTTTCACGAGTTCCGAAATCTTGTACAACTACAAAACATCATCTGCCTAAAGGTAGCGGTAGTTACAAAAAAAACAACTCGGAAATGCTATGCGTTCGTCAAATTATAGTTGAAAGAGCTATGTTGATTTCGTACTGCTATAAGAGAATCTTTCATCTTTACTTTTCATACAACAGGAAAAGAAAATCCTTCCACGAAGTCCGAACGAGGTGTGTCCAATCTTCGCAACGAAACGTGATCGACACGAGTAGAGATAGTACGGAGGTGCGGGTCCTTTGTTTATCGATTTTGTTGCCACAAGAGCCGTCGTGTACTAGATGAGGTGGTGGGTTATTTTTACAGCTTTTATTTCTACTTCCGACGAACTTCTACGTAGCAGTACCACGTCGGTGCGAGAGGGGTTTATTGAGCTCGAAACTCTTGGGTTAAGGAATTCTGCGACAGTACACAGACACGACTCACGGTAAAAACGCCTCTTGCAACGTCGCGAGCTAGATGTGCCGCACAAGGAGCAGTCTACTGCAGCTGCTGCTGCAGGAGCGAGAGCGTGTAATACAACTAGAAGACAAGATCTGTGTTCTGTTGAGAAATTCCTTAGCCACAAGTTTCATCTCACGGCCGCCCTTGCCGTCGCAGATAACGGGTTGTTTCGGTCCGAGCTCTCGCTTGATAGATTGTGCAAGAGCTTCTCTGGTTGGACTGCCAGAAGATACGGAGCGACCGCAAAGAACCCGAAATGCGCTGACGTCTTCGCTTTCACGTTGGTTGGTGTGGGATGAAAACTACACGGCGTCTGCAAGAAATCGCGTTGTATCAATCAATCTCCCGTAGGTCGTGTGCTGGTTCTTTCCTCGCTCTCTTTCGTGCTGCTGTGTCGTGTAGCTTTCTTATTCTTTAGATTTGCTGCAACAATAAAAAACGTGCTGCTTCAAAGTGACTGAGAGGATTTTAGAGGATGGAAGTTGATGTAGTCAAAAGAGATCCATGCATTGATTAAGTGGAGTGCCTCCTCATCGTCCAAATTCCTTTTCTTCATTTTCTCAAATTTACTATTAATTTGGTGCAATCATCAAATCATGTAGCTCACACTTCATTCCTTTTTGGGATCCCGTCGTAAGTCGTTGTGGTCAGCGCACGGTTGAACATACACACTTTTCTTTTAGCGTTGCGTTTTCATTTCATGTCTTGCATGCGAAGCAAAGGCAAAGGTCAAAATGTTTATTCCATCTATTTGATATTTAGCATCTGACTACTGCAAAATTGTTATTGTTGACCGAAGGGGGTAGTAAAATTTTCTGTGGTGCATGTTTTTCTTTTTCGTCATGCAGCAAAAAGATCATGCATTTCTGTCAAATATTTTTCTTGTTGGTGTCGTTCTACAACATGAAGCTTTCATCTCCTGACTCTGCGAGTGGATATCGCCTGATGCTGATGCATCTTCGCGAGTGCTGAGAAAAAAAAGTGCCAACAGGCGCGAATTGTATCGAGTTCGAATATATTATTTTTCATTCGCTCGTCCTCGAGTAGTTCGAATATTACGGTCTACACCAACCACAACATCTCCATCTCCTTACTCTCACACAGATTTTTCCAGTCATGATTTACGGATGCGCATCTAGTTGGAGTGCTGTACTTGATCATTATCTCAACTTGTTTCATTCCTTGCTGTGTCGGCACGGTAAGGCCTACAACGGGACCTACTTATCTGCGTCGACCCTTATCGACCTGCATGTCAGGATCCTTGCAAAGCGCAGGAACCATATAGAGTTGTAGGTTCCACTACTAATTTGTTAGTACGATGCGCTGGACAGAAAACCGTTGACCGATTATGCGCAAACGATTTCGGCATCTTTCTGTTTCTTCACGGGCAGAAATAAATTGACGGCTATCACAGATGTTCGTCCTTTTTTGTAACACGGAAAAATAGTGATTTTTCTTGTCGAAAATCATCACACTAGTATCGGACATCATCTTCAAGGTCGAGGTCGACAGCGCGTGTGCTACCCTATCTTAATCTTCAACATCAACATTTGTTTTTCGCATGAAAATCTTTTGTCTTCATCAAATCTAGTGTACAGTTGCAGTTTTGCTTCTGTTCTTGTTTCATATTCATTCGTTCCGGCATCCACAGAGAGAATTTCACTTTCGACGGAATTACTTTTTCGCGTACACAGGCGCCCATGCCCATCGCCTGAACTTTTCATTTTTAACATCTTCTACGTAAATTATACAGTCTCTGTAGATACATCAGCGTATTGCAATTGCTTTTCAACATCAGCTTCATCATTCTGCTCATTAATTTAGGACTTTCAAGTTCGACACTAGCTGAAAAAGAGATATACTTTGTGCTACATCTTACATGTCGACCTGCCTAGTATCAATGCTATTGCTATTCTCTGGGCTACACGAACCAATCGGAAAGAAACTTCTACGTCACAATTTTCACATGTTTGTCATCTTGAATTCACGATCACTAAAAAACGATCAGAGACTTGTATTGACTTCCTTTGTGGCACTGGAGGCAGTGACTACAGTGAAAAACTTCTTCCTTGGCTGAAAACTACTCGTCGCTTGTTCCATCTAAAGAGAATGAGTGTTCGTGTTGCAAGAATTGCTATTATTACCGGACTAACAGTCCAGGTCGAGGTCCAACTGCGTGGTATTATTCATGGATAACGATAATGGTTGTACTAATGCCTTGAGACAATTAATATTAAAGACCTGCATCAACAAGAAGATCCAACATCCCCCGACAGACTTCAGCACGCTATCTCCTCCCTGCAGGGTTCTGTGATGATGATTTCCAAAACCAAGCTTCTTTGGGATTTCAGGTGAAAAAACATCTCGTCCAGATCCCGGCGCACATCGTTGACCGCGGTAACGTAGATTTTCTTCCCCTCCTCTAGCCGCCGCTGGTACGACGGTATGATACGCCGCAGCGCACTCTCGAAGTACCTGTATTTGATTTAGGTTTAGGTGTTTGTTCATACAACATGAAGGGGTAGTGTCACATCGACACTCTTTCCATTTTTGCCTGATGCGCTCTACGAGTAGAAAACACAAAGCGAGATAGCACAGATTCCGACGCAAAATCTATGTCGAGAGAAAAAAAATTAGCGCGGTCTCGAGTAAATACCCATGTCTCGTCATCCTTTTCACGAGCAAGGCCGGTCGCAGCAGGACGTTCGTGTTGCAAATGTCGTAGGGGTTCGCGGAGTACAGTCTGCAGAGCGATTTTTGAAAAACGCCCCCGACGTCACCCTCCCGGTCGTCAGCGTATTTATCGATAACCAGCTGGAAAAACTATCCTGTGCAAAAATATCGCACGACGCACGACTCGTTGCTAGTTCTAGATCTAGTAGAGGGAATTTTGCATGACAAATGTGATTATGCTGGCTAAATCTTCCTTCTCAAAAATTTGTCCTGCGATCCATCCTAGTGATGAAACCGCGTCTGCGATGCTTTTGCAAAGCATAAAACCTTCTCCGCCACTACCGCTTTCACCGTGTCAGCCACCTTCTCGAAGTAGTTCCAGGACGACAGCGGTGTTTTCGGCAGTGAAGAAACCAGTGCGGCTGAAGGGGACGAGATAAGGGTTTCCGCGAGGTCGATCGCACTGCGAGAAAGTGTTGCGTTTTTCTGATGATGTCCACTTTGATGACTGTTGGAAGAAGAATCTTGATCTTCGCTAGTAGCTGAGTGCAGATTCTTGTTCTGTTTGATCCACCCTGCTCTACTGTAGTTCTTGTTCTTCTTCATCTCGTCCTTTTTATTCTCCACGACCCACCTGTGCCGCCCGGGGGACTTGATGCGCTTAGGTGGGGACTCGCCGTATTGATCGAGTAACAGATCCGGGTTGTTCGCTTCGTTGCTCTTGTTCCGCTGCTCACACTCGACGGAATACGCGTCTTCGGAACTACTGGAAGAAGAGAGATTTTCTTGATCATGATCAAAAGTCGACAATTTCTGGTGGTTCTTCTTGTTTCTCTGGTGCTGGCGCGTTTTCTCTTTTATCTTCGCAGGAGCAGCTGCAGTTCCGGCGACCTGCGCTAGCGAATTTTGCAACAATTTCAACTGCTTTTGCAGTAGCTGCTTCGTCTCGTGCAGGCTGTGCAAGAAATCTTGTTCGTCCTCTTGTGGATCTTGCTGTGGACCTGGCGCGATCACTTGTTTTCCTTTATTTTTTCCGCGAGTTGTACAATTGCTGGCCGCTACCGCTTGTACGTGATGCATTCCAGCTTGCTGCTGGTTCATCCGGACGTCCTGCTCGACCCCCGCCGACGCGGCAGAAGAATCGTCCTCCTCGTCAGACGCCAGCTCCATTTCGACGCCCAGGGCTTTCAACGAGGCCGAGATTCCGGAGAGTTGCTGTTCCACGTTGGAAAGCAGAAAATTGTTGCTGTGGTTGTTCATCATTTTCATTCCGTTTATTCCTCCGGATTTATTGCTAGTAAAATTCCCGTCCAACATCACACTCGTCGCGGCCCCCGGGGACGTGAAATTCTCCTCAAGCAATGTCGGCCCATTTTTCATCACGCCTGCCGCAGCGGGCGGAGTGATGTTCCTGGCCGATTGACTCAATTGAGACGAATTCGACTGCGTGCGTGGGTCATGATCTTCGAATAGATGGTCTCCTGCTAGTAATTGGACAGACGACGTGGTGTCGAGCGTTGCGGTGCCAGGCCCGTGCACACTCAGGGTACCATTGTTCATCGACGACGAGAGTTGTCCTGCTTTCAAGACGCTACTACTACTTCCAGTAGTATTCATTATTCCCATACCCCCGACTCCCGGTGGGGCGCAGTAACTGTGGCGAATCGCGTTCGCCGCGAGGTTTTGCCCGACGAGTGGCGGGCCTGTGCTGGAGGAGTGTAGTGAAGTCGAAGCTCCTGCGTAGTTCGATGTTGTTCCGGACTGCAGCGGAAAGGCGGAGAACCTTCGTGTTGGGTCAGAAATTGATGTCGAATGTTGATGCTGTTGGCCTAAATTTTTGTTATTCACCGTCATCGTCCCACCGCTGAAGCCATTGGACGACCCGTTAAAAACCTGGTGCTCCGGCGACGGAATGCAAAAGGAATTCTTCGGCGCGGACGGCAGTTGCGAGGACAAAAACGCGCCGGTGGTTGGAAGCAGACTGTTGCTGTTCAAACTTATCGTCGGTGGGGAATTCATAGGGACTGCAGTTGTAGCTTGATGTTCTGCGTTTTTCACAATTCCGTTTCCTGCATTTGCGACCGATCCGCCGGGAAGATAAGAATCGTGTTGGAGAGGTGGACTACTCATCATCACTTTCCCAGCAGAACTCCCGTTCACCGGGGTGCTGGTCGGCACTACCGCAGCCGGACTGACCGCGAGTAAATTTGCGGAACTGGCCTTCCTCTTTTTGTCAATCTCCTTCTTCAGATTTTGGAAGAACTGGGGCTCCAAATGGGACAAATCCTGCGAATCCCGCTTGTGAGTGTCGTCTTTCGCGCGTTTTTGTAGCTTTTCCAGCTGCTTGTTCGCCGCCGTCCGGTCGAGACTGACAGACCCGCGGTGGAAGCAAAAGGATTGCGATTTGGAAGTGCGGAAAGCCGATTTCCCAGCGTTGCCGCTCGTATTATTGTTCATCTTCCCGGATGAATTGATACCGTGACCACTACCCCTATCGTCCGCTGACGAGGTTCCAAGACCAGCACCGCCGGCCAGCATGCTGGCCCGGCTGTTCAGGTTCAAAATTGCGTTTTTTGTACTACTCTCATCTGGGGCTGGAAACGCGTCTTTGTTCTCGTCCTCGTCCGCGGAGGAATCGTCTAACAGCGGTTGCTGCTGACCAGATAATTGCTGTTCTTTACTGGTACTGTCATTTTCATCCTCGTCATCGTCTGACGTGCCGTAGCCGTCGTGTTGCTGTTTAATATTGCTCCGGCTCTCACCTCCTCCCAGGACGTTGATCCGCGGTGGTGCTTCTTGCAACGCGTAGTTCTTTTCATCGTGGTCTACTTCTTCCGCACCACTGGGAGGCTCCGCCTCCGCCCGCGAGGTAGTAGAGCTGCTACTCGACGACCCGGGATCGGCGTCTAAAGGATTGTTGTTTCGAGAAGATGCAGAAGAGGCGTGATCATGATCTACAACTTCGTGGACGAGATTCATCTGCAAGACCGGCTGTAGTTCCGTGTCCTTCTTCCGCACAGCACTCGGCAGCGCGGTCTTGCCGTCAAACGCCTGCACGTGCTTGGAGATCCGGTGCGCCTCCAAGGCCGTCGCCGCGGCAAAGGATCGGCTCCGGGAATTCTTAAAGGCTCTCCGGAACTCCGCACCACTGTTTTCGTCTTTGACGTTGAAGCTGGTCTCTGAGAACGCAAAGCTCTTCTTCGGCTTCCGCTCGGTACTCGCACTGGGGGGCGCGATACTGATGGAATTATTTCCGAAGCCGCTGCTGCCCAGGGTTTGGTTTTGTGCTGATGTTGTGTTGGGAACCAGGTCGTTTCGTAGGATTCCAGGCGGTCCGGAAGTCGCGCTGTTCCCGGATTCCGATGCTTGGCCGATGCCGCCTGCGAAAAGTTGAAAGATTTTTGTTTTTTAGGTTTTGATGGTTGTGGTCTTCGACAGGAGAAGTCGAGGTGTTGAAAAACATATAAGAACTTATGAAAAACTATACTTCCGCTCGTCGCCAATACACCCCGGTTGCTGCTTCCACTCGAGATCTGCATCGAAAGCAACTGGTCCTCGCTTCGCGGGTTTTGTGAGCTGTTCATGCTTATCAAATGTAAAAATGTCTGGGTCTGGAAAAGTGCAAGTTTGTCATTGTCATGCTTGAGCTTGTCTGGCATGACTCTGAAATCTGTCATGCACATTACCAAGGAGCCCCACTTTTCTGTCATGCAGAAACGTAGTTTGTCATGTAGAATAGGCAACACCTAGAAGCTCAGAAACTTGTCATGCTGAGCCAGCAATTGTGGCCTCCTCATGATATGCCACACAGCATCACAAGTTTCCAGACCCAGACATTTTTACATTTGATAATGCTCATATTTGACACGCTAGTGCCCCCGAAAAACCCGGTGTTGCTGTACGTGGGAAAGGTGTGCTCGACGTTCCGGGTCTCCTTGTCGACCGACGCCGATTTCTCGTCCAGAAGAAGTTGCAGATCTTCACTCTCCTTCTCCTCTTCGTGACTCACAAGGTTTCGCAACAGCCGGCTCGCAGCCTCTGCGGTGCTGCCAGAGTTGTAACCACTGGGAAAATTATTAGTGTGGTGGTGCAGCCGAGAAGCTGCTGTGTCGGCATCAAATTGCTCCTCGGACCCGTCCTCCTCGTCGACGGAACTGATATAGTATTTTAATTTTTCTTTTTTCCCTGCTGATAGATTGAACATGCTAAAGCTGCAAACGTACAAATTCAAAGCGATCCTCAAGCTTAATTGTGAAGAAAGAAGAAGGTTTGTGATGTGCTGGTGCTAGTACATCAAGTTTTTCAAATTTCCAAAAAACTTTTTTTGCGTTTATGCGTAAACAGGATATCATACCCTCCATCTCCAGCTCTTCGCTTCCTCCCATCGTACTCCTTCGACGGCCGCTTTTGCGTTTTCGCACTCAGCAGCGTGTTGTCGTGCGTGGCTTCGAAATTTGTCGGGCTGTATTTGTCTTTCTTGTTCTTCAACCCGAAAAATGCGCCTTTATTTGACGTTGTTGTCCCGCCTCCCCGAGGAGAGCTCCGCTTGTTCTCCAGAAATGTAGTTGACCCATTTATCATCAGCATCCCGTTGTTGTTTGCGAAATTAACATCGTGGTCCATCACGTCTGCTTGTTGTGCTTCTATCTCTTCAAGACCCCCGCCGTCCTCGAGATCATCCAACTGCAAGAACGGGTTGTTCCGGTGAAACAAGGACACTCGATGGGAAAAATCGACGGTCGGGACAGTTTCTAACTGCTCAACTTCGTCGGGGTCGAGGTGCTGCAACAGATCTTTGTGCTCCACGTTGCTGTTGGACGAGGACGACGAGGAGTCATCTGTGCAAGAGTTGTTGTTGGCGTCATTTACACGGCTTTCATCTGATGTTCGCACCTTCTTGTTATTTCTCTTCGAAGAGGAGCTCCCTGCTTTATTCGTCCGCAACTTCGCTGTCGTGCTCGTAGTTGCATGTTTCATGCCTTCTTGCACGACACGAGAACCCCCTGGGACTCCACCCCCTCCACCCAGCAAATCCAGAAATGGGGTGACTGTCGCGCGAATCTCGTCGTCGTGATCGTTGATGGCGAAGTCGCACACTGAACTGGTGTAGAAAAAGGTTATCTTCTCATCGGGCGCCGCGAGAATCCGGCCCGTCTTCGTCTGTCTTTTCGGCTCCAACAGCATAGCTGCCTCGGGGCTGTTGTCGCTGGAGCCGCCGCCGCGCCAGAGATTCGGGCTTTGCGGGTCTTCGTGCAAAGCGAGGCGCAACTCCTTATCGCCGTTGCGCAGGACAAATTTGGAAACTTGGGATGGAGAAGTAGTAGAAAAGGTGGTAGTAGATGAAGGCTGTGGTCGCGGTGGGGGGTTGGTGCTAGTAACTTGATTTTCCGGTCGTGCCGTGGACGACTCGTGATCTTCACTCTTCAGGAGCTGTGGCACTTCTGCCTCCGCTGGTTTTTTCTGCCGTCCTCGTCCTCCCGAAGGAATCACGTCCGCACTTGTCGCATTGTACACGAGCGCCTGCTGGTCCTCGTCGTCGTGTCCGTCTTCAAGATTGTTCAAATCAAAGTCCAACAGTCCATCGAGATTCAGGTTGGACAGCGAACTCATATATACCTGCCGCAGTAACGCGCTCCCGATCTTCGTTTCGGACCGATCTTGCTCTGCGGCCAGAGGACCTTCTGCAGAAGGACCTCCTTCTTCGCCCTGTAGATCGAAGTCCGCATGTGGTGCTTGTCCTCCATGTGGTTGCCCTTCCACCACCTGCGCCTGCCCAGCGTGGTCTTGAGCAGCTCTATAGCGGTCATGTTGGGCTGCTTCTACTTGCGCTTTGGCCTGTACTTCTGGTGGTCCTCCTGCTTGAGAATCTTCTGCTGCTCCTCCTCCAGCAGAAGTTTTCTTGCTGTCACTAGTACTCCGAAACGCTTCCCATTTGCCGCTTTTCCCGAGCACATACCACAGTCCGTTCGGCCCTTGGCGGTAGGGCGTAGAGCTTATCCAAGAAAAAATCATTGTAGGTGTAACTTTTTTGAAGGAACAGCATCTGGCATGACAGCAAAAACCTGTCATGCGCAGATAGTACGTGAAAACGCCCTTTAATGGACCCTACGATGCATGCCAAGCATGACAGACGCAATCATCTTGCATGTTGCGCATCACAAAATTACACTAACAACGTTTACGTTTTTTTCTTGGATAGAGCTGGGTAAGGGAACATTCCCGCCACGGATCATGTCCATGTGCAAGGTTCGATTCGCAGTGAAGTTGAAATTGTTCCTCGATATCGACGACGACGAAGCACCTGTTTTTGATGCACCAAGAATTACACCGCTGACTGCAGCCGAGTTCTGCGCCGCTAGCGCCTGTGTTTTCTCTTCCGCGACTTCCACTCGATTGGTAATCTGGTACTGATGTTCGCGGTTCTGTTGATAGTTATTTCCTCCCCTTTGCATGACCATGTCTGTGTCTCGTAAATTCGTGATGCAATCCCCGTGCTCCACGGACTCCAGGACCTCCATGTTCGCCGATGTTGTGGTTGCTGGACGACCCATAGTCCTACTACTTCCAGCACCGCGTGTTGAGGACGAGTCTCCGTGAAAATCAAGACCGTCTTGACGCGGAATCCGGCTTGCAAAAGAACCGGTCGTAGCTGCATTCGCTCCAGCTCTGGATCTGCATCTGCTGCTCGTGCTCTCGTTCTTGCAGTCTATTGCCTCCAGAATCCGCGCGACGTCGTAACTTCGTTTCTTCCGCTGTGCCAGCACTCGCTGCACCCGCCGCTGGCGCTCGAGCGAAGTCGCATCGTGGTCCTGCTATCGCAAGAAAAAACTGTTTCACTGTGAACTTGTGATGCATAGAATGGAGCACAGAAGTATTTCTCTTGTTACACCTGCAAGACCTTGACTCTTTAAGAGTGTTTTCCCCTTGAAAGCGCGCATGGCAAATTTTGTGTGTCATGTGTAAGAAACTTGTGATGCAGATCTTGCAAAATCATCACGGTGAAACAGTTTTTTCGTGGGATACCTGCTGGTGGTCTACTACTCCGGGAGGTTGGGTCGTGGTTGTATGTTGTAGTGTTGCGGTACCTGTAGCGCTGACAGTGCCCGCATTTTTGGCGTGATTGTTCTGTGCGAATATCTTTTGCTGAACAGTACCGCCGGACGAGCTGCTCTGATGTCCAGGAGCTAATTGTTGTTGCATCCTCGCCTCCTCTCCTCTCGCACCCCCGGCCGCAGCCGACGCACCGCGAGACCCCGGCGAAGGGGCCAGGTACTGGTGTAGCTTTCGTGTGGCGATCGGTCTTAAATGTTGCACACTAGAAGCCGGATCGGCGTCGGCAGTATCTTCCGTTGCGGTTGCCTTTTGAGCAGTGGTTGAAGCAGACGAGCTCTGCGCGCGCTCCTTGCTGGTCCGCAAGAGCATGTTCTCCTCGCTGGTGCGCTCTTTGGTGCGTGAAATGCTGGCGCCGAGCTCAATTTTGGGGTCGAGGACGACTACCTCGGGAAACTGGCTTCCACGGTCGGTAAAGGGAGAATAGCTCGCTATGGCTATGCTCATGATTGTTCCTACTTGATGAAGATCAGTTACTTGGATTCGAAATCATTGACATTGTAGAGGCATAGACACAGCAACTCTTTAGCCAAAATAACCGAAACCAGCCATGGCTCAACCATCCTGCGTCCTGAACCTGATTGAATCCTTGATAATTCATACATTCTATCTACGATGAATCGTAACGCTTTTCCACACGACTTTCGAAGATGCCAACTACGAATTTCTAAATTCTATCGACGGCCAGTAAGGCAAGGCTGAGCAAGAAATCCGTATGAGTTACTAGCAGTGCCGTGGGCCTGTGCTGTGGCAGGAAAGACAATGGCGAAAAGTATGATAGATAATGCACATAAGACAAAGACGACAACAATTACACCGAGAGAAAAACCGAACTATGTCGCAGACTCGTCAACTTTGATGGAAAAAAATTCACCTTCACGCGAAAAAAAAAACACATTGCTCGTGGTACAACGATAAAGGCGAAGGAGCGACTCAGCAGGTGGGCGAAAAAAAAAACTAAAAAACCAGTCAAGAGTCATGACAGACTGTTGCTGATCATCAAACGAAATAATTGGCTAGACAACAACTCAACTCCAGGTCCAGGCACAAAAAACCCAAAACAGAGCGTCTCGAACGAAGAAATCGATGCCATCAAAGATGGGCCACCAGAGAGAGCCACAAATAAAAAACCCAGCACGACAGAGTTTCGACAGGATCGCCTTTGCGCAACAAAAAAACCTGACGATCTCGACTTCTGAAAGAACAGGGGCCTGATTTACACAGTCGTGTCAAGAAAGATGAAGAAGAAGACGCGGCCCTGTAACATACATTGCAATAATAAAGCAGCAGTGTCACGCGCTTCGTGGTCGTAGCGTACGCTGATTTGAATTTGATATTTTTCTTCTATTTCGAAGTTGGCTTCGCAAAAATTGCAATTTCTTTTCTTTTCGTGCATTTTTCAATTGACTCAACATTGGAGAAACGGAAACCGAAACGGGAATAATACTAATTGTCTTCGTTCTCCATAGCAAAAAAGTATAGTAAAAAATGAAAAACAGTTCAGTATTCACATCAATCGACTTCTTTCATATGTAGAAGCAGAATCAGTATCAGTTGCACCAAAATTGTTCCTCGAATAAAACTTGCCTTCTTCAGTGCCTCTCTGCTCGTGCTCGCAAAACCGCCCCAGCAGCAGCTGCACTGAAGATGTTGTAGTTCATCTTACGACAGAAACGACTCCCCGCTGATCGGATGCGCGTTGACAACGTTTGTCCATTTGATATTCCCGTCGTCCCGCCAAGTATCGTCCAGTCCGAGCCGAAAATGGTTGAAGCCCTTCTGCTATCAAATGCAAAGGTATCGTATTCGTCGTAAGAGCAACACTGCATGACACACCCCTACCTCCCCATCTTTATCTTAGGTGAATCAGCATTACAGATTCCTCCACTTGTTTTTTCTCTTCTTGGGAAATAAATTTGTAATGTTGCAATTTATCATACTAATGGGCACGATACTTTTGCAATGCATATCTGCGTCCGCATGTATCTCGCACAGTTGCTGCCGCCGAACCCGTGTTCCTTCATCGTCCTTCGGTCCGACGTGCCCAGGCAGTTCACCTCGATCGCGGCGTGCGCGTTGTTGGTTGGCGACCCGTGCATGTAGCGGTGCAAAGCGGGGCCCGTGATACAGTAGGGGTGCGCGATGTGGGACCGGCAAATGTCGAACGTCCGTCCCGTGTCCAAGCCGGGAAGCAGCATCAGCTCGTTTTTTGGCACGTGCTCGGCCGTTGACCAGTCCTTGTTATCCGGGTCAAAGACTTCCAGCTTCACGTGCTGCCCGTCCGGGTCAATGGACTTTAGCACCACCGGCAACGCCTCGTGTTTCTCATCGGCGCCGTCGAACAGGCCCCCAACCGTGCTCAGCGCGTGGCCCAAAAAGGAGCTGCTGTCGTCCTTCTTTTCGCGCCGCCAGATGTACTCGCTGTCGACTTGGAGGTAGGTTTTCGGACCGACTAAACGGTCGAAATTCCGCCCGGCGTGCTGGAGCTCCATACTCGTGTAGTTGTACTGCTGGCCGGTGACGTCGGATTTCACCACCCACCGCCCTAAACTCCCCCCCACAATAGTCCCAGACTCCGTGGGCTGCAGCCCGTAGGACCGGCCGTACGCAGTGGCGGCGCCGATACTGGAGAGGACGACGCGATCCGGCGCGTCAAAGTCCTTGCCGCCGTAGGACCGGATGAAGCCCGCGTCGACCTCGGAAACGCCCAGCGGGGTCAGATTGTATCACACAGAAAAACAAAAAAGTAAGCCGGCAGGTCACATTTGTAATGCAAAAATAAATACACAAAAAAATCTGTATTGCGTATCCTAAGCAGCATGCTATGGGGCCACCGATGACAGATTTTTCTGTGTATTTATTTTTGCATTACAAATATGCCCTGTCTGCTTTTTTCTCTGGGATAGATTGTGGTCGAAAACGAGCGCTTCGTACGTCCCGTTGTGATCCACGCGCTCCTGGAGCAGGGTGACTGGCCAGTACTGCCCCTTCACATCGCGGCACTGTAGTTGCAGTTGATGAGGGAGCAGGTGGGTCTAATATTATTGCACTGATCATTCGATTGCGTCTCGTCTCTCTGTCTGTCAGGGACAGGACAGCAGCAGTGCGAGAATGATGAACAAGCACCGAAGTAGCAACAGAATTGATGTGCGAGTGCCCTTTAGTTTTACAACTACACTCCAAATTGGTAGTTTTTTTGCGATGAGTTACTTATGCCTTAGTCCTAGGTACTAAGTATGTCAACCGTCAACATCAACACTTCTGGTATCAATATTCCTACCTCGTACATATCCGCCACCCCCACTTGCACGTCCCGGTGCTTGGACGGATCCGCACGCTTCGGCCAGGCCGCGCGCCGCTCCCACTTGTGGTTCTTTTCCCCGAACCAGGCCGAGGAAGCCGCGTGGTTCAGAGACGACGAGTAGCAGAAGCCCCCCGTTCTCTTGCTGAAGTCCGCGGGGAGAACCGAGACGCAGATGTTGTACCCCCGTCTATGTATCAAATACAAATATGTCTGGGTCTGGAAACTTGTGATGCAAGCACGGCAATTATGAAAACACTGTAATGCGCTGCCCAGCATGACAAGTTTTGCCGTGGTTCTGAGTTGCGTACTCCGCATGAGAAACTGCGTCTTTGCATGGCAGGCCAGAGACGCTCTTTGCGGCAATGCAATACAGAACTCAGAGTCATGCCAGACTAGCATGACAAATCTCGCAATCTCCCAGACTCAGACATATTTGCATTCGATATTGTGTGGGTCGTCGCAGTATTCCCCCATGTAGGGGAACTTCCCCGCCTGCTCGATGCGGCCCCACCCGTCGCACGGTATCCTGAGTAAAAACGTCCCCACCCCAGAGTTGTAATGCAGATTTGCAAAGACAGAGAGACTTGTAATGCGCATCCCCATGAGAGTCATTCCCAATCGTGTTTTGCAATTTGTGATGCTGCAAATAGGATGAGAAGATGGCTTTGTGATGCGGCTGTCCTTGCGAAACTGCACTACAATACAGAGGAAGACTTGTCATGCGTGACTCCCAAAACTTCCGGGTCTGTGTTGCAGATTTCCCATCTTGACTATGGGGTGGGGACATTTTTCCACACAATACACGGCATCAGCGACCCACCGACATCGAGCACCTCGTCCTCCGGTGTATCGTCAGGAAAAATTTCCCCTGCCCATATCGAAGAGGAACGCCTCAGAGAATTTGCGATGCTGATTTGTGACCACAAATCTTGTCTGTCTTGCAAGAAAGCAACGCCATAGGCTTCGCACCATTTTTATGCATGCGGTTTGTAATGCTGTTCGGCCTACAGCATAGACGTTCCTCATGCTAAGCGCCTAGGCCGAAACCTCTCTACATTGGCACGATATGGGCCTGCAGTCCTCTGCTGCAAGACAAATCGGATTTGTGTACGCAAATCTAGCATCAGAAATTTCGTTTTGATGTGGGGAGGGGGGATTTTTCATTTTGATACGGTGCGGGCGCGAACCCGGGGTGCTCGTCCAGGTCGTCGTCCCCGGTATCGCCCGAAAACCCATTCTATGGAATGCAAATATGTCTGGGTCTGCAAACTTGTGATGCTGGTTGGAGAAAGACGAGCACGCCTCAATTGGCTGCCAAGCATGACAGATTTTGCAGATGCTGCAGCGTTGGCTGTTCTGCATGACACACTGGGCTTCTACCTGAGAGAAGAATGGCGCGTTTGGGTAACGTACACGACAAACTTGACAATCATGCTAGCAGAGCATGACAAACCCTGCATCTTTCGTCCAGACCCAGACATATAATTTGCAATGCATACGTTCGGGGGGACACCGCTGAACAGCCCGCGGTCGGGACAGTTTTCCATCCTGTGCAAAAGGATCGCAGTCGTAGTAATGTTTATCGCAGTCGTGCATTACAAATCTCCTGTTTAAGCGCAATCCGCATTACAAATTCCATTTCTCATCATGCTGAGGAGATTTGTCATGCGATTTGTACTAGTACTTACGATACTTTTGCAATGCATATTCCCGAGCGACTGGCAAATCGGGTCGGCGTCCGCGAACTTTTTGTCGGGGAGGTCCAAGTTCATGTTCATCCGCATTTTGTATTTCAACACCTTCCGCCCCTTGAGCTTGTTCGTCATCTTCATGTACTCCATCTCCTCCTTGTTCTTCGGAATCTTGTTGTCCGCAAAGGAGAAGGATGTAGCTCTTGTCCTCCGCTGGAGGAGATCGTGCCGGCCCGTTAGCATGAGAAGTGGTGAGTTTGTAGTGAATTTTGCATGACAAATAGCAGAGGAGACTGCCGGGACATTGTCCCTTTTGCTCTTCTGGGAAGTGGGTTCTGCACACCGCAGAAGTTAGTTGTCCAGGCTTATGCGGCGGGCAGCTGGACATGGCCTGGGCGTCATTCTTTGGCCATGTCTTTTCGTCTTCCTGTGCTTGCAAAAGAGCAAGCACTGCAGCAGCCGCGGCAAACACGCCAAAAACAAGAGCCGCGAAGCACATAAGCGCAGTTTAGGCAAGATGAAGGCGCGGAAGCAAAGGCGAAAGGACCCGGCCGAGAGCTTTGACGCGTCTATCCGGCAGGCGCGTGAACTCTCCAGGCCTTTTCGGCAGAATATAGAGGCGCTTAGGGCAACAGCGGGCGCCTGTCTTTTCCCCTCGGCCCCACTTCCCAGGGTCTACTTGTGCGTTTTTTTGAGCACTTTTCTGCGCTAAACTTTGCTTATCACGGTCGAGAAGTGGCGCTCGGTGAATTTTGGGGTGAATTTTGAAAAGGACGCCGGTGAATTTTGTCCTCCGGCTCCTTTTCAAAATTCGCTAGCGCGTGAGAAACTCCAGGTTTTGGGGCTTCAACAAAGTGTCGCCAAAACAAAAAGTCCCAAAATTCACCAAGGAAATTCTTGACCTGGGGATCACGTCGAATAAGACTTGCTCCGGAGGCAAAAAGACACGTGGGGAGTTGTGAGCAGAACACAGCAGGCGAAGCAAGCTAGCGTCCGCGGCCGAGTCGTGCCTCCCCTTCCACCCGAGGCTGCTCCCAGATATCCAAGTCCAAGCCGAGCCAACCACAACTCGTGAGAGCATAGATACATGTTGAACTAGTGCCCCTGTGTTCAGGCGTCGCCCTCCCTCCCGACCATTCCGGAGAGGAACTTCTGAGGCAGACGCGCAGAAGAATAAGAGCCCCCCGACCCACCTTCTCTGGTCGCTAGATACGCACTACACAGCCCGGCGAGCCCCCGCAAGACCACCTCTTTTGGTGCTGCAAGCGCCACCACGCGACGAGCAGCCCTTCAGGCTATGTGGGATGCTTGGGCTCGTGTGTCTAATACGTAGCGCTCTTCTCTTTTAAGTAAATGCAAGTCATGCAATACAAATTCACTGCAAATTCACACTTCTGTACGCTAACGACCGTCCAAGGCGTAAATCTTGTTGTCCGCAAAGGAGAAGGATGTAGCTCTTGTCCTCCGCTGGAGGAGATCGTGCCGGCCTTGATGAAGTCTTGATGTTCTCAGATAATTCACGCCACAGCAACTGCTAATCGCAGACATGCCACGACCAGTTGTGCTATGATCTTCGTGCACTTCTTGTGGTTCTCGAGGGAGCCCCCGGCTGCTGCATGATACAGCTGGCGGTGTGCGACCGGTATTGTTCATCTCCCACGTCGACCAGGAGGTAGGCAGCAGGTTGAAGTTCGTAGTTGCAAAAAGTCCACGCCCCGGAGAAGGACGTCGTCGATGTCGAGCAGTGGAAGTGGTCTCGCCTGCAAAATTCTCTACGCTTGAGGTTCTCGCCGCCGCGCCGCCTGACGACAACCCTTTGCTGAAACCACCTCCTGTGGTCGCGGTCGTCATGAAGACGTCAGAGAGAAAGTTGTCCAGGTAGGCACGAAACATCTTGTGTGCTGCTGCTGTGCAGCTGCAGTTCTCTCACTGACTCTCTTGCAAACGGAGCCAGAAATTGTTTGCAATACCGTCTTGCATGCGTGTGTGGCTGATGTGGTGCGTTGCTCTGCCTCTGTCGCCCACATACATGTCTACCACCACTGAGCGAAGAAGCGCATCAGAAGCTGCAAGTACTAGTAGCTCACTATATGCAAAGATACGAGTTCGACGCGTATACTGTAGGATAAGGATTTTGTTTCGAGTTCAATAATTTTTCTCTCCCTCAAGCCGAACAGGTAGAAGTTGTCCTACTGGAACTGGTACTTCACTCCCAAGTAATAAACGCTCCTCGACGATCTTCGAAACAAACGAACACGACCTCTATTGCTGGTACTACACAACGTAGCAATCACAACTGTCCTGCCTGAGAACCGCAACGAAATCAGTTGTATCTCTACTTTCTAGAACTAGAACTAGAATCTCACCGCTTTGGCATGCTCGCACAGTGGTGCAACGGTAGAACTGTTTTTTTCAATGCCCTCATGAGAGATAAAAAAATAGCGAGATGGGCTAGGCCCTTCCACGCAAATCTCTTCAACCAGATGTTGAGTGGTTCTGGACCATTTAAAATCTGTGCAAGCAGGGAGGTTCTGGGCAAAAGGCTTATGACTATGAGATAAAGTAAGTACTTGAAAAGAAACTAGTTTTTTGTAGGACACGGCTATCCCGTAGTCGAGCTACTTAAACTACATCACGCATTTAGCGCGACTACACCCCCTTCTTGCTCTGGTCATGCTATTTTGTGCGAATGGATGTGGTTGTGGAATCAAATCTATCATCCTAAAAATACATCACAGGTGTGACGGATGGTCGTGGTGGATGCGACATCATGATAAGAAGAAAATGCTCGTGGGTTCTTGACGTAAAGCACAATGTTGACAGAAATGAAAAAGAGCGAGAAAACTTCAAATTGCTCGCTCGTCAAACAACTGCACTTTACTATATGCCCAGTCCCAGCAGCATTATGGCCCCTTCGGCTGTTAATTTAGTGGTAAAGCAAGCTGCTGCACAAAAACTACGATCAGATGAGGATAATAAATTCTAATTCATCTGCAAATAATAACGACTTGCCTAGTTTGAAACAACTACATTTCTAGCGCCGACAGCGGTTTTTAAAAATAGAAGTCCAGATCTTCTCTAATAATGGACTACACGGCGGACATGTACGATTCAAGTTAAGTAGCTTGCAGTTGATCGAAGATCGCTGCTATGTTATTGGCGTCTGTAAGTCTAGGGTACTAGAAACTGGACTTCTGCTTTTGCACACTGTCTTTCTTTGACGGTTGTACGTTTCTTGAACCACTCTTCTATTTCAAAAAAAATCCTTTTGTTATTGTACACGGAGCGGATGGGGAAACTAAATTAACCCTAAGCATGAAAAAAAAAAAAATGAAAAATATATGCACCTCGGCGTGTGTGTCAGAGACCGGCAAAAGAGATGCTCCCACTCCCTTTTGCAGGTTCTCTTCACCCTCGAATATGATTATGAATAATTTCTGCGTAAAGTGACTGGCGTGAGTCCTTGCGTTTATTTCCCCAGACAGCAATACGGCCGAGCAAGGGGTTTGTTCTTGCCGCGTACTGTTCTATGATTCCACCTCCAGACTGGCTCGGTTCTGTCCTATTCCCGGTTGTACTACAATTACGTAGGCGGCATTTGAGTGAGCCAGACAACAGCAATACGTTGCAGCTCTCCGTCATCTAATTTCCTTGACGGAGCCACAACATTTTTGACCAAGCCTCACAGCCTTTCCTAAGAACTGGCGCGAAAAGGAAAACTACAGAAAAAAAGCCGGCGCACTTCGCATGAAATAGATCGCGAAAAATTGTACACTTGTTATAGAAGCTTGAGCTAAAAAAAACTCATTGCTGTGTATCATGGTAGGTACTTACCTCCTAATGTAGGGCGCAGGAGTAGGTACGGAAAAATTACGTCATTCGAAGGACGTAAATTCTTGAGAAATGTAGACAGCAACGCGTAAAGATGGATCTATTCTCATAAAAAGAGAAATCCATAAGAAAGTAGATGGCACTCAACAAACTTTGTATCTCTTTACTCATACTCTATCTATGTGAATGTATGTGAATGGTGCAACTTCTTGCGGTCGTCGTGCTCTTCGGATGTAGTAAACTGGATTTTCGAGCTGTAGTTTTGTTCGTTCTTGTCATTTATTTTTATTCGCTGGCTCGTTGTTCCTTCATAACCATAAGGCTGCTGCATGCAATACAAATACAATATCAATGGCTGATCATGTGCTGCTACCGATATTAAACATTTTTTGTCTTCTTCCGGGTGAGGTTCGCTCACGTTGTTCAAATCGGTCTAATCGGTAGTTCGAGATGAATCATATAATAATGCAACGAATATTTCAATCATATACAATCAAGATCGTTCGTATCTAGGGTCCTCACTGGTCTATCAATACATCATTAAATTTCTATAAACGAAGTCCTCACTGGAGTTAGTATGTGTACCAAGGATTGTTCGGAACGAACGCTTACACGACCCCGCTCTTGCCCCTCCTGCGCAACAAATACAATGCTTTTGCCTGACGCCGCAGCGCCCCGTTGCGCTGGTCAAACTGAGTGTACAGCTCCTGGAGACGGTCCATACGCTCGTGTAGTTCATCAGGACTGCTGTCTTCTGGCAACATTTCCCTAGTAGTATTGTCCAGCAACACTTCCCGCCAGTGAAGGACGAACCGCGCAAGGGCGCAGAACAGAGACCACTGCAACCGCTTTTCGTCGATGCTGCTCGTCGCGGTCTCCCGCTCGTCCTCGCCCAAGTGGTCGCGTCTGGGGTCGAAGATAGACAACATGTTCTTGTCAACATCAAGCGGGTTTCGTCCATTGGAAAAAGTATTAGTAAGTCTTTCCGCCCTTCTGCTCTCCTGCTCGAACAGTGGCACCAAACCCTTCATGGCATCGAGCAGTGCCCAGTGCAGGTGCGACGGCGGCGCGACGGCTGCGGAATAAGTGTTATCGTAGAGGTAGTGCTGGAGCAAAATCGCGTACAACAGGGGAAAAAACTCGCTCTGCATTCGCTTGTCCTCCCGCTTCTTGAACTGCACCCCACCCCGCCAGGCTAATTTCAGCACTAGGTAGCAAGCATAGATGTTTTTTCGGTCTTGCTGCGCGTCGTGGTCCACCCTCCGGAGGAGGCGCAGCACGGCGTCGGTAAGGGTTTGCGAGACCAGATACGTTTTCGGGAATGTGAGCACCGTTTCGTGCGAGCGCGGATCCGCTATCAATTTTGATGTCTCTCGATGACGTGGTAGTACTCTTGCCCCTTGGCGGCCGTGCTCGTCGTGGACCACGACTGGGAGATGGACCAGCTCAAGGTGCTTCGAAGGGCGGAATCGGGTTCCCCGATCCGCAACAAGCGTTCCCTGGGCGACGTATGCGCGAAATACCATCGCCGTGCCGTAGTTGTTCAGGGCGATACTAGAGTGCAGCTTTTCGGCCGCATCCGCCGCGACCGCTTCGTCGTACGCGTTGGTCAGGAAAGATGGCTGCTGTAGGTGTTCCCGACGACGCGCGAACGGACCCTCTGTTGCGGCTCCTGATGTGCTGGACGAGAGCTGCGATGATGCTGAGGTCGTTCTTGGGGCCCCTTCTTGCATTTTTAATCTTGTTCCCTGTTCAGTCTTCACATCGAAGATCACATAGTCGGCCACTTGCACAATGTCTAGGTCGAGCAAAGGCTCAGGCCCTGTCGTGCCCTCTCCAAGGTCAGTTTCCTCGAGATGGAAGTCTGGCCCAGCAAGCCAAGGCATATTATCCGTTGGCATATCATCATTGTCGTCGCATCCCAGCCCGTCGCCGGCGAGCGTTGCGCATATAGTCCGTGTGACGTGGCGCCGCCTGGGTGCAGGCGCCAGGAGAGAAGTTGTACCAAAAGCATCTTGGGCAACATCCTGGGGTTCGGCAAAGGGAGACGCGGATGAAGCAGGTCTGTGTGCAGGCATGGGAGGGTCGCAGTAGGAGCCGTAGTACCCCACACTCGTCCCGTTCGAAGAGCTACTAGCAAGAATTCTTGTTGTTCCGCCAGTGTAGGTGCTGTGGTACTTCTGTCGTGTGGAAGGAGGTGAACCAGCCGAACCCGCTGAAGCTGCCGTTGGAGACCCATTTGACGTCTCAACACTCTTCACAGGGTGCGCAACGTCGCAAGAACCAGAGTTCATCTTGTAGTTCCAGCCCTTCAGTACTGTTTGTACAGCTTGGCGCGCGGTTTGAGTTACTCCCTCCGGGCAGCAAGAAGCGAAGGCTTTGGCCACGCTTCCTGGTCCACATCGTGTGGTCTTCATCTTCGCGTCGCCAGGCGGTTCTGCTTGCGGAGGTCGTGGAGGGGGCTGGCTGATGTCAGCGAACTGGACGACCTGCTTGGACTGGGCGCGACTGGAGCATGGACTACTCGGCGTGGTCGGGGTGTACAAAAATCCGGCACAAGAGGTCACGTCCGGACTCCTCGATGAACAGCCCACAGGGGAGGCAGGCGAGCTGCAACCGCCGGAATTATAGATGGCACCAGAACTACTACAGGGCGGCGAAGTGGAGCACGGCGACGTCCATCCGCCCGGCGGGCCGCGGCTTGGACTTCTTGTAATTATATCTACCGTAGAAGCACGCCGCACAGGAGGTGGAAGCATTCCTTCAAGTTGCAGCTGGATACGAACTCCACCTCCACCGCTCGGTGGAGGTGGTGTGGCGTACCAAGGCGGCGGGCTCGCGGGAGGATGTTGAGCCGAACTATACGACCACGCACCACCGTTGTCCATAGTAGGGTGTTGATGATGTTGTTGCGCAGGAAAGTATGGGTATGGCGACATCGGTCTGGCAGCTGCTGTATCTTCGGCGGCCATCGCCGGCGCAGGCGCCGTCGCGCCACCGGCGCACCACGGTTGAGTAGTGCGACAAACGTGGGCCGCTTGTTCCGCCGGTGCCTGAGTTGAAGCTCCCGCCCCCGACAGTGAAGAAACTTCTGCACCGGGTGGATTATTATACGGCACCTGCACCATAGGAATAGCGCCCGGAGGAGGCTGGCAGCCAACCGGCAGTCCAATGATGTATCCTCCAGCAGCTGCAACCGGAGTAGAGCAGGTAACGACCGGAGCAGCAGCTGCTGCTTCTGCAACATGTCGAGGTCCGGCGCCGGCGCCAGGCTCAGACATTTGCACAATGCCGGGATTTTTTATTTGCGCGGCTCGCTTCGGTATTGATGCTTTGTTGTTCTTCGTGCCGGTGCTTTGTTCTTGTTGCCCTGGCAAGTACACTGTCGTATAGCCATTGCTTACCTGCTTTTTACTGGCCACGCGACTGCTCGGGGCCGTGGAAGCTGCGCTGGTCGGGTCCTGCTCTGTTGTAGTTGTAGAAGCTGTACTTCTCTTAGACACAGTACTGTCCTTGCTATCCAGGCGAAGACCGCCCTCGTCTCGCTCAGCCTTGTCCACCACACGACCCGCGTCAACATGCGTCCAACCCCGCGAACTGCGGCCGGCAGAACCAGACGTGCGACCAACTGAACTACGGGAAGGTGGCAAGTCTCCTAGTGCCGCCGCGTGCTCTTGTTCTTGAGCACCACGACCCTTCTGCTCGTCCGGAGCATTATGCTCCTTCTTGAAACAACGCAGAAACGCCTCGTCTTCGCTGTCTGCAGAGGAATCGGAAGAAGACCTCGACCCGCTACACTTCCGCCGGCGGGTCGCGGCAGAGGGAATCATACCACGGCCACGACCACGTTGGGGAGATGAAACTCCTGCTGGTGCTACAACTGCACCACTCCGCGCATCTTCACCGGGAAGCGCACCTCCTGCTCCTGGTGTACCCACAGCCAGTGAAGTCTTGTTCCACCGGCTGTCCTGTTTATCGGAGACCGAGACCACTTGTGCCGCGCCGTTTCTTAACATCTTGCTCCCGTCGAGGATGTCCTTTTTTTCCGAGAGTAGCCCAGAGGTCCGCCGTTGGTTTCTTTCAACACCGGCATTGCTCCCCAAGGTCGTCTTCGTGGCCCCCGCCTCCATCCGTCCGGCCATCGCCAGATGCACCGCGAGGTATCAAATGCAAATGTGTCTGGGTGGTTCTCTGGAACGAGGCGAACTTGTGACGCGTGTTGCGGAGCATACAAAAATCTGTGTTATTGCATGAGTTGCAAAGGGTGCCCATTTGTGGCTGGAAATGCTGAAGAGAGGGCATTTCTCAGGAGTCTCACGCAGAATTATAGGCATCACCAAGGGGCTCGGGCTGCTGTAGAACTACCTGTGAAGATGCTAGGCCCCGCATTCCAGACAGTTGGCGCAGCTTGTACTTGTTGGAAGAACTGCATGACAAATGTGGGAACGTTCGACCACTTCCAGACGGAGACATTCTATTTGCATCGTTGATACAAAGCGCAAGTAAGCAATAAGGGAATCGAGCTCGTCCCGCAAGGAATCGGAATAAGAACTTGTCGTGGGCCCCCGCGAGTTGTCTTCTTCAAGGTCGTGGCTCTTCGCACCCATCTCTGTTCTCGTTGCCTCGAGGTCCTGTATCAGCAACGGCAACCACTTTGTGTCCTCCACATAGGTCTTCCGCAGCCGGGCCAAGATCTTCGTTTTCTTGGCGTCCCAGACGTTGGACGTAGTTCTATCTTTCTGTGCAGCTGCTGGTGCTGCTGTAGTCGTGCCAGTCGCGTGGCCATCTACTCCGGTGTGTACGTGTTGTAGTTTCTGCCGCGTGTGGTTACTTTCCGTTATTTCCACCCCCGCCGCCGCCGCCGCCGTTCTAGAAGTAGAACCACTAATATTGGCTTGGTATTGCTCGTGCTGCTGCTGCTGGTTTGAGTAGATCACGTCATTCAGGGCCACAACCTGCGCCAGCATGGGAACCAGACAATGCGCTTCCAGGTCCCAGTCCCGCGCCGCCGGCCGGGCAGGGCCAAGGAGTTTGGCGAAGAAAGCTCGGCCTTTATTCTTATCAAAAAGAAAAATCCCCCCTCCCCATATCGAAAACGGAATTTGTGATGCAGTATCTGAGTACACAAGTCGCATTTGTCTTGCTGGAGAGGACTGCAGACCCATATCAAGCCTGAGTAGAGAGGCTTGATATGGGTCTGCATGAAAAGCGTCCGCGACGTTGGCTCAACAGCATGACAAACCGGCTCCATAATGGGGCGGAAGCTGCTGCCTTTGTCTTCTTGCAACACAGACGTGATTTGCGACCTCAAATCAGCAACACAAATTTTTGAAAACCTACCTCTTCAATATGGGGAGGGGGGATTTTTCCTCTCAATAATTCTCTGGGTCCTGCAGCACTGGCCAGTAGAGTACCGTCGCATACGATCCAATATTATCAAGTGTAAAAATGTCTGGGTCTGGAAGAATGCGCGATTTGTCATGCTGCTTTTCCATGACCCATGAGGTCTGGAATGCCGGAGCTAGCATGACAGATTCTGCGAGAACTTTCTAATGCCTATCCTGCATGAGAAACTACCTCCCGACTTGGTCAAAATTGGGCGACTTTTGGTAATCATGCAACACAGATTTTTGCATGCTGCAGATTTAGCATGACAAGTTGCAATCTTCCAGACCCAGACATTTTTACACTGGATAAATATCTCGCTGGCGGCTTCCAGGTGCTGTCGGACGCGAAGATCGTCGTCCTTAAAAAATGTGTCCACGCGGCCCGTGGAGGTCGCTTTGGATTTCTTCTTTTTTTCCTTTTTTTGCAGTTTTTTCGGTCTTTGTTGATCTTCTTGTTGGTGTTCTTGATCTTGCGCTTGCCCTCTAGTACTGGGTTCACGTTCAACATCGTTGTTCCGTACGGTTGTAGTTCTTGGTCGTGGACCAGAGGAAGCTCCTGTACCAGCATCTACTTCATCTCGGGGCTGCGCATCATCCACGTGCTGAGGTTGTTGTTCGTTGGAATCACCATCAGGCGACGAATTCGACGAAGAGCGAAGCTTGTCCGGAATAAACCGCGGGCCTTCCCTCCTTTCGAGGAGCTCCAGCTCGCGTCGAATTTTTTGCTGCTTTCTCCACGAAAGCGCGTCCCAGGAACTTCCCAATATACCATCCCAACTAATTTGGCCCTGGTATTCCTGCCAAGTAGGCATTCGCACTTCGTAGGCGCTTCGAGGAGGCGGAACCAGCGGACCGCCTTGGTGCTCAGATAACGGCTGCGGCGGGCCCATCATGGTGGACACTGCATGGACCACGAGGACGCCCGATTTTGTGATAGTACATTCGAGGTAATAAAAGTAGAACCCCCCAAGTAGAACCATGAGACGGCAGCAGATACTGCACAACCACGAAGCCGCTGAGCTCGCTGGCAAAAGCCGGCTGCATTTTTGCTTCGCGGATATTGAAGCCGTCGTCGTCATGATGCTGGAAGCGGTTTGTATTTGTATGTTTATTTCTATCGTCGTGTCACAGATACAGATAGATGTTCTGTCCTCGCGCTTCAGAAGGGCTAAAACTAAATGCAAATGTACATGTAGTACTAAAAGCTGTTTTCGAAAAATTATAGCTACAGTGATAGATAGAAAGCCTACTTTTAGTTAAGTTGGTAAAGGTCGTAGAGGATGAGGTAAATAAGTAGAACAGAAAATCGGATTAAAAATGAATCTGTGCATTCGTCAGAATTAGTTTTACGATTGCACCATTTTCTGATGAAGACGATAAGATAATGGTAAGTCCAAGTCGTAGAAAGTGCTTCCGGAACTTGATCAGACGAGTTAGGGAATTTGAGGATCCACATTGGATCCAGCACAGAGAGTGAAAGATAGATGTAGATCTTGATCTTCTGCATAAGTACTTACTCCAAAGTATGATCTACTCCGTGGTCTCCTGGTCCTGTATTTACTATACCCCTTTCCGAAACAGCTGCACAAGTGATCTTACGTAGCTACCGTGGCCGGGCGTTAGAGAGGACCACAGATGATCTTCGTGTGTGATCCGATCTTCCAGATCTTCAGCGGACCAGCCAACAAGAAGATCCGATCTTGATCCAGATCAGCGGCAAGGGTCATCATGATGCCACGCAGAAGTGTGTAAAAACGCGTTGTAGTCGCGTCTTGTTTGTACACGGATCGAAAAGTTAAAGTAGTAGGAAGGTGAAACTCCAGAACATCAAAATTTTCAGAAATTTGTTGCGCTTTTTCCTACTGCGAGAACTACCGGCTCTGCCTTGTTCTCTGTTGCTCTTGGTGTTTTGTGCCATTACCATTGATCGTCGATACGCGATTGCCATTGCCCATGATTATGTGCTGTCTGCATATATTATTCGATTGATCTATCTACCTTCGATTGGCTCATTTTTTTTTTCTTGTCCGTGGAACCGATAGTCATGCCTGGTTTATTTTTTGACAAGCGCTGCTACACTGGTTTTAATCTTTTACTTTTCACTGTTACAAAACTCACGCCCATATTAAAAACGACGTCGGTGACGAGGTCGGGGAGTTCCTCGTAAACGTCGCATCTGAAGATACCCCAGTTGTTTATTCCCGTTGGTTTGCCGCAAGCACCGCGAGCTGCACTCACACATCAACACTTACACTGAGCATCGACAGGCCGCTTTTGTCCAAAATATTCGTCCTGCTTCTTCTACTCGCAGCACAACTTGTAATCGAAGCTGGAGAGGACAATCGCGAACGCCTGATAGGGGCTCAGTGGGTACCGGAAGTCCATGTTGAACGTGTCCTTTCCCACGCGGCCAAACTGCAATAAAACCGTGTCCGGGTCGTGGGCGGAAACCAACTGGAAGTTTTTCACCGAGGCCTGCGTCACGCGCTTGTTGAAGTTCAACACGAAGGCCCCAAGCTGGTCGTTCCACTTCGGCGCTTTGTTTTGGTACACGTCGATAGGGGCTTGGTGTAGTTGCTGTAACGGGTTGTTCGCGTTGTTGTAACTATGGTGAGCGGAACTACTCATCCCGCCGTCTACTCCTGAAAGATGCTGCATGGCGCCGTTGGGTTGCATCATGACGTTCCCCTGTGCGGTGGTATTCGGCTGGAACCCGTTCGTGCCACTAGGCGGAGCGGAGGGAGCGCCGTTTGAAGATGAACTACTTCCACCCCCGGGTACGACCCCAAACGACTTCGCAGCAGAAAGCAATCCGGCGTCGTTCGCATGCAGTTATCAACTGTAAAAATGTCTGGGTCTGGAAGAATTCATGTTTGTCATGCTTGTCTGGCATGACTCTTAAATCTGTCATGCACGTTACCCAAGAGCTCCGCTTTTCTGTGATGCAGAAGCGCAGTTTGTCATGCAGAATAGGCAACACCTAGGAGCTCAGAAACTTGTCATGCTGAGCCAGCATCTGTAGCCTCATCATGAGACTCCACCCAGCATCACAAGTTTCCAGACCCAGACACTTTTACTTTTGATAGCAGTGGCCGGCACACGATGGGTTGGTCGTCGGGCTGGCGCAACTTGGGATATCCTATGTAAAAACGTACCCACACCATAGTTGTAATGCAAATCTGCATGCTGAAAATGTTTCTCATGCGGAGCCCCACGAGAAGCAGTTTCTAGTCGTGTTTTGCAATTTGTCATGCTCCAATCAGCATGGTATGCTAGGTCTGTGATGCTGCTGAGCTAGCTCAAACAGCACTACACTACGAATCCAAATTTGTGATGCAAAACAGCCAAAACTTGTGGATTTGTCTAGCCGATTCCCCATCTTGACTATGGTGTGGGTACGTTTTTACTCAGGATATGGGAATGATCACGTTCATCTGGCGCGGCCCACGCGGTTTTTTCCCTGTAACGGATAGCCGTCCTTTTTGAGAAAAAGAAAAAAATCGACAACATGTTGATCATGAAGTAAATCGCTCGTAGCTTGTTTTCTCTTCACTCCTCTGGTCTAGGTCTACGAAGACATCATGTGGATGAAGTGGAAGAAAAATATAAATGCGGTAAACCGTGTTAGTAGGTCCGGAGCTCTAATACGCTCGGTATGTGTTGATACACTTCATGTGGAAGTAGTAGATCATGCTGGAAAGGGCTGTCATTCAACACCAAATCTTTATCTTTTGTCACGCCATAATTCCGATGAAAAAATCAAGGAGCTTACAACGCCGGAAAACAAGTCCTATACCCCATATGGTGCTGCTGTAGGTAATGGCACAGAGTTCTTCCCTGTAATCTTCTGGCCTGCGGTTGCCGCCCTTGTTTGGGTTTAGGCCGTTTGAGTAAGCCACGAACTCGCTGCCCATGAAGTTGCTTCGTAACTTTCCCAAACAGTTCACACCCTGCGGATTTAGGTCGTTCTCGCCCATGGAAATGCAGTAGTTACCTGAAAGATATTTTTTTGTTTCGTTTATCTTTCGAGCCTGTTTGTGATTGTGTTGTACATATTTGTCATACAGCACAGTAGTTCATCCCGCCGTGTACACATGTGCATTGACATTTTAGGCACTGCAGCGTCAACAAAATATCAAATTGAAATTCCAATCAGTACTTGTCTTGTTCTTCTTTCGTTTCTGGGAAGACATGAGGAAAAACGCCCCCTGCTCCGTAAACATCTTGTACTTCGGATAAAACTTGCTCGCTAAACCTCCAGATCGCGTCACGTAGCACTCCATCAAAACTCCCCGTGGCAGTCTGTTCATCAGGAACTGGGGCAAGCTCGGCCCGATCATCGAGGGCAAAAATCTCCTTGCGCCGAGGGACAGGGAGTTTGCGAGCGGGTCCCCCATGGGGTTGCCGCCGCCGCTATACAAGCTCCCGCTTTGCGTGTTGGTGGACGCGCACGGGTCGAACACACTAGCGAGACCTTATCGTAGTTTTACGTTTATGCATTACAAGTCTAGTCCGATCAAGGTAAATCCGCAATACAAATTTCATTTGTAATGTAATCATGCTAATGCCATACATACCATCACAAATTCACACATTCCGTCAAGAAGAAGATCAAATACCTCTCGATTGCAGCTGGTACTCCGTGTGTTTTGGTGAGAGATGGTCGTTCTGCAGCTGCACGGGGGATACGGCTTCCACCACCGGGAGCTCCGTATCATCAATGGCGACGGGCGCGTCGCTGTTACCGCCGTGAAACTGCGGATTCATCTCGTTAAAGTCACTACCCGCTTCGGAGATTACATCGGAAGTGGTGTCGACCTCTACTTCGCAACTGGGTGCGGAGGACAGAATCGTGGCAGCGGCGGGAGCACCAGAGGCGTTATTGTCGAAGGTGGATGATGTTGTTCCGGCTGTGCTCGGGTCCGGGGGTGGTGCTGGTGGGTCCTGGGTAAATAAAAACCACCGAGTTCTTGAAGTGTTAGTGTTCTTCTGATGTTCTTTCTTGCTAGTGCAAGGGAGTGATATAGATAAAACCAGCCACCCCACGACGGAAAAAATGTGCAAAAAATTCAAAACGTGCAATGCAGAAAAAGCTGCTGCACGGCACATATGATAGATGCAGTTCAACGACACGACAAAGAACTCAATATACCTCACTAAAACTGGGCCTCGTTGGTTCCGGTACCTCGAAGAGATCTGCTGTACTTTTTCGCCTCGGTTGTGATGGCTCTTCTGGACTCAACCCTTGATTCCCACCGAATCCTTGGTTCGAACGGATCTGTGGATATTATCAAAAATAAAAAAGTGAGACGAGTGGTGCCAAGTGAAAGAAACTGCACATAAAAACTACTGTAAAAGCCGGTGTATCAGTATCAAATCATTACCAGCCCATAGCTTTGCGTGACCGCTCCGCCTCCGCCCATCTTGCGCTGCATCATTGCCCGCTGCTGCTGCAGCTTCTGCTGCCTCGTCATCGCATCCTCCCCATCCCCGCGGTAGCTGGTACTGCCGACCGAGCCGCCGCCCGCATACTGTGGTAAACCCACGGACGACGAGACGCCCGCGCCTCCGGCTCCGCTCGATGCTGGAACCTGTGCTGGGCCACTATTGCTTGAATAATTCGCATACGGCGAAGAGTATATTCCTGCATTCGACTGCAACAGCTGCTGTCGTCGAGCCTCTTCTATCTCTTCTGCGAGCTGAAGCTCGAGTATGGGTGCTCCTTGTTGGCCTTCACTAACAATTATATCATTTTCCTGGTAAGTGAAGATATGATGTTCTTGGTCATGTGGCGGGTCCGGGTCCATTTCCATTTCATCCATATCCATCTGCGCGTAGTTTATGATAGGCTCTGTATTCAGCATTCCCGATCCCGTCTGCTGCATATCCACTCCCATTAGCTCTCGGTAGTATTCAGGCGAGGGGCCCTGGATTCTCGGTGTCATGCGCCCTCCTGCCGACGTTGGCCTTCCACGATCGTTCCCAGACGCGGAGCCTGGTCCTCGCAGCGAATCGTATTGGCTTCGCCGTCGCTCTCTGCTTTTTGGTACCACTATGGCACCACTTTGGCTCTCTATTTCCTCCCTCTGAGGCGATGTTGCAGCTGTTGAAGACTCATTCATAATTCCTGCCCTCACCCGCTCTCGTGCTTCCGCGGCGCGCCAGCGCGGCGCCGCGGCACGGGGATTGATCGCATTTCCATTTTTACTACTGTTGTTTCCCAACTTGTTATTTTTCGCCTGTCGTTGCAGCTCCCTCTGTCGCGTGGCTTTGTCGAAATCCCGATCCAATTTCGCGAGTTCATTGTTCAAAGCATTGTCCAAATCCAGATCTGTGTCTTGCTGCTCGCCCACGAAGAGAAAAGCGGAGTTTCTAGAACGATCTTCCTGTCGCGGAGTTGTAGAGCGTCCACTGTGGTCCGCCAAAATTTTTGTCTTCCTATGGTGCCTGATCGGAATTGTTGAAGCCCCACCCTTCTTGTCGTTTCGCGCCCCCACATCCACGACGCTCATGGCCGTCTCACCTGTGAGGACTACCGGCGCAGTCAGTGGGCGTGGGGCGGGCGGAAAGACGTTCTCTTTATCCCTGTAATCCGAGATCAGCATCAGCTTCCGAAATTGCTCGTCCGGGGTGAGAACCTCGTCGGACGATACACCGCGGATCAACTCGTCGGAGTTATTTGGCACCGGCCGTTGGTCCTCACCGTTCTCAGTACTGGCGGTTGTCGGTAGACTTCTCTCAATGAAGTTCCAGTTCGCTCTTGCAATATATGGATCCTTGCTCTGGTAGTCCTCAATGTTATAGGCATAACCCTGCTGCTCTCCCTCTCTGTACACGTTTTTCTGGTCAAGCTGGAAGTTGTGTTCCTGATCATGATGAAAATTCATAATATTAATACCCTCGCTATTCTCTCGATTGTAGCGCTAAAGATGTTTTGCTTTTGTTTTATTTTATTTTATTCGATGTTGCATAAGTTCAAGGATTTCCATTCAGGATCAGCAAGAACAGAATTCTAGCCACCACCAGTTTTCTGTCTCATTTCGATGCAGCAGAACCGATGAAAATGGTACCTGTCCACTAAGAGGCTTTACGTCATCTTCAAACAGATCCTTGCTGAGGAACATATTGGACGAGGAAGACACGGGCTGTCGACCACGACAAAAGATGGGACAAGGCTGGTTGCTCCTTCGGTCTCAGTGGTCGGGTGCTGTGGTAGGGCACTTAAACTCGGGGGTAGTAGCTGGGTCGTGATGGTGCCCTCGTGTACTTCTACGTCTCGGTGCCTCCTATGTTCTTCCGCAAAAACTGTTCCTGCTTGCGTCGTTGTGCTGCACGGAGGCAAGGGAAGATCTTCACTGGAAACCAAACCCGGAGCTGCTTCAGGGCCTAATTTTTGCATCTGAAAATGATCAAAAGAATTTGTACATTTTTCCGAAAATAGAAAAGAAGTCGCGTTCTTTCAAAGTATTCATTGGAAATGAAAAATGGGTAGAAGACATGGTCGAAGGCATTCTTTCTTCTTTACACTGAGAATGGAATTATTTGGTAGAAATAAGGGTATATGCGGTAGTAATGATGTGCAGATGTTTGTTGACCTACTGGTAGAAATGCGCAGGTTGTTGGTTTTTGCAGAATGTGAATGTCACCAAAACGGGAATCAGGGTGTTAAAAATCAGGGGGACATAATTCTACTTGAAGGGTAGCTTGATTGGCTAGTGTCGTGGCAGAAAAAAACGGAAGATACTAGCGCGCAAGAATCACAATATGTAGTTCAGTTGCTAGGAACATTCGCTTCTCCGGACAACAGAGTGTGCAGAATGGTCGTACTACCAGCCGCCATGCTGGAATGCAATCACTTCTACTTCATCACACACAGGACAGATGTTTTTGTACACACACGGTCATGGACAACATGGACTCTGAGACATTTTTCGCACGCGGTTCCGGTGTGCACCACTCGTCTTTTTGTTTTTAGTCCTCACATCAAGCACAGACAATCTCTTGTAGTTTCACCGAAATGTAGATAAACCGAATCGACTGACTGGTTTTCCGCTTAGCTCTGTAAGCCCGTACTAGCTAGCGCGAACAAAAGCAATAGCTTATCCGAAGCTCACTGGCACAGACGACGGCGTAACTCATTTTCTATTTGCAGGGGAAGTTTCACTTTTGCAATTTCTTCCAGTGCATACGAAGGCGGTTTTGTGTCAGGTGCATTAATATTTACGCATGGCCTGACAGAGCAGACGCCTTTCGACGCGCCGTCTTGGTTCTGAAACTAAATTTGAGAGCTCGCTTGCTTGTGAGTAAATCGAAAAAAGTTGGAATAGTAACCTGAGTTTATTAGCTCGCTAGTCCTAGTACCGCGTTGGACGATTCAGAAACCTGAGTCAAGCCGCTGGAGCGGCTTGACTCAGGAAAAACTACCTATTTGATACCTCCGAAACGCTCTGCAATGTGTCGAGCGTTTTTATTAAGATTCTCTATCGTATCGGGGAATCTTAATTCTGTGAAATTTTTGTTGAACTAGTTTTCAACTGTTCTTCTTGCGTCTAGGATATTACGAAAGATTCATTTGCTAGACTATCGACAATTCAATGGTCCTGGCGACGTCGTGTAGCAATTGCAAGATAACGATGAAACTGTTGTAGCGAAGATTTAGCGATAAGATTTTTCGTGATAAGGTTAACGTCGTATAAAGTGAATAAGATGCTTGCTATTTCTGTTGGACAAAAGATGCTATAATTAATTCAATCACACTCTACTACAACTTCTGCGTATAATAATTGATGCTGAAACCTACTCTGGACAAATTTGTTCTGCGACTGCATTCTGATAACGTGATCCTAACAAAACGCGTCCGCCTTCTGTGGTAGTGGTCTAACTTTAAAACTTTATAAAGCTTTTGCTTTTATTTTGGTCGACTCAATAAATACAACACCATCTTCGGGAGACGAGGACGACCTTGTTAGTTCGAGAAACTTGTCGTAAAATGGAACCGTGAAACCATAGAACCTTCGAGAAATAACGTACTACCGCAATACAACTACCTAGTAGTACAACGCTAGGATAAAAATTGCGTGGTTTAATTTCAACATCAGCATACTTACTTTCACCGCTTTTCATTTCCCAGCATTTTTATTCCACTCCGTCCGCCCCATTTGATGTTCCACCCATCTTCTCACGTCCGCAAGGCCAGGAAGGCGGCCACACCCGCGCGGATCCACTTCTCCTTCAACTCTCCCGGTTCGTCTGACGGGACTTCTAAGTACAGCACAAAGTTCGTACTGTGACCCGTAGTCATCAAGACACCTCGACGGGACAACACCTTGTACACCGGGCACCGGTAGCAGTTATCCTGAGTAAAAACGTCCCCACACCAGAGTCAAGATGGGGAATCTGCTAGACAAATCAAGCAGATTCGGTTGCTTCGCATGACAAGTTTGTCCTCGTAATAAATGTGATCCTGTTTAGCTAGTTCAGCAGCATCAGAGATCTAGCACATCCTGCTGTCTCTAGCATCACAAATTCCAAAACACGTTTAGAAAATGATTTCCATGGGGCTCCGCATGGGAAACTTTTCTGGCATGCAGATCTGCCTGACAACTCTGGGGTTGGAACGTTTTTCCTCAGGATAGCAGTTCTCCGGGGTTTTCCGGTCCAGCTGCGGAGAAAAGTGCATCACCGGCATCGGCGTGTAGAGAACTTTCGGCTCGGAGGGGCGTAAATACTTTGCCTTGTTGCAGAACCGCGCGCCCTCCAGGAACAGCCCCCATACGTAAATACCGTCCTCGGGGGGCGTTTTGAAGTCGGTGGACACAAGATCGCCGTCCTGCAATATCGCAAGAAAAAACTGTTTCACTGTAAACTTGTAATGCAGAAAATGTATCTGTCTTGCTACACATGCAAGACACTAGATTTTTAGCTGTGTTTTCCCTTAGGAATCTCGCATGGCAAATTTTCTCTGTGATGTAGAACAGCCTTGTGATGCAAATAAACTTGCAAAATCCTATACAGTGAAACACTTTTTTCGTACGATATGCAACAAGTACAGAAATTCCAGCCGGTCAATCTCGAAGTTGTACTTCCTCGCGTGGTTTTGCAGCGCCCCGGTCAGTATCAAATGTAAAAATGTCTGGGTCTGGAAGGGTGTAGACTTGTCATGCCGATTTTCCATGACCCATGAGGTCTGGAATGCGGCACTTAGCATGGCAGACTCTGCGAGGTCTCTGCCATGCCTATTCTGCATGAGAAACTCCGGCCCAACTTGGTCAAAAGTGGACAGCTTTTGGCACTCATGCAACACAGATTTTTGCATGCTTCAGATTTACCATGACAAGTTGCAATCTACCAGACCCAGACACTTTTGCAATTCATAGTCAGGAACGCCTGCGGAAAAAAGAATCCGCTGACCCAGAAGATTGGCGGCTTCGCGTTCTGCAGCCAGTCCGTGAGGAAATCCAGCCTCGCGGTCAGGTCGAGCTGCCACGCGGAGAGAGGTTTCAAAGACAAAAAGCCCTTGTCCGCCCACATGGAGGGGACTTGGTTCAAAAACATCTCGTTCCCCATTTGCTCCAACTCGGAACTCATGACCACCAACCCTTTCAGCGCCTTGCGGAAGGTCGGGATCGCCTTGTGCATCGTGCCGAGGAGTTTGTTGTACCGAATCGCTTCCTGTTATGAGAGTGCACAACTCCCCCGCGTTCTCATTTCTCATGCAAAATCCCAAATCCAGTCTGTTCCTCCTGTCACTATTGTGCATGACAAGTTCTGGCACTAGCCCAAATAGCACTACACTCCAGTAGTGTAAATTTGTCATGCAGACACGGCATTCTTTTTCTTGCTGATGCTTGTATTGCCGTTTATGCTATACAAATGAGGGGGGTGTTGTGCACTGTCATACCTGTTTCAGCACCGTGTTCATGGACTCCTCGTACATGGTCGGGTACTTCTTCTATCAAATGCAAATAGGATCTGGAAGGATGCAAGGTTTGTCAATTGTCATGCACATTTTGCATGACTCCTGATGTCTGTGATGCATGCCCTAGCATCACATATTTTGTGAGGGCTTCCTGATGCCTATACAGCATGAGAAATGCCCACCTCTCGTCGCCGTGGCAAAAACTGGACCTCTACTTTCGCTGTTCATGCAATACAGATTTTTGTAAAATCCAAATGCAGCATCACAAGTTGCATCCTTGCCGACCCAGACATATTTGCAATGCATATCTTCTCCAGGAAGTCGATGTCGTACTCCGGCGGAATCCGGTCGAGCACGGCTTTCGCCGTGTCCTCCATCACGTCCTCCTTGGACCGGCCACCGCCCCCGGACCCGGACTTCGCGTATACGGCTACGATGCCCGCGAGCAATATCCTGTGTAAAAACGTCCCCGCCACCCCATAGCTGTCATGCAAATCTGCATGCTTAAAATGCCTCTCTTCATGCGGAGCCCCATGAGACGCATTTTCTTTTCGGGTTGTGGATTTTGTGACCACGCTCGCATCAGCATGATATGCGAGGTCTGTGATGTTGCTAAACTACCTAAATAGGATTTCTGCACTATGATGCAAAACTTGTCATGCGCAAAAGCCAAAGCTGTTTGACTTGTCTAGCAACTTTCCCATCTAGACTGTGGGGTCGGGACGTTTATTTTACACGGGATATGCAAGGCCAGCGCCTCGCCTTCCGCGGTCGAAATCGCGCAGTTCTCGTCCATGCCGAAGGCCTCGGGACTGGGAGATAGGGGCAGGTTGCGGATATACTCCATGTACTCCTCCATAGTGTCATAAAGCGGAGCGTAATACAGGCCTGACAATTGTGTTCATTTGAATAGTTGTCAACACACCTAGAACTAGCACCAGGGCCATCATAGCCTTTTCAACATTTCCGCACTTATTTTAGCGCCAAATACTTATATTATCAGTGCGAAAACTACAAGCGATTGTGTTGCAAGACAATGACAAACAAAGTTTCTGATGCGAGCAGAATTGCAAAAGAAGAAGCCATAGGTCGACAGCACTGTACAGCGGCTCTCGTCCTCTTGACGTCACTCAGAAGCAGCACGACATTCATAACATCAAGTTGTAGAAGTACTTAATACCTGAGTCCGAGAATTTGTATTCCGGGTCGTTAATCGTCTCCATGTTGACATATTTTCCCAGAATACAGGTTACTAACTATCCTATGTAAAAACGTACCCACCCCATAGTCAAGATGGGGAATCGGCTAGACAAGTCCACGAGTTTTGGCTGTTTCGCATGACAAATTTGGCCTCGTACTCGTAGTGTAATGCTGTTTAGCTATTTAAGCAGCATAACAGGTCTAGCACATCATGCTGATTGGCGCATTACAGATTCCGAAACACGCGTAGAAAATGCCTCTCATAGGGCTCCGCATGAGAAATGTTTTGTTTTCAGCATACAGATTTGCATGACAACTCTGGGGTGGGAACGTTTTTACAAATGATACTAACCGCTTGTCCTGCGCATCCGTGACCCGTCCGCCGTAGTTGATCGACGCTCCTAGGAAGAGCAGCACCTTAATTGGCACTTCCTCGTACTGATATGCAATACAAATTATTTTTCCCGTGCTGCACTTCGTTGTACCAATAACTGTGACTGTCTGTATAACGGATTTCGCTATACTTTGACTATAGAGTGGTCGTGTAGTCCGAGTCCCACACCTTGTCATGCTGACAGACTAGGATTTTTAAAGGCAAATTTTGTCATGCAGAAACACAAACAGCATGATTTGTACGTCGTCGTGCACGGGAATGGGAACGGGAAATTTTTTTCTGCATAACTGGTTGATGAAACTCATCAACTGTCTCTTGCACGTCGTCAAGTCTTCCGTCGTAAATCCGTAGGGGATGTTCCACCCGATCGGCCCGAACTTTCTCCTATCCTGGATGACCGCGTGAAAGAAGCAAAAGGAGAAGAGGAGCTTCTTGAAGGTCTCTGGCTTGTTTGACTCCGTGATATACTCGTCGGAAAAGCCGGAGTAGGAGCGGAGCAAATTCGCCCGCAACCCCTTCGGCGGTTCGTTCGTCTATCCAGTGCGAAAGCATCGTACTCGTACTAATACTAATTGCAAATATGCATGACAAATCTTCACTTCTTTCTAAGGTAAAACAGCATTACAAATTGCGTTTCTCATGCTGAGCAAATTTGTAATGCAATTTGTACTAGAAGTGCGATGCTTTTGCATTGCATATCGTCATTTTCACACCGATTTGCAGCACCTGCACCGGGAACGCGATGCTCGGCATGGACGTGAGCCAGAGGCGGAAGTTGCTGTTGATGTTATCCGGGTTGAACTGTTCCACGATCGATTCCAACTTGGGCATCCAGGAGATCGCTAAGTGGCAGTTCTGGAGCAGCACCCAACTCCCCGTGTGCACCCCGTTTTCGATCAAGGCCGCCGCCTTCGGACCCTGCCCCTGGCCGAGCGAGATCATGTCGAGTTTCTTGCTCATGCCCATCTTCTCCGCGAACCCAATGACGTCGCCGACCGGATCGGACCCGGACACTAAAATGAAGATCAACGGTGTGATGTTCATGGAGTCGCCGAAGGATTTCTGGTATGCATTGCAAAAGCATCGCCCTCGTAGCAAAAATTTAAATTATTGCAGTCAGGCATTACAAATGTCCACACCAAGGCAAAACAGCATGACAAATCCCACATCGCACCCTGAGAAAATTTGTCATGCGATTTCTACTAGTACGAAGGATGTTTGCTTTTGCGATTGATATCTGGATGTCAAAAGTCGGGGGCTCGACGAACTTCTTTCCGATCTGCGCGGCGATAAATTGGACGATCGCGAGCGTCAATCTCGACAACCGCATCGCTCGGAGGAAGCAAAGATGCTCCAGCATGTCTAACTTCTCCTCCCACGGACCGGGAATCGGCTCCTTCTCCGCCTCAATCGCGTCGTAGATTCGCCGAAACTCCGTCACGTTTGCGGAAAAGTATTCGCTGAAGCCGTCGAAGGCGGGGAGTTTACTGACCGTCAAGATTTCATTCCACATGCTCTTGCTGACCCAATCCGCCGGCACCGGTGGTCCGCCGGTCGCGAGGTCCGAGGTCGGACCGGTTAGGAGGAAGGAAACCTCGCTGTCGTTCAAATTGTTGTCGCCCGCTAACAGTCGCAGACACAACGCGAAGGAGAACATGAGTTTGTCCTTTTCAAACAACCCCCGGCACACGTTCTGGTAGAGTGACTCCGTGAAGTAGTCCTTCAGTATGTCTAACCTCTCGTCCAACACGTCCGACTTCGTACTCTGGTCAATCCTATCCTGTGCAAAAGTATCGTACTCGTAGTAATCGCATTCATGCATCACAAATGATCTACTTGATAAGATAAATCAGCATTACAAATTCAATTTGTAATGCTGAGCCAATTTGTATTTTGTATTGCGATTTATAGATACTAGTACGATACTTTTGCAATGCATAAATCCCGATCGCGAACAGGTTCTGGAACCACTGGAGGGAATATGACAGTGCACAACTCCCCCTCCCCCTCATTTGTGTTGCATGAACAGCAACACAAGCGCTGGCAAGGATGCAGCTTTTGCATGACAAATCCTTAGGAGATTGTCGTGCTGTTTCGGATTCCGAAATCTGTCATGCAAACAGTACTAACAGGCAAAGGGTGGATTTGGAATTTTGCATGACAAACGAGGGGGAGGTGGAGTAGTGCACTTTCATAGGGAAAATTGGTACATGGGATCCACGTTGGACAATTCGACAATTCCAAAGAACAGAACAGAAGCCCGGTACGCGACGGTTCGGTAGGATTCCCTCGCTTCGTCGATTTCCTTTTCCGTCACCGCGGCCTCCTTCTTCTTCTGGTTAATCTCCGTCGCGGTGGCCTTCGACGCGTAGATGACGTTGATCAGCTTGTCGTCTTCCAAAACGTCGCCCTCGGTATCAAATGCAAAAATGTCTGGGTCTGAAAGAATGCAACTTTTCATGCTAAATCTGATTCATGAAAAAATCTGTGTTGCATGACTACCAAAAGTCGTCCAGTCTTGACCACGTCGCGTCGTATCGTTTTGAACTTTGACTCCTGTCAGGGCGGCGTTAGAACAGATTTAGCCTCTGCCAATACCGTGGCGTTAGAACAGATTTAGCCTCTGCCAATACCCCTAGGTGGGCACCCGTTCCACGTCCTACAGGTACCACCCGACCGCATCCGCCGAACCGTTTCCGATTTCTTACGCGTGCATACGGCCAGTGGGCGCTAGATGTGGCTGGCCTGCTTTACCAGCCAAGCCCGCGAGCAAGGTGGAGCTCCAGCGTTGCCTTGTTGGGTTATTCTTACAAACGTTGAACGCTACTGCTTCTGTGGTCGGTTGCGCGCTAGAATATACTGGGGGTCTATTGGTCACACACGTTGACCCTATCACGATGACGGACAACCCCAAAGCATGCCCCTTTCAAGCACCTTACCGACCTATTTCCGCGCACCCTTTTTTTGCGCATAGGTAGAGTCGGACTTTGGAGCTCCGCGTTAGCGGAGCCGCCACCGCGCCCGCCCCGGGGGGGCCCCTTGGGGAAGGGGGGCGCTGCCTTAGCGCAGTCTTTAATCTAGCAACCCTGTTCCCACTCTCAAGTAAAAGACTCGCGCCGACGACGACGGGATAGCAGCGCCGTGCCTACCGGCTGGCGAGGACGAGATGATGAGCAGCGCCGTGCCTTTCGGCTGGCGGGAACGGGGCCCTTGCGGGCTAGCTGAGACGACCAAAGGGACCATTTTCTTTTTTCTTCTTTTTTTTTTTTCTTTCCTCTTTTTCCTCTTTCGGGAGGGAGTTTCTCATGCAAGATAGGCATGAGAGAGATCGCACAGAATCTGTCATGCTAGGTCCTGCATTCCAGACCTCATGGGTCATGGAAAAGCTCCATGACAAATCGCGCACTCTTCCAGACCCAGACACTCTTACATTTGATACTCGGACGTAGCTAACAAATGCAGAATTTCGTCCTCGATCTCCTTCAGTTGCTTGTTCATTTTCGCGTTCTGCGTCACCAACATCTCCTTAGCCTCCTGGAGGTCCGCGCGCTCCTTCCCGACCAGAATACCCAACATCTGATCCTCGAGCCCCACGGGCGTGATCGCGAAGTTCAGTAGTGTGACCTTCACTGAGGTCTCCGGGGAGTAGTGGGGATTTGGGAGTGTTGTCGTCATGAAGAAGCGGAAGGTATCCCCGTAATTCACGGACTTGTCACCGAGCCGGATGATGTAGCTGGATCCTTCCTTCACCTTGTTCTGCAGTAAAACCGGTTCCAACGCCGGGTCCAGCGTGATCCCGATGTTTTCTAGCAGAATCCACTTCCCGAACTGAATCCCGAGCTCCAAGGTGCGTAAAAACGAAGAATCTGACAGTTTCACGATGTCAATTCCGGTTTCGATCTGCTTCCCCATGTTCTTGATGTACTTGTTCGCCTGTCGTTGCGGGTCGATCATCAGCGGCCATCGGTATCAAATGCAAAAGTGTCTGGGTCTGGAAACTTGTGATGCTGGGTGGCGTATCATGATGAGGCCACAGGTGCTGGCTCAGCATGACAAGTTTCTGAGCTTCTAGGTGATGCCTATTCTGCATGACAGACTGCGCCTCTGCATGGCAGAAAAATGGAGCTCTTCCGTAACTAACGTGCATGACAGATTCAAGAGTCATGCCAGACAAGCATGACAAACATGCATTCTTCCAGACCCAGACATTTTTGCAATTGATAATCGGCGGGACTTGTCGATGATGATCGCGTTTTCGATGGACAAGTCATCGTTCGGTAGTTGGTATCCTGTGCAAAAGTTAGTATCGTAGCTTTGTGCATTACAGATCTTTTTAAACCTGCTGATCTAGCATGACAAATTCCATTTTTGTTCTTGGCAATAAAATTTGTAATGCAATCCCCACTAAGCACGATAGTACTTTTGTGATGCATAGTTGGCACACGATCCACCCCTGGATTTTCACGGGCTCGCCCAACACCTGCGCCATGGAAGTGCCCGGCGAGAACTTCATTTCGTTCTCTTCCAAACAGTACCAAATGCAAAAGTGTCTGGGTGTTGAAGAGTGCGAATTTGTGATGCGCATTTCACATCAACACAGACAAATCTCTCATGCATAGGCAGCAAAAGACGTCCACTTCCTGTCACCAAAGTGGGGGATTTGTCATGCGGATTAAGCAATAGACAATAGACACCCAAAAATAGGTCGTGTCATGCGGATTAAGCAATGCGGAAGCTTCACGAAATCTGTGATGCTAGGGCTTCCATGACAGACATTCTGTGTCATGCAAAAACAGCATGATTCTTCCAGACCCAGATGACATATTTGCATTTGATAAACAGCTCCTCCACGTGTTCTCAAGTTCCGCGCGGTACCGCGCCGTGAAGGGGCCAGAGTAACTGATAGCCCCGGCGGCCACCATGCTGTCGCCGGGGAGGAGCTCGTAGGAGGCGGTGAGCTGCTCTACGTTCTCACCCCATCTCGCTTTCTCGCCCCCCAAACCGCCGATCAACTTGTTCGCGCGAACCAGTTTCTTCGCGCAAGTATCAGAATCTCTTTCTAACTGGTCCTTTTTCGCCACCGCGCCGCTGAACTCAGATTCGAGCTTCGCGATCTTTTGATTCACCTCCGCCAGTTCCGCCTGTGCCTTGGCCAGCTTCGCCTGGCCCACCGCTAGCTCCTCCTCCGCCCCGCGGAGCTTCTGCCGCTTCGGCTCCACCTATGACAGTGCCCAACTCCCCCTCGTGGTCCTCCTCGTTTGAATGTGGCATGAGCCGCAACACAAGCAACGCCAGAAATGTGGCTTCCGCATGACAAATCTTCTGGTGCATACGGATTGTAGTTGTGCCGAAATTTGTGATGCTAAAACAACCGCACCGACATCGCCATTGTCCATTATCGCTGGGGAAGCAAGCCTCCGCAGGCGCTGGAACGGCATAGGGTCAGAACCGCGAAAACATCGCGCGTATACCGAAATTTGTGATGCAAACTGTGCTTCGCGGCAAGCGCAAGATCGATGTAGTCTTGGTATTTGGCATTACAAATGACGGGGAGATGGAGTTGTGCACGACTCGGATACCACCGCCTTCGCCACATGGTGGTACTTATACATGGCTCGCGTCCACATGCACATCGCCTCGCACGCCACGGAGGCGCGCTTGATGGCCGCCGGGTCGAAGTCCTCCCGCTCCATGTAGGGGTTGATCTTCGAGATCACACTTTCCGGGATGTTGTCCCTGTCAAACCCGAACAGGTTGTCCAGCAGCTTTTTTGGGTCGTTCAGAACGTTCAACTTCGACGCCTCCCAATAGTCGTCAATTTTTTTCCCCGGTCGCTCCGGGTCGTTCTTCTTGACCGGGGGAATTTGTATGCATTGCAAAAGTGTCTGGGTCTCGAAGACTGCTAGTTTGTGGTCATGCTTTTGCTTGTGGTCTCGCATAACTCTATATAACGTTTGGATTTCGTGCAGCAGCGCAGTTTGCCATGCGGAACGCGCAACACATAGCACCAGCTCCAAAACTTGAAGTGCTTGGCTGTGTATTGCAGTGCGCCCATCACTGGCAGACCTGCGTCACAAGTTTCCAGACCCAGACATATTTGTATTTGATAACTTGAAACATGATGCAAATCGACTCCATAGTCAATTTCACACCGGACGGCGGGTTCGCGAGGGCTTTCACCTGATAGAAGATTTGATAAAATTTATTCAGATCTTTTTGTTTTTGTCAGTGACAAAACTACATGCTTGGCGGAGGAGGTGCAGAACAAAGACCTACGAGTCCTCTGGTCGTTGGTTTCTGCATGAAACGCTGTGATTGTGAAGAGGATGCAGCGGTGATCATGAGCAGGAGCAGGTGCCAAGAACAGATGAACTCCGCCTTTTCATTATACCTCACGCAAGTGGTCCATCTTCAACCTCTTCAGACATTGGACTGCCTGTTCCAAAGCTGGCAGTGCCTCGTCCAAATCGCGTTGCGCGTCCTCTTTGATCGCGGTACACTGCTCGGAGATCTCCAACGCAGCTTTCTCCTCAACTGCACAGGTTTCCTGCACCACCGTAGCGGCCTCTTTGTCCCTGGATTTTTTATGTGATACAGCATGCGTCAGCACTTTTTCACTTTGCTTTTAGTTTTACTAGAACCGTCACGGAAACGAAACCGCCTTGGTGCATAGTAAACAGAAACTGATACACGAGAAAATGCAAAATGAAAAGGAGCACGCGACGAAATCAAAATAAAAAATTCTGTACCTTGCAATGACCACCATCATCTCTTCGACCTCCTTACTGGTTTTTTCCAAGACCGGCTGCATGGCCTTCAGATCTTCCTGCAACCCGTTCACTTGCAGTTCGGCGGAGGAAATCTTATCCAACCCGACCTGGTACTATGAGAGTGCACAACTCCCCGTCCCCCTCATTTGTATAGCAAGAACGGGAACACAAACACCAGCACACGTGGATGCTATGCATGACAAATTTGTGTACCTAGTGTAGTACTGTTTGGGCTTCCGGAATTTGTCATGCAAACAGTGCTACAAGGCAGCGACTGGATTTAGGATTTTGCATGACAAATGAGGGGGAGGGGGACGGGGAGTTGTGCACTGTCATAGGTACCGGTGCTTGTACCCCCCGACCTCGTTCCGCTTCATCTCGAGGATTATCAACTGTAAAAATGTCTGGGTCTGGAAGATTTCCAGGTTTGTCATGCATATTTCGCATGGGCTATGATGCCTGTAATGTATGACCTAGCATGACAGATTTTTTGCGGGTATCTTGATGCCTATCCCGCATGACAAATGCCCTCTCCGCGGAGCAAAAACTGGACGCCTCTTCCTGCTCATGCAATACAGATTTTCTTAGATTCCAAAAATAGCATCACAAGTTGCATTCTTCCAGACCCAGACATTTTTGCAATCCATAAGGATTTTTTTGAAACTGGAAAGCAGTTCCAGGTAACTGGTCGGCGTGACGTAGACGAAGCGCTTTTCCCGGTCCAGGAAGTCCGCTTGGACTTTTTCGACGGATTGATGGATAATCTGTTCCATAGTTTATTCTTGTGCTGTTAATAGACTTAGAGGAAGATCAACATGCGGAATCTAGAGAGGTCATTGCAATGTAAAAAAAAGGTACTTGTTGTGGGTGTCAACAACGACATGGAGGACGATGGCCTACTTATTAAAAACGTTTTTATGAATATGTACCTTGAACATATTCACAGTTCCCTCCAAATTTGGTAATTTCAAATCCGTCAAGGTCATCTGCTGCTTGGCCACCGCGTACAGCGCCTCTGCGGGCCACTCCCTGAACCAATCGATGGTGCAGCAATTCACCAGCGACGGGAACATTCTCAGTCGGTTCCGGAACGCGTCGCCAATCGGCGAAAACGCCAGTATATCAAATGCAAAAGTGTCTGGGCCTGGAAGAATGCAAGTTTGTCATGCAGCTTTTCCATGACCCACGAGGTGTGGACGAATGCAGGACCTAGCATGACAGATTCTGTGCGATCTCTATCGTGCCTATCCTGCATGAGAAAGTCCCTCCCGACTTGGTCGAAAACTGGCCGACTTGTGGTAATCATGCAACACAGATTTTTATTTTGCATGATTCAGATTTAGCATGACAAGTTGCATTCTTTCAGACCCAGACATTTTTGCATTTGATACAGTACCACGTGCACGTTTGCCTTCACCCGGGATAAATACGCCGCGAAGATATTTGTCTTGGTCGGCTGCAGGCCCAACTGCTGGCATGCGGGGCGGCAGGCGACGTATCAAATGTAAAAATGTCTGGGTCTGGAAGAGTCATGCTGTTTCTGCATGACGCAGAAGGTCTGGCATGGAAGCTCTAGCATCACAGGTTTCGAGAAGCTTCCGCAATGCCGAATCCGCATGACACATCCCCCACTCTGGTGACAGAAAGTGAGCAGCTTTTGCTGCCTGTGCATCAGAGATTTTTGTGTGTTCTGAAATGCGCATCACAAGTTACATCCTTCCAGACCCAGAAACTTTTACACTTGATACGACGCCAATCTGGTCCATGTCCTCCTGGTTGTACAGATTTGGCACATATCCTGAGTAAAAACGTACCCACGCCAGAGTTGTAATGCAGATTTGCAAAGACAGGAAGACTTGTAATGCGCATCCCCATGAGAGCCATTTCCAATCGTGTTTTGGAATTTGTGATGCTATGAACAGGATGAGCAGATGAATCTGTGACGCGGCTGTACTTGCTAACCTGCACTACACTGCATAGTCCAACTTGTCATGCGTGACTCACAAAACTCCTAGGTTTGTGTTGCAAAATCCCCATCCTGACTCTGGTGTGGGTACGTTTTTACTCAGGATAGTACATCCCCCGAGTTCAACACCGAGTTAATCACCTCGACAAACTGCTCGTTCACGATCTGCGTGTCCGTGAAGAGAAACACTTGCGTTTTCCCCTCCACGCCAGACCGCTTCAAAACCGTCTTGATATCGTCCCGGAACTCCACCATCCCGTACCCCTTTGCGACTTCAATCTGGTAGCATCCGTTGTCGTTTGCGAAAGCCGCTAATCTCGCAGACGACTGCCTTCCGGACCCGCCGACCCCGAGCAGCAGCATGTTCCCCTGCGGTTGGTTTAACGTGCGGTTGATCCGCGCGACGTGCTCGGCGAAATCGAGGAAAATCACCAACGGCATGGGTGTGGGGAACTGGTTGTTGTAATCGTCCAAGTAATCCTCAAGAACTTCCACCATCTTCGTCAAGTCCTGAATCTCTTCGTAACTTCTGCTGTCCAAGGGTTCCATGAATTCCGCGAAGATTAGCCTCTCGTTGTGGAACACCTCGGCGACGTCGAATGGGGCGAAGTTGGTCTTGATCTTCTCCTCTAATAAGTTCTGCAGCCACGTCCTGTCCCCAGCGTCGATCAAGCGATCGCCGAACACCCGGGACACCTCGTGGCACCAACAGCGAAGAAGCACGATCGGGCCCTCGACTTTTTTCGGCAGGAGGGCGCACACGCCCATAAACACTTTCCAGATGTCGCGGAGGTTGAAGAGGTAGTGGGCGCGGGCCGGGGTGGGCAGAAGATCGAGCAGAACCTGATGAACAATGAGAATGGTTGAAATCGAAAGTTGCTATGCGGATTCGCATAGAAGACGAGGAATTGGAAAAATGCTTTGTCATGCAAGAAGACAGCTACAGACGGTCTACTTGAAAATCAGTTTCGCATTTTCTTTTTACCTTGTTAAACACTTCTTTCTGCGCCTCGACCAGTTTCGGTACAAGTGCCTTGACGTCTTCCGGAAACGGGTCGAAGAATTTGTTTGCGATCGTCGTAAACATCGTCGTAATCGCCGCCCCCGTGAAATCGCTGTACCCCAAAACGTTGAAGTGGCGCTTCAGACGCTCCGTGATGAACGTTCGGCCGCCTCCTGGGGTTCCCATGCTGCCCGCAACCAACATGTCAATGATTTGGAAGTAGGCAAGCTCTTTTCGGTTGTACCTGGTTGTATTCGAGTTCTACCGACTTTTGCATCACAAATTCGCTTCTCGCACAACAAAACAGCCGGCACATCGCATTCAAGCATCTTCACAGATCTCGCTGTTCTTCAAATAAACTTCGCATCACAAATTCGGATTCAGACATACTTTTACTTGCAATGCATGAAGGGATGAACTACTCACTACCATCCTTCGTGGTCAAACCACTGCCGGAGCAGCTCGATCGGCGGCTGCGCTCCGTAGAATTCCTTCTGTGGCATGTTCAGATCGTCCGTGAACAACACCATCTTCTTGCCCGCCGGCGGGCCGTAGACCCCCCTTCGCCGTTTCTCCAACTTGCTGTCGATGAAGTCCTGCACTTGGTTGACCTGCGTCTGCGCGGAGAACGCGAGATTGGTGGTCAGGAAGTTACCCGGGGCGTACTTCTGGAGGTATAAAGACAGATTCACCGTCTTCCCCGTCCCCGTGGGTCCGCAGCACAGCACGTGGCTGTCGTTTTCCAAAAGGATATGGAGCTCTCAACTGTTACATTCTCAACTGTTACATGAAATTTGTAATGCAAGAATGGCAAAAGTGAAAGGGAAAAGCTTGCTCCTTTTGCATTACAGGTTTGGAGCAGATTACAATGCTATCTAGCGTGTCGAGAACTTGTCATGCGGAGAAGGTTTGAAATTGTGAAAAGTGATAGCGTTTTTGCATGACAAATCATGTAACAGTTGAGAATGTAACGTTTGAGAGCCCCATAAAGGATTTTAAACGCGTACGTCATCCGGATGGAATCCAACGAGGGGACGACAATGTTTTCGTACTTCGCGGTTCGCGGGACCTCAAACGCCGGGATGGTGTCCATCCACGGGACCCACTTCCCCGTCGTGATGTCGAACATGTAATCGTAGAGGTTGGCGCCCTCTTCCGGAATCCCGTCGAGTTTGAAGTCCATATGCCTCGTTGGGTATTTATGCATTGCAAATATGTCTGGGTCTGGAAAGCGCCAGGTTTGCCATGCATGTTTTGCATGACCCATAATGCCTGTAATGCATGGCCTAGCGTCACAGATTTTTAGCAGGCTTCCTGATGCCTGTTCCGCATGACAAATGCCCTCCCCGCGTAGCACAAACTGGACTCCTCTTGTTGGTCATGCAATACAGATTTTTTTGGAATCCAAAGTTAGCATCACAAGTTCCAACTTTCCACACGCAGACCCGGACAGTTTTGCACTTCATAGTACTCCCAGGTCGGGTCGTTGTGCGCGGCGTGCTTCGCGGCCCACTTCTCGTCCTTGCTATGAAAGTGCACAACTCCCCCTCCCCCTCATTTGGATGGCATCCGCGGCAACACAAGTCCTGGCACAGATGGAGCTTTTGCACGACAAATTTACGACTGATTGTAGTGCTGTTTGGGCTTCCGAAATTTGTCATGCAAAAAGTGCCACAAGGCAGCGAGAGCGACTGGCTTTGGTATTTTGCATGACAAATGAGGGGGAGGGGGAGTTGTGCACTGTCATACTTGCCGATGGTGGTCCACAAGTAGTCGTTCAGCTGCTCCCGGTTGTTCGCGCCGGCGAGACTCCCGCCGACCGACCAAACAAGGCAGAAGAGAAACAAGTCCCCGAAGATCGGCTCCAGGTCCTCCACTTCCTTCTTAAAAGCGTCGATCAATTTCAGCTCGGTGGGCCAGTAGGCCGCGTAAAAGGTGTTGAGCAACCGCATGCAGCTGCAGGCGAGGTTTTGCGCAGTCGTGGAGCAGACCTCCCCGAGGGATTTCTTGATGTAGAAAATGGTCGTGTCGAAAATGTCCGTCATGTAGGTCTTGAGACGCTCCTGGTAAACCGGCTTGAACTTGAGAAAGGTTTCAGGAATCGACTCCACGTAGGACTGGATCAAAGGGTCCAGGGTAAGCGACTCGGGCTCCATGTAGATCATACCGCACCGGGAAACGGTGGCCGGACTGGCGACCTCTAAATCCTCAACTTCGAACATCATGCGCATCTGCGGGGTCAGACCGATGATCTCACCAGAGACCAGGCACAGCTTCTTGTTGTCGTCCAGGACCTGAAATTATTTGTGAATTATGGGTACTGATTCGTACTGAATTGATCTTTGATGCTCTTTGATTTGATGCACGACGAGACACTCATGATTTGCATTCCCGCGAGGAGCGCAATGATGTTGTGAGTCTCATCATCTCAACATGCAAACACATAGATACGCAAACCAAAGGAAGTTGTGCTTTGTGTATTCAAAAAATATAATCCTTCCTAGTACCGTGTTCATCGACTCGATCCACAGTGCATCCACTGGTCCGTTATCCCACAGAAAAAAGCTGGCAGGGCATATTTGTAATGCAAAGATAAATACACAGGAAAATCTGTCATGGGCGGCCTCATAGCATGCTATTTAGGATATCCAATACATTTTTTTTGTCTATTTATTTTTGCATTACAAATATGACCTGCCAGTTTTTTTCTGTGTGATATCCGTCGAAGATGATCCAGTGGTGATCCGGACTCTCTGCGTCCCGAACCGCCACTATCAAAAGGAAAAATCCCCCCTCCCCATATCGAAGTGGAAATCTGTGATGCAGGATTTGGATACACAAATCGGATTTGTCTTGCAGTAAGGCATCGCAGCCAGATCCTCGGCCTAGGTCGGGGCGTATAGGTCTAGTTGCTTAGCATTGCAAACGGGTGTCCCCTAGGCGCAACAGCACGCCAAATCGATTCCATAATGGTGCGGAAGCCTTTGCGCTTGTCTTCTTGCAAGACAGACGTGATTTGTGATCTCAAATCAGCAACGCAAATTTTCGGAAACACACCTTTTCGATATGGGGTGGGGGGATTTTTGCATTCAATAGCCACACGGATCTGCTCACTCCCGATCCCGTCGGTCCACTCATGCGTGAGCTCGTCGAACGCCCCGTAAATTTGCGCCTGCGTGATGGATTTTGGATTGAGGATGTGCGTTTGCGTCTTCTGGTAAGGCGACTCGTCGTTCCTCTCGGGGGGGCAGAGCACCGTGCAGGCCTTCTGCAACACCCGGTAGTTGCAGGTCTTACCCCCACCGGTCGGGCCCACCAACATCATACCGTGCCGCACTTGGATCATGTCGAAGAGTTCGAACATCTTCTGGCAGAAATACGGTGTGGGCTGGAGCTTCGACTCGACCGCGCACTCGTTCAACTTCTCAGCGAGCTGCCCGTAGTCCACTTCAGGTCGGTCGGTGCCCGGGAACAGATCCAGAATGATGTTCTCGAACAGGGGTAAATCGTCCCTCAAAAATTTCGGCACGTTGACATCCCGTAGGGCCCGGAGAAGGATTTGGAACTCCTCCATGTCCGGGAAGATTCGCTTCGACCGCCCGGCCGCCTCGATCACCGTCTTCACGGCACGCATGCCGTAATCGTAGTGGTCCTGGGAGGAGAGCTGTTCGGACGCGAGCTTAAAGGTGGACACCATCTTCTTCGCCATGGCGCGACCACCGGTGAAACCGAAGGCGTAAAACATGATCTCGCCAATCAACGCGTAATCCGGCACCATCATCGCGCAGGGGCGGAAAAGAGCGGAAAGGTTGTCCGGAAGTTCCGTGCGACCGGCGTAACTGTGAAGTGATTTTAGGTGCGAAAAATCTACAAGCATCTATTCTTGTTAGAAACCGTTTTGTTCTAAATTTTAGGCCTTATTTTGCAAGAGACAGACCGATTTGCATTTGTGATGAAATCATATTAGGCAAACAGCAACACAGTAAACAGTTGTTCATCTTACCCTGGGTTCATCGTGATAAACACGTTGAACGTCGGTCGCATCGCGATAAATGAGCCCTCGAAATCCAGTTCCAGCACTTCGCTGTAACTGTTCAGCTGCGACTTCCCGCCGAACAGAATCAGCAGCTGCTGCGCGATCACGGACAGCACCTCAATGTAGATCCGGTTGAACTCATCGAAGCAGCACCAGGCCCCGCACACGGCCAGCCCCTTGAAGAACTTCCCGACCATGATGTAGTCCATCTCCGGACTGCAGTTGAACACGACGCACTGCTTCGCCAACGCTTTCGCCAAATCCTTCGTCGACTCCGTCTTCCCCGTCCCGGCCGGCCCGGCGGGGGCGCCACCCAGGTTCAGGGACTGCGCGCCCATCAGCGTCATGTAGCACATATCCGTCAACGCGGTGATCACCAACCGAAACGTGTTCCCCAAATACTCGTACCCGTACGGGAAATTTGTCTGCACCATCCGGACCCAGACGTTTTCGATCCCCGTGTCGTCCTCCTCCCAGTAGTAGCGTAATTGCGAAATCCACTCGAACGCGTCCTTGCTGTCGACCTTTTCCTCGGTCAATCGCTGTACGACATCCTTCGCGTGCACGTCGATGACGACGAGAGCTCCGATACTATGAACTGCAAAAGTATCGTACTCGTATAAATGCATTACAAATTTTCTCAGCATGAGAAATGAAATTTGTAATGCTGATTTGCCTTGACAAAGAAATTTGTAATGCAAGACCTGCATTTATACGAGTACGATACTTTTGCACAGCATAGATACAGGTGCGCTGCAACTTCGTGATCTTCCCTCGGACCAGCATCACCAGGCCCATCAGCTGCTCGCCCAGCTTCTCTATGCATTGCAAAAGTATCGCACTAGTAGAAATTGCAATACAAATTGGCTCAGCATTACAAATTGAATTTGTAATGCGGATTTGCCTTTAGAAAATGACCTGTAATGCATAAAGGCAGTTAGTACGAGTACGATACTTTTCTTGCCCAGGATATTCTCCCAGTAGCCCGTGACCATGTCGCCCTCAATCGCCTCTTCCACCTCGTTATCAACTGCAAAAATGTCTGGGTCTGGAAACTTGTGATGCTGGATGGCGTCTCATGATGAGGCCACAAGTGCTGGCTCAGCATGACAAGTTTCTGAGCTTCTAGGTGTTGCCTATTCTGCATGACAAACTGCGTTTTTGCATCACAGAAAAATGATGAAGCTGTTGGGTAACGTGCATGACAGATTTGAGAGTCATGCCAGACAAGCATGACAAACATGCATTCTTCCAGACCCAGACATTTTTACATTTGATACTCGTCGGTCCAGTGCACCTGCGAACCGTTCAACACGCACTGCCCGGGGTGCTCGAGCACCCACTTGGTCCTTTCCGTGTCCACATACGTCTCGATACTGGTTTGCATCACCGCGCGAACTGAGTTGCACATTTCCTTTTCTAAATTCCCCATCCACTCCTCCACGTTTCGGTCCTTCGTTTTCACCTCCTGCGCACACACGATCTTCTCGCCCTCGGAAGAGAAGATCTCCAACACCTGCATCTCCTCCCCGAATGTCACCCGCTTGATGTTCTCGAACACCTTGCACAGGAATATCCCGTGTAAAAACATTCCCACCCCAGAGCTGCATGCCAAAACAGTTTATCATGCGGAGCCCTATGAGAAGCATTCTCTCTTCGTGTTTTGAAATTTGTGATGCGAGAATCAGCGTTCTATGATAGATCTGTGATGCTGCTGACCTACCTAAAACAGGACTACACTACAAGGATCGAAACTTGTCATGCCAAACAACCAAAGCTGGTTGGTTTGTCTAGCAGGTTTCCCATCTTGACTCTGGTGTGGGGACGTTTTTAATCAGGATAAGGAACGGCTGCACCCGGGTCGGGTCTTTTGTCTGCGAGAGAATTTCCAGCAATTCGTCGTTGGAGAGGAAGTAAAATCGCGCGAACGCGTCGCGCTTCGTCTGCAGGTAGTCGTCCAGCCCCTTCTGGACGAATTCTAGGTCGTTGTTCGCGTTCCTCCACTTCTCCAACAGCCCCTCGGTCGATAGAATGTTCAACGCGCCCGGGTTCTTGTGCACCCGGCCCATCCAGTGCCGCCACAGGTGGTCCACCGCCTTGAACTTTTTCCCCTCGGTGGGTAATTGCTTCATGATATCCGGCGAATCGAAAATTGGCTGCAGATACATCCAGGCACGTTGTACCTTCAGCCACATGTCAATGCACTCGGACACGTACAGCAGCTTCACCGCCCACTCCTCGATCTCCTCGATAAACGGTTTGTTGAACGGGGAAAATTGAATCGCCTGCGTGAGCACATTCTGCTCGTCGAGAATGGCGTTGACCTCCTCCGAGCCCTTGAGGATGTAGGTTTCCGTGGTCCGGTAGAACTCCTTGCAATCGAACTCGATGGGCTCCCAGTCCGCCTTCATCTTCGCCAACTGCTTTTCGATCTGGAACTCCTTTCCGGACCGGTCGCCGATGTCGCTGATCTCGGTCACGGTGTTCATCAAACCTAGATCGATGAAGTTCTGCAAGGAGAAATTCTCCATTTCCGGATCTATGGTCACCCCCACCAGCTCGCTGATCTGGGTCCAGTGTCGCTCCTTCATACCCTCGTTGCGCATCGCGACAATTAAAGGCACGTACTGTTGGAAATCGGCCAGCTCCTCCTTGATCTGTTCCGTGATCGCCAAGACCCCCTTGTAATCCTCTCCGCGAGCCGTGAACGCCTTGGTGGCTTTGAACAGCAATTTGATGCCGGTGTTGGTCCGGTCCTCGCAGTCCTTGGCCTCGATCGCGTCGAACTTGCCGGAAAAGTACGCTTTTTTCTTGTTCTGCCAGTCCGACGCCTGCTTCCACAGGATCGAAAAGGGTTCCCAGTCGCGCTGCATCACCGTCAGGTTGCCGTAGTCGTGCGGCTCCATATCCAGTGCAGATATGTCTGGGTCTGGAAAGATGCAACTTGTGATGCCGCCTTTGGATCCTACATAACATCTGTATTGCATCAACAGCAACAGAGGTGCAGTTTTTGCTACGCGGAGAGGGCATCTCTTATGCGGTATGAGCATCAGAACAAAGCCCTCGCAGAATCTCTGGTGCTAGGGCATGCATCACAGACCTCTGGGGTCTGTCCTCGTGGGTCAATGGTCATGCAAAATCTGCATGACAAACTCCTGCATTCTTCCAGACCCAGACATATTTGCAATGCATATTCCACGCCGAAGAGTGACTCCTTCAGGTTGAACAGCTTCGAGGTCTCCTGGTTGGATTTCAAACGCTCGGAGATGCTCTCGGCAGAGTCGTTGATGGACTGGGAGTCCGACAGGTCGGTGAAGTTGACGAAATTTGCAATGTCCTCTTCCAACTCGTGCAGCGTGTTGTCGAAGTGGAATTGCTCATCCTGAATCTCGCGGAAGAAGCTCTTCATCGTGTCCGCGTGCTCTTGCTTCACCTGAAAGTAGAAGTTTGTCAACATGCGAAGAGTTTTGCAAATGTGCAGTTGCAGGCAGACCTGCTTTGCGAGCACCATGAAGGTAGGTGTATGCAAACATGAGGCTCTTCAGTAGCACCAGTTTCATTCAACCGCTGCACTACTAGCAGATGTTGAACCTCCTCCTCCTGACAGAAAGACCATAACCAATTGCATAGATATGCATTTCGATTCATTTTCCTATTGAATTACCTCTGCAATGGTGTCCATGATATCCTTGGTTCCCTTGAAACAGCTCCATTTCAGGTCTGTGGCGTCTTGTGGCACCTTCAGCCTGAAATCTTCGACAAGGATGTCGTAAACGTCGAAAACTTTTTTTGCTTCCCCATTATGCATTGCAAAAGTATCGTACGTAGTGTAAAATGTAAATCGCATGGCAAATTTTTCAAGCAGGAAAATCAAAATATGTAATGCTGAATTAGCTATAGAAACCAGATCTGTCATGCTGTACTGCGATTAGTACGAGTTGTACGATGCTGTTGCATTCGATACACTTCGAGCTTTAGCAATTCCCCAGGCACGGTTTCCATGTACTCCTTGATTTCGGCCAGTTCTTCGACGTCCTTTGGCGCTTTCTTCAACGAGAGCTTAATCTTCGTGTACTGTGCCATCAGCGTCTCGGCCATCTCACGATACCTGCACGGATTTCATTTGTGCGTACGAGTGAACAAACTCTACTTTTGATGGCGCCGAGCACGACGAGATGTTGAAGATTGATGATGTTCACGTACCGACTTCAACTTGTATAAATGCAAAAACAGATTTGAAATGAAAACACAGAAAAGCAAAGCGCAGCAGACAACTGTTATTACCTTTTATCCAGCAACTTCAGCAGCTCTCCCGCGATGCTGTTGTGCTTTTTCGCGAAGAGATTTCTGGCCTCCGAGAGCGAGATTTCGTACAAGCCTGCCGTGATGCTTTCTGGCAGGGATTCCATAATGGCGTGTTCCTTCTCCTGCTCCTCGTGTATGTGTTTTGCGATGTCCTGCACGGACGCGGGGTTTTCCTCGTCCTGCTTGCTCGCCACAATTTCTGCCACGTCCTGCTGAAGCGGCTCGAGGTACGGAGTGATCAGCTTCCTGTAATCCTCCAAACGGGCGGCACCGTACCTGGTTTTATTTTGCAGGGTCAGGGATTTTTTTCGAAAAAACTAACAAGGATATGAGTTGTACTACATCATACATAATGTGCTGAGCGGCTGTACTAGTCGACATTTCATTCCCCTTCACATTTTTTTTCTAAATCGAGATCAACATGATCGGAAGCAATCCTAAGCTGCAATACGGTTGCATCATTTTCTCTAATCTTTTCTTGACCGCGACCACCTTCTCGTCCGACGGGTGCGTGGTCTCGATGTTTTTCGGCGGGTCCGTTTTTCGCACGAATTGCGACATCACCAGGGGTTCTGGCTGCGAGATGTCGGCCATCGTGACGAGCGCGGAGTCGATGACCTCCGTGACCATGGTCAAAAAATCCGCCCCGTTGGCGCTGTACGCCGCCTGGAACGTGTTTTGCTCCTTGTTTTCGTTTATCAAATGCAAAAGTGTCTGGGTCTGGAAGCTTCTGAGACTTGTCATGCACGTTTTGCATACGCCATGATGTCTGTGATGCATGCCGTAGCATCACAGATTGTTCGCGGGGTTCTTGATGCCTCTTTCGCATGACAAATCCAAATGCCCTATCCGCGTAGCAAAAATTAGAATTACATTCCCTTTGCTACTCATGCAATACAAATTCTTTTGGAATCCAAAGGCAGCATCACAAGTTGCATTCTTCCAGACCGAGACACTTTTGCATTTGATATCGTTCACCTTCAGCTCCATCAGGAAAATCCCCGCCACGTCGTCCCTGGAAAGCTATGCAAGGAAAAAACTGTGTAAGTGTAACTTTGTGTTGCAGAAAATGCAAAACCGTTGCACTCGTCATCCTGGACATGCATCAGAGGTAATTTCCGTGCGTGTTCTCACGTACTAGCTGCGCATGACAGGTTTTCTGTGTCATGCAGAGCAAACCTGTGATGCTATTCCCCCAAGAAACTTACACTTACACAGTCTTTTTCCTGGATAAAAGCCCGTTCAGGATCATTTCCGGCGTCGGTGTGCGGAAAGCGACTTCCACCTCCTTCAGACTCTTGATCGTGCACTTCGTCGGCGTGTAGTTCACGATCTTCTGCTCGTACGCCTGAATGCTGGCGCGAACCACCTCGAATATGCTGGTCTCCATGATGAAGCGAATCATGGTGAGCAGCTTCTTGATCTTGCCGTATTTGTACGTCTCAGCGTTGGTTTCCTTAATGGAATACCTGAAATTGGGAACAAAAACAAATTGCGATCATTTTGCTTGGGACTTCATACATGCACTTGACCTCTTTTAGGCACGAAACCGATGTTGAAATCTGCATACTTACACAACGGAAAGCGAAACAAGTAGGTCGCGAGCAAACTCCTATAATACCATCCCTTCTGCACGTCTTCAAAATTGGTGACCACCACCTTTTTCAAGTCCAGCACCCACTCCTTACACCTGCTCAGCATCGCGTTTATGCTTTGCGTCTGCAGCGTTCGGAACTGGTCGATCCGCGCGTTGCGCGGGAACTTGGTCTGGAAAATCTTCGTGCCGTAGGATTTCTCCAGCGCGAGACAGGCTTCGCGGATCTGCACCAACGTCGTTACCACTTGTGGCTTGACGTAGAGCGAGGAGAAGCAGAACTGCGCAAATAGGTTCGTGAAATTGTATGCCGGCACGGGGTGAAGCGCGTAGAACTTCGCGGGCTTCCTAAATGCGTTCACCGACGCGTAGCTCGAGTCCACGTCGGGCGCGCCCGTTATGGCCTGCTCCTCCATTTCGGCGAGGGGGGACAACCCCTTCGCCTCGCCGGTGACTAGTAGACACAGCCGGTTCAACACGCGACCGTAGTCGAGTTTTACCTCGTTGACCAAACTTTCCACGAAGTGATCCATGCCGTTGCTGCACAGCTCGGCGCTGGACCGCGCGTTCTTCTTCAGTCTAGCGACTTGGTCCACGTTCAGTGTGGAGATGCCGTCCGTCGGCACGTTGTCCACGTAGAAAAGAAACTTGATGTGCGAGGCCACGAGCTGTCGCTGGCGGAAGGCGTTGGCGACGCGGTCGGCGTAGGCCACCGGGTCCTCGCCGTCGAAGAAAAAATCTAAGCGGGACAGGAAGCACGGCGTCTCGTCGTCGTACCACAGTCCGTAGAAGTAATTCGTGTCGTCCCCTTCGTACTGGTAGATCACGCACGCCTCAAACGACCCGTCCGCCTCGCCGCCGACGCGCAGACCCTTGGCCTTCAGCCCGGTGCGCTTCTTGCTGCCCTTCGGCGGCTTGGGAATCAGCGTCATCCACTCGCGCGGCTTGCGGACGTCGTACTCCGTGTCGTTATGCACTGCAAAAGCATCGCACTCGTATTGCAATTTATGCACTATCTTTTTCTTACGGTAAATCAGCATTACAAATTCTACTTGTTGTTGTTTTCTCATACTGAGGAAATTTGTCATTGTCATGCATTTGTACGAGTACGATACTTTTGCAGTGCATAGTCGTCGAAATCCAGCAGGTCAAAATCGTTGGAATCCAACTGGGACTCCTTAATGCCCTTGGGGTATGCAGAGAAAAAAATTTTTACTCGGAATTAATATACACGTTCTGTGCCACCTGTTGCTACTGAAAAAGCCGCTGGCGATTGAAGGTCAAACAGGATAAAAATGCAATGGAAAATGCAAAAAATGTGCACACGACACAGAACGTCGAATTTAGCATTTTATCTTTCCCCTTCCATACTTTCCTGTCGAGCTTCACTTTCCGGTTCCGCAAGCTGCGGTTGCTTTCCTGCACGAAGTCGGCCATACTTATGCCCCGGTCGCGGAACAGCTCCTCGGGGTTCAGGCTCGCGAAGTACCGCTTTTGTCGCTCGACCGTCACCTTGCGGGGCTTGGTGCCGGGGGCGTGCGCGTACACCTCGATAACCTTCGGCTATGCAATGCAAAAGCATCGTACTCGTACTAATTGGAGCTATAATGCATTGCAAATTTTTTCTTAACGTAGATCCACATTACAAATTCAATTCAATTTGTAATGCTGAGCCAATTTGCATTGCAATTTATACTAGTACGATGCTTTTGCATTGCATATCGGCTCGATGGAGCCGATTTCTACTATCTGGGAATCCGGATACGCCAGATCCAATGCCTTCCCGTCGATTACCGTGTCTGTACCTGAAAGATGACATCATTTTTCACGATGCTAAACCTGAAACGCATCCATAACCTAACCATAACCAAAACTACACGTACATCTACGTGTACATGTAGGTGTACATGTTGTGCCGCATTACAAATTCAATCTGCCATCCAAACACATCAAACCTTATCCTTGATATTCTGTACTTATCAACTTATCCGCGGAGCTGCGTTCCTGCCTGCCTTCGCCGTTGAGCGCCTTTATCTTGGTTCGCCCGGCGGCCTGCAGCTGCTCCAAATACGCGTTGCTGCGGCTGCGGCTCTCGTCGGACATGCGAAAGCTGCTGGCGGCCGCGCTGCCGTGCGTCCGGATGGGGCCCTCCCGCCAGCCCGGGCCCATGCGGCACCCCTCCACGTCCTCCTCATTGTGCTGGCGCAGGACCTCGGAAAAGATGCCCCGCTGCCGCGACTTCGGTTGCGGCTTCGCCGACGAAGAGGACGCTTTCGACGTGGGACCCTCCATCGGTTTCAGGATGTGATGTGCAAGCGGAAGAAGTGCCGGCTGGCTCCTGCTTTCTTCACCTCTCCGTGGTGCGTCGGTGGCCCTCGTAGTTTCGCAGGTCCTGCTTTATGCTGGCGGAGAGACCCGAGGAAGGAAGATCACGGGCTCCTCCATACGGAGGACGACGTCGGTGTTGAGCATCTTTAATTTTTGTCTATCTTCATCACATGCCCTTGTGGCCGATCGGCTGACCCTGCTGACCTCCAGCTACAAAATGGATGATGGAAAATTTGCCATACTGCATAAGACATGCAGTGACTTACTTTTAGAACAAGAAGTGGCGCAGCTGGGTGTTACACAGCAGGCTCGTGAAGACGACGCGAAACAAGAGCCAGCTGTGAGACTTTAATGCAAAGATCCCGGCGTCATCTTTAGCTTTGCCTGCAGTCGGGGCATGCTAGTTGATGCTGCGCTCTATCAATACGATTCTCCAAGCGAACAAAAAACGCCCCTTCGACTTTTTGTCTTACGTCGCGCTCTTCTCGTGCTCCTCTCATCTCATCTTTGCTCATTCTCATTCTCATTCTCGCTTCTCGAAGTTGTGGTCGAAATATGTAATGTTGCTCCAGGGTCTACCGCGGTGGCAAGGTCACTCGAAAACACTATAAGTAGATGGCCTTTCAACGCATTAAGACCACTCTGCAACAGAGGACATGTCTCGAGGTCTAGAGCTCTTCTTCTGCAGGGTGCTCAACGCCTCATACCTAGCGCAATCGCTTCAACTTACAGAACCTCCCAACGACGAGCGCAGGCGGTCAAGGCAAGGTGGCGGCGCCATTTGCGGCGGCGGTGCCCAACCTGTATCGATCGAAAGAACGACTCCGCTGGGCCGCCGGCCCACAGTCTCTCTGTGTCCCCGACCAGAGGGCCGGCGCCTTGGCCGCTCCCCTCCCAAAAACGACAGCGGGCACACCCGCCGGTAGGGGGAGGCTGGCAATTTATTTGCGCGGCGCGCCGCGCCCCGCCCAACAATAGACTTCACCGCAGACAGTCTGGACGAGGGAGGGCAGAATGAAATACGGGCGCCCCAACGGGCGCACGCGGCAGCAACTGCGCGGGCCGGGGGTGGCACACGAGGCCGGGCGGGCCGACCGGTATCGTACTGGCGCAATGAATCCGCGCGGCAGAGGCCGCCGGGGGGGCGGCATAGGGGGGCAAGGCAGGGAGGGCCCGGACGGGGCGGCCTCGCCTGCTGCCTGCCTACTTCCTTGGCCTTGGGCGGGCGCCATCACTTCCTGCTTCGTATTTATTGCTTTGACTTCGCAGCCAGCAATGGCCGCCGAGGCCGCGTCGCACAGTCCGAAGACAAATCCCGAGATGCCCGCGCCCCGCGTGATTCTGACCGCGCCGGCATCAGAGACCTCGCACGCCGGTGCGCGAATAGGGCGCCGTCGCAGGTACGCCCTTTCATCCAGCATACCTTAGCTGCACAAAGGCAAAGTCGTGGCGCTGCCACTACTTTATTTGGTGCCGCGAAACAACAACAGCGGCGCCCTCCTACTCGGAGGTAGCCCGCCGAACGACCCTGCTTCCAACGCGTGCGCCGCTTCGTTCACACATCAACACGCCCGGAAAGGGTAGCGCATGGCGCTCTGTGGCACGCCTAGGGTCGTGGAAGCATGATGGGGAAGCGAATGCTTTCGACACCGCTCGCGAGCCCGACTGCAAGAAGCCATTTTTGACTTGATCAACGAACGAAGATATTTCTACACCTTTTCTCACACTCAGTTTTCATTTTCCCCATTACCACCTCTCACGTATCTATTCTCGCCTGGTGTCAGTACTTCGAACATAGATTGAAAAACCGAAAAGAATGAAGATCTTGGATCTCCTCCTCGTGGTTTTTATTTACCACTGCTGCTTTTTTACCCTGTGGCTGCCTTGTTCGGACAGTGAAATGTTGCATCAGGAGCTTTCGTTTTTGTACGCAAGACGAAAGAGACGGAAAAACCAGATTTGTAATGCGGAACGCCAAAAGTTGACAAACAGAGATTATTTTTCCACATGAACATAAAAAAGAGCTTGACTTTTGTGCCCGTTTAGTCGTGTTTCACCAATCTGTCATGGTAAATAAAAGGCGAAATAGAGTGTGGCTTGCTGCTGTGGCGCGTGTGGGCAGCAATGCAGATTAAAAATCTGTGATGCTGAAAGAGGAAAAGTTTGTTCTTTTTCCGAGGCCTGATTAGAAACGCCATAAATAAGATTCCTTGCTCTTCGAAAAGTAAAACGACAACCATAAAAGACTTACTATACCACTATTGCCTTGCGTTAACTAAATATCCTGATGGGGTTCAACATGCCGTCGCGTAAGTGCATTACAAAGGCTTCTATGTAGCATTTTCGGAGTAGCGACGGAGCGAGGAGTTTATACCGGTGACGCAGTCTCTGCGTCGCTGCTGTTCTCTTGGTCCTCTGCGTTGATACGAAGCGACGCTTCGTAACACAGACGCCCGTACTCAATCCCCCTCCTCATTTTACTCGACAAAAATGACTGTTTTGGAATTTCCGCTTTCGAAGGAAGTGCCTCCGTAGAAATTCCTTTGTCCGAAATCCAGTATCTAATCCCAATTACGTGTCCCTCCGCGGTTGTATCCGATAGCTTACACCCCCGATAAAACTCCTCCTTCAATTTCCCCGGCTCGATACCACGCAACAACAAGCGGATGAGGGTGAGGTCGTCGATGTAGCGTTTATGGCACAGGACGCCCCTCCTCCCGTAGCGGCTGCGTGGGTCTCCGTATGTTGCGGCTATCGTTCCACCCCTCTCCGCATTTATCCCAAACGCGTTGCTCACCTCGACCATCAATGGTGACCCCATCGGCCCGCCCCCAACCTGTCGCGCGATCAGGCCCATGCAGCGGCAGATAGCAAAAGTAGCGTCAAGCTTGAGACACCGCAAGACGAGATCAATATCGATGTGCCAGAAGTGTTTGTTGTCCGGCTTGTCCTTCAAGAACTGGATATTCCTCCGCGGTTTGGGTCGTGCGCGTGCTATCAGTGACGTCATTTTGATCTTCCTGTGGTACAACTTGCCAGCGCGCTGCTTGGGGTTTTCCTGCCTGTGCTCCTCGACCCTTTGGAGGTAGGGCGTGTTCTTTTCTACCGCGACAAACTGCGTCCCGTACCCCTTAAGCTGTTGCACTCTTTCGCCGACAATCTGCATCGCGTCAGCAACTGAGCACCTAGTGAAGAAGTCTTTGACGTCAGCAGTCTGTATTGCTATTTGCAGTCTTTGTCGCTCCTCTGGTGGGAGGTCACGCCAGAACTTGTTTATCTGCTCAAACTCCGCGATGAGCTCTTGCTGCGTGCTGAAGAGGAAGTTTTTGTAGTCGACGTCGAGGATCCGCCGGATGACCCTCGCGACTGTGGAGAAATGCCCGCCGTAGATGTGCTTGAAGTAGCTCGTTATCGGTCGGAATGCTATTGCCCCGCCCTTCAAGTCTGTGACCTTTAAACTCCTCCCCCTAGTCACCTCGTCAAACAGTCGCTTCTTCAGCATGATCTTCAAGAACGGCCAGCGGTGGAACTTGCGGAAGCGGATGTTTGTGAGGTCCTTGGTTTTATTCTCCTTTGCAATCGAAAAGAAGCCTCCCTGCACGTCTGTGTCGTACTGCGCTAGACCTCCCCAGCCTGGAATCAACTCGTAGTCACCCTGAAGGTGGTTGATCATGCAGTGGCTGATTATTCGGTCACAACAGAAGAAGACGCTCCGCGACTTGTCAACCTCCCCTGTGTAGCAGTGCGCCGCCAGAAGCTTAGCAACGTCCGTCACGTCGTCCTCCGTGCAGTAGGACTTACGCCTTTCCCAGTCGATCGACTTCGTTGCTATCTCCTTATCCTCTTTCTCTCCTCCTAGTGGTATGAGGCCTGGCTGTTTGGAGAATTGTTTTCTGGCTCTTCCTACTGCTGTGGCGACTTGTCCTCGGGTCGGCGCGAATGTAGCAATCCTGGTCCAGTTTACTTCTTTTCCCTGGTGTGTTGCAAGTGTGAAGCCCGACGAAACAGGCTCACAGCAAATATGTCCGTCGATCGTAGGCAACCACGGATGCCGCTCCTTCAGTTCCTGGCAAGAACAGCGAAGCGGCAGGTCGTTCCTGATCCTGTACGCAGTGTTCCGGTGCCAATCCGCCAGCTTCGTGCCGAACATGTCCAAAAACTTCTTTCCCCTGGATTTCTTAATCCGCAGGACACGCACCGGGCCGCACCTCAGCTCTTGGTGTGTAAGCATGCGCGAAAACATGCGGCGCAGGTTGTTGAGCAGCATCGGCGTGGTCTCTGGGAGGCGGATTGTTGTGACGATGATCTTGGAGCCGCTAACAGTGGCGTCAAGGTTGGAGCGGAAAATGTAGTACTTGCCAGTAGGGAGGAGGCGTTTTGCGTGGCTGTGCAGCTGTGTAACTTCTCGCGCCGTCTTCGCCCGTAGGTAGGAGCTGATACTGTTAGACAGTCCAATCCTCTTAGACATGGACAGGATGACCCGCGCTTCTTCATCTACAAAATCCGGCAAGTCCCACTGCGCCATGGCTTCGAAAGCACGCGCGGGCTCCTTGTCGGATATCTCGAATTGTCGGCAAGGGTGTCCAGAGGTGCGTGTACTCTTGAAAACTTTCCGCCGCGGGTGTGTGATGATGAACGTCTTCACCACCCCCGCCCTGCTCTTCTCGTGTTCGCGGACAGCAGCCCCCTGGGTGTTGCTTGTCGCATGGAAATACTGGATCAAGATGCGCTCCCCCACTGCTAAGTTTGCCTCCTTCTTCACCGGCGCGTGCATGAGTTTCACTACTATCCAGTTCGGCTCGCCGTCTCGGTGGAACAAGCCGACGAGCTTGTTCTTCCTCCCCTCTTCCGCTGCCGCCATCCAATGTGACTCCACCCGGTCTAGTTTCGCCTTGGTTGTCCTCCCCACGTAAGTTTTCCTCGTTCCCGGCCGCCATGCAAGATACAACACGTGCGTCTCCCTTTCATCCTCTGCGTTCGTGCTCGCTATCATGCGGCAAATTCGAATTTTTTCCCGTAGCCTGTTGGTGAAGCGAGTATTACTAAGTTCTAAAATCTGCATCATGAGCTGCTCATCCATTTGAAAAAGCTGTTTTCGGATCTCTTTCAAAAAAGAACGAAAGGGGGGCCGTTGTGCTGCTTGTTGTTGTCCTCGCCGCTGTGGATCTGCCCAGCTCGGAAATAGTTGATCCCTGCTCCTCGTGTGTCTGCA